GGGGGGCTCAAAGAAGATGCGCGAAGATGCAAAGCTACGGCCAGTTCTACACGAGGTTGCAATACGTGCCGAGCGAATAGGGCAAAGAGTATAGCAGGGGCCAGCCACGACCATGCCACGGAGAAAATAAGTAAGTTTAAAGCTTGCGATTGGCAAAGGCAAAGTAGTCACCGAAAGTCGTACGTTGAAGTTGAGAATTTATGCATTGTGCAAGGGACAGACCAAATCGACCTTTCCATGAGTGATTCCTCATTCTCTCAGATTGGCGGAATGCAGGTTCATGGTTTCTCGTTGTGAGGCACTTTTCTGACATTGAGAAATTGAGATTATCCAGCCTGTAATTTAGGAGGTGCTCCTGAGTCAACCCTTTTCGGGAATAGACTTTCGTCGATTACCTTCATCTCATTATCTGATGCTCGGCATGAGACGCCCTACTCCATCGACCCAAGTCTTTCAGAAGCAGGCACCAATCCTTTGACTGAGCCCATCTCAACTATGCTCGTGTCCCAAGCAGTTCCCTCACCGCCGCTGAGATTTCGCCGTCTATACTTGTCGCCAGCCCATCTTCCTCCAAATCCCATGGGACGGCCGTCTCAGGCCCCTTGCCCACCCTCACGAGCTTCACTCTTCCCCCGCCTCTCATGACTAGATCCTCGTTGGGCCATCTCAAGACCCCAGGCGTCGACATTCCGACGCCAAGCTCTAGGATCACTGTCGTCCTGTCCTCGCGATGCAACACATCCCGCCGGAACTGCTTCCATCTCTTCTCCCCGTCTTGAAAGGGCTTCTCATTGAACCAGTGTCCTGCCCTCACGCAGATATTCATTTTGCCGCCGCAAAACTTGCAGAGGGGCACCTTGCTCGCGTCTGTCAGTGCTTGCGATACCGGGTCTAAGAACGCCTGCGCATCAGCAACTAAAGGTGCAGATTGCACTGTCGCATCCGGTCGGCAATTCGCTAGGCACTGGAAGACAGCATATGAGCCTTGGGGGGTTGAAAGCCGCTCTGGTGACAGGCCGTTGGCGACAAAGAGGCCATCAGCGTTGGATGTCCTCACGTGGGCGCTTTCTCCAAACCTGTCAAGCCAGGAAATGAGCGTTCGGTACATTGTAGATTCGGGCCAAGACTTGACCATCCCCAAGTGCGTGAAGTAGTATCCCCAGCGAACCTGCTCCGTCGGCCACGAGGTGAAGCCAAAGACGCTGTACAGAGTTCGCAGCCCATACTTCAAGAAACCCGGAAAGTGCTTGGCAAACAGGGCCGACGAAGTGTAATCCAGCCCGTCCGAAGCAGAGAGACCTGCGCCGGCGCTCACAATGACTGTATCAGCCGAGTCCAGCCATTGCCTGGCCCGGTCTAGCGAGTCGCACTGGATCAGCAGCGGGTGATTCTCACTTGCCGGCGGAGTCGGCGACGGGCCCATCCCTACATGCGGGAGAGAAGCCAGGATCTCCTGGTAGATGGTATGATCGGCGTCCGTAAAGGTGTTGAAGATGACATCGGTGATGGACGTATCCTCGTGGTGCTCGAGCCAATCCGTGACGACGCTGACCGCGACGGCCGCAGCATCTCGCGCCGGATAGGCGAACAAGCCGGTCGAGATGCCGCATAACGCGACAATCTTCCTACCATCCGGCGTCGCGGGCAGTATTTCGACAGTGTCAAGAACGCTGCGGTAGCATTGGGCCAGCTGTTCAGTCTCGTCTGCCGTTGGTTTTGAGCCGCGATGCAGTTGCGGCCCGACTGTGTGCACCACATGGTCTGCTGGCAGGCAGTACGCGTCTGTGACTATCGCCTCGCCCGGTTCGATTTCACGGCCTCTTAGGTTCATGACCCGGTAGCACTCATCCCGAAGCCGTGGGCCAGCCCAAGAGTGAATGACATTGTCTATGCAGCGGTGCGGCGGCTGGAAGCATCCGAGTCCCTGGCCGTTGGCGGCATTGGTGATTGCAGTGATGCCCGTGAGAGTCGTGATGTCACCTTTCCAGAGCGTAACTCTAACACTTTTCTGGCTCGTTTGTTTGAGTGTGACTGTTGGTTGGATAGAGCCCGCCAATGTCAAGACACGATGGGACGCCTGCTTTCGTAGGACTGAGTCTATCCCGACTAGAACGTCTTCCGGAAGCGGCGGGTTCGGCTTTCGGACGCAGAGAAGCTGATGAAGCAACTGAAGATGTGTAGAGGGCTCCAAGTCATCGAGTTGGTCTTTAATGTGATGAAGGTGGTGGTGGTGATGGTCATGGTGGCAGTCGCCATGATCTGAGTCAGCGCTTGATTCTGTTTCGTCCAGTAGATGGACTAGGATTTGTTGTAGGCTGTCCATGCTTCAATGATGTTGTATGAATCTCTGTATTCGCGTAATGATTTATTGTGAATCTCAAAAGGGTAAACGAGCAGTTTATCCTTCATCAATTTATCTTTGTGCGCATGGCGATTTCGATTTCAAACGTGGGAGAGTGGCGTATACGTGAGCAGTCATTTTAGTTCCGATTTTACTTTGCTTTGGTGAGCTGCCGGAAGTAATTTGCATCCGACCCTGGATGAAGAAATGAGGCCGCTCAACGACAAAGAATTCCTGGGCAATTTGAAGGATACAGGCCCGGGCTCGTGTATTTAGCCGACTGTTTTATTCTGGTGAAAAGCTACATATTGATTCATCCCGTCCTCTGGCGTGTGATGCACAGGTGTTTTGCATAATCAAGAGTGATGCAAGTCACTCCGTGAACTTGGAGTGGTGGATTCCAGGTAAAGATCCAGAAACCAGCAAGATATCACGTATTCCCGAATGCTGCATAGAAAGAATTAAATGCTATAGAAGCTCATCCACTTCCACATATTTCAATAATCATATCAAATTAACAACAACGCAAACCACTCGTGAAAGACACGAGAAGCAGGCTGAGCGAAAGTGCTTATTGAAAACGCCGGTCTTCGCAAGGTCTACCCGATAACTTCAGTACCGATGATACCAGTTGGCGAATTCCCAAGATTTTCTTCTTCATTGTTAGCAATCGGCATTGCGGATGATTACGTTGCAATTGGTATCGTGGAATGCTTGTCCAGAGGCCTTGTCGTAGTGGCTATTGCGATCCGTGCACATTCCCCAGACCTTGTCAGCACCATCAGCAATGCTGCCAAAGGAATTCAGAGTCTTGAGCTTGTTATCCTATAAAGTTTTTCAGTTGGCTTTGCCAATAAAACATTTATCGACCCCAGACTCACATCATTGCACCACCAGATTGCTGTTCCCCAGGAGCAGCTGACGCGACCGCAAGTCCCCGGACCGGCATCATTTATAGGCTTCCCAGGAAATGCTCGGAGGTACCTGATTACATCATATCCAGCACTGACCGAACCGGCCGGGAAGTTTTGGCAGATGACTCTGGCATCGCTGAAGTCGGCTCGCTTCTCTTTGGCACTAGGGGGCGTAGTAGGATACAAATCGAGGCCGAAAGCCTTGGAATACAGAGGGTTCATATGGTGAATTTCGTCGAATACCTCCTGAACTGTTCCATTCAGAAAGGCCTTCTCGCCACCAGGGGTGAGCTCAAGCTCCCACTCTGGGATGAAGACCTCGTATCCTTTGGCAGGGGCCTCATCGGGGATGATCGATCCATAGGCCTAGCGTGGTATTAGTAAATTACGAGTTGGCTATGGAGTCTCGGCCATACTGAAACAGCCAGGGAGGCAGCGATGAGAGTTTGAAGATGATGGAAGCGCATTGTTAGGAGGTTGAGACTGATTTCTGAGGGCTCAAGGCTGTGAGTTTGAAGGTGAAGAGCCTAAAGGGAGCGATGAACGGATGAGGGTGATGAGTGATGGAATATATAAGCCGTAATGGAAAAAATCTGTCCCCTTTATAATCCATCGAGCTGAATGTCAATCTCGTTGTTCTACAATCACCGCCGCTCCGGCCTGCAAGTCACTCAGTCTTCGTCGACTCCGAGTGTCAAAACCACCTATCTTGTCCTGCAGAAACTCTGATCAGGTCATAGTCTTGTCATCTAAAGAAGGTACAGCAATGCAAGTTTGCTCATTGCTCGTAGGTCCGTATTCTCCGGCAATGTCACGACAGCAATGCAAACAACATCTCCAAAAGTGGCCAAGGGTTTCTATTGAATGAAAGGAAACAATTCCACCATAAGATCAATGAACAAAGCTCTTACGGTTGCAAATGAAAAGTCTGGAAGAAGTAGACGATTCTCATATATGCCGGACAAAGGCAGTGAAGCCTTAATGGGGGCCGTGTTACATTGATTCAATGACATCCAGCAAACTCACCCACCTCGCAACTCCCATGGCGCCATTTGGAATTCGTATTATATTGGTCGAATTGATCAATCACGTCTCTGACCCTAGGGCCCCCATCCTTGAAGTCAAGAGAGTATTCGTGTTTCCAAACATTCAGTAATCCCTTGGGCCATGTCAAAAAGCTGGGTGGTAAGCAGTGTTCTCACGTGGACAACACCCCGTACTACACTTTGATGGACGTTGATGGAGTAGCAGAAATCGCATCTCAAGATCTCAAGCTAAGATAGCGAACCATTTGGCGAAGACTCTAAGAACCGTCAAGAGGTCCCAGCATTGCGGCGCACAACGATCGGTCGCGCCGAGAATATATTGTCCGGGGAATGCTTGCTAGACAGCTTGGGCCTAAAATGGACTCGAGACTTAGTAAGCACTCGAACATTGTTGTAATAAAAAAACTTTTCTTCCTAATTCGCCCCATTTCCTTCCTGAAATAACTTTTTGACTAAGCCCGAACCAATGCCCGAAAGGATGCAAAAGTGACAGTCATAAGACTTGGCATTGGCGACAACCAACCTTCTTGGGGCAGAAGGGACCTTCTTGAGGCAGAAGGGAACATAAGCACGGAAACTAATTTCATTGAGAAAAACATGTTTGGGCGAACCGCTCAGTAAACTTTTCGATTAGAATTGACGATGTTCCTAGGTCACTTGATGATGACGGCATTGAGCATCCAAGGATTACCGCACTGATAGTATTTTCAGCTTGACCAGAATATTTTCAAATACTCTTGCATGTAGCTTAAGTACCTTAATATAGGGCAATCATGTCCAATTAGACCTTCAAATTACGCTCCTGCCCCCTTTCCCTCGCAGATGTGATGTAAGTTTGAAGAAGTCATCATCAAGAGTGACAGCATAATCATTGATCACAAGCGCCAGCCTTCCAGGACATCTGTGTCGTTGTACGCAGTCAAGTCGAAATAGTGCACCTGTCTGTTTCCACCCCGGCCAAAGTTCTCCGACGTAATGTTGAGCAGGGTAGCCGAAGTAGTTGAAGATGTCAGATTCGTCAAGCCAGGGAAAGCAGCCTCGATCAAGTTCGAAATCTCCTGCGGGGTGTAAAAGTCGGGACCCTTGGCTTCGATATTCTTCTGGAAGAACGAAACGTAGTTTCTTGTATGGTCGACATCAGCGATGGCACTGAAGGTATCGGCTGACAGCGCGTGGCCGGGAATAACAAGCTTGGGTCTGAGGCCCGCGACGAAGTCGAGAGTCGTGAGCCAAGACTCTGTGAGGGCAGGTGTGAGAAGGTCGGCGAGCCAGGTATGCATCTGGTGGCCGTAGACGACGTCGCCTGCGATCAATGTCTTGCTAGACGGAATCCAGAACGAGGATAGATCAATCGTATCGCCACCAACGTTCTTAATTATCTCAATCGGGCATTTTTCGTCGCCTGGGAGGGTGAAAAAGGAGAAGTTATAGGCAGTCGGAATCGCAGGGACGGGAGCGATGACGCCGGGGCCATAGGCAGCAGACCAATATTCAGTCTAAATGGCGCAGGTGTTAGCCATGGCTTTCCACGACGCCGCATGAATGCTCACCTTGTTGACAGCCTCATGCTGAATTCCCTGTACCGTCTCGGGGGTGGCGTAGTGCTTGGCCTCGGGGAAGTGTTGGAGGAACGCCTTGCCACTGAGATAGTGATCGGGGTGATTGTGTGTTGTGAAAGCCGCCAAGAGAGGCTTGTCAGTTGTGTTCTTAACCCATTCAGCCAGTGTTTCCGCGGCAGCTACTGCGAGGGGCAAGTCAATGATCGCAGCACCTTGAGAGCCGATGATCAGAGACGACACGACATCCAACGAGAATCCCGGGCTGATGAAACTTTCGACCTTGAGACTGCAATTGCATGATGCAGCAGCTTGCCCAAAGGTTGCCAGTAGGGCGGTGGCAAAAACGACGTTGGTGAGCATGATGGCAGGATTGGCGTTCTTTACAATGTTTTATGGTGAGAAGAGCGACAGACCCAGGTGAAGTTTGCTGCGATGCTGTTGAAACACCAGACTTGCCAGTCGGGAATCGGTGTTTATATCCATACCATACAAATTTACCGAAATTTCAGCTTTTCAATCTGCTTCCGAGTCTTGGCAGCATATTGAGCGTTGTCCAGCAAACTTGGATGTAGTGTAGAAGCACGGAACCATTTTGTTTCCGTCACCACTTTTTCCCGCCGCCTTCATTTATGAACTCAAGACCTACGGCGGTGACTTTACATGGTAGCACCAAGATTTGAGATTAAACTGATTCATGCGTTCATCAAAGGTGACGGTATCTTACTCCCGAGATGAAGGATTATCACAGTCACCACGGCTGGTTAATATTACATGCTTCACATTTTTCAACTTTACGATTGCCGAGACTACCCGCCCGCCCACGCTCCTCCTTCTTTTTATTGCTCACGGGTGGATGAGATGCTGGATGTCTGCTGCCAAGTGGAAAAAGACTTTCGGATGTACCGATGGGATTTGTTACCTGCCCGGTGAGTTATGGAGACGCTGTGGCTCTGTTTGCGAGCCGCTGCCAAATCACTCTCTCGGAAGCAGAATGCTTTGCCAGATTAGTGCGCTGATCTCATACTGCCCAGCGTGGCGCCTCCACTATTTAAGTTTTGTCACTTATTATGGCTCCTTGCCTGACCGGGAAGGTGTGTACAGGCGTAAAGGCTGGCGAGAATTCACAGAAGGTATGGCTACTCAGCTATAGCCTGTAGCCGGGCCGATTACAATTAGGGAGCGCGTTTAACCAGCACTTTGGAGGCCTTACCAGCTCTTTCACACATATCTTTTGTAAAGACTTAAGTTGAGGTCTTGAACGACCTGCAAAAGGTAATCGGAGCAAAGGCGCGGTCAGTAAAAAGAACTTTCAGAATGTAAGACTAGACGATTGAAGAGACTCGGCAAGGGAAATGTAGTGGGATGTAGAACTTCTGTGACTACAGCTTTAATCCTTAAAATTGAAGCACTAAAGAACCATTCTAACGACATTTAGAATGACACATTGGGACTGGAGGAGGAGAGCGCTGAAGACTTAGTGAGAGTTGTTCTCAACTTCTTGAGCAGTACGGTCTTGCATGTCTGGGGCCTTCAGTGTATTGAGAGTTTCCAACTATGCAGCCTTATCATCAATATAGCCAGGCAACAACTGTGGAATGGCCGCTAAGTCACTCATGATGTGTATTGTATTTGGTGCGTGTTCCTGTGTCTCTACTTCCTCATGACTGCAGATACCTCTGCTTCTGCCTTCCTGGCACTGTGGTCTGTTTTTCTTCAGGGCCCGAGTCTTCTTTTTGCGACTGAACCGCCACGCCCTCAATCACAACATCAATAGAGCATCGCATACATCAAACTCCCATCAGAACTTCTATCCTAGATAAGGCTCCTCTGACTGACTTTCCAGCTGAGCTTCTTGGCCGGATATTCCGTGAACTGCCGCAGGCGGACCCGTTATACGCCATCCAGCAGAACTACCGCTCTTCGAGAACATTCACTAAAAATTCGGACCGAGAAGAACACCTCATCTACCGTCCAATTCCTCCGAACAATTCTCCACCGCCCGGACTTGGCACTACACGTCCGCCATCCCAAATTACTGGGCCCCCCTTTTTCAGTAACGTCCTTTGTTGATCGGCTCTGTGCGACCATAATGGCACCAACGTTACTAATTTCAAGGTTCTTTGTTCACAGTGGAGTCTTCCACAGAATGCACAATGAATCTTGCAGGTATCGCTTTTCAACTACCCAGAACGTCCTAGCGTTGATCCACCTTCCAGCTTCGCGAAAGCTCAAGGCATCCATCAACACACCACTATCCGCAACCACTGAGTGGCCAATCAGTCCACCCAGACTATCAAACATCATATTATTGGAGTTGTGGATGCTGTGAGAAACGGCACTCGAGCAGATGTTGCGTGAGACGCCATGTCTCAAGCCTGTTACATGGCAATGGCTCAACGGACCCATGAATAGCAAACTGGCTGGGGGTATAACTGCCAATCTCGAAGTGATTGCATCTGCTTTGACTTGTGTGAGAGATACGTTATAGAATTTGAAAATCACCACTGCCATGGATATTGGGAACGATAACATCGAATATGACTCCATAGAAGTGCGCAGACAACTGCGTGCCCTATCTGCCTTCCAGCTGAAGAACCTCCAAATTCTATTGCCTTTCTTCGTCGGTTTATCGATAGAACGTGGCATGCAGTTCGGACATGTGGTTCCAACATTGGTGGAACATCTGATCCTTTCAGATCTTTCGCAATGATCCCTGACTATGAATGGGAGTATTATGAGATGATCGAGCGATTGAGTATATAGGAGTATAGGAGATCTGCAGTCGTCTGAAGTTCAGTTGCGAGGTCTGCATTTCCTGTCAGGCGCTATGACCTTAGCACAAAGAGGACGAAGAGGCTAAGGGATACACGTGCGAAGCATGAAGTCGGGTTCAGGGTGACTCGCAAAGATTGGATGAGAAGAAGACCACATACTTTTATGGGATGCTAGGAAGAAGGAGAAGAATGAAACCAAATACCGAAATTTCCATATTGGCTACGGCAGGAAAATCATGTCCCACGTGTCTGGGAATCCGTGAGAACCCCTATAACGCGTCTTGGAAAGCCTCTAGTCGAAATTGCGATTAGACTTTCCATTTCCAACGGTCTTCGCGTCCGCCTTGTTTCGCGTCGACGGTAAACGCAAAACTTGGACCTTTTGGGTGCGCGTTCCGACACTATTGCCCGAGTCAAAGCTTTCCATCCTGACACGCCATCATCAAAGAAAGAATCACAGACCTCATCGACTCAGAAGGCGACTTTGTCCACTAGTCGTGCTCGGAGACGCACAACGGCCATCCCCAAGACCTCGTATTCCGATACAGGGCCTCCGACTCATCGAATAAACATATCACCAGCGCGGGTAGGATTCAAACACCACATCAGACACTGTACCAATGGAGACGCCCGCGCGATGCACCAAAAATGTCTCCGTGGTGGCCGATCTACCCATTCTCCTTCGGCAAATACCCGACATCGTGCTCGAAATAGCTTCGCACCTCCCCACGGAGTCCGCCATGTGCCTGGCGTTGACCTGCAAATCTCTTTACGGTCTTCTCTCCCAGAACACGTTTCGGAAAATGAGAAGGGACGACAGAAAACTAGACAACTTCCTCTTTCTGTTACTCAAGGATATGAGCGGCCGAGGGGTGTACCTCTGCCATCACTGTTCGCAAATCCGACAATGGATCTGTCCCACGGGAACGGGCTGCTTAGAGTGCCCATCGATCGGCACGGGGCAACTGATTTGGAGTACGCCGCACGGGAGACTGAATGAGAAGATACATCGATGCATCGGAGCATCAGCATATTTCACATTTACCGTCAACGGCATAGAGCACAAAAACGACAACTCGAGATGGGTTATGCACCGCGATCGGGGAGGATGGCGATTATGTTGCAGTAAAGGGTTCTCACCGACTACTTTGACATGAAAACATGAGACAACTGTTGAGGCAGACGGATGAGGGAGATGGCTGCTTCCGTTGAACGAAATATGTTATTTCAGCACAGCGTAGAAGAAATTCTCATGACTACCATAGCACCCAGTATACCAAACGCCAATTATGTGCCCTACAATGCTTTATCTGTGATACTTTAGTTCAATCCAAATTGCTCAAGTAACCACTTGGCGTCTTCAAACACATCTTCCGGCTTGCCCTCAGCCTCAACGGGGAGAACATCCAACTCCGCAACACCGGCAGCCTCATGCACCTCAACCTGTCCCTCCACCATACTTGCCAGCATGTAGTGACCCTTGCGCTCATCCATTCTTTGAACAAGGGTTTCCGGGCTGGCCTGAAGGTCAAGGAACACAACCCTGACGCCGTCCTGCTCGGCAAAGACGCTTCTCAGCGTATCACGATACGATTTCCTCAGAGCCGAGCAGCTGACGACGACGGAATCGTAGCCAAGATCCTCGAGGGCTTCGGAGGCTCTTATGCCGATGCGGCGAAGCCACAAAGACCGATCCCCGTCGGTCAAGGCGACGTTGCGGCCCATCTTCTCGACGGACGCTTTGGAGTGCAGGGAATCGCCCTCGATGAAGGGTGCCTTGAGCGAGGAGGCCAGCGAGGCAGCGAGCGTAGACTTGCCGCTGCCACAGGGGCCTGCGACCATGACGACCGTCTTGGCGGATCCCTGGCTATTCTTCACCCAGTGGTTGGCCTTGAAGTACTTGACAAAGTTATCGACCAGCTGCTGGTCCAACACGGGCGCCTGAGCGAGCGCGGGCGAGAGGGAGCAGGCGTTGTCGGTGACATATGTCTTGGACGGCGAGAATTCGTCCTTGTCGTATTTGGACGCGAAGAAGTGGACGAGCTTGATGGGAGGGTTGACGGCGGGATCTGGGTTCGAGACGCGCAGGCGCCGGATCCACTCCTTGGGCTCGACTTCTTCAAACTCCAGGCCCGCGGCCTTGAGGGCGGGAAGGAGATCGTCGGTCCAGCTGAACATCTTGGGGTTCGCGACATTGGCGAAGACGCCGTCGGCGTCGGAGAGGGAGATGTCGATGACGCCCTGCGCGACGGTGTCTACGGGCAGCCACGAAGGGGTCTCCTGGAGCTTGGGGAGGGCTCCGACGGTGATGGCTGTCTGGAGCATGAGGGGGATGGCTTCCGTCGCGTTCCAGACGCCGTGTTGGGTGTCTGCGACAATCTGGCCGATGCGCAGGACGCGGGACCTGATTCCGGCCTTGGTTGCCTTGGCGCAGATGTGCTCGGCGACGACCTTGGATTGGGCATAACCCATACCCTGAGCCCACGCCAGATCGGGGACGGACTCGGGGACGGGAAGCGTCGTAGCGCGCGCGACGGTGCTCACAGACGAGCAGAAGTTGAAAGAGGCGGGGGTTGAAGCTCCGGTCTCGACGTCGCCGGCTGCCTTGCACAGGGCGATGAGATGGTTGACGCCCGCAATGTTGCCCTGTTCGAAACTCGAGAGGCGCATGTTGAAGTTGACGGACCACGCGGCGTGGATGACAAGGCGGAGATCCTTCTTGACCTGGCGGTACGCTTCCTCGGAGAGGCCGAGCTTGGAGTCGGCGAGGTCGGTGGCCAGCGCGACCAGCTTTCTGCGGGATGAAGCCGGCAGCGAGTGGTAAAGTCTACGCCGGATGAGGGAGCTCTTGACGCGACGGGCTGCGTCGGCGTCGGAGCTGGCGCGAGTGAGACAATAGATGGCCTTAATGTTCGGGTCGGCTGCAAGCTTCGTGACAATATGGGCACCCAGGGAGCCAGTTGCGCCGGTGACGGCCTACGGAAAGTTAGTCATGGGACGCGAGTGTGATGTTGCAAGAGGCTAACTCACAACAGATGATCTAAGAGCCGACTCGGTAGGACCGAAGTTGCTGTACTTGTCAATGAGGTCTTGCATCTCGCTCTCGACGGGAGCATTGGCCTGAATGCCCTCTCCAGTGCCAAGGCTGTAGAGGTAAGCGCTCAGCTTGTTGATGGAGGGGTGATCGAACACGACAGTCTGCCCGAGCTTGTGAACGCCAATATCAATTGTCTTGAGGATATCAGAACGCATCTGGATAGCCTGCAGGGAATCGAGACCCAGTGAGAAGAAGTCGGTATCGTCATCCAGCTGGACCTTCTTGGAGAGCGTCTGGACGAGACCGTGGCGGATAAAGTCCTGGAGCTCCGGAACGCTGAACTTCTTTAGTTCGCCACTGGCTGCGTCCGCGTTGTCATAAATCTCGTCAATGTCCTTGGCGTATCGCTTGTAAAAGGCCTGGCGAATGACGCTGCCCTTGTCGGTCCGGGGGTACGCGCAGTCGTACGGAAGAAGCTTGATCATGTTCTTGGAGACGCGGGCATAGGCCTCGACGGACTTGCTCGCGCTCTCAACAACTGGCCACACAATCTCGAGGACCTCATCGTCGGTCTTGCCGGCCAAGGCCGCGGCCGGAACGATGAGAGCACCGAGAGACGGGCGGCCCACTCCAAAGATGACGCACTCGGTGATGTTCTTATTGGAGCGAATCGTGCCCTCCGTGTGGACGGGGTTGAACTTTTCGCCATTGACGAGCGTAATGGTGTCGTCGAGTCTGGCAATGTATTTCCACGCTTTGGGGATCGTCGGGTGAGGCTCGAACAGATCCTTCGTGCAGTACGACCCGTCCTCCTGGTTCGTGGCGACCTTTGCGGGCCAGCCGGGCAGGACGCAGCACTCGAACAGGTTCGGGCCGCGGGGAATCCAGTTGAGGTACGGTGTGAGCTTCTCGTGCTCGCGGACGTAGTTCCAGACCTTGTCGTTGGGCGGTCGGAAGGACGTCATCAGCTGCCCGACCTCGGTTGCCCCGTAGTGGCCGACCAGGTTGACGCCGTTGTTGACGAGCGTGTCGCCGAGGTCGTCGGGGCAGGCGGAGCCGCCGTACATGACGATCTTGAGCTGGCGGAGCAGGTTCATGCCCTCGTCTGTCTCTGCGAGGAGCTTCAGTGCGTATGGCACGCCGTAAAAGATTTCAAAGGTGTGCTTGCGCATGATGCTGGTGAGGTGCTCCCTGGTCAACGGGAGATCCGCGTTGTACAGGTGGATTGGTTTTCCGCAGTAGATAGCACGGTACAGGTTGCAGATGCCGTGGTTGTGATACAAAGGCAGCGTGATGAATGCCTTCATATTCATGGTGTTTGAGTAGTTGTGAATGGCCGACTTTTGCGTCTGGTAAATGGGCTTGGGCAAGCCAGTCGAGCCTGTGACCGTCAGCTGTGATCTGGAAGCAGATCACCACGTCTCACTTACCACTGGAATGAATGATGTAGATGAGGTTGTTGGTCTCAATTGAGAGGTCGCGGCCATAATCCAGACAGGTATCAGCGTGGACTTTGATGGGGAAGTCAAACTTCGGCTGGGCGGCAATCTCAAAGATGTCAAGATGAGGCAGAGTCTGCCTGGCACCCTCGGCTGTCTCGAGATACCTCTTGTCTGCCAGTAGGAACTTGGCACCGGTGACGCTAATTAGAGATTCGATTGCCTCCTGTGAGATTCTCGTTGACAAGAAGAGCGTCGTATGGCCCAGCTTAGTTAAGGCCAGCATAGTGACGAGGTAGTCAAAGTTGGAAGGGCCGAGGACGGCCACTGTTGTGGGCTTCTCATCCGAGGTAAGGCGGCTGGGGATGCGCTGCTCGTAAAACTTGGCAACGCGGTACGCAAAGACGTCGAGCTGCCTCATGGTGTAGTCGATGTATGTGATACCCGACGAGGGGTAAGACACAACGACTTTGTCAGGATAAGCCCGGGCGCGCCGGCGGACCAGCTCGTCCACAGTCTTGAGAGTAGAATCATCATCATCCAGGCCATGCACGGCGGCAGAGTCAACGAGGGGATTCGCGTCCAAGCTGGAGCTCGGGAGCGTTGCACTCGTGGGACCGTATACTGAGGGAGGACTCATCCTGGTTGACGTTGCAGGTGGTTCATCCAGTCGACGAATGTTGTCCGGATTGTTGAATCGACGAGCACCCTGTTTTTGTGCATGGCTCGATGTGCGGTTCAAGTGCCACCCTTTTGAGAGATGGAGGACGACTTCCCGAGACAGGCCCCACGGTCATTGTTCCGGCGCCGGTGATATGCGTTGCTCAACTTCCGCCATGTTGAAACCCTGCATGACGCCTCCGAGTGGAGAGGCGAGAAACAAACCTGGAGGAGGGTCTCCGTTGGTGGGGATGCATGAATCCGTTTCCCCGCTCATTGTTGGGGTAGTTTGACGGATTTAGAGACCTCCGCCAACGGGTTTGGACGGATTCGGCCGGGGTGTGGCTAGCTTGAAGGATAAGAATCCGTCAGTCTCATCTACGACTTCGGACGTGGTGATGGAGTCTTTCGGGAGCCACAAGTTTTGCTCGCAGTGTAAATGGCAGAGTGGGTGAAAACAGTTTATTATTATCTGCTTAGCCGGTTCATCACGTCATCTGTTTTGGCAAATCTTTTGATAAGGTACTTACTTACAGCTTAAATGTATATAATATTCTACTTGTTCACACATGTACCAGCCATGGATAACGCCATTAATCTCTGCACATACTCAAGATGCCTCTCACAACACACTTTACGCTCAACACTGGCGCAATGATCCCGGCCGTGGGATTCGGCACCTGGCAGGCCGGGCCGCACGAGGTTGAGCGTGCTGTTGAGACCGCCCTGCGCTCCGGCTACCGCCACATCGACTGCGCCGCCATCTACCGTAACGAGGCGGAAGTCGGCGAGGGCATTCGCAAGAGCGGCGTGCCGCGCTCAGAGATTTTTATCACGGGAAAGCTGTGGAACACCAAGCACGCGCCCGGAGATGTCGAGTCTGGAGTCGATAAGACGCTGAAGGACTTGGGAACGGATTACCTCGATTTGTTTCTGATGCATTGGCCAGTGTAAGTCACATCCTTTGCTCTGTTATGCAATTAAATTTTCAAGGACTTTGTTGATGGTGCAGTTAATGACCTGAAATCCAGAGCATTTAAGCCGTCGGAAAAATGGTTCCCCATTGACTCCAACGGCATCTTTGAGTTGGTCAATATCGACCCAGCAGAAACGTGGGCAGCCATGGAGAAGCTGGTCCAAAAGGGCAAAGTCCGCGCCATTGGTGTCTCCAACTTCACCAAGCAGCGCATCGAGGACCTCCTGGCAACGACCAAGACGGTGCCCGCCGTCAACCAGATCGAGGCGCACCCGTACCTTCAACAGCCGGACCTGCTGGACTTTTGCAAGTCAAAGGGCATCCAGCTGGCCGCCTACTCACCTCTCGGGAATAACCAGACGGGCGAGCCGAGGACGGTTGACGATCCCCTCGTCGGCGCGCTGGGCAAGAACCTCGGCATCGACGGCGGTCAGCTGCTTGCTTCTTGGGGTGTGCAGCGCGGCACTGTTGTTCTGCCCAAGAGCGTGACGCCCAGCCGGATTGAGTCCAACTTCAAGGTTCAGGAGCTGCCGGCGGATACGTTTGAGCAACTGAATGGGCTAGAGAGGAACAAGAGATTCAACTGGCAGACGAGATGGGGCTTTGATATTTTCCAGGAGCTGGGAGAAGAGGAAGTCAAGCGGGTGGCACAGGAGACGGGTCCTGAGAACTTGACAAAGTTCACCATCTAGAGAATAAAGATCAATGCAACATTATAGACTGGATTCAAACAATAAGTTCTAGCCTCCTATATCCGGCATCCAAGCCAGCGGGTTTGAATCAACGTCTAAGTATGGGCCAAAAGCAGAAGAGTCGAGGTCCAGCCAATCGGTCGTCTGCCACTCATCCAGCACATTAGACCCGAGAAACCCAGCGTCGCCGTGGTCCATTGGATCAACGGTACCGGATTCAGTAGCATACGCGTGGTTGAAGCCGAATCCACCTGCCGTCATGGAAGCTGCTTCGTTTCCCCCATTCGTTTGCGGGGGTGGCACATGGTTATATGCAGAGGACGCATCCAGTCGAGGTGCCAACGTCCGAGGCGCCTGCGAAGACACCTGAGCCTGCCGTGACACCTGACCGAGTCCCTCTGTCCTGAACTCTTCTAGAATGATGGCGTACCGGCGGCTCGGAGAGTTGGACGCCGTGGCGTGCGCGAGATGCGTCTGGCACCGCTCGGCCAAGTCCATGAGCTTGGTATGCTTGGCCTTGCCCTCGCCATCGAGCGTGACCCATCGCCTCTTCTGCTGAATGTCACAGACGTACGTCACCAGCAGGGCGCAGAAGGTAACGTACTGCGTCCACCAAAAGGCGTGGAAGATTGGGCCCTCGGCGGCCATGCCGTCGACGGTCTCGAGCACCGTCCTCGCCGCGCCGATGCACTCCACGATTTGCGTCTCGCTCCCGGAGCTCGGGTTTCCGAGGAGGAAGAGACGATTCGCGTGCATGATGGCGTGGGAGTAGGCCAGCTTGAGGACTGTGGCTTGGCGACGGAAGCTCGGGATCAGCATCGACGGGCGGATCGAACCCAGGTGAGGTGGGAGACTGGCACGCCAGTCGTGGATCTTCTCGCTGAGGCGATGTGCGGCGGCGACGCGTTCTTGTTCGGAGATGGCCTTTATTGAGTAGACTTCTCTTGACGTATTTCCGATGATTTGTGCAATCCTCTTGTATGTCAGCAATGCCAAGGCATGGTTAAAGATAGGGTGGCATGGGCCGTCACTCACTTGGCATGGAATATGAGTGCATCAATGTGACAGTCAGAATGCTCTTCTGATCTCTCAATGGGCCCTTGTGCAGCCATATCCTCGTCGGTGATCTTATCCGGGTAGTCTTGATCAATGTCATCATCATGGAAGTGGCGTGGACGACCAAATATGACGCCCAGATGGTTATCCAGAATATAGCTGGTCCAAAATGTCCGCATACGACACTGTGCCTGAATATAATCCGAGTTGCCCGGTGTTAAGTGTCGTTTCTTAGCCCCTTTCCTGTGCATACCCAGGGCAGATATGATCTGTAGCGCGTTTCCAAAGGTGTACCAGGCACGGTTCATCCGTGACGTGGTGAGGAGGTAGAGGACCTGAATCAGGCGTGACTGAGCTGATTCCAGCCGCGGGAGCCCCGTCTCACGTTCTGTGAGTTGCAGGGCAACGCAAAAGAGCTGGTCACCTCGAGCCAAGGATAGCGCCTCACCTTCCGGTGAATGCGACCCCTTTGACTTTTCATTGTGGGCAGTGGCAATGGCAAGCACCGTGAGGACGATGGATGCTCTAGCACGGCCAATGTCCTGCCAGACAGCTTTTCCGTGGCGGATGTTCGTGGTCATGGTCCTCAGCCATGCCTCGACGGAAGGGCGATGTAGGACGCGGTAGGTCGCGATGGACAAGTCAAAGTATAGAGCCAAAAGATCCTTGAGCTCTTCAGAGTCGGGCAGCGACAGGTTGGTCACGTCCTCGTCTGTTACAGGGGGTAGCGGCTTGTCGCCGGCTAGCATGAGTGGCTGGCCTTCGGTCGAGGCACTGAGCTCGTCCGGAACAATGTTACTCTCGTGTTTCGAGAGTCGCTTCCAGGCCCTATGCAAGAAGGTGACGCCGGACGTCGGGTCGAAGACTTGACCCTGGATCTCTGCTATCCCGAGTTCGGGCGAGGCCCGCGACCCTAGGCCCTGGCTCTCGCGCACATGTCCCCTCAACGAACGTGAAGGTGCCGCCGGAGCAGTGGCGTGTTCTCCTCCTCCCTCCCCTTCAGTCGTACGATACGCGACGACGGGCGGTTCCTCGGATCCGGACACGGCGTTGGACGCGGAAGACCAAACGGCCGAAGGCGGAGGCGTTGGGGGACGTCCTCGGGAGTACTTTGCATCGTAAACGCAAGTGAGCCCCTTTCCAGTACACTTGTCGCAGGGTATAGTCCCGCTGCACCTTGCCTTGCGCTGCTTGCAAAAGTCACACGCGCGGCTGACCTTTTGCAGCTTGCGGCGATTCGCGGCGGCGGCGGCAGCGGAGGACAAGGAGGGCCCCAGCCTAGCGGGCTCTTCGGATAGAGGCGAGTGCTGATCGGCGGCGGAGCTGAGGGTTCTCTTCCGGGAGCCTCCATGGGGACTGCTGGCGGCGGTGGTTGAAGTGGTTGATGAGGCGTGACTGACATTGGGAGCCGGGCCGGCCGGGCCGGGGAGAGGACGGCCGTACGCCGGGGCGTCCATGGCCGGAAACACACGGCGGACTTTGCAAGGGCCCGCCCACCCTTTGCTCCCTCTCTTTTGGTTCCCCTTTTGTTTTTCCTGTTTTGATTATTCTGCTTGCGCCATTGCCCAGGGGAGTGACGAAGATGCACGTACGCGGTATGCCGGCTTGTTGCGCACAGTGAAGGGCGGGTTACACTTTGGCAGGCGGAAATGGCAGGGAAGGATGAAAAGTCGGAAAAGGGAGAGAGATGGGCCAAGAACTGCAAAATCGACGGAAAACGGAGGGGTTTTGCCTGGGGAAAGACGAGGGGGGAGGCGGGGGCCGCTACAACGACCAGGGACAAGGGTCCTCATGCTGTGGGGGAAGCACTAAAGCACAAAGTCAGTCAGTCCCATTGCGTTGCTAGCAGCTGCGTATATGGTCGTGGCTACATACCCGGGGCTTGTAGATCCGATAGCGAGGCGGATTCATAGGATTTCTAGGGAACACATGGAAGTGAGCCGGGTTTCCCCGTCATCAGAAGACGCTTTCAGTAACTATCAGTATGATGTAAGAATCAAGGGAGCGGGTGAGTAGGTAAAACCTTGAGACACGCATTATCAGCTGTTGAGTTTCCGTGTCTGATTTCTTTGGCACGTCTTCCGATTCACAAGATAACATCTGTATGAGGTTTGAAGCATAACACAACAGTCCTATACAACTCACCATTGCTGGTCAAGAGGTTTTCAATAGTCAAGGGTCAGGGATTTCGCCGGGATATCTCGGCATGTGCTAAGAGCGGGTTAGTTGTTGGACATCAGACTTTAAAGGCGTAGCAGCTGGAGATTGCTCATGTACCTTGGCAGGCACCTGGAGAGAGACGGAAAGCTTGCACCAGAAAGAATTGCTGTTCATTATCGGCATTAACAGTTGTTACTTTATGTGCCGGGGAAAATTAACAAGTGTCAAGAACCATCCTCGCGCGCCGCACCCATCGTGTCCTCCACAACCATCGACTAACTAACCACCGAGGCTCAGTGGAATGCCTCTCTGTTAAGATAGTCCGTGGTGCGTCGTCCCCTAGCGAGGGACCTCTCACAAAGAGCCCCTTACAGAGTGTACTTGAAGTAAGGGCTCTTGTCGCCCAAGTCCATAAGCTGCTGCTCCGTATACTTTGCCCGAATTTCATCCTCCGACATCTCGGCCTTCTTGGCATTCCCCCACTTGTAGCTCATCTCCAGCAGCAGTGCGACAATCAACCCACTGCCGCCAAACGCCAACGACAGGCCAAAACCGGTGTAGTACTTTGGCTTCTCGCTGTCGAGGTACATGTAGCTGCCAATGATGCCGCCAATATTGCCCACGCAGATATTAAAGGCTACGCCGATGGCGCGGCGCGACGCCGGGGCCAAATTGTTCGCCGCCCACGAGGAGCCCGCGGGCTGGATGGGGTAGATACCCATGCAGGTGATGATGACGCCGACCATGGCGCCGGCAATGTTGCCAGACAGGTCGCCCTTGAAGGAGATGATGACGCCGTAGCCAATAGTGATGAGGCCCATCGGGATCGCGACGAAGGGCATGCGCCAGTAGAATCGGTCCGAGAGGCGGGCAAAGAAGACTGCGGATGCGGCGCCGCAAAAGTACGGCGGGACCGTCATGAGCTGCGCGGCCGTGTTGTTGAAGCCCATGGCCTTGGTGATGGTCGGCAGCGTGAATTTGGTGCCGTAGCTGCAGGCCGACGTCGCCAGGAGCGCCCACGCCTGCATGTAAAGCCGCCAGTTGGTGACGACGGCCTGTAGGTCGTGCCACTTGAACTTGTCCTCCTGCTTCTCGTCCTGGAAGCGGCCGCCCTGCTTGATGAAGTGCTGGATCTCGAGGAAGCGGATCTCGTCGGGGGTGAGCCACTTGCCGCTGAGCGAGGGCCGGTCGATGAGGAAGAAGAAGGTGGCGATGCCGAGGCCGATGGTGAAGATGCCCTCGAGGATGAAGATCCAGCGCCAGCCCTCGTAGCCACCTACGCCGTCCATCTTCGCGATTGCGGCTGCCAAGAGACCGGAGAAGGCGCCCGAGAGAGCGGATGTGCAATAGAACCAGGCGATACGAGCAGCCAGGTCGCGCCTAGGTTGGCCGTCAGTAAAGTTCGTTTTGGGAGAAAATAGAAATGATGATGGTTTACTTACGGCAAATACCAGAACGTGCAAAGGTAAACAGCACCAGGGTAGAAGCCGGCCTCAAAGACGCCGAGGAGCAAGCGGACGCTGAGAAGGCCGGCAAAGTCGCGAACGACGCCGTGGCAGGTCATGATGACGCCCCATATCGTCACGAGGGTGCCGAGGTAGACGGATGGACGGGTGAATTTCTTAAGGATAATGTTGCTAGGGACCTCTGAACGCAAGTTAGTAACGTGTCCAAAAGAAATGGATACATTTGCATAGCCTGAGTTGAATAGAGTGGGAAGTACCAAGAAGGACGTAGGGAACAAAGAACAGACTGAGGGCAATGTTCCACTGCACCCCGTTGAGCTGCAAGTCCTCGGCTAGACCCTCAATCTTGGCGTTGCCAATGTTGGCGCGGTCGAGGTGGGAGATGAGATAGAGAATCGCCAGCATTGGAACCAGGCGGACGTCGACCTTTTCTCAATAATTAGTAGCCGACTCTACTATTTTATCGAGCTATCACCATGTCTCTGGGATAAGAGAACCCTGAAAGGCACTCACCTTGCGAATTGTCGTCTTGCGCTGCTCCGGCGTAAAGTTGGCATAGAACTCGGCATCATCTTCGCTAAGGCCTAGGACGCGAACATCGTCGATTATGCGCACCGCGGGTGCCTTCTCTGAATCGTAACGGGCATCGTCTTCCCTGTCGTCGACAAAAGAGATTTCAGGCTTGTCCGTTGTTGACATTTCGAAAAGGCGTGTTTCCCTTTCGACTGTTTGATGCTTGCTAGCTAAAAGTCTTCAAGTCTTTGCCCGTTTTGGCCCTGCCGTCGGCGGTATGCGATATGTCACACTTGACACTTCGAGAAGAAGAGAAATGAAACTGGAAGGAATTGAGGTTAGAAGAGGAGGATAGAGGGGGAAGAGGGAAGAAAAGGTGCTCCTGGCCTAGAGAGAAGAGGAGGAAGAGGAGGACCTGTAAGAGTGAATCATCACCTTGAGATACACGCTCATATGTAAGTATCGAACATCTAGACGTAGTTTGGACTAATGGAGGCCCCAAGACGAGCATATCAGCCGGGAAAACCAGGTACAGACTTGATATCCGCGTTGTTGGATCCTCCCAAAAAGACGCCTGCTTATCTCCTCGACCTACGAACTTGCCTCTTGGCTCGGCTCATACCTCCAACTCCCTCTCTTTTACTATCTCTTGCCCTATTCGTCCTTGCTAGCCTGCCTCTAGAGCCCGTCATGGCTCATGTATGTGGGGTCCCCGCAATCGCGGAGACCCGGCCGCTGTGGATGTTTACCCATTAGACGACGTAGATTGCGTGAGTGGGTTGCAGTATGAGGGAAGGTTTGCATATGCTGGCTGGTGGGATGGGCTGGTTATCCGTCAACAGTGACGGATTTCCAAAAAGGCAAAGGGGGCGCCAATTTTTGTCGAAGGTTGCTGGTATCTGCAATGCAATGGAAAAGACGGATTTGGATCCACTTGGGCGATCGAGGGTCCCTAAGCCGTGTCTCTAGGATGACGGACTGTACTTTTATTTTTTTTGTTGGTCTATAATCCTAGTAGCACGTAGTAGACATGACTTCAACATGTCCAAATCGTTCTGTTTCGGGTCATCGGAGGGATGACAGGGAAGCTAACGTTACCGACAGAGAGGATAAGCCAACGGGCTTGCCAACCATCTAACAATGACAATCCCAGAGTCTCGGTCAATGTCCCTGTCAAAAAGCTTTGCCGGCTCACGCAAGCACAACAGGTAACACACAGACAGACAGCCAGCAGTTGGAGGCTGCGGAGAATAAACCAGCCAACCAGCCACTGGATGAAGGTTGCTTAAACCCCAAAATCCCCAACTGGATCTAAGATCCAACCCCTTCCTCTCCTCATGTACCGCACCAAACTGCCCCAGGATCGAATCCTCCCGTCTTCTCCCGTCCGCTGCCGCATATTCGTGCGACAGCCGCGGCCGCCGTCAGACGCCCTCGTGCGGAGAAGAGGTGATGCGGGGGAAGACGGACTTGGGAGATGATCAAACGGGGTGCTGACAATGTCGTATCATCTCCGGCGGGTTCAGTAATCCTATCAAATGTACTTGTACACACGAGAAGCAACCACGGGATCAGCCTGGTAAAGTGGATTAAGATTTTCATAGAGGTCATATACGTCGTCGAAATTAAATACATGCATTACAGCATTACGTTGTCGTCCATCATTTTCATGGCCAGAGACAAAGGTACGTTAACAATAGCCCCCCCCCTCATCAACCATCAGTCTACACCTGCACATCCTTCTCAGAGTGTGAGACACGAATCTGCTGGTGGTAGTTATGCATGGCCTTCTCGTCGACGGCGCCCTCCTCAAAGACGTCGACCGTGGTGCCCTCAAACTTGCGCGCGCTAATCTTGTGCTCAAAGAGCTTGTCCAGCTCAGCATAGGTGCGGCCGCGGGGTTCGGGGACGCGGAAGTAGGTGTACACGCAGCACAGGAAGCAGATGCCGCCCCAGAAGAAGCCCGTGTAGTTCTGCCAGTTCCACGCGCTTGGGTTCAGCATGTACGGCGTGAGGACGTTGTTGATGATTCCGACAATGTTGCTGCGGGGGGCAGTGAGGTTAGCGTGTGCCCAAGATTCGTATTTGGGACGATATCCGATTAAAACTTACTAGAGGTTGCGACCCAGGACGACAGTCTTGATCTGCAGACGACGCGATGGAAGCTCACTGACGAGAGAATAGCAGACGGTGCCGACGGTGAGCTGGTAGAAGAGGGCCCAGACCATCATGATGCTGCCCGTCGCGAGCGCGCCCTGGTCACGGTGTTCGGACGGCACGAGGCCCAGGAACCCTAGGATCATGAGCATGCTGCAGAGTCCGCAGAGCCCGTAGAGGTACAGCGTGCGACGGCCGATGCCCCACGACATGAGGAACCACGCGCCAAAGACGCCCACCATGTTGATAGCATACTGGCCGAGAGCGAAGTCGTACGAGTTTCTGGTGGAGAGGCCGGCCTGCTTGAGGAAGTATCTGCGTTGCATCCTGATGTCAGTCCGGCGCAACGATAACCCAAGCAAAGGGATTCCAAAAGAAAAAAAGACGGGAGAAACTTACGTAGAATAGTTGGAGAAAGAATTGCCGCTGAGGTTCTGAATAGCCCAAACCATGCACACAATCTCGGTACGGCGCAGATCGACGCCCTTGAAGCAGTCCATGTAGGTTGCGCCCTCGGTGATCTTCTCCTCAATTGAGTTGGTGTGCACCATCATGGCGACCGTTTCGTCAGCGTCGAAATCCGTCTCTTTGTCCCTGCTCGTCAGGCGCAGCAGCGACTTCTTGGCCTCGTCAATCTTGCCCTTGCGCACCAGCCACCAGGGCGACTCGGGCGCAAAGTAGATGCCAATGGCGAGGGGCACCGGCCACATCCACTGCAGAGCGTAGGGGATGCGGTACGCCCACTCATCGTTGCGGTCGAGCATGGAGACGATGACGCCGATGCCAATCTCCTGGCCCATACCCCAGCAGAAGTTGACATAGGTTGTCAGGTAGCCGCGCAGGGCGACGGGGCAGACTTCGGAGGCGTAGGTGATGCACAGCGTCTGGAAGACACCCCAGGGGATGCCGCAGAGGATCTCGGCGGCGAGCAGGGTCTGGACGTTTTGCGCGGTGAAGAAGATTGTGGTGAAGGCGGCGACGAGCAAAAGGCAGGCTATCACGGTCCACCTGTAGCCGAAGCGTTCCGAGATCCATCCGTTGATAAAGAGGCCGATGATCTCGCCGACGGTGGCACCGTTGCTGAGACCGGCCTGCCACGGCGCGGAGACCTGGTACGAGCCATCCGAGGTGAGGACGCCGTACTTTTGGTTGAATTGCGGAAAGGCGTAAAAGTTGCTGACGAGACTGATGTCGTAGCCCTCCATGGCGATGCAGGTGGAGATGAGGATGCTCCACGCAATGGCCTTGGGGTAGAGCTTGATGCCCTGGAGCAGAGTCATTTTGTGCTCCTTGTCCGTGGCGGCTTTGGCATTCTGGACAAAGTTGCTGGTGAGTTTGGCCGAGTGGTGGTCGCCGATCTCGGCCGAGACGCGGTCTGGGGCGGCGAGCACATCATCGTGCGCCGTTTTGGACTCCATCATGTGCGGTTTTGGGGAGCGTGGCTGGGCGGGGTTGCGATTGTTGTTGCTGTCCTCATCGAGAAATCGAATTCTCTCGAGCTTTCTGCGGCTATGCACACTATCGCGTGCTGCAAATGGAGAATTGCGCACGCAACGAGGGGGTCGTCGAGCGTTGCCAAGGCTGCGTTGGTGCGAAGAAAGAAAGAGAAAGAGAAGCGGCCGCGCTGGAGATGCTGCTTGCTGGGGAGGAGATCGTCAAGAGGTGGAGATGGAGGGGGGACCGCCAGAGTTATATAACAACAAAATATTCGCGCGCGACGAGACGAACGGTCTTGGTTTGTGGGACGATGGGAACGGCTTCGATAGGAAAACCCACAAAAGAAAGGGCTCGAATTTTTGACGAAGAGCGAAAGACTGGGGCCGGGGAGATGGGGGTTGACAGGATGTTGGATTTGATTTGTTCCGTCGGTATCGCGCGTCCTTTTCGTCACATCAACAAGGGCAATTTTCCGACAGTCGTCAGCTAATAAACGGTGAATCATGTGCCGAGGAGGCCAAGGACTGGTCAAAGTTGCCGAAGCCGTCGCAAGGCCTTCAAGTCATGGAAGAGAAAGGGGAGCTAGTCATTGGCAGATTGGCTCTCGTCGGCGAGGGGTGCCCGTTCATCAATCATCGTCGATGCTGGGGTAATTTGAACCTGTCGAGATAAGGTAAAGCGAGGTGACATTTCGGGGCCGCCAAACGGGGGTTGGCGTGTCATGACAGGGTGCTCCCATTGAGTTTGTCTGGGCAACTCTAGCGTAAGAGGGGAGTTTGAGCGTCGCCAAGTTGGTGGTCAGCTGAGCGACCGTTGAATCATGGGTTCCGTGCAGACCCAAGCCATCGGGAAGAAGTCCATGCTGTAAGGGAGGGCGGGGGAACGAAGTCCAGGTCCAGGTGAGCGAGAGTCAGGAGAGATAGAGTTCGAGCCAATGATGTGGGAGGGCGGAATGGGACAAACGAAAAGATAACTCTTTCAAGAGCGCCGGAGAACCAGAGGCCCGGGCACGACTGATTCCAAGAGCCCAGAAGAGCCAACAAGAGTCTTCAAGAATCTGTCGAGACTTGGTGGGGTAGGAAAAAGAGAGCGCTGGGGAGCCGTCGGAGAAGTTCGGCCATCGGCGTCTGCTGCCTCTTGAGACTGGCCAGCAGTGCCCAGAAGCTGGACATAACTGGAACAGAGACTGGATAGCATAAGAGGTCCCTGTGCCTGTGCCAAAAAGTGCCCAGGAACCGAGTGTGTGTGTGTGCGTGTCTGCGTGTCGGGTGGAGAGGTGTCGTCGGATGTGCTGCTGACCAACTGCCATCCCCACACACGTCAGTGGTCATCGCCCCGGACTCAAGCTTCAATTCTATTTCAGATCTGCTCAAAAATCAAGGGGTTCCCCCAGATCTTCTCCAGCTTCCCCGGGTTTCATTCATCTCATTGCAGCCTCACTGGGGGTTCGGAAAGAATTGCAAGTGGCACAATTGCCATGCCGTCTCCCGAAGCGCCTGATTCGTTGAGCGCGACGACCTGGTGAGTGAGACTTTGCTGATCCACCCGAGGAGGGGCGGGCCTCTCGGGGAAAAACGCCTGTTTTGGAGGAGGCCATTCGCACCGACGGCTACACGGACGGCGCCGCCGCTCACTCGCGCCCGGGGGTGTTGGGCAGAATGTGGGCGATGAGGCTCTCACCTGGACGGCAAGGTGAAGCTCGGGGCCATCGTTGTCGCCGTTGTCGAAGACTGAGGTAGTCAGTTGCGGTGGCCATGGACTGAGTCTGAGAGAGTGAGAGAGACCCATGCTGAAAGAGAGAGAGAGAGAGACAGAGAGAGAGAGCGAGGGAGAGCGAGGGAATGTGCAAAAAGCCATGACCGGGAGCGAGTTTGCTGACTGGTGTTTTCGCGTGCAGCGAGCAGTGTCGCGAGCAGCACCTGCGATGTGATCGATTGCTGCCCACATGCGGGCGGTGCCTGATGACGGGGCGAGAGTGCAAAAAGGGCTACAAGTTTCGTAACCCCAAGCACGCCGTCTTTAGAGAGAGCCACAAGTGGCCCGCGCCGCCCAAGAAGCTCAAGTTCATCGACGAGACGCGGGGCGTGGAGCTCGGTGAGGACCTGGACAGCAGCGAGTCCGTACACGACTCGGCGCCGGAAGTCGACGAAGCAGAGGCAGAAGCAGCGTCCACGTCGCCGGAGACGGCCACCGTTGTGGACTCGACGGTCTCGGAAGAGCAGCTTCGGCCGTCAATATACGCGGCAAAGGCGGCGAGCTGGCCTCTGTCCGGCGATGAGGGCCGCCGCGACAGCAAAGGCGGTAACGACGGCTGCGATGTGGTTGACGAGACTGTTCAACCGCCACAACGAGCATCGTTGAGCACTCCTGGCGCCGACCACCACAGCCAGCACAGCAGCCATCGCGAGCACTCTGGCTCTGTCGTGAGTCTGCCGCCCATGCAGTCCGTGCTGCCGCCGTTAGAAGGTATATATACCGATCGACCGATATGGCCCATCCACGGGCGGAAAGAAGCCACGCTCTTCCGTCATTACGTGGAAAAACTCGGGTTTTGGGTACGTTGAAGTCATTGAAGATCGAAGAAAGCTCGGGCTAGCTTGCTTGATGGAGCGGCAGCGAAGAAACCATACTGACTGGATATATAGCTGGACTTGTGCGACCCCGCCAGGCATTTTGAGGTCGAAGTGCCGCAGCGGTCCGGCTCGTGTCCCATCTTGCTCAACGCCATCTTCGCCCTCGCCTCGAGGCATCTGAGCCTGACGAGCGCGTACGACTCCCTAGCGTCGAACCGGTATCACGAGCAGTGCCTCAACTACCTGATCCCGCTGCTGGACCACGCAGGAACTGTATCGGACGAGAACTTGTTTGCGGCAACAATCATACTTCGCGTCCTGGAAGAAATCGACGTAAACACCCTCGGCCAAGACACGCATGGCCACCTCCTCGGGATTCACGCCTTTGTCAATGCTGGAGACCGCTTTCTGATGCCGGGAACTCTAACGGCGGCATGCTTCTGGGCGGGGCTGAGGCAGGAGATCTACAGCGCCGTTATCAACCAGCAAGTGGTGCGAATGAACCTCGGTCATGCCATTGTCGACCGATCGACGACCCCGGGCGATGACTTTGTCTGGGCGAATCGTGCCATTGTCCACTGCGCCGACGTCCTCAACTTCTGCTTCGGGTCCGAGGCGGGGTCGGTGCTGCAATGGGGCCAGCTGGAAATGGCAAACAGAGAGTGGAAGAATGCGCTACCGCCCTCTTACACTCCCATCTTCTTCCGAGAGAGGACAGATGAGGAGGCTTTCCCCGAAGTGTGGTACCAGAAGGCGTGTCATAGTGAGTATACCCCTAGCCCTGGCTTGGTTTGCTTTGGCCTGGCCTGATCTCGGAACTGATTCCGGACATTGAGGATCTCATGGAGATCCGATGATCCGTTTGCCCCATGATCCGAAAGGCTCATAGCTGCTCACCATGATTCTCGTGCGTACTAACCACCACTCGGTAGTCATCGCCGTCCAGCATCACATTCTAGCCGAAATGTACCTCGTGTTGTTCAATCCGAGCATACCACGAGTGGGTGGCGGTCGTAAAGCCGCGGAGAAACGGTTGACCGAGCAGATTCAGAATCTATTGCGGAGTCTTTGTGGAATTGGCATGTGTAACCAGTGGTCACCACCGGCCATGTTCACGGCGTGTATGGGGATAGCTATTGGTAAGTTTCGTTTTCCCTCCCTCTTGCTTCTTCATTCGTTGCTTTTTCCCCATTTCTGCAGCTTTCAAAATTGGTATGCTGACCAGGCCTTGCTTGCCCTCTCTCCAGCCGGTGATCGATTCGACATCAGACACGATCAGGAAGCTTTGTTGAAGATGCTCAGCATCACCGAAAAGGCGCACGCAAGACCCACGACAGCGGTGCGGGATCAGCTGATGCAGGCATGGGGGTGGATGGACGGGGAGGCAATGAGCGAGGATCGATGAGCGCGATGTAGGCCGCAGAAGCCGAAGGGAGGCGGGGTTCAGAGACACGCGTAGGCGAAGTGGACTGGCAGGCCTGTCGTCGAAAAGACGTTTGATCAAGGCCTACGTGATTGGATTACGATAAGTCCTGCTGGCGAGACACACGAGAGGGGTCGCCTCTCACCAGGATTGGATATGGATCACGATAGACTCGGTGCATGGGGCTGGACTGAACACGTCCTCCGGACTTGGATTTCGCTCGGTTTACGATCTGTGAATACCCGACTTGATAGTGTAGATGCCGTGTTTGTGGCGGCGGGATCTGGCTGGCTTGGCTTGGCTGGGACAGTAGCATGCGATCCAGGCTGAAAGCAATCGGACACATTTCGCGATTCCATTTCGTTGGTTCCACATGGTCCGCGGCTTGCTGGCAACTTTGATATCGCGGACGCCTGATGCTGAACTTGGTAATGCTCACGGGCTCCCCGCAGACGGCGTTCCATTTGGAAGAGCGTCGTGTATGCCTGATGGTCTGAGCTTGAAACTGGCAGCTGCCGTGGCATGCTGGAACACGTAGGGACCATCCAGATCCCGCGGGGTTGCTTGGGAAGCATGGGTAAGCCAGCAGCTCGTGGCCAAGATTGATGTCAGACCTGTTCGTTCTGGGCGAATCGAAGGCCCCGAAGCCAAGAATCTCGGGAGAAGGCCGGGACGCAGTGGACGGTGAGGGGAGGTCTAGCAAGGGACCCCCCTCTGGCATCTGTACTATATCCAATCAGTGGGAGGCCATTACTTTAAACAGAGACGAACCCGCGGGGATGGAGACGTCCTGCATTGAGCGGGAATGGCGTCGGTTGGCGTTGGCAAGGGGCGTCGAGCTCTGGGTGGCAGCCAAGTGCCAAAAGAGGAAATAATCAAAAATAGTTTGCAAATCCCATGGTGAAGGCGGCGGGGCCAGAGGCGTTCGAGGTACGGATGTGACCAGGGGAAAAGGGTTTAAGCTTTGCCGCCGGAAGAAACCAAGAGTGGCAGAGACGCAGGGTGCCGTCACGTTGCAACGTTTCTGGCCATCCAGGGATGCGCTTGGCGTGGAGTCGTAGAGTTGGCAAGCGGTATGAAGATGAAGGTGTGGAAGAAGCGTTGGACTAACAAGGATGGCCACCGTGGATCTCGGGATTCTTTGCCGTTGTTGGAGAGAGTCGCTCAGAGGTAAAAGTCTGGAAATTCCGACGACTTGCACGACTCTCCAGTGTGTCCCAATCAGGACTAGGCGATAGGTCACAGAGTCATGGGAGATCATGTGACCGGGACTAATAGCCCTTTTGGACCCGACCTTGACCGGGTGGGTCCATCTGCCCAAATTGGTGGGCCCCCTCCCAGAAAGAATTCGGCGATTTTCTCCTCTTCCCACGGTGCAAAACCTGGAATCCCCTCACTCATCCCATCGCAATGTCGCAACTTTCCAAAGCTCTCCACAGATCTGAACTCTCGCCCCGTCTTTCCTGCTCCATCTGGATAACAACCACCCTCCACGGGGCACACTCTGCACAAGTAAGACAAGGCCATGTGGATGACGACCGTGACGGCAAAACGTCAATTCGGGCTGCTTGTCCAAGTTAGCATTTGCCCACGCCCGGCGCTGCCATGACGAGGTACCTCGCCGGCATACCGCGCCTGGCGGGCGACAACAAGTTCCTCGCCATGTCCGAGTTTTTCCCCGTCCTACTCCTCCATCACCTTCCCGCCCTCCATGACCATCTGGTGTGGTCTCGTCTTCAACAACATATTTAAAGACTGTCTCCAGAGATTTGTCTCTGGTCTTCTTGCTCATCATCATACCAGTCTCTAGCATTCGAGTGATACCCCTTGAAAGAACAGCCATCGTCTCTTTTGCAATATAGAGCGTAATCCCTCCAAGACCTCTTGTACCAAATTTTCTTTTTTGACTTCTTGAATTACCGTCACAATGGCAGCTGCTGTCGCCGCCCCTTACATCCGGACCGACGGTCACGCCCTCGAAGAGACCACTGACTTTGTCGAGGAGGTCAACATCCTCAAAGACCAGTACAACAAGGCACAGGAGGACTACGAAGGCGAGTCCAGGTTCGACCAAGACAAGGACAAGACCGCCTTCCGCCAGTACGAGGATGCTTGCGATCGCGTCAAGACCTTTTACAAGGAGCAGCATGAGAAGCAGACTGTCGAGTACAACCTCGCTGCCCGCGAGAAGTTTGCCATCGACCTCACCGGCAAGAAGCCCTGCCGCGATGAGATGACCATCTGGGAGGCCATGGAGAAGCTCAACACCCTCATCGACAACTCGGACCCCGACACCGAGCTGTCCCAGATCCAGCACTTGCTCCAGACCGCCGAGGCTATGCGCCGTGACGGCAAGCCCCGCTGGATGCAGCTCACCGGCCTGATCCACGATCTCGGCAAGCTCCTCTTCTTCTACGGTGCCGAGGGCCAGTGGGATGTTGTCGGCGACACCTTCCCCGTCGGATGCGCCTTTGACAACCGCATCGTCCTCCCCACCACCTTTGAGGGCAACCCCGACAACACTCACCCCGTCTACAGCACCAAGAACGGCATCTACAAACCCGGCTGCGGTATCGAGAACCTGATGATCTCTTGGGGTCACGACGAGTACATGTACACCGTCTGCAAAGAGCAGTCCAAGCTTCCCCGTGAGGCCCTCGCTATGATCCGCTACCACTCCTTCTACCCCTGGCACCGTGAGGGCGCCTACCGCGAGTTCATGAAGGAGGGTGATGAGGACCTCCTCAAGGCTGTCCTTGCTTTCAACCCCTACGATTTGTACAGCAAGTCCGATGACGCCCCCACCGTTGAGGAGCTCAAGGTACGTCTTTCAGGATTACCAGACATTGACCTGATCATGAGACTAACAGTTTGACAGCCCTACTACATGGAGCTCATTGATGAGTACTTCCCCTCCAAGGTTATCAAATGGTAGAGACACCCTTCTAGTTTGTCATGTTACGACCGGTACGAAATGAGATGGGACTTTTTTGGCATATACGCCCTGGGGCACTGTTTTCGTCGCCAGAGGCAAGGCGTTTTAACGGGATATTTGACGGATACATCAGAGCGGTCTTTGTGTGCGAATGAGATCAAAAACAAGGCCAAGAGAAGCCTTCGCGAGTCACCCAAGAGTACTCGAGGTCAAGGAGTTTAGATTTTCATTTTTAGACTAGCGCCCCGAAGAAATTATTGCAGCGCAAGAACATTTGACCCTTATGACAATTGACCCTCGCCTGCTGACGTGAGCCAAGGAGTGTCCACTTTCATTTAATCGAGATGCGTTTAATACAGTCTCACCTCATGCCACGATGCCACGCGCTGTAGTTCTTGCACATGTCTGATCTTACCCACGCCATTGGACGCATCGCTTGGTTGTAGTCTTTTCCGATGCTGCGGGATGCATGATTCAAGAAACGGTTGTCTCATTTTTGAGTCAAAAAACTTCCTTTAACCCGTCCATGTGCAAGTAGTGGCTTGGCTATTTCCATCGCCATCTCTCCGTCCATTCAGCCAGGGATCTGCTTCAACGATCACGTCCCCCTGTCTCTCACAGCCTGTGACCATGTCCCGAATTTTCTCTTGACATGTATGAGCAGCGGCGTCGTAACAGCGCACGAATCGAATGACGGCGTCGGATTACGTGAAGTGGAGATGGCAAAAGACTTCTTCTCTCCTCCAAAGCCACAACCATATTACCCGAGCCTATCAGAGATTACCGGAAGCCCGGTGTTTGTGCGGGTCGGGGAGATCCACAGTGCCGGAAGCAGATCCACTCGCGGAGCCGAATTCCGCACTTGTTCCATTTTGCCATGGCCGGATTACTGAGAGGGAGGCAGCAGATGGCGCTGAATTGCTCGAGCTCAGTTTGATCTTTTTTTTTTTTCGAGCGCAGCAATGTTTGAAAATTATGTAACCCTAAGACAGAGCTAATTTGGGCTGTGCAGGCCTCTCTCACACATGTGCCACATGCATGTTACTGCGAGCTTTCCACTATCTGAGGCCAATTTCCTTCTGCCCTGATGACTGGGGCAGAATCGTGCACTTACCAACGACCCACAAGCGGCATCCACAAGCACACAAAACGAAAGACATCTTGAATCACGGATAACGATACACAGATTCACAACCCTAATGAACTGCTTGTATGGCAGTCCCGAACATCAATCATTACCCATCATCAAGCACAATAGCTCAGGGGTAGAGCGCTGGGCTCATAACCCAGAGGTCCCTGGATCGAAACCAGGTTGTGCTATCCTTCCTTTTGATTTTTTTGCCTTTTTATCTCTTGGGTCTCAAGTGTTCCTGCGCTCTCTCTATACTACGCTCACTCGGTCCATATCAAGGGCCTTTTCAAAGTGCTAACCTCTCTATGTCTGTTCTCATCAAAATGATGCCATCACTGACCATGCTTCGACTCTTTTGACGATTCGTAAAACTCTTGACCTGAAGGCCTTAGAACACAAGTGTACCTTGTCTCCTCAAACTTTCTGCGTTGGCTGTTGCACCACCACTGACCGTCCTCCAGCCCTTCCGGGGGTTCATCTCATGTCTCCATCTAGCCAAGGACAGGCATTCAATAGTCATCTCCCAGAGAGTGAAGTCTCTCGGACTCAAAAGAGACCCCCTCACTGACCTTGAAACAGGTACAAGCGTGGAATTGCTGGTAAATGGTGGTGTCGGGCCTCCTGCTTCATCTTTGCCTCCTTCTCGCCGACTTGGCGGTTCAACCCACTCTAGGTAGGCGCGCGCATCTTGGCTGCGGGTTCGACTTGATCTTTCGATATATTTGCCCGCTGCCGCCACAGTAAAATCTACAGTAAAGACACCGGAGACAGCGACGGGACTTTTCGGAATGTGTGCAACGCTCATCTTACGTGTGCCAGAAACACGGTTCACGCCAGATTTGACACCAGCACGTCTCTTGGCCGAGTACTCACAAAGAGTGGCGAGGGAAAGAATCGCTTACCCGTTTTATCGAACAGGGTCGTTTGAGTCGTTTGGTTCGATCCTCGGGCAGAAGATGAAATCCTTCAAAGTTTTCGATCCCTAACCTCAGCTGTCCTTCTCATACAACCGCACGGTCATTTTTTTAAACACCCATCAACCGCGCCACATGCGCCGACCGAGAGAGGCACTGTGCCCAGCTTCGAGCTTCAGCCTTCCAAGGTGATATGTTCGTGGGGGAAACAGAAGGACATAGCGGCGACATGTGCAGCTTGCCGCTTGCCGGTGGCCGAGCGCCAAATTGAATGTGGTGATTTTGATACAGGTATAGCCACACTGCTCAGACCTTTGCTGCCAAACGCAAGATACGCTTTGCTTACGCAGAGCCAAGACACGGCCGAAGACGACCGCTGCGTCAACGAATCGACACTATGGTCTGGAGAAGCGCATGAGGTCCTGAAGACAGAATCGCCACACGGGAAGACGGGTCTAGCTCGTGGCGAGTTTGGAAATCCCGGGGTAGGATCAACCGGCTAGCAATATCATACAGAGTTCACCTTTGAAGCGCATGATTTAACTACAGTCGAGATGTCGCGAAACATCCTACGGCGCTTAGAGGCGCCAGCTGAGGAAGGAATGTGGCTTTCACTCCTGATGAATCATCATGCAACAGGCTCCTCCGTCTCAGCAGACGCGGCTGTCTTCTTCTGATGCCGATATACCCTTGGTTACAACGGGAAGTCATACGAACCCGAAAGCCGCCCGAGAGCTGCATGGTGGCGGCCGTACTCAACCCCCCCATACTGCCTCACAACGAAGATTGCCTCTCGCCTTGCAGCCTAACCCTAGTCTGAACTGGCCCTTCGCATACTCAGCACAAGGGGCGGGCCATGGTTCCGGCGGCCGGGTAGAAGCGAACATACAGAGTTACCCACTCGGGCTTCTTCTGACACTCGTGATAACCGCCCATTAGGGCGGCGGAAACGAAAACGCTTGGTACCGGGACCGACTGTCGGGACCACCACCGCAGCAACCACACGCTCACTCCCACTCAGACTGTTTGGAACATCATCTCATCTTGCCTCTCTCAGCCCAAAGATATTGAAACTAACCCGCCGTCTTGGTCGCCGTCTTGGTATAAAGATCTCTGGTTGGTACGTGGGGCGTATAAACGAGCTCCTCCTCCTGCGGCGCAAAATCCACCAGTTCCTTTCGCAACGCTCGACCGAAAAGGCTAGATCACGGTTCATTCCCGAACGACAGCACCGTGCTTTTTTTTTTGAGGTTAATCGCGCGGTGGCCATATTCCAGAGGTTTCCCACCTTATCTAAAGGTTGGGTCGACCGTTGAGGTTTAGATTCTGGAAGTTCTCGTCACTGGTTCGCTTCCATCTCTTTTTCTTTCGTTGTACCGAAGAACGTAAGAGGTTGTTATTCAAGGATCAATACTGAGTGGTTGAGGTAAGTGGTCTTAACTTGAAGCCTGTTCCCGTGTTAAAAAATGTTGTTCGTATATTGACTTCTATAACAGGGTACTTCAACCAACAATCATACTCGGATAGCCCTTGCCGTACGCCCGAGGTAACAATCGCCAAGATGAGGTCGACTCTCTCTAATAGCGTGCTCTTCTTCCTCTACGGCCTTGCAGCAGCCGTCCCCTCGCCTGCTTCCAACACTGGCGTCTCAAGGAGACAAGACAGCGCGCAACCTAGCCAGTCAAGCCCCGCGGACTCCAACCAGGGCGCCAAGTCTTGCAATACCCCCGATAACAGACAGTGCTGGGTCGAGGGATTTGATATCAATACTGCTTATGAGGAGACTATCCCGGACACTGGGGTGACCAGAGAGGTTGGTTGGCGCAATGGCAATGAGGATCTACCTCGGCACTGACAACTTGTGTAGTATGATTTGGTTCTCACCGAGCACACAACTTTCACAGGCCAAGATGGCATGGCTAAGAACACTGCGATGTTGATCAATGGTAAGCTAATGTATCTCTCATATGCTTCAGGATCTTGCTCTGATGCATAGATCCACAGGTGGCTTCCCTGGCCCCAACATCCAGGCAAATTGGGGTGATAATATCAAGGTCAGAGTCGTGAACAACTTGAGGACGAACGGGTGAGTAACAACAGCCACAATCATGCCTGTAGATGTCTCTTGGATCTCCAATCACTAATACTACCACAGCACCTCAATGCATTGGCACGGCGTGAGACAATTGAACAACAACGTGAACGATGGCGTTAACGGTATCACCGAGTGCCCCATCCCACCAGGAGCCAGCAAGACGTACGAGTGGCGTGCCGAGCAGTATGGCTCTTCATGGTACCACTCGCATTTCTCCGACCAGTACGCGAACGGTATTGCAGGTACCATTCAGATCGACGGCCCTACCTCCAAGAACTACGATGAGGACCTCGGTACCTACTCCATTACGGATTGGTACTACAAGTCCGCCGACGAGATCCGTTCCACCTTCACTGCCCCTGCCGCCGTCCCCGCCAGCGATAACATCCTCTTCAACGGCACCAACATCAACAAGAACGGCGGTGGCAATTACTCGCGTGTGACGCTGCAGAAGGGCAAGTCCCACAAGATCCGCCTCGTCAACATGTCCGTCGACAACACCTTTACTGTGTCCCTTGTCGGCCACAAGATGACCGTGACGGGAACCGACTTTGTGCCCGTTAAACCCTTTGACACGGATTCACTCTACCTGACCGTCGGTCAGCGCTACGACGTGATCATCGACGCTGACCAGGACGCCACCAAAGCGTATTGGTTCAACGTCTCGTTCCCGTCCAACAGACTTTGCGGGACGTCCAACATGAATAAGCCCGCGGCAATCTTCCAGTACGAGGGTGCGGCAAGTGGTCTCATGCCCAAGGATGCCGGCAAGGCGCCCACCGATGCCCAGTGTCAAGATAAGACGGATTACGAGCCCATCTACAGCGTCGACGTCAACTCCACATCCTTCTCCAAGACTCAGGACGATACTCTTGACATCACTGTGGATACTAGCAGGACGACTGGTACACAACAAGTTTTCTGGAAGGTCAACGGCCAGAACATGGACATCGACTGGGACCAGCCGACGCTGTCGTACCTCGCCAAGAACAGTAGCGACTACCCCGACCAGTACAACGTCTTTGAGATCCCCAGCGACAACACTGTAAGTTTCCCCAAGACCACGAAGCAGGAAATTCGTTAGCTGACAAAAGAATCGCAGTGGGCGTTCTGGGTCGTTGAGAACTTGTTCCCCGCCCCTCACCCTATGCATCTGCACGGCCACGATTTCTACATTCTGGGCCACTCCGAGCCGGCCTCCAGCGGTCGCGGCGACGGTGTCCGCTTCAACGCGCAGACCGACACCTCCAAGCTCAATTTCAAGAACCCGACTAGACGCGACGTCACCACTCTGCCCGGCAGAGGCTGGCTCGTGGTCGCCTTCAAGACGGATAATCCCGGCGCGTGGCTCTTCCATTGCCACATTGCGTGGCACGTCAGCCAGGGTCTGAGTGTCCAGTTCCTCGAGCAAACCGAAAATATCCTCAGCACTGTCAAGACTAAGGATATGGACGACATGTGTGACCAGTGGAACACGTACTCGAAGAAGGCTCCTTATGCCCAGAGCGATTCTGGTCTTCGTAAGTTGAAGATGTAAGGGCTCACAGGATTTCTTTCCATCATGAGGGTCACCAGAAGATTGTTGTTGACGTTTTGTTTAATCGTTTGTCTGTTGGGTTATTTGTGGGAAATTGAGTGGTGTTAGCGGTCGGAGCATGGTCATGACTGAAGGATAGGAGAAGCATTATAGATAGAAATAACATTCATGCTAATCACCGTCAACCATCATTAACTAAAGACATCTTCAAGTTCTTGATCATCATTGACAGAATCTCCGCTAGAAGCGGGCAAAGGTGGTAGTCCAACGTAAAAAGACATCATACTTATTCAGTCTGCCACGCTTTCGAGCGGGCAATCACACACACCCACGTCGCTTATGTTACCGAGTATTGCGGTCAATTGGAAGGGGATCTGGTTAATTCGAATCGATATGTTTCCACCGTAACAAACATTGAAGGTTCAGTTTGTGAAGTACAATCTAAACCAAAATCTAGATATTTACAAACGACCGACGCGAGCCGGGCTCTCAAAATTCCACTGCCTACACCAATGGGCCATCAATTCCGGTGTCACAGGCCCAGCAGAGCGCAGCGCCGGGCTACAAGCTGCCGTTCTCGTAGTATCATGCGTCCTAGTGTTTGGTATGTCCTCCCCTACAGTAGCAGTTTCTTTGTAGAAATCCACCAGCTTCAGGCCTGGGTTACGGTCGGCACCAAGCGCTCCATGCGCCGTGCGGCTTGCCTCCAACCTCTCAACCCATTCTTTGAAGCTGACGAGTTCAGGCAGTTTGTGCTTTCCATAGTACTGCTGAATGGCCGGGATCAGCTTACCAAACGTTGTGATGGACGGGTTGCTGCCGTGGAAGTATCCCTCGTGGTAGTCCCTCGACTCCTCGGTCAGGCCGCCAATATCCAGAATCGTTCTCGACATGATCTCCACCGGGACCCATGAGGTCGTATTCATGCCACACAGGTGTCTCGGCAACGCCTTGAGCACGAGACTGCTCGCGATGATGGAGGGTAGCCACTCTTGGCGACTCCACATGCCCCGGTCGGCGAGAGGCCCAGCAATCTGACCAACACGGATGATCGCCAGAGGGAAGTCACCGACCTTTGCGGCATCCTCGAGGACCAAGCTGGAGATGAGCTTGCCCTGGCCGTATCCGAGACCCGAAACAGCATATTCCCGCAAGGACTTCTCCGGCACGGGGCCGCGATTTGGGTGCCAGTTGGTGGTGGTACCGATGGTTGACACGAATATGATAAACACACGCTTATCCGTCGTGGCGGCGAAATCGGCCAGATTGCGACACCCTTTGATGTGCGGCTCGAAGGCGTCGAGAGGCATATTGAAGTTGACTGCCCAAGCATTGTGAACGATGCGATCCGTCTCTTTGAGCAAACGCGAGTAAACCTCTTGAGACAAACCCATATTAGGTTGTGACAGGTTGGTATGGAAGAATTCGACCTTGCCGCTCTTCTCTGGCTGTGCTAGACCACGTTCCTTCATGGCATTGGCCTGCTTTCCGGCACCACCGTCATTTGATCTGTTGAAGCAGATGATTTTCTTGATGTGCGGGTTGTGGATCAACTCATTGAGTAGGTAGCAGCCCATGTTCCCGGTCGATCCGGTGAGAATGACGGTCTGCTGCTCCTTCGCTGGCTCTGGGCGCCCAGGTTTGGCGTGAATCAGGTCCTTTGACATCTTCTGATACAGTCTGTCCATCGCTTTCAGGTTCTGACTGTCACCACTGGTAGCATCTCCTTCGGGCTTGCCCTTGCTAGATTGCAAAATGTGGCCGGCGAGCTGGTGGGGAGTTACGTGGGTGTACATATCGCGAGCCTCAATAGTTGTGCTGCTGTAGCGCTTATGAGTAGCCCGGAGACTCGCAGTGATAGAACGAGCGGCGGCAATGATTTGCAATGAGTCCATGCCAGCCGCGAAAAAGTCAACGTTGGACTCCAAGTGAGGAACACCCAGGTGCTCGCGGAGAAGCTTCTCGATCGACCTGCTGAGGGCGGCTTGGGACCCCAGGTCGAGGCGCGGCACTTTGAAGAGGGGAACCTCTCTCGGATTAGCGTAGAGCTCCTCAATCTCATCGGCGTAAAGCTTGATTGTCGCCGATCTCTTGAGGGTGCCCTTGTCTGCCATCAGGAAGGGCTTCGCCGGATTGGACACTGTGATCAAGTGCCGAACAATTCGACCGTGCGTTGCTTCAAGTTTCCGTGTCAGCACTATGTTGCCCCAAAGCGAGGGATGTATGTATTCGACTTCAGTTTGGGTATGTCAGTATACTTACCAATGGTCTCGTTAGCCTCGGCAACTTGCGGCATGACGCGTTCAATCAAGTCGTCAATCTCCTCGTCAGTCTTGGGCTGCACAAAAGGCTCGATAATCAAAGCTGGCTGAAATTTCTGAGTTCCCACGATGAGAGCAGCCTTCACATCAGGGTTTCCGGCAATGATTTCCTCCATCTTGACTGGGTTTAGTTTCTCGCCATTGGAGAGGTTGATGATGTTGTCGGCTCGGCCATGGAATTTCCAGTGATGCGGCAGCGACGGATGAGGCTTGTACAAGTCGCTGGTTGCGTACTCCTCTCTGTCGGGGAAGGTGTAGAAAATGCCTTGAACAGGAATTTGCTTCGACTTCCTAGTGATAATCATTTCATAAACGTCTTCGTCTGATGTTGCCTTTCGAAATTCGAGGCCAGAGAGTTCCTCGTTGTAGATAAAGTATTGCCAGAGCTCCTGGTTCTTCTGGTGATAGATGCAGAAAGGTAGTGTCCTGGAAACTTCAGCATGAAAAGTTCGCTCGGTCGACAGCAGTGAAAACGTACTCAGTAGCACCGATAATGTTGAGCAAGGTCACGCCATTCCTGCATAGAATATCACCAGCCTCTTTGTTGAGAGGACCTAGAGTATCGTCAGCTGCCACGCCATACAAGATTTACTCACACAGATTGACACTCACCGCCGCCAAACCCAACAAAGTTCAGCCGCTTCAAGACCGCGATATGGTCAGGCCGAAGGCACATTTCCTCCAGAAGAGAAGGTAGCAGCGAAGCGCTCTTTGCACCTGTGGCCTGGAGAATCTCAATGGTGAGGTCGGGGGTAAGCGGACGGTCGGGGAAGGGGAAGACTATAGTTCTGTTGCTGAGAACTGCCGTCCCAATGAACCCATAAATACCTCCCGCATGGTAAAGCGGCACTGGTCTTGTAAGCCAAGCTCAAGCCGGTTGTTTCATCAGTTACCAGTACTCACTTGGGCTAAAATGTGTCTCTGCCAACGTCTCCATTGCTTTTGCAATGGGGATTGTGCCGTTCCACTCGGGGAACAGGTGCTGCGCATCCGTCAAAGCAATGGAGCCATGCTTCAAAACAATCGGCTTTGGAAGACCTGTACTACCGCTGGTGTGGAGGACAAGAAAAGGATCCCAGTCTGCTTCCGCTGCGGTTTTTGTGTATGGTACGTTCGGCACTTGCGGCTTTGACAAAATGTCGTGCAGAGGCTCGATTTCCACCTGCCGCATGTCCCAGTGTCGCACCCAAAAGTCGACAACTGACTGGTGTGATGGTGGGCGTGCCACCAACTGGCAATCGGACAATTTGAACAAGTTCAACTGTGCTTCGAGAGGGTTTCTGGGAGACACGAATAGGGCCTGTGTCGGAGAAGTAAGCGGGTATTTTTGAGGTTATAGAATTAGTTAGTCAGGGGGAGCTGCACTAACCTTGTATCCTGCCTTGATAGCGGCGACAGTCATGATCTGGTGATTTGTTAGTAGGTAAGGATTGGTGTAGAGACAGTCCTCTTTGGCCAACGTACACAATATCTAGCATCGTTGGGGCCTATGTAGGCAATGGTAGGAAACGTATTGGGAGCAGGAACTCCGTAGTTGTCCAGAATGAAGCGAGCGGTGTAGTTGACAGCATTCGCAAATTCTTTATAGGTAACATCTCTCCACCCATCGCGGGGGTCCGACGTGCGTGGCGTTGAGAAACACGTTCGGTTGGGTTGGTGGGCAGCTCTCTCGTCAATGATGGACGGAAACGTTCGCTGCCCACAAACGGACGGAGTGCTAGGGCCCGTGGCTTGTACAGTAGTTGTGGCCATGGTTATTTTTGTCGATGAGGATAAGTATGGGTGTATCATAGCTTCAAAGACTCGCCACCAACGCTTAACCCTCAAGTGGAGCAGACCAAAGCGCTTTCATATACTGTTCCCAATCCCTCGGTTGCGGCTGAAAGCTGAGACGACACGTGACGAATCGCGGCATTTCTAAGCAATTTGAGGGGAAATAACGAAGAGACTTTAAAGCCGCGAGAGTTCATCTTTTGGGATGATCTCTCTGCTGTTGTGCGAATAACGTGTTGTGGATGTTACAGAGTTATACCGGCGGCTGCCTCGGTTGTGGGAGTTATGATCAGACTTTCCGTTTCGGCCGCTTACGAGCGCGAATGCAGGGTTAGGCTGTCGATGGGAATAACATTTCTGGAACCGTGAACGCATAAGCTTTGGATATTCGGTGCCGAGATGTAACCTGGCATCGCGTCATCTCGTCTCATAGGCCGTCCCCGTGAAAAGGTTCACAAGAGAAGAGAATAGAAACAGGTGGCACCCCTACAGTCCTCATGAGTTTGTTTGTGTCCGCATTTGAGGCCGCAATAGTGTTATGGATATTTATTAACAAAGCTTGTTGTACTTAGCGCATATCATACCGAGCGTTTTAGAACCTCTGGTAGCGGTCCAGGTAACTGTCTCCTATTCTAGCCAAGCTACTCACGGACTCAGACTACCATGACCGATAGTCCAACTGTCGTTAGTACCGACTCGGTGGTCTCGTATAGCCTTTTCACCCATGTAAACTTCAAACACAAGATGGCAGCTTCCCAAGCTCTGAGATATCAGAGATGCCGAAACTACACACCGGCGCGAATCCTCAGGCCGAGTTTGGCTCACCTGTGATGAATTGATGATGTAGCTGGACAAGGTGAGTGACCACGGTGTTTCGTCTGAGGTACTGACTCGCTCGAGTTCTCCCCAATGCCTCGGTATTGAACAATTTCTCGTGCGGGGAAGCTCAATATATTGGCCATAGCTTCTAACCCCTACAAGACACTGCGCAGCGAAGGTTTCGAATCAAGGCTGGTAGGCAGTATATGTAGAGGTTAGCAGTAAAGGTGACGCTGATAACTTTCAAAGGCACGTAGAGCTAGGGGACAGACTGTCGTACGTTCTTGGAAGCATGAGAAAGCGCTAGGTCTGCGGTGTAACCTGCGTATACCTCCATCATCCTTGACACACTTGGGTGACGTCGAGTGTGACAATGGAATCGGTTACTTGTCCCGAGCGAGAACACTGCCGCGGGATCCAAGCTCCCAGGGAATATATGAAAATGGCCGCTAGACTATTAATATACAGAGAGAACCCCCAGGCAGACTGCCAGACGGCTTCGGCACTTGCAAGAACCCCCCCCCCCCGCATTCAACATTTCTCATCGCCAATTCGCCCGGACTTTCGGCACCTGTTTTGAGTTCAATAGCCAAAGTCAAAAATCATTCCACTGAACTGTCCATCGGAGGAAGTGGAGCGCGAGCTCCGTCCCGCCGGTCAACGGGGACGCGCCGCTTCCCAAGAACGTAATGAACCTGTGTGTCCTTTGGCTTTGGACAAGGAGCCGAAACGAGTTTGCGGAGGCAGAAACCTTGAGAATCACGTTAGCTTTAACGCTAACTTCGTAGATGCTCAGATATAGACTGCTGTGGCCCCAGCAGAAACAACCGAGGCTAAGACTTTTTGATCTAGAGGCTACTTTTATGTACTAAATCGCTTTTTGGAGGTAATCAATTTATTTGTGCCGCCTGGTATTGCATGCATGCTCATGACTAAACCCTGCCAACTCCTATCCCATTTCATAATGACGAGGTAACCAAAGTCTTTCCCACAACCTAATCAAACACATCCGTCACGTAGCGAATATTCCTCTGTGCCTCAAACCACTCCTTCACGCTCTCTTCATCCGTCGCCTCACCCTTGGCCTTCTCCATCTCAACCTTGATCTTGATAATCGTCTCCTTGGCAGCCTCAGCCACGCCGCGGGAGCCACAAACGTACCCCTTGGCCCCCTTCTTCCACAGGCTCACGAGCTCCTCGCGGTCCCGCCACATGCGGTCCTGCACGTGCTTACATCCTTCGCTCTTCTCACTGTCGCGGCTGTAGGCGCGCCGGACAGAGACGGCACCGATTTCCTCCCACTTGTCAAACTCGTCGCGGTACAAGTCATCCTGCTCAGGCGAGCGGCAGCCAAAGAAGAGCAGCGCGGGCGCGAGGGTGCGGCCGGCCGCGAGCATGGTGGCGCGCTCCTGGATGAAGCCGCGGAAGGGGGCGAGACCGGTGCCCGCCGCCACGCAGACCATGGGCGTGTGTTCCGCGTCCGAGGGGAGGCTGAAGGCGGCGTGGGAGGGGCGGATGGAGACGTGGAGGCTGTCGCCCTCGGCGAGGGAGTCGAGGTAGGACGAGGCGACGCCGATGTAGGGACCTTGGCCCGAGAGCGAGGGCTCGTTGAGGACGGAGAAGGTCAGGGTGACGTTGTTGGGGTACGCCATGGGCGACGAGGAGATGGAGTACTGTCTGACGCGCATCGGCGGCATCATGGACAGGAAGACACCGATGGGCAAGTCGATCGAGGGATGGCGCTCGAGCAGGTCGAGGACAGAAGCGCGCTTGCCGCTGATCTCGTCTGCGTAGGCATCCCCGGAGAGGCGGTTGAGTTCGACCTTGGTCGACTCGTCCTTTGCGTGTTCTGCCAGAGCAAGGAGGTTCTACAGGACTGTTAATACTGACATGCAGTGCAAGCGAAAAAAAAAGGAAGTTTGCTTACCCTCCTGGTAGCCGGCTGCGAAAGCTCAACATAAGAGCTCAAGAGATCGTTGGCGGGCACCGAGGTGTCAACCGGGAGAGAGGTAGGTCCGTCGGTCTTGATGCTGAGGTGGGCGTCGCGGGCAATGTGGAAGCGACGCATGGCGCGGTGCACAGTCTCCTTGGGGTTGATGGGCAGAACGGCAAGGTAGTCGCCCGCAGAGTACGTCATGCCCTCGGGAAGCTTGATCTCGATGTGCTTCTTGATGCTCTTGGGGTCACTGCCCTTGGTCAGCGTCGCAGTCTTGGTGACGGTGGCCTCCTTGACGTCCTGGCGCAGGGTCGAGGTCCTGGGGTTGCTGATGACGACGCCCACGCCCTTTGTCTTGCTGTCGTCGGCAGAGGTCGTCTTATACTTGTTCGCCAACGAGGGCCAGAGGACGTCGTCCTCCCATGACTCAAAGTTGGTAAAGACCTCGCCGCTCGAGACATCCGTCAGACCGAGATCGGCCAGGCGAGTCGCACCGAGCTGTGCGAGTGTGGTGTCGACCAACTTGGGAACGCGATGGAACGTCTGGACCCAGTCCTTGTGGCCGCAGCCGAAGACGGCGTAGGATACGTCCTTGAGCGGTGTCTTGGCCTTGTTCTGCCCCTCGATCCACGCCACAAAGTGACCAGCATTGTCGGGAGGCTCGCCTTCGTACGATGCCGTGATGATCACAACAGGCTGATCGGTGGGAAGGCTGCCGTTGGCGCTGTCGAGGCAGTCGATTTTGGTCGCGCGGAAGCCGTGGGAGGCGGCATCGGAGGCAACACGCTGCGCCAAGGCCTCGCAGGTTCCGCTGTTGGATCCGTAGAGGATCGTCATGGGCATTCCGGTCTCGCCCTCGGCGGCGGCGGCGGCGGCTCCGTTGGCCTTGGCCTGCTCGGCATGCTTCTCGGGCTCGGCGAGACCGGCCAGACGACGCTCCAGGGTCGTCGGTGTAAGGTTGTCGCGAAGGATGGCGCGCATGTGCATGTCCTTGGGCTTGATGGTGAGGGTCTGCTTGATGCCAAACGAGTAGTTGGGGTCCAGCACAAAGTTGAAGTTTTGAAGAAGCATGACCATGACCAAAAGGGCCTCTTGCCAGGCAAAGGGGCGGCCGATGCAACCTCTCATGCCGTTGCCAAACGGCTTCCAACAATTGGGGAACTCCTTGGTGATGCGGTTAAAGTTCTCGTCCATCATGCGCTCGGGCTTGAATTCGTTTGCGTCTTCGCCAAAGACGGCGGGGTCGAGGTGGGACTTGGCGAGGAGGTTGATGATGGTCTCGCCACCCCCCACGGCGTACTTGCCACCGATGACGGTATCCTCAAAGGCCTCGACGGTAAACACCGGGATCGTTGCGTTTACGCGCAGGGTCTCGCGGAGAACACCGTTGATGTAGGGCAGCTTGGACAGGTGGTCGACCTTGATCTGCCCCTTTCCGACAACCTCGTCGACCTCCTGCTGGGCCTTCCGGTACGCCTCGGGGTGCTTCAGCAGCTGGTAGAAAGCGAATGACAAGAGTCCCGATGTCGTTTCGTGGCCCGCAATGAGGAATGTGATCAAGTTGTCCATGATGCTCTCGTCCGTCATTTTCTTCCCCGTCTTTGTGTCAACTCCCTCAAGCATCGCAGTGAGCAGATCGCGGCGATTGCTCTTCCCCTCCTTTCTTGATTCGAGAACTTCTCTGGCTGTGGTTCTAAGGGTATCAATGTCTTGTTGGAACTTTTGATCCTTTGCGCTGTAAAACATGGCAGGGAGCGGGAGGCGACGCGACTTGTTGCCAGCCTCCGTCAGGAACTCGCCCATGGCCTCGATGAACGGGTGAAGAACGGGTGAGTAGTAGCTGTTGAAGCGATATCCCATCGAGCACAGAGCCAATGTGTCGAGCGTCAGCCGCGTGAAATCGTCCGTCACCATGATTTGTGATTCCGGGCCATAACGCGCCCACTTTAATGCCAGCTGGCTTGCGATGTCGTGCATTTCATCATACATGTTGCGAATCGAAAGGGGGCCAAAGGCGGGCATGAGAATACGGTGAGCGATGCCCCAATTCTCCTCGCCCATTTTTGCTGTGAAGAGTCCATCGTGGACGCCCGCTCTGACTTGCTAATCGGAGATGAGTACCTGCTCTTTACCGTCGTATGTACAGGGTGTTTGAGATGAGCGCATCTCAGGCCGATTCACTCACACTTAATGCCTGGTTCACAGACTTCTTGAACCGCTTCTCATCGCAAGTTTCGTTCACCAGTTCGCGGGTCGAGACCAGGACAACTGAACGGCCCGGAAATCTCAACCGGTAAATTTCACCTTGAAGCGCATGTCATTGTTAGCTGCTGTGCTGCCATCGATAAGATAAGGGGGGTTCGCAAAAGCCAGGGGTCTAATCTCACCATACTGATCCGCAAGCGAGATCATGGATCCCAGGGGGAATTCAGGGTCGAACGCGTTGATGTTGCCGAGAAACGGCAGCCCAGAGGGTTCTGGGATGGGGACTGTTTCTGACATGGTGTGTGTGATTGTGCGTTCGTATGCCTCTTATGTGGTTGTTCTATATGTCGAGGGTGTGTTGTGTGGTCCTCGAATGTTGTCGGTCAAACTGAGGGATCCAAATGCACTTCTACGTGATGATCCAAAGGCGAGCGAGAAGAGGGGGGATATCGGCCTGATGATATTCATATTCGGACTTCGACTGAGCCCTCTTGCCCCCCCTAACTATACATGTACGTGGCTAATCTCTGGACTTGTCAGGCAATATGCCTCGGTCCCATCATCATGCGTGGAGCATAAGGATGGACGCTGATATCATGCCCGAAAAAAGATTTCCCATTTTCCCACTTTTCCACGGCGACAAGTGGGCCAATTCCGGCCATGTCAATGGTCGAGATGAACGCAACCGTGCGGATTCGTGCCAACCCGTTACCCAGATCGGCCATCCCGTCCGTCCCCCGTCTCTAGTGAAACATGGCATTCGGCGCCAGTCCAAATCCGCGCCGACTTGCTTGCATCGAAGGCGTTCTGTGTGTGCCCTGTGGAATGCGAGCAAAGTAAGCAGTGACACCTGCCAGCGAATCGAGGGGGCCTTGGGAGGTTGCATTTGCTGGTGGGCGGTGTGAGCCAGGGGGGGGGTCGCTATCACTCTCCTTGCAACGAGTCGGATTTGGCATTCTCATCCCGCGATCTTTGGTCCAAATTGTTTTGGCAGGTAATTACGTGGAATTACAGAGCGCTCCCGTTCAATGATTAGACGATCGCCAAGGAGCCCTGCCGAAGTGGCCGGTTCATGAGACCATTCCTGCACCCGGTACCCCCCCCTCTCCAAGGCCTCCCAACCCGTTGGATCTAGATCCAAGGCTGCCAGGGGTCAAGTCCCGAGATCCGTCGCCTACGTGCGTCTACGGCGCAGTGACGACAGCTGCCGGCCGTCGAGTTACCCCATCCCGCTCCGTCGGCCAAACCGAAATCTTTGCCCTGCCGCTCCGGATGATCCCGTGGTTTTGAACGGCAGTCAGGTCGCCTTCGGCCCTCCGCCGTCGATCCTGGAGCCCCCGGGTTCCAGCGAGGCTTCCATTGATGACCACAGTCTGCCCGAGACATAGATGAAAAGAGTGCTGTCCGTCAGCGAACCTGGTGTTCCCTTCGTAAGTGCGTTTTCGCTTGCGATGGTTTGCGGGGAACAGAGACACAATGACGCAGGAAATACCATCTTGGCGTGTCATTGTACGACTTGAAACCCGAGAGTTCAAGACTGCAGCGGCGCAGGGCAGGGTACGATCCGGTGCGCTGATACGTACGTTCACGAAGCTAGCCCATGCAGCCAGGAGGCGGCACGTAAGCACTGGGAAACGTCGCCGCCGGCCTTTGGCTCCAAGCTCCCAGCTCCTGCAGGACGGGAGTTTTTGGGCGTCTGTCTTATTTGCTGGCACAGTCGTTGGGTGAAGGCAAGAAACCAAGGATACTGACTGGGCCAATCGAAATGCTCACATCTGAGGTGCCGACCAAAATCTGAAAATGTGATTTGCATTTGATAAGCTGAGGCTCTCACATACTTTCGACGGATTATGCACGAGCCATTCCTCCGTCCGTACGAGCAAACTCTGCATATTTTAGACTCCCCGATCGACAATTAGCCCCAACCAAAACTATGGTTTTCACGAGCCTAACCGTTAACTGTTAAGCTGGGCAGCGTACAAAAGGTCACATGGTATCTGCCCGACATGAAGGACAATCGTGTGTGAACATCTCTGAAGATGGAAAGGCTGGAGTGAGTGAGAGAGAGAGAGGTCGTTCCTTGAGTTCAGAATGCTCAACGGTTTGCTTTTATTCCCCCAGTCGCTCCTCTATCATCACGTCCTTCATCAAACCCCTCCAAGTTTCGATACGAGGTAGTAAGCTCTCGTTGTAATGTTCTGGGAGGTATAGTCCTTCATACTTCCAGAGGGAGGAGATGTAACGGGCGAGGCATCTTGGGAGGAGTCCGACTTGGATCGTCGTTGTCCCTTGACATTTTTCTTCTTGCCCTGGGGACCTTTGCCTTTACCCATTTTGATGAATTCGTCTTGTTGGCGTATGTTGGCTGAGGGCTTTTCAATGTAGGCAAAGTGTTTTGATGGGAACGGAACTTGGAAGAACACCACCGTGGTCAAACGAATGGGGAGGGGAACGGGACCGAATATATCATCGCACTGTTTCCAGTCGGAGAAAGGTCAGGGGGCATTGCCCTTCCGCAAACTTTGAGAACGCCATGGCAATCACGCCTGGGTAGGGAGTCGCGAGGGTTCTCAGGGTGCTCGACGCAGGACCACCCTGCTGTCTCGCCCAGAACTGGACCTTCTGCGTCCTAGCAATGTTGGATTGGGAAAGTATATATCATCATATATGGACTACCGGCCACCATTGCAGCCTGAGCCTTTCTTTCCGCTTTGGCCAGTGCGTTGTCTTCTGGTAGCAAACCGCATCCGGCAAGCAGCGGCGTCACCGAGGTATCGCTCAAGAAGGATAGATCAGACCTGCTGTACATGCATTCCTATACATAATTAGTACCATTGGCGATGTTCCTCTGGTGGATGCGAGAAAGCCATGCTGCTGGAAATACTGGCACAAAAACCTCGTCGATTTCGAAACAATTCTAGGACCTAACTACATAACGAAGGGCCCGCCAATTGATTGCTCTAGAATGCTTCATACAATAATTTCTCAATCTTCCTGACATGCACTCGTCACTGGGCTACGAAGACATTCTTGCCAGTCACTTCCCCAGCGATGCTCCCCCCACGACCAAAGTTATCGTTGTGATTCCCAATCGCCCAAAAGGACATCATGCCGTCAACGGAAATATCCTCGAGGAGCTGGTATCTGTATTTGGAGCCATCGATAGGGATAATCGCGTCAGAGCTCGTCCGGACCGGTGCCGGCAAGTCATTCCCTAATCTTTTAATGCATATATACTTTAACATAGTCCTTTTCATAAGTCTCATCTTCAGATTACACAATAGAGACATGGTGGAAAGTTCTTGCATAGACGCAAAGATTGCTTTCAACTCGTCCCCAGCAATGATGATCATCAATCATGATTCATGCCAAAGAATCCAGCCATTCAATCCTGCTCGTCAAGGTAGGTCCGATGCCTGTTCAAACGCCATCGTAGAGTATTGCAGCATCGCTCCATCCCTTGCAAATGTCTTTCGCATTTTCAAATCCCAAGCGTTGAGGACTTGTAGCATGCATTCATTCATGTTTACCATCTCCCATCTCCAGCCTGGACATTGTCGAGAGCCGTCTCGCGTGTACCGCGTGTACCGCATGTACTGCTGCCAAAGGGGCTCAAGAGCCGAGGTACCTCGGCTTACAACCCCTCGGTAAGATGTGGGGCGCGCATTTCTCGGGGGGAGGGGGGGGCGGATGCGTTCGCCGGGGACTCGGACTTTCGCTTCCTCATGTTCTTGGAGCAGTGAGCACAGCCCGGAGCTTGTCGTTTATTTGATCCAAGGGTGGCATGAAAAAAAGAAAAAAATCTGACCGAAATCCGGCCGCTTGTTTCGAGTGTCTTGCGCGCGGTCGGCTGGCGGGATGGTAGGTCAAGAGCACGCGAAGCTGCTGCTTCTACGTCTCGGTCTGTTGGAGGAAGCCGTGGCCGGAAAGCTGATGGAGGCTGTCATGCTTCAGGGGTTAGGGGGGTGGGTAAGTCGGGGTTCTGAGTACATGTAACGAGAACGTGAGATTACTCAAGGCAGACAAAAGTCGTCGAGCGTCCATAACCTGTCCATTGTCTGGATATCCAGCCACGCGTCGGTGCTGCGAAAAGAATTAGATATCATGCCCGAGATTACACACGCACCAGAAGACAACATTGAACTCACTGGGTGCCCGAAATCGAGGCGTCATCCGTACACGCGTTGGGCAGCGGACTCCACATGTCCGATATGATGCCCGCGGTGCCCAGCCCATATCCATCAGGCCAGCTCGCGAACGCTCTGGTATCCGGTGTCAGGGTAGCAGTAGCAGCAGAAGCAGCAGCCGGAGACGGCTGGTGTTCCTCGTGGGGAGGCGCGTTGTCGACCTTGTTGATGGCCGTCTCGAACAGCTTGTACGACGCGTCCGCCGAGATGTAGGACTTGCGCATCTCGTCCATGGCGATCATGCAGAGGGCGAGGTTATGTCTGCCCATTTGACGTGCCATCTGTTTCGACGACGTTGACTCAAAGAGGTGGATTTGCATTGGCGGGACTAACGCGATGACCCTGGAGAGCTAGGTTAGTAACTTTGTTTGTAATGAACAACTGATGAAGCTGTGTCAAAGACCGGTTGTCCGTACGTGATTGTGTTGCAGAGTCGGATTAGATCCTGTGCCATCATCGAGTTCAGCGCGGCGCTCGCGTTGGACGCGGCAGTCCTCGTCTTTTGGCATGCAAAGGTCCTCCAGCTTCCCTGGTCCGCTGCCGTAATCTCTCTCGGGGTATCAAGTATAAAAGGTCGATAAAGCACAATGATTGAAGTTCTATCTTTGCATCAGTTTCTCTCTCTCTTTCTCTCTCTCTCTCTCGGACTCCCTCCATTGGTGCCCTTGGTCCAACACGGCGGTCACTTACTCAAAATACAGCTTGAACTGGTAGATGTGAGATGCGACGGCTCGACTGTGGCTTCCTTCTTCGGGGACTCTGTACTGGAAGCCTCGAAATTGATTTTCACTGTGCTCAATGTCCGTCCTTGATGGCTTGACCCCCTTGGCCCGATAATTAGTCGCAAGAACATTGCCAAGGACAACAGTCAAGCCAATCAGGGCCAGCCAGGTGTCAAAGAGAAACGCCAGCTCTTCGGGGAGATACTTCCTGCCAAGATCACCCTCGACCTCGGGCGCCAGGACATCAGCATCGGAAGCAGCCGGCATGGGCGTATCAGAGTCGTCGAGGGCTATCCGCATCGGTCTGCCGAGTCCCAGGGAAAGCCACACCTCCCGGGAGTACAGAGACCACCAGAGACGTCTCCAGAAGGGCTTCGTCCCTTGAGAAGCCTGTTGATTCGCAGGCATGTGCAGGCGGTGGAGGCCTATCGTGTGCGAGAGACTGATGGCGATGCCGTTCCAGTGCCAGGGCCCGGCCCGATCATCTGTGCTGGTGTACCAGTGCCCCATCAGGAAGACTGACTGAATGAGCGTCACCTTGTCTTTTTCGTAGTCTGCATCGTATAAAGCCTGTGGGCGTCTTTAGTTCTAATTTCTGGCGACAAAACATTTGGGGGGGGGCGAGGCGGGACCTACTTTGGCTCTCTGGTACATGGCCCGTTTCAGAGCCTTCCGCGACGAAAAGAAATCTTCTGTCAAGAGGCTGTCGTCAACAAACTGGGATAAGTGTTAGCTGTGTCAAGCATTGCAAAATGATTTGATGACTGACACTTGCGGCCGCGATGAACATGCTCCAGAGCAGCAACAGGCTTTTCCGTCCCTTCTCGTACTCGGTGATGAACTCGCTGGCATCCAGGATCGGCGCAAATGGGTGCACATGGTGAAAGTAACACTGGATCATCGCCTCGCGGACCCGAGGTGGAGGAAGCATGAAAGCACCTTTCATTCGGAGATAATTGACATCTTCTGGCGAAAGAGCCTTGATGGACGGCATCGGCACCAGAAAGTGGTTGTCTTTGGATGACCTGTTGGGTTCACAAATGTCGATCAAGAAGGCAGGACCACGTTGATCTCCTGAAAAAAAACGTCAGTGTTGGAACTGACTTTTGTCTGGTACTTTGAGGGGACGACATGGAAGCATTGCTTCATGCATCATGGCGCTCAGACCCAGGGCATCTTACCTGGATAGAACGGGACACATCCGTCCTCACGATTCTTACCGCCCTCCAACGTCTCTGCGTACGCGGAGCTGTCGTCAGTCGCATCGGATGGATCCGGTGGCCGACGAGTCTTGGTCGGAAGCAGAGCCCGCACGGCATCGTAGGGCCGAGTGCTTGGCGCGGATGGCCCACCAGCAACCGGTTGAGTCTCGGCTGCGCGTGGGGAAGTCGATGACCTCGAGCCGCCGTTGACCTGGGTGCGTCGGTGCTCTTCGGGCGGCGCCGACGTGACGCGCTCGTTTCTTGGCTCGGCGGCCTCTTCGTTCTCCAACGTTGCCGACGACGGTCCTGGTGTCTGGGATTCCAGCAGCCGTCTTCTAGGTTGTGCCCTTTGCGGGATGATGATCAACGTGTTCTCGCCTCCTGGAGACGGGTTCATGGGAAGTTGATCCGAGTTGCTAGCTCGTCAGGACACTCACCCTACCTACATGGCTACAACCATAGAACATAGCCAGTGATGGGAAAACTCACCGACGTCTTTTACGACTCAGGACCTCGCATGGAATCCCGTCCACGGAGCAATTGGCGCAGGGGGGGCCAGATAACGTGACTGTGCATCTCACCTTGCGCAGATTGCAAGCCTTGCACGCTACGGCGGCACGCTTGAACGTCCGGGCTGCTGCTGCTGCAGAGGAAGGAGAGGAACCCGAAGCAGAGACCAAGGTCGCAGAGTCACTGTGCCGCAAAGACATGTCTGTCCTGCTTGTTGCTTCGCCAGAATTAACGGTGCAAGTGGGAAAAACGTTATCGATATCATCAGGCGGGGAGGATGTTGTGCCCCTCATGCATGCTAATCAACAAAGGTCAGGGTTTCCTCTATATTCCATAGGGACTGTTTACTTGTCTAAGCTCTGCGGAGGGGATGTATGCACTTGTTGACGGGCGTAGGTCAAGAGGAACTCACCAACTAACTGTAAGTGAACGAACTTCCTTAGGCGAGTCAGTTGACCGAGGATGTGGCTTAGGTAATGTAGAAGGCATGTGAGAAATATTGGGGTTTCCTCTTCTATTATTCGTCCGTTCGCTTTCCGTGGCCTTGGGATTGCGGGGATAGACAAGGTCCGAGGGTATCTGCCGAGTTGCTTTCTTCCATGACAATGACTTTGACGGTAGCGATTACCGCGATAAGAGCCTTCATCCTAGACGTGTTCTTCTTGAACTAGGTTCCAGCCCACTTCATGGGGAAGTCAAGTCAAGTTGCCTTTCGCAAAGAGAAACATCGAGTTCTCCGTTGTATCCGAGGGTTCCGTCATGTTCCCCAAGCGTTGAATCATTGTCTCATTATCCGTATTCTCTACCCCATATCCATAACCGTTTCCGTAATCCATTAGTCGTAATAATCATATCCCATCGTGTGTCCTACGCCCAATGCACCGATTTCCTGTGCTTCTTCTTCTTCTTACTACTTCTACCAAGCTCGTCCGGCACGCGCAGACGCGCATCCGCAATCACCATACCAAACGTCAAGCTCGACGCGCGACTATGCGTACACACAGCCGCCGTCCCGTCAAGCTCCCACTCCCACCGAGTCCTCTCAACCAAGTCTCCAGCCTTGCGGAGCTTCTGCCGCCACCCCTCGACAAATAACCATGCCAGACGAAACACGCTCTCGCCAGACGGCTCCACGGGGCCGCTTTCTTCTTCGTCGTGTTGGGTCCAAGGGACCGGCACCCGCAAGCCGCTCGCGTCTTTACGATACTTGCGGCGCGTCGGACGCCGGTCTAGCTCGTCCCCCTCGTCGTCGTACGCGGCGTCCCGCTTCACCCTCACGACTCTGAGCGCCGCTCCGCCCGGGCGTGGTCAATTTGCCTCCAACCCGCCAGCAGAGCTTCGTAGGAGTGCGCTCTGCTCGTCAACCTCGTCTTCGGCTTCGTTGAGAAATCCTGCTTTTCGCTCGTAGCCCCGGTCGTCGTCCTCGCCGCCGGGCTTAGTGCGCCGGACCGGGTGAAAGACACCCGATACCGGCCGTGACCGGACCGGGCTGACCGGTTCTTGCTTGGATTGGCTGTTCTCAAAGATGCCGCGCATCCGGCTGATCAGACTCCCCGGCGAGTTGTTCGAGGTAGTGTTCCGGGGAGGACTGTCCGAACTGGAGCCCACGGAACCCGAGGGCCCTCGCGCCTTTGAGCCGTCGTCACCATCCCTGAATGGATCGTATTCGTCGCGGTCAGTCAGCGACGAGTCGTTGCGCGGCCTCGTCAAGTGATGGACGGAAGCCGGCCACGAGTCTCGAATGACTGGCTCGTGCTTGTCAGCGTGCAACGCCGAATGGATCGGCGACGACGCTACGGAGTCCAGGGTGCTCTGGCTTCGCATCGAGTGAGGAACCGAGTCGTTCCGGGCATGCCAGGGGACGTTGGTCACATCGCGCGGGACCATGAGCTCGGGGTCAATATCTCCTTCGGCTTCCATGGTAGGCGGTGTCTGCGGTCGGTCAGGATTGTGCCTGCTGAACGCAAGTCCACGAGAAGGCGTCCCCTGCGACGAGGGCGTCGCTGGCGACTCCTCCTGACGCAACGCTAGGGGGCTGATGTCCGGTGCTTGCTCACTTTGCTGTGGTGCCATCTGCGGAGTTGATTGTTCATGCTCCTCTTCCGCATGTACCTCGGATACTTTCACCTCGGGCTGCCACGAAGTCGCCTGTCCATAGGGTTGTGCCTCGTACTGCTCTTGGCCATACTGAAGTTGACCGTACTGTTGCTGGGCATTGGGGTCTTGCGGGTAAGTCTCAGCTGGTTGCTGTGTGTACGCCTCCTGGCCATACAACTGCGCTTCCTGTCCCCCGTACGAACCTTCAACCTGCGCATCAGGCTCGTAAGCGGATCGCAGAGGAGAAGAGTAGCCAGCGTTGGCTTCCTGATGAAGCGGCTTCTGCACCTCCTCCCCTAAGAAAGATCCGGGACGGCTGTGCCTCGTATCGCCGAGCTTGGTGGGCGAATGGAGCTCGTCCCGCCAAGTTGAAGCTCCGAAGCGGGAAGAGGCATATTGCGTTGGGTGCTCATCCGGTTGCATAACCGCAGTCTTTGGGCCGTCATCTTCATCACTATTGAACGAGTCGATGACTTGCGTCAGTACAGGCTCATTCAATGATTGCTGCTGCTGCTGCTGCTGCTGCTGCGCAGTGCCGATCTGGGTAAGGAAGGCCGGTGCTTCCGAGTGATCGTACTCGCCATCATCGTCAGAGTCGTCATGTTGTGCAAGCTCCTCGGCGAGCGAAGTCTCGTGCGCTTGACCATACGGAGAGCTGCCAGCGCCGCGGTTGTAGGTCTGGTCGTAGAGATCCTTGTTGCCGAGAGACTCCGGGTGCTGGGGCGAGACCATGGCCCCTTGCGTATCCTGCGACGACGCACTAAACCCTGCCGACGCCAATGGAGTGAAATATTCTTGTGAATCAGTATCCGTGAAGTCTCCTGGTCCTGCTGGCTGTAGATATGTCGAGGCTGTGGAGATCTGGTCGTTGCTCGCGTTTGGCCACTGCTGCTCGTAGCTATCGACACGCAGCTGCGGTGTTGGCGCGGTGGTGAACTTTGCCTCGACTGGGCTGGTCTCACCACCGCGCTTACCAATGTTCTCCCATGAATCATCGCTTTCTTCCCCGCCTTCTTCTCTTTGATGACTTTGTAGGTCCTGACTGCTTGTTGCCGGTATCGACCCCCTGAATGCTGACTCCATCAGGTTGCTGTGCGCTGTCGGGCTGGCCGACCTCATCGGACTTGTCGATGCCAGGTAACTGGGCGCCTCTGGACTGGCGGCTCTCATCGGACTCGCACCCAGCGGGCTTGCTGATCTCATCGGGTCTACTCCCATCGGGTTGTTCCCCATCAGGTTGCTTGCTCCCATCATGCTCGTTGTCTGGCCATATCTATTAGCTTCCCATGCCTCCTCATTCTCCTCGGTGTCGGAGTCCTCGAATTCCTGACGGTGACGATCCAGAGCGCTGGGTGCACGTGGAGGCGGAGGCGGCGGCGGAGTCGCCCTGTACTGCGACGTCGATAGATTTGGCATCTGACCGGGCCGAGCGGCATTCGAATCCCAAGCATCCTCCTCCTCTTCGTCACTGGAATCCTCAATCTCCTGGCGGTATTGACCTTGAGAGCTTGGTACCCGCGGCGGCGGGGGTGGGGGCGGTGTAGCCCTGAACTGAGATGATGATGATGAAATGGGGAACTGACCAGGTCGAGCAATGTCGTGGCTGAAGGGGTGTTCGTCCTCACTTGAGTCCGCTTGCTCTTGATGATAGAAGCCTTGAGAGCTGGGTGCACGCGGCGGCGGTGGCGGCGGCGGAGTCGCCCGATAACCAGATGGTGACAGCGCACTGGGAAGATTGGACTGGGCAGCGGCAGAGGGCGAGACACCTTGGTCTTCCTCGTCCGAGTCCTCGACGGGGTAGTGGCTCTGTGACAGGGAACTGGAGGCACGTGGTGGAGGGATTGGAGGTGGACGCGGGGGAGTGGTCTCAAATTGCGAAGTCGGCAACTTGCTTAGCTGCGCGGGCTCGAAGGCGTCGTCCCAGTCAGCCTGCTCCTCTTCTGACGAGTCTTCTGCTTGTTGTTGTTGTTGTTGTTGAGCGTAGTGCCCTTGTGAACTTGGCGCGCGTGGTGGTGGAGGAGGTGGAGGAGTTGCCCTGTACTGCGATGATGAAAGAGGATTTGTCTGTGCCGGTGATTGCGCGTGGAAGATATCGCCGTCGTCCTCGGATGAGTCTTCCGCATCTTGAGCATAGTGACCCTGGGAGCTTGTAATACGCGGAGGGGGAGGGGGAGGGGGGCTCGATCTGTATTGGGAAGATGTCAACAAAGAATTGATGTGGCTAGGCTGAGGAGCACGAGTGTCCCACTCATCCTCTTCTTCAGAGGAGCCGTCGTCGAACCCTTGACGAGAACGCTCTGCGATACTTGGGAGAGGGGGAGGGGCTCGTTGTTGTGCAGCCGGCAGCTGCTGGGAGGTGGTAAGGCTCTCTGGCTCCTCCGAGTCTGAATCCATATCCTCCAGTTCGCTGTTATATCGCTCTTGAATGCTGTCCAGAGTGACTGGAGCAAGGTGCCTGGCCGACAGCGGGCTGTTTTCTTGGGTAAACAGCTGAGCGGCAGGATCCATCACACCCTCACCATCATGCTCGTGCCCTGCAATGACGGAAGGATAGCCTTGATCGAATATTGACTCGTCAACATCACCACCAATAATGCTACTCCTTGCCCCGAATGGGTTGTTATACGTGGCCTCAGACTGAGCCTGTCCCAGAGTGCTCTCGGTGGGCAGGAAACTATGATCTGATGCGCTGCTTCGAGCAAAGGGGTTGCTGTACATGGTCTCAGGGACCTGCGGCGTGGGTTGACGACGCTCAATCGACTGAGCGGCGGAGGCGAATCCATCATTGACAACCTCAGGTGATTGATTGACTGGGAACAGATTCTTATACGTTGACTCTGCCGCCATCATGGCCTCCTCATCCTCGGAATCGCTTTCTTCTGCCAGTGGGTAGCTCTCTTGCGGTGTCGTACTACGAGCGAAAGGGTTGCTTGGCGCGCGTTGTCGTCCGGGAGTGCTCAGGGCTGGTGAAAAGCTTCGGTCGACAGGAGTCGTGCTTCTGGCGAAGGGATTATTGGAGCTCACACTATCTCGGCGGTTTCCTTGTGCACTGGGAGACCGAGGGAAGGTCTCTTCGGGAGAAGAAGACTGGTTGTTCCCTAGAGCGCTGGCAGAACGGAGGAAATCCGCGCCACTGGTGGCGTTGCGTGCAAACGGGTTGGTAGAGTCTTCTTGAGGCCCTCGACCTGGACTTCTCGCGAACGGGTTGGTCGTCTCATGGAGCGGCTCTTCCTCGACGACCGTCTGCAATGCAAACGGATTGTACGGTATGTCTTGCGAATGGAATGTCGGCTGCGCGTGGGCGATGGAGCCGGATCTGGCCCTGGCGAACGGGTTGTAAGACGTCTCTACAGGCTCATCGCCGTCGCTGTCCTCGTCTCTGACGCTCAGAACTGGTGAAGAGTGGTCATCGTCTTCCTCCTCGTTGAAGTGAACCTGCCTCGTCCCAAAGTGATCATCAACAAAGCTAGCACTAGGCGTGAAGCTCTCTGGTTGTTGATCATGGTCATAGCTATCTTCTATAGCCATGCCCGTGGGCTCGGTCATGTAAGAGCTCTCAACTGCCGCATCCGTGATTTCAGGGATGTTTTGGCTGAGGGTCTCAGGATGGAATTCATCTTCAGTCTTTGAAGCCAGCCCAGAGGTATCACCAGCCGTGGATGTAGCAGGCTCAGTGTGCTCAGTGATGGCGGAGAGGTCGGGTCCCCGGGACTGGTCAGCCTCATCGAAACCAGCGTCGTCATGGAGCGCATGGACGACTTCGAATTCACCATGATCAAGATCATGCTGAGTGGTCTCGTTTTCGACACTAATATCGTGACTTGGCGAAACCTTCATTGCTCCATCCTCATCGTCGTGCTTCCCTTGGTAATCTTCAAACTGGTTGACCTCGAGGGCCTCGGCTGGCGGTGACTCAGGTTCCTCAAGAGTATGTGCTGCTTCGCCGGCCTTTGCCGTTGCGTCATCCTCAGCTGTTTCAGGGACATCCGTTTGTGGAGCTTCCTCCTCTGCCGACGATGGAACATCCTCGTTATCCTCGGCATCCTCCTTGTTGGCTTCAGCTGCAGAGGGCTGAGACATTGCGGTATGACCGTAGTCATCACCGACATCAGATTCATCCACGTCGATAGCGAGGGACTCATCTGCAGGAGCTGCAGTAGGCTCTTCCTCCGTATCATGTTCAGCTGGAGTTGAATCAACTTCGACCTTCTCATCCTCAATATGACCCTCAGTTTCAGTAGTTTGCACCTCATCATCATCAGCAGCAACATGCTCCATCAAAACGGGTTCGGCAGGGGCTTCGGTGGGGGCTTCAAAAGATCCAGCAGCGGAATCGTTCTCAACTGTGCCATTGAAAGCACCAGCGAGTTGTTCTTGTGGCGGATGTGAGGCGTCCCCGTGTTCGGAATCTCCATCATCAAGCTCTTTGCTGGCAGTGTTTGGCACAGGCTCTTCCTCCTGTGTTGTCGGGGATGCATCACTGACTTCGGCTTCTGCCTCATCAGAGTCGTGCTGAGCTTGGATATCGTCATCTATGGGTGATACCGCAGGTTCATCAATCTCATTGGCTGCAGTTATCTCAGCATCTGGGACTTGGGCAGTGTCTTCGGCTTGAGCCTCGCTGGCATCATGGAACTCGAACTCTTCCGTGTCTGGTGCATCGATGCTTGGCTCTTCTCCAGGTGACTCCTCTTCGGCTTTGACAGTCTCCTTGGTAGCATCGTCTTCCGGAGCGGCGTGCGCGATATCTTCATCCTCCTTGATTGCAGCCCTATCAGGCTCTTCGGACTCAGTGATTGGTTGATCTTCAGCTAAAGCTGCTTCAGGAACGGCTTGATCTGAAGAGGTAGGCGCATCCGCTTCTTCAACGAGAGTCACATCCTCTGCGGTCTCAGAGTCACTTGGAGGAGCTACCTCGGCGAGATCCTCCCCGGCAACCTGCTCACCAACAGCCGGTTCGACAGCCACTGAGGGAGGGGTTCCATCATCTGCCACGGGCTTGTCTTCTGCGTGGTGTACTGCTTCGACAGGTATTTCCTCAGGAGACACCTCTTCGACAGGTGTCTCTTCGGAAGATGTTGTCTGCTCAGACTCGATTTCTTCTGAACCAGGAACCTCATCGCGGCTTGTGGTCTCGTCCGCTGCTGGCACCTCATCTTCAATGGCAGAGTTCTCGGGGGCAGGAATCTCGACTTGAACAGGGATGTCATCCGACGCTTCCGTGTGTGCCGCAGCTACCTCATCCTGAATATGAGCGTCTTGTTGCACAGATGCTGCTGGATCAAGAGGCGCTTCCAGATCCTTAATAGCCTCAATCTCAGGGGTATCCTCAGGTATTTCTTCGTCAGACTCAATCAATTCGGTCGTAACATCTTCTGCTGGTGCTGTTGAGTCTTCGGCGACATCAACTTCCTTTTGCGAAACGGGTTCACCTTGAGCTGTCTCGCCCGCAGCTTGGTTCTCTTCAGGGGCCACCATCTCAGCTTGACGCGGCACATCCTCCTCTTGTGATTTGGGCACTTCCTGGTCTGCGTCTTCGTCGACAGCCTTGGGACCGACATCGGTAACGTTCTGATCCTCCGTTGAATCAGGAGCAACGTATCCGTCGGCCTGGGCCGCTTCTGGTTGAATCTGCTCCTCGACTTCGTCGCTGTTGTCTACGACTGGAGTTGCTTCTGCAGTAGGCTCATCGTCGACAGCGTTCATTGAGAACTCAGGCAGTGATCTCTCCCCGGAAACTTCTTCGGTACCAGTGTCTCCAGTCTCTTCATTTTCTAGCTTTTGGGTATCATCTTCCACACTTTGTGGGCTCGGGTCAGGTGCGGCATCACTAGGTGTGGCGTCCTCGGTAGTGTCTTCTTCGGGCTGAGCGGCATCTTCACTTGCGATGGGTGCTAGCTCGTGAGAAGTAGCCTCAGCCGGTATTGCCTCCGCTTCAAGGCTCTCTTCCGCTTCCTCGGTGGCCTGAATTGGCTCGATAAATGTTTCATCCTGGCCAGGGACATCGGCCTCAGTCGCGACCGGCTCCGTATCGGCAAGGACGCTCTCTTCGGGAGTCTTGGTTTCCTCCACTGGGGTAGAAGCTTCTTCAGAGAGCCCTTCCTCGGCAGGTATCTCTTCAGCGGGTGCCTCTTCATTGACAGGCTCTTCCTTTGAGACATCATCTTCCGGAGCTTCCGGAGCGGGTTGCTCTTCGTGGGGAAGCTCCTCGACGTTAGGCTCTTCAGCAGGTGCCTCGTCAAAAGCGGCTTCCTCCTGTGAAGGTTCCTCGATTGAAGCTTCTGCAGGTGGCTGATCATCGTCGACAGAGACTTCCTTCACAGCAGGGATCTCCTCAGCGGCAGTTGACTCCTCTGTGGGTGCTTCTGCAACCGACCTTTCATCTACCGGAACCTCTTCTGCTGGAGATTCTTCAGGAGCGGCTGGCTCTTCTACTATAGGATCCGTCGCTGGCTCATTAGCGGTGAGGGTATCCTCGGTGGGAGCATCCTCGGCAACAGGAGCTTCTTCGGCAGCGGGAGCTTCCTTAGTAAAAGGTTCATCCCCAAGCTCCTCTGGGGCGGGGGCAGCGTTGCCTTGATCAGATGTCTGCTCGTCTGTGGATAGCTCCCTCGTTGCTGGCTCTTCGGCGGAAGGCTCCTCGATAGCAGGAGCTTCCTCGACGGGTGCGCTCTCCGGGGTCTCCACTGCCAATCCCCTAACTTCAACCGCATCGTGTTTGTCTTCGTCGGCACTAGCGTGCTGGACTTCATCAGAAGCCTCAGCAGGGGTTTCCTCGCTTTCAGCCAGGGCCCTTTCTTGGTTCTCATCGGGAGCAGCTGCGCTCTCAGCGGGCTCCTCTTTGGCATCTTCCTTGATCTCGGGCTCGGGAGCCTCTTCTGGTGCGGGAGCCTCGACGATAGCTTCGTCTTTGGGGTCCTCCTCGGATTCGGCTTCGGGTGCCGCCGCCGCCGCCGCCGCCTCCTCGGCGGGATGTGCCTCCTCGGTGCTAGTGGCCTCCTCCATGCTCTTTTCAGCCACAGGTTCTTCGGGTTGTGGCTGGGAGTTATCACCTTCGGGAGCCTTGTCTTCCTCGGCCGCCGCACCAGCCGGTACCTCGTCAGCCGGCTCGGCGGGTAGCTCGGGAGCAGCCTCTTCGGCCTTCTCTTCAGGTGCACCGCCGTTTTCGGCGGGCTTTCCTTCATCTACGCTCTTGTCCCCGGTAGGTTCGGCGAGGGCATCGACCGGAGGTAACGGAGACGGTTCCGCAGATGGGACGGCGCCGGATCGCCGTGATGTTCTTGCTCGTTTCCGCGTCGGAACCGGAGGCACCGCGGCCTTCATCTGCTCCTCGATCATGCGGTTGAGTTCCTAGGAAGAAATGTTAGACAAAGCTGCCAGATTGAGGCTGAGGCCATCAGGCTGCTTACCGTTCTCTTCGCCTCGAGTTCCGCCAGCTTCGCTTCGCCCTCTGAAATCGTCTTGGCCGTCTCTTCTTCAACGGTGTCCATGAGGTTGTCCATCTCGTCTTCGACATTACGGGTAGTGGTATCAAAACTGCCTTGCTTCTCTTCGTCTTCCTTCGCCTTGCGGGCCGCGAGTTCCTCGTCTTCCCGCCGGCGACGGGCTTCTCGCTCTTCATCTTCTTTCCGCCTCTGCTCGGCAATGTCTTCCAGCTCTTTCTGATGCGCGGCCGCGAGCTCTTCTCGCTCTTTTTCGTAGGTCGTTTTCAGCTCTGCGAGCGTCATGTCACGCTTCTGCTCGAGCTCGTCGAGCTTTGAGTCGCTCTCGGCGGCAGATGTCGACAGACCCTCGATTGTCGAATGGATCGACGCGAGGGCCTCGTTCATCTGCGCCACAAGCGTAGCAACGTCCATCTTGACTGTCATCGAATGGGTTTCGAGAGAGTCAGAGCTCTCCACGACAGGATAATAGATAGGGTGCTGTGATTAAGCGTAAATGGGGTTTGGCCGGTCCCAAGATTGCTGCGTGGGAAGCAAGTATCGTGAAGTTTGTGATTTGACTTTACTGTGACGTTGACTGAACGTTCGAAACATCCTCGGCCCTATGGGATGGCCAGCCAGTTTACGATATATACCATCCACCCTCGACCACCAAGAATAACAAGCAGACGATACGTTCCAACCAAGCGACAGGCAGGAAAACCCGGCCTTGTGTGATGTTCCTACCAAAGATCATGCAAGCGCCTAGTCCAGGGCCTGGCCTGTCCCCGAGTCGGCCGAACCACGACATTGAGAGGAAATGCTCTGTGCTTCCGCTCCATGATTGGTGAGTATCGCGGCGAATTCCCATCCGATGTCCATGGGCTTGCCGAGGTGGACCCCGTCCGCCTCACAACGCATGACATCAAAATGCTACGGTGCAGGTTGTGATGTTAACTAGGAGAAGCGAGGGTGCCATGACCGAGTCAAGACTTCTTACCAGGCCCAGCGACAGGTCATCGCGAAATCGCACCGCTATCGAGGGAATTAGCACAACTAGACATCGTCATTGTGGGCAACTCGCTCTGTCGCCGAGCAACCTGGTGACAGCTGTCAAATATCGACAGCATCCTCCTTGCCTCGGGCTAGAGTTTTGAGGGCCTTTATCCTAGGGTCCCCGTGTTCCTGCGTCTGATGTTGTGCCACGACAGCTTCGCCAGTGGGAGAGGGACCCATCTTGGGCTTTGGTCGTCGCCACGGTGCGTTGGCGATAGAAAGTCGGTGGACAGGCGTTCCCTGTTAGAAACGAGCATCATTCATGCGCCCGGTAGCGAAGGAGCATTGAGAGTTCTGAGCGCGCCCAAGATTACCACCGAACGTGGAACCGGCGTCTAGCAACCGCTTGGCCGCATGAATACGCTGGTAATGGCCGGTGTTGTGATTCATTTGGGCAGTTTCAGAACTCGCCCTGATTCGGAAACGGAGGACAAGTTGTCAAATGGAAGGATTTAGTCAGATACTGTCAGCCACAGCAGGCCATTTGAACCGCGTGCTCGAGCCGTGACACGAAGAGGAGAACGGAGGACTCAAGCCACATTGCGGCTTCGACAGCAAAGTAACAAAAACAGATACGATGGGCTAGATGACATGACGTCATGCGTCAATGGCCAGATTGATCCAAGGATGTGGGTGTCTGGATGTTTTCCTCCGTGTTATTGTTGTTTACTTTGATTTGATACATCGCAACCTTTCTCTACGCAACCTGTCCCCATCAACTTAGCTCATTACGCCAGATAGAGGGTGCAATTGAGCTCCATTGCTGCGTTGTCCCATGATTCAGCCATCGAGATGCGAGTTGGGTGTTGCATTGCACAGACTTCCGAGGGGGAAAAGCCGATACCTCCGTCGTACTAGATGTCTCCCACCCGACACGCTAGAAACGCGCCGCAATATCATTTGACTTCAGCTCTTGTCAAGTTGTGGCGATATTGAGGCCTCCTGGATGTATAAGAGGTGCAACTATGGCAATAATCTCATGGAATGCGACAGCCAATTCATCAATACAACACCTGTGATCTGTTCACAGTCCCGTCACCTGCACACCGCCGCACACCACCACAAACATTGACCAACCACAGGCGCAGTCGGTTTTCATATGTCTTATGTTATGATGCACTCCCACAGTCATGCAGGGTAGCTGCCGGTAGACACAGAATGGAAGATATGGGGATGAATAGAGCCTATCGCATTTCAAAGTCTCGCAGGGGGTTGATGGCCAGATCTTGGGATTGGCAATGGTCGAGTCACATGTCTGTTAGACTCTAACTTTTGACTTGGAAAAACAATCGAATGTGCTCAGCCTCGTGTATCATCCAACAGACGTCTGCCCACGCAAGTAATCGAGCCTCGGCGCTCTCAGGAAAAGCAGTAGAAAGACATTTGACACTGATTGGAATCGCTGCTCCGAGAGCATCAGAATGGCTCATTGTTATTTGTCCCGTGCATTCATGAGGATGGAGAATTTGCCATTATGTGGATAAGTCTACAGCTTATGGTGCTATCGAAACAAGTCATCAGCGATTCGTAATGAATGGCATGGGAATAAGTCCATTGCACATGTGATTCTTTCTGAGAGGGAACCATGAGCGCTTGAGCTGTCTTCTCTCCCAACTCAAACACATGCTCTTCTGAATGGTACCTGTATCTCTACGCCGTATCATCGGGATTACTCTGCATGCAAGGCATTGGCTTAGATTCACGATGTCCATCATCGAATGAGCCCTTGCAGCTATCCGCGAGAACGTCTGAGGAATCCTCGAGCTCTCAGCCATTGAACTGAACTGGCATCTGAGCAGCTTAAACACAGCAATTTCTTAATACCTCGGGGTCCCATTTGCGACTCAGATTGGTGATGAACAGATCGCAGGCATACTTATGGGATCTCAACTGTGAGATGCAAGTCTTTCTACGATGGAATCCTATCTTGGGAGCCTAAACGGGGCTTCAAATTTACTCTGAGGTAGAAGGAAACCTGAGCCGAGAGGACCCTATGTACACACCCCGACTGATCAACTGCTTGGGAAATATTGGGATATGTTGGGAGTAGATTCCTTATTTCTTCATATCAACAAGCCTTGAGCTTCATCGGCAAGGCTGATTGTTCCTATGACTTGGATCATGTTTTAAAATGACTATGAAACCTATCGGTCGCGTACTCTAGTGAGCAACATTGTCAGCAAAGCTGATGGTACTTCAAAGTCTGTCTCGCGCCATTTGATTTACGCATGTTGTTCATCGGGAGGCTTGAAATTTGCTTGAAGCAGTTGAGGTTATCAAAAAGAGTTGAAGAATCTCCGACTTCAAAGCTGGTTCAAATTCACACAGTAAAAGGCTCAGAGCATTCCTTCGTGAACGTGTCTAGTGAACTTTTAGGGGCATCTGGATCAAAAGCTGTCCAAATCTTTGAATATCTACAAATGAGTAATGTTTTCAGAATCAAAATGTTAGTCAGTCATTCGATGTTAAATTCTAAAACGCAACAATTCGATAAATCAAAGAATGTCTTTTAGTCTCATCACCATCGTCAAAATAGAAGTTAGATAAGATAAAAGATAAGTAAAGACATTGCAAGACAGTATCTGTTCGTCATATCTTCGGGTGGCATGTTATAGGTGCAGGTCGAAGAGTCGAAGGCTCGCAAGCCGCAGGAACGCGATCCATATATGCACATGTTCCATTTGAAGGTGGCGTCTTGGTAATGGACGCAGGGCGGATGACGGCGTTGATGAGGATCTGGAACATGACGCGAGGGAGGAAGTATGGCATGCGAGGACTAGAAGCGCGATGCAAATGCATCTCCAGCCGGCTAGTCCTATTTCTTGAGTGGCAGTATGTCGTAATAGGCTTTATTCATTGCAACGGCGACGCGAGCTAGATTGATTGTTTTTGTAATAAGGATACTGAAAATTGGAATGATCCGAATTCTGATCGCTACCTTGATACTTGCCTTGGAAGCGCGGAAAGACAAATGATCTGCTAATATAAATGCTGTCTCGAATTCATCCACTTATCTATCGCGCGTATGAATGTCGCTCCAGTTCATTCAAGCCCCTGCAGGCTGTCGAATACTATGTCGGATTACACTTAGGCATTGTCGCCGCGTCTGTTGACCACTCGACTCATTGCGAGGAACAATATAGGTCCGACTACACATTTGCATCTCTTGATAATCTTGATAAAAGACTTTTCCATTGAAGCTGGCATTATCTTAATGGGCTCATCCCCTGAATCCAAATATCACCGGTTGTAACCTCCTGCCTGATACCTCTGTGCTATATCGTTTACATTAAGAGCCAGACAAGGCCGTGAGATGACTCAGTTGTCGTACCCTTGGGAGTCTAATTTTACAAGAAGCTAATTGCGAGGAGGCCTTCCTCCAGTGATTGAGTGAGTTTTCCAGGTTAAGCAGCTGAGCGCGGTTGAGAATGGGCTGAAGCGTGGCTGCAATACTGTCCAGGTTTTTGATAGAATTAGCACCGTTCCGATGGCAAAATGGTCCATTATCGATTGACATATATTCTGTGTGGGGTTGGAAAAGTATTAGCAGGAGAAAAGACATAACAAGATCTAGCAAGCCGCTATTTACTCAGTATGAAAGAATCTGTGAAGAGGCTGTCTGACAATTCAAACTAGGACGGCACGTCAGTCTTCACAACACCATACAAATATCCTCACAGCCCTCTCTCCTGCGTCTGCATCAACAGAGAACTTCACATACACTCATCGCCAACGTCGGGCACATGTCACATGACCTCTCGTGTCCTTACCCAACCCCACAGGGCCGTCGCCCACAGAGACCGCGGAACCCCAAAAGACGCATACAAGGAACAGTCCTGTGAGTCTCGGACATGACCCTGTTTACAAGCATGGCTCTTCCTGATGGGCATGTCTTCCCCGCCGAGTACAGCAGATCTTAATCCGGGGGGATCACTTCAAGCGTTTGAATGACCGACGTGTGCCCGAATCCATCGAGCGTATAAGGTTGTCGAACGGGAGACCTATTTCATGGTATATACGGACATAGATACATACCCCTCATCTACCGCGCAATTCAGCAAAAATGTATCAGGTAGATCTATCTTCTAAGGTATCCCAATGAACTCAGGAAGGCGCTAAAACACGTGGGTGGCGGTCTTGAAAAGGATGCTCTGCAAAGGTGGTGTCTGTCTTCGAACCCTGCTTTCCAAGATCCCACAAATGACTAGGTACCAAACCAACGGATCACTTAGGAACCTTCACTCATCAATAACCGGCAATAGAATTCTCGCGCCGTGCACAACGGTACTGCTTAGCTCCAACGCCTTGAAAAGCTTTCAAGAGTAAAGCAAGCTCCACATCGGCACGATCCCGTCGAGCGCTCGAGTCAATATGCCAACGGCAAACCCTTTCTCTCTTCAATTTCAGATGCGGGAGAAACCCAAAATAAACGAAAGTTCTCTATTCACAAGGCTTCGCACCCGAAATAGGAAAAGTAGCCAATGTTGATGCAGGTGGAAAGTCTATCGTCCCATGTCAACCCCAGTCAGCAGGATTCACTGTCGGGTCCCTTGGCTGGTGATCAAGTTGGCATGTTTGCCACACTCACGAGCTTTTTGACGACTTTCCATTAACCTAAATGCGTGGACATGTAAGGTTTCGAGGGAGATTGACCTCCAGATACAATTAACCTTGGGTTGACTCTCTGTGTTGGCGGATCCGTCAGTGGTCCGGCACCCAAAAGGCAAAGAACCACACAACCTTGAACTGGGATTCGTCGACGTGTAGCCAACCTACCTGCTCTGTTGGAGCCGAATACCTAAATGCCGAGACGACTCAACGGACCTCCGCCGCCGAATCTTCCGTCTCTCCCGCCGGGCTTTGTGGGTGAGTTTGAGAGATGGCTTGGCCCATCGACATCATAACCACCATGCCTCGTCACCATCGAGATGGTCTCTGGGAATAATCCAGAGGGCATGGAGAATGTTTGAATATTTTGAAGCGTACATCATCTATAGACTCATAGGTGAATATACCGCCTTCAAATCCGACTGTTGTATCCATACTGTCGGCAAATCAGGACCAACTGCCCCTGGTCAGCCACACGTGGCTGAATTCATCCCGTGAACCCCTCCACCCACACCGTCGGATCGCCGTGACGTTGCAGTCCTTGACACATCCAAGCTGAAACGGACCCCAAACTGTGACGTGTCGCACAACAGCCGCAGGTCCCATCAATATCTCCCCAAAGTATCGGTGTACCTTTACCGAACCGACAGCAGTTCAACACAGAGGTATCGCGAAGACGTGGCCAAAGAGAACATGCAAATCAGTCGTGACTGCGTGTTGTGGATATTCTTTTCTATGGAAAGAAAAAGCAAAACTGACATCCAACTATTTACGACAGAGAGGGGGACTCCTTAGAAACGTGGAGGATGAAGAGAAATGGGCCAAAAATAAAAGTAATAGATGTCACGCTGCTGCTTGATGCTGATGCTTCCGCCACTGCGGGCAGAATAAGTAGTCCACTCCTAGAACCTTCTCGACTTCGAAGATTGCCCTTGTTTTTTATAATCGCCTCTTACCAATTGTCTCGGACACCGTCGCATATTGGCGATGATTTATATGCGCTTGGCTGTGTCGCCTGCGACAGCCCGTCTTCTCCTGTAGCTCTCTGCGTAGACAATTCGCTCATACGTGCCGAATCCATAGAACCCCAGTCCGATGAGGAGCCAGGTACTGGTGACGATGAGACCGACGGGGAAGATCATCAGTTGCACGCCAGGGAGTACAAAGGCAACGGTGCCGTTCTTGAGCTGGGCGACAACTTCGTCGACGGCAGCCTGGGCAACGGCAAAATCAGATCTGATGATTTCCTTGGAGAAGACACCGGTAAGGAAGGCGGCCTCGTTGGAGGAGACGTTCGTGCTGACAGTCTGGCCAGCGGCATTAACACCAGTAAGCGTGAGAGTCGGCATAACGAGTGCTTCAAATTGTGCCCTGATCAATGTTAGCTTTTGGTACTCTGTTGAAAATAGTATAGAGGAGTTGGTACATGGACATGGGTGCCACCATTCTGGTCTGGTCGATCTGTCCGACAAACAGATAGGTTTGCAGGGCCTGCGGCGTGACGACTCTTTTTTGCAAGCCGGCCCAGTGGACTTCAAAGTTGATATCCCGTCGTGGAGTAGAGCTGCCAATTTTGCTTGCGCTAACTGGTGAGACGGATGCTCCGTTGAATGAAAGTCCAACCTGGATGTTTTGTGGCGGAATGCCCGAGAAGGCACCATTCGGCTCAGAGACCTTGAACAAGCGCAGGTCGGCTTCGAAGACACCAGTTTGGGAGTTCAGGCTCGGCAGGTTGTAGCAAATGCAGGTTCCAGAAGGGTTCGAGGCCTGGTCGAGATGTGAGAGGGCGTCGGTGCATTTGACCGACGTCTCCTGCTCCCAGGCCGTCATGTTGATGGTGCCGTCGTTGTTGAGGGTGACTTCGGTCGCCCTCGAACCCCACTCTCCGTCCACAACGGAGCTTTGTCGCTTTTCCATGTATCGGTTTGCGACATCCTCGTAGCTTCGTTCTAACACGTCCACCGCGCGGACCTCGACAGCGGAATCCATCGACAGCGGGCGAATCTCGGCGTAAGCGCGCGAGGCCAGCGCCGCCGTGGTCACAACCACTTTCCAATACATTGCCGTTGGTGAAGTTGAGAATAAGCTGAGGGTAGCGTTGTAGCCGGGGAGATCGGGCGGCTATCGTATTAATGGGCTCGGGGCCGAGAGACAAGGTGGGGCGAGTTGCTGATGATGGATTGGCGTCGCCAAGGTCTAATTACAAAGTCGGGTCCCGGCCGGCGGCGAAGCGAAGCGAATTGGAATAAGACGAAGCCAAAGAAAGAGCGTAGCTCGTGTCCACCTCGTCGTGTGCCCGGATTGGCGTGGTTGATCGGTCGATTGGAGTGTTGAGAATTGGTCGGTGTGCCGAGAGATTCGTTAACGACGGGGTCGAACCGAGACGAGTCGATTCGAATCGGAACCGGAATGGGCGAGAGGAGAGAGTGACAAGAGGTATTCGGCGGTGAGGAGAGGAAAGAAGAGAGAAAGGATAAAGGAAAAAGGGGACCTGCCCGTCAAAGGGAAGGATATGGTTAGTGCTGGCTTGGCTGTACTCGGGTCGCGTTAGTCGCGAGATATCTTGTCGACTCGACTCGGAATGGCGCAGAACGAGAGTTGGTCAGGGAAGAGGGAGCGTAGAGTGGGATGGGGTGGCGAGGAATCAATAAGGGCGGAGATTAAACGTCGATAAACCAGCAGGGCACAGCAGGGCTGGGCCTTTGACAACAGGAGACGTGTGGGAGGAATTGTGTCATGCAGCGACCATCGTGGTGCCTGGCAAGACGAGCAATGGCCTGACACGTTGTGATCCACAGCAGGGCTGAGAGGGGGGGGTTTGAGCCTTTCCTAGGTAGGATGGAGATGGGATTGATGGTCTGGCGTTGAAGACGAGAGCTCCTTGAGATTTGAGAGGCGGAAACGAGGAGTTTCCGCAGTTGGTGTGAATGCGATTTGTCGGGTGTGCGTGTCAAGGTGTATCGTGGAATAGACGGAGACGAGTGTCGGGAAGAGGGGGGATGGTAGCCAGACAAGGATGACGGTGGTCCTTGGGGAGGATCTGAGGCCACAGGCGTGCTTCAAAAGACCGAGACTGTGTGACTGTGTAGGACTGGAGGACCGTAGGGAGAATACGGTGGTACAACTACACAGCCGGCTGGCTGGCTATGGTTGCGAATAGGTATGGACGACGGACGCGACTGTGTTGGTCTGTGACTTTGTGAGACGGCAAATGCAACGAGAGGCGCGCAGGGACCTGGGTCCTTTGGATGCTGGCAGGCCTGGAAACCTCTGCGCGTGGAAACGGGACAAGAGGGAGGGTTGAAGATGGATAACGGAGGCGGGATGGATGGATGGATGGATGGGTGGATGGAGGGATGGGAATGGGGGCGAACTGTGCGAGGGTCAGAAGGCTGTAGCGGGATGGTGCCAAGTTTGGATCCGAGGCCGGTGATTGGCTGCCGGGGTGGTGGAGGGACGGGAAGACTGGAGGTGGCTGCCCGGGCTGTGAGGTAAGTCGAGGTAAGGTTAGCCGGGGGGACCTTCCTTTAGTCCCCTTTGGGTGTAGCGTACCGGCTCGTAGGGAAAGATTAAGCAAAATCGAGGCACGTGCGGCACGTGATGTCGCCCACACTGAGCCACACAGTACCTTACCGTCCTTACCTAAGGTAGAAAAAGGGGGACCCCTCCAGGATACGTACCCCTCGGTCGAATTCCAGTGGCAGCCGCCGCCTCTCCCTCTTGTCTCCTCTTGTCTGGATTCCCCCCTCTTGAATCTTTCCCAGTCGACATTCCCTTCACCGACCGTCCCGCCTTGGCTTCTTTTCTTCTTTCCCCCCTGCCTGTCACTGCCAGTCTGCACTTTGCCCAGCCCGAGAAATACGGGAATCGGCAGGGCTCTCAAGATCAACTGTGGACCACCCAGCCAGCTTGGCGCTTGCCGGTACCGCTAGCATGCTGGACAAACAGAGCATTGGACGGAGTGGCCTGAACCAAAACGGAGTCGACTAATCGGCGCACGGCCTGGCCGCGAGACGATCGAGACGTGTCACCCTCCTACATCTCCATCGACGGTCTTCTTCTTCCCACATTCACACTTCTAGCTTGCGGCAATGTTTGAGCCTCCCCTCGAACGAAAAGCTCAGATGTGCGACTTGTGCCTGGATCTGGTGAGCATATCCCTACCTCGAGCCAGCAGCCAACCCATGGCATTGTCGGATCGAATGGAGATGGAACAAGCGTCGTTCGAGGAATGGTCGGGGGCCGAAGCGGTTTTGGGCGGTAGAGTGCCTCTGATTGGCTCTTTTCTTGAGTGGAGGCGCCAGGGTCTTGAGTGAAGATTGTTTGGTCAGGGGTACCATACGATCCTTGTGCTTCCCTGCTTCACAACCTTCACAACACCCGCGCCAGAAGGATCTTTTCCCCATCAGTCACAAGTCACAGGTCACAAGTCACCACCCGAGTTGCTAGTGAAGACTTGAGAGGCACAGTCAGCGATGGCACCGGGAAGGGGCTTAGATCCCATCGGCGACAGCAGCCACCGGTTTTAGACTTTGAAGCCGCACGCTGCACAATCCGATGTACAAGACTGAATACGGGTGTCTCGAGGCTTGAGCACTTATTCGTATGTTCCAACGTGGCAACGCCCACAAGATGACGAAGAAGCACAGCATGGGATGCGATCGAATGGCCTCTGCGTCTCGTCGCTCGGATATGATGCCTGTGGTACGGATCGCAAGGATGGGCCGCGACAATGAACGAAAGGCGGACGGACGTTATCACGTAGAGAATCGATATCGCGGTCATCAAGCCATTCACTCTGAGAATGGCCGCATCATCACGCCTCTCACCGGATCCCAATAGCTCAAAAGGGCCAAGCCCGGTTCTCACAGTAGAGAGTTAAACTATTTCAGCGCCCTCAAGACTCACCGGCACTCAGTATTCGTACTTCATGCTCAATGCTCATACCGAAGGAGCAGGCCTACATTGCCGCGCGCGGCGCCTGCAGGCAGTGGCCCTTGTCTCAGGTGAAACGCGTGGGCCTAGCACGACCAGGTCGAGCGCGCTGGGCAATTCCATGGCATCCATGCAGACACTGCAACACACCTCGCCCAATTCGATGGTCACCGCCGCGCAGGGAAATGGAGGAGACGGGGGCCACTGCTGAGAATGGGCCAGAACAGCTGAGGGGCATATGCTGGGGGCCGGGCCCATGTTGCAGATTGTCCTCACCTGCTTTGAATTGGCGGTATCCGTAGATTGATTCGACATTCTCGAATCGGGCTGTTCCGAGACCATCAGGACTGCGCCACAGCCATACACGAAGTGGAAGCCACACTATTCACCAGCCCCATCTGCCACATTCATAATTAGTCATTGTTCTTCAGCCACACCTGGCTGTTCCTCCCACCAGTCCAGGCTCCTCGTCGTCCTCACCACGACGTTCCACCCTTTGGTCGCTGGCCCCCCCTGCGATTTTTAACCTCCTGTCACCAAAAGCTTGGCCTCCTCCTCGTCTGAAACCCTGGCCTAACACTGGCATTGCTCATCAAATTGATCGCCCTTGAGGCGTATTCTTTCACTCTATTGGCACATGGCCCTGCCCAGTGGCCCATCAACCAGGAGAAGCTGCCCTGTCTTCAATTTGGGATACGGATATTTGGTGCGGTGAGCCTGGAAGTACGACGACAATTGAATAAAATTGATCGCCACCTGTATCAGAATCATTTCCACGAGCTGTCAACATCTCTACAACCATCTGCTTTTATCACTCACTGCTAGCATCACTATCTATCTTGACATTCGGTTTCCAGTTGCCGAGGAAAAGCAACGACGTCCCATCGCGACGACTGATGATCACACCGTGGCTGATGCTCGAAACACACTTCCCATCTCCAGACTCCTGGCCGCTCGTGGTGCGACCTGTTTCGGGACCCCGGTTGGTTTGCGAATGGATTGTCGCGCTCTCCCACCTCCCGCCAACCCTTGACGATAATTCATAGTCGTTGTGATAAGGTGAGAGCGGCATTTGTATTACGGGGCATCTCCTCTATACTCCGCTTGTTATACGCTCGCCTACCCGTCTCACGGGCCTTCAATGACGTGGCCAGGGTAGATTGATCGACCATCGCGGCAAGTTTCGCCGGTTCATGTCAACGTCGACGATCGATTGAACAAATTGACTTTCATAGTTCAAACAACGCCCATGACGACTACTGAGTTATTCGCCCCAACTGCCCCTATCGCAAATGCTACCAAATCACCAAGACATTCGCCAAACGCCAACATCAAGCCACAAAACACCTATCAATCGGTCTCGTTTCTGGGAGCAACGCCTCGGCGCCCTTGAATGAAAATCAAACCACCCATTCCGGGTCATTACTCGACCGCTCTTTGGCCCCAATACCGTGGCAACTTGCCTTTGGCCCATAGAGCGGCCTCGGTAAACGCCAGATACATCCCCGTAAAGAACCAGAAAGTCATGACAACGCCGAACCCGCCAACGAGCTTGGCATCCACTATCCTACCCACCACCACGTCGCGCATGGCATTGTTCATCAGAAGCCAGCTGTATATTGGCACAAGCTGGCTGGCTTGCACGGCGATGGACGACCGCTGATGGACAACCTGGGCCTTTTCTCGCTCCCGCTCTTCAATGGTGTCAATCATCCTCCAGGCGACCTGGTTGTTGATCTTCTCCCAGGTAGCCTCGCACGCCATCGCTCGAGCCTGCGCGGCCATTTCCTTTCGACAGTCTCTGTCTTTGGAGAGATACATGACCTTGTCAACAAATGTGTCGAGGTCGTTCGGCGGTACAAGATATCCGGAGCGGCCGTCGTCGATGATATCGCTGGGTCCGCCCTCATCCCGGGCGACCACCGGAACGCCGCTAGCCATCGATTCCAGGACAACCAGACCAAAGGTCTCGGTGACGGAGCAGTGGAGAAAGATGTCGCCCGATGCATACGCTGTCGCCAGGTCGTCTCCGGTCTTGAACCCGGCAAAGATGACTTTGCCTTGTTCTCTCAAAGGATCAAACATCTCGTGAACCTCTCTTTCCACTTCTGTATTGCGGTTTCCGCCGACGACATAGAGCTTGAAACGAAGACCTCTCGCATCGAGTTCCTTGACAGCCTTGGCCATGAAGTCAAACCCCTTCTCACCTGCCACCCTGGAGACGCAAATCAGAATGATTTCTCCACCCGGGGCGATTTGCTTCCTCAACGCCTCGCTGCGCATTTCCGGTCGGAACAGCTCCGTCTTGACGCCTCGTCGCAGTACCTCCAACTTGGAGCTCTGGACCCCTTGGGCCTCGAGATACTTGCGCACGAAGCGTGAGGGGTAGAAGATGGTCTTGACCGACTCGTGCTGGAACAGAAAGCTCTGAACCATGGCAAAGGCAAAGACGGCCATCGTGCTGAACGGATGAGGGAAGAGGATGGCGCAGTACCCCGCCAGGTCGGTCTGAAAGTTGCAGATCACCGGCACCCGTTTCTCCCTTGGCTGTTGTTGGAGCTGCAGCATGACCTGGAAGCCCAGCGATGCCGGCGAAGCGAGATAGATCAGGTCGGGTGGGCTGTCTGAACCAAAGGTCCTCGCGAAGAGAGCCGATACCCGCACGGGATAGACGACTGAGAGTTCGGGGTTGAAGGGTAACGGGTATCCCTGAAGGCGCACTTCGACCTCGCCGTCATTTTTTGTGGAGGGTGAAAAAGTGTTGTGCTGGGTGTGATTGTGAGGCGCCACGACGGCGACAAGTGCGCCGTGGGATCGCAGGTGCTCGACAAGCATCAACGTTGTGCGGCTGACGCCGTTGACGGGGCCAAAGGATTCTGTACAGAGCAGGATGCGCTTCCCTCGCAACGAGGACGGGAACATGGAGTTGTCGTGATCGGGATACCGTGGCATGGTGCCGTAGCTCTTGGGTAGGAGGGGCTCTGCCATGGCCGACGGCGTCTGTTCTGTGAAAGCTACGAAATACCTAGGTCTGTTGCCGTGTCAGCTACTCAGCCTTCCACCAAGGGCTCCGCCTCTCACCGAAGAGCAACTTGAAGTCCTTACAGTAAATGTTAGGAACGGGCTGTCGGCAACTGTTGCAGAATTCAGAAATCTGGGGTCTTGGGTGAAGTATCTGATGAAGATGGTGGCGATCGCCGAGCATTGGAGAGATGCGCCATAGGGCCGTAGGTGGCGCTTGGCTTTCTGATATCTGCTTCGCGCATATTTGCGACGTACGGACTGGACATGAGGCATGCTGGTCAGGCGACCCGGATGTGTCATTGTGCTAAGCCTATTGTCACTACCTTGAAGATGTGACCTGTAATGTGTGGCGGGGAGAAGGGGAGGGGGGAGACTCGAAAGAGAGCCTGTCGAAGCGCAGTGATGGACCACATGGCAAGCTTCTCTGGCCAACCGCACACGTGGTGGGGGCGGGGCAATTCATCAAGATTGTCGGGTGCATCGCTGCAGGGTCCAGAAGCCAACTCTGGTTGCTTGTCATGCCGACCACGAATCATTCTTCTCGCGCATTTTCCACTCATAACTGAGGTTGACGATACCGCATCACAAAAACCTCGCATCAACTCATAGGCTCTTGTAACTGTTGCATAGGGGCCTGTTCACTACCTAGCCTCATCATCGCTATACGCTAATCAAAGACCCGCTGTTGATTCTTGTTGCAGTCTTACTTGGACATTCCAAGCCATCAACACTCTGCGGGGCACATGTTCAGGATTCGATCAACAAGTTCGTGAGGCAAGGTCAACGATGAGATTATTCGGAGATCCACGCACATTCTAATCTAATGTACAGTGCATGGTACCAGAAAAAATCCTCGCAAATTTTCCGACCTTGTCATGCTTTTTTTGGCATCCGTTTTCAGACAGGCTGGAACCCCAGAGAGCAAGATCGCGATACATCAGGTCAACAGCCAATCAGAAGCCTGGAACGCGGCACATTTCCGCTTCGGTGGATGAGAGCCAATCAGCGAGACGGCGGTAACTTCTGTGAGATACATGAGATACAAACATGACCAAGTCGCATTCTTTGCCGACGAGGTGACCACATGACGGGTTCCTGATTCAGACACTTGGGCAGTCGGCGAAGCGAATAGCCGGCTTGATCTAGACGCCCGTGGTGTCTCCGGTTGGGTGACGATTGTCGACAACCTCGTCCACGATCCGGCGCATTCTTGTACATGATCCCAAGCCATCTCGTCCAAGCTGACGAATCGGAATGGCGACCCGGGCGATCGGGTCTTTTCGAGGATGCAATTCGCTCTTTCCCATCAACCACGTCGTGACGAAGTGCTATCAGTTGGAGGGGCATCGCGGTGGAAGAGGGGCAGCGTGATGGTCAAGATGGAGATCGTGTGGCCACCTGCGCTGATATTCGACGATAAGCCGCGCCGTTCATTGTCGTGATCTCGCAGTCGTCTGGTCGTTGGTCACTTGCATTTGCGCTCGGCCGCTACCGGGGAAAACGTGGCAGCCAACTTTTGGTTTGGAGGTCCTACAAAGACCTTGTCGATGCTGCCAACGTATCAAACTTCGCATGAACCCGTTGCTGAAGCTCTTCATGCTCAATTTTAGACCTCAAATTCAATCCTACTTTGAAAGACTACTGTTGGACGCCATCCCCTTCTTCCTCTCACATACTCTCGGAATTCGGCAATTTAACCGTCGCGCCGCATCTCCTCGACTCACGACCAAACCTGAGCTGACGCGCGTCAAGCTCTTAAAGCTGATACAACGCAGTCGTTCATCGCCCCTTTCTCTCTGCAGCAAATGCCTTACTTTTAGACGGCGCATTCCTAAATCAAGAGCACAGGTGCGGTCCTGAAAGCCACGTCAGATCTACAGACGCCCGTTCGTTCCCGCACGGCCGCCACCGTTGGTTGAACCATGCCTAATCCAAAGATAGTGAAACGAACGCCTTTTCTCCCCCACCCCATCGGACGAAATCACCAGCTACGGCGGAATCGATTCAGATATTAAATAGTTCTGATCCTGGGCTTTGAAGGGAAAGTAGTGTGAGAACGGGGATTGAGGAGCTTTCACTGCGGCCATGACAATGGCGGACGTTCACGGCATCACCGTTCCAATTGTTGACAACGATGCGGACGACAGAGCGGCTTCCACAGTTCCAACGACGCCAGAAGGGAGTTGCACTTTCAGTCCCGTCGTCAGAGCGGCAAGCCAACTAGTCATCGATGGCGATGACGCAAGCGAGGACGTGTTTCCTGCGCTCGACACGAAGATCGAGGAGGAAGGGTGCTCTGTTGGTCAGAGTCCAATTCGCAACATCTGCTGCGTAGGTGCCGGTTACGTGGGTAAGTCACGATTGAAAAAAGTACGAATTCCCCGGACGAGAAAGTTGAACCTTTTGACTTAGGAGGGCCTACGGCGGCGGTCATCGCCTTCAAAAACCCGCATATTCGCGTCACAATCGTGGACAGAGATGAGCGGCGCATCCGCAGGTGGAACTCCAAGCACCCTCCCATCTACGAACCTGGCCTGCGAGACATTGTCCGAGTCGCAAGAGATGGCGCAAAAGAATACTCGGTCCCCAGCGAGCACGTCAAACTGGGACGACACTTTGAAACCGCGTCCTCATCGTCATCAGTCACATCCGAGTGTGGAAGTCAGTGCGGCGAGGGCAGCATCACAGTGCCGTCCAGGCAGCCGAATCTCTTCTTCTCGACAGAGGTCTCGCGGTGTATCTCGGAAGCGGACATTGTCCTGGTCGCAGTCAACACGCCGACAAAGACACGAGGCCAAGGGGCGGGCAGTGCTACGGATATGGCGGCCTTTGAGGCCGTCACCGCCGTGGTGGCCCGGCATGCGAGGCCGGGAGCCATTATTGTCGAAAAGTCTACAGTCCCATGCCGGACCGCGGAGCTTGTGAAAGAAACAGTGAGTCTTGGAAACTTGCGTCCCGATTTTGCCCCCCTTTTCCCCCGGTGAGTTTCCCTAGCTAAACAGAATAAATTCTCCGCGCAGCTCGCCGCCCACCGACCCGGCGTCCACTTTGAGATCCTCTCCAACCCAGAGTTCCTCGCCGCCGGCACCGCGGTAAACGACCTCCTGCACCCAGACCGCGTCCTCATCGGATCGGACACGACGAGCTCGGGCACGCGCGCGGCCGCGGCGCTCGCGGGGATATACGCCGGCTGGGTACCTCGCTCGCGCATCCTGACGACAAACGTGTGGTCGTCCGAACTCGCCAAGCTGGTGGCCAACGCCATGCTCGCGCAGCGCATCAGCAGCATCAACTCCATCAGCGCAATCTGCGAGCGGACGGGCGCGGACGTGGACGAGGTCGCTGCCTCTGTGGGCCGGGACCCACGCATCGGGGACAGGTTCCTCAAGGCGGGCATCGGTTTCGGGGGCAGCTGCTTCAAAAAGGACATCTTGAGTCTCGTGTACCTCGCCGAGTCGCTTGATCTGGACGAGGTGGGGGAGTACTGGAGGCAGGTGGTCAAGATGAATGAGTACGCGCGCGACCGGTTCACGAGGCGCGTGGTCAAGTGTCTCAACAACACCCTGGCCGGGAAGAAGATCACCGTCCTCGGGTACGCGTTCAAAAAGGACACGTCGGACACGAGGGAGTCGCCGGCGCTGGAGATTATCCGGACGCTGCTGGAGGAAGGGCCGCGGGAGATTGCCGTGTTTGACCCGTGTTGCAACCCGCTCGTGATCCAAGCGGAGATCCGCCAGCTCTGCGGCGGCGGTTCGCAGGCGACGCTCAAGGAAGACGGCGGGCCCTTGGCGGTGTACGGAAACGCCTACGACGCCTGTCGCGACAGCAACGCGGTCCTCATCACAACCGAGTTTGACGAGTTTCGCAACACCGCCAAGGACAGCGCCAGGGACAAGCCAGGTTTCTCGTCTGCTGTTCCCCACGGATGCACGACGTCGCGGGCGGCGGTGGCGGCGGCGGCGGGTCTCGAGCTTCGGCTGCCGGATGTGCTAGTTGCGCTGCAAACAAGGCATCTTCAGGCGAAAAACGGCCGGGCGGGAGGAGGAGACGAGGAAGGGTGTGCGACTTTGGACGACCCGCTTGGGCGTTACATTACAGAGCCCGCGTGCGCGGGGGACTGCCCGGATTGTCGGGCGGAGGAGGTGGACGGCGAGGTCTCGGGGTTTGCCACCACCGGGCTGGAGGCGGACAATGTGAGTAAATCCAAGGAGAGGGTCGACTGGGAGAGGGTGGCGCGCGATATGCAGGTTCCGAGGTGGGTGTTTGACGGGAGGGGGGTGATAGATGTTCATGAGATGGTCAAGCTTGGGGTTCGCGTCGAGAGTGTTGGGAAACGGGGGCGGAGTTGAGCCCGCTTTTGCGAGAGCTGTTTAGGAGCTTCTGTCTCTTCTAGATGGGGATGACCATATTCTAATCATTTGACGAGACGGCGAGGCGAATTCGAGATAGTCACGGTTGACAGAAGCAACTCTATTAGAAAGGTGGGAGAGTCAGTCTACGAGAGGCTGGACTCACACGTTGCTGCCACACAAAGACCTCATCATCTGGACTGACTCTGACTTGAGACTGATTAAACACTAAGGGAAGGGAAGGGAAGAAAGAGTGCCGACGAGAGTAAGGCCACAAGCATCAAGGCAGCTGCTTCCTGGAAGCTTACTTCTGTTAACCTCAATGCGCATCCGATGCGTGGGCTTTCATCCCGTTCCTGGGTTTGCGTTTCACGCTACCTTGCTTGAGATATCCTGTTCTCGCCAACCAAAGGGGATCACGCACATTCGGCCTGCGAGTTCGTCTGAGAATTGCTCGAGGGAGAGAAATGTAGCTTCTAGACCCAGGCATCTCGATATGAGCTGTGTTAGATCCCGTCTTTGTTCTCGCATTTCTCGCATCTGGGTGCTTACTGCTTCACCGCTCACTAATTATCAAACTTCTCCTCAATCCTGGCATTTTACCCAGCTCACCTGGTCACAAGAATGTATTGACTGGAATTGTTTCAAAACCACACAAGACGCTAGGAAATTAAACACCGATAAGCTCGTCATGAAGCAGAGCCTCAGATACCACCATCTGCTACGTGCATCGATTGACTCCCAAATTCTCCCCCTAGCTCAGGTCCCACCACCCTTGAGCCAACCAGGGACACTGGTGCAACACCAAAGTGAGTTGTTTCTGATCGTCGATTTTCCCATGCTCTGGGACGCTTGGGGGGGATGGACCTTGCCCGCGACCATCGTGATGCATTGCGATTGGCGAGTCGCCGCGGTCTGTTCGCGTTTCACGTTGCACTCTTTCACCGGCGCGCACGAGTCTCGAGTCTCACCCAGGAGGCAAAGACTTAAGCTAGTTGAGGATCTGGGGAGAGAGAGAATGTGAGGAGGGATGATGCCTCCTGTCGCCTCACCCAACCTTTCCCTCATGCGATGGTTTTGTTTCCGAGACATGTACGACGAGTCGTTCGAACCCAGGGTTTCGTAGTCTCCGGTATGAAGCCAGTCTTGCGTTCCTCACACCAAGCCTGACAAGCTTACCTCACTCCCGCCCCTTGTGCCTCGTCTTTCGCCCTCCTGGTCCACAACTTTCTTTTAGAGTATTTGGCGCCATGGTGTAGCTTAACCGGCTGCTTGCCGGCTGCTTGCCGGGGTGCCGGGTAGCTTAATTCGTCAGGTCAGGGGGAGCAAGGTGTTTGGGTCTTCCGTCCAACCTTTTTTTTTTCTCCCTTCCCCCCTTCTGAAGTTTAAACTACCGTTTCATGCATGTCTGTTGTTGGGCGGGAAGCGGCTGCGTCTTGAGTCTGAGGATGGGTGTGTGAGGGCAGCGTAGAGGAGAGACGGATGTCTGATATAGTTGTTGGGCTTGGGGTAGTCATTCTGCCTTTTGAGACCTTTTGGTTTGGATGATGTGCGGATGATCTTCCCTCTCCTTGATTTCGCGTGGGCGTATGTCGTGGATCATTCATATTTTTGCGACCAGCGCGCGATCGGAGTTGATTCACCTGTCTCGCCCTCAATAACCAACCACCGACATCCGTGGTGCTAATTGTGCGGCTTTCGAGAAACGATCGACCATACAAAAAAGATGAGAGGAACAGAGGCATCGGTGCTGGTCCTCTCGGGCCTCGCAGTGTTGGCGAGTGCCAAAGAGTTGCAGATCGACGACGTCCCCGTCGAATGCGCAACAATATGCGGACCCATTGTCGAGTTGACATTCAAATGCGACGTCGACAACAGCTTTGACGAGCTCAAGCGACTAAAGAGGAGGAAGGTCGACGCACCGCAACAGAGACCGCCGCCCGAGAGACGACGGCACGCCAGAAAACCATCACCAGCAAACGCACGCGGCGTCGTACGCCGCCATCACCACCGCGATTCCAACCAAGAAGACGCGGTGGAGATGTCGACGCCCTCCCTGGATCAGCCTCAAGCCACCAATGTCGTCGAGGTGCAACAACCTCCTCAAGATGTGCAGCAGCCTGCCCAAGACGCGCAGCAGCCGGTTGCAGATGCTACGCCGGTCTTCATCGCTACGCTACCCTTTGCTGCCCCCTTGCCGGATCCTCAGCTAAGCACGCCGGATCCTCAGCTGAGCACATCGGATGCCCAGAGCACGCCTACGCCCTCAGCGCCGCCTCCTCCGCCGCAAGCAACGCCGTCGATAGATCCCCCACCGCAGTTACCTCCGCCTGCGCCTGTCCTGATCACTTCAACAGTGTTCCTGACGGTGCCGGTGCCAACGGTACCCACTCCGGCGCCGCCGCCCCCGCCGCCTCCCCCGGTAAAGGCCCCGCCCCCCGTCCAGGCCCCACCTCCGATTCAAGCTCCGCCCCCAGTCCAGGCCCCTCCCCCTGTGCAGGCGCCGCCGCCGGTGCAGCCGCCTCCGGTAATCACAGTCCCGCCACCACAGCAACCTCAACCTTCACCGCCACCACAGCAATCAACTCCGTCGTCCTCCCAGCAGACCACGCCCCCGATGCTCCAGCCAACACCACCGCAACAGCTCCAACCCCCCCAAGCGTCCATGAGCATCCCGGCCGCAATGCCGGTCATGGGCGGCGGGCCCGAGAAGCAGCCGGATAAGAAGCCGGATGCCAAGTCGCCTAATGACCGGGAAGAAGCCGAGAAGCAGTGCACTTGCTCAAACAAGAGCTTTGATGTGCAGTTGCTGGCTGGGCTGTGCCAGAGTTGTATTCAACAGTCTGGAAACCGGGCAAATAGTGAGTGCAGTCTTCCTTCTTCCGCTGCAACCCCCCAATTATCTGTCCAATTATCTGTTTCTACGGCTTGCTTTCATCAACGCTCCCCAAGAGAAATAAATAGGGGGCACAGGCTAACAAGAGGCAGACCTGGATTTCATCATGAAGGAGTGCAACTTTGTGGCATCGACGTACACGCGCGATAAAGATCGGCTCGTCGACAACATCCGCGTGGTCGCGGAAAAGCCATTCTTGACGTCTAGCGGAAACGTCATGGCTGATGCGGGGAGGGTCGGGGCTGGATGCGCTGCTGCGGCTGCGGTGGTTGTCAGTCTTGTGGCTGGGATGACGCTGCTTTTGTAGGGACATGGAGAGGTCTATTGACCATATTACATAATATCATGGACCAGAAAAAGGAGTGAGACTTATTACTTTCGAGGCTGGAATGAGGCTGGAATTGTCTGTGGCTTGGGGGCTCGGTGTCAATCTGAGGCGGTTTGTTGCAGGTGGTAAAATGGTAGTGCCCGAAAATCGCCGGGTGATCGGGGTTTTGTGCTTGGAAGCCACGTCAAAAGAACTAGCTAGACTTTAATTTCTACGACCTACGTGGGCTTTTGGTATGAAGATTCGATACCGCAGTGAGCCGCAGGTGAATAGAGTCGTGTCTATTCCAGCTAATTTCTTGAAGACTTTGTACAAGAGCACTAAGAGGAACCTGGCTGAGACCGACGTAAGCTGTTGTGGTGTCTCGAGCAAAGGCTGTGAATAACTTTTCAGTCGGATTCGCCGCCGTTCAGTCCCACCACCTTCCACTGTTCACTCGTGACTGCAGCTTTAATAGCACTGTGTATCAAGATATTCTGACATCCTCGACTTCCATATCGCAACTTGTTCCAGTCAACCGGAAAATCTCTCTAAAAGGGGGTTGACGATGAGCGTCTTCCGCATTGGGGCGAAACCAATCCAGCCCGCTGATTGGCTGAGGAAACTCAGAAGTGTAAATGCACTGACGAGGAGCACAGCTACTCGAGGCATTAAAGGTTTCCAGCGTTGCAGTGTTCAATTTGGACCATTCAGTTGGATCAAAAACACTCTTCTTGGTGATGGGAAGTCGATTTTCAAAGATTTCCCGCACTCATACGGTCCTGTACTCTCGGGTTTAAGAATGAGCGGAGATGATGGAGGTCCGCATCCCATGACTTAGCTCATCACAAGCAGGCAACAGGATCGGCCCACCTGGGTCGCTGGTTTGCATTGCCTCGTTTCCGCTCCCTAGAAAATGTATAAATATCGCACGAATGCCCTCCAAATATCTGTCCTTATTCTCATGCATCACCACCTCTTTATTCTTTCCTACCTTGCTCTTCTTTCTACTCTTGACTGTCACCGCCTATTCTAATTCCATACCCCTCTTATCTCCCTGCTGCAGCCAAGTCTCACCCACTTTCCCAGCGAAACCATTGAAGCCATCAAACATGTCAGACCTTGCTCACCACAAGGAATACCATGTGCGAGACTTGGCGACTCGATCCGTTACACTCTTCCCCAACAGTGCCCAGGTTGTGAGGGACTTGCGTAACCTACCATTGAAGGTGAAGATACATCTGTGCCCCCTTAGTGTCTCGTTCCACGACTGACACGAGCAACTGTACTAGCCCGGCACCAATGAAATCACCATCCTCGGATTGACTCCCACAGTCGACGAATCTACCATCAAGGTAGATGGCGCTGGCTCCGCCGTAATCACCGATATCGCCATAGAGCTAGTTCTCAATCGCGAGATCTTCCAGGATCTCTATCCGGACTCTGACGACGACATGTCAGACGCTGGCGCTGATGACGAAGAAGAGGAAGTTGAGAGCGAAGAACTCCCCGCTCTCGAAAAGGTAAGAAACCGAATCCGAGAGCTGCGAGAGGAGGAGCGCAGTGCAAAAGAAGCAGTCGAGAGCGCCGCCAGTCGTCTCAAGATCCTCGACGCGTACGGAAAGTCCCTTGACCGCAAGAAAGGCATCATCAACATTGCCGACAGCATTGAAACCTATCGGGCCGAGCGGGACCGAATCTTCCAGGACCACGTAGCCGGCGTCACGCGCGGACAAGACAATATGAAGCGCCTCAACGCATTCCTCAAGCAAGAGAAGCGGCTCGTCAAGCAACAAGATAGAGAAATAGCGGACGCGGCTCGTGCTAGAAAGAGAGCCCGGAAGGAACGAGAGAGGGAGAAGCAGACTGATGCCAGGAGGCGACAGAAGTTTCAGAAGGAAAAGACTCGGGTTCGGCTGGAGCGGGAGCAGTTTTGGCCCAGGCAGTGCTACTCTGTTCGGGTGTCTCTCGAAGTCGCGGCGTTCACTCCTACATCCTCCCGTCGGACATCGGTGTCGAGTGAGACGGCCCAAGCTTGGCAATCGACCCCAGAGAAGCCCGGTGATGGCGATGCCATTGTGTGCGACCTCTCCTTGTCGTACGTCACCTCTTCCGCCTTCTGGGCTCCGAGTTACGATTTGCAGCTGTTCACCACGAACAACACTGGCATATTGTGCTACGATGCGCGGATTACCAACAAGACGTCCGAGACATGGAGCAACTGCAAAGTCGTCCTTTCGACGTCCCAAGCCACGTTTGCCGGGCTCGAGAACGCCATACCGACTCTGAAGCCCTGGAACATCAAGTTGGCGCCCAAAGACGGCACCACAGAGGGGGCTGATATCCTCGCCAGTCGGGAAGAGCGTCAGCAACGAAATGAGTGGTGGCGGTTCCAGCAGACAAAGACGCACAGCCATAGACATCGCAGCCATCTGTTCGGCGTAGATCGCAACGCTGTCGCCAATGACGGTGCAAACCTGGCGGACTACCAGCGGAGCCTCATGATACTCCGCCAGGAATCGAACAACGCACCAAGCATAATACAACAAGCACGAGCCCAGCAGCAGATGCAGCAGGCACAACAAATGCAGCAGGCACAACAAATGCAGCAGGCACAACAAATGCCGACGCAGCAGATGCTGCAGATGCAGCAGGCACAAATGCCGATGCAGCAAATGCCAATGCAACAAATGCAGCAAGCTCCCCCGCCACATCCAGCGAGGTTCCCGGAACCAATCCAAGACCCCATGGCCGAAGCATCCGAAGAAGATGACAACCTCGATTTCCAAGAGTCCACTATTGAAGAAACGGGCTTCACCACGACCTACGACCTGCCCGGCGCGAAGACGCTACCCCCTCGCCCAACCGCGTCCAAGCAGCGCGTCGCCCGTATCAACTTTTTCAACATCGCCTTCAGCCATACAATCATTGCCAAATACAAGCCGGTGGCGTACCTCAAAGCCCGAATCCGCAACAGCAGCCGCCTCACTTTGCTCCGGGCCGAAGCAGGCCTCACTCTCGACGGGACCTTTATGGGCCGCATTCAACTGCCACGCTGCAGCCCTGGCGACGTCTTCTCGTTGGGTCTCGGCATCGACCCGGCGATCAAGGTCAACTACCCCAAAGTGGACGTCCGACGAACGACGACGGGCCTCTTTTCCAAGGAAAACAGCTCGGTGTACAGCCGCAGCATTACCGTCTTCAACTCTCGGGCTTCGGCGGGCAAGCCCGTCTCGCTGGTTGTGCTTGACCAGGTTCCCGTGTCGGAGGACGAGCGTCTCAAGGTCGATATCCTGGCACCAAAGGGGCTTGTGATTGACGGGTCGGGGGTCTCTACTGGGCAGCCTGCTCGTGAGGGCAAGCAAGACGTCGATTGGGGCCAGTCGACGGCCACGTTGAAGGGGCGGCAGGGCCAGGTGGAGTGGCAGGTGAAGCTCAATGCTGGCAAGGCTGTGAAACTTGGCTTGGAGTACGTTGTTGCTCTTCCATTGGGTGACTCGGCGACGGAGTGCTCTTGAAGTGAAGTTGGCAAAACGTCCAGAGGATTGATTGACAAAAGACGGAGAACGAATAAGCCGTTGCGTTGGCGATAATTAGTGTATTTTTGATGTACTTTAGGCTGAAAGCTATAGTCTTGAACACGGCGTGTCTACACGCTCTTTGATTTTAAAAGAAGGCGACAACCAAGTAATAAATGAGATATTCAAGGTTGAATACATTAATACAAGATTAATCATTCGGTCAGCTTGAAGCGGCGGACATGACCGCCTGCAAAGAGGCACTGCTACTTAGTCAGGACGTGTAAAGCATTAAATCACCATCGGCATGCCACCGGCATGCCGCTGGAAACTTTGTTCAAAGAGCCGTTCTGGAAGCTCTGTCAGATCGCTTCTTTACTACGCAGTTCACTAATCAGGTAGAACAGTTCCGGACAGACTGCTAGCCCTTTTCCCTCGAGCCACATTCATCATAACACTCCGAATATTGAACGAGTCGGAGATTTTGAGCAAAACTGAGTCGAGAGTGGTAGCTCATACAAACCGTAGAGTGAGTCCAACGGAATCGAGGCCAATTGGAATTCTATCAGCTCTTACCTATTGTTTCAACATCGTGATACCAGTATGTCGTAGTAAACAAGTTGTCACCAATCATTGGACCAGGCCTTCCAGGACCAGCCGGTCCGAGTACAGAGTACAGGAAGGAGCATGCAACTTGCGCTTCGCATCGTCTAGCGAAAATGGCATTTTCCAATTGCCGAGTTTCAATGGACGAGAAGGTATTGCATACATGCGAGCGCAACTTGAGTCGATGAGAAGTCCTAATTACCATTCAAAAGTCCCATGAGTCGTCGGAAAAAGCTGGTTAGAACTTAGGGCCAAGGACTTTGGAAACCTTTGGCACGTTGGCTGATAGAAGTTGCAAATCAGAGCGTCATGGTACCATCGCAGAGGCTGCATGAAGATGTCAATCAAACCCTTTCATTTCGGATCGTTCCAACGGATCGCTTTAACAATAATGTTTGCTTCTACAGCTCTCGATTTCTCAGCTAGACCGCAAAACCTAATCAGCGACTAGCTAGATCCCAATTCTCCAAACACCATGCAGCCTGCAGGTAATTAAGTACATTCAGTACCCAAGAAAATGGATGGTGTTTTCCTTGGCAGTAATCAAAATCTCAAATCACTCAGTCTCAATCTGGAGTACCGGCGACTCCGTATTTGCCCCTCACACAGACAAGGCAAGCAGCACATAAAAAAGCATGATTTTCAAAAACGCCAAGTTCTGCCACAACCAAATCTACCCACAAGCTCACTTGTTCAAATCCTCCCTAATGAAAGAGTACAGTAATTCGTCCATCACAATCCCCTCCTTGACCACAGCCCTCCTCAACCTCCCCTCAAGCACAAACCCGCTCTTCTCAAGCACCCTCTGACTCCCCTTATTCACCGCAAACATACCCGCCCAAACCCTCTCCACCCGCCCCCCCTCGCGATCGCTCTCCTCCTCCTCGCCCCTCCCCATCCCCTCAAAAACCCACCGCACAAAAGCAGGCACAACCTCCCCCATGACGCCCTTACCCCAAAATTCCTCCCCAAGCCAGTATCCAAGCTCATACCCCCTCGCGTACACGTCCTTTCCAGGCACGAGGCCGATGCTGCCCATGGGCCGCCCGGACGCCGGACACGCAATGACCCAATTGTGGACGGGAGAACCGCCGGCACCCGAGTTCAGCGCGATCCAGGACTCGGCGTCGGCGAGGGTGTAGGGCCGCGGGAAGGTGTAGCGGAGGTAGCGGGCCACGGCGTCCGAGTTCGCGGCCTGGGCGAGGGCGGCGGCGTCGGTTGGGTGGTAGGGTCTGACGGTGGCTTTTGTGAGGGCGAGGATTGGGGCTGGTAGGTCTTGGGTGGACGCCATTTTCGAAGCCTTGTGCCCGCTCTGGGGGTTGGTTTTTGGTTTTTCTTTGTACGGATTGGCGAGACTGGTCTCTGCGTTGATTGTAGACTTGAATTTCGAGGTCTGGGGTTGTTTAAGTACGGGAGTTGAGTTGTTGTTGTTATTGTTGTGTAGACTGTGAGAGTGTGACTAATACTTTTTCAGAAAGAGGTTATCTTTTGGGGAATAGCCCGGGGCGGGGCGGGGATTCCGGACCTGGGTCATTCAATGACTCTTTGCCGTCACTGCAACGATAAGCTCTACTGACGGGGACATGAGTTTCCGTGTCTGCCTAGCATCATCTAACCTTGCTGACTTTAGTAGATGACCATGTCGGACTTACTTTGCGACCGTTCATCGGACAAGACTGCGAGCGGGAATGCGCGGCAAGATCCGGCGTCAAGGCCCCTCCGGACCGTTGAAGAACGGGCCATCCCGCGCTTTCTCGTCCGAACTTATCGTCCCGAGATCTTGGCACGATCGGCCAGGACCGGTACAAAAGAGACGGAATCGCATTTTAATTTGCTAAATTCATAGGATCGACCTAGAGAGATGACCAAAATCTGTCGATCCAAGGCCTACAGTCTATTATAGTTCTACTGTTTTACAAAAAACTAATTAGTAGGGTAGATAAGGGTAAAAATTAGGGATAAAATTGGCAGATGTACCAAGGTGAATCTTAAAACAACCACATCCATTTCTGCACCAACCCCGAGGGCAAGAGTGCCCGCCCAGTGAAGCGATTCGAGTCTTGGGCCGCCTTTCGCACTGCCGTCGCCGCGTACCTCGGCAACCCCGTCCCCACTTGCGCTGTGGCTATCGCTGGCGCTGTCCCCGTCTCCCGCGGCGCCCACACCCAGACCCCCCAGAAGCTTGCGAAGTGCCAGGCGGAGTCTGACCCTGAGGCGCCTGAGTAGACGGGTCCGGCCGGAAGTGGGAATAGCTTCATTATCAGCGTCGAGGACGAAGCTAAGGGGGGGAATCGTGTCAGGTGCCTCACAAGGGGGCCTCTGGTGGGCCCCTATTAGTCACCTGAGGATAAATCCCTTCTCTCAGAGCTAGTTCAGGGGCCCAGCCAGATTCGAATGCTGCAAACTACCGATACCTACCTCGAGATCCTCCGTTAAGTGACCCTTCTGCTGACTTCTTCACTTGTGAACCACACGCCCTAACACGTTCGAATCTCTGTCGATCCAGAGCCTACGGTCTATTATAATTCTATTATTTTATAAAAAACTAATTAATAAGGTAGATAAGGGTAAAAATTTAGGATAATATTGGCAGATGTCCTAAGGTGAATCTTAAAATAATATCATCCATTTCTGTTGGCTATAGCAGCCACCACAAAAATATTTGCATCCAATCGCTGCGAGGAATTGAGCCTCACGCGGGGGTCGAACCCGCAACCTTGAGATTAAGAGTCTCACGCTCTACCGATTGAGCTAGCAAGGCGGCTGGGGGCCGTATTTGATTGGTGAGAGTTTCTGCCTACATCCGGGCCTAGGAATCGTTGATCCGAAGCGCGGCCGGTTTCCGACCCTGGTGTCTGGGCGCCGCTCCTCGCCGGGGAGCCGTCCTCCCTTCCGAAGCGATAGATGGCGATACATTCCTGCAGGAGCAGGTGAGAAGAATCTCACATCGTATTAATCCAATTTTTCCAATGAAGAAGCATCTGGGTATCCGCGGCACACCAAAACACACCACGCAAGTGTCCAATAATACTCCCCATCCAAATTCCCACCCTAGACAGCTCATAAAATCCAGGCCGACTCGGCAAAATCCTTGGCGTTCGGCGACGTATTCTTGGTATACTTAATCCAACAATAATTATCCTCGCCCTGATCGTCCCCGCGAATATACACGACGCCATTGCACGGCCCCTTTATCGACTGCGGCTGGAGGCTGAACGCCGCGCAGTACCGAACGCACTCGTCAAAGTTCTTGGCCGGCACCTGCGCAATGTCGTTGAACGGGTAATCCGTCCCGCAGTCCTTGCTGAAGGTCAGGTTCGTTCCCGGCACCTCGTACGTCAGCGTTGAGCCGGTGTTGGGGCACTTGTTGAGCGAGATGGGCGTGTCCGTGGCGGCGGGTTTGCTTAGGTCCAAGGCGGCTAATACCGGGGTGGGCGAGGCGCTGGACGAGGAGGAAGGGGACTGGAGGCTGTTGGATTGTGTTGTCAGCTGGATCGCCATGACGGCTGTTTGTTTACACAATGTTGTGCCGGAGTGAGGAACCCTACTTTGCGATTTCGTTGTTTTTGCTCGCCACCATGGCGCCCAGTCCACCAGCCACACCGACCAATGCGCAGAATAGCAGACTGGAGAGAATCAACAGCCAAAACGTCGCCTTGCGCAAGCCGCAGATGGTCCCATCGTCCTTGCTCTCATCTTCTACCGCCGCGCGCTTTTCCGGCATCGGTGAATGCTGATGATTGGCGTATGTCGTCTCGGTGTACTTCGTCTGTGGCGTTCCAAGTTGGTGCTGCTGCTGGTCATAGTACGCTTGCGCCTGGGCCGGCAGGTACGGCTGCGGCGCCGTGCTGTAGTTCGCCCCGGTGTTGACCTCCAACCCGTCGGGGATGGCATCAGCCTCGGGGCCGGGGCCGCCGTTTGGGTGCTTGAGCATCTTCTCGGCCTCGGGCGATGCGGAATGACTGTCGTGGTTACTGTGCCTGTTGGAGTAGAAGTGGTCGTGCAGATGTAGTGAAGCCATCGCGAGGAAGGAAACGGACGCTAAGGACGAGGGAGTGAGGGGGAGAAGGGCGTTTAAATGAAGCTGCCAAGCTTCGGGGATGGTGTATAGCGAAACTCAGGACATGCAAGGCAGGGTAGACAGCGAAGACTGATCCAGATACCTTTTGGACGGGGAGCGACATGCAGGACTGACGGTCTGGGTGCCATCAGCACTTGTACTGGCCGGTTCGCGCGGGCCCAAGACAAACCAGGACGCCATCCGTTCCATTGCCGTCCCAGCGGTATGGCTGGCGCGAGAATAGTACCTGCTGGCCCGCCAATGTGATAAGCTTGCTTCTGTAGCCTGAATCCGAACGTGGCAGTCGAGGCAGAAGAGTCCAAAGGAGCATCGCCCCCTGGCTTCACCCGAGAGACTCAGCCTCTGGGCTGGGGAGGTGGTGACTGTCAGTGTGGAATCCCAAGCTTGTCCAATGAGGACAAGGGGATGGCAGCGATCAGCGCCAAAGTCGGGTTTAAGATAGTAGACTTGGGACCTTTGGGACGCGAAGGATGCGAACCCCCGACCGAGTCTAACGCATCGTTTGGTTACGGACCTTAATCAAAGTGCCATTGTGCCAAGGCAACGCGCCAAAACGGTGCCGTGATCCATCTGATTAAGCAGGCTCTGGGAGTCAGCCCAAAAGACGCCCTCCGCAGCCACCCAATTTCGAAGCGGCCGACGAAGGATTGGGAATCGAGACACCCCTGGTTTCCCGGCGCATGCGATTGTCAGCCGTTGGTAAGCCTTTGGGTTCTTGCTCGGGAATCACCCCTCTTTGGCCCCCACGCGTGCGTGATGCTGTGGGTAGAAGTAGTCGCGCTGCGCACAACTTCTTGTTGTTGATTCCGGAATAGAATCTGCACACTATCTGTGTACTGCAACGGCTCACGCTGACAGCTTCACTCACGTACCAACAAGGTTAAGTGCTGACAGTCAAAGTGCGCGTGGAGTACGCCCCCGATTTTTGGCCGGCTGGGCGGGCCTGGCCCGAATCTTGACTCCCTCATCCGTTGGGAAATCACCGACAACTGACTGACCGTCTTTGTTCTTTGCTTGAAGTCAATTTCAGTCGAATCCATCCTGGGCTCCTGAATGTTCGATTCATGCCAAGTGGGTGGGTAAATGCCAAAGAGGACGCAAATTTCGGTAAATCTGGCGACGTCGACAGACCTGGGACACAATCAGACTGAGAGACAAGCCTCGAGCCAAAATCTTATCAAAGGCTTAATTAGCGACTCCTCCCGTCAAACACGCCGCGCTGAACGGTACTGGTAAAAAAAAAAAAGCCCTTTGTTATGAGGGGTCGAGACGGGCTGGCGCTTAGGCGGTAAACATGGTACATTTGATTTGCGCCTTCTCACTCGACCTTCCGCTTTTAAGTCCAGACTTCTCTGCTCAAAGTCAAACACCGGAGACGAATCTGGATATGCAATCCATCGTCCAGTTCGTGCCATGTAAAATGATGGCACAGCTTTTATTTTTCTTCCAGCTGTGGAAGAGGTCGATGTCATGTACTGGCAGAAGCTGTCGTGGTTTCAACAAGCGCTTCCCGACACGGCACGCCATATCCGTACAAGCGCCAAATTGAGGTCTGTTCAAGTGCAAAAGAACTCTAATGGCCGTGACGTCAGCCAGACCTCTCATCAATGTTGGGACTTGTGCTTCAGATCAGACGTCCGATATGACCGAGCGTGGAGATTGATGGCGACTCCGTTGGTCTGCCAACTACCATCTCACCATCCCAATCTATCCCCACGAGACAGGAAACCATCAAGACAGTCTTTGGAGATCAAGAGATACGAACAAAAAAGCGTCTTCAGCCATGTGTCGCTGGTTCGCTTACCTGGGCGATGAGGCCCAGCTGCTCGAAGATTTGGTCATTCGGCCGCGCCACGCCATCGTGAAGCAAGGTGAGTGATCCGCCGTCTCGCCCAGAGCGATTTTCATAATAACTTTGACAGTGGACGAACACTTCCTTCCGGCTGGCCATTCTACGGTCGAACCGTTTCTTGGGGAACTTCAAGTCGCCCCCTTGGCGGCCAATGATGCCGGCTCACCGAATCCATTAACAAACATGGACGGATTCGGCCTCGGGTGGTATACCTCGTGTGAGTGCGAGTTCAATCCGTACATTGACCCCAAGTGGCCCGAGTCTCTTCGCCCAGTAGTGTACAAAAACACTCGACCTCCGCTCAACGATTTGGTCCTCAAGAGCATCGTCCGAGGGACCAGCAGCAATGCCGTTCTCGCCCATATCCGCGCAGCGCCGGGCCTGACGCCAGTCGTAGAGACCAACTGTCACCCCTTTGCTTTTGGTCGTCACCTGTTCGCCCACAATGGCATTCTTGGGTCGTTTCCACGGATTCGTACGGCAATTTTGCAGTATCTTCCATTGAGATACCAGCAGGCCATTGTGGGGACCACAGATGCCGAGCACATGGCGGCCGTGTACTTTTTCATCCTGTGTGGCAAGGATGGCGACTGGGAGTCCGTTTATGATGCTGGAGAAATGGCCACGGCGATGCGGGAGACGATTATCATCCTCGAGAAGTTGCAGACCGAGTTTGGGCCGCCAAGCCGAGAGGCCAACACACTCAACCTTGTTGTCATGTCGGGCAGCTCGCTTGTCGCTTTACGGTACGCCAGTCCGGAGGGACTGGAACCGCCGAGTTTGTACTACTCGACGACGGCTGGAGCAACCCTGAACCGCAAGTACAAGGGATTTCCGAGCGACGAGAGTGACTCGGCCGACGGGGCTAACAGGGATGCTGAGGACGACGGGCGGCTAGAGAAGAAGAAGCATGGCGAGCACGTTGTGGTAGCCAGCGAGCCCAGCACCTTCAATCAGAGTGAGTGGGAGCTTATCAAACCATCTCAGATGGTTGTGTCTGAATTGAATACCGGTGCTTATCTTGAGCTTCTGTAGATAGCTGCAGGTGCGGGTCGTTTGTGTGACAGACGGGGTGATAGGGGTACTCGGCTTAGCGTACAGATAATCTGTTGTTGCTGTGAATTGTAGAAGATGAGAGATTTATGGCTATTCTTCCCTCAGGTCGTCCTTAGCTTGCTTCGAGCGCCTTGGAACAAGTACATCTCCGTAGGGAAGATGCCCAGTCCGACCTTCCTACCGTATCTTGCGCGATGATGTTTGGCTGCAGTGTCGCGTCGTGTTCCTACTCTCCTAGCCTCTCCAAGTGCGTACCCGAGTGGCGAAGCGTCAAAAACGGCATTCTGGCCTGGAATGAGTCCTATCAAATTGGTCTTCCGATCCTCGGCTGTGGCTCGTTTGTGTTGATTGGCGGCGTTCGCGTAGCACATCGGCAGGTAGCCTGCTGGGAGCAAACACTGGCACGAGCCATGGAGAAACATTGCTGGCTGTGAAGAAAATAGAATGAAATTGCGGCCAAAGAGTAGGAAACTCGCATGAGATGAAGAACGAGGTGAAATCTGGGACCTGGAACCTCTCGTCCCGTCAGGAGGTGTAGACGGAACAAAAAGGCCGAGGTTCCGGGTGGCAGGAGAAAACAGACGGGAAGGAGAAGGGAGGCCGCACCTGCCATGTAAGTCAAGTAGGAGCTCTTTCCTTCGCATGCTCCAACTTCCTTCCTCGCCTGACATCGACAACTCGCCGCTTTACGTTTTCCCTCTCTTTTTTTCCCTTCACATTCTTCTCCTTCTTTTCCTTCTTCCAAGATTCAACCCTTGAGTCGATTCTTCCTCCAGGTCGAGCACCAGTCCCTCCGAAGGCCACTCATCTCCCTCGAGCTCGACACGATTGGACCACGGGCCCTTGTTACCGCTCAACTTCCTGCAATTCCTGAAGCGTATCGAAATTTACTCTTTGCCAGAACCTGCGACCGCGACGAAATATGGCGTCCCCGAACATATTGTCTGCCGTTCTCTTCTTCCTAGCCCTCGGTCTTCTGGCCATGGCTGCTCACAACGACAATGACGACTACGACCAATGTTACTTTGATGCCGGTTATGTCGGTCCCACGTCTCTGCTCCCCTGCTTGCCGGCCAACGAAACAGACAACGGCGTTAGTTGGTGCTGCCTGGCGGGCCACAACTGCGTCAATCAAGGTTGTTGGGAGCAACGATCTGGCGTGACTTATCAATATGGCTGTAACGATCCGACGTACAAAGACAAAAACTGTCCAATAAAAGGTGGTCTCGACCGGGGTATGTCACTTTCCTATAGTGCCCATCTGGACCACTTGAACCGATGTGTAACTAATCAAACATCACAGCCAAATCCCCCTGGGTAGGCCTTGTCAAATGCGAAACTGAGAATGAAGGCCTCCTCAAATACTGGGCGTGCAACCATCCCGACACCTGCGGCGAAAACTGCCCCACCGAACCCGATCGACCACAGGTGACCCAGTCCGTCTGGCCATGGGAGCCTCAGCCCTTGCCACCTAATAAAGACTGTAAAGATTTAGGTAGGCGAGTGTTGGCAGTTTACGCACCAGATCCAATGGGCTCGACCGGTGGTGTCCCGTCAACATACATGGCCCCAGCAGATAAACCGAGTCCAACAAGGCCACCATTGCAACAGAGCGACACGACGACAACGTCAACTTCCTTGTATACGTCTACATCTCCTTCCGAAACTTCAAGCTCGGTCATCACACCTCCACCGTCCACCACAGCCGCTGCTACATCCGTTGACTTTGAGAAAGGTAGCTCAACTATAGGCACCGGGGCTATCGCTGGCATTACCGTCTCTTCCACCGTTGTCGTTGTATCAGCCTCGTTCGCCGTCTTCATGTTACTCCGGCGCCGTCACTCCCGACAGCAAGACATCCCCAGTGCACAACCAATCGAGACATATGACCACGATCAGCCTGGTCCTGCAGAGCTTCCCGACGACAAATACAATCTTATACATCCTCACACACCATCCACACTCTCGGAGGCAGGACCACGCCGGCCGGTCTCAGATATGACTCTGAGTGTCGCATCGCCCAGTCCGCTCAGCTCACCAAGGTCTCCAGGTTCTCCGTATTACTACCACGGCGTTGTTCAGCCTCCTTCCGAGTTGGCGGATCAGCCGAGGGCTATACATGAGATGCCGGCCATCAATGAGCGCGTTGAGATGCCTTGATATATGGGACGCTGGCGAATAACCATTCAAGTAGCTGCTGGAAAGTGGTTCTGGTGTACTTCTAGAGAAGCAAATAAACAACATGTTCAATTTCATAGTGATGCAATTTGTTAGGAAACAGCGGTCTGTTGGCTCAGAATACAATGCAAGCTGCTGTACTCTAAGTTCGCCACAGGCTCCCGATTTCTCATCTCAGAAGTACCGCCTGTCAGATAGTAGTGGTGGAGCATCGTGGAAATATCATGCGGCAAAGTCTCCGCCGTGGGTGAATGCACGCAAACATATAAAGCCTAGCGAGTGGATAACCATGATTCAGCAACTAGATATCCGCCGTTCGTGACTGGAGACCACTTTATACATGACGAGCGTTCCGAGCTAAAACTCGTCCCTTGAATTTTCCGTCCAGGCGAGGCCTGGAGTATCGAGAAGACGATTGATGAGCAGCGATCGTGGTCTCTGGCCAAGTGGAAGTACGAGCGAATACGGAACAAGCAGTCTTCGGTCAACAACGTGATAGACCAGCTCGACCCTAACCGCTCGTCGAGGCACAACCGCTCTTACTTGGCGGTTGTCACTAAAACGGCAACTTCACATCATGTCCAGTTCTCTTGGCTGTAATAAGAAGATAGAGTATCATCATGATCAATTCCCCGTTGTTGGAATGAGTGATGTTGATCACGGCGAGGTCGCCGAACGCAGCGCCTCTCTGCGGTGCATTTGCCTGGGATCAGTCCTGCGGAAAGATATCCAAGCACCAAAGCTCGCCGCAGAAGCTGACTAGTGTAAAGGTCGTCCAGGGATAGGCAGGAAACTTTGTAGCATCAGATAATAGCGAACGCCATGCAGCGGAGGCGATGAGTATGCGCGCTTACCAGTGATCGAAAAGCCCGAACCAATGCGTCACTTTCTCCAGCTCAGATTCGGGCATAGCTTCAGTGTGTACATTCAGATCGGTCAGGGAAACCGAAAAGTGCATAGGAGACCAGATCCTTCTCACTTGCACCGACCTCTAACCTGGCTCCTCCGAGCTCTTGAAGTACCTCATCAGAGGGCTTTGAGCGACTAAACAGGGCAAGATGCACCGAAGAGTCCTTGCCTGAGAGACTCGGCTTAGACACCAAGTCTCGTACCACTTTCCATAAAAGTCTGTGTTGGCTTCGTGGGCGTTGTAATTATGGATGGATACGAGCAGCTTGATGCCGTAGTCATATGCGTGATTCATAAAGTCGTCGAGTCGGTTGAGCACGGTGTCATCCCATACGTCAGGACTTCCGCCTCGAAGGCTGTTGGAATTGTCAAGAGTTGTCCCCTTTTCGCTTCCAGATTGACCTGCACGTCATGATAAAGAAAGGCAGATTAGCTTGGAGGTATCTGTCATCGAGCCAGGGGATGTTTTAATTATCAAATTAAACGCGTAAGACTTTGACTCCAGCGATCTGCGGGCCCTGGAACAGGGTCTTCTATTGCTGGGTATTCAAGCCAGCAGCATAGTAGAGATGAGATTCGAAGCTGAGAATGATTTGGCTACGCAGCACGTTGCGAAGAGGGACATGTGGAATAAGGGTGGAAGTTTTCATTTTGAATCCCGGCCCTCGTTGGGATATACGGTTGAACTGAACTCTGCAGATGGGCTGACTTGTGGGCTACGGAAGTGGGATGAAGTCAAGTTCGAGCATCCAGACCCTTTCAAGTCCCAGAGGCACATAGAGGCGAAGGGCAGGATTTCGCCAAGGAACCAAGGGACAGGATGCAGTAAATTGCAGGTCGCACTAAGATCATCGCATACTACCTACCTATTTGAGACACTGCCTAGGCTGACTCCTCGTCGCGGCATCTAGAAGGCTGCCAACTGAGCTCGAGAGCCACGAGCCTTGGGGGGAAGGTAGAAAGAACCCGCTCATTTTTCATACAGATAATATCTAATCAGAAGAAGGGATATACATATCCGTTGAGGGGTCAACATCGATGTCGTACCGACAGGGGAAGCAAACGTGGTAACACCTTCCTAACAGCTGCCCCGGTGATGTATAGTTCCGGCCAAGGTGCACAAGCCGCGAGTAAGGACAGTTTCAGGAGGCTTTCGGAAATCACAAAGATTTATATTCCATTCGGTCGATAAAGTGCTGATCATCTCTTTGCCTACGTCGGATTGAGGTGTTGAGTCAATGCAACCTTCCATTCTCAATTTTCACTGTTTTACGTATTTCGCCTGTTCTAATCGAATGAAGTTCCCTTTATAGGTGCAAGCCATGAGCTTCAGCCTGACCTGAAAACTCCTCCTCGATACACCAGGTTTCTCAGACAGCCTGAATGATGTGACACGGTGTGATAGGGCGACAGTATACTAGCAAAGGGCCTTTTGATTTCAAGCACGACCTTGATAGTCAGCTACCTTAGTTTAGTCAAGCAAAATATTCAATACCTGTCACTGTTACATGCCTTCCTGTTCGGCTGCTTGTATTCTACGTTTGTGAGCCATACGGAGATGACTACAATATGCGTAGAGAACAAAGAATAACTAGATGAAAGATAGAAATCAGTTATTCAAGCCCCATACACAAGAGTAAATCCTAGTTCATATCAATAGCAATCGCCGGCTTGTTCTTTATTTCAAGCTCGAGTATCGGCCGCTCAGGTTATGAAAGAAAACGACATCTTCAATAGCGCCGAAGATGTGAGACAATTAGGAGCTCGATATGGAAACAAGATTACCATGGATGTGGTGGTACATATCAAGCCATGATATTCTTCCAGGTAGAAAGATATCAAGTGATTTAGTCGCGGGAGTACATTCACTTTACTCAATGTTTGAAGCCTGATTCCTCCTGCCAGATTGTCTAGAGCACCAGTCTTGGGCAAGATCATGCGATGGGTCATTCAAAATAGGTAGGTATTGATCGATGGCGTTTGCAAAGTATCAAGGCTGGAGACCTTCCCGTTGGATCGGTGGCGCTGAATAGATTGAGCCTTGGGCGAGAGCGCGACAGAATTGGTCAACCGGACAATTTGCCATCTTCAACCTGATGTACTGGCCCCTTCCCCTTAGACTAATATATACATATGTCTAGTGACATAATCCATGTACCTTAGATGGTACGAAAGTATGGATTTCGTGTCCTAAAATCCAATCAACGGAAACGAGCGGCACCCTTCACCGCTAGGTGTATGTCTGTCCCATAGGTAGTATCGTATCAACAACGTCTCGGCTGCGTACAGGCCAACCTCACCGCTGGAGAGATCTCGAGGCGCACAAGCTGCCCATCGAAACGACAAACAACATAACGGACCCCGCCCTTAGCCAGTATACCGTAAGTTGTACATGTGCTACCAAGGAAGGAGAACAGGATCCGAAGCTGGAGATTAACGCCATCCTGAATACTTTTTGCTCCTGATTCCAATCCCATTCTTTTCACAGCAACCCCCTTCCTCGATCTCGTAGTGTAAATATCCATTTGCCTCAAACTTATTCTGACATGTTTCGCCCGTGGCCCAACCAAGCTCAACCAGACCGCTCATGGGCTACTTTCAATAATGCCGCCGGCAACAGAATCAACATCAACAACTTCGGGCTCCATCCACGCGGCCATGCCGCGCCAGCATTCATGAATCCGGAACCCCGCCTGTTCAACTTCTCACAGCTCTTCAACATCACCACCAACAACTTTGGCCCCGTGCCCCTCCGCCCCAATCAGCCAGGCCGGCTCCGCAACCGAGTGACTGTGGTTCTCCCCGACGGCTCGCGAGTCTTGCTCGAACGCGACCTACTCCACGAGCACCTCCCCCGGACCCGAAACTTCATGCAGCGCGGCCTCTTCCCCGTCCCCGAGTTTCTCCGAGGCTACGACGACGGCTTCATGGGAACTCTGATTGACCCCCGATACTTTGAGCATGCTTTCGCCCGCGGCACCACCTTTGTCTTTCGACATCTCGAGGGCCTGTGCCAATCATACACGTCGCCGTACGGGGGCGCAGGTGCAGCAGGCGGCGGCGGCGCCGCCTTTGACCTGTTCGCCCGGCCGCGCTACCTCCTCGCAAACGCCCGCGACCGAGGCGTGACCGTCCGGGAGATATTCTGGCACGTCTTCATACTCTGCTGCGTGCTGGACCAGGACCGCGCGTTCGGCTGCTCCGATTTGCTGGCTCGGCCGATTGCCGAGTTCCTCGTCGACTTTCTGCCGAGCGTGGAGGCGTTCTTGCCACCGCTAGCGATGCAGATTCTGTTTGTGGGATACGCTCGCATCTTTCGCGAGTCGGTATTTGAGCTGGAGGTGTTGAAGCAGATGTGGGAGTCGATGGATGTCATGGACCAGACGCACATCAGGGGGATGATGGGCCCCCAGTTGGCGACGAATGGGATGGGGAATAATGCGCAGCGGGTGTGGACAGCGCTGAGGCACCTTGGCCTTGTCTGAGGGGGTTCAATAGTGTTGCGATTGTTTGAATACTCGATTCTGTCGTCCCCTTGGCTTGCTCGATCATCGTTTATGTTCGCCAAGCTGGTCCTCGTCCATCTACTTTCTCTAGAAGGCCAGGCTGGTGCAGGTGCTTGTCCCCCTGCTCTCGATTGTGCTACAATTGGAGAAGCCTATTGTATGGTTTCAGTACCCATTCCCAAGCTCCCCTCTATGTAACTGTCCAAGAAGGTAAAATCCAAATTCTCCAGAGCCCAACTTTCTTCAGTTGAACACTGCGCAAGTTCCCCCGGTTCCTTGACTTCAGCCCGCGGAACGACGGTGCCTTGACCTTCAGTTGACGTTGCGAGTTTATCTCGGGCACAGCGATCGGTGAGAGGTTGCAAGTTCGCACCTATCAGTCTTGGCGTTCCATCGAAACGTTGCCGCTCAATTTTGATGACCCAAAAATGAGGAAGACAAATGTTCAGGACAGTGTCATTATGCGTCAGCTTAACACGGTAGCCTAGGTCGTCATCCAGGTGAGTCTCTGGCGAAAATGCGACTGTATACCTCTCTCCCGATGCCACATCATTCTCAATAGCCAGCAGATGTTTGAGAAGGGTGGCCACTCTTGTCGCGATCTCATCGTCATGCTGGTCCACGAGCTCCTGCATCACGGCCAGAGCCTGCTCCAGCATTCCACGGTCACTCAGCCGCTGATGTGCGAAAAAGTGAAAGCCCTTCTCGTCAGTAGCCCCTCGAGGAGCGTCACAGATGTGTGCCAGACACAAGGCAGTGGACGACAGGAATGCTATCAAGTCGGCTCCGCGGCAATAGTATCGCGCGGGTCGCGTTGCGCGGAAGGACAGGAACCTAGAAAGGATTTCGCGACTCGCCGTCACTGCTGTCGTTCGGTGGTAGACGTAGTCACACTCGGATAGCGGGCGAAGAACATTCGGGAAATGCAGCTGCAGGAGGAGATGATAGTACATAAAGTGGTCGTTGAACCGCAACGTTTCGCGAATCTTTTCCAGATGGCCCGTTTCTGAGGCCAAGGTCGGAGTGACCCACCACTGTGCTGGCATCACGGTCGAGGCTTCTTGTAGTAATTTGTCTATGTCCTTGGCCTTTTCGTAGTCGTATATGTCCGAGGGATCCCGTTGTAACAAGCGCCCGCAAGCGACGGTGCAAAGGCGGAGAAACCGATCCAGTGCCGGACAACCTTCCAAGGCATCTGGGCGGGCGTAGACATCGTTGAGTGAGCTCTGCGGCAAGCCCAACATGAGTGAGAGGTAACGGTCGAATTGCACGAGTCGGAACCAAAGATCATTCGGTTCAATCACTGAGCCGACGAGGGACCGCGGCTTGACACCCCGACTGAGGCCGAGCATCTGCGCAATCGCGACTCCCCGGCGTCCGGCAAGCCACGAAGTCCGAAGGTTGCCGGCGTAGTTCTCGTAGAGACCTTCCAGCATGACGCATTCGAGACCTTCTAGTGAATCTACAAGCTCGTCCTTGCAAGTGACCAAGTCGTGGACCGTCTTTACTGCCCGCGACATGATGTCATACCAGCTGGAGCTGAGTTTCTCCAGGTGATGGGCTGAAGGGAATGGCATACCCTGGAGGAAGGAAGCCAGTACCAAAAGGCTTCTCGCGATGAGAGCCGGATGTGACCCGGTCGGCGGTAGCTGCAGCAAAGCTGTGGATGACGGGAATAACGACGGGTTTGAACTTGACCTGGTGCAAATGACCGCTCGGATGATTTGCGAAGTCTCCACGGGGATTGCTAAGATGATGGCCATGTCTTCCTGGCTTGGCCATGCAGCGAGAAGCTTTCTGGAGATGGCATCATGTCCCTCTGTATTGGATACACCAGGGTTGGTAGGGACGACCAGTGGACGTTCTGGCGAGGCACTCTCTTGGGGAGGTGTATCCTGGACGATCAGCATGGCTGTGGTGTGTGTTACGACTGAGAAAATATACCCTTACGATTACAGTATCATCAAACTGAGTCTCGCCATTGAGCGACTCCGAAAGATGGGATTGGCAGGTTGCGGTGAAGGGGCCGACGGGTGAAGCCGACCGCCTCGGCGTGGTTCCATGAGTCCTGACCCGGTCGTGAGGCTCAGCTTGGGTGACGAGCCGATCTTCGAGCGGATGGTCATTCTGGTTTCCCGACTTGAGCAGCTGTCTCACCAGTGCCTCGACCTGGCCGAGTCTATCCACAATGTGCTTGTTACCGCCGGGCGGGGGCGGCAGATCCGTGGCCGCCTGGCTGACGCAGTCACTGCCGCGGCGCTTGCAGCCATCGCAGACATCCTGCGTGGCGGGTGAAAAGGTACAGCGGGCTTTGCGTCGCTTGCACTCCCAGCAGCTCTGGGTGCCCTTGCGCAGCTTCCGACGTTTCGGCGCCGGACCGGAGTCGGCGGGCGGAGGCTCCTCGGCCGAGGTTCTTTCGGTCGCCGCCATCCTGGTAATTGATGCGACGCACTCGATTCTTGTGAGAGTGACACTGATAGTCAGAGTGGGAAGAAGTCCTGCAAGTGTACCGTTGTTCGACCGCCGCTTTGGCGGAGGAGCGTAGCGGCGATCAGCTGACAACGAGGGGATCTTACACATTAGTAATCCTCCGCCATCCTCCGCCGCCGCACCGGTGAATCGGGATGAGGGGCCTGATGGTGCTAGGATCTTAGGCCAAGGAGTCCAACACGTTCGGAACCGCGTTGTACTCACGGAATTCGGCTCTGGAGTTGAGGGCCGCACGAGCGGCGGAGCCTACCTTGTCCGAGATGTATTTACAAGACTTCAACTATCCCACAGGTCGCGTATATAAAATCCCATGTACCTCTGCTTCACACTTCTTGAATCCCCATAAGAATCATTCCAGCATTGTATTCCCAGCGATAAACAGCAAGAACGCCGCAGTTACAGCTCCTACTCCCTCTCATACAAATAAGTAGACCAGCGTCTCAAAATGGTCAAAATTGCACTTGCTGGCGGCTCTGGCAGTGAGTACTTTCCAGACTAACTATATGCAGCCTTAGACTCACAAACGGTACTGCTAGACGTGGGGCGAGAAATCCTCGACGCTTTGGTAGCGAGAGGCAAGCATGAAATCTTGATTCTGTCCAGAAAGGTGAAATCAATCATATGTTCCGCCACATCTGCTCGCGTAGCTGACTCTCGCAGGATGCCCCCAACACCGACTTTGGCCAGGGAGTGAAATGGGTTCAAACCAGCTACGACGATGTTACCCACTTGGTCCAAGTGCTGGAGGGAGTCCATACTGTTCTCTCTTTCGTCGCTAAGCCTGCCGACCCGACAAACACCGCGCCGTGGAATACGCAGAAAAATTTGATTGATGCCTCCATCAAAGCTGGCGTTAGACGATTTGCCCCCAGCGAGTGGGGTTCGTAAGTTCTCTTGATCTCGTACACAGTAGCCCTGGATCTTCGCTCACTAAGGTACTCTAGCTCCAAATTCGAGCACACCTTCTGGTACGGATACAAAGAAGAAACTCGACAGTACCTTGCAAGCATCAACAAAGACAAGAAGGTGACCAGCCCAGCCTATGCATGATCCATTTCAACATACTAAGTTGGATGACTCAGGTTCTCGAATACTGTCTTTTCCAACCGGGCTTGTTCATCAACTATATGACGTACCCGTACAGCTCCAGCAAATATGTCAAGCTGTTTGAGACACCCATCAACTATTATCAGCGCCGCGCCCTGGTTGTCGACGGTGGCGAAGACGCCATCATTACCTTCACGACCGCGCAAGATCTGGCCAAGGTAGTTGCGTTGGCCGTGGAGTATGAGGGCGAGTGGCCCGTGGTCGGCGGAATTCAAGGAGCCCAGGTAACCGTCGGGCAATTGATTGCACTGGGCGAGAAAATCCGAGGTACGTCATCGCATTCACCTTCCAACAATATTTCCTTGATAGACCGCTGACGTTTGGGGGAAAAAAAGGCGGGCCGTTTGATGTGACCAAGCTCAAGGCCGATGATCTTCAAGCCGGGGTGGTCAAGGCCCCTTGGCTTCCCAAGTTCGAGCACCCGTCGATGCCCCCCGAAACAGTTGGTGCTATTGCTCCGAGCCTGGTCTCCGGCATGTTGCTGGGCTTTGTGGCTGGTAACATGGTGTGCTCTGACGAGTGGAACCGTCTGCTGCCCGGATTCAAGTTCACTCAGCCCGAGGAGTTTCTTACGGCCGCGTGGGCTGAGATTGATGCTGGAGCAAAGACTGTGTTCACGTCGTATTAGCCTCCTAAAGGGGACCGGAAAGCCCCAGGTTGTCTAGTTAGTCATACAATATTGGCCACGGCCTCCTATGTACAGGCCAATTTGAGAGTTGTTGCTTCAAGACTCATTGATCACTCAATATACCAATAACTGCTGCGTAAATTGCTCAATCCCGCCAACTGTTATGAGTGCAACAGTCATCATGCTGCGTCCTCGTTCTCGTAAGTTATTGTTAACGCTGGCGAAGTCAAGGGCCCCTTTACTAGCAAAATCAGCAGATGCGGTAATCAGACAATAATAATGGACCATTGAGAGAAAAAGAAAGCACTCCCATCACTACTATTTTGTGAAGGTAATTTAATGAGTTTGACTGGACTACTGGAGTTTGATCATTTATATAACCTCTTCAAACTGTGACGTGACACAGGTTTGACGATCTAGCCCCTTGGTCTCCAACTTTCCGACGTATTCCATCTTCAAAGCCTCAAGTCGGGAGAGCAGTGTACACAGCTTCTCTTCGACACGCCGTGACGACAAGTCTTTCCCAAAGACATGCACATGTTTGATGATTTTGAGTTGTAGATGTGGCTAATCTTTGCCGGTGGCTTGTGGTGTTGTGGTGTGGTAAGAAAATTTAGGAGGTTGCGTGAGTAGAGATTTCGTGGGTGAGGGTTGCGTTGCGTAGATGTGGCGATATACGGAGAATAGAGTGCCTTATCTTCCAGTCGATACATGAGATATATTTATAAAGTTCCTCAGGGTCGGCACAGTATAGTGAATAGGTTGGAAGAAAGCTTGCGTCGTTTCGACCAATTCACTACATGCTCATCAGCAGACCGTAATCGTACTGGTTGTTCATCCTCACTGATCAGTGATTCAGTTGCCAGCCGTACCTTGTGTGAATACAAGAAGTAAGTCTCATCGCTGTTCTCATCTAGATGTTCCTGGTTGACCCTTTAGGATGGAGCAGCCAAGGCGTCTGGGCAGACCATGGCCGTGACTAATATACTGCACCGAAACCACAGTCAATCTCAGCACACGCCTGAAGGCAAGGCTTTCTTTGTAGTTCTTGGCTCTTCCGAAGATTTAAGTCAACTTATAACCATTTTTAAAGCCCAGACATAGCTCACCATTCAATTAAAGGAAGGAAGGAGAGATAAATGAGAGGGAATGTCGTTTTCAGATTCAATCTGTGCCACCTGGGTAAAACATCAGGCAACATGGATAATATCACGCAGTCTTCCCTAAGAGATACGTGCGATGCACAAATCTAATCAGAATCGTGCAATGCCTTTCTGTACATTCACAAAGCCATGCGAGTCTTGAGAAAGCCTCCAAAGCTGTCAAACATGGCTTGATCATGCCCCTCCCTCCATCGGCACGTAAAGGCGGTCCTCTCTCTCCCAACATCCAGCGCCACCTCGAAGCCAAAACTGCATATTTCAGAATCTGTTGACTCTTCGACAATATTCTTGCCCTCACGCTCCTCTCGCATCTTCCGCCGCCTCCAAGCACGACTCCACACGTTCTCGCGCGCCCTACCGATGCCGGCCAGCTTTTCGCGGTCCCATTCCCAAAAGACCAGTTCCAACGAAGACATGAGCTCTTGAATCTTGACTTCGAGCTTTCCTATCTCTTTTCCGAGTGGGTAAGTAATGATCTCGGATTCGACAGCCGCAGGGAGCAGCTTCTTCCAAACGGCGGCCTTCATGCCTCTCGCGACCTCCTCGGACGGTCTCATCGCGCCGAAACTCCACGCAATGGCCCACCGCCTCGTCTTGTTGCCTTGTACAAACTCAGTGACGGCGTAATTGTCAATCTCCTTGTCTCTGAGCATCGCGACGAACTCTTCAAGACTCGATTGTTTACCAAACATGGACGTGTACCACTGGACCCTCTCGCGCAGAACAAGTGATTCCTCGAGGATCCTGGAAACGAACCGGACTTCTCCGCCGTCCGTCACCATCTCCACCGGTGCGCCGGTGCATGCAGTCAATGGAGGGCGTGACTTTTGCTTTGCGGAGTCCAGGAGGTCGCCTTCGGATGTGTAGAATGGCGGGTTCGTCATGACGAAACTGAGTGATTCCGCGCCCAATTCGTTCAAGGGGATCATGGGACCCTGGGGTGCACTGGCAACGATGGAGATTTGGCTTTGTAAATTGTTCAATTCTACATTCTTCTTGGCGAATTCCAGGCTCTTTGGGTCGATGTCTGGTCAATGTCAATGACTGAAAATTCAACCCTTGAGAGATTGGAGCATACCCGTTGCGAAAAAGGACCACTTCCGCTGGGTGCATCCTAGAAGCGGGTAGATGCAGCTCGCCCCAGTGCCGATATCGAGTCCCAGGATTTTCCGATCGGAGTCGTCGTAGGTTGTGCTATCGAGCAGGCTCTTCAGCCAGAGGATGTAATTGTGGCGGTTTGGAACCTTTTCCTGTCAGTGGTGCAATCATGAAGAACACACAAACCGGCAGTGCTCTACTCACGGGTGGGCATAGACGATCATCAGGAAGGTCTATGCTCAGTCCAAAGTCAGCTTTCAGAAGCGTCTTTGTGAGCTGCATCACGGCAGATGGATCATTAAAGTCGAGATTTCCACGTTTGAGCCTGGTCCGATGTCAGCAACCTACACCATGTCAGAGTCTCTCAACCCAAGGACCAACATGGCTCCGAATTTTGGGTCTTGGCGGCCCAGCTTCCCGAAATCCGGCTCCGTCGAATAGAGGTTGCGGTAGTAGGCGTCTGCGTGGGTGCCGGGTTCCGGTGGTCGGCCCACGAATCCGCGATCAGCCCGACGGATCGTATTTTGCAAGCTGGCATTGCTGTCTATTGGGGGACCGCTGTCCGAAATCCTTCGTCTTTTGCCTGTCATGATAGCCCGGGATGGGTCTCTGTTGTCACTCAATGATTGAGAAACATGGCTCATTGCCCTGCTGTCACCCGGCGACGGTTGATTGAGACTGGCCAAATGGGGTATATACAATGGGACAGACAAGCCTTGCGGTAGAAAGGAGAAATCTTGTGCAAGGGGAATTCAGGAATCAGGTTGGATGTTCGTTTTTGGTTGCGCTTCCTTCGCGATGTTGTGTTAGTGAACAGAAATTGATCTTGTTGATTGGTGACAGAAGTGGATGCAGCAAGAAGGAACTCGGTATGTGCATATGCGTCGGTGACTTGCTGGCTCATTGCTATAAACGGTATCCACCTGAACCTTCCCAGCGAGCTTCACAATAAAACGTCTTGAAGTTGCTCGCCTATTCTCGCCGTATCATGGGATGGTTTAATAGGATTACACATATCAAGGCTTCAGTTACTAGACGTTTCGGAGCCGTACCCTAGGTATTTTTGCACAGAGTTGCAAAATAGCCATCTTTTCGTTGGATCCCCAGAGGCTGCCCCTCACATCAAGGAAGATGTTGAAGTTCTACACAGCACTGGGGCAAAGAAGTTGATGTTGACTGCGCGAGCCAGGAGAATAAGATGAAGGTTGAAAATTGTATATTGCGGGGATATAGAGTATCGAGGAGCACAAATATATCTGTGGGTGGTTCTTCCAATGTATAAACGCTTGAAAACAAGTGGAAATCTGCACGCTTCCATATGCAACGCTGTCGCCTTCTCATGTCTGTCACACATGCTCGCATATGCATCGTGTCTCGCCTAAATCACTGTCCCCACGTGAGGACTCTCCACCGCCAGCCTTCGAGCAGCTTCATGTCCTGATCGACAACCTCGGAGTCTCCCCTCTCAATCTTGGCAGTGAGTCGCTTCAACCGCTTCGACACTGTCTTGGCCACCTGCAGAGAAACCTCATTGGTAAAGACGTATAGCACAGCGAATACGAAGAAGGCAATGCTAGCAAAACTGTTGCGGCCTAGGAGGCTATCCTTGATGCGGGCGACTAACGCCTTGCTGCGCCAGAATGCGTACTCGGTGCTGTTGGACGCCTGGACATCGCTCTCCGTCTTATCGGAAGGGCGGCGGAAGATGCGCTTCACGGCTGGGATGAATGTTGCTCTGTTCTCGTCTATCAGCCAGTTCCTCTGAGCTCTTGATGGCGGGGGATCTTACACAGCTCCGCCGATGAGCCAGTTTCTCCAGCGGTGGTTTTCGCCGTCCTTAATCAGGCTCGCTACCCCCTTCCGCAAGACCCTGAGGTCACCAACTAGTACACGACCTTGAGCTCTGATTTGATCTTCCAACTCTAGTGACATGGCGCCGTCCAGTCGACCTCTCTTTCTTTGAAGAGACAGATACTCTCGGAGAGCAAACTGGGTACCTGTCTTGACCGTTTTCAGGTCTTGCGTCGTTGTGGCAAGAGGGTTTAGGGCAGCTGAAGGACGGGGACCCTCCACCATGCTGGCTTGTTGAGAATGCGAAGTTGGGTACGCTGCAGGACCAGACATGTGCTCAACAGGAGCTACACTCGTCGGTCCGAGAGGCGGTCCTCCATAGCTTGGTCCTGGGTAAGGAGCTGTAGGGGTGGTAGACTGAGGCGGCCGAGAGTAGGGATCGACTGAGACGCCCGGCGGCGCTCCGGAAGGTGGTGGGGGATATGATCCGGGACCATTATACGGACCAGGCGCCGTCGCAACCGGCCGGCTGTCCATAGTCTCGGAAAAGCAGGCCGCTCTACCTTAGCGGTGGTGAGGAAGGATGTCCTTCGGGCCGCAAGTTGCAACTGGAGCAGAGCGGATCAGGCGGGAGTGAAAGCGGGCCTCACAAATCAGAGCTGAAGTGCGACAAAGAAACGACGGGAACAAGACAAGACCAGAACATAAAAGGGGACGGTTCTATGGACAAGGTACGAGGATCATATGAGCAAGGAGAAAATAATGAGGTGGCGGGGGAGCTTGGAGGGGAGCTGGAAACAACTCAGCTCACTGCAGGGCGGAGGAAAGGTGACGGGAAGGTGAGGACGGCATAAGTGGGGCTTGCCAGCGAACGGGACCCACTGCGGGATGTGGGTCCGTCACACGGTGTCAACTGTGGCGCAGACTCGACGCCACACGTTGCTTGTCGTCGCTTCACTTTTTGCTGAGGCATCATCGCCAGAGCTCCATTGAGTGCGACTGCCGGAGCTTTGCCTCCTGTAATCCACCACCACCATCACCATTGCCGCCACCGTTCTCTTATTCGCCCACCTCTACGAACACACAATGTCCGAACAAGCGAGCTCGCGGTTTACACCGTCCAACAAGACAACAACGGAGCGCATCTCGGACAGCACCGTCGGTCTCGTCGCGCTCTCCGACTTTCGCAAACGACGCGCCGAGGTCCTCGATCAGCAAGACCGCGAACGAGAAGCCGCCTTGTCCGGCACATCCACGCCCGACCGCTCCCATTCCGCGACGCCAGATCCCGGGAGCGACTCGGCCAGCGGTGCGAGCAAACCGAAAAAGAAGAAGAAGAAGCTCGGCGGCAGCAAGCTGTCTTTTGGCGACGATGAAGAGGAGGGGGAGGAGGAGGATTTGGTGCCAATGAAGAAAGGCAAGAAGGCAGACGAGGGCGACGACAACAAAGCCACGTCAGTGAAGAAGTCCAAAGTCGTTGCCAACTCGTCAGTCGCCTTTGTGCCCAAGGTCATGTCGAAAGCGGCATTGCGCCGCGAAGCAGCTGAGCGAGAGGCGTTGCGCAAGGAGTTCCTGGCGATACAAGAGGCTGTCAAAACGACGGAAATTGCCATACCATTCGTCTTTTACGACGGTTCAAATATCCCAGGTGGTACCGTACGCGTCAAGAAGGGCGACTACATCTGGGTGTTCCTTGACAAGAGTCGAAAAGTTGGCGCCGAGCTGGGCGTGGGGGAAAAGGCCAATGCACGAAGGGAATGGGCGAGAGTTGGGGTGGACGACCTGATGCTCGTTCGGGGGTCCATCATCATTCCACATGTGAGTAAAGCGTGTTGATATTCTATTCTGATTATCTGTCTAATCTTCTCTAGCACTACGAGTTCTACTTTTTCATCATCAACAAAAACGCCGGCCCAGGTGGCCAACAACTCTTCAACTACAAAGCCGACGCGCCGCCCAAAAAGGACGGTCCGGAACCCGACGAAGCCCCGGCTGCCCCCGCCGGCGGACTGACCACCGCAGCGGCTCTCAAGGCGGCTGCAGTGAAGGCCTTGCCTGATATCAACACTCTCGAAGGAGCCACAGACGACCCTACCCTGACGAAAGTGGTGGATCGGCGCTGGTATGAGCGCAACAAGCACATCTACCCAGCGAGCATGTGGCAGGAGTTTGACTCCGAGAAGGACTATGATACGGAAGTGCGGAAGGATGCCGGCGGTAACACATTCTTCTTCTCGAGATGAAGGTCGTTTTTCGTCGACTGTGTTTGGCGAGTCCGGCCCGCGGGGTCATTGAGGTGTGAACAATTATGCCAAGAGCGGCATCCTTGATTCTTCACCCTGCCAGCGTACGGAGGGCCAAGAGGAAGCCCAGGATCAACAACCACCCCGGCCAAAAGACCATGACTATCAGCATGTTGCCTCCCGGGCCCAATATGGTCGTTGCAAACTCCATGAAGAATTTCTTCCTCAACTTTTGGACTTTCTTGGATTCCCAAACATGTCCCAGTGACCTGCGGACCGCTGTTGTTGTCTTGTTGAGGACAATGTACGAGTGAACGGCAAAAAGACGCGTCGCAATGACGGCCGACGTGAGGGTTGAGGTGGCGAGAAGATGTGCGTAGACGAAGAGGAGCGACGACGCGACGGCGACTAGTCTCTGGAAGCGGAGCGCGAGGTCGGAGGTCGGCCCGAATACGGCAATGAGATCTGAGCGTTGGCGGATGGTAACGCCCGGCTCGTGCTTGGACGAGGTCAAGAGGGCGACTTTGTTCATGATGGCAACGGCAGAAGAGGTCTCGGCAAAGACGTGATCACGACCTACAGCAGCGCCCTGGGTGGTTTGACAGACTCGAGCGTCATCAGAAGCGTGGTGAGCACGATGCAGCTCGCGATATATATCGAGGGGCATCTGAACAGCGGCAACTGCATGCGACTCATACCACTCTATGGACTTTGGAAATCGCGGTAACAGCGTCTCTGAGGTTCCTGGTGACACAAAAAGGCTGGACGGAGATGAACATCAGACGTGATAGTGACTGCAGCGGTTGTGGCGCTATTAACCTAACACGAAGGTTGTCTAGAATTTTCTACCCCTCCATCGTGTCGAGATTGAAGCTGTGATAGCCCCACCACCACATCCTTTCCTGGCGACAAACCATGTCAACACGTGGGGTCCGACGTTCGCCGGATCGGTTCTCCAAGCTCACATCGGGACCTGGAGGCTTGAGTCGGAAGTGACAACGTGGGATCCCATCGACTCTTATTCGTGGGATCTCTTGATCTCCCGTGATCTCTTGCAGGGCCAGAAACCCCAATTGGGAACGTTTGCATTGACCCCTCGATGGACCCTGAATCATTCAATTTTCAATCTCCATTGGCTGCGCAAATCAATTTGATCTTATCGCGCTTATCGCGCTCCTCACAAATAGGATGGCTCCGGATTCCTCGACCTCTCGGAGTTGGACTTGAGGGCATGTGGCGGGACCGTGTTTCGGCCGCCGACCGTGGCAGAAGGACGCCCTATCACAGGTTGGTGCATCTGCCGTTTCCGGGACGTGTCCGACTCAAGCGGGCTGCCCACGGGGTGTTCTCCGGCATCTTCGGGTCACTTCGGGATCGCGCATTACGCCACAGTTGTTCTGCGCCACGATTTCCATTTCCCCCTCCAACCGTGGCGGGTGCTCGCCCTTGAGATCGAGAGTCTACATCATCTACGAGGGTCGGCGGCGGCACAGTTTCTCATGCGAATCTCGTTGACATGCAAACACTGCCCGTAAACTTCCTCACCGTCTGCGGATAGCTACATACCGCCCTCTTCAACCGTTTCATCATGTCGATGTACCAATGGCTTGTAGAGCGAACACTGGGCGGTCAGATCCCGCCGATGCGTTGCTGCCTGCATTCGCAAAAAGCCAGCGCATCCATCGTGAATTCTTTTACTCGGGAGTCACAAACCGGAAACGGGCCAACGGTTGCTCGGCGGCCCTGGATACCGGACCCATTGAGTCGGTGCAGAAAGGAACACGACCGCAGCGAGGTGTAACGTTCCCACGAGGGTTTGAGGCGAAATAGCAAAGTTCGGCGATGACCAAAGTCACTGCTCAGTCCGGTCCGACAGAGCCACCGCCAAGATCCATCGATCGCCCAGGCGGGAGTGGCTAGTCAGAGTCAGAGGCACTTGACGTTGGCATGAGTGGCTTTATCTGCCGTTAACCAGAGATTTGAGTGCGCCGCCCGCCCACCGTCGGCTCCCGTGGCATGACGAGCATGACAAGCGCCGATCCAAGAGTGGTTCTTCAGTGGAGATGCGGCTGGAAACGGGTCACTTCGTGCATGACTGACGGATGGGGACCAGAAAACAAACGCAGCGACATGCATATTTTGCAGCCTGGCTCCATGCAGGTTCCAGGTCATCCATTTTCCTGGTCGTATTTGGGATCGTTTGCATCACAGGGAGCTACCGAAGGGGGCGCTGTTCCTCTATTCTTCCCTCGTAATTGAGAATCTGACCGAGGAAATCCCATCCGGTCTCTCGTCATGATCCGACCAAGGACCCTGGAATCGTCCCATTCTGAACCCAAGTGCTCAAGGTCAAGGCGTACTCGTGACGCCCAACAGGGTCCTCGCCGCAAGCAAAAGAACAGCCACAGGAGAGGCATTCATGCATATCCCATCCCACTGGCATCCCTTCGCCATCTTCCCCAATACGAGCCAGGGATCGGCAGTCCGCCCCAGGGCACACGCCACCTGGAAAAAGCTGCTAGCTGTCAGCTGCCGCGCTGAGCACTAGGGAGGCCCCAGCCGATTTTACGTGAAAATACACGGGATTGGACCATATAGGATGAGAGACAAAGTCTTCTAATAATACACATCGTGCCCGGACCCAAACTAGAATGGTGCCTGCAGCGATGAGCCGGAATCGGGTAATTTTGATCGCTGCCACACCCCTCCTCCCCCTTGAGCTTCGCTGCGCATCAGCTCACCCATTTCCCAGATACGAGTGAGCGATGCTGCCTCCACCCCTCTTTTTGTTTCTCCCGCTTGTCTTCCAACGGGGGACGATCTACGCTGCGTTTGTGGGGGAGAGGATGGGAAGAAAGGATTTTTGTCGACGACCGGTCCAGTTGGCTATGGTCGCCAATACGAGAATGGTACCCTTTGTGCTACGTCATGGTTCAACGGTGCCACCCCTCCGGCCTTACCGACTTTTATGCGATGGATGACTGGGGCTCCCGGGGTAGACCTCTCGAAGCATCTTGTTGTTGTGGAGAGGTCAATGGCGATCTGTTGTTCACTCTTGGTGGGATGGGAAAACGTTGATGATGTTGCTCATGTACTTAAACCTGGGCAACGTTCCCCGTCTGATGTTTTGTGATTTTGCAATACAGCAGCACGCTTCTTTCCATCTCATCTCATCTCATCTCACCTAATCCTACTTCACAACAAATACGTCCCCAACTAATTCAACACCACGCCAAACCCATCACAACCCTCACCAACCTTCAAGATGCACATGAACTTCCTCCCCGCCCTCCTCTTCCTCGCCCGAGCCCTCGCCTCCCCCATCGCCCAACGCGACGGCGAGCAGACGTGCGGCCAAAAGTCAGGCAAGCTCTCCGAATGGACGCTCACGGGCTTCGACTACCACGCCAGCTACATCTTCAGCACGCCCGCGCACCAAAACTCGTGGGGTTACATCAGCTTCAACGTCTCCAACCCGGTCCTCGACTACACCGTCGCCTGCAGCGCCGCCAGCAACCGTCTCAGTGACTTTTTCTACGGCGAGCAGGTGTACCAGTGCGCGCCGCCCGAGGGGGAGAGCGCCGCGACGTCGTTTACGTGGAGTACGCCTGCCAAAGCTGTCGCGTTGAATCAGTCGTGGACTTGCAATGATGATCCCAAGTATCCGTGAGTGATATATTCTCTCTTATTTATCCTTTCCCCCTTCCTTCATGTTCACAGATGCCCGGGGGCTCAGGCTAATGGGAATGTGAGCAATAGAGCCCGCTACACCGCAAAGGGCGGCGCCGTCGCCAATCTCCAGTGCGACGAGACGTCTTGGCAAAACGACAACTGGACCATTGGCCAGATTTACTCTACGCGCAATATCAAATGCGGCATCATCACGCTGCCCACCCCGATCAAGGAGATTTCCGCCGTCGCTTAGGGGACATGGTTCTTTTTGCTTCCTCGCTTTTGCAGAGCACTGCCACGCTTCACACGACGCTCATGATGATTTAAGCCTTTCGGCTTACACGACACTCCTTGGATAGACATTACACGCATATTTTTGCATGGGTATGGCGTTGAAGGGGTGTTGCCAAGCAACATCTCTTTTTGCATTGAAACCTGCTTGTTCATTTTTCTTTTTTGGGACGAAAGAGAGGTTACGGAGCATATAGAATAGTATGTTCGAGGTAATCCTAATGTAATTCTACCCTACACATCATCGCGCTTTTCGTTTTGTTCTGTCTCTAGTGACTTGGTACGTGTGCTCGAGAGTTCCAAATGAACTATGTCTGGTGCATCAGACACTCCCTCTCATCTACTGGTATCTACTGGTCAGACGCCCCGACGAGCAAGCTTTTCATACCTCTTTGGAGCACAGATTTTCAAGAACACCTAGACCATGAAATGAACAAAGCAAGTGGGTATCTTTCTCTCCTCTTGAGCCTTCGAATCGCCCTTGTTCTTGCCGACATCAAAGACTTTTCGCCCCGTTGTAACCAGTTTTTCTTCCCGCTTCAGTCATCAGCCGTCTTGCCGACACAACCACGCATCTTCCATTAGCTCTCGGGCGGATAATCTGTCTTCTGGTCTCCACTGGAGCATCTTGCGGAGGAAGGTCAAGAACTCGGCTTGCTCGGCTCCCTCGAGGTTGCACTCTTCCTCCTCCAGCGATGACTCTGGTATCTCGCCATCGACAATCAGTCTACCTGTACCCCCGACTCATTAGTCCCGGTTCGCCATGATCAAAAACTTCCAAGATCCAATCACAAACCTTGTTCGTCGAAAAAGTCTTTCCACAACGACCCTCGGTCCAATAAGTCATCAGGCGGGGGGCCCAGCAACGAGACCGTCCTCGCAAAGTGCGCGGCTCGGGATGCGTTCCGGTCGCGGTGTCGAGTGTTGTAGAGGAGCTTCCCCTCGAACAAATCCCACACCTGGTGCCGTGGAAAATCAGCATTCCGTATTCGCTAAAGTCAGCTTCACGAAAGGGAGTGATGGCAGCGCAATCGTACCATTAGCCCCAACGCCCAAATGTCAATCTTTTCGTCCCAGGGGATGCCGAGGATAATCTCGGGTGCGCGGTACAGGTCCGGCATCACCTCGCCCTCAAAGTCTTCATTTCCGAATTGCGCATCGCCAAAGTCTGAGATGACTGGGTCGCCTGGGTCGTCTGGGATTTCGAGGCCTGTTGACGCATAGGTCGTCCGATCACCCGCAATTTTCCTTGCGCTTGGAAGTCTCCATTCTTCATTCACAAGGTCATCGAGAATTGTCGTATCTGAAATTGAGAGCATAATGTTTCCGTCCTGTATGTCTGAAGTATATATCAATACCGATGATCTAGGTCATATATACTACCAGGGAAACCAATACTCCCCTTCCTAACTGTATCGAGTGCAAATAACATAGATAGTGCGAGCAAGATCCTTCTTACCTGTATGGACGACATGTGCGACAGAGTGCATATAATCAATGCCCAGTAGCAGCCCGTATATCAAACCCTTTAGAAGATTTTCTGGCAGTTTCCCGCCTGCCAGTTCTCGAATATCGGCTAGTGACAGTCCAAGAGTCTCAAAGACCAAGCAGACATGCGGGCCAATCTTTCCCTGCAGCTCGAAACTGTCTTTGATGGAACGTAATAGCTTTTGACCTGGGTGCTCAGACTCGACGCCATCCAAGTGACGCAAGACTCTTTCCTCATTAAGTGCCTGGCGATGTCCGGTTTCATAGACCTTCAAAGTCATATAGACATGCTTCCTGGAGTCTAGTTAGCTTCAACTCTATAGGCATACGCATGTCGCCTTCAGAAATAGTCCCGCGTACTCAAGATCACGACACAGCCATACCGTCGACGCAGAGCCGAATCCCAACTTTAGCAACACTTGGTAGCGCGACGCAAAGACCTGTCCGATTTGGACCGGGTACCACTTGTCGGGATTATACCAAGCAAAGGCCTCCTCCTCCAGGCCCACCTCTTCGCCGTACAGCTCTTCCGGTTCGGCGTCCGGCAACTGCCGTGGGGGCGAGGCGTCTCTCTCCGCAATCATTGGCGACGGAGGCTACGTTTGCGGTTGCAATAAGCGGTGAGGTGGACTGTGGACATCGTTGTTGCGCGCAGGGTTTGCACGCGGCTGTTTTGTGGGGTGGAGAAATGAGGTGCGATAGTGCGGGTTTCCCCACCAAGAAGTCTCGTGTGACCACTTACACCCCGATCTGATGTTCAGCCACCTCCATTTGTCTGTTGGCTGGATATGGAGAAGTGAATCGACATGAACTTCGATGTGATGTGTGAGTACGAAATAGAAACGATTTGGAAACCTGTATTAAGGCTGTTCGCTGTATTCTTAGTCAGAATCCTTGCCGTCCTAGTTCCGGATAGTTACGCAATGCAAAAATCGACTCGAATATCTCGCTGACTTACTGGTGATTTAAGCCCAACGAACAAAGCCCAACTAACACTTAGTGGAGCTTGACCATACTTGGTCAATCTCCGATTAAAACTTCCGATTCAATAGCTGTTTTTTCGCCATGGAAATGATAGTGTTTTTTTAGTTCATGTTCAAACAATCTACTATGCCGACAGTCTGACAGAATTGTCATTGTTCGCGTCGAGAGCAGAGCTCCTGAACTCATATCGAAGCAGGTTGCCAAATCCTTTTGCATAACTGATTGCTCGCTATTAGAGGCGAGTTTACTGGACGCATGGAAATTCCCTCAATCGCTTGTACTCAATAAGCATCAACCTTGGAGAACGAGAAAACAAAAAAAGTACCCGGAATAAAAGCTATTTCGATAATGGAAAGGAAGGAATTAATGCCAAAGCTAAGTTGAACACAACCCGTAACAAACACTCGTAACCGGAATCGATATCGTACAAATACAGCTTAGAACGTTCATGATTCATCAGGCTCCATGCGCCTGGAGCTCAGCCTCAGTCCAGTCCCAAAGTTCCTTCGCCAACAGGTCATCCTGTCCGTCCTTGCTTGCAACTCCCGAGACTCCAACAGGCTCGTAGTATTCTCCACTCTGGACTTCCTTTGAAATGGAAGCCCACAGCTGGTTACGTGCGCCCTTCTCGACGGAGTTGACGAGCCACCGATTCGCAAAGTGCATCAGATACTGCACGACTTTGGGCGACCCAGTCGTGCCGGCTGCCAAGTTGGTGCTGACAACACCGGGGTGGACGGCCGCGACGGTGATATCCGGGTACTCCTTTGCCAGCTGCCTTGCCCATAGCACGTTTGCCAACTTGCTTTGAGAGTAGCGTCCGTAAGGACCTAGCGCCTCTGCCTCCGTCTTGAGGCTGTCGTACTGAACCCCTCCTTTGGTGGCATATGCATGACCATAGGAAGACAACGAGATGACCCGTACATCAGAGTTGGAATCGCTTCTTGCCGTCTTTTGGAGCAGCGGAAGAAGAAGTTTCGTGAGAAGCGCGTGTCCCATATGATTGGTCCCGAACTGAACCTCGTAGCCCTCGCTGGTCATTCCAGGCGGTGTTGCCATGATGCCGGCATTTAGCATCAAGACGTCGAGGCGCCCTGTTTCCGAGAGCACAGTGTCGGCGGCCCTTTTTATGGAGTCGAAAGATCCGAGGTCGAGTTCAAGAAGCTTGATGGGAGCGCCGGGAACTTGCTGCTTGATATCGTTTGCTGCGGCTTGGGCCTTTTCGAGGTTTCGTGCGGCGAGCCATATCTGTGCCGGACCATGTCGCGAAAACTCCAGGACGCTTTGTTTACCCAGACCCGAATTCGCACCAGTAATCAAGATGATTTTGCCCTCAAGGTTGGGAATGTCTCGTTCGGGGTCGAATTCAACCGAGGTACTTTTGCAGATGACCATGTTTGTCGATTTCTTGAACAGTGTCAGCTTTGGATGGAATTGTTTTTGTCGGAGATCTGCTGTCGGAAGAATGCTCTCAGATATGATTTATATGTTTTCAATCTCGACTCAGTCAGCTCATGATCACGAGTCCTGAGTTAATCTGATTGCAAGGCTATCACCATTACGCGTGTCTGGCCCCAACTGACCGGACCCTCATTGTCCCGGCTGCTTCTGAATCTGGTGATCTCGCTTCTGTGAGAAATCAGTATTCCTGCTTCTAGGCCAATCATGACGCTCATCCGGTCGCCTGAAGGTGGTGGCACAGCAGACGCGCGTTGTCTGTCAGACCATGTGGCTTCAATGGCTACGGAGATAAGCATACTTTACGGCCCGACCGATGGGCAACACTGCAGATGAGCAGGTCGCCAAGGGTCTTCGCGGGGTCTTGAATAGCCCGGCGTAGCGAAGAGTGAGTTCACGTAATCGATTCTAAAGTAGGATGATATTTTGAAGATTTTCGCAGGCGCAGAAGAAATGTCTGGGGCTTGATTCGAAAGGGTTATTCCAGTGCGAACGAAATGTGAGACCATTTTAAATGAAGTGACCCGAGTGCGAGCCTTTCCCACAAAGTACATGTACTCATGTATGCATTTTGCAGTATCCTACCAGATGCGACTGCGATTGCTGTTGCATTGCAGTCTGACCGACACCGCTTGACTCACCCGACCAGCACGGGGAGCTGAATCGGGTTTGGGCCGTCAGCACTTCGATTCCTATTCGTGCCATATCGCCAAGCGGATCAACCGACTGGCATTGAGATCACTGTGGCAGCTTGGGAGACTGCATCGTATAAGATGCGATAAGTTAGTGTTGGATGATAAAGTCGAAGTTGAGAAAGGGAGCTACACCACAACTTCTCGGTCTACATCACCTGAATATCCTCAACTGCTAGTCTTGGTCGAACTCGAGAAATCAATCACCGCATAATCAGAAGATGAACCCAGTCAATACCAAGCCGTACAAACTTCCTCCGGATGCGACATGGCTGAGTGAGTCTCGGTTCTTGATTAGTCGACTAGATCGGCACAACTAATTTCATGCCAGTCACCGGGTGCTCGTCGGGCATCGGTCAATCACTCGCAACTCTGATTGCAACAAAGCCTGATCATCGCCTGATCGCAACAGCTCGGAACCCTGCCGACTTGGACTACCTGCCCGACAACGACAAAAACATTCTCAAGGTTTCTCTGGATGTGACATCACCCACGTCGGTGAAAGATGCGTTCGATGCGGCAGCAGAGCACTTTGGTAGTGGTTTCCATCTCGATGTTGTTGTCAACAATGCCGGATATTCTTTGTCCGGTGACACCGAGTCTGCGACCGAGGAACAGGCCCACGAGGAGATCGAAACCCTCTTCTTCGGTACCGCTCGAGTGACTACACGTGCTATCGAAAACATGCGGGGATCTGAAAATCACCGTGGTGGTATCATCTTCAACATCTCCTCGCTAGCTGGACAATGCGCTTTTCCGGGGCACGCGTATTATCACGCGGGAAAATGGGCCGTTGAAGGTTGGACTGAGTCCGTAGCAAGGGAGATGCATCCTGACTGGAACAGTACGCTAGCGTCAGGTTTCATCCTTTCCACATTCCAAGTTGCTGATATCCGTCTAGTCAACTTTTGTATTGCCGAGCCGAGCGGTGTCCAAACCAACTTTGAGGGGCACAGCAAAGCGCGCTCCGAGCCACATCCAGCCTATGCAGGGCAAGACATGCCAGCTCGTGTTCTCGAAAGATACGTGGAGATGGGGATCAAGTCAGGAACCCTCACCAAGCCGTCTGTGATTGCAGATGCCATCTATAGCATTGCATCCAGGGAAGAACGCATTCCGTTGCGTGTTCCGCTTGGTGCACCTTCTTGGGGATTTATCAAGCAGAAGCACGAAGCTTCCTTGAAAGACCTCGAGGACATCAAGGAGTTCAGTCTGTTGAATCAGAAGCCGTCCGGTCACTAGCCTTTAGCGGGCGTCCGGGGTCTTTGCATACGACACGTAACGGTAATCAATATTCCAGCAAGTTGTCATACATCCCTGAATTTTGGTACGCAATATTGTATATTCTCAAAGACACTGTGGATTATTGCTCAGGCAATATCTTATGCCACGTCAAGAGACTGTGACAGAAAGTTGGATATCGCGGATCAGGGGGAATCCGCTTCCCCGCAAGATTCCAGTAATTCATTACTAGAACGTCATGAACTCGTACCCAATCGGCCAGCCGTAGGATGATGGCTGACGAAATGTACATTGATGATACATCTTGAGTTTCTCCCTCAAGCAGAGAGCACTTCGGCGCTCCATTGCTAGAGCAACTTCCGACTTCGTGGAAGCAGCATTCTTAGGAATGCTCCAAGTCCCGTCACATTGGTAGGTCCTTTTCAATCAACGGCCAACCTCGACGTGATAATCCTTGGTGACCTGGATCCCTGTGTTGTAGTTTACACCTTCTTCGGAACTCCGGTCGTCCGCAAATGCAGTGGTCTGGTTCCTGACGCCCTTTGAGTCGACGATGTGCTCCTGACTTCCCAAGGATGTTTCGTCGAGCTTCTGGTGGCCATTTCTGACCCGCGACATCTTGTGTGTGCCGCCGGTACCGCCGAATGTGACCAGGCCGGAGTGAGGAGTATTACTCGGGTTCGTGGAGCCGGTACGTCGATGGGGGAAGAGCGGCTTGATTGAAGGAGCGTTTGTGCAGATAATAGCGACGACCTGATAATATTTCGATTAGTTGAGTTGAAAGGCATCGAAGGCGTATGAGGATTTCAGCTCACCGTCTCGCGAATGGACCAGTTCAATCCCAAGTCAAGTCTCTCAGGAGTGCTCAAACAGATGATGCACCGCAACAGCGTGCAGATCACGATGAAGAAACCGGCGCAGAACATGAGGCCAAAGGCAAGTTTCCTGGAACGTTAGAGTCGAACACGTCAGGCGTTACGTAGTCACAACTTACTTTTGAAGAGTGGTTTGAAGCCTCCACAACAACGGAATGGGGATGTACATAATCATGATATCGGTTCTGGATGGGCATATTAGCCAAAAATCACAATGAGGATAGCTCATGCAGCACTTACACGACATTTGTAGTCACCAACGCGTAATACTTGGAAGTGTTTTGCGTGCAGTCATCTGCCCAACGTTAGAACCCAATCTCTCGATGCAACCGACCCTGAAACGTCACATGGATTTCCTTACCTCCGGGATATGGATACACTTGCCAAAGCTTGTGCATGGGACGGCAATGTCCTGTGACAACCGCAAGCGTGGCCAAGTAGGCAAAGACGCATATCACGGACACCACCTTGACTAGGCGTTCCTCTGGCAAAGTTTTGCTGCACGAGCGTGATTTAGCACCGGTTTGTAAGCCATGGATCAATAGCAACTTACGTGACTCTAGCGAAGAAGAAGAGCATAATACCCTTTAGACTCCAAATCATGCTGACGTAGATATACCACGCAGCAAAAAGCCATTTTGCACCAGTCTCGTGGCTCTTGTATTCTTCTGGCGTCAGGCTCAACGCGATTTCGTCAGTCATTCCCGTGATGCTTCCCTTCTCAACTGGAAAATGGGAGTTAGAACAAAAGATAAGTTTCTTCAAGAGGGTGTGTTCTTACCGATAATTTGACACATCATAACCTCCAACTAAGGTTCATGGTGTTGTCAGCGGAGCCCGCTCCGTGGTGTGGGAGGAAATAGGGGTTCTTCTTCAAAGGCAACTGACCGTGAAGAACACAAGGGCCGCAATGGCCAGGTAGTCGTCGCCCTGCCATTTGAAACCCACGACCTTTTTCCATCGTGTAAAGATTCGTATAAAGAGAACCAAAACTCCAATGCCATATTCCACCCACATCTCAATCACCGCGGGCATCAACGCTGCAGAGACCGCCATGGTTGCGGTTGTCGGAGTTGACCGCAAACACGCAGCACACACGTTCTCAATCGGGGATAGGCAAAAAAAAAGAAAGAGCTTCCAAAAATGTGAAGGCGTAGACTTGCGGTTAATGCTCAACCGGCTAGACCAACGCCATTTACGGGCAGCTCATGCTTAAGAATTGGGTTGCGAAAAGGCTGCAGACTCTGCAGCCTGCCGGACCCATCTCCGGGTTTCTTCCAGCCTGCAGTTGATAGTTAGGATCGGCCAAACCTTCGTTCATTGGGTCCAAGGAAGCGACTGCAAGACGTAAAGATACTGGGTCGTGACTGTGGACTCAGGTAGCAATTCGCCGTTACAGAGACATTCTCGGGGTGTGGAGGAGACAACAAAGGCCCACAATGCTGAACCGGTAATGACGAGAAAACCCTCTTTTCTTCCTTCTCTCTGCCAGTCTCTGGATGTACCTGGCTGAAGTAGATTATCTGAGAGGTCGGGGTGTGTAGATCGGCAAGCATATTACCATTTTAGAAAGTTCTGCTCATTGGACATGACTTAGCTGCTGGCAGACAAGGTCTGCATTGGCCCGCGAGAGGGAACGTCAAACTACTTGGCAGCAGACCGCAAGGGCAAAGTAAGGGCACTTGAGGCATTTGCGTTGTATCGGAGAAAACGACATAACATGACCTTCGTCCCATGCGGGATTCGTAATAACGGAGAGTTCAGTTTATTGCCGGTTCTGTGGAATTGCACTGATAGACGACGCTAAGACGCCTCAAAAAGACGTTGGATCATCAACGGTTACGGGAACTACCATGGAACCACAGTATCAATCGCCCATCGGATGGGCAGGTTAGATCTCGGTCGGCAGCCGCTCATCCCCTCAAAGCCAGGCCATTTCTGGTAAGACGATAGATCCCTCCCGTTTTCTCGCCTTCTGGCCTGTTGGGCCGCGATGAGGTTGCCGGCCGCAGAAACCCCTGGCACATTGCATTTCTATTAGTCGTTGCTGGAGAACGGCCCCGCCCGAGGAACTGGGACGGCTTCGAAGTTCGAACAAGGGCCCCTGTGAACTCTATTCCCATGACTGACTCGATCTCGGTCAGCCCCCACTCGGAAACGCGCTGACAGTTTGTAAATGTGCAGTTCCTGATTGAGCAAAATCAATCTTGCTTCATAATATACCGGATGAACGTGGGGCGCAGATCATCACGTAAGACGGAATCTATCTGTGACCGCCGGTAGACAGAGAAAGCCCGTCGGCCGTTTATCATGAAAAGATATACACAAAGGAGGGTTACGAGGAAGATTCAAAACATTAGATGATACAGTGTTACTACCAAGTCTACCACTCAATAGGCAGGGACTTGATCGGCGCGTCGAAGAATGCCGGCAGCTTGGCGATTTCCACCTTTTCGCTCGTAAACGCGGGGTGGTCGTCGTATGCAAGAAATCCCGTTCCATCATAGCACCCAACGTACTCCGCGTCCATCTCTTCACCCTTCAACACTGCCACATCGACCCAGAGCAGCAAATCACCACCCTCCATAACTCCACCAGGTCCATACGCACCAAAGAAGTCCCGTCTGAGCTTGACGTGAACCTTATCCGTTCTGCCAATGTGTTCCATTTTGGAAAGGTCGAGCCAGAAGAGAATCTGAGCTTGGCGAATGTAGTCCAACCCGGGGAAGATTCCGTGGTCGTTTGTCAAAGCTCCGTTGGTACCGTTGGCACCATTTGTGCCGTTGGTAGAGGCACCGTTGACAGCACCGTTCGTGGCACCTGGTTGCTTATCTCCCGCAAAGGCGTGGCAGGCTCTAGCAGAAAGCATCCCGCCGGCGGGACCAGTAGTCATGACATTGGTGACCCATTGCTTGGTCAGGCCGTCGAAGTTCTCGTTCCAGTGACCGCGCTCGTTATCATTCATGGCACTATAGTCTTGGCCTTCGACCACGAAGGAAATGTTGTCAGGGAACTTGGACACTCTGACCCTTCCGGGACGGATTTTGTCCGTAAGAGGACGGGCCTCAGGTACTGCAGGCAGAGTAGACTCGAACTTGTCTTCGGGTCCCTCAGGGGTCAAACGCGAGCGGTAGGCGCCCCAGTATCCCGTTTTCGAGGTAAGGGGGATCAGCTCTCCGCAGTGGCCGAAACCGGAAAGCTTCTCCTTGTTGGATTCGTACATTGATCTGGTGGCGGGCAAGCTCACGGTCTCTCTCCAGAAACCAGCGTTTTCCGGGAGAGCGGCCCAGAAGGCCGAAATTTTCGGGCTTTCCCACCATGTCTTGAAAGTCTGGGGAGACTTCCAGTAGCTCATCCAGACCTTGGAGGGAAGATCATTTTGCTCGAGCTCTTCGACATAAATCGCGGCGGCCTTGATGAGTCCGTCGAACTCGTTGATGAGAGTCAGCTTCTCCGGTGATGGTGAGTCGGCGTGATACTGGCATCCGAAGATTGACACAGTGAAGTGATGGGCTGTAGGAAAACGAGAGCGAAGCATTTTGGAAGATGTGCACAAGAACGATATGCCATTGACTGGGGAGAATACGACACGGCATCGCAGCCGAATGAAGGACCCTCCAGCCTTTATAGCGTAGCATAGCAATTCTGCTCTCCCCCCACCACAAAAAGGAAAATTCATAATGCAGAAAGTCTCTCTGGAACGCCTCTGCCTCAACCAGGTTTTTGGAGCTCCAGCCAACCATGCAAAGAACACACCCCTTCCCAAGCTCCTAACACGCGCAACCCCATGTATGGCCATAGCCCGAGATGGAGCAAGCTGGGGTTAGCAACTTGACATATGCAGGGTCGTAGCGTAGGCGGAGAGCAAAGACCAATGACAAGGGCAAAAGGAGGGGAGACGGCAGAGCTAGCCAAGGTCCTGGAACATCTTCACCGCCGATCAACAGCAGTGCAACATCTTCAAATTGAGAAGCGGAGTTGCGGGGCCATCCGGACTTGGATAGCTGGGGTGTCCCGAGTTCTGCTTTGCTCCCCATTTCAGAGAGATCCTATCATCCAGTGTCCCAATTACCACCCCCATAGCCCCAGTTCACAGTTATATTAGGCGACGCTCGGATCACTCCCCAAAGGGGATCTCCCTGCGACGTTTTCTGTCAGGTTACAATACTTCATTAGAACTGCCTCTCTTGACCGTGAGCAACAGAACCCGTAAAGTAATTTATTGTCCGGCAACAGTGTTGTCTTATCAACCAATCATAAGCACGAAAACACAGTTGCAGAGATAGCTGGCCAGGTGCACTGGTGGGAACTCCAATTTTTTGCTTCTGCTACATACGACGAGCGCTTTCTTCGTTATCTTAACATTTAAGCGCCCCGCTTCTCGGAACACGGCATCAATGGATTGCGAATCCGAAATCGCGTCGACTTGGACAGAGGATACCCTCGTGAATACTTCGCCTTTTCAGCAGAGGATCTTGCATGTTCGTATTGATTTGAGATTAGACGGGTATCAAGAATGGCCTAGTCTCCTAACTCGTTTGTTCTGCGCATTGGAAAAAATTCAGTTGAGAAGCATAGACGAACAACAAGGTGTTGTTAATCTTAAAACAAAGTATGGATAGTGAAAGATAACCCTTCCGGAGAGAAAAACCAGTGGCTGGCTCATCCGCGACGTGATAGCCCGAGATGGAGAAGCTCGTGAATACCTGTTGATCTGGCTCGATATCGTTGCTCGCGCCAGAGAAAGGTTGGACCGTGCTGATAGGGTGGAAGATCACGTCTTCCATATGCTTGAGCCTGGAAGCAACTCAAGAATCCAGGCCACAAAGATTGCAGCAGCCTTCGAGGATGTGGCGAAGGCAGCCACAGAACCTTGCAGTAGACGATCCAGCGAAAGCCAGCATGGCTCAAGGCTGATATAGGACGTGAGTTTTACGACCCAGCCAGTTGGGGAACCAGCTGGGTTGCTAGCCGGCGTGACTATTTAATGCACAACAGAGAGATAATAACGACGAATTTGTCGATACCGAATCTTTTGCTTTGTGCTACATTTGGTTGCCCTGACCTGCCGGTAACACTGAGATATGTCAGGGGGTGTCCTTAGACGTGTGTCGTCTTAGGACGTTTGTCTTCCTAGGAGGCAGGCATCTGGAAATTGAGGGGTATCTCGAGCGACTCCTGGACAGTGACAATTGTGTGGGCTCGTCTTCCTGCCTCTTTGAGGAGAGCAGTACATCTGTAAACTACATTTATTGGAGAGGAGTGGTATAATTGGGCAACGCTAGATTATATTGAGGACGCCCTTGTAAGTAGTGAAGAATTATATACTCAGGTAATTGTCACGTAAGGGTGTGCAGCAATGCTGTGGACGGGAAGGATCAAAATTGCTCTTGATAGTGTGGATATAGCGCGCAACATACCCGACACTGCTGCTGCCTAGGATCGAGAACGAAGCCCTGTATATGATACGTCTGGTCCGCCTTGGCTAGGAGGAGAATTGCTACCTGGACGGGCCGCATTTGCCACCCGCTCCTGTTGGTCACGTTGCGTATGGCTCTTCGATGCATTCATAGTATGGGCCAGAACATAAGGGAATGAATTTACCAATTGATCAAGGAGTGCCACATGCCCCGTACCGCAACTAACTTATAGCTGCGCCATACGTGCATGAGCCAGGGGAGGTGTTCCCGGTCTAGGTAGGTAGCCAAAGATACTAGCATGTCCAAATTCCCGTTGCATCACATCCTGGTCATAGTAGCTAACATTTCGACGGGACCCCTTACTGTTGGTAACTTTTAGGATGGCGGCAACATGCAATGTAGGTGGCCAGGATCAACCTCTGTCGGCGCTGACGAGCCGGTTTCACCTCCGCGGCGGCCAGGACCAAGCACAGAAGAATAATCACGCTGAAGCCTCCAAGATGCCTGGCTTCGAGGCAAAGGCGGATATCTTCTATTCGTGGCAATTCTCTTAACTGAGCCAAGCTCTGTCGTTTAGTGCGATCAAAGCAGGAATCTATCAGAAGCTTGAGCGATAGTTGATCCATTATCGGCAGAGGGAGGCTATTACTTTGAGGAAAAAGGACGGCTTGGCGGATCTGGCGTAGGGAAGGAACTAGGAACGGGGGTAATTACTGCGAAAGGTCTGCGACTCTGCTGCATAGGACATGGGCTTAAGTTAAGATTTCTGGAGTGTGATTCTGGCGCATAAGGCACTGCAGCATTGTTACCTAATGGTTAACCTGATGCGTGGTACGTCGTGGTGACTTTGAAAAGTGCAGCTTGCACCTTGCCTTTGAGGCGTATGGATACTTGGTTACAACTTTGGATAAATACCTACATAGCGGAGCGGCGGGCGTGGCTAGACTCAGTAGGAATAGGTAGACTAACTTGCTTTTTACCTAATGGCTGCATTGATAGCTTAGATGTAACAGGAACGAAATGCCAAATTATTGGCCCTATGAGCGGCTAAGTGAGACTATAAGGCTAGGAAGGAGTGTTGTAGGTCCAGGCCGCCTAGAGCTAGACAGCATGGGGTGCTTTTTGCTGATGTCCGGTTTGCGGTACTTCCGTGTTGTTCTGCCGTGTACCCTGATTGAGGTTAGATGGTATAGCGATGCGAACCTGGAATTACATACATGAATGGTTATATTGAGAGAGCGGTAGTTAGACGATGTGTTGCTAAATGTAGGTGTGAAGGTGCGAGCATGTTCTGGGATGAAGCTATTATGGGATTCTGCTAATAGGTAGAGGCATGGCCGACGACATTGACCTCGATCGGAAGAAAGAAAAATGTAATGGAAACCGATAGAATCAGTCCTGTGGCGCGCGACAATACTAGGAGGATTCTGATTCTCGAATACTGTTCCGCGCCGTCCTCAAACGTACCCTAAGCTGGCGAGCCGGCATTTTGATCCAACTCGTTTTGCTAGAAGAGTGGTTGTTTGTCAGACGCTGTGTTGTGTTCTTGCACACTTTCGAAGACTTCCTTGCGACGCTGTTCTCCTGACTTGGCCGTCAGCGACCGAAAGACGCCTTCAAGTCAAGTAGGGCATCAATCTCTGTACAGCATAAACATATCATTGGAATAGGCCATTCCTGAAAATGGTAGACTCATCCCCACACCCCCACAAACCATGAAACGGTGGAATAGGTGTCTAGAACCCTCTTTTTTATCCGAGTTGTGAAGTTTGGGAGTGCATGGGTGATGACGGAGCAGTAATATGTTCACAATGCCACTGACAGGATGCTCGTCCGGCGGCGACTTGGGCACTCTTCGATATATATTAAAATGGTTCTCAATATGTTCCACAGCTCCTCGGTTGACAAAACACAGCAAGACATGAGGGGGCCTAGGTAGTATTTCAGGTTCATCATTGAGTTTCCTTCTCCCTTTGAGCCGCCGCCGCCGTCCGCTTGGCGCGCCAGTGTCGACCCCGCCACAGCTCTAACACGACGAATGAACATGAAAGTAGCGCGATGATGGCACAGAGCGTGAAGGCCCAGCCGACCCCGATGGCGCGGATCAGGGGCCCGACGGCGGCGGTTCCGCCGGCGGACAGGAGACAGCGCAACAGGTTCATAGAGGCGGTGGCGCTGAAGCTCTGGGTCCGGAACAGATCGACAATAAGGGTTGCTACGGATGGTATTTGTGTCAGCGAATGATGGCCCTCTGAGAAGGTTTATAGAACGTGCGGCAGCGGAGCAAAAAGAAGGAAAAAAAACCCCTGTAAAAGGGATAAATACTTACAGAAGACGGCCAAGATGATGGTGTTGAGGCCTCCAACAAAAAAGGCCATGGTAATGGAGGCGGCAATATGGGTGTTAGACTCAATAATCCAGCCCAGGGCGACGACGGAGATAAGATACCCAATGGTAGGGATGATGACGGGCTTAATTCGTGCGAGCTCAATGTGCTGTACTTCGTTCGCAGGAGGTGATCCGTCGTCGGCTTCGGTCGACTGTGCTGCCGCTGCCTGTTGCTCCCTCTTGAGCTGGTGCTTGTACTCGCGGTCCAACAGCTTCCCTGTAAGCACGCTGCCACAGACGGAGCCGACGCCGTTCGAGATGTAGGTCAGGCCAATGCTCAACTCGTTCAGGCCGTAACGCTCAGCGTAGAGTGTAGCGGTAGCAACCATGGTGACCTGCCATACTGTGTAGCAGACGCCAGTAAAGACAACAATACACAAGCACTCGGGCTCGACGAGGAGACGGACGGGGGCGCCAATATCAATGCGGAACTTGGCAACGGCGGCGGCAGCGGCGTCGGTGGAGGCATTCTTGGGCGCGTCGAGCCACTTCAGGGGGGCGCGCAGGTAGCGCGGCGCAGAAACGGAGCCGTCGTCGACGATGCCACGCTTCGTCTCGGGAAGAAGCAGGGCTGTGAAGAGCAGGAGAAAGGCGGCAAGCGCAGACAGGAAGATGAACATGCCGCGCCAGCCGGTGTACTGGGCGAATAGGCCGCCAATGACGGGGCCAAAGGCAGTGCTGGCGCCGCCAAGGGCGCTGTAGTTGCCCATGTATTTGCCGCGGCGGCTGACGTGGATCAGGTCGCCGATGAGGCTGGCGCCGATGGCAGTGGTAGAGGCAGAGCCAATGGCTTGGATAGCCCTTAGGGCGACGACGGCCGGGTAGTTGTAGGACAGGGCGAGGCCGATGCAGGAGGCCAGGTAGATAGTGAGGGCGATGAGGTATAGCGGGCGGCGGCCGGTGCTGTCACCGATGGAGCTCCAGAGCGTGGGACTGACGCCCTGCAGGATGAGGTACGAGGTGATGGTCAGGTTGATGGCGTCAGTCGTGACGCCCAGGTCCCTCGCGACGGCCGGGATGGCAGGCGTGTACAGGTTAGAGCTCAGGGGGCTCAGCATGCCGATGGTGCTGGCGGCGGCGATGATGATGATGCGCTGCTTGGGCGCAAAGCGGCTGTACGCGGCCATTAGATCAGTTTCGATGAGCGAGACTTCACGGCCCGAAGCGGTGCCGTCTGTGACAGGGCCCAGTACTGCCGGGCCCTCGGTGTCGTAGACATTGCCGCCTGTCTTCTCCGTCTTCTCCGTCATGGTCTGTTCTGTGACTGTTTCTGTGTTCTGGTCCGTCTCTGAGGCCTCTCTTGTCTCTGTCATCTGGATTGTCTCTGTGGGAAGGGCGGACTCGGAGTTGCCCCCAGCAGTAACAGGGCGTTCTCCCATCTCAGCAGGCAAAGATAATTGTAACTGATCAAGGCGGAAGAGAAGTGGAGAGGGGTGGATGGAGGGGGGAGAAGGATAGAGGGAGAAAATGGCGAGAAGATGGGAAGTGAAGGGGGCTCTGAGTTGACATGATGGAGGTTGGAGTCATCGTCCTCTAGGGCTGGATTGGGGGAAAATAATACGGGAAAATGAAAACCTCAGTCCTTGATAGACCGGCCGATCCCGTCGATAATCAGCCCCCCTTGTCGCTGGTAGTAATTCCTTCATGTTATGAACAACGCTGATGACTATGTAGTCTCTCACCAGGTCGACACTGGCACGCTATCTCCTGCCCGTTTGGGAGATAGTGACTCAGAGCCGAGCCTCTAGCGAGTGACTGACCTCGTTGGCTGAGCCAAATAAGAAAAGTTGTTTTAGTGTACTATGTATGTAATTACCTAGCGGACTGTTGGCCACGGACCGGCCCGCTGTTGCCCGCGGCCACCTCTGCATCGGTCCCTGTCACGGATCCTACTCTGTAGTACTGTACACTCCCTTACTCGTCACTCGACATAGATATCCATAGGAACTTGGAGGTGGGGAGATGGATGCAGAAGAGCACCGAGGCCCTCGCCCAGAAACGCTCGTACAGGTATCCAATCAATCATCCCGCCAAGCTTCACAGAGTATCATTGAAACCGGAGATGCTGTTGGAGGGCCCCTCCTCTTGGTCTGGGCAAGCGAGTAACAAAAACCACGCACCCACACGTGTAAAGATGGCAGCGATTCATCATACCAGATACAGAAACAGCATTCGTAGTGTAACGTTAAACTCTGGGGTGAACTGTACCCGTACCTGGTAATCCCTGACAAATGTGGGCTAGTCTGAGTCCAGTCCAATAGCTGTCTATCGTCTCTCACCTAAATTCAGCCTTAGTCAACGAAATTGTTGGAGCTGCCTTTGATTCGACTACGGACAGATGGATCCTTGACATCCCCGGCCTCACTATCCGACTGTCGGAGCCAACTTTTCTTTCCTGCACGTATCCCCTCCCCTCCCCTCGAAACCTTCACACCTCACCATTACCGCCACTGCCACCATCAACCGCCGTCCAATCCTCACCAATGACCTCCGCAGACCCGGCCAGCAACCCGCGCGTCGGCGTCGGCGCCGTCATCTGCAACCCCGCCACCGGCAAGCTACTCGTCGGACGGCGCCTTAGTAGCCACGGCCACGGCACCTGGCAGTTCCCTGGTGGTCACCTCGAGTACGCCGAGTCCGTCTTCACCTGCGCTGAGCGCGAAACCCTTGAGGAGACGGGCCTCGTCGTCAAAGCCACCCGGCTCGCCGCCGTCACAAACTCCGTCTTCACCGACGTTGGCAAGCACTACATCACCCTATTCGTCCTCTGCGAGCCTGTCGACCCCTCCGCCGAACCGCAGGTGCGTATGAAACTGACTCTCACTCCCTTGGCCATGTCTTGCAAACACGCACCGCACACAAGTTGACATACCTAATTTTGCCACCAAACATAGGCCATGGAACCCGACAAAGCTGGCGACTGGCAGTGGATGGAGTGGTCCACCATCTGCGACTGGGTCCGCCACCACGACGATGATGGCGACGATTGGCCCGCCAAGCGTCTGTTTTTGCCCATCCGCGAACTGGTGAACCGGAAGGAGAACGAGACGGCCTTTACGGGGTTCTAGACTCTTGCATGGCTGGAATGAGGACTTAATTAGCCAAGACGGCCCTCCCGAGCCTCTCTCTCGAGGCCGCGTAAGTACATTTAGACGTGACTGGGGGCCAATGGGAGGCTTTCTTCTCTTTAAGACAGGACTCATTTTTCTTACACTCATGACCATTTCACTGGCATCAAGTGCCTCGCCCGGTTGCGAATAGGTAACAACGAGCTGTAATACTAATCTCATCTAGCTCTCCAGCCCATCGAGCCCCCTACCCCTTCCATCGCCGTAAGCGGGGGTGTTTAAAACGCTCGCCTGCGGCACGCCTCTGAGGCATTTCCGGAATACTACACGGGCGGGGCCCCAGATGTTTGTTTGTTTGTTTGTTTGGTTGATTGCTTGATTATTTAACGCAGGTTCCACCCGTAAGGATAAAGGGCGGGGGCCCCGGATGTTGACAAGAAGTTTCTGCCCACAACCAACGGCCGTCTTTCCGTGGCGCCAAGATGCATCTGGGCACCGCGGTCATCGCGCCGTGAACATGAATGCTAGCAGCTACACGTCTATGGACTAGCCCGTGTTTGTCTTCCACCATATCCCCACTACTGCCTGCCCCTGTCGTCAGCTGCATCTGACCAAATGCGTGTTGGTCCCCTGCCGCGAGCGGTCCGTCCAACGGGCACCTCCAACGTGACCTCTTACTGTATACGGCAGGTAGTCACATGCTTGGAACATAAAAATTTTTCAGTTGCTTGGCATATAGATCTAAATTCTCGAACTATCCTTCTTCAAAAGGCGCAGCTGGCGATGCAGAATGTGATGATCAAATCGGTGCTGACTCCTCCTGACTATAGCCCATGTGCCAGCAGGATGTGATGACGAGAGTATCGTCGAACGGCCCAGGCATCTAGGCGCCTCCAGGTGTCTCCAGGTGCCTCCCTGGCTACGCACCTCAGACCATCCGGGCTGGCCACCAATGCTCCAGAGGGCCAAGAAGAGACTCGTCACCTACCCAGCAAGCTTGGCTAACAGTGTAATGCCCTTCAGTGGAGGTGATATGCACAGATGTGGCGAGATCCCGTCCCTTTCGGCGCTTATTGTATACCTGTTCCGATCCAAATCGTACATCTTGAATGTTACTATGCCGGCTGCTTCTACTCTGGCTTTCAGCTATCTGATGAGGTGCTAATATCCGACACAGAGCAGCGCGCAAAGAGAGGTAACTACCTCGTCGAGCCGCTGCATATCTGGACAAACTCGGCGAGTTCATCACTGGTCCTTCACCTGTGCCCAGCAACAACACTGCATGTACTACTGTCAACAGCATCAAGCACTCATATCTTGTGTTCCTTTCAGAATCTCGCTTTAATTGGAATTACATAACAAAAATGCTGCACGGTGCTCGCTTGGCTGCCAGACATACAGCGGTGCTTATGTTATGCTATGTGTTCATGTTGCTTCCGAGGCGAGGGATTCCCACTATGGCCGTTTCTCCATTGAGGGTTGCCGATGACACCCTGCCATCATACAACCCATCACTGGTCTCTACATAGGTATCTTGACTGAAAAGAGGAAATGCCCACGTCTTTCTGACGTGCTAAGCCGGGATATATATGTGTGTGTATGTGTGTGTGTGTGTGTATACATGTATAGAACACAGTACCGGCACTGGTTGCCTTCTTACTGTCTGGAACATCACTGACTCTGCCGATGATGGAGGCACTTCTCCTCATCCCGCGGTCGAGACCACCACTGCTGCCTGGATGTCCCACCGGTTATCCTCTGCCCAGTTGACGCAGTCCCCTGTTGAGGCTATAACATCTCTTGATGGAGTGGACCATGGACAATGTTAGTTGCGCACCCTGCTTGTACATAGCCTACCTATACAGCTTCAACCAAGATGCCACGATGCGCTTTCTCTAAAGGAAAGGATCAACGACTGCATGTGTCGTAGGCCGATGGGTATAAAACCCTCGTTCGTTCCTCCGAATCTCTCCATACCATAGAAACTCAAGCTCACAAGCTCTACTCTTCTTTCTCACCCCCCCTCTTCTTCTCTGCCTCATCCTCTGCCTCCTCCTCTGTCTCTCTCTCGCCCAAACCTTCACTCATAACCTCACTCCTTTTCCCCATCTTCGTAACGACGTCCATCATCGTCCGATAGGGTCCGTCAAAATGGCCATCAGCCCGCGGCCTCACATCATCATCATCGGCATGGGCCCGGCCGGCCTCGCGGCCGCGGCGCGCCTCAAGGGCACCGGCATCCAGTTCACTATCGTCGACAGCGGCAAGGCCGTGCAGGATCGCGATCGGTACCTGCCCGAGGACGCCACCCGCGGCCACGGAGGCGCGGGCCTCTTCTCCGACGGAAAGTTCTCCTTCTTCCCCTCCGCCTCGGAGCTGTGGTCCCTGCCGCGCGAGGGCGACCTGCACGAGGCCTACGACTGGACCTGCAACGTCCTCAACCAGGCGGGCCTCGAGACGCCGCCCTTCCCCAGCAACCCGGACGCCTACTCGGTGGCTGGTATGGTGGAGAGCGACGAGTGGAAGCTGAAGGACTATCCCTCAGACTACCTCTCTCTCGATGCGCGCCTGCGGCTCGTCAATGACATGGTCAGCGACATCGACGGCGCCGTCATGAACGAGTGCAATGTCCGAAACGCCACGTACCACGCGGCGTCGGACTCCTTCACCGTAGTCGTCGAGGACCGTGCGACGGGCCAAATCACGCGGCTCAGCGCGAACAGACTCCTCGTCACGACCGGCCGGTTCGGCCCGCTCGAGGCCAGCCTGCGCCGCATGACGCGGCATCACCAGTTCCACCGGCTGGAGGTAGGGTTCCGCATCCAGCAGCGCAGCGAGCGGGCCTTCTTCCGGGCCATGCCGCAGCTCGACCCCAAGCTGCGGGTGCGCGAGAGCGACGGCAGCGTCGAGTGGCGCACCTTTTGCGTCTGCCGCCAGGGCGAGACGTGCCTGACAGAAACCAACGGGCTGTGGACGGTCTCCGGCCGGTCCGACTGCCCGCCGACGGGGCGCTCCAACTCGGGCTTCAACACGCGGATCCTGGACCAGGAGCTGGCGCGCAAATCGCTGGACCGCGTGCTCGCGGCCATGGGCCGGCCCGAGGCGCACTTCCAGCTGCCCACGCAGGGTCTGCTGCGGGGCGACGCCGAGGTCGTCGCGGCGCTGGACGAGATCTACGGCCCGGAGCTGGTCGTCAAGATGACCGAGGGCCTCCGGCGGCTGTCGCAGACGTACAGCGACCTGGGTGACGACGAGGAGGCGACGATTATCGGCCCGACGCTCGAGGGCATCGGGTGGTACCCCAAGGTCGACGGCAACCTCAGCCTACTCGACGCGCCGGTTTGGGTAGCGGGTGACGCCTGCGGGCTGTTCCGCGGCATCGTCGCCGCCATGATCAGCGGCCACTACGCCGCGGCCTCGGCTATTGACGAGCTCGTGCAGGGCGCGCAGGTGCGGCTCATGGCGCTCGCGGACCAGACGCCGATTGAGATGGCGATGTCGTCTAGCAAGCGGTGCCTCAAAACGCTACCGGCAGCGATCGAGTGCGACGGACCATGTTGCTCTTTGGCGGGTGTGTAAGGAGGGTGTTGAGAAAACGACGGGTGTCGTCGATGTTTTGGGTTGGATCAAGGAGGGGGAAAACAAATCGAGGGGATGGTTCTAGGTAGTGCTTAGTACGGACATTTATGCATTTACGGACCGGACTACATAACGAATGACATTTTGTTCAAACAACCTTGAACCGACCAGTTTTTTCCCCTTCTGAAATTCTTATGTAATCCACGTATGGGTGTCCCGCTTGATAGGAAGCCTTTGGAAAGCCTTGATTCAGCCATCCATTACAGAAAATAAATAGCAAAGTGTCAGACATGTTGTTGCTTGCGATATCCCCCAGCACGGCAGCGGCCCCTGGACATCCATAGAGTCATGCCATGTGTGTTTACCATTCAGCCTTCTGGTCCAAGCCAAGCTCTAGCAAGTAATTGGCCTCGGACCAGGTGCAGAATAAGCTTTACCGCCATTGTTCGGAAGACCACCAGTGCCATATATGTTGATGAAGATTGATGGGTCACTTTGCTGGTACGCTCCCGGGAAGCTCACGGTAGAGCTAGGCGAGAAGGCTCCAGAGCCCGTGACCTTGATATTTGCGCACGAGATGTAGAACTGTGCACCCTTCTGCTGGTGAGCCGAATGGAGAGCCAACAGCTCAACACGCAAAAGATACTCGCCAGGCGCGATGCATTGGGGCAGGTTGAAGTAGCTCCAGCCCCCATTGTTGATCATCTTATCGACGCCCCACAGTCCAGAGGTGGTGTCCAAGTTGTCCTCGGCGATCTTGAACCACTGTAGTCCTGTTACCCCGGTGCTTGAGGCACTAGGGACTTTGGCGAGCCAGGCGGTGATGGGGCCCTTGTGTGACTTGGCGATTGGGTTGTCTAGGTCGCCGGGGTACTGGGCGCCGCCGATGACGTGCTGCCACCACGAGCCAATCTTGTCTCCAGGTGCGACGGTGATGACTTCTTGGGAAGATGTTGCGACTTTTCCGCAGATGATATCTGGAGAGGTGACGTCTTCAGTCGGGTTATTCTGGTTGGGGGCCCTGAGACCTGCTAGAGAGCCGTATTCCTTGCCATTCACAGATACTTTCTACGTAGCAGTCAATACTCTGCTCGTGTTTCTGGGAGAAATTGGGCCGCGGAGCTTACCTGAAAGATGCAATGTCCTTGAACAACAGCTACGCAGGCCGCCAGTGAGATGGAGGATAGTTTCATGGTAAAGACTTTCTACAGAAGACTGGGTGTATGGAAAGCAATGGGTATAGAGAAGAATGCGGGAATTGACTAAGACGGTTGACAGATTTTGAAGATGAAATTACTGAAATAAGATTATGCCAATAGCGTCGAATCTCAGAACTCGTGGGAATCTCGCAGGTTCTTGTATGGAGTCCGCTTCAATTAGTGGGTGATTCCTGGCTATCAAGGGCGACACTTCCGGAACTAAGAAGGCAATGCGGTCCGACATAACCAGTCCGGCAAGTTAAAAGCCGAGAGGAACAAATGAGACCCAGAAGAAATGAAGAGTACTCATATATCAGCTGTGTTGTGCAAATTGAGTGATCACACTCTATACTGTTCTTTATTGGTCGCAGCGGAGGATTCATTCCGCCAGAGAGGAAGAGTACATACTTATTGGCGAAAAAACTCATTTAGGCAGAAAGCGGTGTAATTAATGCAAGTTCTATTGATAGATGGCGCGGAAGGAAATTCATCACTTGAGATTACCACAGGTTGCCAGTCGGCAGGGGAAGAATATGGCCATCCATGACCCGGATATTGCCAAGGTCCTTATAATAATCGTAAGTCAATGCAATCTGGAATGAAGAAATGGTTGTCTTACTGAGAACACCCAGTGTTTTTTGGAAGAGCGATTTTGCTCGCTTCCAAGTCATACTGGGTCGCCTTTCATCTTTGTAATTTGTTCAATAAGGTCGACGACCGTTCGATCAAAAGTTCGGTACTCTAACCCAAGCTCTCTTGCGGCCGTCTCCCCATCCAGTCCATGCGAAGTGTCGATCATTTGTTCTTCCCGTGTGATCTTGCCCTTGGCCCAACCAAAGTTGTCCTCAATGATTTTCGCTGCAAGACCATACGAAAAGCGATCATTGGCGGCCGGGACAAATCTCTTATTTCCCACCTGACGCCTAAAGAGCGCCTCAACATGCGCAACCGCAAGGTCTCTGACATCGATCCAAAACGGCACCCGCGCAATAGGGAGTGGACTCTGCCCATTTGCAATCTTCCAAAGCATCGAATTAGACTCATTCAGCTTGTACACGTTGCTTACAGGATGAACCACTGGCCCAAAAGTCATTAGCGGACACAACGTCACGATATCAAAGTGTGGATTGCGTTCCGTGACGAAATCCCATGCCGCTAGCTCTGCGTACTTCTTGGAAGCTCTGTAAGCAACAATAGCGCTTGTATCCGGGGAAGAAGCTTCTTCATAGGTCAGAGGATTCCAATCTTCCCCCGTGTATGTAAAGTAAGGCGGTGCGGTGCGGTTGACGTCCAGAACAGAGGCGAAGGAGGAAGTGATGACCACGCGCGTGACTTTAGGGTTCGTCATTGCTGCTTCCAGTATGGAGCGGACACCGTTGATAGCTGGGAGGATTAATTCTTTCAAGTTGTCTTTGGTGTCGTAGGTAAATGGCTACAACGAGCGATTAGGAAAAGGTCTTGTATGGCGGTCTCTATCGCCTTCTTGGGAGGAACTTACACCAGCAACGTGGACTACAGCATCGACGTCTTCGATGGCCTCGTAAAACACACCAAGGTTCTCAAAGTCGTCAATCTGGACGAATCGAAGCTTGTCAAGGTACTCGGGTCGAGCCTTTATCATGGCGAAGGCCTTGTCCATAGACCGTGTGGCGCCGCGGACCCTGACACCCCGGGCCAAGAGAGTATCCAAGACGTGCGCCCCAACGAAGGCCCGTCGCGCCAGTCACCAAGACGTGATTCCTGTGATTTTGTGAGCTTGAGCCCTTGCTACTACTCATCTGCTCAAAGATCTAGACAGCTACATGTACTCACGGTGTGCTCGACATGTTAGAGAGCAAGAGATCGGCAATCCGAGTTAGAGGTGAATTTGGGTCGGATCAATTGAACAGACAGTCTGCAATAATCAATCACATCTTGCACTGGAAAGAAACTTCTCAGCGTTGCAAGCAGATGAACAGACGTGGTTGATGAATTGCGTGCAATGTCCCCTGGCTTCTTCACTGCGCATGGGGAAAACATTCTCCTCATTCTTCAGTTCGGGCGGCTTTAGCCCGGCTTGGGCCGGGCCATGCCATCTGCAGGTTTCAATTGCCGCGTCAAAGTCTGGTGATCTCAAGGACCTATGAGATGAGTCCTCAATATGCAGAATGTATAAATGGATGGTAGTCGGCTCGGGGTAATAGAAGGACCCAAAGATTCTGAGTTGGTCACCTTTTTACCAGCAGTTGCGGAGGGCTTAAAGCGATCCAAGGCCGCCCTCGGGGATCTACAGCATCCTTGCGTAATGAATAAAACCTCCTTAGTCATCGTCGTCGGGTTGCGAAACCGTATAGAGTCTCGGGTTCGTCAGGCATATAAGCCCATAATATGCTTGTAGCCCTGCTTCTACTCCGCTCTCATCAGATTGAAATGCCAGGCCTACATCCTACAAAATCTGGAGGTCAATCACACCTAATAAGTATACGTCAGCTCACTCGACGTTGACGCTTGCCAGAAAGAAATCGCTTACACCCCGCATGGAAATTTCTCCATATTCTTTCAGGATTCTACTTTTAAACCGTGCCTTGCAATATGTATCCATGATTTGGCCGAGTCTGTGAGGATTCTAGCATCGCACTTGCTCCTAATTGAGTGGAAGCTGTCGAAACAATGCGCTGCACCCCAAAATGACCCGTCAAGTCAGTTGTTACCTCAGCATTGGGTTGACTTAGGGCACCCACAAGGTACCGGGAGGCCTTGCCGGTCCGCCCGGCGCTGGCGACCAGGTGCGGGACCCACCGATCTGCGCCGGTAAGGTACCCACTGTGCCGCCCACCCTTCTCCACCCCACTCCTCTCTGGCCAACGGGAATTAACAAGTGACATTTCACTCAACGTCTTGTAAATGGCCATGTGCACATGAATGAACGATGTTCCGGCAGTGCGACATCCGCCCATTGCGTGTCCTATGTGGCTTATTTGGAGATGTGCTGATGAGCTTTCCAAAATTTATTTCTTCTAGTCGTGACAAGCCGTGTAATTTATTGCGAGTGTGTGATTCTGAGAAGAACAGTGGACGAGTGAGTGAGCAAGGTGTTTGAAGGTGTTTGGCTTAGGAACGGTGCCAAGGAGGGCAGATGTAAAGTGGCTCGATCAAATTGAGGCGCCTATGGAAGGGGAAACGGGCGGTTGCGCCTTCCACATGAATCTGCCTGTCAAGGTAGGCAGCCGATGAAGAACTCGAGTGTTACCGAGGCAGCAGTCTAACTGTCTTGAGATGGAGGAGATTTCCAAGAAATCCATAATGAAAGAAAGCAAACATTGGCCTAATAAGATCGATGCATTCTCAGTGGGCCTTTCACTTTGTAAATGTACTCCTAATCTTGTTTAAAGAATACACATTAGGCTTGGAGCACATGTCCCTAATGTGTGTGTGGCTTCCACAGAGGATATGAATAACACTGCCTGGTATGGATGTAGTGCTTCGGAAACAAGTCAATTCCAGAACACTCCCCAGGGGGCTACTTGGTTATTTAATTCACCAGCGCTTACGTATTATTCCCAAATTGAAAACGAGGTCCTTATCCATCAACTTGATCAATGTTTCTACCACAAGGACCTGATATTCTTACGCTACCTTGCTAGCAGACTAAGCTCAAGGAATTCCTTTCCATCCATACGCTGAGGCGAGCTACAAACCATGCGTCTCGACTAAAGGTGGGTCCGGCTGAGAAAGTGCTGCGCAGGAAGGAGGCACCTCAACGGTTACCGGGTCAGCCACCCACACACCTTCCCAAAGGCTCCCCGTCGCCCATCCACGTACCAAACCTTCATCCGATACCTTGCTCGCACCACGAGAGAAGGCTCTATAGCCCCCCTCAACTCCATTCCTGCCACCAGCACAGCAGGCGCCCCTCTAGGTCGGGGGGTCAGGTCAAACTGTGACGTGGTGGAGGGGTTTAAGGTCCAATCGCCACAGCCTACTCGACGACAGGCTACGAGTTCGAGTTCGATTCCCAGCAAGTGCACCAGAGATGTAGCCCCCACCGGGGGGTGAACTCTTTTGTCTTTTCGACCTTTTGATGCTTAGTCATTCCTACATATTTTGCTATCAAGGAATTGTACCGGCTGGAGATATCTTGAGTACTACTAACTAGTATGTTACGTACTTTATTCCAACTTCTTTACTTGAAGATGTCCCTGGTTAGGAAAGCCTGAGGCATAGGGCACAAGGGCTCCTTCCTCTGCCTCAGAAGAAAGCTCATAATTTATTTTGGCATTTGATTATCCCGTCACGTGGAATAGTCACCAAACTAGGAGCTGACAGGGGCATTGGAAGTTCTCCCATATCTCTCACGGCGACAAAAACTTCACCTCACCTAATTCTCGTTCCTCAATTTCTTCTTACACACCTTCCTTTCCACGGGTATTCCACTGGTACCAACTCTTCTCCTATTTTCTTGCGATTCCAATCCTCATCCATTCCACGCATCACCTTGACCTAGACGAGGCAATCCAATCACTTCGCCGCGGACTACGTCAAAATGGCGCCCAGATGTACGGGGATCTACGACAATCCGGAGGACCTTGTCTCCCAGCCGTGCAGGAAGAAGGCCCGCCTCCATAGCCCCGACAAAACCCTCAAGAACGATGATGTTCACAGCTCCGATCCTCTGCGGTCTTTCACCAAGGCCGATGCAGATGCTCTCTGCCACCAGATGAGAGAGTTTGAGCAGGAATACAACAGAGATGGATTCGAAGCCAGAGAAAATCTAGTAGGAAGCACCTTCTCCAAACTTATCACTATGGCGACCGGAAAAGTCCTCTTCATAAACTGACTCTTTTCTTAGTCTCCCAAAGAAGTCGAGCTGAGAATGGCTTGCAGTGCGCTCCTCTTTCGAATTGAAGAGATCAAAAGCCTCATCCAGGGACACTTCTACACCTCCACAACCACCCAGGCCGTTCCTGCCGACCAAGCCATTCTCACGTTGGTCGACTACCGCAACTGTCTTGTCCAGACCAAGATGCTCTGCGACAATTACCAGGGCCGCTTGAAGCATTTGGAAGCTGCAGACAAACTCAAGAATAACCTTCAATCGGTTATTCATGAGGAGGCCGCCTACGATGGAGATGACGAGAGTGACCACAAATTCACCACTTCCGACAGCTACAATCACACCGAGTATGCGAAGCGCAAGAAATGGTACCGCTCCACCACGGAGAAGAGGAGTCTCGGCCATCAGATGGTGTCGATAGAGGAGCCAGGCTCAGCCATGGAGTGGGAGCCTCTCGACAGTGTTCAGGAGTCGACTCGAGAGGATCCTGCTCACTGTTCTGCGGCGGATGATTGGGTCTCGTCTGAGCACGTGACCACATTCCATTGAGGACCACATTCCATTGAGGACCACATTCCATTGAGGACATTGATGTTCACCTCAACCAGCCGAATATTCGCTTCGCCAAGGCTTGACCGAGGCTTGACCGCATGGACGTCTCTGTGCGTTGCCGCCGCTTTGAACGGAATGGATTACAAGTCAGAGGATCACTCTGGCAATGCGAGACAATGGTACACAGGTGTCAGGCCTTTGAGATTGAGCACTGCGGTACTAAGGTTACGGCTCACTCCAGAAGAACAGACGTGTCGACTGTAGACATTTCCGAGAAGTTGTAGGACTGTTCTTGGCATTGAGATAAAGGCACCATTGTATTCATTGTCTTGTCAATAAAACTGATGAAATTGTGGCGACCACCCAAGGAGGGCCACTTATGCCATAGTTGCTCTTGAAAAAACAACACATTGAAAATACAGGACAGAAATCACGAGAACTTTCTCTTGCAATGATGGCATTGTCCTTCAAGTGTAGCACTGGTATCTGAGTGTTGAATCATGAATGTTGCGGAGATAATAACCAAGCTCCCTCATGTCCGCTGACTCAACGACACGCCAACACCATTTACTCGCCATCAAGGCCTTTTCCGAACCGTCTTGAAGCCCGGCTTGTGTTATGAATTTCTCCGTCAACTGGACATCCGACATGGGAACCTCTACGCTCCCCAAGGCACGATCGACGTGCTTCTCGATTGGATCTTCCCCGCGGAGAAACTTGACCACCAGATGACACTCGTCCCTTTCTATGGCCTCATCAAAGTCCGCTTCGATCCGGTCTCTCAAGGCGACCACAGCTGCGCTATTGACGACGTCGTCTTGGTACTCAGCCACAGTAGCGCTCCCAAACAACAGGCCAACCGCGGCCCCGTGATGCAGGCTAAACTCGGCCTCCAGCCCATCCTTTGGGGTCCTTACGTCCGTGAGCCTGAGAGCGTAGGCATGTACCTTGATATCGACACTCGCCACTTCATCCGTCGAGATGCCTCGTCGCTCCAGTTCGTGATGCAGCCAGACAGCACCCCTGATGACGGGGTGAATATCGATGTAGTACGGGAACGGCTTGAAGGGATTCTTCTCCATCTCCCATTTTCCGGATCCTGACACAAGACACCGGACGTAATAGTCCAATTGATGCTCTTCACCGTTGGATTTGATATAGCTACCTAGGGTTTCCAGCCACCGAAGTGAGCTCGTGAACCCCTCGGCGGGCAGCACCGCGGCGAGCAGCCCGTCTTGCGCGACGCGTCCGACGTGAAAAGATTTGGTGTCTGAGCTAAACGTCTCGCGGAGACCGGTCACCTGCGTTGTGGCGATGCCGATGGCGTGGGCTGTTTGCTCTGCTGGTAGCGCGAGGAGCTTGGCGATGGCGGCGGCGGCGCCGACGGATCCTATTGTGCTTGTGATGTGCCTTTGAAGATGTGTATACTGTTAGCTTCAGTCGCTCCCAGTCAACACAGAATGCCGAACACGTCTTTGAGGGTGGAAGGGGCCGGGAGGGCATACAATCCAACGTAGTAGTGTTCTGGGAACACGGCCCTGGCGATCTTGCACTCAACCTCGATACCGGCGACCAACGCGGTAATGAACTCCTTTCCCGTGACCGGCCGCTGAAGCGTCTCGGCAAAACTAAGCAACGCAGACGCAACGCATCCAGTCGGATGAAGAGTCATTATCAGATGCGCATCCTCAAAATCGTGGACGTGCGAGGCGATGCCGTTGATGAGGGCAGCGTTTTGCGCGTCGATGCGATGATTGAATCCCAGGACCGACGAGGTTCCTTTGCCGAAAAAGGGTGACAGGGCCTTGTATGCTTTCAAGGTTGTCGGATGCGAGCTGCCTTCCACGGCGCAGGTGACCCAGGTGTAGAATGAGCGTACGGCTGCTTCGACCACACGCTCGGGCAGTTCGTCGAATGTGAGTGAGGCTATCCACTTCGCGGTGTTGAGGGTTGCCATGATGAAGTCAGTCGGGTTCGATGTAGCGCAGAGGAGAATTACTTCTGGACGTGCTTGGGGTGCCCTGGTTGACGTTTTATATCCGCTCGCCGGGGCGAGAGATCGGCCATTCAGCAAAGCCGGCAGTCGTGCGACACGCCGCATGAATGGTGGCTTTACCATCCATCGTACAATGTTTTTCAACTTTCTTAGTCTAGATTGTTCATTCCTCATGCGACACTGAAATTCCTCTGTCTGATAAATGTTCTTGGAAAGTTTCTCAGTCATCGAAAAGGCCGGGATATTACGAGTTACAAGTCCAAGTTATCTTGGTTCTTTCACCCAACTTTGGAACAGCCTTCTGCCGTTGTTTCCTGGAAAGACATACTTCTTCGTCCTGCTTATATCAATTCAAATATTGCTAGTGTTGGAACACAGTCGTATCAATCACACCAGAAGGGTAATCTGTAACAACTGTTCGAGCACTATGTTGTATACCTGGTTGAAAATCAAGCATGACGATGCGAGAGGTGAAGAGGGTTGTGTAATATCAAGATTGCACACTAAACGCGTTTGGACGGCTATATCATGACCTCAACTGGCATCATCAGCATGGTCCGAGGCAAAAGCTATCTAGCTCTGCTGAACAACGATATTGAAACTATCCCTCGTTCAAAGAACTATCTAGGGACTTACTTACTGTGAGTCGTCACGTGCAACACAATGCTTCTCTGTGGCGACTGAGTTCCAAAGATATAGCCAGTTGTGCCATTGCTGAGGTGTCACAGGACACCTTGGCGGTGTCGCAATACGCCATTGAGACGAACAATACGTGCCTCTTTTTGAATATTCCTTTCCTTCGTTTGTTCTTCCAGAGTCATATTCTGTCACCGCCCGCCACACTGGGACCGCTAGCGCGTTCATTTCAACTAAACGACGAGGAAAATGAATCAATCTGGGAGGATGTAGGAAATGATCAAAAAGGTGAACTGTTCAGATGCTCTTGCTCGCGTGCCGGTGTGCCGAGCGCTTGGACTGTTGGTGAGATCGTGAAGGTGTGAAGAAGAGACTGCACTGTTCATACGTGGCTGGGCGTCCGAGTTCGAGTAATTAGTGCAATGAGCAGTCTTAATTATGAGGTGCAGAAGAGAGCTATAAAAAAGGGTTTTGCGAATAGTGGCTTGGTACTGCGATAGTCTCGAACACAGGCACAGTACCTAGGGACTGCGAAATCGACCTGCCGAAGCCGCACTACTCTGCTACTACGAAGCAGCAAGTTACCAGCACAATGGCCGATCGTCGTGGTTCTTCGAATTGGAATTTGAGCTCTTCCCCGTTGGAAATTGAGCCTCCTGCTCAATCTCCAGAGCAGCGGCGTAAATCTCAGGGCGAATCCGATGCCGTGAGGAGAGAAGTCTTCAGGATTGTGAGTTGCTCTGGTCCCCTGACCGATCTTAAATACGCCTTGGAAAACAAAATCCGAGTTGGGAGTCGTTGTGATTTCCTTACTGTGCTCTTTTCGTTTGAGGACTTTGTGATGGAAAGTAATTGACAGTCTCACAGAGGGAGGAGGCGGAAGCTCAGGCGAGACTGAGAGATCGACTTCCAGTGCAGACAAGTGACAGTGGGAGTGGGTCAGAAGGGGAGCTCTCGGCCATTGCCATGGTAGCGGTGTCCATGCACGACGAAGAGGAAGCTCGGCAACGGGAGCAGCAGCAGCAGCAGCAGCAGCAGCAAAGCAGTGAGCCCCCACAAGACGAGGAGTCTTCTAGAAATGTTTCTGTGTCCAGCGACTCTGAGGATTACGAGTCCGCTAGTAATGAGGGGAGGAGCAAGGGATCCGGGTCCGGTTCGGAGGAAGAGCAGGCGGGGGGTGGCCAGGGGAGCAGCAACAAGCGGGTTGCTGGATCAGACGTCGATGATGCGGAAGATCACAAACGCCGGAGAGTTTAGGAATGGATCGGAACCGGTAGCAGACTCTAGGGTCGCTAGGGAGTGTAAATTAAGCACAAAGCATCCGTCGACCTTCGTGATGAACAAGGAATTAAAGTGTTCGAGAATGATAACGTGAAAAACAAGTAGATATTCGTATCGAAAACATCAAGCAAGGTGTATTAAAGGATGCCTGTTACCCGAGGCAATCGGCGCACGATCGAATCCCAAGTGACTGGTTGCTTGACGGCTCTTTACTATCTTAATCGCGCAGTTCATTTCAAACGTCCACAATCTCTACATCAGGGGTAGCTGTATTGAATGAGAGGCTACTCTGCGGCTGAGCAAGGGCATGTACATGCAACTGCGATATCTTTGAGGGTTCGGTAAAGCCATTCCCTACAAATGTTTGAAGTAATAGCAAATGATTCTTGCAATTTGAAGCCCACGTAGCAAGACTAAAACTATCCCGCAAATTGTCCCACGATATGGCTGATGATCTTTTCAAGCGTAGTCGTCAGGCCGTCGGCCATTGACAAACTTCCAGAGTCGGCTGACCTCATACACCTTGGGCCCTTCGCTGAGTCCGTTAAGTTGATGATGGGCGGTACCGTCAACCCCATTCGTGAGATTCCGCTGCTCATCAATCTTCCAAGGGTCGTTGCGAACTTTTGTGTGAGACGCCATGAAGGTTCCCGGGAGAGGAGAGCCATCCCCGTTTGTTTGGACCTTGCTGAGATTATTGTCAAGTGGGAAAATGTTGTCAAGGTAGTGCTGATTGAACTGATGGCCAGAGCCGGGGCGTTCAATAAGCGCTCCCTCGAACTCGTTCCAGTCCGCGCTGAGGTGGTTCGCCTGTTTCGGTTCCGTCTTGGCAACGCCCTTGATGACTTCCGTCTTTTTGGAAAGGAGACCCGAAATCTCACCGAGACCGAGGAAGCGCCCGTCCCTCTTGGCGGTCTGCTTCTTGAAGTGGAGGACACCCCATCGAGAAACAAAGTCTTTCGAGTTGGCGTAATGCTCAATGTGGCGAATGGCACGGCCCTTGGGTCTGGGAATGCCGTGTTCCCTCTTGGTGCGGGGGTTGTTGAAGTGGTTTGCGGCGTTTCCAAAGGTGTAGATCTCGAGCTTTTGCAAAACTTCGCGGGGATGCTGGTTGATGAGCCAGTCCAAGATGATGCTACCCTCCAGTCCACCCTGAGAGTGGAGAAGGAGAATAACCTTCTTCTTGTCTTGGTTGAGAAGAGCAGTAGAGATGTGCGAAAAGCAGACTCTGGTATCGGTGGTGCCAAAGTAGAGACAGCGCTCGAGAAGGCATTGGATGACATCAAAGATGATTCCGGCACTGTCCAGCGATGTCAGTATGATTCTTAATGTCACAGGAAATATCTCACGAACGTCTTGTTGTGAACACCCTTGACCCGTCGATGGAACGTGACGGAGATTCGGTCAATGTTGCTCTGAAGCCAGTTCTTGCTACAAATGTTCAGTCAGTCTGCGGAAGACTTTCTTAGGCCAGATGGTCTTACCCGACGGCAACGCCATTGAGGAATATCCACTCCTCCTCAGGGTGGTCAATGTCCCACTGCCTCGCAGCAGCTGTGTCGGCAGACCAGATGAATCCTTCGGGCATCCAGCCATTGAGCCCAATGCACGCCAAATAGTTGATGCCGACAAAAAGGCCTACATAGGCAACAAAGATGTTGAAAGAGAAGAAGGAGAGGAAAGGCAAGGAGAGCAAGAAGGCTGATTGGGTGATAATAAGGACCGTGTGGAAACTAATGTCACGAATGTTGCTCCAAGAAGGGTACAGCTCGTCCATGGGCCCGGAGTGGAAGTAGCGCTGAGCCCATGCTTCAAATCGTCGGTGAAGCTTGCTCAAAAGAAATCGAGGCTGCTCTTTGAATCGGTTGTCGACTCCGAGATTGAAGGAGCGAGCCGGGGGCTGCGACCAAAGCGGCAGAACAATACACGGAAGAAAAGCAATGTTCTTGAGAAACAGGAGCAAGTCACTGGCGAGAAGCGTCCATGGTGCTCCCGTGTAGTAGTACGGCTGTTTGAGAAAGGGATCGGTGCCGTTCCACGTCACGTCTGCTCCGCGGCTCTCTTTCCGGAGACGGATATCCGTGCCGGACCGGACCTGGAGCTGCTTCTCGTTGACGTCCTTTGGGAGGGAGTACGTTACTTCGACTGCCGCCATCTTGTAAAGTATATGCAGCGAACAGCGTCGGCGGAAATAATGGATGGTGGTGATGGTGCGAAGCAATCTCAGGCGGCTCTCGGACAGCCGGATGAGATACTGCTTTTAATCCTCTCGAAGACTGATTTGAAGCCTGGTGAGCCTCCACCTTTTGGGACTGTTGGCCCGTTTTTGGTGCCCTAGAATACCAAATGGGAGAGCCAATGGGGAGGAATTTCAGGCGAACCTTAATGTCTCATTATCACATGCTGAAAGAAATACTGTTTCCACGTGCTATGTACGCAAAATGAATACCCTTCACGTCGGAAAACTGATGATAATTTTGAGGCTTTTTCTCTCCTGGAGCTCCTGAAATCGTGCCATATTTCAGGCGTACAGCAGCTGAGAACAGAGTTTCCACCACATATCTGCCGGCCACGATTCCCGACAGCTTGAGCTGTGGCCACTGAGAGATTATCTCGTTCAGCCTTGAACACGGCGCACCATAGAGAGCATCAGGGCTGATATCTGGCATGTTTAGCATCCCTTGATTCGACCCCTCGAGACACCTGCGAAGCTAACGTTAACGAGCTGAAAGCTAGTCTGATGATCCCATATGAAATGTCTGAGACATATTCAGAGCTGCGAAGCTCGGGCGCAGCTGCCACCAGCGTGCTACCCCGCCCGTTTACGCACGCTTTACGCACGCTTTTCGAAGGATAGCTCCCCCGATTCCGCTTTTGCACCGGTTGCGGGCCGCTAGACTTCCCGTCTGCCTGCATGCGTTCTAATGCCCTGCCCATATTTTTGTGATAAGAACCCGATGCCCAATTGGGCGGACCACCAAGCACAAGTCCTCCGCGCGGACCCTCGCCGGTAATTAGAAGCGTGCCGTCGAACCTGCCCGTTGAGCCACCTGGGCGCCCAGGGAGACTCCCGGCGGGAAACCCTCCAATCATCAGATCTGGTTCATCACAATCCCATCACATTCGGAAGCAGCTTGGCAGCATAGGACAAAAACTCAAAATCCTCAGCAATTCGATCTTCTGCGGCATTCCCTATCACGGCCAAACCCCCCATGGTGGAGATTGCCCTGCGTCTGGTGGTATTCATCTAGTGTGTAAATAGTCCCAGTACCAATTGGGAGGGGCTTCAACTTTGACAGAGACTCATTCGTAAGGCCAGTGAGCAACTTATCACCAGTCTAAAAATCGACTTTGGCTTTCGGGGCAAAAGATGAATAATCACTCCCCATCAAATTTGAAGTTTCCAGCCCTCTGAACTCGAAATTCACAACTGTTATGGTATCGGTTTTCTTAACTTTGTGTCTGGGAGATGTTGTTTTTTGGCTCGGTTGGGTTTAAAGAGACACATACCAACTCTGATGAGTGTCTTGCAAGAGCATATCCAAGCAAGCCACATTCAGAGACCTCGTTCATTTGTTTGTGCCCTCGAAAACGATACCTACTCCAACTACATACGGACACAAGGCCAGTTTCCTCGTCAACGACAAGCGCGGAGTGTCTCTCGGACGATTGCGAACATTCTCCCGTCACAGCTGGGTGAGACCATCCGCATCCGGTGGTATCAAAAGAAGATAGAGGGGAGTCAACGTTGTGACTGTCAGAAAAGCATGTGAAAAGGTGAGAAGACATTGCCTAGTAGTGTGAGGAGCAGCTGTACACAGCTTCATCGATGGGAATGTTGACTATTCTTGGCTGTCTGGGGAAAACGCTGCGGGCCGAAAATCCTGGCCGGAACTTAGCCTTATAAGAAGAGTCCGTCATCCGCCAGGTGATCAATAACATCCAGTCTCGGTACTGCGACTGTTTCTTCTGTTATCTAGAAGAGAGATATTTGGGAAGTTTTTGTCCTCTTCAACCACGAGGCTGCTGTTATTAATAAACTCACAATGGCCGGCACCGTGGAGCCCAACGGTCTCGACGGCGAACAGACCAACGGCCATAACGGCGAGTCAAACGGTCGCAGCGAACATAACTACAGAGATTCCTTCGACACCCCCTATCCGGCTACAGAGCCCCGCGAGGGAAACCGCCAAGCCGATAACACATTCGACCCTGTTACCGGCGCTTATCCCCGCATCTCCCGTCCAGTTGAGCTGATCCGCCCGTCCTATGACGTTGTTGTCATCGGTTCCGGATATGGTGGTGCCGTCGCCGCCAGCCGCATGGCACGAGGCAACAAGCAGGTTTGCTTGCTCGAGCGCGGCAAGGAGAAGTGGCCCGGCGAATTCCCCTCTGATATCATCCCGACGTTGAAAGAACTTCACACCACCAACGCTGCGACGGACGGTCTTCTCGGTGCCCTTGGGAACTTGGGCGCCGGCCGTGATCCGACTGGTCTCTACCACCTCATCGTTGGTGATGGTCAGAATGCCTTCGTTGGCAACGGATTGGGAGGCACCAGTCTGCTTAATGCCAATGTCTTCCTCGAAGCAGATGAAGGAGTTCTCAACCTGCCTATTTGGCCCAAAGAGATAGGTCCAGGCGAATTGACACGCTGTAAGTTTTAGTTCGTATATGCATTTACTTAACGAATGATCTAACCTCTTTTGTTCCAGATTACGAGCGCGCTGCCAAGGTCCTGGAGCCTAAGAAGTACCCCAAGGACTTCCCCAAGCTGCACAAGCTGGAGACGCTCGAGAAGCAGGCCAAGCTCATGGGCTGGGGAGACAAGTTTGACCGCGTACCTCAGACTACCCGCTTCGAAGATGGCGAGAACAGCACTGGTGTCTACATGCGCGCCTCTACGCTCAGTGGTCAAGACACCACCGGCCTCAACGATGGCAGTAAGTCCACCACGCTGGTAAACTATCTCAGTGACGCCTGGAACTGGGGTACCGAGATGTTCTGCCAATGTGAGGTTCGGTACGTCACCAAGGCCAAAGACCGTGAAGGCTACATTGTGCACTTCGCATGGCACGGTGGAAAGCGTGCCAACTTTAAGGATCTCTTCTACGAGGATCTTATGTGGGTTCACGCCAAGGAGTTGGTTTTCTTCGGGGCTGGCAGCATCGGAACCACCGAGATCCTGCTTCGCAGCCAACAATTTGGCCTGGACATGAGCCAGGATGTTGGACACGGAATGAGTGGCAACGGTGATATTCTCGCATTTGGGCAAGTTGCAAATTCTTCCTTCAACCATCCAGGCTGCTTGCTGACTAGACCACCACAGTTACAACACCAGCGAGTATGTCAACGGCATGGGGCGTGAGGATCCCCCACCAAACCGTCCTGTCGGACCGTGCATCACAGGTATCATCGACTGCCGGAAAGGTTTAGATAATCCTCTCGATGGCTTCGTCGTGGAGGAGGGCGCCATTCCCGCCACCCTCGCGCCTTTCTACCAGGCGATGCTCACTTACCTGCCGGGCCGAGTGTTCCCGCAGAATATTTCCATAAAAGGCGCAGTCGGTCACGTAACCTCTGCTCTTGGTAGCCGCGTCTTCGGCCCCTACTATCCCGAGGGCAGCACCGAGAAGACGCAGTGCTACCTGATCATGTCCCACGACAGTAAGTCTTTCGGACTGTGTTTTGCAGTAGCAACTCTGACTGGATCACTTCAGGTAGTCAAGCCACCATGCAGTTGGATAAGGACAGGCCCCTCATCAACTTCTCTGGCGTTGGCAAATCGCACAGAGCCAAGAAGCTGGCAGGCTACTTGGCCAAGCTGACCAATCTCATCGGCGGTATCTACGTCGACAGCCCATTCTACGCTGCATTTGGCGAGAAGGAGATCACTGTCCATGCCATGTAAGTGAAGCCCGGTTCGTGCGCAGCCAGAGCACTTGCTAAAACCTCCTCAGTGGTGGCGCTCGTATCAGCAACGATGGAACTGGTGCCAGCGGTGGTGTGAACCACAAGGGCCAACTGTTTGTTGGCTCTGGCACTGAGGTACACAAGGGCCTGATTGTTTGCGATGGAACCATTGTCCCCGCTGCTCTTGGCGTGAATCCGTTCGCGACAATTACCGCCCTTGCAGAGAGATCCGTGGAACATATTGCCAAGGACTTCAAGATCAAGGTTGATCTCAATACTAAGAACGGTAAGGATCACTGTCCCTCTTCCTCAAGAGGTGCTATTGATCTTGTGCTAACTGCACTCAGGCTCTCTCAATCTGTTTGGCAAGCCAGCACACGACCCCTTCCATGGCGAGCACCCGCCTGTGGCGAGAGTGCAAGAGATCATCAACACTGCCAGAGATGACATGACTCCGGGCATTGCTTTCACCGAGACGATGGACGGCTGGATCCACTTTGGTGAAGATTCCAAGACACTAGACTTCCAGAGAGCTACCTTGACTGCCAAGAGCCGTGGCGAATATGCCCGCTTCTTCCTCAGCGCCAGGTCATGGAACACCCATAACCGTAAGTGTTTACTCATCTACCCCAAAGCTCTCACACGCTCACAAAATTAGTCGTACACGACAAAGAACACGAGGCCAACCTTACCGGTACCTTTACCTGCCCAGCTTTGGGCGGCACCTCCATGGTCCAGGGCGGCAAGTTCAACCTGTTCAACGATGACCCGAGATCACCTGATACTACCAACCTGACATACAACTTCCTCATCTCCCAAAAAGATGGTGGGAAGCTACACTTCAACGGCTACAAGGTTGTCAACTCGGACGTTGTCTTCAACCCTCTCAACCTCTGGAAGGCTACGACCACTCTCTACTGCACCATCACCGAAGTTGACGCCCAGGATCAACCAATCCATAACAAGGTTCGCGGTAAGGGCGTCATTCACATCCGCCCGACTGCTTTCCTCCAAGAGTGCACAACTATGGAGGCAACTGGATCCAGCCTGTACGCCAAGGTCTCTTCAACCGCCAACTTCCTCGGGTACTTCACCGCCAAGGCGGCCGGTGCCTTCCTCACTCCCTTCATCCCCCAGATCTGGCCTAGCCTTCCCTTCAACAGTTACCAGAACCCCACGCCCTGGTCCAACGAGATCACGGTCGAGGCCAACGACCGCGTCAAAACCAAACTCTACACGTGGGAGCCACAGAATGTGAACGGCGATCCCAGCAAAGCCCCGATCCTGTTGTTCATCCCCGGCGCTGCCGTTGACCAACAAATCTTCGCATTGCCCACCATTGAGAAGAACGCAGTGAACTACTTCCGAGCCAAGGGATACCGGGTATACTCCATTGTCCACCGCGTCGGCAAGACCATCGTTGCTCAACAAAACTGGACCACATACGACGCCCGACGTGATATCCAGGCGGCTCTGAAGACGATTCGCGAGAGGCACACCATCATTGACAGCGCGGATGGCAGCGGCCCCTTGATACCGACCTACGTCGTAGCACACTGTGCTGGGTCCGTCGCCCTTGCTTCAGGTCTGCTTGACGGAAGCATTCCTCGTCAATGGATCAGCGGCGTCACGGCGTCCCAGGTCTTTATGAACCCCAAGTTCCCCAAGGTCAACCACCTGAAGGCTAGCCTGCCCATCTCCATGGCCAACATCTACAACCTCGTCCAGGGCAAGTGGTTTGACTGCACCAGCACACCTCGGGATGGTTACATTCAGCAGGGCATCAACCAGCTGTTGCGCTTCTACCCCGTTGGTCACCGTAACGAGATCTGCAACTCCGTAGTCTGCCATCGCAGTTCTCTTGTCTTTGGCCGGTGAGTTTACTCCATCCTTTTCATACTTGTCAACCGCTAACCTTTTCCAGACTCTGGTCTCACAAGGGCCTCAACGAGGCCACTCATTCTCAATTAGAGAACTTTGTCGGCGGAGTCTCAATGGCCAACCTGAACCACCTTATGTACCAAGGTACCCATGAATTCGTGACCGACTCGCAGAACGAGAACCTCGTCACACCCCAGAACATTGCCCGTCTCAAGGGCCTGCCCATCTTCTTCTTCTCCGGATCCGAGAACGAGGTCTACGCGCCCGAGAACACCGACACGTCCTTCACCACTCTCACCGAGGCAAACGGCGGCGTCTGCTACGAGAGACAGGTGTTCCAGAACCGTGGCCACTTGGACGCCTGGATGAGCCCTACCGCCCACGAGGACGTGTTCCCTCGTGTTGATCAGCACATTCAGAACGTTATCAAGAAGAAGTACTCCAAGCTTGAAAAGTTTACATCAGGAAATCCTCTTAGTTTGAAGAGGTGATTGTCTGGATGCTTTTGCTATGGGAGTACTCAAGCTGGTATTGAGACGCGCACACCACATGCTATTTGTTCCAGGCGCTGGCAAGTGTGCCAGTTGTTTTGGAAATTATTCCCCAAGTCTGGGTAGCTTTTCTTTGTAGACCAAAATATGCACCTTACAAGACGTAATACCACGTGCAGTAACACCACACCGGCCCCATGCATCAGACCTGAGAAGACGTCCACATGCACCTCCGGCCCTGGCTTTGTCTTGACAGAATAACCGGAACCGTCTCCTGTGATTCGCGCGCGGCTTCCTCCTGTCAATTGGACTGTCCTCGGACTTACGTAGTCCATGAGCGAAGTCGGAACCGGAATTGAGAAAGGATGCTTTCGAGGCAAGTGATCCTCGAGCTGCAGCATATTGCAAAAGTCAAACAAAGATCAGATAAGATTGGCTCTCCCACATAACCCTTGTGCTCGTCTGTAGTCCCGACGAACGTTCCATGTAAAGGTGAGGGAGCGGCTGGGCTTTACCCTTTTGGTGTCAGCTTGGCACCGAAGCTCCTAAACTCGCATCGACTTTTCAAACACGAACTGCTGTTTCTTGTTTGCGGGGAAATGCAGCCAAGAAGTCAATGGGATCGGCATTCCTTAACTCCTGCGGGTTGGCACTCAAAATGTTAATGCCTCGGGGAGTTCAAAGTCTAAAAAATTGGCACGTCTCAGCGACAACTCAGCCAGTATACCATCGGGATCCGGCAGAAAAAGCGTGCCTACTTATTTTCCGGCCGGCAGTGATTCGGGAAGCAATAGCCTGGAAATGGCGGAATTACGGGGGGGGTGGGGCCGTGCATGATCGGAGGCGGGGAGAAATCAGGCCGATGGATGGAGACCCGAAAACCCCGAGAGCCCGTTGGCCGTGGACGAAAGCGGTTTCATACGTTGGATGAATGACGCATTGGATTTGTAGCTGATGGCGGTGGCTTTTTGGTACCTTTCATAGCTCAAGCTCGGGCACACACATAGCTTAGCTCGTCCTAGCTTTGCATAACTTGCATGGCTTGCGAGCTCGCACACCACAATCACCTCATCCATCATGCGACAACTCGATGATGAGTTGAAGTTCTAGAAGACAGGCTCCTGGCGCCCGAGACGTTAGACCGCGGCATAAGCTTGAGCTGTTATTTGTCCTCGTATCGAACGGGCTCCCACCTCGCTCTCGCTCGCCATCTGGTCGTTCCTCCGGCTCGTCCGGGGACGAGAGTTCCATTGGATGGGAGGGGCGAGGGAGAGTTTCACCTCACTGCTGCTGTCCGATCCCGTTGACGTCAGCTTACAATTGGACCTTCAGCTGTTGGCGTCGCCCCTAATGTTTAGTGTCTCTGCCTGCAGCCGTTCCGCGTAACGCAAGTGTGTGGTGTTTGCCCCAAGGTGCCGCCGCACTGTCGAACAAAAAGGTCCTTATCTGCGTCCCCCCAGCTGTGTGCCTTTCCTTACAATCACCTGTTTCTTATCAACCTTTTTCCAGATCCAAGGTAATCATCTTATCTGGGAAATCAAATCAAAATGAAAGCTGTTGCAGCCCTGTCATGCGTGGCCGTTGCCAACGCGTTTATTCTCCCTGACCCCAAGATTTTCGAGCAAGCGGCCATTAAGAATGAGGACCACGCCGATCGAGCTTCCTGGTGGGACCGCGTGCCGTCCAAGGATTCCATTGTGAATACCGTCGAGGATGGCATCGATTCCCTGTCTGCACGCATTGAGGATGCACTCCATTCTTTCGAGGACACCGTCGAGAACAAATTTGATCACCTTTTCGAGGAGGAGATTTTCAACGAGCCCAAGATATCCGACAAGAGCATCTACGAGCTTATTTCAAAGAGTGAGCACACCACAGAGTTCGCCAAGCTTGTCAACGATTACGAGGATATTGTCAACATCTTGAAGAGCACCGAGGCGAACCATACACTCTTCGTACCAACGAACCGCGCCTTCGAGCACCTCCCCAAGCACAAGAAGCCGAGCAAGGAAGTGATTGAGGCCATTCTCAAGTACCACGTTGGAATCGGCGACTACGATGCGAAGAGGGTCCTCCGCACCCACACGCTCCCCACGTTGCTCAACGAGAAGTGGCTCGGCGACAAGCCCCAGCGTCTTCGCACCAGTGTCGGCCTCGGAGGCGTGCGCGTCAACTTCTACGCCCGGGTCGTTGCAGTCAACATTGTAAGCAAATTCAACCCCCCCGGTCATCATTGATGCTTCAAGACTGACTCGTCATGAACAGCATGCCAAGAACGGAATTATCCACGCCGTGAACAGCCTGATCATCCCGCCGCCCCTGGTCGGCCGTGAACTTACTCTTCTCCCCAGCCAGTTCTCCACGCTGTTGCTGGCGTACGAGAAGACCAACTTTGTCAAGTACATCCACGGCGTCAAATCTACCGGCACCACCGTCTTCGCTCCCTCCAACAACGCCTTCGCCCGCCTCGGACCCAAGGCCAATGCCTTCTTGTTCAACACCAACATTGGCCTGAAGTACCTGAAGGCCCTGCTCAAGTACCAGATCGTGGGCAACGCGACTCTGTACAGTGATGCGCTGTACCGCCCTGATGAGAAGAATGATGTCGACACTATGGGGCACTACCACGTTGACCTCCCCACTCTGCTGGGCAAGAACATCGCCGTCGATGTCGCCACTTGGGGCGGCTGGACTAAAATCAAGCTCAATGGCTATATCCCCATTGTTGTCGCTGATGGCATCGCCAAGAACGGTGTCATCCATGTTCCCGGTCGTGTCCCCATCCCTCCCCACAAGCACAAGGTTGACTACGTCGATGGCGAGATTGAGGTCGAGGACTTGAAGGAGAGATTGGCCGAATATGTCAACGAGGAGGAAAACGATGCGAACTGGCTTGGCGAAGAGTTGTAGAGGTTTGTGTACCTAGTACCAGATCCGCAAATAGCCGCCTCTTCCCAGTGCATTGAACATGAAAGTCAAAATGTAGGAAAAATGGGATACGTCTACTTTTAGTAGCCACAAACGATCGTACAAATGCCTGACTATGTCTTCATTTTCTACTCTGTCTCTTCGTAATATGAGCCAATGAGACGGGTTTTTAAATAGGGAAGGCATATGAATGTCCAACCCCAGCGAACAAACCCCGTATGCTATTGTACACCGGGTTACATAATGCTGTTTTCCAGTTCTTCGCTCAGAATCAGTGACGGCAGGAGATTACACTCGTGAATCCACTTCTTCGATCCGAAATTTCTTTGACAACATACTTCCCCTTTGCATTGACCGATCAGAATGAGCAGCTTTCCCACCATGTAATTAAAGAAGTCTCATTGTCGTATTGCTGATTCTGTTCCTCTTTCATGAATATCACTGCACGAGAACGAGATACCTGGCCCACACGTTACGGAAATGAGGGTCGGTCCATTAGCAGTCTTGATTCTCACTATCCACCGCCACTATCCTCTCCCTAGTCTACCTGTCCATTCGTTGAAGATGTCTCTTGTCTGCTCTGGGTATGCGACTGGAGGTTACAGGAATAAAAGATGCGGTCCAACGACACTGAAAAAGCAAGTATTGAAACATGACTGCCTTGCATATTGAACACCGCCTCCACCTCTTTTGCTACTCACAAATGCAAGCTAGACTTGAGCTGCTAACTCATTTCAGCACAACTCCGAACTCAGCCCTATTTGAAGGCGGTGCAACGCAGCGCAGCGCAGCCACCGTCCGCTCGTTGGCGTGTCTGATCTGCAGATGTGCCGAAGTCTGCTCTCGAATGCCGGACCCCTTGCATCCCGGCCACTCCCAACCACTCTTCCGATGAATCCTACGGCTCCACTCGGGTAGCGATATGGTCGTAGCCGCTGCAGGATTAAACATACATCGGCTGACAATAACTTCTAGACATTACCAGCATGAAGCGAGATAGCTTCAAGCAGGAAAAGACAGCTTTGGCATTGCCAACGGTCTTTGACCTGAGGGCATGTCAGCCGTCCCAACCAAGAATGTCGTGACCCAGCCCACACCTACCTCCCAGTCCGGATTATGACTAGCACCGGACTTCAGCTAAGAGTAGCCGGCGCCTCATTAACAACCGCCCATAATTATTGGCTCAAGCCTTACGCCATGAACTGGGTGTAATGTAGAATGCAAGCGGTCAAGCGGCCTCCCTGGCTCTCAATGAGGCTGGTGCAGTACCTCCCTAGAAGGACAACAAAATTCGTATTGAGCTGAGAGACTACAGTAGTCTGGTTGTCTCAAAGCCACCACAAGCAAAAAAAGTGGCTTTGCTTGGCGTGTACGACTCAGAAACCGAGAAAAGGAAAATTACTGATTGTCTCTGGATGTGCTCGTAGCTCGGTGGATTTTGCCTCCCTTCTTCCCAGGTCTTCTCCAGCTACTTTGAATGTTGAAGATCGCTTGACTTCCTCGGCTGGTTCATTCATCAAAACGTGCAAATCAAAATATTGAAACAGCCAGGTTCCGGCGATTATGCCGCGATAACGCCCCGTGGCAAAGATGCATCAACCCACACCAGCCAGACAGTCGACATTTGATTCGCAAGCGCAGTATAATCTGCAAGCTACTGAAGATATTGACGAGGACCGCAATGAGCTGGATGAGAAAAAGCACCTGCCTCCGATACCAAGGCGGCCAGACTATCGACCCAAAGCTTTACATTGGCCTTTCATCGTATGCATGATTCTTATCCTCTCCATCTTTGTGGGGTTGGTGATCTATGCTCGCAACATAATGCCGAACTCAGACAGTACAGCAATCATCGAACCTCGCCAGTATTTGGATCCAAGGCAGGATTCCAGCTCCATCAATAGAATTCTCTCAGCTCAAAGTACTCCAGCACATGATCTGCCGTCTTCATATCCCACTCCGGCATCTGATGGGCTGTTGTCAACAATCATCCAATCTAGTGCTGTCGATCTCCGGACAACCTCTGACCTTGCGCAATTACATTCTGCGACTTCAACCTCGGCATCTCCTACCTTGCAGTCTTATCCTGACGGAGCTTCTGGCATTATTTTAGGAGAATCGACGAAGCGAGTACAGTCTTCAAGTAGAAAGGAAGAAGAAGTACAAACCACAACGGTTCCCTCGGCATCAGAAAGTATACTGAAAAGCAGTTTTGCCTCAAATTTGCCTTCATCTGTACTAGTCGACGATTCTTCGACTGCTCCAACCAGTGGCAACTCGAATTCAGCAGCTAGAGCATCACCAGATGCTACTAGGTCTGGGGATGTCCAGAGTGCTAAACCCGACTATTCTCAACTTCAGCCATCAACAACCAGAAGCACGGAGAATTCACAGCAAACAGTAAGCGCTATCGAGACGGCAGTAGCCGGTACGGAAGATGAATATTTATCCTCTTCCAACCTCTCGAATCAGCTTGAAGCTCCTACCAGCAGCAACCCTTTTTCGTCTAGCTCATCATCACTTGAGTCTACTGGTGGTGACCTGGTTCTGTCAGTCATCAAATCTGAGTTCACGTCCACATTTACCCGACCGGGCTCTACCTTTACGTACACGACTTCTTTTGAGAGCAGTGCTTCCTCCACTTTTACGACGGCAGTCACAACAGCTTTTCCTGGATCCACTGGAGAGACCACCTACACGCGAGTCATCACGAGTAGCATTCCAAAGACGTTTACAAGAACATTACCGGGAAGCAACATCGTCACCACCATGACAATACCTGAGCAAACCACTCGAACAGATGTCATCAGCGACGAAAAAACTACCTATTACCAGACGACAACCAAGACCGTTGGTCGTGTAACGACCTCGACCGCGGTGGCATCTGCCTCGACCATCATCGAAATCTCCAGTGAGATCGTCGAGTCTACTGTAACTTCAACAGCTCAGTTCACTTCGCCAGCGAGATTAAGCACGTATATCTCTGTTGGTGTTACTTCTGTTCCAACGACCATTGCGAGTCTAGCTACGTCAACCGCGGCGGGCGTGGTGTACGTTTCAGTAGGGACAACCGAAATCACGCGGGTGGTTACTATTCCCGGAGCATCGAGAGGCCAGCAGAACGAACAGCCTACCCCGGTTACACAACTATTCACTAGCGTATTCGAGGGGAAGATTGTCACAGTCGTGGAAACAGGCAAACCTCAGATACTTTTAACCAGCGGCGGCGGCTTATTCACCGCCGTCTATACGCCGCCTGCTGAGACGATAGTAACAAGAAAAGGGGGGCAAGAAACGGAAATGGTGATCACAGTGACGCCATCTCTGAATGTAGCTCTGGTTGCTGTTCAGACTACTATTGATGGAACACCCACCGTCAGACTGGTTCAGTCCACGAATGCGGCAGGTTTCAAGCCTGTATCCTTAACACTGGTGTCCCAGGTCGGCGGCAGCACCGGTATCTTCACAACTGCCGACGCTCCAGAGACCATCAGAACCATAATCGAGGGTAAAGAGACCACGATAATAAGAACACCAGCTCCAAGAGAGTTTTCTTCGGTATTGGGAGGAACTCCATCAACAATCGAGTTGGTTACAACGCCTACTGGTAGCTTGCCTCTAATATTCACGGTCATCACAACCATCGGAGGCTCTCTTAGCACCATAATCTCCACTCCGAGCCCTACAACATTCCTCACTTCAATATCGGGCAAGCTCGGTACCATCACGTCAACTCCAATACCCTGGACACGAGTTTCTACCATCGGCCCATCTACGACGATCATCACTTCCGTCTCTCGGCCATCTTCAACGAGTACACCGGATACCGTCATAACGGAAATCGAAAAATTTGCCTTCACCGATGGTGACTATTTCCTAGGCAAGTTTTTCCCGGTGATTCTGGCCGTGATGATTGCAATCCCACTGCGAATTATCGATCTCAACGCGAAGCTGTATCAACCTTTTCATGCCTTATCCCAAGAAGGGGGCGCACTAGGGAAAAATAGCATGACAATCCAGTTCGATGGCTGGAATGGACTCTTAGCTCCGTTCAAGGTGCTCATGCAGGGTCATCCAGTGCCGTTCATCACGACATTAATGGTATGGTCGTCGTCTCTCCTGGCACCCTTGGCAACCGAAGCGATTGGTATGAAGCTTCATGGTAAATGCAAGATCACCGCCATTGAGGGCTGTGGTATACAACTTGGCGTCTCGACCACGGCTGCCTACGTCTTGATCGCCTTACTCATTTTTATTGTCATTCTTCTGCTAGTTCTCCTCTACCTTCTCCGCAACTGGAAGACTGGCCTTCACGCAAACCCTTGGAGCATTGCGGGCATCTCGTCACTGTCACTAAACGCAGAGATCCGGCCACAACACCTCGACTTCAAGATGAACGAAAAGATGATGAGAGAAAAGACCTATATGCTGGGGTTCTTTGAAAATAGGCACTGTCGAGACGAATACGGCTTCATTTACAATGACGAATCAGCCGACAGCCTACAATCGGCGGAGTCACGAGCTTTATCCACCGGCGACGAGTTGGAAATCAGACACGAGCGCGATACTGCGAATAAATGCCGAAAAAATACACCTTTCATCGCACTTACCTACTGGTGGCGCCTTCTTTTCATGTCTTTCCTGCTTGCCTTGTTCATTATAATCCTGTACTACCATGTTACACTTGGTCATCGTACCTCTTTCAAAGACTTTATGGATAGCCAGACATTCGGAGTCCGCTTCTTGCTTGCTGCATTGGGCGTTAGTATCATCTTTTGCTGGGAATCAATTTTCATCAGTAAGTAACCCCGCAATCAATACCGGGAAAAAACCTGGGGGTGTTGACCAACACAAATCGCAGGCATTGCTATCGTTAGTCCGTATTACCACATGGGCCGACATTCTCAACGACCAAAATCATCTATCCTTCTCACGCGTCCCACGAACGGATTCTACGGCATCTATGCAGCGATCCTCGAAGGGAACATTGTGCTGATGCTGGCAGCTGTTATGTCAATAATGGCCGAATTCCTTCCCATGCTACTGGCCAATGTGCCGTACAACCTAACTCAGACACTCAGTTCGCACAACGTCTGCTCGATCATCAGTATGACGATCTTGGGGCTCATGATGGTGGCTGTGGGGGCGAGCTTGTTCATCAAATGGCCCAAAATGCCAGTCGACCCGCGGAGCATTGCCGGCGCGATGTACTATGTCAACGAAAGCAGAATGCTGGATGACTTTGAAGGTCTTTCCCAGCTGGCTTCATCGGACAGGAGGAAGAAAGTTGAGGAACTTGGTCGGAGGTACTTTTACGGCGCTCTGACTGGAAGTCATGGAAGGCGTATGGGCGTTGAATCAGTAGAGAGTGTGGAAGACACTGTGTATACCGGGGCAAATTGGCTTCTGCCACAAGTTGACGGAAGTCACCACGAACGGGGAGGTTCGCTAAATCTTGACGAAACTACGGTCAGCCCGGTTGATGGTATTCAAGCAGGACAGAGGCCGAATCAGAGAGAAGCGAGTTTAGTGTGACGACACAGTCAAAGAAGCGTTGTCAGAGCATAACTCATAGCCCCCTATTGTTATTGATCAAACACTTCGCTCAAGAAGAAGCCTCCAAATATTCAAAATTCGACCGCTGTTATATCCATTCACTTCTCTTCCTAGCAGTGGATTGTTGGACTACCGCCTGCGAGACCGCCGAGGAGGAATGTGCCGAGCCAAACACCACTAAGCACAGAGAGGAAATAACCAACATTCATCGTCATAACCGCGAGCATCCTAGGATATCTGTTAGTTGGTTGGGCGTTTCACGGAATCAAGGGAATTTGCATACAGAAGATATCCTATGCCGCCGACAATGACTTCGTATGTCGCCCTCGCGGCAGCGGCGCCAGCCCGCCAACCCTTCCACCGTCCAACAATATCTTTGCGAATCACCGCGCCAGCGTGTCCAGGCTCAACACTCGCCGCATGATGGCCTGTCAAGGCCTCCTTGTCTGATTCGTATGCGGGATAGTTTCTCCAGAAACGGTCTTCGAGCACTGGCTTCAGAGCTAGTAGGAGGCGCAGAATCGAGCCTAGGACGATGAGGAAGATGCAGGTGCCGGCATATTGACCGGTGGTTGTCGGGGTCCACGCGTCCGAGTACAGAGGTGTTTGGAAAGCTTCGAAAAAGGTCATGGCCATTTCAGACATTGACATTGACATGCTGCCGCTTGACATGCCTCCGGAACCTGCACTGGTCGATGTTGCCATCGCCATGGCTGTGCTGGTGGCCATGGTCATATCCATGTTAGTCGGCTTGGGGACGCTGATCGATGGTTGCTTTTGAGTGGCGCCGAATTCGGTTCGAGTCAAGCAAAATGTACACAGTTGATAGAGTCGGTCGGTTCGTCTGGGCGTGAATTCGTAAAGCCAATTGAATGTAATTGGTTGTTGTGAAATGCTAGACTTTAATGATTAGAAACCACAACTGATTGCAGCCGGCGGCATCATATGATTTATGAAATAACTCATCTTCTCTCATCCACGCGAGGTTGATGATGCGGTGGAAGTCGGCACGAGCATTACTATGAGCAAGTTTCGCACCTCATCCCGGGTGTTACGGCATCTGACGTCCGTGTCGTCGGAAACAATGTGGGAAAAGAGGGTCCCGAAACGCGCAAGTTGACTCCATTCTCCATGTGGGAGTTTGTCAAAATATAGAGCTTGGCCAATTGCAAACCCCGGTCAAAGTTGTCGTCGTATCTGTTGGTTGTCTAGTGTGACATTAGAACCGCAATGTGGCATGGGTAGTGCTTATGTGTCGGGTGCGGAGGGTTAAAGAGCTCAAATGTGCTCAAAACCCGGGGAGTTGCAGCGCAGGATTCCCGACCTCATGAACCGAAATAACGCGCTCAAGTGTACGTAGCAACCGGTTTGATACCTTGATAGTGCCCAATATCACGGCAATAACATCCGCTATGAGCAATTAATAATGTTTTATTGGCGTATTTGCCAGAACCGTCGAAATCTACATCAGCATCAGTTTATCCACAGACAAGGTGGTCGTCAAAGTTTTGCCTAACACCGTGTTCATGGTAACTCTTTTCTACCCTTATTTCTGGGCAAAACTTCATACTCAGAAGTCGATCTTGTGAATCTTGATGCCATCATGTCTCTACCATGGCTGAGCCAGCCGGTCATGCTGCATTCGAGTCGCGACGCTGGAACATGCTCCATGACGCCAGAGCAATGTGCCTTCAAGACTGGCTACTGGGTGTTTTGGTATGAGGCTGATCATCGATACGGACTACCTACGGTTGCTCTCTTCGTCACTGCAGTATTGCTCGTCGCCATTGCAAGCTTTGCATCGACTTACGCCCCAACGTCGTGGAGGAGAAACGCAATATGGCTACGGATACTGTCATCAGGCCGTTTGTTATCCTACAAAAGCTGGCGCTTTGGGTTCTGGAACACACAATCATTAGGAACATACCTGCTTGGTGCCGTAGGAGCAGTGTTCTTCTTTGGTCATTACTACCCTCTGACCTGCCCAAATCATCGATGACAATGATAGCTGACTCCATCCTTTAGCAATGACGCTTGGTCCAGAGCCCTACTATTGGCCTAACACAAAACAACTCAGCTTCGGAAATTCCCCGCCGATCGCCACCCGAGCTGGTTACATGGCCCTGGCATGTATGCCATTTCTCTTGTGAGTGTCTACAAGCTATTGTACTATTTTTTGGCGCTCTCTCTGACTATGTGTCTAGTATTCTAGGTGCTAAAGCGAATCCGATATCGGCCCTTACCGGTGTTTCCCACGAGAAACTCAATATCTGGCATAACTGGGTGGCTTGGGCCATGTTTGTACTAGCACTGGTACACACATTTTCCTTCATTGTCTTTCACATCTGGAAAGGGGACATAGTCAAGCAGTGGAACGATGGAGGGGTGTGGGTTACAGGTGTCATCGCCATCCTTGCACAAGCATGGTTGACCTTCATGTCGATTCGCTGGATCCGGTATGTTGCTCTAGCAAGGCGTGCCACCTCACTCCTAACCTTTAAGCCTTTAAATATGGGCAATCACTGACAGCTTCCTTGCGTTGACAGAGATCGATACTACGAGCTTTTCAAAGCCACTCACCTCTTTGCCGCTGCCGTCTTCTTCATATTCTTCTTCATCCACTGCGACTTCCGTCTTACATCATGGGACTACTTCATCGCTACAGCTGTTCTGTACTCCCTCTGCTTCTTCTACTCACAGTTTAAAACGTTTATGGAGCATGGTGTGAAGCATGCTCGAATTTCGCTGGTTACACCTCATTGTCTCAAGGTCGTTATTGAAACCAACACGCGATGGACACCGGGACAGCACGTGTATCTGAGGTTTCTGACCGGTGGCATACATGCACTCACTGCCCACCCGTTCACCGTTTGCTCAATCCCACGAGGTGGCCAGCGCAGCCAAATGGTCTTCTACATCCAACCCAGGGGTGGAATAACGGCGAGATTGGCCGCGATTGCTCAGAAATCCCCCGAGGCATCTATCCCGGTGCTTCTTGATGGACCATACGGTGGGGTCACGGACCGATGGTTTACTGGCTTCGATCGAACTCTCGTTGTCGCCGGGGGTGCTGGGGCAGGATTCTCTCTACCAATCATCGAACACTTTTTGCAACGCCAACTTGGAGGAATCTCAAACTCGGAGATGGAGGTTTTCATTGCAACACGCGATGTAGAGTTCCGTGAATGGTACTGCAGAGCTTTGGACGATATCATGGCTCGACACCCGCTTGGCGAGGACAAAAAGTCACCGAGTATTTCCATCCATTTTCATGAGACAGGAACCTCGGAAGAAGCCAGTCCCACACCTTCCAACGCGGACTCTCCAGCATATGGTAGCGACAAAGAGGTGATGGAAAATTCTGGGAAGTCTTCTGAGACTGGGTGGCAATCTCCGTCAGGACTGGTCAGTCTACGGACATATGCTGGACGGCCAGACGTCCCTGCGGTTTCTAGGCAAGCCGTTGAGCAACCAGGAAGCGTAGGAATGGTGACCTGTGGTCCGGCATCAATGGTCTTCGACATAGGGGAGGTTGCGGCTGAGGCCCAGAAACGGATTTTGCAAGGCGGAAGCGGTGCCCGCGAGGTCTGGTTTTACAAGGAGAACTTTTCGTAAGTCTAGTCTGCTCCCAATTTAGGTCTCTGGAAGCTAATGTGGCTATCTAGGTACTGATCTTCAGGTGATGAGGCTTTCAAGCTGCACACTGTCAATTCCCTGGAACATTTTAACTCTTCACATAATTTCTTCCATAAGTACCTTATTCCGCCTTCCACGCCCCTGCACCGTGCCTCCCAAGAGGGCCACATAACGATTGTGGAATAACTCATAGGAAAAGGGCTCAAGGTTTGGGTCAAGCCTATCGTCGGCTATAGTCCTTCACATCCGCCTGTCGTAGAAAGGAACTTGGAAGCGGCTTGGCAACTAGTAGATGCTGGGGCGGATCAGAACACGAACAACTTGGAAGGAAAGAAAATGAACTACTTCACGGTGTTGCTAAGAAAGGCATGTAGAAGTGGCTCGTGTCCTTGTTGTGAGAGGAATCGACATGGATGCATTGACGTTAAACGGACAGTCCGCCGTCGACTTGGCAGAACTCGGAGAAGAAGAGGCGGTCCACAACCTGTTGATCAAAGTGGGAGCAAAGCAAGGGACGGACAACAGCAGAATTCTAGTTGAGATTACGGTGACGTTACCATAGCAAAGCAAGCATTGTTACATCAGACTGTCAATTTGCGGGGCAACGCTGCTGATCTATCTCTCAAACTTAGATTAAGTGTGGGGTGATAACGCTGAAGCCGAGATACGGAGAGAGACATATAACCCTTCTGCGTAAATGGAAATCGGTCTGTTAACAATGCAATTGGAGTATGTTCAATCAGGTGGAATACGGCAGGCCTGAGTGACGCTGGGGCGAAACAAACCTATCCCATGGCTCTACTACAACTCATCACGGCACTCCTGTACCCCGGTGTTGGCAGGGGGTCTCCAACTTCTCCCACCCACTCTCCGAACTTCGGAATCCTCTCCCGGCGCCGTGTGGCAAGTAAACAAAAGCCCCAAGACCATCTACATCGAGGACAGTCTCGCCTCTCGAGCCGATACAGATGGTCTGACTCTCATACCACCAAGCGGCTACGACTTTGCGACGCTCTTCCAACATGATATTAGTGAGCTTACCGGCGTCAACTGGACGTTGCAGCGCGTCGATCGTCTTCCCAACCCCGCAAATGCCAGCGGCATCCTTCTCGGTTCCTTCACCGGCAACGCCTCGTCTCTCACGTACGAAAATGGCAACCCTACATCGGAAGGATATGAACTCGTCATTTCTCCAACGGGCGCATTGATCAGCGGCACAGGCGCATGTGGAATGTGGTGGGGGACTAGGACGCTGCTCCAGCTGCTTCTCACACGGAACGGGACCCTGCCCGCGGGGCGATCGGTCGACGCGCCGGCGTATGCCACACGGGGCTTCATGCTCGATGCCGGACGCAAGTGGTATGCCCCCGCTTTTCTAAAGGAACTTTGCAGCTTCGCGTCATTCTTCAAGATGAACGAGTTCCACTATCACCTCAGCGACAACTACCCGCTCAACCGCGGACGGAACGCGTCATGGCAGGAGGTGTACTCGCACTTCTCGTTGCGGCCCGAAGACGAGAGTTTGCTGCCGATCCTGCACGGTCGCGAGAACGAGACCTTATCACGAGAGGATTTTGCCGACCTACAGAGCCATTGCGCGTCAAGAGGTGTCACCGTGATCCCGGAGATTGAGGCCCCTGGTCATTGCCTCTATCTGACCAAGTGGAAACCCGAGCTCTCGCTGCCGAAGCGCGACTTGCTCAATCTCTCGCATCCAGACACCATTCCAACCGTCAAGCGGATTTGGGCAGAGTTTTTACCCTGGTTCGAGACGAAAGAAGTTCACGTTGGTGCAGACGAGTATGATTCGACGCTGGCTGATGACTACATTGGGTTTGTGAACGAAATGTCATCTTTCATCAACTCCACGGCTGGCAAGCGTATCCGAATCTGGGGTACGAATGAACCTTCGGAAAACAAGACCATCTCTAAAGATGTAGTCATCCAACACTGGCAGTACGGTGAGTCGGACCCGGTTCTGCTGGCAAACAGCGGTTACAATGTCATCAACTCGGAGGACTGGTGGGCATACATGTCTCTCAAGAATGACCACACGCCTATCCTGCCGGCTCGATACCCCCAATTCTTCAACGAGAGTCGGGTCCTCAACTTCGCCAACGAGCCTGGGTGGCAGTGGACGCCCGCCGATTTCGACCCGTTCAACGCGACCATGCAGCTGCCCGATACTTCGCCCTCAGACAAGGGCGCCATTCTTGCGGCGTGGAACGACAACGGCCCAGATGCATCTACCCAGCTGGAGGCGTACTATGCCATGCGTCGAGGCATAGCACTGGTTGCGGCACGCGCGTGGAGTGGCGGTCGTGGAGCGAAGCTTGTGGAAGAAGGAGTGGCGCCCAGCATCGACTTCTTCACGCCTCTCGCACCAGGGCAGAATCTTGAACGCGTGTTGGAAAAGCCTGAGCCTGGATTTAACGGCCCACTGTTCTCCTGGTCACGCTCTGCCAACGACTCCGAGGCAGTACACCTTGGTCGCGGAAGCAAGGGGATGAATTACACGCTGGGATTAGCCGCCACGGGCCCCTTTACGCTGTCCGGCCCGGACAATACTCTCTCACTCGATGAAAGTGGCAGCCTCGTGTTCACTTCGGACGGATGGCCATACCCTTTGCGATCCGTTGGTGAATTAGATGCCATTCAGCTCGACCCAGGGCACCCGGGTCGGATCTGGTCGAACGTGACTACTTCAACACATGAAGCGGTGACGGTGTCGGAGCTTCCGGCGAACATCACCATCACCACAGACGTGCTTCATGGGAGCATGGCATGGATCAATGGCCATTTTGCAGGGCGGTTCGAGGTGTTTGTTTACGGTGGTCGTAACACACTGTTCAGCTGGAGCCAAATGGCACTTGTTGCGCCTTTGGAGGATGTAAGTGGCCCTGGGTTGCGGAGCATCGTGGTCGGAGGGGCTGTCAACATTGCACCGTAGAAAGAGCGTGTAGCCTAATATAAGAGAGTGCTTCTTAATATTTGGAGTCATATTATTCATTCTCCTGTGTCGTTGAAAGTCAGACATGCTGCCAACCTCAACTAAATTCTACCCCGTTTCTTGTCCCTCCATTACTAATCTCTTGATTTTTCTTCATCTCATCTGGAGATTAGCAGCTCTGGTCTTCCGTCACCAACCGCTCGTATCCTGGATCCAATCTCAAGCGGACTGCCGTCATGTATCACAAAGTGATCAAAGTGATCATCTCCAAGGTCGTCCTCCAGGCCAAGGATACTGTACACGTTCCTTCCAACCAAGTCCAGTGCCATCTTCTCGTCCAGTCGTCCTTCGCCATTGCTGTACGCAATGCCCGCGAGCAATCCAAGGTCCCGCACGATCCAGTCCTCCTCAAGGCCGATGGCGACAGCAACTCCGGCCTGAAGCAGAACATCAATACTTGTGCCGTTAGTCAAAGGCGCGCCCGTGAGGGCTCGCCGCTGATCCCAAGAGATCGCAAAGGACTGCATTGGCGCCAAGATAACTCCTACCTTGGCCGCAAACAACGCGTCAGCAACTAGGTGTGCTTCAGCGCCGCCATATATGACCAAACGAAGCCTCTCCGTACTATTGGCGATCTCTGAAAGGACCTCTTCCACCGTGCTTTTGACATCCAATAGGGTGGCAATGGTATCCGCACTATGCACTGTCACGACGAGCGCCATATGGCCTTTGACAACTTTCTGAAGAAAAGCGGCCTCTGAGTATCGTTCTTCCACAGGAATACTGTCGTTCGCAGTTAAGGAAGAGACTGCCTTGAGAAGCTTCCGTCGCAGATCACCAACAGCAGCCGATATGGACGAGACTCCATCGACGCCACTCTTGGCAGAGAGATCAAGCGTGTAGTGGACAGCAGTGTCTCGAGCAAATACGGCTCCACGGTCGAGGATGGTCCCAGCCCCAGTCAAGAATCCAGTACTCGTGCCGTGATGCGTACCAAGGCCAGTAAACTTGGGAGCTGAGATGGCCCGCGTGACCCCGTAGCGGTGGGCAACTTGCAGCTTCTCGGTGTTGAGGGCAAGCCCGTCAACGGCGCGGCTGAATCTCCCTCCGCCTGCACCGTTGTCGGTGTTTCGTTCCGAGTCGATAGCGTTGAGACCGATTGTTGAGCCAAAAGCAGTGAATGGTGGAGTGAGGTAACCGTTCTTGAGGTGAACCAAGCTGCCCTCCCTCTCAGACGCTGCCTTGAGCTCATATTCGCAGGTTCCAACACAGGTAATCTTGCCGTTTGATATAGCTATGTTATATGTCTTTCCATCGGTGGCCAACCCTTCCGGTCTAACGGAATGCAGCACTTTTGAGACTCCGGTGAAGACAACGTCGTCTTTGATGACCTGAGGTTTCTCGATGATTCTGCCCAGACTCTCATCAGGGACCATGGTACCCTCAAAGGCCTTATTCAGCGTGACCGGCTCATCATATTGGGCAGTCCCGTCAATCCAGACCTGGACCGGCGTAGCCCCGACGCTTAATGGGTCGCTATCCCAGACGACGATATCGGCATCGAAGCCAGCCTTGATTTTACCCAGCCGATGCTCCAGGCCTAATCTCTCGGCCGGGGCAGTCGTAACAGATGCGAGTGCCGCATCGTATGGAAGACCATACTTGTACGCTTTTGCCGCCTCAAACACCACATGCTGCGCATTGAGCACCGGGTTATCGCTAACGTAAATGGGAACGAGGCCAGCGTCGTATAAATGTTTGCCTGCGTATTCTGAGCCGAGGGCAGCTTCGGCTTTGTACCACATGTTGTCGGCGAAGAGGGCAGACGCCGGTGGGTTATTGCCCCACGCCCGTTTGAGGATCTAGGAAACGAATGTGTTGTAAGCGATAGTCTCCAGCACGCCATGTAGAGAGGCCCTCGTGGGTGTTGCGATACACTCACCTCGGGTACGAGATGCGTCTGGTGAGCATGATGAAATGCACGAATGGGAAACCTGAACTCGTTTGTGTGGTCTATGAACGCTTCAAGGTCCGTAATAGTGTAGCAATGAGCATGAACATGAACCTGGCCCCTGAGCACAGCGATTAAAGCCTCCCATTCCAGATCGTTCGGAAGATAGGCCTGAACGTGATTAAAATCTTTGGCAGCGGCACTGCACCAGTCGTCTTGCTCGCGAATCAACTTGGTAGCATGCTCAAAAGCCTGACGAAACTCCCAGCTCTCGCCAAGGCGGCTATAGGGGCCACGCTCGCCCGCCTTCCCATGGACCTGCTTGGAATTTTCGCCGCAAGCCATCTTCATATGCCTCCAGGTGCGGTCCGGATCAGCCAGCATGTCAACGACGCTGGTCTCATTGCGTCCGTCGGCAGGGCCAACGGCGTGCTTGATCACAAAGGCTTCGCCGCCGATATTGTTACTGGACCCAGGTAGTATCAACGACGTGGTGACTCCGCCCGACTTGATCACCTGAAGTTGGTAATCGGTCGGCTGAATGCCATCAATGGATCGAACATAGGGAGTGATGTCCTTCGACAGCTCGCTGACGTCTTCGTTTCCGTGTAATGTGGGCAGCGAGTGCACCGCGGCATGGCTATGCATATCGATGATACCGCTAGTGAGCGGCCGCCCTGCCGCATCGTAGACGAGAACATCCTCGGGGAGGGCGGCTACCGTGATGTCCTTGGCGACTTGTTTAATTAGACCATATTCGACGAACACGTCGGCCGAGGTCCACGACAACTCGGTTGACCCTTCAGCCGGCTCCCCAACCCATACCGTTGCGTTTCTAATGAGTGTGGGCTTCTTGCCGTCCACGTAGCGGGCGTTCCTCGTTCTGCCGTAGCCCGGTGGATCAATTGGTCGACTGTGCAGTTTCCCGCAAGTCGCCAGGTCTTCTTGCAGCTGACGCGTCGAGAGCCCATGAATCGTGACTTCCGGTCCGTAGGCGCCGTCTACGGGATGAATATGTCTCCATTGCGCGTAGACGATGAACGCGAGGCATGCTAGCCCAACAACGCGCAGTGTTCGTGACCTGCGGGGTAATAGTTGGAGAAACGCCCGCACTGACGAAGGGACACGGAGAGTTTCCGCCGTTGTCACCGCCGGAGGGCTGTAGGGCGGCAGCTCATCTCTCTTCTCCGCGCCCAGGAACGGTAACATTGTTTCGGTCGTCGGTGTCAGTGGCTGAGGAGGGCGGCAGGAACATTTGCTACGTGTGAAGTCTGACATGAGCACACCAACAAAGGGCGACAGTAGCACATTAGAGCTATTTGGGTGAGGATGCCCTTGTCCCAGCTTCCAAGGGGGGCGGCCTTTGGTGATCACGACAAGGATTCGAGACAGGGCTAAATTCGCCTAAATTAGTTCCGGGCAGCCCCAACTGAAACCAAACAACCTCCCAAAGCTTTGTGTTCTCAGACCGTTGTGTCGAGGTTCTCATATGCTCATAGGCACATGGCCATTGAGCTGATAGGTTTCTGGGAAAATGCCGTGATAATCAATAGCGACGGATAAGCAGTGCCTAGTTCCTTTCCGTCGGTACCTGTACCGAATCATCGAAAGATCTTACTGGTATTGACTCTGGCTACTGACGCCATCTGGATTCAGACCCCGCTCTGATCACAGTGCCGCTGGGCAGAAACAAATAGAAAAAAGAAATGCCGCATGATGAATACGAGGGCGTTTACCAAAGTTTTTCGGCAAATGTTGCCGATCACTCGTCCATGTCGGCAGAGATTCAGATACGGACTGTGTAACCGTCCGGACTTGATCTTGTCCGCGATGAAAGAGTTGTTGTCAGCACATGGATTGTTTGATTGACTTTGTGTTCTCTCTTAGGCACGAATCCCCACAAATCGCGATTTGTCAAGCTACCGCAAGTACGTGTGTTTGGTCTCATTTTCTACACTAATACTGCGGCTCAATGGGCCTCAACCAAAGTCTCCTTGACAGCTGGAGCTTGCTTCAGCTCTTCCGCGGGCACCTGGGGCGCGTGTGCCTTGGCAACTGGCTGCGCGTAAGGCGTCCACTCCTCATCAGCAGTCATGCCGCCGTACAACATTGACGGCGGGGCAAGAGCCTGGATATCGGGAGTGGCCTTGAAGAGGTAAAACTTCTCATCGTGCCACTGGCCAGCAGTGACGTACCTACCCTCGCTGTCCTTGAACATGGTGTCGTTCTCGGCACGTAGGAAGTAGGCGATGGAGTAACGGTGCTCCTCGGGGTTGAAGGGGACCACGCGGTGGATGCACGACATCATGGTGTGGCCGCTGGCGAAGCGGAGGGAGTCGCCGACGTTGATGATGGCGCAGCCCTTCTTGGGAGCGACGAAGCCGAACTCTTTACTGCCGGGGGGGCGGATCTGAAGACCCCACTCCTCGGCGAAGAGAAGGGTGAGGGAGCTGATGTCGGTGTGCTTCTGGTGACCGATCTGGTTGTCCTTGATGGGGTCGGCGGGGACGTAGTGCATCATGGCCAGCGTGGAGGTTGAGGGGCGATCGTTGCGGTGGGCGTTCTCATAACGGGCGGCGCCCACGAGTCCCATAGCAGAGGAGAGGCCAGACAGGACGGTCTTGGTCACGAGGTTCGAGCCGGAGATGGCGTTCTTCAGAATTGCCTTCTCGGTATCGTTCTGGAGGATCTTGGGGAACTTGGGGTCGGATCTTTGGATCTCGTCACGGGAGACCTGGCTTGGGGTAAGTCACAATTCACAAGTAGCACTCCAACAAAGATTCGGGTAGCAGCTCACCTTGAACATCTCGTATCCGTCCCTTGTGTTGGGGAGACCACCCGTTCGGGAGCCAACGGGCTCATATCTGGAATTGTGCCATTAGCATTTCCTGAGCATTTGCAAGTCATGAATGCCGAAATAGCTCACCCGAGATGCGCGGTGATGAGACCAAGCTCATTCTTGTCCTCGATAGGAGCCTCAAAGTACCGGTGCATAAGCTCCAGGGTCTTTTGCTGGTCATCGAGGAATCTGCTGCCGTCCAGGCCGTTCAAGTCCAGGTAGAAGAAGCCCTGCTGCTGGCAGATGCGGAGCATGTTCTCGAGCTCAGCTGGCTCCTGGGACAGGACACGTCCAAAGTCAACGGTCTCCATGGGGTAGATGGGGACCCTCTTCCCCGCCCACTCGACGGTCTGAGGAACTTCGGTGGAGACACCCATGATGAAGATGTGTGTAGGAAGTACGGGTTTTGAGTGGGCTAAGGTTTTGAAAATTGTTGATGGTTCTGGAGACTGAGTTCACGAATTGTAGGTAAGAATTCGGATTCAGAAGAGGGATCCCTTTCAACAATATGTAACCCCGCCGGCGAACTCTCCTATTTATACATTTCAAGATTGCCTAGGCTCAGGGACCTGACAGAACCCTGACGACCTGGCATGTCTGGGTAGCTCTGCCTGAAGCTCCGGGTCTGATGTGCGTAGACGCACCAACAAGACATGGACTCCTTTGCCCCCTCATTGTAAGCAATGCGACGACAGATCCCTACCACCTCATCATTTCTTTTTTATCCTCCTTCCACATTGCTGTGATTAACAACGTCCCATTGAGAGAGACCTAGAGTTGCATGCAATGGTGCGGGGTCTCGGGCCAATCGGCATATTTCTCCATATCACATGCGTCCCGCTCCAACGAGACTATCACTGACAGCTCGAGGAGCTCGATGCCTCTTTCGTATCAAAAGTGGACATCTCGCTCTAGCGCTGCTTCATCCGGTTCGGGATCGCGATACTCTCAGTGTCTGGTAGGACCCCGCTGTCTCATACTACTCAATCGGATACAGTCCGTCTCATGCAGGGCGTGGGAATTGCATCATTTCTTGGCCATCTTATCATTTCTGGAAGAAGAAACCATCGATTCCAGCCGAGAAGAGGCGCCTCTCTGAATCCCCAAGTTTAGCTAGATGCGTTTGTGAGTACATGGATGTTGGCCTGGGCAACACCACACAAACAACAAACACCCCGCTCTCGGTACCTAGATTTCCTTACGTGCTTGGAAGATGCACAACTTTGAAGTTGCGTCCTCTCGGCCTTTTACCCGACACTAACGCCGCCAAGCCCGGCAGATGGCCCACCGTACAAAGTACTTGCTTATTCATTGGCTGATATCGGACACAAGGGACTAACCAATGTCTTTCCGTTCAAACGAAGCCGTGCCTGGTTTCTGCAACTAAGCTGCTAACTAAGTGGGAGACAACGTGTCTTCCGCGTTGCAGAAACTCGAGACTTTGCTAGCACAATGATACTGTCTTTTAAGAAACACTTGAAGACCCACAAGGGTTCCTCTGAGATGCCGCCACCGTTCGGGAGTATTCGCAAGAAGACCCCTGCCTATCCGCAGGATCTAACACAATGCGACCAACATGCATCCCGTCCATTTTGATTCGGCGATGTGGGTTAACCTCAGCGCGGTATCCGCGAAAGACGCGTACCATGCTCTGCAAGCGAGCTGTCCTGCAAACAAGCGGGTTGGAAATCGGAGAAAAGACCCCGACGACAAACCCCGCGGCGATAGCTGACCACGTTGGCGGGGTTAAGAAAGGGGATAATAGATGAAATGACATTAGGCATCGCAATTCGCAGTTGGCGATCACTTCGAGATGAACACGTGTAGACTTGGCATCCTATCCTAGCCAATAAGGCACCAGGAGTCACAACCGAGGTTGCACTTGTCTCGATGAAAGTCGCATTAGCCAAGTGAGCCTAATTAATAAAACAGGTTGAAAGGCTCTTGGCTTTCACACGGAGTTTCAGTATTGGACTGACAGTCAAGATTAACCTTATTTAGATAGGGTGTCGAATGCTGAAAATAGTCTGACTGTTCTTAACGTGATTCGAAAATCAAAATCAAGTCTTCTTCACAAAGACTGGAACTATGTCAAATCAATATCTGTGAGACTCATTCAATTCATACACGCTTTTGTCGCTAAGAGAACTTGAATTCAAAACTGGGTAAATTCGCAAAATGGTACAAATATCTAAAGTTGGAGAACCAAGACTGGCATTTGGATACCAAGTGCTGAATAGACATGCTACTATATTGTTCTAATTGAACTTGATTAAAGTGAGAGCTCTCTATTTCAGTCTGCAGGCCATCCATTTGGGGCAGTCCTCGTTCCATTGCAAAAACATGATAAGTTAGCTCTGGACTTCATGACAAGAAGCCATGTCCATGTATTCCAAAAACAAGAGATATAGACTTCATTTCCAACGTAGGAATATGACTATTGAAAATATGCTGCACTAGCGAGTGTTCATGGAATAGAAGCAATTCAATTTGAAAGGATCAGCCGGAATATCAGATCAATGCTGATCACATGATTTGTGAATATTTTATACTATCATCAGGCTTGTATGATTGTCCCGCTTCTCCGCGGAACCTGTACACCAATCCTGGTAAACACTTCAACGCCGCGCTGGGAAATGATGGATGGTGTTTCCACTTGAACAACTACCTAGGTAAAGGCCCAGTAAGCCAATTCATAGATGTATCCCGTCGCCATCTTGGCGTGCTGCAAAACGTGATCGAATGATACATATTCCATCGTATCATTGGATGTGTGGATGTAGGGGTTATGGTTCCCAAAAGGCGTCTCAAAGATGAAGGACGACGGATAGCCATTACGATTGGCAGAGGCGTGATCGGAGCAGGCATATCCGCAAACAGTCTCCTCATAGGGTATATCGGTATACTATGAAAGCGAAGAGCATCAGCATTTACGCACCATGGAACTCAAAAATTCAGCCCCGAAAGCCAGCAACGACGGAACAAGCAACTGACAGTATCGATGACGCGCTTCATGAACGCAACCTGGTCGAGGTCTACCCAGTCCGTGACGACGCCGAACCTCTCAACGCCGTCGCGGCCGACGTAGCCAACCATGTCCTGCTGCAGCATCGACACGACCTGGCGGCTGGAGGCGCGATATTGGGTGAAGATGTCCTGGCTTCCGAGCAGACCGGCCTCTTCGGCACCGTACCAGTGGAACTCTAGGGTGTTGAGGATATCGCCAGACGCGATGCGCGGGTCGGAAAGAAGGACACGCAGGACCTCGAGAATCATGACCGAGCCAGAGCCATTGTCATCTAATCTAGCAGCGTCAATGATCATGTACTCGTCTCATACACAGCAAATAGAGCGGTGGGGGAAGGACTCACCAGCACCTGGCGCACGACCGGCGCCACGGTCTCCAGAAATAACAGAATCGAGATGCCCGCCCAACACAACAGTCCGCTGGTTACGTCCGGGAATCGTCACAATGATACTAGGCTGCGACCACGCGACGTGGCGCACATAGCGGATGTTGGCCGTCGGGTGTCCCGCGACGTCCAGAACGGCGCTGATCTGCCCGTACAGCCACTCGGCGGACTCAACGCCCGTCTTGGAGAGGTAGTACCGATTGTGAAAGGACGAAAAGCGCTCGAGATGCGCGCGCATATTGTCCTTGCTCAGCTTCGGGATCAGGGCGTTGACGTGGCACGTCTGGTTCATCTCCGTCGGGAAGGGGAGGGCCGCGAGGAGCTTGAAGTCGGCGGAGGGGGTGACGGCTGGGATATCGGACCATTCTGTGATGTCGAAGAAGTGGATGCGTTTCTGGTTGCGGTAAGCTGCGCTCGCGGGACAGAATGGGATGTTCTTCAGGTTGGCATACGTCCATCATTTCCCATTTCTCCTCCTCCGTGACGGTGACAGTCTCACCTGGGGCGATCTCCAGTGTAAATAGCTTGTTCGGATCACGGGGCTCGACAAACGAACCGGCGACCATGGGAACCAAAAGGGTCGCGAGGAGAGAGTTGAAGAGCATGGTGACTACGATACACCGGAGCTAAAAACGAAGAATGGGAGATTGAAGTCCGCCTGCTTTCAATCCTCGCCAAGGGGTCATGCTGGGGTTGTCTGGCACATTATATGCTCGTCCCATCTCTCGAGACAGTGGGTAGCTGCATGGGTAGCTGGAGCAAATATCCTCACCAGGCGGCATGGTGCAGGGATATCAAGATTGGTGACATTCGAGATACTCCAAGCCCGGCAGAGAACTACGTCCACTTGAGGGGTCATCGTATCTCACGCGTAAACCGGTGCAATGGTCCCAAGCGCGTTCCAACTTAATCTCATGTACGCCGAGAACTGTAATTGGAAGCTGGGAACTCTCAAATTTCGTCAGCCCACACGTTGGCGGTGAGGTTGGGTGACCTAGAACACGTTTGCGAACTTTTGTGTTGGCCACGTCAGGCTGGAATCAGTTCCTCGTGCCATCTATAATGATAAACCTGCAAGACCCAGGTTTTCTCAGCAGAGCCATTGACCAATAATCTCTCCAGTCTCGGGTCCGGATTCGATTCTGGGCCGACAAGGCGAGGAGATGCTCATCCGGCTGCCATCTCGTCCGAACTTCGAAGATGATGGTGGTGTTCATTCTCATCTAGCATTCGAGTGACGCAGCTCAAGACTTGGTCTGTAGTTTTGCTGCAAATCCCAGCCAAGTTAGACCCGAGACTTCCGACTGCAAGAAATATCTCAAAGAAGTGATTCAGAAGTGTTCTTTGTTTACCGTCTTGAATGCGCCCAGTTGATAATGCGCCAAGAGAAGTATCTCTATTCGGAAGGTGACTTTTAGCCAAGACGTTGCGCGGGGACTTGCAACTGAGGGGTTGGAAATAAGAACCAGTGATTTCGTCTGGCTGGCAGAAGAAACATCCCAGCTTGCCAAGCGTCGCGTAAGATATTTCGAGTCATCTAGGGAATCCAAACTTCCGTGCGCGATGAGCGGGCATCTTTTGACTTGAGCTTGAGGAATATGAATCATGTGAGCCCTCCTTTTTCCTCGAGTATGCAAAGGTGCAATCCGATACCAGTGTGAGGTCTCGAGCATATCTGGGAATAAGCATGGTTTGAGTGCGTGAGGTTCGACGAAAAGACCCAATCTCATATGATAAGCTCGGTCAAAGAGTGCCGAATTGTCAAGAGTCGAAGTCAAACGCATCGAGGTGATTTCTGAAATCGTTGATACGAGGACCCGGCTCCATCTTTTCAAAAAAGGCCATCTTCGAAACGTCTCGACAAGCAGGTCACTAGACACCCAGCAAAGGTCGTCCCTCAACCGACTCCCACCCCTCGTCCATGCCGTCGCGAAGCGCAACGACTAGCAACAACCCCCGAACACACCCAGCAAGACCATCATTAACCACAGGCCACCCGATCAAGCGATACCACTCGACCCAAGACGGCGAGTACGGCGGGTATTTGACGCGGAATACCCAAGAGATTGCAACAAGAGCAAAGACGACGCATTGGACGGTGAGACCCGGGAGGCTTAGAGCGCCTGCGTTCCCTCGTCGAGAACGTATCTCACGCACTTGCGGAATAACGGCAAGGATAGTCATTGCGGTGGACATGGGGATGAAGAGGAGGTAGTGAACCAAGGCGAAGATGTCCTGGGCCCATCGTCGGGGTTCGGATCGTGATGGTGGTTGGCAGGCGTCTATGAGAACTGGGACGACGGAGAAGAGAAGAAACAAGGTAGAGATTGTCATGACGGCTTGTCTGTGGCCTATTCTGTCGGGGTTTGCGGATGAGTATCGGAAGCAGAGGATGAATCTGGAATAATAGCAGTCAGCTCTCGGTCACATGAGAACCGGCAGGCCGTCAGTCGCCCTTGGTATCCAGCATCCTCACAAGTACAGAGAACAAAGCCAGACGACGACCAGCTGGCCGAGATTAAACCAGTCTCCCGCTGTGGCTGGGGTATTGACAAAGACGTCGGGCCTCAGAGACCCATCATTGTTGACGTTGAGAAAGAAGCCGATGGTGACTTGTTCTGTGGCGCTGAGGAGGTTGAAGAGGACGTAGTAGAGTGAAAGGCCATCGCAGTGGCCTTGTTCGCGGAGTCTGTGGCATTGTGGCAAATATGAGACGACGCTGAGGATGCTCAGGATACTGTTTTCATTCAGTTAGTAAATCGCAAGGAAAAAAGGGGTCCTTTTCTGCCACGTGCTGCGGCGCCTGGTGTTCTTGACGCGTCCCGTCGTCATTGGCAAGATATCAGATGACGGGATGACAATAGCCTGGGCAACCAACGCTTTGGGCAGCAGTAGTATATGGGGGGATGTCACAATTAGACCACTCACAATCTAGAAGAATTAGGCAAAATGTTAGGAGCCATCGCGAGCCCAGGGACTTCAAAAGTCCAGCAGAATGCAAAATGGCCTACCTATGGCGATGACTGGACAATGGAAACAACGCTTTTCAACCCACGTAGCTAATGTTGAAAAAAAAACAAAATCGATCTATCGATTTGAATTTTAGTCACGAGGCGAAGGCGGAATTCGTACCTTGGCCTTGGAAAATGCGGTCAGGTGGGTGTTGTCTGCTGCCGTCGGTTATTTTTTTGCATCCTGTAGGATTCAGGCATCCCATCACGTGGGCCATTGATCCACGATAAGTCGATCGAGTGGCCCGTTGGCGGGATGTTTCGCAGGGGTCCACAACTCACCCGCGATAATTGCAACTACATGTAAGTAGACATGAAGAGACCATCTTCTTTTTGAGGGGAGAGTCTCTACCAAACTCTGCCAGATGCTAGTCTTCACGGCGGTGATATGCAACAGATACCTTGTGGTGTCCTTATCCAAGACATATCGCAAACACTTCAATATAAAGCAAATGCAAATGTGTACGGGGAAACTCAGTGGACTATTGGGGCTGTCTCCTATTTCATCTATCGAACTTCCGCGGATTATGGCATAAAGCCGCAATTCCTTATTCATGAATCCTTGTCATCATCCGACTCAGATCCTAGGCTGATAGAGTCAGCCAAAAGAGCCAGTCCAATTCTCAACTGTATGCAATCCTCATTCTCCATTGCCAATCTACAGTTCTAGTAGATGTAGAACTTGGTGGGCCACTTGTCGCCGAACTGGTCGGCAAAGTCACAGTTCTCAAAGCCCCAAAGACGCATTCGGGTCTGGGTGGGGTCGTACAGGGCCAAGGCGCGAGTGAAAAGGATGTCAATGTCCATGTTGCCGACGAGGACATCCCGACCCCAGGGCCACCAGCTAAGGTGGCAGGAGTCGACTTTGGCAAGAGGGGTGGCGTGACCGTTACCATATTCCTCCTTGTTGAATCTGAAGTAGAAGCGACGGATAGACATGAAATTGCGGAGCTTCGTGCAGTCGGCAATGAGAGGCGAGTCAGGCTTGGCGCCGCCAAACAAACTGATCTTGCCGGTGCAGCGCTTGGAGGGGCCGAGGGGGGTTTCCCATCTCTCCAGTCTGGTGTCAAGCTTCTTGTCACTGGAGCGCGAGATATCCAGGAGGTTGGCGTTGAGCTGAACCGTGATGTTGGCGCCGGTGTTGTCGGTGACAGTGACATCAACCCAGTTCAGCGAGGTGTCCGTGTCGCTAGGGATCATGGCTATTTCTGCCGAAGCAGTCATGTCCTCGGGGGAGCCGGGCTCGACCATTATTGCACCTTGTTGCTCAATCTGTCTAGAGTGGACAGTAGGAACGAGGCGGTTTCCGCCGTTGTCGGGGGGGTCGACATGGCCCTCGCCGGCTGCCTTGGGATCGCGGTAGAAGAGGTGGAACTCACCCTGGTTCGGGATGTCTTTCTTGAAGCCACACTGAACTCCCATCTTGCCAAGGATGTGATCGGGTCCAAATTTAGCTCCATCCCATTTCAGCATGCGCTCGAGGAAGCCGACCATGTCACGGTTAGAAATCGTAAAACTGTTCTGCGTGGGGATGAAGCCGAGGGCACAGGTCTCATGGGCGGTAAATTTGATCATTTTGTTATGGTCTTTTTCCTTAAACTCGAGTTTAGCAGCGTTGACCTTGAGGAATTCGAAGAGCTTCTCGCAGTCTGATTTGACGGGGTGGTCGGGCTGTTTCCATTCAGAGGACAGCCAAGCGGGAACGCAGTAGGGGCCATCGGGTGGACCACCCACGACCAAGTTGAATCGCTTAGCCATGTTTTGGTTTTTGGAGTAGGTCTTGATTTCGGCGGTATTGATGCCGTGGACCTCGTCATTGAAGACAAAGGCGGAGGTGTTTCTGGGGATATCGTCGAGAGCATGGACGATAAGAGGCTTCTCATGCTTGATGGCGCGAGTCTTGAGGGTGGTGGTGGTGTTGTCAGGGACGAAGGCGTCGTTAGCCAGGAGGAAAGCAGAGGAAACAGATCCGCGCTGTTGAAGTCTCCAGAAGACAGGAGCAAAGCCCGAATCACCTTCATACACTGCGCAATCAGCCTCACCGGAAGCCGACATGCGACCGTTGTTGGTCCAACCCTTGCGACTCAGAGATCTGTCGAGGAAGTTGGCAATATCGCCGCTGGAGAAGACGACGTTGCGGTGGGCTGTGAGAGTGTGGTAGGCACAAGAGCCAACATAGATGAGCTCGATCCAGCGGTTGAGGTCAACTTTGTTATCGAAGTAGACGAAGAAGGGGTGGCTGTGAGAGAAATCGTAGAGGGTCTGGCAATCAGAGCGAAGAGGAGTGCCGTTGTCGCCATTGTCTTTCTGGCTGGCACGAACGGTGCAAAGCTCCATAAGCTGAGGCGTCTTCTGAATCTTGAATTGCTTGCCGAGATCATTGGGGAGTTTGGTGACATCGTCAGTCATGAACACGCCAGGAGCGACGTGGACCACGACATCAGAGCCGTTGGCAGCCTTGAAGGTGATGGCGCTGGACTTGGCGATGGGAGCAGCAACTTCAACGAGGGCCTGCTCGGGGACAACGTGCTCGGGGACAACGTGCTCGGGGACGGCGAGCGCGAGAGCGATCGCCGCAAGGGCAAGGACGGGCGCGAGGATCATTCGCATTGTGGAGTTGGGAGATGAAACTTTGTCTTTGTGTCTGTCTCTGTGCTTTTGTGTAGGGAGTGATGAGAGAGGGAAAGCCTGGAAGCTATTGATGATTTGACTTGAGGGTAAGATCAGACAGCTGAGGCGTCCGTGGTGAAAGAAGATTGGGGGATTGAAAAGTGAATCTTCGTCCGAGGAGGCATTGGCGGTGAAGTGCGCCTTTGTTTTGGTTTGTGGCAGGGAAGAAAATATCTCCAGGGCTGCGCGGTGGGAGGCTGAGGAATTAGGCATTACTCGGCTGGCCCGGCGGCGAAGAGGAAGATCACGGGACTCGCCTGCCTCTATTTCCCTTTTGGGCAATTCAAGCGGTGAGATACGGGGGGCCGCAAGGGTTCTCAGTTGAATTTTCTGCGTGGACCGAGGAAGGAAGGAGCTCTGCCGGAAGGGAAGGTGCGGCGCGCCTCCCTCAAGTTGCCTTTGATGCTCGGCTGAGGTGGAGGCCAAGGTGAAGTTGACGGTGAAACAAGGTGTTGCGCGGTGAGGATCACGGTGTGTTGACCGTCGAGTAGGGGATGACAAACGGGATTGATAACACTCAACCCCCGGGAAGAGTCACCTTCGTGGACTGTTTACTCGGCGGAGACAGGCCTGGAGATTTCTATTGCGGGCCCTCTGGCTACCTACACCAGAGCAAGGTATGGATAGATGGGGCATAGGAGAGTTTGTAACATTGTAGGCAGGAGGGGGAAAACAGCCGAGTCCCTTGCCGATGTTATAAATTGAGGGGATGATCACATCGGCCGAGCTTTTCCTCGGCTCCCTATAGTCTTGATTCCCGCTACTTTGTACTCATTCTTTTGCTGCTGTCGAACTGCAGTACAACGAGGTTTACAAGCCTCTTGACCACCCACCATGTCTGCCTTTTTCAAAGACGGCTTGGTGTTACGAAATGAAGCATCATGTATGCAAGGAGTTAAGACGAGAATCATTCGAGGTTTATCCGCTTACTCAATGGAGCCCGGAAGGTGCGGGGTCATATTGTTGCTGCAATGCTCCGTGTAAGTGTTCTGTTGTGTGTAAGGTATGGATGGGAGATTGACAACAGCCTACTAGGTAGTCGATGGCGGGTAGTGTCGAGTATTCAAGACCCAAGTTTTCACCCTTCCCTTGTTCATTCCAATGTGGAGGCTTTTGACCCATCAAAGTAGTAGTGTTCAAGATGTGCATGTTGAGAAACTCAGTTTGGTGGGCTTCAAGCTGGCATTTTTGGTGACACAGACTTCGCCGCCCAGTCGATAACAATGAAACTAATTGTCAGGTCAACATTTCTCTTTGTGTCCACTTACAAGGATACATCTGTCTGGTTGTTCTCTGGCGTTTATTAAAAAAGAGCGCGCAACATGTCAACTTTGTATTCAAGAACGGCTTGGCATACAGAAGTAGGTCACGATAATTCGTTGCTTGAGGAAAGGTAAGCTTCCCGTGGTAAAGCTATTCGTTTTGGGGTTGGCCTGTGCCTTTGAGACCTCTCTGATCCCCGAGAAATATCACGCACCATTGTCACTTTAGCCAGTGTATCATTTCCTTATTCCGGAAGTCGGACTGCAAACCACACTTGCGACAATACAATGGTTTTGATTCTTCCGGGCAATTCTGATGGGGGTAACCGTGGTCTTCTGATCTTCTTTACATACTTGGTTCATGATGTCAATGAATTAGAGAATTGATACAAGAATGGCTTTTCGCAGCTAAAGGATTCTCTCCCAAACTCTTCAAGAGACTACAACGGGGGACTACTGACTATCTCCTCTTCAAACAAAGTCCAGGCTTCATGACAGGTCAAATCATAAAAGCCTGAGTAATTTCACAGTGTCCAGAAGTAATTCCACTAAATAAACCCGTTATGGTTTACATACCTTATAGTGGTTGACTTTACTTTTGAGTAAGGGCTGGGATCTTGACTCTAGAATGGTTCCATAATCTCTTCGCGCTCTTCGCGAGGCCTCTATATAAAATCTTAAGCAAGAAAGGTAGTCGCAGATATGGTAAACAGGCAAGACTGCCATTGAAAATCCCATTTAAGCTTTGCGATGCGCCTAGAGTGTAATGCGCGATTAGCTCCCGCTACTGCTTCTTCGACCTTCCCTTACATAAGCACGACCCATCCATAAGTGTTGGTTTACGTATCACAGGTGTGATTGTTCGATCGAACCGTGGTGACGAAGGGTCAATTGACTGTGTATTGATTTCTGCGTGAAGTGGAAAAGAGAGGTTCCAACCGGAGGTTGGACCGTCAGTTGAACGCGGATATAGAGACCCTCAGATGGCCCCTGCGCTGGCGCTGACTCGAGGTCAAATTGGGCTTCCAATCCGACAATAAGATTCCACCTAAGTATATATTCCCACTTCAAGGTTGCCAACATACGTCCGCTGTGCATGTCAAGCCTCGAAGTTAATGCATTCTATAGAATCCCTCTAGTGGCTTCCCGTACGAGTAACATACAAGATGGCCGTAGTATTAATTTATGCATAAAAATAACTGAAACAGGGAAGGAAGGGGGGGTGTTAGATTGGTCTAAAAAAAGTGCATATATTTATAGTGTGTCGTCCTTCCTTGTCGTCTCATCAATTACACTTTCCAGTCACTACTTGTTTAATGCGTCCCTGGCTTCTGTTAGTCCCCTCGCTTTATCACTCCTAACCCATCCCTTCATTATCAGCAAGCATTCTATAGCTAACACTCCTTCCTACACAAATAGGGCTTGAAGCGGGATATGCTCCAAGATGGTGGCAAACAGACTCTTTTCAACTCCTCCAACCCCGCAAAGATGGCCAAGAGCAAGTCGACAATGATTCCCGCCAGCGTTTTCCAAGAAAGAACTAGAGCAGAGGACGTCGCAACGGAGACTCAAGAACTAGCGGGCTTCGGTCTTGGTGAGATTTCTGAAATGTAGGGCGGTGACCTAGACAACGCTTCCGACGATGGAGCCCTTAACAGTGGGGAAGCTATAGTGAACTATGTGGATAAGTCCGCTTCCTCAACAGGCGATCATATTTTGGCGTCGATAACGTAGACTAAGGACACCAGCATCTCTTACTTTCAAGAGTTGTTCAGCAAAAGGGCATCCAAGAAATAAGGTCAATGACCTACTCAGGTCTGGATGCCTCAAGTTCCCTCCTGTCCCAGCAAAATCCGACTTTACCATCCAATCGTTCAAGAACAGCGATTTCTTTTCTCATCAGAATCCCTAGTCTGATGTCTAGGTGTTTAGTCATCTTTATCACGATTACATATTGGGAGCCGTTTTTGTACTTTTCATTTCAAAATGAGGCATTCACTGGTTAGAATACAAAGACAGAAAAAATGAAAAAGGGAAGAGGCGCCGGTGATATGTAGGATGTTCATCTATGAGAATACCCACGTGGGATGACGACGTCCCGGTCCTGGTGGTATTTAGGGCCAAATCCCACAATTAAAACAAAAAGGATCCATTCTCGATAGAAGATAAAAAGCAAAACACAATCTTTCTTACTCCATAACGACTCGCTCTTTACGCATTAAGACGAGGTCGGGGATCGCTTCAGCTCGGCACTGACTGAACTAAGGCTTCGACCAACAGCGATTAACCTGTCCCAGACTTAAAAAGCTGGTGTGACCCCCCAGCTCTAAATACTTTTTGAACACATCATGTCAATGGGATTTCCAGAAAAGCTCTGGCGTCAGACTGTCAAATCCTTGTTATATTACGACTCCATTATACCGGCCCGTGTCACGCACAGGTCACCGGCTTCGCGAGTAAGCCGACTCTCCGATTATCCGAGCTGACTCGAACGGTCTCGTATGGCAAAGTGCGCAGAATTTCTAGAACCCTTTGCTGCCGCACCCAACGAGTCAGCACGGGAGGGGGACCATCTTGCGCGTTCAGGGTGGGCTAGGAATCAGACGATGAAACCGATAGCGGAAGATGGGCGGTAGATTATAGGGCTGTCGTGAAGTTAAATAGAGTACTTTGTAGCAAGCTGGAAGGCGGAGCAGTCCGTGCGGCCGGTTCGTCGCAACATGGAACGGTTCGGCAGTGCATGTTGAAATTTTCAGACGGGAAGGCTTTGTCTGGCCTTGGTAATTAAGGTTAATTGAGGCCTCTCTCGTGTTTGGTGTACCTTGCGGAGGGGTTTGGTTGACGAGATTGTCTATGCTCAAAAACTGATATATAGATGCCAACATCACGGCATCCTCCTTGCCTCCCGCTCCCACGACCCACTCAACCTCCAAAAGCCAACTGCCAACGCCCAAGATGCGCTCCGACATCCTCCTCGTCCTCGCCGCCACCTTTGGCTCCACAATCGGCCTCCGCCGCGGCTGCAAGCACACCGGCGAGTCCGAGGGCTGGTACTACACTACCAAAAACGACACGTTGGATATCCTCGCCGCCGACTTCTGTACGAAGACCGAGGTCATCCAGTCGTGGAACAACATCCAGACCATCGAGCCCGGCATGAACCTGAAGGTGCCGTGTCACTGGAACGCCGGTGAACAGCGCGACTGCCGCAAAAACACGGACGCATACGGCGCGTACGTGGTTACCGGCAATGACACGCTTAACGAGATTGCCTATGACTTCTGCACGACCGCGGTTGATCTGAAGAATTTGAACCCGAACCTGATAAAGAACATCGATTTTATCGACCTCGGCTGGGTCATCGAGGTCCCTTGCAGCTTCAACTAAACGGCGGACGTTAGTTATGACTAGAGGGGGAAAAGGGGTTTGAGGAAAAGTTTTGGATCGACGTTTGTTTGATACTTCGTCCTCTTCAGTACTGTCCTTCGTTTGGATTGAAATCCATGCATAATTTTTGCAGCGCAGCGTCCGTGTTTGTTGGGTCGCTTCCTCACTGAATTGTTTTGGTCAGCGGGTGGAATATCATGGCTTTTGTATATGCAGCACGAAGTCCGCTGTTTTTTTCCTTCGGCTGCGCTTGAAGACATGATAGACATGATTGGCATTGATCAGCTACCTCGTATGTCTGTTCACCTTCGAATGACTACAGATTTATGTCGCTAGAACTTTAAGATACCCCCTCGTATCACGATTTCCCTCTTCAATCTCTCTCGTTCGCCTTCGTCCCCACCCCATTCAGCTGTCTCGCGATCTATTCCGCGACTTTCAGAATTCTCACGCTCTAGTCCGTCCCCACATCATCTACCTCGTCCTGGTCCTGTCCGAAGCATCTCTTTGACGACACCTATCACTTTTGGCGAGTTAATAATAGAAAACATAAGAACACGGAACTACTGTTCGCCTGTCTTAGCCTCGAGCGCATCCGGAGCTTAGCCCCATGTGTGATAGGCCCCAGGCTGTCGAGATATGGCCGATGATGTTCCTCGGTGAAGATTACTAGTGAACTTCAACATCGTCAAAGACTTGCATGGATTCTAGCCTGGAATAAAGATGGCCCGTCGAGGTATTTTCGCACGAGCCGGAGATTGACACCGACATCGATGGGAATTGTTCTCATCGCCTCGGCCACAGTTATGTATGCTCAAAACAAAGTCGTGTCCAAGGCTCACTACATAGTACAAAGCAAATGTTCGATTAAGACTCTTTCTTGGACCAGCCAGCAGAGCATTTCAGAGGCATTCTCTCTTCTCATAGCCTCTAGGAAACCACCAGCGTTCTCTGCGACTCCTTCTCAGCGTGATAATCAGTCAAGAAGCAGACTCGCAAGATGCTCACCGCGGCCTCCTAGCTGGCTCTCGGCCTGGCAGCCTAGGTCCCGCTCCCAGCACACAACATCCCCTCTACCCGCAAGACATACTACAACGCCAGCCTCCCCAACATCACAATCTTCGCCACGGGTGGCACCATCGCCAGCTCAGCCTCTTCCAACGCCCAGACGGCAGGTCACCAAGCCGGGGCCCATGGAAGCAATGAGAATTTCCACGGCGCCGATGTCCTCATCGTCGCCGTCCCGGAGCTGTAGAACGTTTCCAACGTTGACTCCGGTAGCAGCACTCCCGACATCCATCTCAACCTCACCCGCCTTGTGAAGGAGGCTCTCGGTGACCCCCACTAACGGGGAGGCGTCTTCATCCACGGCACTGACACCATGGAGGAGTTAGCCTTCTTAAGTTCTTTTTCGACATCAAGCCCGTCTTCTACTTCACGCCCGTCCACCCCCTGGGCCGCACCTAATTCGGCATCACCGTGACCTCTGAGCTCCCCGAGGTTGACATCTTCTTTGGCCATCAGGCCCTCAACCCGGCTCTCGCGACTGCCGCCGTCGCGAGCGGCGCCAATGGTCTCGTCCTTGCGGGCATGGGTGCCGATGGGTGGACCACGCCCGGCCGCATTGCGCTCAAGGCGATGGCGCAAGAGAACGGTACGCAGATTTTCTTCTCCAACTGGACCATGGGTGTATTGCTGAAGATGATGACGCCCTCAACACGTACGGCGGCTGGAACTTGAACGCCCAGAAGTCGCGCGTTCTGTCGCAGCTTGCGCTCTACTCTGGCCATAGCTCGGAGCACCTCGAGACGCTGTTCAAATTCGCCCCTTAGAGGTATGAGTACTAAATAATGACATGGTGTCATGAGATAATTAGTACACGGATACAATCACAGAGAAATCGTAATTCATCTCACTAAAGTTGACAAATCCCCGTACTATTCCGACTTTTTGTAAATTTATGAAAAGTGTCTCCAAGCCCAAAAAATATACATTGTAATGCGGCTTTGCGATGTAAGCAATACGACTTGTCTCGATTATTCCCAGATCAAAAAGCCTCGAAAGAAGCACGAGGAGATGACTGACTGTGTCACCATCAAAGCCGGCCAAAAATGGGAACATCACCCATCCAGCACCAAGGCCGAGACATGTTCTATCCCGGCAAAGACTATATATCCTTCTTCAAAGACCTCTTCTCCAACTCTGCAACCTTGATGAAGACTTGTTTTGTCTCCGCGCAGCTCTTGACAATGAGATAAAAGGGGATAATGATCCAAAAGGCGTTGAAGAAGATATAATAACACCAAAAGTAAAAGTCTTCAGGCCGGCAGTAAATCATTTTGTCAACCAGCTTATCAAAGGAGCACGTAGCAAAGTACAAAACGTCGCCGTAGAGCTGTCCGAGGCTGATAATGATTTGCAGTGGGTGGCGGAGGGGATGGCCGGTGACGATAAAGTAGGCGCACGCAAAGGACAGCGGACCCCAACAGAAGGCCGTGATGGTCTCCATGCAGACGATGAAGGAGTCTTGGGTCAGATATCGAGAGTCTGAGAGAGAGTACTCCTTCCAGAGCTGGCCGAAGATGTGGAGGGAGGCCGGCATGCGGGATTGGTTGTAGGAGAAGTAGCCTGCTCAGGGTGTAAGTCGAGCTGTTCACCGCTGCTGTCGAGGCTATGTGTCAAAGTAGTAATACTGACCTTCGAAGAAGAGGTGAATAAAGGCGCTGAGAGTGAACCAAAGTGCCGTGGCAACTTCGCCATTCCGGAGGTTTGGGCTTGTTCTCTTGATGATGCGGTACGTGGGCGCGAGAATGGCGGTTGCCCCGGCGGCAAACATCCCACGCAGAGCATGCGCGCCGAACGTGTTGGCAACGTAGCCTGGAAGTAAAGCCTCCGTAGGGAAATACGGGTGAGCCGGGATAGTGGTGTTCATCACGATTTCTGCAGCCATTGTAGGACTTTCGGGTTTTGTTTGTCGAGCCTGAATTCTAGTTCTGGCAAAACTCATCTGCTGTTAAAGAAAGTTTGTGAGTTTTATGAATGTTCAACACGTAGGATTCCCTTCCATGAGCCTTGACTCCACTCTGCTCCAGTCGGGAGAGCTACCATCCGTGTCGTGCCATTTTCAGCTCTAGTTTGCGTAGAGACATCTGCCAAGTGCTGAGCAACCTCACATTCTATTGGCCCCGCGTCGAGCATAAGCAGCAGCCAAGCGAGATTGCACCAACGTCGTATTCGGGTCCAAGCATTGCTGTCTGACAGAACTGGACTTTGGTGATGTTTTCCGGCGCCGCCAAGGACACAATGCCGATCCGGGGTCCGAGTATGCCGGTGCCCGAGAATTGAGCACTGGGCTGTTCCACCATGTTGCACACGGTAGGGAACAAGGTGCACATGAAGCTTCTGAATATATCTGCTTTGCGATTTTGCCAGCGGAGTGTTCTATCTCTTTACCGGCGCCCATTACCTGTGAGTTGGATATCTATTACAATTACAAACCTTACATTTTGGCACTCCATCCAGCGCCTAGTCCCGTTCCTATGACTTCTCAAACGTCGCCTTTCTTCTCCCCCTTCTTCTTGCGGATATCAACCCAACCCATTCCCCACGAAAGCACAAACGCGAGACCGCCAATTCCAACGAGGAGATAAAACACCTCGCCGATGCTTTTTGAATAGGCCATTACCACCCCAGGCAACTCAGCTTCCGGGACAACCGTCCTGAACCCTGTTCCGCCCGCGGCCAGGATGGTCTTCACGTCCACGGCCGGGGCGTATTTTTCCAGGTTCTTGCCCAGTCCTTGGCTGAAGATGACCTCACCCGCTGTCAGGAAAACGGCTCCGCCAAAGGTCTGCAAGAAGACCAGGGTGGCCATCGATACGGATAGGAGCGCGGGTGGGAGGTTGGCTTGGACGGCGATAATGTGCTAGAGAACCACGGACGTTAGGTTGCTTATCCCCCATCATATGGCGGTGCATCTCACCATTTGCATACAGGCACCGCGGCCCGCGCCGAGAAGAATTTGATATCCAATCCACTTGGCAGAGTCCGTTGACGGATCCCAGGTAGAGATAAGGCCGTTGCCGATCGCCGATATGACGGAACCAGCGACTGCCCAAGGGAGGTAATATCCCAGCCTACCAACTATAAGGGGGGTTAGCATCTCCGCCTTGCCAAAGTAGAGCATCAAGCAATCGACATTCGTGAACTCACCTAAAGCCCCAGAGGCCACAGCAAAGATCAACTGGGTTATGATGGTTGGCAAAAAATGAACGCCACCCTGAAATGGCGTCTCACCCTTGACGCTCTGGAAGTACATTGGTATGTAGTAGCTCGAAACTATTGTGATGCTCATGTTGAAGGCTCCCACAAGACCGCTAGTCCATACGATTCTGCTTTTGAACAGGCCCAGCGGGAGCATGGCTTTGTCGTCTCCCTGTCTGTACTCCCAGTAGATGAAAAGCCCAGCGGTGGCGGCCGCGCCAACGAATAAGCCAATAACTACGGAAGAGTCCCATCGATAATCGTTGCCGCCAAATTGCAGAGCGAGAAGGAACATGATGGCCGCGGGCGCGAAGAGGGTGAAGCCTGGAAGGTCGAGGTGTCGGTAGATCTGGAGGATGGGGACGGGGACCGAGATTTTGGAGGGTATGTGGATCAAGAATAGCATGGCTGCAGTGACAGCACCAATGGGAAGGTTTATGTAGAAACCTGTGTCTGAACTTAGCATAATTCCGAAGTTCGATTCATGGCCCAACTGTCATATCAAAGTAGTAAGCAAGGTGAAAAAGGAAGTGAAACTTACACCAACGCCATGTCGTGTATTGTGTCAGCGCTCCTCCGACGAGAGGCCCAAGAGCAATTCCAATGTTTGCAATTCCAATCATGATTCCGATGGTGAGCGGTCTTCTCTCCAACGGAACGGTCGCGCCGATGATCGTCAGGGCACCGTTGAAAAGCCCGCCGGATCCCATACCCGAGATAGCACGTCCCACGATGAACATTGTTGACGAATTGGCGAGAGCGCAGATGAGGGATCCAGCCTCGAATATGAAAAGGAAGGTAAGGAAAATCTCCTTTGAGCGGAGGTGGGTGTAGAGCTTGCCTGCTAGGGGCTGCAAGGCGGCGCTAGGTAGAGATACAGATTAGTTCGGTCGATTCAAGGAGTACCTCGCTCGGAAGCTTTCCCCTAATTACTTCACGAGGTTACTGGGAGAGGTACGGAGTTAACATACCCACATAAGTTATACGCCGCACCGTACCATCCCACATCGGAAAGGGAGTTGAATGCTGTTGTGATTTCTGGAACAGCCTAGGCCAGGTATCAGACACTTACTCCGTCAAGAAAAGTCAACCAGAAAATCATACCGTGGTGATGATTGACATGTCGAGCAACATGAGAAACACGACCAGTGTTAGTGCCGCAAGGACGAGGATGAGCTTGACCCCCTCAATATACTCCTCCCCTGCTTCCCCTTGGTCTACTGCCGTACTTCCCTCATCTTCGGTACCAGCTTCCCTTCTCTCGGTCTGTTCAAGGTCGGAATCGTTGGATGGTGGCAGTGGCTTTTCCGACATGTCGTCAAGAACCGGAGTTGTTGATGGTTGCATCGTTGCCGATGCTGGTGTTGTATGGCGGGTCTCGGTCAGTTCTCTGAAACTTCGTGAAGTAGGCCGGTACATTTCGCAGGTCTGAACAACATCTAAACAGAATTCTGGGTATGAATGAAGTATATATGAATCTTGGCAACTAATCCGTATGTAACAGGTCAGATGAGGTTTATGAACATCAAGCCAGACTAGTACACATTTGGCTGAACTCCGCTCCATTAGTCCCTCCATCTGAACCCCGTCGAGCCAACAAAATCAAAAGGAAACTGCCTAGCCCGCATTCCTTGGAAATTAACCCGCTCGGGTGTTCAAACACGACTAACCCGGAGCACGGTAAGGCTGGTACTAGCGCATTCTCTGCACATCCGGGGTTCGCACGAACACCGGGTGGACTTTTTGTAAAACCCGGTGCCAATGATTGGTCACAACAAAGTGGAACATTCGCCTCGGACATACTTGCCCCGTCTCTGTCCACGGATGAGTCAGACGCTTATTGTGCTGGCTGTTTGGTTGACCGTTTGTTGGTTTTGGATAAGGGAGGATTCGACAAGCTGCATGGTAAAATTGATGACGAGTCAACCTGTCAGCAGGGTTTAGTGCCAAGAGGTTCCTCAAATCCGTCCGGTCACCCACTATGGCTCGGTTTACGACCACTGCAGCGATCTTCCGAGGGCAGCCCCTGCATTATTATCTCCCAGCAAACAGTACCGGATCCAGTCTGCCCCGGCGCAGGTAGCCGCAACTCGGACGCTTTGTCGGTTAATAATAGCCACTTAAGATCACTTGACAAACACACGTACCAAAAGCCCTATCGGCTGAATCCACAATACCGCCGCAGGCAACGACCACAGTTTACTGTATGCAGTATGAACAGTAAAGACAGTACAGTCAGCGAGAGAAGCAAGAGCGATAAGGACGGTGAAGCCAGCAGAAACAGTAAGAATGCAAGAACGGCACTGACAGCGAGGCTATCAAGGTTAATCAAGACAGCAGGGGTATTATAAGGTACGGTAAGGGGCAGCAGAGCTACGCAGGATTATGTCTGAGAGAGTACGTGGGTTTGTTGTTCGTTGTCTGTTGTTTGGTTGGTAGTCGAAGATTTATTGTTTGGGAGAGAGATTCGGGGACACAAGGCAGGCATTGATTGGCTCGGTTTGCTCTTGGTATTTGCATGATGTGTTCAACGCACACTGTCCTCGATACTATATGTACAAACAATTAGAGCAGAAAACTAGAAATAACAGCGAATCATACCACCGTTCGGCCGGCCACATTTCAGAAACCCATCCCCCGGTGATGCCCTGGCCAAGCAAGAGTGCCGCACTGCAAGGAAACGAACTTCTGTCGAAATTCTTAGCTCTCTCACACCCAGCGATCTCTTATCGACTACCAGTATGCTTCCGCTTAGACATGCTTGACATCCCCGAGTGTTCGCCCCGGGCGGTCCTGAAGCAAAGTGGCATCTTGGGTCATCTAGTCACTCAGAAACCAGACAGTTCGTACCCTGACAGTGAGCATTGTGTTCCAAGTAGATGCCTGTCTCTACAGATGAGCAGAAACGAATTCATTGTCTACTTCTCAGTCAAACATATGAATCAGATGTTTGGAGAGTGTAACTATAAAAGCGGGCGACTTAACCTAATGTTTCTGCATTTGCCTTTAGAGTTGGGGCAGTTTCCATCTTCGCACCATTTAATATACCTCACTTCTTCATCCATCCGATATGACATGGGATTTATGCCTTGTACCCAGGCCATGTCCAATGTACTAGTCACTGCGAATATTTTCCTTCCCTCCAGAGTGACTCTGGAGCCTTCCAGTCTCCAAATGTACTCAAAAAGGCATAAAGGGCACTTGACGATATGCGTGGAGCTTCTGAGCAAATCGTCATGATTATCATGTGCCATGAATTTCCCTTCAAGATGTGTATGGTTTTCAGCCCAGCAGGCGCAACACTCTTGTCGACCCTCTGGTATATCGCTGTTTCCGTAATGTCGATAGCATTGATGGAAAGTATGTGTCTCTGGTTCTCTGAAACAAACACAACGATCCCACTGGAAGGGTACCATGAATGCTGTGTCGGTGAATGAAATATGGGGGCAGCAGAGGTCGTGATAATTTTCCTGAAGTTGCCATAGAGCCTGACAGAGAAGGGCCTTTGTCACAACCTGACCTGCCTTCAAATCGTAGGCCACAAGCTTCCAACCCATGGCAACGTCCATAAACTCGTCGGTGAGCGACTCCTTTGGCGAATACACTATCCTAGGCTCTTTGCCATGTTCTCCAACCATTTCAACGCAATCTCTACAATAGAAGATCGGTTCGTCCTGGAATGAGGTTTGGATTTCTTGCCCGGATGAGGCTGTCGGATCGGCGCGCTTCAAGTACGTGGAAAGTTGCCGCCAGGACATGTTGGCATGTGAGCATACCCTCACTTCTCCTTCCCAACCGATACAGACGCGGGTATCGCGATCGTGACCTAGTTGATCACTGGAAAACCAGGTACGGTCGTGATTCATGTTGCAGCCTGAACAAAAAGGTCGACGGACTTGGTCTACCGCTCCTATAAATCCCCTTGTCTCATCATGATCTTGTTGCGTCGGGTTTGGGGAGTCAATGATCTTCCTCACAACGCAGATGGCCTCTTTCAGGAGCCCATTGAGCCGTACCTCGTAATCGTAGATAGAGCCGTTGGCAGACGACCGACCGTAATTTTCACGACACGGCTGGCACAAGAGTTGTTTTCGACGCGACTCTTTCACCCTGACTAGTTCATCTCTGGGGATCCAAAACATCATTGGCGGCGAGAAGCGAGGCGGCGACATTTGGCCAGCCAAGACACTTTGCATCAGCTGTTGAAGCCGTTGGAGCATCGGCTGTCGGCGATAATCGTCAAACACCCCGATCGAAGTCAGATGCAGGAAAATGCGCGAAACTTGCCGCAGTCTGAAAATATCCACAGCCTCTAGGTGAAGGATAATTTCAAGTACGAGCTCTCGGGGAATGTTGTAGAAGCGGTTGTCCTTTCCGTTCCGTTGTTGTCTCGTCTCACAGTCTTTGCGGTAATGGTATCCGGTGAAGAAATCTGCCGAGACAGAATTGGCGATGATTTCGCGATCTTGGAACGTGATGATCCCATCGTCGGAGCCATCATGGACTTCAGGGATGGCCATTGGGTATAGTGCGAGAGGTACCTCGTCCCCGGACCAATACACCGTCAGGGCGGTTCGCATTTGATTCGAGTTCGTTTAGAGATGCTAGCTCACTGACGATGCCAGCCTTTATATATGGGTGACTCTGTCAGTGTCAACGTATCTTCAGTGGAACGCTTGAAATTGAGGAGAATAGAAGAAAGAGGGATTCTCGATTGGTTCAAGTTCATTAAAATAATATAATGGAACCTGCTCCCTCCCAAGTCTCAAACGAATTTAAAGTTTTTATAAGTCACGAAAAACGTTGATTTTTAGCTAGCAAGGTACCATCACTAACCATCAAGCTCCCAGGATTCTCGCGGACTTTGAGTCCGTAGAGATAGATCACTTCGCCACCTGATTAACCTCGCATCCAGGGAAACCACTTCCAGTTCCCTCGCCATTCCGATCGCAGTGGCCAGTGTATACATGTAGCTATCACAGAGTCAGTATGTTGTCTTTGGTTGGAAGTGCTTGGTTGAGGGGAGAGAGCTTGTGGCAATTGTGAATTTCTTCGTTCAACAGTCATGGAACGTTGTCAGTTGTCACTCTTATACGAGTAGCGTCTGTCGTTGACCATCTATGGCAGAGATCCACAAGCCTCTCATTGGATGAACATTACATGGTAAATCCCAGAGAGTGGCACTCGGTTCCAGCAACCGCGTCTTCGATTATTTTGGTTCAGGCAGGTAAGGATCTGCAAGTTACCAAGTAGCAAGCTGCCTCTCTCTTTCTTTCTCAGAAACATGGTCCTGGTTCCTCATGTGTTCCCGCGAAAGGTTAATTAGGTAACCAAAGTATCTTAATGTGATTAGTAAGCGAGGTGGCTTGGTCCTTGCGGTGAGCTTGACAACGCGTGAGATGATTTACTGAAAATCAGCCGTCTAACTGGCACCTCCCGCGGAGGCGGATTAGGACCCCGGATCTGGAACGTTTTATCACAACATGAGACATTTAAAGAGTTTGGGCGCGGCAGGCTATGAGTTGGTAAACTACTCAAGGCACCTTTATCGATATGTCATCGATCTGATGTAACACCGCCTACGTGAGTGGCCTCGGTCTCCTCTCATGTTGTTATCAGTTGACGTTGTGAAAATTCCAGCCCTGATTGAAGCTCTCCCGCTACCACTTACTCAAATACCCTGGGGGCTTGATTCTTCAAGTATTAAAATACACTCGTTTCGACGCGATATCGCAGCAACGTGACATCTGTACCCCACAGTTCGATACTTAATGTACAAGTCGCTATACGTCAACCAGAAGCATCCGCTCGCGCACGATTATTTGCAAGCTTTTCATCCATTAATTCGAATCAAGAGGGTGCATATTGCCAAAGTACGCAGAAAGCCACACGCTCATTCCGTGGAAACGCAACGAGATGAGAAATATCTGGACCAAAATCACGCCGGTGACGACGACCCCAGAATCCCTCACAGGAGCGACACCACCTTCCAACTGCCATCAACAATAAACTCACAAAACGACCGTAATGGTTCCATAACTTCCCCTCTGAAATGCGGAAAACTCCCATAGTTACCATGCAAGCCACCTCGAAATACGACATGCTCAAAGGGAGCAACGGCTACCTCCCCGGCCCAGAGCAGGGTCATCCCGGCCGAAGATGCTCCTCGTTTCGGGAAAGATCCGGGGGTCCGGGGGTACAGAGGGTACGAGAAAACCATACTAGGATTTCTTGACCAGAGTCTCATTGATTTAGTTTAGAGGATTCGACATCACAATAGGCGAGCACCGCCTATTTCATCGACTTCATTACTAATATCGAATGTCATGCTTTGTCAGTGAAGAGGGAAAAGAAGTAGAAGTAGAAGGAGAAGAAGAAAACTCAAACAAAATATGTCTTACTATGGAACAGCTCAATTCCTCGTCACACGATAGATACAAAACTCAAGCACACCCATTTCCACAAGTCACAGAAAAGAAGAAATCTCAGGAACCGACCCCTCGCCCAAATTAAGAGCCATAACCTACGAAATAACCACGCAGTCAGCCTCATGAAAACTCTCCAATCTGTCAGTCTCTCAACAGAAGAACTCACCTGCTTCCCCCGCCCAGCCTCCGCCTCCTCAAAAGCCCGTAGAATCACAGCCTTCCGGCTCTCGCTCCTACACCGGAACCGGACGGGCATACGCTCGCCCGGATTCCCAGGTAACGCGGCGGCGTACTCGGTAAACGCGAGCGGCGTCTTTGCCCCGTCGGCCGGGGAAATCTCAAACGCCCAGAGAATGCGCATCATCGTCACGATCGCGGACCGTTCCGCGACGTGATAGCCGGGACCTGGTGCGACAAAAGTGTCAGTATGGATGCTAAAAGATTGAGGCAGAGAGAAATCAGACGCACAAACGCGACGGCCAGCTCCAAAGGCAAAGTGATCTCTCTTGGTCGGATCCTGCGCGTTAATGCTCTCCATTGTCTTGAAAACATTTGTCAGTCTCTAGTTCACACACAGCCTCTCTATAACATGCTGAAAGTAAGAGGGGTGGGGGGTGGGGATGGAGAGCTTTGTTTTACTCACAGAAGTTTCGTCATTCTTGAATCGTTCCGGCCAAAACCGATCAGGATCTTCGTGTCGCGAAGGGTCCCGACTGATAGCACTGCAATCCCGAGCCCAGTCAGATGAATTACTCGGCAAATTTCCAATCCTCAAGAAAAGACTCGAATGGCTTACTATGCGTTGAGATGAATCCGCGCGCCCTTGGGCAACCTGTACCCCCCAACCTCCGTCTCCCGCGACGTGATGTGAGGATGTCCCAGCGCCACCGGCGGCCTCCACCGCCACACCTCCTTGAGAAGCATACGAACGTACGGAATCTGCGCGTAATCTTCGTACACTGGCGGTCTATCACCGACGACCTTGTCTAGAAAACGTAGAATATTCCGTTAGTACGTCCCATCTGATGTATTCTCCTACCAGAGCGGAGGTGAGTGTCAGCTTCTTTTTCCAGCAGTACTACTCACCAATATCCGCTTGTGCCCGGGCCTGAGCATCGGGGAACTGCATCATGGCCTCGACAAAGGACCACGTCGTCATTCGGCTCTAGCAAGGTTGTGTAACTTGTCAGGATCCACAGTCGCCAGTGAAGTCAAGTTTCAGGGCAAGGTTGATAGATGGGACCGCTTACAGTATCCGCAGAAGCGATGATCAACGCGAAGCTCAAAATCGCCAGCTCCTCCTTGCAAGACAAGCCCTTCAAGTTCTGGTCGGCCAAAGCGGAACCCAAGAATGTGCCTTCAAAAGACGAATCTCCCTTTTCCATGCTTTGCTCAACAGTCTGCCACAACCAAGCTTTTAGCCAGCGTGTTGACAGGATGCGCGGGGGTGTACCTGATAGGCTTGACTCACCTCTAATCGCTTCATCGCCCATGCGAGATCCCGTCTATACCTCGCACGTCCGCTTCGTTCCCAGGGTTTGAGGAAAAGAGGCAACTTCCCCAGAGCAGGAATCAGGTCGATGATGTTGGAGCCGGGAAATGTGTCTGCTGGCACTATTAGTCCACCCAACGACGTGGGCTTTCGCGATATCCTGGGAGGCGATGGATCGTACTAATGATTTGGTATTCCGTCTCTGCGTTGATACCATTAGTAAATTTGTGCAACCGCTTCAGGGACGGCCATTGGAGAGTCTTCGCGCACCTTGCAGGAAATCAATCACCGCGTCATCCGTATCGGGTATCTGCAACACCACCCAATCAGTACCTAGTCCCATCGCAACGGCAAGGATTCAGGCAATGTCTCACATCCATGCCCATGATAGCCATGGCGAATGCGCTGTACGTGTACCGCTCAATGGACCTCAAGAGCCGACTCCTCGAAAACCCGCCAGATGGTTCGATGACGTTTTCGTGGAGGAATCTCATTGTCTCGTATTCCAGAAGTCTGTAGCCTCGTCAGAAACACCGTTCAGCAACCTCAAAGTCAATTCTCAAAAAGCTCCAGAGGTTCAAGAAGGGAGCGGAATTTGAAAGTTTGCCAACTTACGGTATAATCTTCTCCGCCTGCTGCGTATTCGTGAGCAGCTGCTGGATCACCTTTCTTTGGTTCTGTAAAGTTCAAAAGTCTCAGTTTGCCACCATTCGTATCCCAAAGCAACGTTTCCAGACAACGTGTAAAATCCTTACCTTCCATATCGGATCGCTTGCATGAAGGAACAAAGTATTGAACCCATTATTCAATATATCACTCGACATGATCCAGACAGGCCTATCCGCCGTCAGAGCAGACTTCTTATCAAAAAGCTCCTAAGCCATTGTCAACACAACTTCAACACCACTACACAACAGCCGAACCATGCATATGATCACTTTGCATAGCATGGACACATAGACTGATAACTCACTTTGACCATGACGTCCGAGTTGACATAATAATCAACAATATACCCCGTTCGAACCCCAAATATTGGGCCATACTCCCTCGCCCACGCATTCAGTTTCAAGTGCCACCTCCGCGCCTTGTTCTCCCTAATCAAATCCGTAAGATGGCCCAAAACTGGCTTCGAGGGCGGCTGTGGGGGTAAAGGCAGTCCGTATGCTGGTCTTGTCATCGACCGTTTCCACAAGATCAGGGCCGCCGTCGTGACAATGCTGCAGAGCAAAAAGGCCGCCGGGTGCGCCAGCGCCGTCTTCACGACGCGAGACGAAGAAAATGCCTCCATGGCGTTGCTGGCAAAGGAGCCCATGGTTCACGTTGTGTTGCAAACGGATGAATTCCCGGTCCTTCTCCATAAGTTGACAACATCGACGGCGAAGAGTTTGTATATATTGCGTGTCGCAGGCAATTACTAGCATTGCTCCTTCGTGATTCGACGTTGAAAGAGGGTCGGATTTCCCGCCCTTCGACATCCATGTTGTCGTCGCTAGCTTACGGTTTGCTGCAATAGACCTCGATTACCCCGGGTTTTGGGACGGAACGGCTCAGCCCCACCGGCATTGCCGCCGGGCCTCCGGAAGGGCGGGGGCCAGGGAAGTGGGTGGGGGGATGTATGTATGTATGTTTGTGTGTGTATGTACCACATCCAGCGTGCTAGCCTGCGCGACGGAAGTCATACAAGCCTCAAGTCAATGGCAATTACCTATCAACGAGGTATGATTGGGCTGAGCTCAGCAGTACCATGTCTACATGTGGTGTGCCCGTGACTGGCTTTCCTCTGCCCTGGATCTTTGCTGAGCGGTGTTGTAACGATGAAAGTTCCACTGGAGTCTTTCAGATCACCTGGCATTGACTAGACCACGTCGATTGATAGCCAGAAGCACCAGGGAAGTTCCCGCCAATGTACGGAATGTCGGCGCCAAAGCTGCCGGCTCAACTCGGATGTCCCGAAAGTCTGTTCCTCATCCAATGTTAGAGAGTATGGCATTTCAAACAGAAAAATGCATGTTTCTAAAACTGGCACCAGTAAGTTCGGCAAGGGCCCGTGTGCTGTGTTCTTTGTGTTGCTTTTGGACCGGCTTGTATATCACAATTTACAACGAGGCACCGACGAGTAGTCTACCAGTTGGGTGAATCTGGCGATTCATCAGTGGAAGATGCAATGCATGTGATATCCATGAGATAAACTGGGGGAACGAGAAGTCGGTAGTCGGCCGAACTATATTATTTACGGACTGCGTTCGACCGAATCGGATGATTAATGCAGGCATTCTCCGTTGAGATACGGTGCTGGTGCATAGCGGAGGTGACAGGGCTTTGGCTTAGCCGTCGGGTTGAGAGTGATTAATCAAACATGAATGTTCGCGTTCGCTGCGGTCGCAATTGCTGCTAGTGCCGGCATCGTCGGAGAACGGAGGTCAGCAGGAGCCCGCTGACATATCCGGGCGCGTGCCGTAGAGGCCGGGAAGTCCTGCACTCGGCTTTTGGGCTTATCGCCGACAGGCGAGTCAATCGTAAGGACTCCCGAGTCAATGAGTTGGGTGCGACACCCTACGAAAGCAGCTGCTCGACTGAATATCGACATTCACAGATCTCAATGCGTCGCGATACCATCGAAGCATGTTCGCGATGCTGTCCCGGATGGAGCCGTACCGCGGTAGCCGGAGTAGCCAACAATGATGTGCTCCGTAGGTTTCTAATAATCAAAGTTGCGGGGGACAGAGCCACTCTACACGTCACAGATCAGCCGAGTGCGACATCCGCTTCAGAGTGCGATGGGCAGGGGTGCGAAAAACGAGAGCATCGTTCAAACTCGGACGTTCGCTTGGCCGCCGTTGGCTTTTGTTTCCAAGGAGGAGGGCGGCAGCGGATGGTGCCACACGGGTACGGGAGATTCTTCGGCCGTACATTGTGGAATCAATCCCGCGGTCGAGAGTGAGTTCAGGTGACGTGAGGCCTTGTGATGCTGCGCCGTTGCTTTGGTCCTTGGTTCATGGATGATGGGCGACGGTGAAAAAACCGCACCAGACATTTGCTGAAAAACAGGAGAAAAACAGCAGAGGAATCGACCCAGACTGGTGCTTGCTGCCGTCACGCACTGTGTTGCGGCAGGTTCTCCCGCGGACTTGAGCGACTTTGATTGCTCGGCTGCGGGGGATCGGTGTGGCCTCTCAGGCGTCTAAGCTTCACCGAGTGGATCTCGCCAGCGCCGGTGGTCCGGAAACCGGCGGAAGTGATCCCGGACAAGACCCACTTGACCAATGTACCCCAAGGCCGCAAGGCCAAAACGCTGCGCACCCTTGTCGGTGCACTGATCGCCGGTCGTGTGAGAATTTGAGAAATGCCTTCGTTTCGGCTGGTTTGATTCACCAGCTTTGGTAATCACTAATCAGCCCAGCACATCTGACCGCAGCGGAGCGTCGGTTGCCTTCCGGAGTGGTATTTGCGCTTGCCTCGGGTCCCGCCCCACTAAATGACCCGGTTGATCCATTCTTTCCAACTTTTTTTTCTGATGCTCGCAAGACAATGATCACGATAATTCTAGTCAGGTGGTGGGTGCATGTCATCGAGCAGATCCTGTGGTGCGCACATGGCCTCCTCTCTCGAGACACCAGAGGCAAGGGAGAAGGCGCGCCGGACCATCGTGCATCTCCCCAAGACAATACGGGGCATCACAGCAACACCAGGGCGGAGGTGTGGTGTGGTGGGAAATGACATCAACTCCGGGCATGGTAGCGCTGGGTACAGCGGGCAGAGGTCCCGGGAGGAGGCAGCAGGGGCAGGAAAAGTGGACGTACCCTCCGGATTACACGGAGAAAATAGCGTGGCGTCGTCAGCGACATCAGCTTACAGTTTACTTGACACGTCCACCTGGCCCCAGCGCTTCAGTTGCTGAAAAATAGCGCACCACAGTGATGGCGGCCCTCGTGTGTGTCTGTCTCTACGGCATGGCAATCGGATGTTCCAATGTTCTAGCCGCCGATGCTTTTCGTCGCGCAACCTCGCGGCTCCCCGGTTGAAGAAGATCGCCAAGAAGATGGTAATGCACAGTAAGAGCATTTATTTGTTTCTGGACAGACTCATGAGTTACACAATTGCGTGCACCGTGTCGTATGTTGGGTTTCAGATCACGCTGCTTCGGTAACATACCTAGGCATCGTATGGTGCAAGTGTGCAGTGTGCCATTCGTTTTGTTTGTGCCGCGGACCGGCACGCTGAGCTGGGTTGAATTGGCACGCGCGCGCCGGGTCGGGGTGGGCAGCAAGGGAACCATCATCCGCACTGGCCAGGGTTGCCGGCAACACTACGGCGGCAGAGATGAAGACCATCCCAGAAGTTCGGGCGCGAGCTTTGGGGTGCATGTCCGAGGTCGCACGAATGAAGCGCCTCGCCAAGGAACCGGGGGACACTGATGCTCCAGAGAGGGCATTCAAGACCCGGTCGTTCAATGTCGCGATTCTCGTCAACCGAGGAATGAGTCGGAACAGGACGCGCGAGAGTGGTGGATAACGCCGGCAACCGCCAGCCCCGCCTGGATATCTGCCGAGAACTGAGCAGTGAGCAGTCTGGATTAGGCTTTCTTCGGTCGCCGGGAGAGTGTTCAGACGCCCCGCAGACCAATGCAACACAACACGCTTCCCCGGCCGAAATAGATAAACGTAGCGAGTTCCGAGGGAGCTTCAGAGACGTAAGACCTACTTAGGAGTGCTGCAGAGCCTGCAGAGAGGCCCTCACGACCTGAGGTACTAACTCGACTCAGAGAAGGCCTCTCGGCCAGCCCACCAGCCAAGTCACACTGTGCTCTTCTACTGCTGCATCTCCCTGCAGCAGCGACGAAGCAAACGTTGCGTGTTTAGAGTAGGGAGGGTAGTTGATCCAGCTTGATCCCGTACCCGACACGTTGACAGTGCGCTGGGGCTTGTCGTTGTTGTCCCAAAGAGAGATATCTCCCCCTTTTACAACCCGTTGTGCCTGGCATCTTCATATTTGTTGGTGAGATTCGGGTTCGTTACTAGCTACAGTTTGCACTCGTGCGTATCCTGATATCCCCGACCAAGACTGGAGGCAATACGGCTTGAGGACCCGGCGGATGATGCGATGGCGACGTTCACGTAGGTATCCTTTTTGGTGAAATTACGGATGGAGGCGAAGAAACGGCCGGGGTGGGGCATCGACCGCGCAAGTCCGCCTAAGCACGGGGGACGAGCGAGGGAAAGTCCATGTCCAGGCCCGGGGCAGCGAGTTTGATTAAACAGAAATTTGGCGCGTCGCCGGAACTAGATAGCGCTGAACACTCTCGGGATTGCAGCTCCATGGTGAAAACTGGGGGCGAGGACTTGATGGGTGGATGCCCCCGGAGCGAAGGCGGAGTAGATTGCATAGCAGGCCCGGACGAGGCGGCAGCTTTTCCCGGCCTTACTACTTGTGCACAGTGGAAGCAACAGTCACATCGACCCTCGGCTAGCATGCCAGTCTTTCGTTCCAGGCCAGCTCGATGGCCGGGACGAGCAGTGGACTGGCTATCCTGCATAGCAAGGCTCCTGTAGCATCATCGCGAAGGGGTGCTGAAGTATTTGTAGAAGAATTGCAGAGTGTTGATGATGGCGGTCCGGTTCGCGAAGGGAAGACACGAAACCGAAAATAGCCTTGTTGGGTGACAGCCATAGCCCAGCTGACAGCCATCGGCCCCGTCCGCGATGAAAGCAGGCTGAATGACTACACCTGCATACCCTTTGGTAATTTATCACGAGCTTGTCGAGTCTTTGAGCAGAGTCGATCTTCCGCGCAGCACCGCTGGAGTAGGAAGTTCATCGGGCGACAGTAGTTGTGAAATACAGTTCGTCGCTTCGTCTCCGGCACCCCTTTGGTCTCGATCGGTAGTCCCCAAAGGGGCGAACGGTCCAACGAAAGCGCCCTGCCGTATTACTTGAGAAAATCAACGTTGGAAGGGGGGGCGGCCTTCCGCTGAAGTTGCGCGGCGCGATGATCTTGTTCAGGGAAGGGCAAGCTGGCGTAGCCCTGTAGCCGCCGGTTGGTTTTGGGCGTTCCGTGGAGTTCGGGGGAGGTCGAGTACCAAGAGGACTCGGAAGAGAGTGCCTGGGTGCCTGGGTGCCTGGGTGCGATAACGACTCTGGGACCAGGGGGGCGCGGCGATTCTAGGCCAGCCCGGCGGCTTTTATCGTCCACGCCCCATGCCATGGCACTGTGCCTCGTTCACTGGCGCTCTGGAGCTCTGCCGAGTGCCCAATATCGTTGAAGTTTGCACGGTTCAAGTCAGGCCAAGTGGGCGTGGCCCGATCGCTCTATCCGCCCTTCACATTACGGTGTGGGCCAAAGCCCGGCGTACCGCGGGCATGGCAGGGTTTGTGACTCTGTGCTGCCGAGGCGAAAGCGCTGTAGCAATCGGCGGGCCCGGCCACGTCGCAGGGCAGTGGGAAAGTACCTCAGGACTAAATGGTCGGGTCCGAATGGCAAGCTCGGAGGAGGTACAGTGCCGGCCAAAGAGTCTTGTGTTTGTGGTGAATGAGAGTCGTCTTTTGAAGATATTTGAATAAGCTGGCAGGGGATGGGCGCAGTGCTTGCGATGGACATGGCAGCGCGCAGGTCGCAAAGGGAATATGGCGAGGCGGAGGGACGGTCTGCCCACAAGCCAGACGGTGCAATGCCTTGCAAACGGGATTGAGACCGGTCGGCGGCGGAGGCAGAGGACGGATGGATGCGAGACGCGAGATGTGTCGGGCAAGTATGCCGCAGGCACTGTGACGAGACTGTACGAAGTGTTGTTTTGGCATTCGGGCGACAGCCGGGCTAGTAGGACCTCATTTGCGCGTTTGTGGGTTGAACAGAGATATTTAAAATGTCATGATTGCCAGGCTGCGTAGAGCTAGGAGCGAGTTGATGCTTGAAGGCGATTATGGGAGGAGATGGAAAAGAAGACGGGGCAGGAAATGCTTCCTGAAGAAAGGAAATGTCACCCATACAGAGTACATTGTCGCTCTTTCTCGTCCATGGAGAATGCTGGAAAGAGAAGGCGCTGCTGGAAGAGGCCCGAGGCAGGTGCTTGTCGCGGGTGCAGGAGTCGGCACAAGATGTACATCCCAGGGCTGCGTGTCAGGCAACGCCAGCGCGCAGGCGCAGAGGCAGGTACCGATTCGATTAAGGCAGAGTGGCAGACACGGGCAACCTGGAAGAGGGGGGGAAGGGGGGAAAGAGAAGAGGGCGGTACTTTGATTTTGGTTAAGGTTGTTTCGGCTGATAAGTACCGGCTTTGTACCGACCCTGTGACGGACATTGACGCGGAAGGCAGAATGAACAAAGTGGGTCCCCTCGCTCCTGGTTTCCCTCCGTCTCTCCTCATTCAGCTCCGGCACCACCAGCCGATCCGCCCGTAAAACCTCAGCAGAGAACCTCAGGCCCGCCCGTCTGTGGGTGGCCCAGGCACCGCCGTCGCTCCTGCTCTCTCTCTCTTGCTTTCTGTGTCTCTCTTTTTCCAAATGACATTTTCGCGCCTGCCCCCGAACTACCTGTTCTATGTACGATTCCACTTCCACTCCATACACGCCCCCCCATCCCCTTCCCCTTTCCACCTTTGCATCTCTCTTTCACCCTTTCACCTTGCAATTGCCTCCACATTACCCTTCCTAAAAAGTCCGCCGACTGCTCCCGCTTCCGCAGGCCGTGACTTTCCCAGCCCGCACCGAGCTTGGCCAGCCCTGGGTGGAGGCGACCATCTGGCGACATCCGTCCGTCTCAGTCGGGGCGCAAGACCTCCTTCTCTGTTCCGTCTCCTCCACTCTTCCTCCTCGGGTTGACAGAAAGGGCAAGAGTAACGGAGAGGAATAAGAATCAGCAGGCGCAGCTCATTCGCAGCTCATTCGAAAGCGAGAAAATCAGACCGCGAGAGAGAGAAGGAAGTCAAGATGTTTAACAAGTGCGCAGTGCAGTTGGAACAAATGCGAGGCCCGCCCGACGGTGCCTCACGGTCTCACCTCACCCCGTGTGTGTCTCCTTCCCCCGTGTCCATGTCCCGTGTGCCGGTTCCCTCTCGCTTTCCTCACCCACCTCCGCCTGCCTTACGCCCACGTCCAGGTCTACCTTAAGGTACTTCTTTATTCTTTTTGGCCGAGGTGGTCCGTCATCCCTCTCCTGTTCCTGCTGTCAACTTCGTATTCTCTATGTGAAATTCTTGTTTTCCCATTTTTTCATTTTCCTCTGCTTCCCCCGCTTGCCCTCTTCTAGGTTCTGCCCTACCACACCCCCCTCTCTGGTTCTCTCCACACCCCACCCCTCCCTCCACTCCTTCCTCCTCCTCTTCCAACCACCGAAACCTGAGGACCACCGCCCGGATTTTTCGCCCACCACCGAGAAATCGCGGCCGACCCGTGCCCTCCGATTCTCTTTTCTTCGCCCTCATCAGAAACAAAACCACAACCACAAATCTATAACGACAGTTGCTTTCTGCAACACAATCAATCGCACCAGGCTGCTCCGACGTCGTTCCGGAGCCATCTCCAGCCCTGCCCGACCCTTTTCCCCCGTCGCCATCGGCCGCTGTGGGCGTTTTCCCCCGTCGCGTCTGCCCCCTTCCTGGCCTGACGCCGCCGCCCGCCCTCGCCCGCTACCTCCTGCCTGGGGGTCTCGCCTTCTGGAGCCACCCTTCTCCATAATCTCGGCGCGACGGGTCGTCTTTTCTCTGCGTCACCCGGCCCCAAAACTCTCTTCTCTTCCGGAGCCCCCCTCAACAAAACACTCCTCCTCCCGCTCCCCTTCCACCCCCGAACTCTCCCTTCTTTTCCTCCCTCCTCCAACTTCACCTCATCTTGATTCCGGCATCCTGACGCCGACCATCGCCGTGACCTTTGCGGACGTCACCACTGGGACCACGATATTATCCCACGCAAGCTCATCATACCTTTAGTGGATCAAGAAATCATCGCGTCGCGTCTGCCATCCGCCTCCGACCACGCGCATCCGGGTTTCACCACACAAACCCTACCGCCATCGTCTACTCGTCGGCGCACTCTGCTCTGCAGACACACACACACACACACAAGCTCCCTCTCTTGCGACATCGCGACTCATCGACATTGGGGCACACCTCAACAGCTTGCGCGTTCTCATTCACAATCCCGCACCATGTCTGCCAGCGTTGTGCGGTCTACCGCCCTCCGAGCCGGCGGCGCCTGCGTGCGCTGTCGCAAGGGTAAAACCAAGTGCGTCTACGAGAATGGTCGCGCTCCTTGCAAGAACTGTGCCAAGGGCATGCACGAGTGCTATTTGCCCTCCGAGTCCATGGCGCATCATCACGGCCAGTCACCCGCCCGCCATACCGCCGCTCATCGTCCTGCGCGTGAGAGCCTGCCTGCCTCGGTCCCGGCCGGCGATGTGCGTGCCGCCAACCCGGCCTCGACCACGTCTCGTCACGTTCAAACTCCCGAGAAGTAAGTCCTTGCAAGTCCTTTCCACCTGGCACCTTTATCCTACCTCTGCACTGCCCACCATTACCTGTCCTCCCGATCACATAGTCCCCCGCCTCGCCCACGCGCGGCGCACACGTTTTTGCGCTTGGCACCCAGCTGCCTCGCGCCGTGTGCCGGTGTGCTATTCTCGTCTCCGGCTGTGTCGCTGCCCACCGCCGCCGACCAGGGAGCGAGCTCGGCCCCCTACTGCATGCGGCCTGGGCGCGGTGGCTTGTTCCCTTCTCATCACACACGCGCCGTCATCTCTTGTTCCCCCTTTTTGTCCCGTCTGCCCATGACCCCTTCCCCTTGTTTCTTTTCCCCAAAATTTGTTTGCCACTGCCTCGATCTCCCGCAGACGGCGTTTCGTCCCCAGCCGACGGCATCTCCCACCGCCGCTAGCTTACCCTCGGAGCCGCCTTCTGACGGCGCTTTCCTCCCTCCTCGAGCTTCTTCCAATATCCATTTTCGTGTGCAACCCCCATATTCATTTCCCGAGTCACATCCCCGTCTCCGTCCACTTTGCGCTCCACTCTGCTCATCCGGGCCAGTCGCCGGGATATCTTCCACCCACCCCCAAACGCGTGCGCAAACGCAGTTGCTGACCTCAACCCCGCCAGACTTACGCCGGAGCTGATCCAAGAATGCGAACGCGTCATTTCCAAGACGTACCCGGCCTGCGTTGCTTTCCACAAGCCTTCGTTCATCCAGCAGCTCAAGAACGCCTCTCTGGACCCGGCCCTGATTTACGCGCTGCTCACCTGCGCCGCTCGGTACGTACCTGTCCTCGGGTCTTCCGATGCCCAATCCTCATTTCCCTCCTGTTTTGGTGTTTCACCACGTAACCCCGCAATGTCCGGCTTTTTTGTGGGTGGCGCGGCCTTCCGTTCGGAAGTCTCGTGTCGGCTCGCTTAGCCCCAATTGTCCGGACTTGGCCCGAATGTGTCACCACTTTTATTTTTTCCCATAGTGTCCGGCCGACGCTGTCGTCGTGCTGGCTGAGAAGATCTTGAGTGGATGAGTCCCCCCCCCGCTAACATTAATCACCTGCTGCAGAAGCTCCCCCACCCTTATTAGGCGCTATGGCGGGCAGTCCGGTGCGACCGGCGCTGCCGAGCACTTCGCAGCTAAGGCCATGGGCATCATCAATCAGAACCTCGACACTCCCAGCCTAGCTGAGATTCAGGCCATCTGCTTGATCATCATTCACGAGTGGGGTTCCCGCAATGCTGTCCGTGCCTACATCTACCTGGGCCAGGCCAGCCGCATGGTCCAGATGTACCGCATCCTCCACAGCCACCATGCGGCCGTCAGTGATGCCGATAGGTTCCTTCAGGACGAGTCGTTCCGTCGTGTGCTATGGCTGCTGTACATCCTCGACTGCTTGCTTACCAGCACTCCCGGCCGCCAGCCGGCTCTGTCCGCCAACGACACGGCCGACGTCTCTCTGCCGTGCTCCGACATGAACTTTGCTTTTGGCAATGCCGTCTACGTACAAACCATCAACCTTTCGGACCCTACTCGGATGCCTACTGGCTCCCGTACCGATGAGGTTGGCGAGTTTGGTCAGATTGTCATGGCCACTCGCATATGGCGCGATGTTGTCCAGATGTTGATGACTACAACTACCGAGACTTTCAACGACAACGTCTGCTCCGGTCTCATGGGAGAAATTGAGCGCCTCCGTGCCTCTCTGTCGATGCAGTACGTCGATAAGCCCGGCCAGATCAACCTTCACATCACCATGGGCTCTGGTTTCACGTACGCCATGCTGCACTGCATGCTTCACTGCGCATCCATCTTCATCAACCGTCGCCGCCTGCTGCAGTATGTCACTGCGCCTGGCTTCAACCTCGAGAGCTGGCGCCTCACCCCCCAGTGCCACGAGATCATTGATAGGCTCTTTACCTCGTGCCACAGCACCATTGCCATGCTCACTGCTCTGGAGACTGGCTTTGACAAGGAGGGCATCATCTGCTTCCCCATCTTCATGCTCTTCTCGTCCTTCACTGCCAGTGCCACTGTTGCCTACCTGTCTCTGAAGGGCCTCACTCCTCCCAACGCGGTCGAGACTGCCGGTCATATTGTGCGCGACGGCCTCCACTTTATGCAGGATGGTGTTGACACCTGGCCCCTCATTAGCTCGTGGCTGCGTCACCTTGCCGTCATGCATAGAGTGCTGGGCAATGACGCCGTTGCTGGCAGCCCCAGTGTTGGAGGCACATCCGTTCCTCCTACCAGTGCTCCTCCTGCCGACCAGGCTTCTGTTAAGGACGAAGCCGCTTCGAACCCAGACACCAACCCCGACGCTATGGACTATGACCAGGGCTCCAACTCCAACGCTGGTGCAGCCGCTCCCCCGGCTCCTGCCAACAACCACACCGCCTCCGTCAGTGAGAGTGGCCGTGAGAGCGGCCGCGACAGCGAGCCGCCCGCGCCCCAACCCCGTCGTCCCGGCGTCACTACCATCAATGGTGGCTCTGGCGGCGTTGGCACCCCGGCTTCCGTGAGCCCACCTCCGCCCCAGCAGGCCGAGATCAAGCAATCTACTGAGATGCTGCCCCAGCCCCCCATTGGCAATGGCGTGGCCTCTGCTGAGCCTGCCGCCCCCGTGCCTCAGGACATGACGGCTAGCGAGCTTTGTTCCGCGTTCGAGCGACAGCTACTCGAGCTGGACGACCTTGCTGCCTTCATGGGTGGTGGAGTTTGACTCACCTCTGGATCAAGCTTCACTCGCTGAGGAGAGATTTTCAGTTCATTAACAAAACTATTACAACGGCCCGGCACCATCTCAGACCGACATATTGTACAGTACGACAAAAAATACTCTGCGGGTGGATTCTTGATCTTGCGCCGGGCGGTCCCTCACATCTGTTCCTTGGTGGGATGGTTGTGCCTTGATATACTTAGGCGCGGAGGGTGTTGTGGTGTTGGTGGTGGTCCGCGCGATTTCGATGGCATTATGGTATTCAGGGGGGGCATTTTCATGGGCTCCCTTCATTTGGAGCAACTGATATGCTTCTCCTGTGGCAAGGAAAGTAATGAGTTCACATTTTCGGCGTTGGGAGGAGGGTATATCAACTTTGGGCTGCGGCCAGCTCTACGGAGTCGTTGATTATGTTTTGCTCTTCCTGCGATGCGGCAACATCTGAGGAACTTGGGATTGCCTTTTCGAGGCTACGCTGCGTTAGTAAAAAGCAGCAAACATGGCGTTAGGATCGAGTCGCATGGTAACTTTTAATCGAATACCCATGGCACACACCATAAACTTGTTTCCCGTCTTACGCGAACTTGGACTGCTTTCCCTAAATCCCGTTCCACGAGAACCTTGCAGTGCGATACTTTCCCTAGTCCTCATCCTGAACTTGCTTGCCTCGGGGTAGATACTGGTCGTTGGTCGCAGGTGATCTGACTAGGGCACCTCAGGCACCTACCTAGTAATAGAAATACAGTGGCCAGTCCGGTGTGGTGTCTAGACGACCTATCCATTCCTCAGGTTTCCCCAGAAGGTTGCGTCTGCCGATGGACAGACAGATTTTCTCTCGGAGACATCTTAGGATTAAACAAACTACAATCTTCGACTGGAGAGTTTTGTGCTTGCTAAAATACCTGAGCTAGGCGGGCTGAGATACGGTTCTCCATGACAGGAGGATGGGATCTTAACGAGCCCCCTGATTTTCTCGGGGGCCTGAGATGATGGGCAGGACGGAACCCGGCGGAATTCGGGATTCGGACTAACTTGTATCCCGCTTAGTGCACTTGCGCCACATGAATTGAGAAAAGCCACAGGTCCATCTCGATCCACCACCACAAAACTGAAGACGTCGTCAGCAACTACGGTCGGAATTCAATGTATCTCGCTCCAACTCCGTCTTTCGACGTACTTATGCTGCAAGGTCCTCGAGATCGCCCACACCCTCCCACGCCTAAACCTAAACCCGCCGGGTTTCGAAGCCGTCCTTTCCTGTTCTTTGGCTCATTCTCATCGCACGTTGTTTCCCCCCTTCCCCTTCCTTTGCGCTGGGTCTCACTCCTGCGCTCACCAAACGGCATTTGCGATTCCCAATGGACATCTGAAGCCCGTTCAAGCTGTTGTGTTGCTGCGAATATCGTGATTCGTGAGAGACCGGCCTAGAGACACACGCAAGAGAGTTGATCGCCTGCAGCCAGAAAGCTTAGCTTGGCGATTTTGCCGTCCAACCACCCCGGAACCTGGCACCACCGTAACCATCACGCAACACCCGCTTCTCAAGTCCGCTTGCCGCACGCCTGCACGCCCGCCCGCCTGCAACCCCGGGAAGGGTTTCCGGATTCTTCGGCCCGCTTACCAAAGGAGGAAAGCCCCAGCAGTAAACCTACTTTGACCTCTTTACTCACTTCTGAGTCCTGACTGCCGTACGTCCAGGGCCCTCATCTGCTGAAAAGTGAATCCCGGATGCCGACGGGGATCGAAACCCGCGAGGCGGGGGCCGTCGAGTCGGTCAACAGCGGCATTGCCGCGCCCTACGGCCGGGCCTGCACCAACTGCTCCCGCGCAAAGTGTAAATGTATCCTCCGCCCCGTCGGCGGGGCTTGCGAGCGTTGCCACCGGCTCGGAAAGTCTTGCCAGCCGAGCAACCCCATCCGCAAACGCTCCAAGAAGCCACCGTCTAGCCGGACGGCGCAGCTGGAGGAGAAGCTTGACGGGCTCGTCACCCTGCTGAGGCAATCGGGCAGACCGAATTTGTCGGCTGACTTGGACGTTGGTGCTAACATGTCCGGCGGGCCTGTTTCCTCGTCGTCGACAACAGGGGCGGCCGCGGCGGGGAGGGGGCAGTCGCCGGAGATGGGGGATGTGCGCGGTGGCGGCGGCGGTGATGGCTTCGAGTCGGCGCAGCATTTTCACAAGGGGGACCGCGGGGACCGCGGCGCTTCGTTGCCGACGCCGACACAGACGGCCAGTCCCGAGGGTCCGGGGTTTGGCGAAGAGCTGCCCTCTCCGGACGAAGCGGAGGCTCTGTTTGAGGCGTTCCGCGGTCAGAACCTACAGTATTTACCGTTTCTCAACTTCAAGGCCACGATGACGGCGGAGGAGCTGCGCGCCGAGAGGCCGTTTCTGTGGATCTGCATCATGACGGTCGCGTCGAGGGTGTCGAGCCAGCAGCTCGCGCTGGGACAGCGGGTGCGGCAGATTTTGAGCCAGAAGCTCCTGGTCGACAATGAGAGGAGTATCGATTACCTCCTCGGGCTCTTGGTGATTTTGGGATGGTCAGTTCACGTTCATGCTCTGCTCTGCACTTGTTGATCTTCACTGTCGATGATGTGGCAGTACGTTTGAGTCGTCCAACTAACACTCTGGGCTGCTCCAGGGCGAATCACCAGCTTGGCAATAAGCCATTTATGTGTTTATTTTGTCAGATCGCCATTGGTCTCATCTTTGATCTGGGCCTGTCCCGCGACCCCTTGGACAACCTCAACCCCTTTCTCTGCTGGAAGGCTGCGCAGGAGAGGTCCGAGAGGGAGAAGACTGGGGCCGTGGGGCATATGCTGTATGTCAAGTCGCAAATGCCGCGGACAATGGAGCAGCGGAGGGCCGTGGTTGCGTGCTATCTCATCTCATCGTCGTAAGTGACCCCTCCCCAGCCCCCCCCCCATTCATCCCTTCCCAGCTCCCCGATTCCTGGTATTGGCAGAGACGGCCGGGCCTAACCCGCTTTGTAGCGTCGCGAGTTTCCTGGGCAAGATGGACCCTTTGCGTTGGACAACACACATGGACGAGTGTCTGCAGGTTCTCGACGAGCAGCCCGAGGCGCCCCCGGACCGGACCCTCGTCGCGCTGGTCAGAATGCAGCTGCTGAAAGAGGAGGCCGTCAAGGTGTCCTCGGCCTGGCGTCCCGAGAACATGTTCGACATTGTCGACGCACAAAAGACGCCGCCCGCCATGTACGTCAAGCTGCTCCAGAGACAGCTTCAGCAACACATCCAGAGCCTGCCGTCAGAGCTCCAAGGCACAGGTTCGTTTCCCCCTTTTGGTCATCGTTCGCAGCTTGAGCCCCCTCTTAACACCCTCACCAGACACAATCATCGCCCAGCTCCACTGCACGGAACTCTCCATCCAGGAAATCGCCCTCTCCAACAAGACTGGCACCTGCGTGCCCGCCAACCTCCCCGACGTGGCCCGCCTCGACATCCTCTACGCCTGCCTGCACGCCGTCAAGGCCTGGTTCGACCACTTCCTCACCCTGCCGCCCGCGGCCTACTACACGACGCCCTTTCTCACCTTTGCCCAGCTCTCCCACTGCACGATAGCGCTGTACCGTCTCTCCGTGCTCGAGGACCCCGTCTGGGATAGGGCGAGCGTGCGGTCGACGATTGACCTCATTGCGACGCTCGACGAGATTGGGGACCGGTTCATGAGGGTTTGCAGCGAGGCTGGGTTGAACGTGGATGTTGAGGAGGGGAACGCGTTTGCGAGGGCTGTCAAGACGATCAGGGGGCTCAAGGGGACGTGGGAGGCTTCTATGGCGCCGTTGGCCAAAGTTGATGCTGCCTCTGCTGCGCCGACGGCGGGGGTTGAGGGGGGGGCGTCGGCGTCGGCGGCGGCGGCGGCGGGGGTGCTTGGGGCTGGGACCGGGGCCGGGATGGGTGCTGCGGGTGTTGGGGAGGTTGAGATGGGGCAGTTTGGGTTGGATTTGTTGGATAATCGGTGGTTTACGGATATTTTTACGCCGTTTGACTTTTGAGCTTTGTTGGCTTGTCGGTGGTGCTTTGGTCACTGGATGGGGATGCTGGGATGGGATGTATCATGAGTACAATGTGGGCCTTGGCTGGGCTGGGCTGGGTCAAGACCTCTTGCGTCTGGCGTTGGGCAGTGGGATATGGTTTAGTCCTGGGTCATTTCACCGCTCCGTGATTGATTGGATTGTGTACGATGTACTCTGTTTGGGATTTGAGAAATAGGTTGAGATGGGTGTACGAGTTGTGTATATCTACTTCATACCGTAGGTAATGAGACTGGATATATCAAGCAAAGTGCTGCTGGACTCGGTGACCTGAATGTTGACGAGTCTCTGGAGACGGGAATGGGATGGCACGGAGGAGGGAGGACGTGTATAAAGCAGAGGGAGAGGGAGAGAGAGAGAGAGATGCCATGAACAAAGCAAGTCCATATTTCGTCACCTCTGGCATGAGTATGTCGAACTTTCGAGACGGGTGTGTGAGGGAGTTGACGAGCGAAGACGTCGAGCGTAGCCTCGTGAGTGAAGATCATTTAGCCGAAGAGCCTTTCTCCAAGCACAGATCTTCAACCATTTCCCCCAAGCTTGTTGGATGGTAATGAAAATTAATGAAAATCAACAACAATTTTTCGAGAAGCTACTCTCGGGCAGCATGCTTTCTTAAGGCCCTATCAACTTCTCGCGTCCGTCGCTCCGATCAGCCTGGTGTTGTGAAATCAACCTCAAATTGGACCCCGCTGGCCGGGCTTATATCTCGCATGTCTGGGTCAGTGGACCATGCAAGACCGTCCTCCATCCGTTCAACTTTATACATAGTACAGTCTAGACCGATCAATTAAACTATGCTCTCCTCGTATTCTTGGCGGCGTTAATGTAAGGTGGCCAAGGCGTTGCCCGGGGGTGTGTCGATGGCGCTATCACGCGGCCCGATGTCGACATGAACCTCCCCCCCAAGCCTACGAGGGAAACCGAAACTCCACGCGGCTTTCCCTTGCTAGGAAGGTGATTAACACTCCAAAGGGGGTGCCCAAGGAAAACAACCCCCTTGGCTCTCCAATATCGATGGCGTTTTGATAGCTGCCGCCTGCCGCCTGCCGTAGCCGCTGCCGTCGGCTTCCCGTCGCACACACACACAAATTGTGAACACTTGCACGGGGTGGTGTCTCGCGCGGTCCGGTGCGTTTTCGCCACGCTGCCGAGCCTTTCCTTTGACGCAACGAAATTATGGTTGCTGTTTGGTGGGATGGACCATGATTTGGTGAAGCCCATGTTTTCGAGTGGCGTCTTATTCTTGGCCGATCTTGGGAGATGATATATCAACGCGGTTCGAGTCAGCCAAGTCTTTGCTCACGCAATGATGTCCTTGAATTCAACTCTTGGCCTCCCATCTTGGGGGTCATGATCCGACCAAAGGGGAATTGGGTTAGCGGATGGATTCGTACTTTGATACTCCAAGCCAGAATCAAAGTTTCTTGTATCGACTATATTGATTGCATTTCGGCGCGTGGCGGAAGTCAAAAATGCATTCACTGCATCACTGGGGCCAGGGCCTGTTTCCATCTCAATATCGCGAAAACTTTGGATACTGGAACTGCAATGGGAGCCACGTGGTCGCTTCAAAGAAACGTCTTTCTGGGCATTTACCGATTTTGTGGGATTTAATTCCAGCTAACGAATGTACATATCACGCACCCGAAGAGCATATCGTCAAGGTCCAACGCGGAGTTGGTGGTACCGAATGTCGTCATTTGCCCTCGGTGTTACTCCATCGCGACCCCTACCAACAATACCCATTAAAACAGTGGACACGCCGCGCGGGGGTGGATTCGGCGCGGGTGAAAGCAGCTTGGGACGGGGAACTCGTCCGTCCCCATCAACTTCCCCATTGCTGTTGGGACGTTACAATCGCCATATGCGGGTGTAACTTGTAAGGTCTGGTGAGACGGGGGTGGTGGTGGTGGCAACGGTGGTGCCAGCTCTATGTTAGCTCTAGCCCAGCCGCCCAAGTCGGCCTGACCGGCCGGACGCCCGAGTTTCGAGGGGTCCCTCTCATTGCGTGCTTCTGTGCCTCTGAAGTTTTTCCATTGCCAAGGTGACAAACATCAACTTGTCAGGATAGCTTAAGCATGGATGAGGAGTTTTAGGCCAAGAGATATCGATTGTGTGATTGGGAACCCCCGTAGTATTGACGGCGAACATGAGTCGGGGAGCGCTGGATGGCTGGTATCACTGCAGACAGGCGTGGGAAAGATATCTGTACGGATAAATATATGTATATATATATATATGGACGCGCTACTGACGCGTTCATGTAGCATTTCTGAAGATTCGTCACCGCTTTGGCCCTTTCAAACACACCGGGCCCTCCTCTTACCTGTGCCACCTGTGGCCGTGCCCGTCATACCGGTAGACGATCAGCCCTTGCATTTGCAGAAAAAGAATCGAACGCTACTGGGCAAGGTAATCGACAATGGTCTTTTCGAGGCTCTTCCCGAGCGAGAAGTCGGGTGGCGCCGACTCGACCGTCCGCGTCGACCCCGAGGCCAGCGACTCTGAGCCTTCCATCATTCACGATGGCAACCTCGCGTATACTAGAGCCAAGGGAGGCAACGGCTCCAAGCCCTCGTACCAGGAGGCTGTCGGTGCCCCCGTCGAATCCGACTCGCCGTTGGGATACCACGTCAATTGGATAGCCGTCATCTTCCTCAACGTCAACATGATGATCGGAACTGGTGTCTTTTCTACTCGTACGTCAGCCCGGGGGGGACCCTTTCCGTGATTGTCACCTAGGTGCTGACTTTTACCGTGGCCTAGCTGCTAGTATCCTCAACAGAACTGGCTCCATCGGCCTCGCCTTGATCTACTGGGTGATTGGATTCCTCATGGCCTCGGCTGGGTTCAGCGTCTATCTCGAATTGGCCAGCTACTTCCCCAATCGAAGTGGTTCGGAAGTCGTCTACTTGGAACAGCAGTATCCCCGCCCGAAGCACTTCTTCCCCGTTGCTTTTGCGGTCCAGTCTGTGATTCTGTCGTTCAGCAGTAGTAATGCGGTCGGTGAGTACTTAGTCATCATATGGAGCACATTCAACGTGGAGTCGCGAGGCAATCACTGACAGCGTGCCAGTTCTGTCTCGATACCTGTGGAGAATGGCCGATATCACGCCGTCAGAGTGGCAGATGCGAGCCGTCGCGATTGCGGCTTACACCCTCGCCGTTATCTGCGTCCTGGCACACAACAGATACTCCCTCTGGCTCGTCAACTTCATCGGCGTCCTCAAGCTTCTCACCCTCGTCTTGTTAGTACCGTACAACAACCAAATTGGAAAGTCTTTATAGAACTAACTCTGCGTCCCGCAGCATCTCCATCGCAGGCCTCGTAGTCCTTGGTGGCAACATCAAGCACATCCCTGACCCAAAAGCCAACTTCCGCAACGCTTTTGAGGGCACCACGAGCAACGGAAATGACCTGTCCAACGCCCTCGTCAGCATCATCTTCTCGTACGCGGGTTACTACAATGCCTTCAACATGACCAACGAGATCAAGAACCCGATCCCCACGCTCAAGAAGAACGGCATCGTCTCGCTGCTGACGGTCGCCATCCTCTACATCCTCTGCAACATTGCCTACTTTGCCGCCGTGCCAAAGTCCGAGTTTAAGGGGGCCAGCGAGATTGCGGCCTCCGTCTTCTTCTCCAAGCTCTTTGGCGGGAGTAAGGCCGCGGCCAATGTGCTCAACTTTTTGGTCTTGTTGAGTGCCTTTGGAAACTTGTTGGCTGTGCTGATTGGATCTTCTCGCATGATTCGTGAGATTGGCCGGTTCGTATTATCATTCAGTCAACCTGGTCCTCGCTGAGTGTGTTTGCTAATTTGGTTTGGATTTCCAGACAAGGTGTTCTCCCATTCACCAACTTTTGGGTCTCTACCAAGCCCTTTGGAACCCCCTTGGGTCCGTACTTGTTGAAGTGGATAATGACCTTCATCATGATTGTTGCGCCGCCTGCTGGCGACGCATTCGCTTTCGGTACGGCCCCAATCGCCGGGATTTGCGGAATCCCATACTACTTTAATGAATTTGTCTCCTAATTTCCCATCCTAGTCGTCGATCTGGGCAGCTATCCCACCGCGATATTCAATTTCGCCATGACCTTTGGCGTCTTTGTCCTCAGACGCCGTCGCCAGCGCTCCGGCATCAGCCGCTCAGAGTTCCGCGCCTGGGACTTTGTCGTCATCTTCTTCCTCGCCGTCCAGGTGTTTGTGCTGGCGATGCCGTGGTGGCCGCCAAAGGGCGGTCCGTACGCAGGAGACGTCAGCTTCTGGTACGCGACGTACTGCGTCGTGGGTATCGGGATGTGAGTACACACCCCTCTCTACCTCTGGCTCTTTTGCGATTTCATCGAGTCCAACTATGGATACAAAAAGGGGAAAAAATAAGATTTTGCTGACCTGTTTCCTTTTCACCAGCATCATTCTCTGTATTTTGTACTACGTCTTTTGGATGTATCTGCTCCCTCGCTGGATGGGATACGAGATCCGCACGGAGATTGTCGAAGTCGATACAAATGGTGCCAACACGCATCGTCTGGTACGCGTGCCCAAGGCAGACCTCGCTGCATGGGACGACGTGCACGACGAGGCTGGCAACTTGAGGCGACGACATGTTACTACCGAGCTTGATTCCGGCAATTCCAACGAAAAGGGCGCGTTTTGATCTGCCGAGTTTGTGGGGTCTCTGCAGCAAGCAATCTAATTGTTGTCTTGGGATATTTCAGATGTTTGGCTGGCCTATGGATAGAAGGTCTTTCTATCTAGGTTTGTTTAGTATCTGCCCAATAGAGATAGTTGTGATACCACCTCGGTAGCGATCTGTACTTGCCTTGGTGGTGGAGTGTTAGTACTTGTCAATTTGCAAAGTCATTTAGGCGAGCACCTCCTATTTCAAGACTGTCCCCTCAACCGAATATGCTTTGATTTCACACAGAGGTACCGTAGGCTGAGTTACCAATCATAGCGTCGAAGTTATCAAATGAGTTCACCAGGTTAGCCAATCACCTGATTGCGAATCCGAATTGATATCAATTGTATCAGCATGATCTCTCTGTTTTTTCTTGCTGTACTGAGCTCGTGCATACATCACCTCTTGGCTGGCTTCTGGTCATCAAGATGCTTCCATATACTTAGTAGGACGCTGACTCTCAAGCCCGAAGTGTGGAAACGGCTAGTCATATTGCGGGTGGAGTCTGGAGATGGCTCAGCCCTCAATGATCCACGCACAACTCACGACTCAATCTCTTGCGTCTTGGTCGCTCAATGGACTCACCTACAATCACACACTTCTAATAGCCTGCCCGGCTAGCTCAATCGGTAGAGCGTGAGACTCTTAATCTCAAGGTTGTGGGTTCGACCCGTAAGTCCATGTAACTCCAACAAACATACCGATCGCTTCGTCTAACACCACCCAGCCACGTCGGGCTCAATTCCCGTCCGCGATTGAATCGTATTACATCTTTTTTTTTAATTCTTCTTTTCTTTGTTCCATTGATATCTGAAGCTTTTTTGCACTACACCGGCGGTGAAAGTCTCCTCCTATCAAGTCTCTGTACACCATTTAACGAAATCCTCCAAAAGTCCAATCCTAGCTTGCATATTGACGGAGTGAATTGTCCTGCAACAACTGGCTCATGGCACCTCGTTGCATACAAATACTGACATCAAAGTCACCCGTGTCGGCGACGTCCATGATCTGAACCAAGCCATCAATCTTTGGCATTACGCCCTGAACATACCGGGCCAACTCGTTCGCACCAAGGAAGTCAAGTTCGTAGGTCTTGGCCCGCACCCAGGATGTCACGAGGGTGTGGTGAGTCCCCAAGAAGCCTTGCCATATGCGTTGAGGGCTGAGCTCATGTGCGGCGTCGTGGATGTAAGCTGCCACCGCATCTGGCGTGAACCGAGACATCATCTGCCGGACTGCGCCGGCAATCGGTCCAAGCTGGAATGAACTAGCTTCGCTGGCGGTCTTCTCGACGTATCCAATGAGGAGAGGAGACCCAACAAAGGCTTCGGGCAGGGGTGGATCGACACGTTGTCGAAGGCCTAAGGTGATGTTTAGATATGCGCTTTCGTGTTTCCCTTCATGGCCGCGTGCGCGGTTCAATAGAGTCCAGACGTGAGCCAAGACGGCATCAAGTCTGGAAACTCGGAGCGATTTAATCTCCTCTGGCAAACTCGCTTGCGCAGCCTCCTTCATCCGCGTCAACTCGGCTGCTGTGAATCGTATTTGAACGTGGTCGACTGGTGCGCCCATGTCCCAAGTTGGCCAGGGCGGGTATGTTGACGGGCTTAGTTCTGTCGTATCAAAGTCTTCGGGCGGCGGCATGGTGGCTAGTGAAGCTGGTCTGACACCTTGAGGATATCCTGGTGCGTCTTCAGCCCACCAGTTGAATCGGTGCATCGGTAGCGCGCGAGCCTTTGCAACTGTTTCTCTATCCGCGGAGGTTCCGGGTGTGACGCCCGCAACTCGATCAAGTCGGGCGGGATCAATGACTGGTTTGAATAGTCCCAGATCAGCGGATGCAGAAACATTCCCCAGGAGTATCTTTGACCGTGTTGCCCACGAGTACATAAAGTTCATCAAACAGACAGCATCTGCAAGCGGATGCGAGATCATTGCGCTGATGCCGAAGCCTCCGCACTTGAAAGATGTCAATTGAACGGCCATGGCGGGCAACCCCTCGATGGCATTCAGAGACATCAGTGCAATATTGGTTTTTGGTAGGAACTCGCTTTGCTGGAAATTGAAGGCGTTCCATTCTTTCAACGTCGTCGCCCTCTCGCTTCGACTGGGAACTATTTCGCTGAGCCTCGCGTCGTGAGTGGCGATGGAGAGCTCAACCCCGGGATCTTTGGTAGAGCCGTGTACCACAACTAGCCGCCCAAGGTGTCGCGGAACTGCGTCGTCTTTGACCTGCTCTGGTGTAGCCCACTGGAGTTGGCCTGCAAAATGCGGGTAGTCGCCCAGGGTTTGACTGAGTGCATGACTGAGTGTCTCGAAAAATTCAGCGTGGAAAAGCTGTGATGTTGTTGGCTTGTCGTAGAGCCATATTGCAGCGGTGGGCGTGAAACGGGCCACCGTCGAATCGAGTATCGAGAGTTTGGAGATGATGGGCTCAGTAGATGGTGATTGAGGGAATATTCTGCGGGTTGTGTCGACCCTGCAACGTTTCCCAGTGCTGGTGCTCGTTGCCATCACTCAATGTCGTTTTGTTAGAGCCAGCCGTAACGGTCTTTGGCAAATTCAGATGTCTGCTTGTCGCCCTGAAAAGAAGCAACTGGGCGTACAGATATGTACCTTCGACAAAGATGGTGCATGTTTATTACCCGCACATATAAGACGCTAGAGCCGTGGGACGACATGGGTACCCGATCGAGGTTCGGTATGATTCATTCTGTGTCATGCTCGAATTCCACTAGTCCATCACTCGTTGATTGGGTGGTGAATATAATTTGGCGCGTGAGAGGGCCCCAACCCCTGCTGAACCCACTGCAACATGACCAACAGATGTTTGCCCTGACCTGCTTGCAACACTGACCCTTCTAGAGGATTAGTATTTGCTCTTCGCCGCTAAGTCAGGTAGGTTCTAGTTGTACTGTACTCTTCTTATAAGATTTCATCCACTATAAACTTTCTTTTCTTATATTCTTCGTTCATTTGATTGTCCAACAAAGCTTCCATTTGCAAAGGCAAAGCGCGCCTACTTTAATCAGTCATCGGACTCTGTCTGCCTCCATATATAGTGCAGATGCAGGAGAAAAAAAATTACTTAAATCCTGCTTTGAACAGATTAATCACTGTAAAATCGATCTTGGTGAAACTAAGGTACAGAGAGGTAGTAGTGACCGATGGAGTGGGAGGTTGGTCCTACACTTCATGAAATCTCAGAGTAATGTTAACTTAATACACATATTGTACCTGAAAGTCCTCAAATGTCCTATTACTCAATCCAGCCGGGGTCAACACGGAACTTAACGCAGTTATTCTCAACATTTCCTCCATACTTAAAGCTCGTCCCGCTACAATCGCAACTGTCAATAGGGACGAGGGTGTACTTCCGGCACTCTGACTTGTTCACTGGCCATGCACAGCTAGCCTTTACCTCGACTGAAACTAATACCTGGAATGGAATGATCGCAGTATAATTGAGGGGCATCTCGATGAACGAGCCGGGTCCCAAGCTCTTCTTCCCGTAATGGTCCTCTAGCCACTGGCAGAACGTCTCCGACGCGTCATCCAAGGCGTCACGACCGACCACCATGCCCTTATTGTAGCAATGTTTTTCGTTCTTGGACGCGTCAGGCAAGTCGAGGGGCGGGTTGCTTCCTCCGCTGCCGCCATCGCCTTCGTTGTCACCTCCGCCGCTACCGTCACTGCCACCACCAATGACACAGACGATATCCTCGTCGTTACCATCGTCGTCGTCTCCATCTTGTGGCTCATAGGCATTCTCGTCGTCGCCGTCATCATTTACGGGAGGAGGGCATCCCAGAGCAGCGAAGGCACAGCGGTCAACCACAGGACCTGGCGGCCCGGTGATGACAGGGATAGGAACGGGATACAGGAAAGGTGGCGGAGGCGGTGGCGTCGGACCCGGTGGAGGGGGGACCGGTTCTGTCGGCTTGGCAGTCCTCGGTGTTCCGTTCTCAGTGTAGGTAATTGGCTTCCAAGATTTGGTGGAACTGATGATCGGCGTGATGGTGGACTGAGACTTGACAACGACGGTAGAGAGCTCGTACTCGCTGACTGTCACTGGCGGAAACGTCGTTGTCTTTCCGTCTATGGTAATGATCGGGTATTCAATCGTGGTAGTCGGAAGCTTCGTCCAGGGAGGTAGGACGAGCGTGCAGGGCGGTTGGCAAGTCACTTGGGGGTGCTCCTCATCCCAGATCGAGGGGTCGATCCAGATGAGCCCGTCGTTGCTGGAATCATCATCGTCCTCATCCTCTGATTCGGGAGGGTCGACGGGGATAACACACTTCCCTATCAGACTTTCGTCTGCATAGCAATATGGAGCAGGGCAGAATCCGTGGTCGCAGGTGAAGCTGCAAAGACCCAGGTAGTCGCAGGTCATGCCTGGACCGGGATAACCCTTTAGACTGACGGGATCCTCGGAGAACTTCGCGCCCACTCCCAGCCAGCTACACGTGCAGGGACCCGGTGGACAGTAGTTGTGCATGCAGGTGTAGGTACAGAGGAGGTTATGAGAGTCCTTGGCCCAGCCCTTCTGGCACTGGAGCTCAGAAACCTTCTTGGTCGGCGTTGTAGGACTGACGGATTTGGAGCTGCTTCCCACCCAGGCGTTCCAGTTCTGGATGCCGTCGGGGCAGCTGCCGGTGATTGACGCGCCGCTGACAACTAGCTCGGAGTTCCCGTTGTCGAGCAGCTCGACCTTGACCACTCCGGTCCTCCCGTTGAATGGCACCGCCGCGTGAAAGACGCCGATGCCGTTAGGCGGGATGAAATTCCACGAATTCAACGATTGCTTGCCTCCGATGGTGACCGACAGCTGACGGGTCTTGGTCAGGAGCGCGGAGACAAAAACCATATCTTGGGCCAACTCGGTAGCGGGCATCTCCAGCTGCAGTTGGGCCGCAGTGTTGCCGACAGTGCCACCGGCGGCGCAGGCAGAGCCTGGAGTCCGTCTGTACCAAGCCACAACTCCTTCCTGGGTGATAGTCGCGATGTCGTTCTTGTACATGTCGATGAAGTATGGGAGGAAAAGCCTCCAACCGTCGTGGGGCATATCCTTAACGTAGTTGAAAGGTGCATTGCCAACTTCGAACGCGACGTAGGCATTGTCGTTCAGTGGCCCAATGTAGTGGGACTCCCCAAAGTCATTCCACGAGATAATCTGGACGTAAAGGGGCTGCATGACGAAGACGTTTGTCCAACGGTCGTACCACAGGTTATCACCCCGCCAGAGCCAGTTCTTGTTATAGCCGGGAAGGTTCGTGTAGAACCACGGGCTAACAGGCATCATGTACGGCTTTCCAGCAAGAAACTCAACGTATGACGAGTCGATAACCGTGTCCATGGAGTTCGGTCCCTCGGGCCAGGCCGCCCAGCTGAACAGGCCATCAGCCACACCGGGACGCAGGGCTTTCTTCGCGCCGAGGGAAGACCAGGACGGCATAAAGAAGCAGTTGGTCTGCTCCTTAATCAGGTGCCAGTCATCCGCCGCCTTGGGGCCTTCAAAGTTAGACACAAGCGGCTTTGAGCCCTCGTGAAGGAAGTAAGATGCCTGTGACGAGTACTTTTGTATAAGTGCGATTACATCATCCTGAGGCCAGCTGCCGTTACCGGCGTAGTCGAAAGAAAAGAAGAGCTTGAAACCACGGCTATTAGCCGCGGAGAAAACCTTAGGGATGGACAGGCCGTTAGTCTTTTCGCCATAGGCGAAGTTGAGCGCGAAGCCGTCAATGTGGGCCTCTTGCGCCAAAGAGACTTCCCTGCTGAAGTCTGCTTCTGTGTAGTGCTCCGTGTTGCCGACCTGTCAATCGTCAGTCTCTGTTTCGAGGCCACTCGCAGCTGATTTCGGATCTGTGCTTTGGTCTCGTCTTACCATAAAATGAGCAAACACAGCTTTGGCGTCCACCGACGTCAGCCAGACACAGGCGACGAGGAGCGAAAGAAGAAGCTTCATGGCGTTTTCTCCCCGTATGATTTGACACAGGGGCTCGAACTCATGGACAGTGCAATACAAAAGATAGGAACCAAGGACCGATTTAAACTAGAACACCAACTGAGTACTTTTGTCCTGAATCACGGCATGTCCCCGCCTGATTCTAATTGACATACCAATATCCACTGATTTCCACCCCTCGGCAGCACGCGGTCGGGAGGTGATAGTCTCAAAAGTCCCTTTCAGAGATGTGTTCCGTTGGGTCACCATACCTTGATCTAGTTAGCCAACCAACCAAAGAAATGGCTTCGCTCCGAGCCGATCCTTTGGCCGAAGCTCTTCAATGAATTACAGGCATATGAAAAGGGCCTCCACTTAGCACCAACACGAGATCTGAGACTGTTACTCCGTGGGCCGTCATTTTGGAACGGCCGTTCTAGCTCCTGACCGTAAGGTATAGGCAAGCTTACTGGGACTTCTTTCAGCAGTCACGTCAGAAATCGCACCACTTTGAAGACTACCTAGTACCTACTCAGTGTTTTGGTTCCAAATCTGATTCGCAGCAGGTATCGTCTCGTTGGACGTGGATCAGTTCCGGGATCAAGTACCAAAATGTAAATGGCATCAAGAGACTCCAAGAGCTCCGGGTCCACAACAGATGTCTGGCAACCATGGATCATCCACGTCAGCAACCGCGTAAGCACCTTTGTCAGACTCTGGAAGAATCCGATGGCAGTATGAGGGAAATTATCCACGAAACGTCTTTGCTGCTTGCCGTCAAAGTCAAGCAGAGTGTTGTCAACTGCCAAATGGAGACCAGGACTTTCTCGTTGGCGCTAAGCAATCTGACCCTGGGTTGGGATCCATGCGGCGGGGCAGCTAAGCTTATCTCGTTTAACCTTTGGAACTAAGAGTTTGGGGCCGGAGCCTGCGGTGCCTTTGCTAACTAACCCTGAGCGGTCTCTGACCCAAGACCCCTGACAACGTTTATTACATTTCCACTCACCCACTCAACAACGACTCCCCAAAGTCCCACAATCTACCTGACATACCTGCGGCGCAGTAGAATTCTTAACATGTCCAGACAACCAACGGGCCCTATCGGCCCTATGCGACAATACCGAGCAGAGGAAGGTGTCAGGCGCATCAACGTCCCATCAAGAACATTGCCCGAACCGAGGTTGGCTAGGTGAAAAATCCCCGAGGTTAGCCAAAGTCTAGCTATCTCTTGCACACCAATCAGACAAGACTCACCAACCCTGGCCACAGGCCCCCTCGTCACTCCCGCAGACGCCGTGGGCGCCGCAGCAGTTCCCAAAGAGGACGTCGCACGTGTAGCCGCCGGAACCGCCGCAGGTTCCGTCAGGCGTGTTGCCCTTCTGCCAGGGGACCACGGTTACCCCGGGCATTTTCGGGATTTCGACGATGTTGATTGTGCAGTTACCGGACGCGCAGACGTCGGTACCGCAGAAGTCCAAACCGTCTCCGCAGAGGCCCTTGGTGTTGCAGCAGGAGGAGGAAGAAGAGCTCGTAACAGCTTCAGTACTACTAATGCTTCCTGCACTGTCTGTAATACACTGGGTGGAAAAGCGCAGGTCGCAAATTGGGGTGGTGCAGTCTTCGCTAATAAGACGAGAGTGGAGTCCCTTATCAGTCGCGGACTATCTCCGAGAGAGAACGTTTCTCACCTGGAGCTGCTGCAGCGACCGGTCTGGATATTGCAGCATGGCGCGACGGTGTCTGAGCAGGTATGGTTGCCGTGAGCGATACCACATAGGCCGTCGTCTGAGGCCTGCGTGGCCTGGATCCCTGAATTTGCACCATGAGCATGCCAACGACGAGAAGAAGAAGGCTATGGAGAGAGACTCACAGCCCTTGACACAGTACTTGGTGTTGGGCTGGATGTTGGAGCAGGCGCTATCGATCTCAGGGTTCAGAGACAAGAACGTATCAGTGTCAATGCCATAAATGGCCGCGTACATCGCGCACGAGGCAGCGCTGATATCGGCAGAAGTCTCCGTCTCGTAACGACATGTGATGTCCCCCTGAGCGCTTCGTTTCCAGGTAATGGGCTGGCAGTCGTCTGCAACAGCGTAATAGGGTATAAGGGCCAGTGCCGGGAGGAGGAATGCTTTCAGCGTCGAGGAGTAATGCATGTTGTTGGCGTTATAAGTCATGGAATGCGTGAAGTTATTCGGCTACTGCTTGTTAACTCAAGGGAACAGAAGAAGCGAGGATATCTCAGCTTTAAGTCAAGATAGGAGCCATTTGGATCACTAATCTGTATCTTCCAGTAGTCTGCAAGTCCTTTTAGCCAAAAGTGGAAGCACCAAATGGTGAGAAAAGGAATGGAGGTAGACGAGATTGACGATGAGACGAATACAAGCGCCCCGCTACCGGTTCTACGAATCGGTCCATACTCTAGACTCCCTGCTGCAAGACGACATTCGTGAATTGGACGAGAGATGTTGGGACATCCATGCTGCGCGCCCATGCTGTCCAGGCTGGTCGGCATAACCCGTCTCGTCTGACTCAAGACGGCACGGCCATGCTGATTTTAGGTAGTTCCCGGGGTTGGGGCATACTGCATAACCTTGGCTGTTGGTTCTGTCTTTCGGCTATGTTATATGTGGAGTTCATTAGCGTGAGCCAAAGAGTGCAAAGGTTCGTTTGGTTCCCGTTGGTTCTGTCGGTTGGTACGACATTAGACATACGATGTTTAGACGTACGATCACCTTCCATCTTATTCACACATGGCCAACGGCCAGAAGTGCCTCATCGCGTTAGACAGGCCAGGGACAGCAGAAGAGGCAAATACAGGAACACGAAATGAACCATGGGCCTCTTTTCTGTCACATTGTTGGCAGTATCTACAGACTGATTTTTTGCATATTTGCTTTCGTTCATCCGAAAGAAGCTATTCGCCCGACTAGGAAGCTGGCATGGGGATGAGTTCAAGTTGAGGAAGCTGTCATGTTTGGCCCATGGATCAAACCTCATACGTCCTCGTCCTGGCAACTCTTATATAAGTCTTCATGAACAAATTGTTATCATGTTCTCCGAGGCTCAGCCGCTCATCAAGCATCCCTAGCTTCGAAGGCATCGCTTGCCTGTCCACTCTTTTTGCGGCCATTACCTTCCACGTCCAGTTATAATTAGAAGATCATCTCTTAGAAGTTCGCCTGCTTCGCCCCTCATACTGCAAAAGCATTGCGCCATGTTCTCACAGGCCATAATCTTCTTCCTTGCAGCCGCATGTTTCCTCGCGCCAGCCGAAGCCCAATTCAACCAGAAATGGACGTGGCACGCCAGTACTAACGGCAATCCAACCCCCAAGTGGCGACCACTCAACTCCGGTGCGTGGCTGGACGTCGTCGGGTTCGGCACCAAGGCGGTCTGGCTGGACTATAACTGTTACTGGATGCCCGCCATCTGCCAGAACGCACGCAACTACTTCAACACGCCGGCGGGCCAAGACCGCAACTGGCCCACTGCCTTCACCTATGACTTTGAGAAGACACGCTCCGATGAAGAGACCAAAGGTCGGCGGTCCTACGCTTGCCCGAGCAGCAAGACCTCCTCCGACAAATCCAAGCAGTGGAAGTTCTTCCACTCGTGCCCCGAAAAAGACCAGCCGATTCCCATGCGCTCCAAGCTCACCGCTCGCCAGGGTGAGTGGCACCACACGGAGCTTGAATATCCCCTCGTTCCAGGCGAACAGATCATTAAGAGCTATCAGCCGGCTGACGGCAGCGCGGCTGTTCCCTCAGGACTGAGGTACAGCTGCGACGAGTTCCCACCCGCATCTTGGGTCGAGGGCGGCTCAGGCATCAACGGCGGCGGCGACGTAGCGCTCACGCGGTGCGCGCCCATTGGCGAGTGCATGGGCGTAGCCGGCGAGCAGAACTGGCAGGGCCTCATCCACAATCAGCTGCGCATGAGCATCCTCAAGATCAACCGGCTTCCGAAGGAGAAGACCGACACGGCGAAGGATGTGAGGGCGAGCAAGGCGGGTCTGTTCTTCCTGCGGCTGTCCAACGGTGGCTTCTCGGAGCCCGCTGCACGCGTGCTCATCAATGACGGCGGCGTCGAGAGGGTGGACAAGAAGATCACGCCACGGCCCGGGCGGAGGCGCCGCTCGGCGGCGAATATGGATTTTGGCATTTTTGAGTTCATGAACTGGGCCAACAACGTCACCGTGGAGGAACTGCTATCTGGCAACGACACCCAGTCTACCGAATTCCAGCTGCTCAACGGGACCATGCAGACGGTGGTGCGGAAACGGGTGCAGCAGTTGGCTGTGAATGTCCAGTAGAAATATGTGCATAGATCTAAGAGTGGGGTCAATAGTCGACATCCATGGACACATCCAGTTCCAGCCCAAGCAATAACCATCTAATTAATTGTGATTGCTACGCCGCTATGAACGATCTGTGGGTATGGTATGGCAAGGTGTATAAATACTCGCCAATTGCCGCCCCTCCCTCTTCGACATCCACCTCAACAATCCTTTCCTCCCCTTTTTAAAGGAATGGTTAAAACTTTCGTTTGTATTTCAGAACCGTCGCAAGGCTTGTAATGTCTCCCACAAAAGAGGACCGTTTCGATGTCGTCTACTCGCCAATAGACATCACCGAACGTACGGTGATCCCCCGGTCCAAAGAGCTGTCCGAAAACTTCTGGAGCAAATTTCAGTCCGCTGCCTTCGACTGCCCTGAAGCCCTGCTCCTAGTCTGGCCAATCTTCGGACCCCTTAACGAGATTACCGTCCTCGATAGCACAGCTGTAGGCGAGGCGTTCAAAAACCGGCAACCTTTCGTCACCGAGAATCCGGACGGTTCTAAGACATTCCACCCTATAGCCTCGCTACCAGCCACCTACCCCCTTCTTTCCCACATCACGTTATCCGTCGGTATTTTTGACGACTTCCGTGATGTTACCGGAAGGATGACGGAGCTGCATGAATTCGATTGGGCTGAGGTCGAAGAGGCTAAGCGCGCGGGCGTTACTAAGTTCTACTGCCACGACGAGAAGTGCAAGCCTCAGCCCTACCTATACATGACTCAGGAACCGGACCTATCTATTGAGGCTCAGGAGAAGCCCTATGTCACCATCGGCGAGGCCGTGTGTGCCATTCACGAGTGGCTTCTAACCTTGCAAGAGGAGATCCTCATCGCCGAGACAGCGCTCTGGGATGGCGATAATTGGGGCTGCCAAGCGCCAATGCTGCCGAGGGATACGAAATTCTGGGTGTCTGGTCTCTGGGGAACAGATGTCATTCGTCAGGGCGGCGTTGGGTCTGGGGAACAGATGCCGTGGGACCCTGAGATGGGGGAGGGGTACCCGGCCACGGAGGAGGAGTGGGAGGAGCGTTTGGAGATGGCGAGGAAGAGGCGAGAGGCTTTACGCGCCAGAGGCGACGGTGGCCATGAGCCTGGGATGATAAATGTCGATTAGGTTGTATGTCTATCTACTCTATTTCTATCTTATTTTTTCTTTGGTTAGTTTTATTCCAGGGGAGATGGCAAGCTGGAGATATTACTGCAATTGTACACGTCTATCATAGGACAGTTTCAACGCTATTTTGCACGTTCGGCAACAGTAAACCTTAGAGATTATTTTGACACTCTTCCCACGTACGTATAGAGATTTTGTCTCATGTAGACAAGAAATCTAAGCCCTTGTACTGATGTGGGCCGTGGCTTTTAATTTTCGAGTTCATATATCTTTGTTGCTTACATAGGTTTGCAATACCTACCTAGGTTTGCAATACCTAGGTTTGTCATTGGTGCCTGTAGGTACGTGAAGCTCAGTAATGGGCAAATTCAAAACACAAGTAAATAGGTTTAATATGTAGTTATCGTCGTTAACCGAAAAAGCTTAAAGCCGGGTTTAATTTGGAAACAAGAGTCGAAGGACGTTTTGAGGTCCATGTGGTTCTCGCGAACGAGACTATACGCAACGTAGCACAGCAGAGCAAGAGCCGATCATATTTCTGGACGTTATGGCGGTTATTCTCTGCTAATAGGATTAGAGATAACTAGAGGCGTGATTAGGAGCACAATAGGAAGAGACGATGTGCTGTAAAGTGATTGGCCTCGGCTTGCGGTCCTTCATTCCACGCATTCTTTGGGAAGTCTGCGGCAAAGTCTAAGTCCTTGCGCCATGGATTTGATTTCAATAACAACCATGACTACCGCATGTCTACCCTCAATCTCGCTGTAGATAAGAAGCCCCAAGCCCCTTGAACTTTCGCTGGCGCTCCTTGACTTTCCATCGTCCGCCATTTGACGCCGGCTTCTCCTTCATCCCAGATCAAGACACATTCTGATCGACTCGACCGGCTCTTTTTATCTAAAAACCTTCGCTGCACGCGGGGGATAAAGCTTTACTTGCAGCTGTCGAACATCTGATAGTCAAATGGCCCATTCAACAATCCAATCGGCAGGAAAAGAACCTCGGCAGAACATTTTGCTACCTTTTTGAAATTCTTTGGGCCACCACTATTTCATCACTTCTACTGGCAAAATACTATAGAGACCAGCTGGAACGTTCTTTTTACACCTGAGACTTCAACACAAGTAGTGGCCAAAAGCCTGGAAGACTCGTGATCCTGGTGGCTCGTTGGGGAGTGGTCGTGCAACCGTTACATTGGTTATAAGGCACTATCAAAACTAGTTAAAAGAATAAGCATATCAAAGGCTAGCTAAATATAGTTGCGCCTTAATGGAAGGCTCAAAATGATGAATTATATTAATATTGTTTATCTCCTTCTTCAAAAAAAGTTATGCTTTTATCTATTCTCATATCGATAATTTCTTTATTACCCCTTGAAGCCTCTTCTATCAAGACGTACAAGATGGCTCTTAACATCCCTCAATCAGTCATATAGGTCAAGTACCGCCCCTTTCCAACATAAGAAAAATAAATCTTCCTATTAATAGGATAAGTTTTGTTTACGATTTGCGGAATTTCAATTTTCTTAAAAAAGCTGTGTTTGGTTTTAGGGACGTTTATGGCATGAGTCGTAAAGTCTTCTTCGTAGATTATAATTCTGTTACTCTACTCTCCGTATCCTCCCATACTACGAGACGATCCGCTAAAGCCCTAGAAGGGCACCGGTAAACTTCAGCAATAAGTTTGTGAAATTACCATTAATTTCACAAATAGGTTCCATGAGTCATGCCGACTTTTCTAAAGAACATGAACTCGCAATATACGGTGGGCGCCTGAGGGCAGAATGTCGTCGACATGTATTCTTAATCTCGTTTCCGTTATTTATTATAAGGACGATTCCCGTGGAAGGAAGGGAACTTTTGTCTTCCGGATGATCCGGTGTCTGACCAAGTTCAAAGGCTTGTGTTCTTTATAGGAATGCGTTCTTACGATCTCCGAGATTAGGTTTGTGTGTTCATCTGGCATTTCTTGGTTTAGGGGCTCGGACCTTGCTGCCAGGAACAATCATACCCCTGACGAACTATATTACCTTAATCAAAAGAAAGTTTTGTTCGGAGGTGCCGTTCAAAATTTCATGCGGAGGCTGCTTAGATAATCCCGACTCTGATAAGCATAAGTACCTGTATTGGCATCCATTTTCTTGGCAGGCTAGTAGAAACCATTGTACGGCACCTCCGTAGTATCTAGAAACTCAGCCGTACTGGAGCACCCGACGGTTCCGGACTAAGTAAGGCCAAGCAACTGATCTTGGCCAACTCGGCCATGGGATGAATATAAAGGCTCAATATCTGTCCCGTGGTGGCATGTGCGTCCATTCAAGCACAGTCAACAACACCATTCACTACTCACCGCTCAAAGCATACCTACAACCCTGCACTCGACCCTGCTTTCTTCTTGACGAAACTCGCAAGAATGAAGTTCTCCCTTCTTCCTCTTGCGCTATTCGTCGCCGCTGCCCAGGCCAATTTGGTCTTCGGCGGGCTTGCTCTGTTTGCGTTTACTATAGAGATTCGTGAGGCTGCGAAAGTCGTTGCGACCCTTGATGTCTCCGTCGAGGCAGCCCTCACTGGCGACGCGGCCGCTGAGACCGCCCTGATCGAGGGCACCATCACTAACGCCCACACCGACGTCAACCGCGTGGGCGTGGGCGAGGCACCCGTCTTCCTCGAGAGCGATGCAAATCTATCCGGGTTCGGCCGCGTCGCGACCTCTGGTCCTGGCTTCGCCCAGGGAGCCTTCAACTACAGCCCGCCCCACCCCCTCGGCGTTGGACCGGACCGCCGCTCTACTGCAAACCCACATATCTCTTTCAACTTTGGCGCCCGCACCAATGCCTTTCTTGACGGACGAACTACCAGGATCACATTTAGCAACCCCTCCATCAATAACCTCCGTATCACCAACCCTGGCGGAAAACGCACCAAAATCCGTCTCCGGGGCCAGATCATCACTCGCATTCTTCGGCTTACCTAAGCTGCCAAGTAGAGGATGGGGTTTTCTGTAAAAAGGAAAAGGTTCTGCCAGCGGGCTGGCTGCCTATTATTAGTCTATTAATATAATCCATAGAAATGGCCCTTGCAGCCTATCTGACTCATGGGTCGAGTTGTAGTTCCAATCCGACACTTTAAATGAAACCCAGTAGTATGGCTAGGGGCAGACGCCTCAGGCTGTGCTACAGCTGCTCCGATTCTTCCGTTACATTTCAGGCACTCAGCCTGTGTTGGGTCCGTCAAGCGGCTCAATTAAAGCTTCTTCATCATAATATTATCAGTTTGAATCACCGAACCAACTGCAAAGTCGTGGGTTCCGCATTCTTTGTACCCCCACTTCTCGTATGCCTTTTGCGCTCGAAGGTTCTCCTCCCAGACGCCCAACCAGATGTGCCTGAACCCTTGCTCTCTAGCAATGTTTTCTAAGTGGTCTGCCAAGAGCTTTGCAGCTCCGCTGCCTTGTGCCTTGGGATACATGTATATCCTTTGCAGTTCCACGGTGCCGTCCAGATGTGTGATGCATGGGTCCGAAGAGCCTCGCGTGAGCATGGCAAAGCCGAGGAGGTCCCCGGTTGGATCAACTGCGACAATTGTGTCTTTGTTGGGGTCGCTGAGGTCTTTTTGGATAGCTTCTAGGCTGTAAGCCTCATCTAGGAATGTTTTGAGTTCGTGTGGCTCTACGGAGTGGCCAAATGTGAGGGAGAAGACATGGGCGCCAAGTTCAGAGATCGCTTTGGTATCGTTGAGAGAGGCTGGCCTGAGGGTGGCCGCTGGACGAGCGCGGTTTTGGGAATCCTGTGACCCTGTCATAGTTGATGGAGTTGAGGATGAAAAGAATCTGAAGTGAATCGAGTTGTTGTGTAGCGTGCTGAGGCGCGTATGTGCGGCGCGATTGGTGCTCCAACACGATGTTAGATCTGTTAGGATGCCCGGGTTGAGTCTCATGCAACTTAGAGGCCTGGCCTCAATTCCCTTTTGTACTTGTCTCAAGAATCGCAGGCCTGACGTCATCTTCACTTGATCCTAGGCGAATGTCTTCAAAATCGATGGTTTTGAAAGACACGTCGCTGGAACTCTAAATTCCCACTCGCAGGGCGCGGTGAGCCGCGTCGGGTTGAGTCTTTGAGCGGCTGTAAAAGGAAAAGCGTCGCCCTGACTACAGCGCCCTTGATGTCAAAGCTTATCATACGGGAGCAAGCTCATTGGTTACAGCTGGTCAAGGTCCACATTTGGCCTGCGCCCTTGACTCGACACCAGTGTCCCCAAGTGACAAAGCGCTGTCAAAATTTCACTAGAATTATTGCAATTCGGTCAGATCCAGAGAGCCAACGACTTATTGTACCGGAGATATCTTGACTATGGCCCGTGCCAGATCTGCGATAAGTCTTTGTCTGTGTTTCTGTATTGCACAGCGAGAATTGAAACCGCTTACTGCGGGAAACGGATTTTCAAATTCCCAACGTCGAAACATTAATCCTCACATCACCTCGGCAATCCACGTACTCACGAATTTGAGAATGGCAACGGGAGCAGTACGTTGCGAGCTATTCAGGTCTTGAGATCGTGAAGCAATACGAATGAAGTCTACAAACTACGGGAAAAATTGCTCGGTATATCGGTGAAACAGAAACAGAGGACTTAGCTTGATTAAGTTGTCCTCCTTCAACTTTCCATACCTTCAGACGCGTTCTGACTTTTCTTCCGCCTTCTTCTGTCTCGTACCAAAGATGACAATACCACACACAGCAGCACTCGAAACCGCAACGAAGAGAGCACTCACAGTGGAGAACCAACCCACACCAATGCCCTGAATGCCGGGAAGCACTACCGCCGTGCCGATGGCCGCAAAAGTGTATCTGATGAAGTAGTTGCCAGCTGAGTAGACAATGTCAGCGACCGCATCAACAGGGAGGCGAAGGAAATATCTGTGTGCTTACCCATGACTTCGGCTGCCCTCTCTCTAAAAACATCTAGACAGTAACTGTTAAGACAAGGGAAGCAGACCATCTGTGCGACACCCTGCAAAAACATGCAGATCACGGGGAGAGGGATTCCACCCTTGGCCTTGTCGATTGCCCATCCATAGATGATGGTGGTAGCTGGTATGGCAACGCCCAGAGCAATAAAAGCACTTCGCAGGCGATCTTCGGGGATACGCCTCCCTCTCTTCGCAATCCACTTCTTCACGGTCCAGTCGGCATATCGGCCGCCAAAAAAAGTACCGACGAGGTATCCCGCTCCGGGTGCCAGGAAGAAAAATCCCGATTGCAGAGGCGAAGTCAGGTGGAATCTTGGGTTGATAACGTAACGAACTGGCGTCAAAAGAACCTGCATGTTCCATAAGACTGACGACGCGGCGACACCCTGAGTATATAGTCAGCTGATGATGCATAATGGTGAAGGGCCTTACCGCCGTAGCTAAGGACACATCCACTAGGACTGCCGTTGGTTTACCGTCATCGGTCGGGCGAACACCTAAAAGGTTCGTTGGTAATGAAAGGGTGAGGGAGACTCACCACAATGAGGATCTTAGGATATCGGAACAGACTAATGACCCTGAATGGATTGGCCCACTCCCATATCTGACCGCATTTTTCCTTGACCGTCAATCCCTCCAGCTCCTCGGACCACTTCCCATGACTCGTTTCTGGAAGGAAAGCGACTGCCAAAACCATTGCAGCGCCACCGAGAGCGCCCTGGAACCAGAAAAGAGATTCCCAGCTGGAGTATGTGACAATGACGCCTCCAATGAAGGGGCCAAGAGCAGGTCCAATGCTGTTTGAGATTCTATCAGCCATGAACCTTCGGAATGAATCACAAAGTCGTGATGGGTAGGGGAGTTTCTGAGCATAACAATGTCGAGACTCACAGGGTGCCGCCAAGAAACCATCCCAATGCCGTGCCACGTTCAGTCGGGCGATATATATCACTAAGACAGGCAGATCCAACGATGAGGAATGATGTTCCGGCGAAAGCAGTGATTGACCGGAAGATGAAGAAAGCTGGCAGGTTGGGGGATACCGCTGTCGCTAATGAGAACGCGCAGAACAACACTGTAGATATGACGAAAATCTAGGACGTTTAGTTCAAATGCAAGTCGAGAAGGCAACCCAAGTTGGCTGATTAAGAGCTGACTGTGACTACTAGTATGATACATGATGCTGGGATGTACAAAGGTGGCTGTGCTTACCCATTTTCTCCCGTAGACTTGACTTAACGGACCCCAGAATAAAACGCCAATCCCCATCATTAACAGGAATAGGGCATTGGTGAAGTTGATGACAGTCCCAGTTGTGTTGAACGCCGTCGCCACCTCCGGCAGGGCTGACAGCACGAGCAGTGATGCCAGGTTGATGCCAAGGCCACCAAATGACACAATGGCGGTGATGAGCCTCTTGCGACCGGGTGTAAAGCGGTCGTAGACTGTCTCATCTTCACGGTACGAGTACGGTCGGCTGGGCGTTTGAGCAATGATGTTGACGCCCTTCTCGGCGTTGGATGTTCTCAAGGCCAGCAGGTCCGGAGGCAACTCGTCCTTCCTCGTGGGCACCTCTGACAGTGTGTGTTCAGACATGATGATGATGATGCTGATGATGACGACGACTCAGACATAGAATAGAGATAGCAGTGGTGCATGAGCTGTATTGACAACCTGAAATTCAACTAGATAGTTGATGAGAGCGAACAGTTGGCAGGAGAAAGCGACAGGGATTGCCAAGAAAATGTGTCCACCGAAACGAGAATAACCAATCCTGAATTTTTATCGTTCTTTGAGAAGGGGGCAAAGCTTTGTATATAAACCATCAAGAGCGTACCAAAAGGGTGTCAGAAAATTCTCTACCGCATACCCACCTCGGGCTCATATTCCGAGGTCGGGCACTGGACTATCACCTCCGAAACACCTCCAAAGACATCATCCATGGCCTTTGTAAAAAAAGCCACCGACACCAACAAAATGTTTCATTGGACCCCTGGTCTTTGGACTTGTGTGCGAGCGGAGCGTCTCCGCAGCGGGGAAAATCTGCAACTTTTGCGACTGTCACCTCCACTTCGGGTTGGAATCAGGCTTTGATATTGGACAAGGGCCGCCCTCGGGAGTTCCACTGACGTTGCGATTGTCTTATCTAGCATCTCAATTGCCAACATCCGGGATGCAGAGCCTGAGTCTGGGTGGAAATCTGGCCGGGGCCGGGGCGTGGGGGGCTCACCAGGCACTTTGGCTTCTTCAACCCCTCTCTTTTCCGCGCCGGTCTAGCGGCGCTCGGCAAGAAGGCCGAAGTCTCAAGCCCCGAGGTCGGCCGGGATCGAGGCCTCCAAGGGCCGGACTCGGGTCCGTCTACAAACGGAGCGTCACATAACGTAATGCCGCGAGAACCTCTTACACCATATGTCCCTGAGACTAAGGGCGGCCGGTCCGATGATTCGCTGTTGCAATTCTCATTGTGACACTGTTGCTTCGTGTTTGCGCCCGCTGGACGCATAGTTCGGTGGCAGCTCCGAGTTTCGGAGCAATAAGACCCGAGCTGAGTCAATCGCTCATTAGGTTTTCTATTTTTCTTTATTCCCGGGCACTTGACAAAATAGGCAAAAGCAGCTGTGTCTATTAGCTGCACTGTCCTGGCTAACGTGTTGCCGATGATATGATACCTTACTAGAGTGTGACGGCAATTCTTCCGTAGGCTTCTCACGACAGCTTCACAGGCGGTCTTTCGACCCAGTATTGACTAGATGTACACGTACAAGGCCTGGAATCATCTAATTGCTACTTTCCCTGTTGTATGGCATCATTTCATCATCTTGTTTTCCAGTCGTATTCTAGGCTCCAAGCATACGCGACCCGGTAAACATCCTCTTCATGCCACCATTTGCCAATAACCTGCATGCTCACGGGCAACTTTGTTCCCGAACCTTTCAGAGACCCCTCTTCTATCGGAAGCATGCCAATGGGCATAGCTAGAACCGGGTGGCCTGATTGGTTGAATGGCGCGGTGTTTGCAGTGAGCCCGACCTGTTTTCCAATCTTCTCCAACGGCGATGCATCGTATGGAGTGTGGGAGTTGGCAACGTAGGGTAGGTTTGGCGTGATCAAAACGTCAAACCTCTGCAGCGCGTTGTCGTAGTCATCTCGTAACTTTCTACTGAGATTCGTTGCCTTGCCGAGCAACCCTGGAAACGCCGCCTGTGCGTAGACCCCATTGAGGTAGATATTCTTGGACGAGACGTAGGCGTTGTCCCATTGCTCCTGTGTGAGGGTCTGGAATTTTTCCGTCAGGTCAATCATAATGTGGCCCCTTCTGCCGAAGGCGAGGTTTCTCTTCGCCAGGTAACCTCCGCTCTTGCTGATGGCAGTCCAAACAGCTGCCCCCTTTGAATGAAACGGAACCGAGACTTCTTCCACGGTGGCTCCAAGATTGCGAAGGCCCTCAATCGCAGCCTCAACGCAAGCTTTGACGCGAGGTTCCACGGACGGTTGATTCATACCTTCAACCAGAATACCGACCTTGACCCCTGACAGATCTTTTGGGTTTGCGAGTTTAATCAAATTGTCATAATACTTGGGAACGCTGCCTTGGCTCGGTGCTGCAAATGATCTGTCGTCGATGTTGTCGTTTCCAGCAATGACTTGAAGCATCAATGCATTGTCGAGTAATGTTCGTGTCATGGGCCCGACATGATCGTTGGTTGGCTCATTTGAGCCGCAGGCAGTGTAGGGAACAAGTCCAAATGTCGGCTTTAGGCCGTACAGTCCACACCATCCGGCGGGGACACGGATCGAACCGCCTTGATCAGCGCCGAGAGCCATATCTACGTCTCCGTTGGCAACTAACGCTCCTGAGCCACTTGAGCTGCCGCCACTGCTGTAGCCCTTTGCATAGGGATTATGAACATGCCCGGTAGAGGAGGAGCTGCTTGTGGCAGAATGACACATGTTCTCGCATACGGACTTCCCGGCGATGATTGCACCGGCCTCTAGAAGTCTTGTAACACACGTTGCATCGGTGTTCTGACAAGATTAGCGTGGTGACTAAAGGCAGTAATTCAGTATTTTCGACGTACTGGAACATAATCCTTTACAAAGTCGGTTCCTAAAAGCATGGGGACGCCCTTGACCGCTATGTTGTCTTTGATGGCTATCGTTTTGCCTGCGAGTAAGCCCCCGCTTTTGGTCTTGTCCTCAACCCGGCATCTCCAAGCCCAAGCACCCAAAGGGTTTTCCGTGGCATCTGGAAATCGTACTTCCTTTCTTGGAAATCTCTCTTCATCTACGAGAGGCACGTAGTCTGGAATTTGGATTGTTAGGGTATTTTCCACGAAGACCATCAGTCACGAGCTTACCGGGGAGTGAAATGAGACCCACAACAGACTCGTGGAACACGGCTAGAAGCCTTTGGTATTCATCTTTCTCCTCTGGTTTGATCGAAACACCAAGTTCGCGTAAGGTATCATCCAAGACCTGCGCGGTCACTGGGTTCGCCTTCTCTACATCCAGTGAGAAGACAGACATATTGTCAATGCGAGAGGACCAAGAAAGACAAGAGATAGGGTGGACAATGAGATGAAATTTAGATGGACGTCGTCGTTTGCTCCTTGCTGCTTATCTAATAATTCGTCAAAGTTAGGATGATCGAGCCCGGTTTTTATCGCATGTAAATGGTGCATGCATAGATAAGTAAGCCCTCGACATTGGGACCATTGACTAAAATATCTATCGCTATCAGCATTAATTGTCAACTTTGGTCTTAGCGTCTTCGGGCGTCCGAAACCAATAAAGATGCGATCGGAGAGAACGAACCGGCGACACATTGCAGCTTGGTCATTACCCAGCCACCATCACCTTATCTCAAGAAGGATCTCCCCACCATCAGGATTACCCCGCTTGATATCTAGGATATCGCGATAACGTCCGATAGGCCTACCTAGGCGAACTCATCTTAAGACTCAAGCCGGATAGCAATGTCGTGAGCTGGTGGTAACTCTTGAATATACCCTTGAAGATCCTTCTTTCATCAACTACTCTTATCCCAGGGTGTACATGTACAGGCTAAATCCAGTACAATCGGTTGTTTTCTTCGATCACTGAAGTCCATCATCAACACATCGAGTTTGCTCCGCTCTTTTCAAAATGGTTCATGTCGAAGAAAGCTTGCAAATACCTCGAGATTTTGAGGGTATGGTTTTTGTTATTCCTGGCATACTTGCAAAAACTAATAAGATATACTTCAGGGTTTGGCGAAGAAGGCTTCGACCCGAAATGGCCAAATGGTGCTCGGATCGCGGTTTCATTCGTTCTCAACTATGAGTCAGTTACGCCACCGAGATACTGCTGCTGTTACTAATACCAAGTTCAGGGAAGGCGGAGAGCGAAGCATGCTAGACGGAGATCCTTTCTCGGAACCTTACTTGTGGGAGAAAGGCGCATCAGGAGGCTACAAAGAAGGCGCCAGGTACCTGAACGCTGAACAAGACTTCGAGTATGGAAGTCGCTCAGCCTCTTGGCGCCTCATTCGCCTCTTCAAAGAGTTTGGATGGAGCTTTACTACTTACGCCGTAGCGTACGCCCTCAAACGCAACCCGACCTTTGCAAAGGCGCTGGTCCGAGATGGTCACGAGATTGCTTGTCATGGACTCAGATGGCTAGACATCTGGAACTACTCGCTTGAAGAGGACAAGGAGTACATCAAGCAGAACATTTTGATGCTGAAGGAAGTATCGGGCGAAATGCCTGTCGGCGCTTACTTTGGCCGCGGCACACCCAACACCCCTTCATTGTTCCCAGAAGTTTGGAAGAGCCTTGGAGGAGAGTTTCTTTGGTCCTCAGAATGTTATAACGACGATGTTCCTTACTGGCTCGATTTGCCATGGGAGAAGGACTTGCCAGAGGAGAAGCGGGAAGGCATGCTCCTCATCCCGTACAACTACGATTGCAACGACGGGAAATTCCACATGTCGCCTGGTTTTGGCAGCTCCGTTGCGGAAACATATGAGCAATATTTGAAGAATACCTTTGATTGCTTGTACAGGGAGGGCGGAAAGTTGATGAACATCCCCTTGCATACACGCATTATCGGCAAACCAGGTAGATCGGAGGCTTTGAGGAAGTTCATGAAGTACGTTGCGGAGAAGGAAGGCGTCTGGGTCACAACGAGACGGGACATCGCCAAACACATGAGAGCCAACTTTCCATACAAGCCCAACGGGGAGTGGACGAAGGGTGTATGAGGCAAATATCGCGGGACAATGTCAAATAGCTCATTGATAGTTGTCACGTTTGCTACGAGTTACTACAGTTTTAGTTTGACTCTGCAATAAAAGCACGATAAGCGATTCCAAAATACATCTGAAGAAATGTTGAACCACATATTGTGAATAGCTGCTACCTTGGCTTTCCGCCGAACTTGGTTTTCAGCGTAGCTAACGCTCCATAATATTGAGGTAGAGAGAGAGAGGAACACAGCAAAAGGTAGTTGGGCATAGATCACGAAGATGAAGACGGAACCTGATCGAAACGTTAAAGAAGTAAGCGTGTCACGAAGTAACTTCAAAAATCAAACATCTTGGCGTTGTCAGTTGCAATTTGCTGACTACACATTGTCATTGAGATCTCGAGGCGTCAGACGGAAAGCTCCTCTTGGTACCATTGAATGCCGAAAGCGGCCAGTTGACTAAAGTGGGATAGTCGGAGCCTCCGATCGGAGTTGACTCGTCGACTGTCGGACAACATCCGAGGACCCTAGCCCGACACGGATTAGTTCCGACAATAAGAAACAGCATGCAGGCGACATCGGCAACATACAGAGGATTCATCTTGTATGTAAATCGGATCTCCGCCCCTATCTTCCGAATGGCAGTTCGGAGTCTCCAGCACAGCAACCCTAGGCATCAGACGGCGGACATGACGTCCGAAACTCAAAACTCGGTATCATCGCCCCTGGTGACGCCCGGGGCAGTGCCTGTGAATCCTAGGAAGAGGGGCAGGACCGCGTGTACGCGATGCAAAAGTCGTAAGCAAAAGGTACCCAATGTAGTCCACAGTCTGTAGGTCGAGCGTCTCCCTCTAATTCAGGCTCAAGTGTGACGATCAATTGCCCATATGCTCCAATTGCCGTAAATCGGGAGCACAGTGTGACAAGGCAGATGTCGCTGATGAGGCTCCTTCAATTGCGTAAGTACACCTTAGCATTGGATTTCTATCACATCTGGCTTTGGAGAGAGTTTGAACTGAGGACTGATGCAGATACACACGGGCACTAGAAGAACGGGTGGCCTTCTTGGAGAATAAGCTAGCTCAAGTCCCTACCCCGGAGGCATCCACAACTCCAAGGGAAACCGCAAGCAACTATTCGGTTCCATCAGGTCGAGACAAGAATGTCCTCAGCGACGTGGTCGCGCACGTCTCGCTAGGAAACTTCGAGGCGCCCGCCTACGTTGGTCCCTCGTCCGGGTTATCTCTAGCTCTGAACCTCGGCGAAATGGTTCAAGCTACTGTGTGGAACAAGATGTTGCCAGACATACAGGATGGCACCACCGGCAACCAAGCTAATTGCATCAATCCTAGTCCGAGATGCATCACGGTGGAAGACCTCCTGGCCCATAGCGTCAAGGAGCCTCCGAGTGATGTGCAGGGGTCTCAGATGCTGAAAGCCTATACGTCACAGCTGCACTCCAAGTACCCCTTCCTTGAGCCTGAAGAGTTGTGGAAGTTGCATAATGATAGACTTACCCTGGCTGCAAAACCAGCACAGACTTTGACGAGGGTTGAACGTTTTGGTATCTTTAAGCTGTATCTTGTGTACGCTATGGGTGCAACTTTGGTGCAACTGACCCAAAGAGAACCAGGATTATCTCCAGAGGTACGACCTTTTAACATCCCGATACCTTGTGACTGAAACCATTGACATCTCTCTTCAAGGCTCTTTACATCACCGCTTTGCAGCACATCTCAGCAGCTAGAGAGTCGAGGACTGTGCAAAACATAGAGGCCATGACGTTACTAGTCATGTTCCATCTTCGGTCAACGTCTAGCCATGGACTATGGTACATGATTGGCCTAGCAATGAGAACATCGATTGATTTGGGCTTGCATCGCGCGGCACATGAACAGAATCTTGCTGGTGCTATCGTCCAAAGAAGACGCAGGCTATTCTGGTCTGTCTATTCTCTCGAGAGAACAATAGCAGTGTCACTAGGCCGGCCTCTGAGCATAGCCGATAACCAGATTGACGTTGAGCTCCCGAGTGCCATCATCAACGGGAGTCCATCTGCTTCAATTATTTTAGGAAACGATATCACACTGGCACTAGTCCTATTCAAGCTTCGAAGAATCGAGTCCAAGATCCATCACTCAGTCTACCGCACGGACAAGACTCTGGATGCACTCCGACCTAAACTGGACCGGCTACACCAGCGACTCAAGACTTGGCGGGATTCTCTGACAGACTGGATTCCAGCAGCACATCCTGATCTCAACTATGCTCTATTACTGTATAATCGTGCACTTCGACTTTTGATCCAGCCCTTTTTGCCGATCTTATCAGCCGCGGACCCGTTCTACGCATTATGCATGCGAGCAGCAGGCGATATTTGTCAAGCACACAAGAGACTGCATCAGACACTGGACTACGGCCACAGCTTCATCGCAGTTCAAACAGTCTTTGTGGCTGGAGTCACCCTGTTGTATGGACTTTGGACGCAAGGCAACACACTTTGGTCGGTGGCTCTGTCAAACGACATTAGAGCTTGCTCTCTGGTGCTCTTCGTCATGGGGGAGAGGGCCCCTTGGGTCCGCAAATACCGAGATGCTTTCGAGGTTCTGGTCAATGCAGCCATGGAAAAGCTGCAAGATAACGAGTCTGGTCTTGCAGAAATGGCATCGGTCCAGATGAGAGCCGGGAAGGCATCTGGTACCGCGGAGAGCCTCAATGGTCAGAATCCTGATCTCAGCGGGAATGAGACCGCGGCGCGTCCGGCAGATGGTATTTATGATCAGTTTTCAATGTCTGAGGATGGTGGCATAGCGGTTGGAGAGTTTGAGGGTGCTTGGCCGATGGTTGCAGAGCTTGCCAATTGGATCGACCAAGACACGGGAGGCGGAAGTCCTGTTTGGATGCCGAACTTTGAGTTATTACAGAGTCTTTCAGGTACATGGAACGAGTAGTTGAGTCCATTAACTTTATTCTACAAATAGAGGATTTTACATTTCCACATACAAACTATATTCTTTTTGTCTTTAGCAGGGATTGCCTTTGATACCTTAATTGTTTGAACAAGTTTGTCCTTAAGGCTTTGTATCAAATAAAGACTCTCTTATTATGTAAAGTAGGGCTAAAGAACTGAAACATTCAGGAGCTACGTTTGGGATTATGGCAAAGTTCTGACAGACAGATGTACAGGAAAACTAACTAGACACATCGTTTCAAACTGCATACTTCTCGCTCACAGACTCGGCACCAATATTCTTCCCCTCCGTCTGCTTGACTTCAGTACCCTCAACGGAGTAAAAGACACCACGAATAGTGTCGACGCTCTCACCAGGGAAGAATCCCTCTGATGGCGCCATGCTCTCGAAGGTCGTCGTTGCCTGTGACTCCATTCCCCGCGGGTAGACAGGTATGGGCCAGATGACACAGGCCACGTAGTAGACTAACGAGCCCATGGCAAGAGAAAGCAGAAATCCAAGCTTATACATGTTCTTGCTTGCCTGATTGACGGAATCCGGGTCCAAACTCCCAGCAATGCCGTGTACAGTGAACGCAACACCGGCAATCCAAGCGGCCACCGCGCGCACATTCCAACCTTTGTAGTATGTATACGGAGCGCCTTCCACTTTCGTGTACAGACTAGGAACATGGAGATTACCTCGGCGAATGATCCAGTAATCCACGATCATGATCTATATGTTTCGTCAGTACAAAAGAGCATTCCTCACAGACCGGAAGATTACTTACCCCGCAAGTTGGCATCAAGAACACGGTATAGGACCCCAGGAAAGTGAGGAACGAGCTGGCGCTGGCGATAATCTTCCAAGGCACACACAGAGGCGCAAGTAGGGCACATATCACCTGGCCTCTCACGATATTGATGTATCTTGGCCAAAGTCCGCTGGTATCGGCACCAACGGGCAGAGAGTTTGACCCAGCATTGGTCGCAATGATTGCGAGTATCATGCCCTTGTATAACGATCAGCGAGGCAGAAGAAGACACTCTGAATAATATTCAACTTACCACAGAAGCAAAGAACATTCCAGCACGCGCCCCGGGACCCCAGTACTCTGTCAAAATGGCGTTGTAAAGATCCCACACGTTCCAATAGCTCTTGCCGAGAACGCCCGCGGCCGCACTGGTTGTGGCACAACTCAGGAACATGACGAGCACCTTGCTAACCAGGATACCGATGGCCTGCGACCAAGTTGCCTGTGCTGGACGTGTGGCGTACCGAGCAACATCCGGCTGGTTGACGAGAATCGGGCATAGCGCAGCCATGACGCTGTTGATGGCTTGGATCATGGGCCACACAAGCGCCGCTCCGCTGAGGGACTTTGCCCCAAAGTTGAAGCCTCCTAGACTACCCCCGTTTGCATGCACTGCCCATCCCAAGACGCCGACCAGGCCTGCAGTTGTTGCCACCGACTTCACCACGAAGAGATGTCGGAGGATGGTCGGGTGGATGAACATGACTGGGAACTGGACAATCCAGAAAATGAAGAAAGCCAACAGGTTCTTGGAAGTGATGCCCGCACTAGTCGGTAATCGATTGGGGATATTGTCCCATCCGGCGCCGAATATAGCTCGGAGGGCTACTGAGGTGAGCATGCCGCCGTAAAATGACTGAGTTGCGAAGTAGATGACGGCAACGGAGGCGCGCACGACGATGAAGAGTTTTGCACCACTAACACCAGCAGCAGCGCGCACATAGACGGGAAACCCGACATGATAGCGAGTTGCACCGCGGGAGTTGAGGATGACGACAACGCTGAGGATCGCGGAGCCGATCACAGCTGCAATCATGCCGTGCCACCATTGCTACACGTTTTATTGTTAGAACAAACTTGAGTAATCACTGCTGAGCCAACATACCAAGCCGATTGAGATGAGGGTCGCTCCGAGGTTATAAGAGCCAGGAGAAAATGTCTGAGTCAAGTAGTACGTGAAGAAGTGTAAAGCTGTCCACTTTCGGTGCTCTTCAACGCCACATCAGCCATTCATCCACTCTCAAAGAAGTTTGCATATAAACTTACCTAGAGGAGTCGGAAGCAAGTCTTCGTTAAAGTAGGCCGTTCCTCCTTCAGGATGTTCTTTGGTTTGAATGAACTGTTTGAGCTCCTGCCGGGACGAGCAGGCTCGTTTGAGCCTGGTCAAGAATACCATTTTCATTGGTTGCGAGCCCGTGTAGCAATTCAGAAAAACCTTGTAATTTGCATTCGGAGTGCTCAACTAACGTACATCGCGAAGTTTGCAATTCTTCATTGTGAGTATTTATCAATTTGAGGTCGTATTAGCTTATCGCGAATGAGCCTTTTTGCCAGTGCCACAAACCCATCTCCAGGTGAGCCTTTCGATAAGAACCAGCTTAGCTACCAAGTTGGTATCTTCAGCTAGACGAGTGAGCTTAGCCTTTGATAACATGGCCCTGCAGAAGAGCGAATCATGCGTGATAAATAGCGTCGGACATGTGCCGAGAATGATAAGCGAGCAGCGAGCACATAGCCGCCGCGGATCGGATGCTCCGACTCGCAAAGACTTTTGTGGAGTCCATCGCTTCAAAAGTTGCCGAAGTCCCTTGTTGGCCTGACCATGACGCACCCATATTTCCAACCGTCGCCGTTTGGATTCGCCCCTCCTACGACTTTTCAGCCCAAGTTTTTTTTTCTTCCTGCCGAACCCGGAGCCGAGATGAGACCGATTGACCAATCTTTGACGGCGGTGATCCGAGTCTTGGCTCCCCCGGACGTCGGTATCCGCTCTCAACGTCGGGCTTGTCTCTTGAAAATTTTCGTGGGCTGGACCTTTTACTCACTGGTTCAGCCACAAGGGATTTAACTTTTTTAATCATTCGTTCAGAGGCAATCTACTCTACCTTAATATCTGCTTTATCGGATTTCCTTCACATCGTCCCAATCGATCCACGGCCAGGGTTGCAGCATGAGGGGCGACCAAGAAATAACCAAAGCCGAAAAGGCTCTTCACGATCAGACGAACATTTTGCCTCTCAGGAAACTTCTCGTAGTCTTTTCAACGCTTGCAGTCACGTTACTCGTCTCGTTTATCGACCAAAATGGCATCAGCATCACTTTGCCAACCATTGCGGCGGACCTCAACGCGGAGGACACCATCTCGTGGGCGGGTACGACATCGCTCATCGCCAACACGACATTTCAGATGCTCTACGGGCGGTTTTCAGATATTTTTGGCAGAAAAGCCGTCTTTTTGAGCGCCATAGGCCTTCTGTCCATCGCAGACTTGCTCTGCGGGCTTTCGCAGAATGCAACCATGTTTTACATCTTTCGTGGCGTTGCGGGCATCGGCGGAGGTGGTATCACGAATCTGGCCATGATTATTGTCTCAGATGTTGTTACTCTGGAGCAGCGGGGCAAATACCAAGGAATCTTGGGCTCAATGGTCGGCCTAGGAAATGTCTTGGGGCCTTTTCTTGCTGCCGCCTTTGTTGAGAGAGCAACTTGGAGAGCGTTCTTTTGGATGCTCTCACCCCTCGGCGTCATTGTCGGTATTATCTCATACTTCTTCTTGCCGTCTAAGCCGCCGGATGAAGACTTTATGAAGAGTGTCAAGAAGATCGACTATGCAGGCTCATTCACCTCGTCAGCCGGTGTCATCTTGTTGCTGATCCCTATCTCAGGAGGTGAGCTTTCATGAGCCTCATGATATTCCATTGCAGGGCAAATACTTATCCCATCTAGGTGGCGCATACTTCCCGTGGAACTCGGCGATGGTCATCAGCATGTTGACCATAGCGGCATTGGCTCTTGTGTCTTTTGTCATTGTGGAGTGGAAGTTTGCGAAGCTCCCGATGATGCCAGGTAACTTCCCTTCATGAGACACTGGCTCAGGATAACAGCTAATTGTGAACAGTCCCAATCTTTAAGAACAAAGTTGTCGTTGTTCTCTTGGCACAGTCCTTCCTATTCGGCGCAGTATACCAGGGATATCTTTACTACATTCCCCTCTATCTACAGAATGCTCACCAGTACTCCGTCATTCAATCTGCGGGGATCTACGTCGCTCTCGTAGTTTGCCAGTCTGTATTTTCAATCATCTCGGGGCAGTACATATCTAGAACCCAGCGCTATGGAGAGGTTATCTGGGCAGGCTTCGGCCTTTGGACACTGTGAGTCAAGGATATTCCAACATTAGCAAGCATTCATGCAACGTACTAATAATCTCCATAGAGGAGCAGGGCTCACACTGATTTACGACCGGCACACCAAGTCCGGGATCATTGTGATTCCTCTGCTAATCATCGGCATTGGCGTGGGGTTCATCTTCCAGCCGACACTCGTGGCCCTCCAAGCCCACTCCATCAAGTCTCGCAGGGCAGTAATCACCTCCAATCGCAACTTCTTTCGATGCGCAGGAGGTGCTTGCGGATTAGCTGTATCTGCGGCAGTCCTCCAAGCAACCTTGCGCGCCAACCTGCCAGAAGGCTTCAAGGGCCTCGCCAGCAGTACCTACTCAATACCGAAACTAAACGATCACGATATGTCTGCTGTCCTCGACGCGTACATGGCGGCAAGTCGTGCAGTCTTCATTCTCCAGATACCACTCATTGGATTGTGCTTGTTGGGCTGTCTCTTTATTAAAGATAGAGGTCTGCATCCGATTGACGAGGCCAAGCCGGAGGATACATTGAGCGAGAGTCGAGATGAAGAGACGGGGATTCCAGAAGAGAAGAGCCCACATAATGGCCCAGGTAATCCCGGCAGTCGTGGGCAAGTGCTGGCAGCTGAGTCAACGCATCAACCGCATCAATAGACTGGGTGGGCAGACGTGAGGTAGAAGCACAAAATTGAGACGGCCAAAGACATGAAATCATAGATTACGACTAATGCTGCTTTAGACATAGAGTTATAGAATGGAATTGAAGTTTGAAGGAAAGATCCACTTGGCAGTGCAGTTGAGCGTGGCAGAGGCAAAAATCCTTCAAGGTGAGGTGTTAAATTCGCCAACAGTGTCGGACTGATGTGTCCTGAGCAAAATAACTGAATGTGCAAGCACATTTGCGGGACGGATACCTCGGTTATTGTTCAACGCTGACAGCACAGAGGGCGAGGATCAAGTCAAACCTACTCTGCCCGGAGGGTTTGAACCCTCGTGGCCACCAACGCGGGTGTTGCCCTATGGCCCATCTTCTAGGTTCGTATTGCTGCTGTGGTCATATTCAAAGCCACCTTCAGAACCAAGTCATCTCTCATGTTTTGCTTCTATTTTGCAAAACACATAATCTCACACTTTGGAAACATTCGGCGGCGAGGAAAAACCGGCCAGTTTGCTCAACCGGCACTGGGGCAGTCTCCACTCAGGTGCACCACAACACAAATGGCTCCGGTATGGACACCGACGTGGCATTCAACAGGAAGCATGAACTTATTCAGCTGCTTGCATCGCGAACTGTGGGTCGTGATCAGGAGACAAAAGTGCCAACAGAAATGCTTTTATGCAGTGCACTACTCAGATTTGTTGTTAAATAATATGGGGATCATCCAATGTAAATGTACGGATTTACCTACTCACAGGTTCAACCTCCTACTTCATCACGAGCCATGCCAGTGACTCAGCCCGTGATCACAGTTACCATTATCGGTACGAGTTAGCTCGCACATTCAAAGAGCGAGTGACGGACGATGACAAGATGCAAGAACGGAAAAGCGTGGCTGGAAATTTCCGAGCTGAATAGTGAACAACTCGCGTCTGACGAGCAGCGGGAACAACACCGAGCTGTGCCGTGGGCCCGTGGCGCATTAAGGTGGAGATCGTGGGATTCCCTTCTCCACGATCCTCCATGTACATTTTGTGCCAACTTCCGTGGGGGTCGTGGGAGGGTGGGGGAGATGATGTGCCGCCAACGCCAGACGTGGAGTGCGTACCTCCTGGGTGACCCCAAACCTAGACGTGGATCGTGTTTGTTGCACATGTGCCGTTTCATGGCGGAGATTCGCGATGCGGGGGGAGCTTTGTTAAGAATGGGATGAATGATCGTATATGCTTCTTCATCCTTTCTCCAGGCTGTACTGCTTCCCGCTACGAGCGCAAGTTTCAAGGTGACTTGAACTATTCACACGCATTTTCCGCCATCTCTTTGGTTCTCGTCCGATATGGTCAAGATCGCATCCGTGCGGTATTACCGCGTAAAGCCTCGTTGGCTCATGGTGAAGATCACCGACGAAAATGGCGAGTATGGTTGGGGCGAGGCTACGCTCGAGGGTCATGACCTGGCTGTTGAAGGTTGTCTTGAGGAGATGATTCCTAGGATACTAGGTCTCGAAGCAGGGTCAGTAGTCCAAATCACTCTACAAAAAAATCGTCTAACTTCCTGGCAGCAACATTGAGCACATCTGGCAAACCTTTTGGCGACATGGCTTCTACCGAGGTGGCCCCGTCTTCATGTCAGCAATGTCAGGCATTGATATTGCGTTATGGGATTTGAAAGGTGCCTGCATTACTCTCCTAGATGCAGATCAAAAGATACCCGAGGAACTTCAGCTAACTGATGATGATGAATAGGGCGTACACTGAAAGTCCCTGTTTACGAACTATTGGGCGGCCAAGTTCGCAACAAGGTGCAAGTGTACTGCTGGATTGGCGGCGACAGACCGTCAGATGTTGAGGCAGCAGCGTAAGCATCTTGACTGGAAATGGGATTCCATGATACTTACCATTGTCATAGCAAGAAGCGCATTGCTCAAGGCCTGACATGCGTCAAGATGAATGCAACCGAGGACTTGAATTGGGTTGACTCACCCAGGGTCCTAAAAGACACAGTCGAGCGTCTCAAGCAAGTCAAAGCCCTCGGCCTTGACGCTGGTCTTGATTTCCATGGCCGTCTTCACAAAGCCATGGCCAAACAGCTGGCCAGAGCTCTCGAACCATATGAGCCCCTGTTCATCGAGGAGCCCCTACTTTGCGAACATCCGGAAGCCATCAAGCAGCTCTCGAACCAGACGACGATCCCCATTGCTTTTGGTGAACGTCTTTATACCAGATGGGACATCAAACGCTTCCTCGAGGATGCCAGCGTCGACATACTTCAGCCAGATATCGCGCATGCTGGAGGAATATCCGAGACGAAGCGCATCGCCACCATGGCAGAAGCGTACGACGTGGCGATTGCACCTCACTGCCCACTTGGCCCTGTCGCATTCGCGGCAAGTGTACAGGTCGCATTATCAGCACCCAACTTTTCCATCCTTGAGATGAGTCTTGGCATGCATTACAATACTGAGGCAGGAGACATTGATCTCTTGACATATTTGAAGAACCCCACCGTTTTCGACATTGAGGGTGGTTATGTCAAGGCGCCCACTGGCTATGGGCTGGGTATCGACATTGACGAGGAGATGGTTATCAAAATTTCCAAGGAGACGGAGCCATGGCAATGTAAGGTCTTCCATGGCCCAGACGGCAGCATTCGCGAATGGTAAAGATGCGCCTTGATGAGTTACGTCGTATCAGAAATGTACCAATATAGCGATTGCCAGATACAGGCTTCACAACATTGAGACAATGCTACGTCGCACCAGCACATGGTTTCTAAAACAATTGAGAACACATTACTCACTTCTTTGGCCACAAAGTCACATCGGTGGTTCCAAATATACTTAGTGTATTTCTTCAAAAGCTCTCCACTGTATTTCTTGACTTCTCGAAGTAACCCGGGAATTGACATACGTTCATACGTCTTATTCACTCTTCATAGAATTGGATGACAACAAGCACCCCCGCGCCTCATCACGCCATGTTTACTCAGACAAGCTCTCGATGCCTTCATGCTGATTCTGGATCGGATGTGAACTGGACTCATGGCGAAGAGGCGAAAGCAAGTGCCGTAAATTGTACAGCACATCAGACGTAGGATTCACTCATCAGCTAGGATACTTTATTTACATCCCCGAGAATAGTCCATCCTCCTGCCGATCCCTTCGATCTTTTTCCTGATCAAATAGTCTTTGGTATTTCCACGTTTACTTAATTACATAGTACGCGTACGCTCACGTCAGTCTCATCGGCCCATCCAGCCCCCATCAACTGTAAGCAGCTCTCCCGAAACGTACAAACTCCCCGCCCCCGCAAGAAACACCGTGGCACCCTTGAAGTCATCCGGGGTGCCCCATCTCCCCGCGGGGATCCTGGCCAGAATACTCGCCGCTCTTTCCGGATTATTGATTAGCGCCTCATTCATGTCCGTGGCGACATACCCAGGCGCAATGGCGTTGACGTTGACACCCTGGCTCGCCCACTCGTTGCTCAACGCCTTCGTCAGCTGTGCTATGCCGCCCTTGGCGGCCGCGTAGGCGGGTACCGTAATGCCGCCCTGGAAGCTCACGAGTGAGGCCACATTGATGATACTACCGCGGTGGCTGTTGACTGGGCTCGGGGTGCGGGTGAGCATGTAAGCGCCAAAGTCTCGGCATAGGGTCCAGACTGTCTTGAGGTTGACTTGGAGAACCTCGTCCCAGTCGCTCATGGGGAACTTGTGTGCGGGGTGCCTGCGTTGGATGCCGGCACAGGTGACTAGAATACTGATGTCGTGGCCATCGGCCAAGATGCGCTTGCTCAAGCCTTCTACTTCCTCCTGACTTGAGAGGTCTGCTGTGTAGATGGTGGCTTTTCTGCCCAGTGCCTCTACTTGTGTTTTTGTCTCGGTGTTGCTTTCATCTCTCTGTCACACAGTCAATAATGTGTTATATCTGTAAGTATAGGCGTCTTCTTACTTGTATGAGAATGATATCTGAACCTGCTTCCGCAAGGGCCACTGCCATGGCCTGGCCAATGCCCCGCGTGCCTCCCGTCACCACGGCCGTGCGGCCTTGCAAGGTGAAGAGCTTTTCTAAAATGGTAGCCATTGTCTTGATTGTCTGAACTTTCGCTGAAGCAAACTGGTCATTCTTGCCTCGTGATCACTCTTCATATCCTTATTCAAGTCAAACCCTTGATGAGCACTATGGTGATCCCCCAGTATCTCAAACTTCCCCCATCTACTTGCGACAACGTAGTATGGATGGACCCCCACGCCGATGCCCAGCTGTACCCGCATTATTTCCCGCCAGCGAGTTCCGATTGTCGGCTCGAAGCGGATTTCTGCATGGAGCCAAACTCAGGTGATTCGTGTTCCGTCTCGTATGATGGCGTTCGAGCATAGGTGCCTGCGGGGAAAGCTGACTTGGAAAGTTGAGCAAGGACGGGGGGGCCACCATCAGGAACGCATCAGACCATTTGCGATCAAGTCCACATCTCTCGGGTTCGTGTCCTCACGTTCGACCCGCTCTCCGCATGGACTTCGGGATGGATGGGGGTCAGAACCGTAGTCCCGGACCCGCAGAGCCGCTCGGATGTCGGGCCAGACCCCGACCGGAGTAGGCACTTTCGTGGGGGTCAGCTCGTTTCCTTTCCGGTGATAGTCTGGTCTCGCTGGCATCTGGTCAGGGTTTAGACAGGTTTGGCTCGGGTCACGTAGCAGGGCTTTGATGCGGGGTTTGTAATATTCATTGGGTCTATTGGATGACACGAATTGTCATGGGGACCTACTGACAACGAGTGAACAGAGGAGTAAGACATCTTATGCCTAGTGAATTATTATGAGTAAAAATGAGAATGACAGTTAGGCGACTGTTCGGAGAGCGTCGGGAAGAGAAAGAAGGAAAAGAGGACGAGGTGGACAATGACCTGTAGCTTGGGGGTGATAGAAAAGCTTCATCATGAACGAATCAGAATTGGTAGTTTAGATCAACATCAAGTCGCAGCATGTTGAGAGTTGAATGTGAACTCGGGTTTAGGTAGCTGTACAATGGATGTCTCATTTGATATTACTGCTAGACCTAAAATGACTCGAAGTGGACAACTCAACAAGCACGTCCCTTTCGAATGGAAGAGTCAAGTATTAAGTTCTGCTGCCGCAGTATTCAGCTGCGCTATGTCGTTGTCTGGGGGCCTTTAATGATGTTTCGATGTTGATAGTTGGGTTGACAGGGTGACGCTCGTGGCCAGTGATGCAGGGGTGGTGATATCTGCAGCTCAAAAGTGCCGCTAACCGGGCCACATTTGGAACCCGGCCAGCAAGACCTTTGAACACGTTGGCCAGAAACATCGTGGCCGCCAAGATCCCATTCTTTTTCCTGTGGTTCATCAGCCTCACAAAAAGCTATCGCTCACAGTTCCCTCGTCTTCAAAGGAATTGACATGGCGTCCAAGTACATCATCACAGGCTGCACCGTGGCTGACAGCGATGAGCTGACCAAGAATAACATCCCCGCTTTCTGGGCGGATCCGCACTGGAATCTCGCCTGGCGCCATCGGACTCTTGAGTACCACATCAGCCAGGTCGCCAAGCGCACGCCGCGGAATCTCATAAGCGATCCAGAGACGAAGCGACAGCAGAAGGCCGTGGACCCCGCTAATGGGCGGATTGTTGGATTCGCCCGCTGGATTCTGCCAGCCTCCCACGCCAAGGACGACAACGGGGCCCCGGCTTGGCTCGATGCCGTAGTTCCGTCTGTCAGTGTTGAGGAGGAAGCAGAGATCCGGCGTGTAGCCGCGACGGCCGATTGGGACCCTAATGATGAGTCGGATGAGCTACTCATTCCTATTCGAGAGGCAAAGAACGAAATACTCGCAAAGAAAGATTACATGCGTGCGTTGAAGATTTTCCTTAAGCTGTCGTCTCTTGCTTATCAATTTCTCATAGGACTGGATTACCTTGCTGTTCATCCGGACAACCAGGGTAAGGGGATAGGCACTGCCTTGGTGCAGAGCGGCATGGCACGAGCGAAAGAAATGGGTCTTGACATCTTTATCCATGCCATGGAAGCCGGAGTAGATCTCTATAAGCGTCTTGGGTTCTGTATCGAAAAGGAATTTTTCCAAGACGATACCACATACGGTGGAAACGGGCAGGTATATACAGCCCTCATGATATTCAAGCAAGACTAGAAACACTCCGATTTGTTGAAACGAATCAAACCAATCAAAGCCTAGACTCTGCGCGGGTTCGAATTCTACGCTTTGACGCACGTATACTGTATGTTCCCAAATGATCTCCTGAGCATGATGCTTATACAATGGCTAGTTCTCCGGACATTAGCCAAAGACCTGATGCTTCAGTCTTAAGACGCTATCATCTCGTAAGAAATCCTGACGCGAACTTATTTAATTCGTCAGTCGTCTAGGCTGCAGTTTGAGGTAAATGTTCGTTAATTGATCAATACGCCATGGTTCCCTTCATGAAGCCTAACCCCAAACCCGCGCTGTTACATGTAACTAATTTTGCAGTGCCTTCTCGGCCTTAATCAACTCTGAAAACCCATCAATTTGCTTTGTCAGGCGCTCTCCCTCGAGCAATGTGCAAGGCTTCCGCGGAAGTCCTCCGTAGTTATAATACTCTTGCAGTGCTGCCTTGACCGAAACGAATCCTCCTTGGATCGCAGTCCAGTCACCACGGGCCACGACGGCCTGCAACTCCCTTGCCTCTGCCAACTTGCCCTCATCCCAGAGCTTCATGAGCTTCACGCAAGCAAGAGGCGCGATGTTTCCAGTTCCACCAATAATGCCATGGCCACCGACGACAAGCGTCTGCAGCGTGAAGTCGACGCTGCCGCCGAACGTCCGGAACGGGATGGCGTTACCGTCGCCCTTTTTGGCAGCCGTGGCAGCGGCTATCCGCGCCAGCTTGCCAGTGTTGCCGCAGGTTAGCTTCACGCCGACAATGTTGGGGTGACTCGAGAGGTTGATAATGGTATCGGAGTTGAGGTCCAGGCCACTGCAGGCGCCGGGGTAGTTGTAGATGAGGATGGGGACTGGACTTGCGTCCGCAACTTCGCGAAAGTGTTGCAGGATGTGATCAGTGGTGAGAAGGCCTCCGTAGTAAGCTGGCGGGAGGACAAGTGCGTAGTCGCCTCCTGATGCGCCAGCTTCTTTGCAGAGTTGAATGGTTTCTCTTGTCGACTGTGCGCCGCAGCCGACAATCAGAGGGAGTTCGGTTTTTCCTGCCGAGTCGAGCGCGGCTCGTGTAGTGCGGTTGATGTTTTGTCTCTCCTCGTGATCGAGGTGCACGGCTTCGCCATTGGAGCCATGCGTGACGAGACCGGCCACCCCGGCACTGGCAAGGCGGACGGCGTGGGAATGTGTGGTCTCGAGGTCTACTGAGTCGTCGGGACGGAAGAAAGCGACAGTCGGTACGTAGAGGCCGGGCGTCAAAGCCGGCCTTGATCCGTGTTGTGTGCCGTTGCCGTTGTGACTGGCGGAGCCGCCGTTCGCTGAAGGAGACATGGGGGGCCGATTCTGCGGGTTTGGGGTACGAAGGGAGGATACGTGAGGGGAGCTGATTTGGGAGCGGCGCTGGATATGAGGAAGATTTTGGCAGACTAGGTTTATCGTGAGCAAAGCTTTTGTAACAAAGAGAATCCAATACCAGGATGTAAGGGAGTCAGACCAACGCAACGTGGATGATCATGGGATCAACTTTCGCCCCCTTCCCTGTGTCGGTGTAAGTCAAGCACGAAAATCAGTAACATAAGCCGTGGCAGCGACCCATGTAACCACGTAGTCCGAACCCCCACGCCGGCACCTCTCCAAGGAGAGACCAAGGAGAGACTATTCGTGGTCCGAGGCCATCGAAAAGCCCCCCTACCCCCCACAGAATGGAGGAAACGAAGGAGTCGGAGACTATCCGTATCACGCGGGGGTTTATGGTACCAAACAATTACGGTTTTCTCACCCGCTAAACAGGGAGTTTTCCCTCTTTGACTCCATCAAACTCCACTGTATCTTCTCCACAATGGCTTGCCCAGCCGATCAGGTATCTGGATTGTTCCAACTTCCGGGCCGGAATCAGCGTGTTGATCAGTCGAGATGGTGACATCCGCGGTGGAAACCGGCGTGGTTTTCTTTTTCCCCGTACGCACGCGACTCGCTGAATTTGTCGCTGGTTGGAGACTATCATGCGTGTGACGCAGAAACCAGCAGAGAGGTGAGTCTTCCCCGTGGGGGGTTGGTTGTTTCTCATTTGCACGCCCGATCATGCGAGGTACGAGGCCAAAAGAAGAACAAACCCCATCTAGCCGTACTCTTTTTGCACTTCCGCTAACCCTTACCCGGACTGGCGTATGTGCGTATGGCCGTGTCAGATTTCATCTCAAAAATGGATCGACGCTGCCCGGCTATGTTCGGTAAGCCAACCCACGTTCGCTCTCAACTTGGTCACCGCCAGTGCTCCCGGACCCCGGGGGCCCGGCCGCTTCTCAGCTCGCATGCGCGATCAGGTGAGACACTTGAAGCATCTTTCCGCGGGAAGGGTTGTCATTCCCGACTTCTCGGGCGAACATCCCACACTGGCGACGGAAAAATGAGCCCAGTATTGCCACTTGGTCCAATCGGGGAATAGGCCATCATCACTAGCGAGATGTTTGCTGAATCCAACAAACACCCTGCCCTGCTTCGACCAGAGCCCACGCTGTACTATGCTGTGCTGTGCTGTGCTTCTTTCTACCACATACATCATGGGGGGCCCTGGCACAAGCCGTAGAGGAACGGTTCGCTTGAAAGCCAGCACCAGACCAAAAGTGCCCGATTCCCTCAGCAAGTCTCCAAGAGCCCAGAACGTCTTAAGAATCTGACTGTCACGGCAGATGCTGGCGGCCAATCACCCACCACCTCCGAGCTCGCACGCGGTAGAACACATGACCAATAGAATTACGTAACTGGAGGCAAGACTCGGGCTTCTTCATCACAACTTATAAGTGCCGTTTTCGTACGTTGGAGTATGTGGACCACCTGGTCCGCATCACGAGGTTGAGTTCTTTTTTCAGTGGGTTCTCGGTTTTTCCGTTCGTTGTTGGTGCTTCTTTTGGTCGGCTGGACACCTCCTTGTTCTTGACATGCCCTCGTCAGCCTCGTCGTGATGGGCGATGAAAGGGAAATCGCGGACATCACACTTCAACTACTGGCCAAAGCTGGAGAAATTCAACGAAAGGAACAGGGCACGATGCCTTCCGCAACATTGGCATCGAGACTCCGGTTTGGAGCGGCAACGAGCACTGGTCAGACCAGCTCGAAGGCCACGGCGGCGGATAGCGGGGTAACACATCGCCAAGGATCGCACGAGCACAGAGGACGGCACAAAACTCTCCAAGACGCATCTCCTGCCTCTGCCCAATATGCTGCGGAGGGCTCTCTGGGAGATCAAGGTCTGCTACCACCCATCACGCCTACCACAGATACCATGAAGATCCTTGGTCCTCTACCAATGCGGAGGGCTTGGAGGGTCAAAACCGATAGGGCATCACCAGATATCTCGCAGGCATCTGTTCTAGAAGCAATCATGCTTCATGAGCGAGGAGAGTTGCAAAGTTCTGGGGACGAATGCCCCAAATGTCGAAAGGGAGACGGTCTTTCGCCAGAGTGCGTCAAAATGTCGAGCATCTACAACGGCGCGTGCAGCAACTGCTTGATAGCACGGGCGTTAGACCGCCCGGGTTCATTAGCGAAACCGATACGAAGCTATTCAGCCGAACGGCGGTCTATATCAGCAACGATATCCCCTTCCATTCCAAAGGAGGATCTAATCGCTGTATGGAACCTTATTGCGGGCGTGATTGCAACGCAACCCCAGGATTGCTTCACTGAAGACGGATCAGAGCCACCGGGAAAGAAGATTGAAGATGCTGCTCGTTTAGTGGCCAGGTCGGCCGACGAATGGGGTCATACGATCAAGGATGAAGAATCGGATCCTGGGAAGACATCCAAAACACCATCAGAAAGAAGCAAACTCGTCAGACAGGCAACCCGAATCCGAGGGACGGCCTTGCAGATTGCGAATTGCGCGAGGGTTTGGGGCGAAAAGTTGGAAAGAAAGAGATCTTCTTCGCAACCCCGGAGGTGAAGGAGAATTGCGGTAAAACAGTACGCAATCACGGAATTCAACCTAGGTAGTCAAAAGTGACTCATGAAAGCCTCAATGCTAGGAGTACGGTCAAATTTAAAACATCATGAATCAAAGTCACACCGAACACAGTTTCCTCCCAGTGCTTCAGCTTGGCCCGGTTTTCTTCTCGCATAATAGAAGCCTACTCGGAAATAGACGCAATGGCGCAAACCCGTCAATCGCACCCGATGATATCATCCTCCAAAGGGCAAACAAATGGCTGAGCCTCCCTGAACACCCCACGGACCCGAAACGAAGGTCGACCGAGATTCACCATACTGAGGCCTCCAATCACGAAAACAAGGTTCAGTACCGGCTTCCCCGCGTCAGACCAGGAAGATGGCCGAGAAATGAGGGGGAAAGATGGGGTGATGGGGCGCCACGTCGGACACCTCTCCAGACCCCTGGTCATACACGCCGAATGTCATGCCCGGCGACCCCCATCGACCCCCAAGAAGTCTCTCTCTCACCCGTTCCCCCACGATACGCGACACAAGGTCTGCCGACAAAAGGTCAGAGACGCTACAAAGGATCTCTGGGGTATTCACCCGGGTAGCTTATCCGCCTCCGCATTGAACATCGGGTTGCTGAAGTCCAACGTGGTCAGCCTAGTTGCCGGCCGGGATTCGCAACAGCTATCTGACGGATTAGTGTACAAATACTAGGCTGAGTCAGGAGTCCATGTCAGAATTGCACACCCAGCACAGCTCAGCGCCAACCAAAGTCCTTGTGCCACAGCTGGGGCTTCAGCGAGACAAGGTCCAAACCCTACGGCAAATTCGACAATGACTGCAGGCGGCCAGCAGATCGAGGTCCTCCTCTATGGGCTGGGGGCGTGCGTTGCTCCCCGTGAAGACCTGGCCATGTGAGAAACTGACGTGGACTGTTCAGTATTGGATCATTTTATGCCTTCATTCTCAGCAGAGTACCCAAGGTCAGATTAACGGTTGTTGCGAGGTCGAATTACGACGCAGTGAAGGAGAATGGAATCGCCATCGCCAGCGAGAACCACGGCGAGCACACCGTACGCCCTTACCGAGGTATGCATATCATTCATGTTCCCTGCGCAGCAACACCAAGAACTTGGTCCTGCCACTCGAGATGCCGAGAAGCTAATGCCGCCAAGTCGTGAGGAATGCCGCAGAGGCAGACGCAAAGTTTGACTACATTGTCTGCGCCCACAAGGCCATCACGCAGGATGCAGTTCCCGCAGAAATCGCCCCGGCAGTAGATGCAGAGAGATCCACGATTGTCATTATTCAGAACGGTGTCGGTAACGAGGTGCCGTTCCGTAAGGCATTTCCCCACACAACAATCATTTCATGCGTGGTAAGTCGGAGGGGAAGTCCCCAAGAACCTGGTTCGGCCTCGTGCTGATGAGACAGACCTGGACCGGAGCCGCTCAGCCGCAGCCCGGACACATCAAACACACAAAGTCCGAAGACATGCAAATAGGATTGTATCCGAATGACACATCCCAGGCAGTGGAGCAACAGCGGCTGGATGAGTTTGCGTCTCTGTTGACGGAGGGCAAGACCGTCTTCCAGGTGGTGCCCAACATCCAAGTCCAGCGATGGGAAAAGGTAGTTTGGAATGCCGCCTGGAACTCGCTCACGACATTAACACTGCTCGACACCCACTCATGGCTGAGCTCCTCAGCCGACGCTACCCCAATGACCCAGCGCCTGATGAGAGAAGTCATTGATGTCGCTAAGGCATGCAAGGTGCCCATCGAGTATGACCTGGTCGACAAGCTGATCGACAAGATCTTGGCCATGCATCCTATCGGTAGCAGCATGCAAAACGACTTCAAAGCCGGGCGGCCGATGGAAGTGGACATCATCCTCGGTTACCCCTACCGAAAGGGCAAGGAACTAGGCATAGCTACCCCAACGCTGGACACCATCTATGTCATTTTGACTGGGACAAACCTTCGTCTCCTAAGGGAGTCTGGGCGCTAGATAGTTTCCACCTAAAAGAAGCACAGCGTAGCAAGCTGAACACGTCCACAGTCCCGGGCCAGTTGACACCATGTCATCTTTACTTGGTGCAAAGTTAATCCTCAGCCTCTGCGTGGGGGGCATCGAATTCCCAGTCCGTCCTCTCTTCCCACCTTCAACTTTGAAGATTCCGCCGAGGTCTGTCCAGCCAAGGCCGCACTAGGTCATAAAGGTCACGGTAGTGTACCATTTTATGCACGGCTACGCTCACCGCAGGCGGACTTCTTCCCATCCCCAACATCCCGACCCCACTACCCGAAGGTGCATGTGGGTAGCTGTCGGTTTGAGGGGAATTAGTGCCATTTCCGTCCCGTCTCTCCACGCGTTCCAGTCGTGCCAACCTATAAACTTGCTTAGCGCGGTGATGGTTTGAGGGGGAACGGGTAGGACCCCATGGGGGGGATCCTCTCACACCCACCTATCTGAAGCAATTATTGGACGATATGGGTATGGGTTTGACGCACCTCGTACGGTCAATGTTGCCCATGACGAACTCGGCTCGAGCTTTTCGCCGAACATCTGAGCGGCCTACGACGCGGGCGGCGATACGACAATAATCGGGGTCTACATAGGTATAAGATGGTTGGATATCGCCGCCCATCTTGGCTGGATGTATAGATGGACCATCAAGAGCGAAGCTGGCTGTCTCTTCTTGACCTCCTGTGAAGATTTAGTCAGCCGTTCATCAAGTAGAGCTTGCCGTCAGAGAGCTTGAAATCACCATGGACACCGCATCAAAGACCGGAGACGGTGTGTCTCAGCTTGAACGTCGCAACACCGAAGATATCGAACAGCTCAAGCACCAGGGCCAGAACATTGCCAGAGGCGCTGATCGCGCCGCGAACCTTATCGGTGATCAGCAAATCGAGGTCACTGAGGAAGATGTAAGGCGCCCTTACTTTTGAGTTCTCTCGCATGGCAGCTGACTCAACCACTTTCAGAACAAACGCATCCGCCGAAAGACCGACAAGCGAATCCTCTCGATCCTCATCTGGGTCTACTTTCTCCAGATCCTCGACAAGTCCGTCCTCGGCTATGGCGCCATTCACGGCCTAAGAACAGACTGCAACTTGACCGGAAATGAATACTCCATGGTCAGCTCCATCGCCGCCATAGCCCAGCTCGCATGGCAGCCCTTTTCCTCATGGCTCATCGTCAAGGTGCCGCATCGCACTCTGATGGCCGTCTTGGTCTTGGGTTGGGGTATCGCGCAGGTCTGCATGGCTGCATGCCACAACTACGCCGGTCTCTTGGCAACGCGCTTCCTTCTGGGCTTGTTCGAGGCCGGGTGCCTCCCGCTCTTCTCCGTCATCACGTCTCAGTGGTACCGTCGCGCCGAGCAGCCCATGCGCGTGGCATTCTGGTACGGCACAAACGGTCTCGCAACCATGTTCGCCGCCTCCGTCTCTTACGGCCTGGGTCAGATCAGCGGGTCCATCCACTCGTGGCAGATCCTCTTCATCTTTGTCGGCCTGATCACGGTCCTCTCCGCGCCCGTGGTCTGGTTCGTCCTCGACAGCGATATCCCCTCGGCACGCTTCCTCACCGAGCACGAGAAGCTGCAGGCCATCGAACGCCTTCGAGCCAACCAGACCGGCACAGGAGGTAACGAGTTCAAGTGGGGCCAGGTTTGGGAAGCTCTCTACGAGCCCAAGAGCTGGCTCTTTGTCGGTATGGCTGTGTGCCTCAACGTCACCGCCGCTGTGACGAACACCTTTGGCCCCATTGTCATTTCCGGCTTCGGCTTCGACAGCATGAAGAGCTCTCTGCTTAACATTCCGTTCGGTTTCGTCCAGCTCGTCGTCATCTTCCCAGCGTCCTACCTCGCTCACCGATTCCGCATCAAGTCGGCCTTCCTCGCAGCGATCCTCGCCCCTGTGCTCGCCGGGGCGGTTATGCTCTATGTCCTTCCCAGGAACAGCATCCCACCTCTCCTCGCGGCGTACTACATGCTTGCATTCCTCTTCGGTGGAAACCCTCTCATCGTCTCTTGGATGATTTCCAACATTGCCGGTACCACAAAAAAGTCCGTCATCATGTCCTTGTACAATGCGGGGTCGTCTGCCGGCAACATTATCGGGCCGCTCCTCTTCGACGCCAAAGATGCTCCCGAGTACAAGCCTGGTCTTACCAAGGTCATGGGTATCACCTGTGCTTTGCTCGCCGTCATTGGTCTGCAGGTTATCAACCTCTTCATCTCCAATAAGATGCAGGAGCGCAAGAGAGTCGCCAACGGCAAGCCGAGAAAGATTCAGGATCTGAGTATGGAGCACCACTATGTCAGCGCACAGAATGATGCGGCCGGTGCACAGCTGGGAGACAATGCCTTCTTGGACTTGACTGACCGCCAGAATGATGAGTTTGTGTATGTCTACTAAGACAAAATATTGTAGCCATAGTCCTTTGAGCGTTTAATGAGATACCTGAAAGTTGATGTTTGAAAAATATGTTTCCATTTTGATTGTAGTGTCTCGATTATCCCAAATGCTTCTAATCCGTGTTAATCACAATGATAGATAACCTGAAGCTTCGAAAGGTAAGATTGGTATTACGAAACCTGATGCAATCTCTCTGCAACATAGCTCACATGCCAGACACCACCTTTACCCAAAATCCACAGCTCACTATCACTCAGCGCCATGTTCACGGCCAGGTTGCTACCTCCATCCACACGAATAATGCCATATGCTAGCCCGGAAACAAGGTCAATAACATCCACACCGTTGCCAGCTCCAACAAAGCTCCACCTGTTTCTAGAAACTCGAATCTCATCGTAGAAATACGACATTGGGTTGTTCGAGAAGCTGAGGCTTTTCTAAGCCTTCTTAGCATATACCAAAAAAGTGCTAAGGCGTCCAATCCCCGAGTCATGATGTTATTAAGCTTGCAAGGTTGCATTTGTGACTATGTAAAGTCGCTCTGTATCAGTGCCATCAACAAGCCGGACTTACGCCGAGCCGACCTGCTCCGCATCGAACAAACATGTCGGTTGATCCGGTAGTCGTTCTGCCGGTTTTTGGCTCTGATCGACAGAACTCCGACTTGCCTGAATACGGCAGTTCCGAATAAAAGGGGATTTCCATTCTATATTTCAAAGCGAGAATAGCCACGATCAGCCGATTTGCGGAAAAACGCAAGGCAGTCACGCGGCTGTATTCATAAACCGGGTAGATACATCGAGATGGTCCGCATGACAACCTTCTAACGCTCAGTCTCCTGAAGGTGGAGAAGTACTGCAGGGGCCAGAGCCTACGGCAGCATGCAAGAAGAATTGTATCAAAAGTCTTTTTTCTATCCTCCAGTCGCTAACTGATTCTTTGTCGCTTTTAGTTTATTGAATAATTGTATAGGCTCTCATCAGTTTATTCTAACTAAGCGACGCTCTAATAAGGAAGATGGGTGGCTTTAATAGTGGGCATTTGCTTGACAACTACTAGCTGCCTATTGTGGATTTAAGGTTCAATTTTTACAAAGTCTCAAGTATATAGAGCCCTCGCTTATTTATTTAGCCTTCATGATTCAGTTGATTAAAACCCGACGAGACTGTTAACAGGCAGGTCATAAGAACGGTCTTAGAAAGGCTCTTACCCTCTTGTCACCGTATTATCAGACTTATGATACATTTCTTCTTGCTGGCTGTCGTAGGAGCTGCCCATCAAGCTCGTCTCCGAACCAGACCTTAGGACAGAGTATTCCCGATGATAGTAAAATATCAATAGAGATGACCAACCACAATGAAATGGAATTGTCAAATCTTTTACTCTTGAGGGATTCAAAAGGCGACACCGGAGGCATCCATGGAGAGTTCAAATAGCTCCATCTTTAGAAATGGCTGTAAACCGCGAAAATTTGCAGAAAACGGCCTCGAGCTCCTAGACAAGAGACTTGGAGGGGCCGATATGCACTACATTCCCTCTTGAGCGATTTTCTCCAGCATGGAAGCGACCTCTTGAGTTTGCGAAGAAGGTTCCTGTTCTTAGCGAGCTCGGTTCAAGGATGAGTGGTGTAAAGCATGGTCAGATAAGGCGGGTGCCACGTCGGAAGATTTGAACTGCGAGTTAGGTCGGTTTTTCAGTCATGATCTTCTTCTATCCAATTCTATTCTGCGTTGATTTTGAATCTAGGTTCATCCGGTTAAGTTGAAATTTTCCGTCTCGACTAGCAAGGGTGTTCCCCGTAGCACCGGAACCTCGCTAACATGGAAAGGTTGACGTAGTCTGAGAAGTCATCGCCAGTGTTTATAAGTTGATTTTGAAACTCTGAATACTGAAGGTTGTCAGTGGGAACCGGAATCTTAAGAGAATACGTCATTTCCGAAAACTGAAAAGAAGGCTGGCTTTATTGCCGAGGTTGTGTGAAAGAAGATCTGTTGGCTTTGGCACGTTTACTGAACTTTGCCAAATGGCAGAGATCAAGGTGAATAAGCCGATCTAACGAAAATTGTGAGAGGGTTGAGAGACGATCGAACATATTGGAGCGGATAGAAGGAGCCCAAGGTTCCAACAAGACTTTAAGGCTTCATAGCCTATTGTCAGTTGATCAGGAAGCCTGGCATAGTAATCAATTGACTTTAATCCAAAATCTACATGTAAATTCTTCCGGTATGATCTTCACATTTTACAGCTCCAAATCTAACGTCCAAGGTAAGTCACAAGTCAATCGTTACAGTTGCAACTGTAAGGCCCAGGGTGGGTCATTGGTGAGGCAGGTTTCTGGATTCTTCACTGCAGTGCTGTTCTAGTTTTCAGCAGAGTGTTTCTGTAGGAGTCACCACCGAAAACTGTGTAGCATACTGTTAAAAAGAAGAATTTTCGTACGGTACTAAGTAGTAAGCCAACTACACTGCCCTATCATTTCTAGTTCTGATCTTCTATTCCTTTGCTCCCCACCTGCGTCAAGTCATAAGTTGTTCGAACGTTCAATCATCAATGGCTTGCGTTTCCAGGCGGACAAACGGCCGAATTTGGTAACACATCGGTGCCTCCTGAACCATCAAAGTAGCAGATACCATCGTCATTCTTGCAAGTAACGCCTGGACCAGGGCAGCACCATCCGTATGCAAACCACTCGTAGTTCTGTAGGCCCATTGGTTAGCACATGGCTCTGGAGAGAGGGCGGCCAAGGACGACTAATTTCTAGAGCGTTCCTTTGCATCAGTAGTGGTACAGTTTTACTTACATAGCATGGAACGGGGGATGGCACAGCACTACTTGAAGCGGGCGGGTTGATGTTCGTTGCCGTCACAACTTCCAAAATAGATGACCCTGATGTTGTACCAACAGCCGGTGTGACTAGCGGAAGCGACTTGGTTGGCGTTGGCGGAAGGGAGCTAGAGCTAGATCCCGTGCTCGTTCTTGTGGTTCCCGCACCACCTGCACCGCCTGCACCTCCATCTCCACCTCCACCTCCGCCGCCGCCTTTGCCGCTGCCTCCATCACCGCCTCCGCCACCACCTCCATTGCCACCTCCGCTGCCACCGGGAGGCGCAGCAGCCCCACCGCCATCTATGGGACTAGGAACTGGGGTGGTGGGGTTTTTACTGGCATTGAAGGTGGGGGTAGAACGCCCTGTGATACTTGAATGTATGCCGGAGGTGGGTGTTGACGATGGACGCGTGCTGAAGCTGAGGCTGGAGTGAGACGAGGAGGAACCGTGGGAGCTGCTAGCCTTGGAACTTGAAGATGGGGGCGCGCGTGAGCTACTGCTCATACTAGAAGAAGAGGCAGTGCTGAACCCGGAAGACTTTGAGCTTCTGCTTGAAGTTTTGCTAGGGCTTGACGAGCGGCTACTTGAACGGCGGGTGCTTGTTCTCTTCTTCGTCTTGTGCTTGCTCGTAGTGTTGCTGGAGAAAAGAGTTGAAAACGTGCTTGGCCCCGTCGAGTAAAACCCTGGCGGAGGGGTTATCGTGGGATGCAAAGACCCTGTTGGATACGGAGGAGGGCTATAGTGCGGTGGTGTGGTATGAGGGTAAAGCTCGGCTCTCTCAAGCAACTCACGAGCGGCCGCTGCTCCATTATGGTGCTGGGCCTGAACTGAGAGTGTCAAAGCGAACGTTGTGAAAAGAGTGGAAATGTGCATTTTGGAATGATAATCGCCAACAAGTGAGTGAGTGAGTGACCAGGACCCAAACGAGTGTGTGAGTCTAGTGTGCCGAGCTAACATGAATCACTTGAGAGAAGGGCTTACTCTTTTCTTTTGTACGCTTACAACGTATCATTGACACCTTCCATAATAGGATGATTCACGCAGGGCTGAGATGCCAATTGAGTATGCAAATCCACCAAAACCCACATAGGTGGCTCTGTATCAAGACATCTTCCTTGGACGGAGCGATCATGACGGCAGAGCCCCTGGTTACGGAGTCCTCGGTTCGTATTCCTCGCCGACGGGACGAGTCCGCTTCCCGCTTTACACTTCCACCGCTTCCATGTTGTCCGCGGCCCGCCGACAGCTACGGCCTAAATCCGGATAGCATTGGATAACATTGCGTCTAAAATCAACCCGATGAACCGCCGCAACGCTGTGTGGAGCCACGTGCCTGACAGGAGGAGCTAGCTCGAGTCAGAAGCTTTGAAACTGTATCTTAAAACTGACGCGATAAGTTAGAGCCATGACCCATTTTACCCCTATCTCGCAACTAGCAGGAAGGCTGCGCAGAGTATGTGGATATAGCTGCCCCTCCAATCAATCTAAATGTCCAAGCGCATTTGGGCCACGCGGCCATGATCCGAACAATTCACTGGCTAGGAACTTCAACAAGTGTCCGTCGCTGGATCTTAGTGCTCACCGAAATAAATCATCATTAAATTTGGATGCTTCATCCACGTGGAAACAATTTCGACACCAATTTGTACAAACCTCGACTGATCTCTAGCACACACACTAAGGAAACACTGAAATTTGGACAGGCGTTAGCCCGTTCGCCTTGCTACTTCTCTATTCTTTTGCCTATGTCGTCATCATAGGTCCATGCTCATGCTAAGATAAATAGACAGCGCCTAATAATTTATGTGCCCCATGTGGTAATGAACTCTCGTAAAATAGCCTCAATACCCCGGTACAAGGTTTCCCTTTTCATTTGGATAGGAACACAGTCCTCATTTGACAAATTCTCGTTCACTTCGTCCGCGAGGTTATCGGAGACAATGTGCAGGTAACCAAATTGGATACCCTCATCCAAAGCTGCCTTTGCCATGTGTCCTGATTCACAGTCAACCCAGGAAGACGTCTTTTGCCATTGCCGTAACCATTCCTTGGTCTCGCATAATGGTGACGGAACGGAAACATGGCTCCCCCGTACTGCCAAATCAGAGACTTTTGCGGCTTCTCGTATAGGGTCCTTCCAAGAAATGCGGCTTCCATCCATGAATGATTCGTTTCCAGTAGCAATCCACTCGTTAGCGGCAAAGCCCTTTGCCATCGACCCGACCTTGCCGATGTAGAGAACACACTGGAGCTTTGATATTTGTCGTAGCACACGGACCAGGGAACCTGCTGCCTCACCCCAGAGTCCCTCTCTGCATCCTAGTAGTGTAATGCTTTTGCCTTGGGCAGACCTATAGGTGCACGTGCCATGCAAAAAGATCATCCAGAGTCCGGGAACGAGTTGAGTCAGGTTGTGAACTTCGCCGAAGATGACGACGTCTGTTGATCCAAGTTCCTGGAGATTTGATTGTCGGAGGACATCCACGGTTTCCGAAACTGTCGGGAGAATTCGTTCAACTTTGACATTTCTATTTTCGAATCTTAGGTACGTCGCTACCACGCTGCTGTAATGTTGAACAAAGACTGGACAGGGAAAGCAATGAAGCTCTATGGTTGAATCATTGATGATGGCTGCTGTCGGGCGTTGAAAGTTGAAAGGTTTGGGCGGCTTTTCAGTTTCCCACACAGATCTTGTCGCAGGGGGTTTTCTCCGGAGTGAGCCGGTGACTCGAATCGTCTGCAATCCAGTCCGTTGGATATCTTGATGAAGCCTTTGATAGACGTACGTCCGCAGGGATTCACCCATTGTATGCTCTTCCGGGCTATGGGTGAAGATCTCCATTGCGTTCGCTGCCAGGGTGATATGTTGAAATGGCGATTGAGCCCTTTTTACAATGAGTCCACGAATGCCTTGAACATGCCAAGTCGCTTCCCAGTGAACGATCTCTGATTCAAATGGAACAGCAAAGCCCGACACCTGGGCGTCTAAAAAACCAAGCAACCTCACGGGCGCCGTCAATTTCCAATTCTATGAACGAGAAGAGTAATCCTGCAGCCGTACGGCCGAATCATCAATCTCAGAATGATGCCGACTTGCTGGACTCATATCACGAAGCCTCCGTCAGCCCAGAACACAGTACGACTCATGGCGTATTCCAGCATGATGCCAACGATGGCGCTCTCATTGGGGAGACAAACTCCGCTCGCAGCATTACGAACAAACCAGGAGATATAGCTCCCGACTTTACCGGCAATCTAGACGATCCTCATAACTCGACAACAAGCAACGCCTACATTGGTTATTCAGACGTAGACAGTGGCCTTTCAATCCTAGAGCTGAATACAACCGACCAGACAAACATTTCTATCATTCCGAATCAGTCGGGAGTTGTTCGATTCGCAAAGGCACAGGAGCCAGAGCACAGGCAATATCACTCTATCGCCCTCAGGTAAGTCCTGTGCAAAAGTTTCTGGTGGGATGCTAGGCTTCATGTCCCACCAAATTATACGTTGAATATTGCGGCATGGTGCTGACAGGATCTCCACATGTAGGCCTCCAGATGGAGAAGGTAACCGTAAGATAGTAGAGAAATGGATGACGCAGGAGGAGCTTCTCGGTTTCAAGGCAAGAGCAACCTGCTCAGTTATGCTCACTATGTTCTAAATGTAAGCTGTCAAGATTGATAATCAGAGCGGTCCAACAGCCATGTAAGTCATTCAAAGCCCTGATATGGAGCCGGAATGCCTCTCCTGCTGACTCCCAAAGATTCTTGCTGCGCGTAACTGAAATTCTCAAAACGGACGAGAGTTTTCGGGATAAACTAGCCACCACGTTCGCCATGGATAGCTTCTTTCTCACAAACACAGCTTACGACTCCAACGGGTTCTTTCTCGAGAAGACCAGCCAGGAGACTAGCAAGGCGCCAGGTGAGATGGTTTTCATTCCAATGAAGCCCTTCTAACATGACATTTCTCCAGCGACTGCCTACGGCTGCCGCTTCTTGGTCAAGGAACTTTCATTGGTTCCAGACCCAGACAAACTCGAAAAAATCCAGGACTTTGTGCATACGACAATCTTTCGAGAGTCTAGATCAGCTAATGAGTCACCGAAGCAAGCTACGCCCAGCTCCGGCGACATCATATCCTTAGATGATGACTCAGTTGACACCCTCATCAAGTAGCTTGAAGATCAAATCGAGAAGTTGAAACCACGCTTGGAGATACCTCCCCTGCCGAGGCAAAAGCCTGAGCCCACTGCGGAGACATGGTCAAATCCTACGGGCTTCAGGGATGCTCTCGACTTTTGGCTTCGAACGGAATTAGAGAGAGTAGTTTGGGCACGTCAAAACCAGCAGGGGCAGCATGAGGATGAACGACCTTCGAGGAAGGATCTGTATCAGTTGATCACCGCCATTCTTCATCGCAGCTATCATGACTTGGGCTGCATAGGCGAAGTCGAGAAGGGGCAGATAATCAAGTCAAGCACTACCCAGGTAGCAAAAGTCTCTGACGTCAAGGGAAAAAACGAAGCCCCCGAAATGCCCAGTAGCATGTGGAGAAGGACGATCGGACCGATCAGAGACAGAAATGCACCACCACTCGATGCTGAAAAAGGCCGCCTGCCAGTTCACACGGAGCCCGGTATCACTCCCAGCAAGAAAGCCCGGCCCTCGAAACGAAACTATCATTGGCTTTTCCTGTCATTCTGGACTGTTTTTCTTCGCCCGAATGAAGATGCTACAGTCAATGGGCGTAGCTCTACCCAGTCCAAAGAGGTAATTCCTTGCTTCGACAACGCATCTGGGAGCCGGATGAAAGAAAGGATGAAGGCGATTCTCCTCGAACAGTACCCTCGAAGCATACTGCCCCAAGTCATTGAAGAAATTGTCCACATGTATGATGATGCTCTTTGGGGATTCCGAACGCCAGTCCGCGACGTTGAAAAGGAAAGAACCTAGACTCTTGATTGGGCTTCTGCAAATTGCTAACCATGTTTGATACAATAGCTGCGCGGTCAACATGTACCCGAAAGGAACCCAATTAAAGACGATGCAAGAGAAAAGGACGAGAGCGTTCGACGCCGGCAGAACTATTTTGACATGCATGGACTATCGCGCCACCTCATCCACTCCCAGGAAACGTTGTCTGCCGCGGAAACGACATTGAAGGCGAATCTCGACAGCAAACAGCCAGAACTGGTCGCGAAGAGAGCTGGGGAGATATCCCGGTTCAGTGAATTGTTCATCAAGAACTTGAAGTTTCGAGCGGGTTCATTTGTGGAAAGACTCAACAATGAGACATTCCTAGTAGGCAGCCTCCGACGAGGGTGTGCAGTTGCCTACGTTCTCTTGGCTAACACGACGTCAAGGCCCTGCACATCAATAACTTGAAGCAACTTGAAAAAGTTGAAGAGCTCCTGATAGAGAACAAAATGGATGGCAAAGATGTGACGAAAGCTGTTGGCTATGCGTCGGTCTTGTTCCTACCAGGAACATTCATCAGTGTAAGTTACCTCGACCCTTTCCCAGTTTTTTTTCCGACGCCAGACTTACGAACGGAAAAGGGCTTCTTCAGCATGCCATTCTTTGACTATCAAGAATCTAGCTGGCCCAATGCTAGCCAAGTCTGGATCTGGGTCGCTGTCGCACTTCCAATGACTACTGTAGCCTTTCTCTGGCTTTACTGGAGTCGAACGAGAAGTCAGCATTCAGTATCCACGATGTCGGCAAGAAAACGGTCCATCTAGACTAGCTCGAATGTTCAAGGGGCTTCCGTTGGTTAGTGGTGTTCAGGCCGTCGTAGAAACCCAAGATTAATTGCTGCACGAAATGCTTGGTAGGATAAGGAGAGAACCAATTATCTATATCCCCACTCTTTACGGATAGTAATTATACCATTTGGGGCTTTGAGTTTCCACGTATCTTCCGACCCCTCAAAAGAGTTCGTCCGATGCCAACTCAAGACGGCAACTTACCTGTTTCATCTTGAATTACCAGGTGCTTTTGTAATTAGTATGCTTTATTTGAATCCGCTATGTATTCGGTTGACGTGTTTGGCCAGACCTGTCATTATAGGGTCAAAAGAATGACGTGATTGAGTCTCACATCCTTCAATCGTCTTATAAATCATAACCCCACCGTTAACGCCTAGACCCCTCCTCGCGACTCGCGATTATTGAAATTGCGCGGGTTAAACTTTCTAGTCCACCCGCGCTATTATTCAGCTTGTCGCACTACTAAACTATAATAACTGCGGACTACTATCACATCGCTCACAGTCTTCTTAACACAAAAAGGCACTTACCCACCATCGACGATATGGCACGCATTTTCATTACAGGTTCTTCTGACGGACTGGGCGCTGTCGCTGCCCGCACACTCCTCAAGAACGGCCACCAGGTCGTCATCCACGCTCGCAATGCCCAGCGAGCTGAGGATGCAAAGCTGGCCGTGCCAGGCGCCGAGGCTGTCCTTCTCGGCGACCTCTCCAAGATCGAAGAGGTGAAGAAACTTGCCAAAGATGCCAACGAACTGGGAACCTTTGACGTCGTCATACACAACGCAGGCCTCTACCGCGGGCCCTATCGCAAGACCGACCTAGGGCTGCCAAGCTTGACCGCAGTCAATGTTTTTGCGCCATACATCCTCACGTCCTTGATCAACAAACCCAAGAGAGTGGTCTACATCTCTTCAAGCCTGCACAAGAGCGGCGACACCAGCTTCACCGATCCGACGTGGCGCGAGCGCGGCGAGGGAGGGTGGAGCGAGAACCAGGCGTACTGCGACTCGAAGTTGCACGTCACCACTTTGGCCAACGCGGTCGCTCGTCTGTGGCCGGATGTGAAGAGTAATTCGGTTGATCCTGGCTGGGTCCCGACGAAGATGGGCGGTCCCAGCGCGCCTGAAAAGGCAGAGGACGGGGTTGCGAGCTATATTCTGTTGGCGGAGGGAACGGGGGCTGGGAACGTTACTGGAAAGTACTTTAAGCCTCCTGGAAAGGAGGATACTGCCGTGCCATTTACCAAGGATGAGCAGAGACAGGACCAGCTGCTGAAGCTGCTTGAGAAGGAAACGGGGATCAAGCTCCCTGTTGAATAAAATATAGTCAATCTATGCCATTTTCTGAGTAATGAGAAGTTGAGGCCATTTCTGGTTTAAGAGGACAGCTGACCGAGGAGGATGCTTTTGGCTCGATGTGACCCAAGAATCTGACAGCTATCAATCTGACTTGCCCCTGCGCGTCTAGACCCTCTTATTGTTGGAGAGCTTCCAGATGCAATTGATGGTACGTGCCCTATCACTGGTCCCCTCGGCTCACCTCGGTTATCGGGATTTCCCCGTCAGCCGGCCGGTACAGGTACGGATACACGTAGTCAAGATCTCCCGGCCGCTCGTCCGAGTCCAAACGGCGGCTACGCGGCTATGTGATTGAAAAGAAACAGCTTACAGGTGGTACTGAGTAACAGTACTCCGTACCCATGCACTCAAGCAGTGAACGAGACGCGCCTGGGTAGCAGCGATTCTAGACAGGAAGGAACACCGAGGAAATCCCAGAATCCGGCAGCCAGCCCCACACGACCCCGGCATCTATGCCGATCTCGGCGCCGATGGCGCGGGCCAATTCCGAGCGATTCAAACTGGCACCTTTCTCGAATGGGAAAACATGTAGAAAGAGGTCTTGTGATCAGAGACTGAGTAGATAGTGAAGCTTATTTGAAATTCTCAACCGAATACCGGCGCAGATTCACCAGTCAGTTGTTGCGCGTACTGGCCATTGCTAGCGATCGTCCGGTCACTTTGTAAGTGGAGGCTGGCGCCGGGGCTAGAGGGAGTTAAGCTCATTCCAAGCCAATGGCGGCTGGGGTTTACCCATGGGGGCGGATCTAGTCCGCTAGAATACTTAGACTAGAGTCTTTGACAGAATCATTTGGATTCTGTGTGGCTAGCAGCGGCAATGAGAGAGCGGGAGGGAAGGGGGTGTGGGTTTGTGCTCCCCCGTGGGTGTGCTGCACGCTTGCCATTGCCGTCTTGGCCTTTTTCGATGCGATGTTCACGGTCACAGTGGGGCGCACAGTCTCTGATATCCCATCGTTCTGCTACCCAGGGTTCGTCTCATTGCAGGGTGACGACGCTCGGTTGGGGAAGCCGTCACACGGGAGGGGAATGACGCGGCGAGACTTCGGCGTATTCGAGAGCTCTCGAGAGGCTTTTGTCAGATCTTTCTGCTGGTTTCCGGGGAAGAAGAAACGTTGTTGGCTAGTGTCTTATTACAGATGAGCGAGGATACTTTCTGGCGGCTTAATTAGCGGGCTTCGTGATTGTTGTTTGTGTGCATGGATCCTCACCACCGCGCTATCCCCATGTGTTGGCCAAACTCTCCAACCCTCCCCAGACCCCCGACATGGGGGGCGGCATCCTCCCCTCCCCGGACTTGCGTCGACCCTCGTCGACCCTACATCATTTTAGGTGTTTTTGACTCATGGGTAACCCCCGCTCCTGAATTAGTGCTCGTGGTATTACGCCGTCGATGACTCTTGGGGTTCGTATAAAACCGCTGCGTCGCCGGACGAACTTTCGACTTGCTCATAGGGTCTGATCTCCAACTGTTCAGCCTGCTTTCGACTACATCCAACAGCTCATCATGGACAGTCCACACGACAAAACACGCGTCGACCCTGAGAGCCCTTCTATCGAACATCATGGGGACCAGGAGCCATGGCATGGCATGTCCGTCGGCCGCTATCTGGGGACACGCTTCACCACACTGAAGCCGCCTATGCTGAGCGCGCCGAACCCCTTGAGGCTCGTCAGGATGATCAACCGAAGGCAATGGGCCTTCTTCGCTGTCGCATTCGCTGCCTGGGTACGTCTTGGACAATATTTGAAATTCGCCATTTCATGATGTGCTTTTGCTTACGTCTGGTTTCTTCATAGACATGGGACGCCTTCGACTTCTTCACCGTCTCCCTCACCATCACCGAACTCTCCGAAACCTTTGACAAGTCCAAGACCGACATTACTTGGGGCATCACCCTGGTGCTCATGTTCCGATCCGTTGGCTCCATTCTCTTTGGCATCGCAGCAGATCGGTACGGCAGGAAGTGGCCCTTCATCGTGAACAACCTCCTCTTCATCATCCTTGAGCTGGTAAGAAAACTACTCGTCATTTCTTTACTCTTACCTTCGCTACGGTGATTGGCTTCAACTGGCGCATGCTTGCCGAGCTTGGCCGGCGCCAGACAAGCTTTCCCCTCTCCCCTTTCCTGTCTTGGTTGCACCATGGAAGAATCCCTGCTCCCCTCCACAAACCCGTTCTCCCCCTCCCTCTTAGTCTACCTTGTCTTTAGTCACCTGAATGCTAGTTTCATGCCCGGCAGTGGTGACATCCGCAGCTGTTCTTTGTTTGCGGCATTCTTTGTCTCTCTCTCTCCGTTGCTAACAGAGACTGCTTCTCAGGGAACCGGATTCTGCCAGACATATGAGCAATTCTTGGCATGCCGCGCCCTCTTTGGGGTCGCCATGGGCGGTCTGTACGGTAACGCAGCAGCAACCGCTCTCGAAGACCTCCCATCAGAGACCCGCGGAATGATGTCTGGTGTACTACAACAAGGTGTAAGTCCCGGTCCTGAAACCAAGCCAACGAACCCTGCCTCCCCCAAGCCACCAACGCTCCGCCCAACACAACAGTCACGAGACTAACCTTCACTTTGCTGATCAGTACGCCTTTGGATACTTGTTGGCTGCGGCCTTTGCCCGAGGGCTGGTAAACACTACCCCGCACGGCTGGCGCCCTCTCTTCTGGTTCGGAGCCGGTCCGCCAGTCCTCTTCATTGCGTTCCGTCTGATGCTACCCGAGACCGACACCTTTATCGAGCACAAGCGCATCCGCGAGGCGGCCGGGCGACGCGCTGAGGAAGCCGGGCACCAGAGCGTCACCTCGACCTTTTTGAAGGAGGGTAAAGTGGCTCTGCGCAGGCACTGGTTGCTCCTGACCTACCTGGTCCTCCTCATGGCCGGCTTCAACTTCATGTCGCACGGCAGCCAGGATCTCTACCCCACCATGCTGACGAACCAATTCAACTTCAACGCCGACCAAGTCACCGTCACGCAGGTTGTCGCTAACCTGGGCGCCATGCTCGGCGGTACCACGGTCGGCTACTGCAGTCAGATCTTTGGCCGCCGCTTCAGCATTTTGGTCTGCTGCATTGTCGGCGGTGCCCTGCTGTACCCCTACACCTTTGTCACCACCGAGGCCGTCATGGCCGCCGCCTTCTTTGAGCAGTTCTGCGTGCAGGGCGCCTGGGGCGTCATTCCTATCCATCTCATGGAGCTTAGTCCCGGCGCGTTCCGCACGTTTGTGGTCGGTACGTCGTACCAGCTTGGTAACCTCGTCTCGTCGGCCAGCTCGACCATTGAGTCCCGCCTCGGTGAGAACTTTCCGCTTGCGCCAAAGGGGGCTACGAAGCGTTACGACTACGGCAAGGTTATTTGCATCTTTATGGGATGCGTATTTGCCTACGTGCTTTTGTTGACTTTCATCGGTCCCGAGCACCTGCGGCGCAGCTTTGATGTGGCTGATGATTCGGACATGAGGGAGGTTGCTGGGGATGAGATGATGGAGGATGAGTGTCACAATCGCAAGGATCGAGCCGGCCACATTGCGCATAGTGATGAGGAGTTGGGGCACCAGGAGAAATCGGCCACGCACCGGGAGTAGCTCGGAACGGAAGAAAGGAGATAATGGTGGAGCTCAAATTAAGACTGAAAAGATCATGTACCAACAATTTGAACTACTTTTCCGCATAACCTTCTTTCTACCAAGATCGTGTGGAGGAGTAGTACGCTTCAATGCTACTGCGAACTAAGAATTCTACCAGGGTTCCCTTTCAACCTCGATCAGATGACTGGACGTTGAATTGCCTCATGAGAGTTACAGTTCGTTCCGTAGGTTTGCGCCTATTAGAGCTTAATTGAGACGCAATCGGGCCGGCTTGCTCAGATTTACTCCACCTGCGGGTGTCGCTTGAATCTACCGTCCGGAAGGTTTCCCGGCTTCAATCCCGGTGAAATGGATCTCGACACGGACTTTTCACCGGATTCGCCTCGGTGGCATTTGACCATACACGCATGGGGGGTAGTCTACATACATGCACTCACCATGTTCAAGGCCACATCACTGGCCCATGCTACTAGGCTCCTCATGGAAAGGCCAAGAAATTTTTAAAGCCGTTCAGCCGACTGCAAACTAATGCCTCCTGTTCCGGATGAGGACTTTGCCGATTTGAGATTAACAACATCACTGTTCCGTTGCCAAGAGCTACATCATTGAGTACGCTTCGGTATACACAGGCAACTTTCCAATCAGAATTTAGAGACCTAATTCCGAGTTTCATATAGGGATCTTGCCAAGGCTCGCCGTATTGTCGCTCCTGAGGCTTGGACGGAAACACCGTACTTGCCTTCGACTTACTACTGCTCATCCGACATTGTTGATTGGCTGGTGGTTCCCCTGAACTTTGACGTTGTTGATCCTACAAACGGTTGGAAGCTCTACCGCAACGGCACACGCAGTTTTAAGGTCGTTATACTTTTAGTCAGAAGAGGTACTTGCACCCTTGTAACTGAGCAACCTTCTCGCTCTTGGTACCGAGTACGTCTTGTTTTGTAACAATGAAAACCCCATCACAACTCCCGGAACAGATGATAAAGTTGGCCTAATTACGCTCTTTACTGCGGCAGCTGGTAAAGCCATCATTGAGATAGTCCAGGCCGGTGGTAATGTCACAACTGACTTTCTCTCAACCCCAAGTAGGTTGTTGGCCTGGAATACCCGGCAGACGTTCGACCTAATGCTTTCACCTCGTGGGGTGCTTGACATGATCTCGACATCACGCCCCGTATTGCCGTCCTCGATGGCCAAGTCAGTCGATCCGGTCTGACATTCATACCACCATACCGTCCTAACATTGACATAGATCTTCAGCACCTACCTTGACGGCACTTACGCTCTGCTCTATGGCACGTCCATGGCTACTCCATACGTAGCTGGCGTGGCTGCGCTCTTTGTGAGCGCCCAAGGTGGCCGATCGGTGCACGGTAAGTATTGTTTTCCAGCGAGATTATGGAACCGAGGATAGTAGCTGACACTTCCAACTTCCAGGCAAGGGATTTGCCAAGGCATTGTATCTACGAAATATTGCCAACGAAACCTCTTTACCCTGGTCTGACGGAACCGTCACCGATTATGGTGACCGTATTGGTGGCTCAAGTTGGCAAAGACTAACTTTTGGCAGTGTCTACTCTTTCAATCTTGATGCTTTTGTCGCCGATTTCCCGGATATCTACTCGAAGCTCAATTGAAGCAGGAAGGAGGTCCGATGGGATCTAAGTCATGATATAACTTCTGAGAGATGCGAGAACAGGAGCTGATTTATGTCAGATTTACGGGGCTGGTTGGACTGATAGCCAGCGGCCAAAACAGTTAAATTGGCCCAGCCACCACCTATATGGTAGCTGGCAGTGTGTCATACTTTGATCTACGACCCTGGTTGCACTTAGATCTATCTCAGGGCGACCTGTATCGCAATGTTCAGACTCAGGCATCGTATCATGAGTTTTGGTGGTTCGGGGAGCTCGGCAACGAGGTCTCCCCTTGGCAACGAGGGATCGATTAAACCCGGAAGTTACACGTCAATGATGCTGAATTTTTGCATGTTTGCTGAAAGCTAGCTAAAAAATCGCAAAAATAGCATGCGATTTGCTACACTTAGCCTTTTGGAAACCCCGAGGCTGCGACGTTTTCCAGACACCGTAGATCCAAGTCGCTAGGAAGGACGAGAGGCGAGAATGAATCAAGGCAGATTAATTTTCTTATGAGGGTAGAATACCGGGTGAAGATGGTTTATACTCGTCCAAATGTTAGCGACGTTTTTGACACATCATGTTTCCTAGCTCAAGTCTCCCAAAACTCACATTCTTTCAACCCTACTCCGATCGCTTTTGGTAGTCCTCATCCGTGACAGCCTCATGCCACTTCGTTTCTCCAATACCGACGACAAAATGCGTCAGGATGCTTCCATCGTCGGCCCCGTGCCAATGAGTCGTGCCCGGGGGAGCCCAAATAGTGTCTCCCGCCTTGATTCGCTTAGCCTCGCCGCCCTTGTCGCAAACCCAGCCGCTGCCAGCCAGCACTCTAATCATCTGTCCGCCGACGTGGGTGTGCCAGTGCGTCCGAGCGCACGGGGTAAATGTGACATTGGCGATGGCGGCGTTCTCGTCGCGGTTGATGAGTTCCATGTAGACATCGCCGGTAAAGGTGGCTGTTGGCTTCGCTACTGGTGTGGCCGAGGCCGGGATGACCTTTGACTCTGGCATGTTGGTGCTTTTTGGGTTGAAGGTTGGTCGATGTAGGGGAGGGGAGAGTTGATGTTAAGGGTAAGAGCATAAAGGTTTGTGCTTCAAACTGGCGGCGGATACGGCAGATATAATCACGCCATTGAGTCTCCGCTATGTTGGCACATCATGGCAAGTGGAACCGAGAAAGCATCATGCGAGGCCTTTGATCTGGTCTTCAAACACAGAACTGAAGGTAGAATGCAGCAAGGTGAACATCAAACCAGTGGCCTTATCCGGTCATAGTCGCCCACAACTGCCTCTACCCGGACGACTCGGCATCAAAGGCAACCGGCATAGGCACGGGCGCATTTAGACGCCGCGGAGATCAGTTGAAGCGGGGTTGGCTGACAACTCCCCGCTTCTTGATCGATAACTCCGTGTGGTCAAAATTATCTCCGCCGTGCTCTACCGCTCCATGAGTCAAGTCAAACCTGTGCCTGGAGCCGGACATCTGGTGGTCTTCCTCATCCAAAATCAGACTCGATCGATCGATTTGCTGCGATGGAGAAGTTTTGGTAAACACATGTATTCTTCCTAAAGGGTTTTTGAGAGACTGGAACTATACAGCCGAGACATTTCTGCCGCAAAGTACAGCTCGCTCATGAATGCTCGGAATCATCACCATCAGCAATGGTCTGGTTACAATGCAGGCAACAAGTGTTAACATAGGAATCACAGCTGGTAGCAATAGCTTAAAATCAACTCTAATAGAATATTAAGATGAAAGTGGAAAGTAACGAGAAAGCACTGGAATGTTGGGTACATGTACCCAGTTGACATGGTTGCGGTTGTTCAATTAATACGGCTCAACCATATCCTTCCGGTTCATGTAGAAGTTGTCCATGATGGTCTCCTCTGCAGCCTTCATATCGATGCCCTCTGCCTTATCATTCAACCTCTTTTGACTCTCAACCAGGTTCTTGGCAACATCCTTCCAGGCGATGTTTTGTTCTCCCAGTCCCAGGTCGATGGCCCCCTTCACCTCACTAGTGACTGACACAGGCAGCAACTTGCCATTTTCCTTCCTAATCACGCCACCCACAATGACAGCCTCTACGTCTCTCTCGCTCGAATGAAGAACCACCGCCGCGATAGGATCCTCTTCAGCAGCAGGGAGCATGGAAGGGCTGTCGGTGCTAAAAACCACCAAGTCTGCCTTGGCGCCAACGCGGATCTGGCCGACCTCGCCCGCCATGCCAATCGCCCTGGCACCGCCGATCGTGGCGAGGTTAAAGACCTGCTCCGCTGATGGTCCGACGTGGCGACTCCATTTCCCTAGTCTCCGAAGGTTCTCATGTCGCTCAGTGCGGGCGTACTGAAGGCCGAGGCGCATCTGACTGGGCATAAAGCCACTACCACAGCTGTGGCAATCAACGCCGAGACTGGAGTGTGCTTCAAAATCGGGCTGGAGGGCGACTGGTGGCCAGCCCATCTGAAGCTCTGTGTTGGGCGTCGTAGAGATGTAAACGCCGTGCTTCTTGACGAGCTCGGCGTCTCCGTCTTTGGGGAAGTTTGCGTGCGAGAGGAGGACGTCTGAGCCTAGAAGGTTATGACTGTGGAGTATTTGAACAACAGAAGGACCGTTTCCAAAAGCTAGACCAGCGGCGGCATGTGTCGTGATGACCTTGGCGTGTGCAGCGCGAAGCTCTGAGTAGAGATGCTTCATCTGGTCAGGCGATTGATAGATATTGTCCACCACAAACCCGAGCTGGACTCGACCATCTCCGTATGGCCCGCTTGTGGCTATGGACCTCCAAGTCTCGAGGACATGTGGAGAAGTGTAATCGTCCTCCGTGGAGAAGGGGTTCCAGCTAGTCGCTCTGGGTACACAGTAGCAGTATACGGCGCGAAGCCCCGAGGCCACGAGAGCCTGAATCATCGTAGGTGCTAGTTCCTAATGTCAGCATATGATTGAAATTCTGCCGAACAAGAAGCTCACGGAATTCTGGTCCCATGTTCAGACTGGAGTGATCCACAACCGTCGTTGTGCCACCGTCGATGGCTTCGAGGGCGCCGCCAAGCTCACCCCAAAAAGCGTCTTCGGCAGTGTAGAACGCGCCGCCAAAGTTTCCACGTGGTAGATACTCGAGCAGCGTATGGTTGACATGGCGACCCTTGAGTGCAGTTTGCCATACATGGTGATGCGTGCTGATGAAGCCGGGGGAAATGATCTTGCCCTCGCAGTCAAGGACTTTGACATCATCACCGCCCGTTTCGATATTTTGGCCGATTTCTGAAATCTTGTCTCCCTCAATGAGAATGTCCGACCGCTGAGGGTTCACCTTGCCGTCATCCCCGTGAATGAGAAGCACACCATTCTTCAATACAATCCTATTCGCCGAGGTAGTCATGATCTTGATTCAAGACAATAGAATTTGCGGGGAAGTAAGTGTCACTGCCGCCGCATTTTGATGTTTGGGGAATCTTGCGGCTATTTATGACCCCTCCCACCGGCTATATTTGAAAGTAATCAGGCCATGCGATCGTGGGCATGTCAAGTTCATCGCTGTTGCGCCAAGACGAGAAGCCAAATGGAAAAGATTCCCTGTGTTAGTTGCTGAGCCTCGCGCCCTATGTCCGAGTCCTCAAACGCGAAGGGCGCGGGACCCTCGGCCTGTGATGTAAACCTACCACTCGATCCCGGACATTACGGAGATTAAATTAGGATGAGGTGGAAGATCGGCTGAGTGCCCCAACTAGGTAAGTGCCAGACGTCCCCCAACTCTATAAAAGTCTCCTCTGCTACATAACAATATGGCCGACGCATGTATCTTGGTGTATATGATCAAGTACCTTAGTTTATGTGATCGTAAATAGCCCTGCTGAGGTCTCATTTAATTATCGAGTAGTGCACGACGCAACTTCCCATGCTTCTAGAACTAGAGTAGCAAGCTATAGTAAAGTCCAAGCCTGAAGTGACATTTAGTAGATATTCAAGAGATAGCAAATGATTGACACGTTCTCAGCTCCGGACAAAAGTTAAGACCACTTTTTACACCAGCTTCGAAACTGAGACATTGAGCAACGCTGATCCTCCCGTTGAATGCTTACGACATGGAGTCATCCGATTTATAACACGCCATTCACACCGCCGGCCCCTACCCTTCCCTTCGATCTGTCAAGGGACAAGGACTTCGGGAGCACCACGAGTCCTGCTCGGAGCTTTTGAAAGCAGAGCGATTATACAAGTGGTCTGTTGATTCTGAGAAAATTGAATGCTTGAATGGCCCTCTTTTATTCGACAACTTGGCGTACCATGAGTTTATAGATCCGGACACACTAAACATTGAGAAATTGTATTCAAGAGGGAATGGGCACGGTTTTTGGGAGCTGATTGAAACAGTTTATCTGTTCAGTCACAATTGAGTCATAATGTACGGACAGAGTGGGCCTGATGTTCAAAGGAACTTTGGTTCACTCTCTGGGAAAGGCGTGCTTTCTTGACAACGCATTAGGCAGTCGTGAGGAACTATCATGGAATTCATCTCGAGTTTTCAAATAACATATCTCAAGATTAAATACTGTACTACAAAGATGCATGCTTTGAATGCGGATTCTTTCGCTTTACATTGATCCCACAAGGTAGACATGCCCTCTTCTCAAGCAAGCAACTCGCCAAATGCAATGACAAATGTCAATCAGAAACAACCCATGAGCAAGTATGAATATTTGTGCAACGGTCGACCGCTGGTTGCAGTTAATATTCCGCTTGATAATCAGAGATTTGCCTGCCTACTCCAATTGGTTCCTGATTAATGCTGTCCGAATTCAAGAAGAGATCGTAAGCGCGAAAGAATCTTACGAGATAAGCTCCTAACGCAATCTCTGGGTAGACCACGTCTCGGTGGGCTAACTGTAAGTAAGCGGGGTACACTCTTCATGCATGAACGGAACTTTTGTCCAGGGCGAGACGTCAGCTCAAACGTAAGCTCAGCAGCCTATCATAGGACAATTTAAATACACAGAGGATCCTCTAATGACTATTCCAAGCTATCAGACCATCTTCCCGTGTCAATATGCATGGATAATATCTACGGATCGTGCCCAGCTGATTTGCAACAATGGAAAAGTCGCGCAGTTGCGCCAATACCAGACACTTACAAAAGGGCCCAGGATAATTGTGTTCATTCCGACTCTTTCACCCCGTCTCGTGAAATTACAGCTATACAAACATTTCTTGCTAGTCATCATGGTCACCGATGGCCTGGCAAACGCTTACCGCTCGGAGCGGCTCATATTTCGAGCCATAGAAAACAACGACGAAGACAAGAAGTTCCTGCACACCCAGATCGAGAATGATCCAGTCACCGTCGCCCTCTCCAATCCGATGGCACTAATGCCAAGAACGAGCAAGCACAGCGAGTGGATGGTTGAGGAAATGGCCAAATCTGTCCTGTCTGTGATGGTGTGCCTACCATCCGATCCTGCGAGCGACGAAAAGCTTGACGAAAAGCTTGACGAAAAGCTTGACGAAAAGCTTAACGAAAAGGTTGACGAAGCAAAGACTGGCGCGCCAAAGCCCATCGGATACCTAGCAATCGGCTGGGGTGGCATCCCTCCGGCAATGGCTCATCACCGCTCAGTCGGCCTTGGGATCGCGATAGCACCGCAGTATCAAGGAAAAGGCTATGGGGCGGAGGTCATTAATTGGGCTCTCGACTGGGCTTTTCGGTATGGGAATTACCATCGCGTTCACCTTGGCACTGTTTCCTACAATGAGCGAGCGCAGCACTTATACAAGAAGCTCGGTTTCGTGGAGGAAGGCCGCAGCCGCGAGTCGTACTGGTTTGATCGAAAGTGGCATGATATGATCAGTTATGGAATTCTGGAACACGAATGGGAGGCTATCAGAGGCACTGACTCCAAGTAGGAAGTGTACTTGTGTACAGAAGGTACATACTGAATGGATCTACCTCGCATACTGAGTTTCCAGCTAGTGGTCTTGTCTCCTCTCGTCTCGACATTACGTACAGCGAGAGAACGGCTGGCAGTGGTAATTGCCCCTGATCCTGATTTTCCGAGCTTCTCATTGAGCTTTTGAACGTGTTGGTAGTTGCTACTTTGCATGCATTAAAAGACAGCATCGAGGAGGGCCTTCGGAACAATGACCAACGCACTCCATCGCAAAGCTTTGGGAAGAGACTCGCTGCAGAGAATTAAATTCGGGATTGCGTTCCGCGTTCTTTATTTGAACTAACAAACAAAATCACACTGCAAATTTCCAAAAAGAAATCTGCATTTCATTCAAAAGAGTCGATAGAACTTTGAGGGTACATGTGGCAATGAGATTCATGAGAGATGTCCCCAAGGTGATGAATCAATGATCGAAAGCACAGTTGATGACTGATATGTTTCGCACCAAAGCTTCCACCATAAATCTCATCCAAGTATACATGGTTCTACTATTCCATCCTGCTCACAGATCGTCGCCTTTCTTGAGCAAGGAACTTCTATACCATTCACATAAATCGTCATGGTATGGTCATTATCGTCTCTCCACCCAAAGCCGGTTTTCTTTTCTGAAGATCCAAAGAGAACTGCACCCACGCAGACCGCTTGTTTCGAGGTTAAAGAAAGCCTTGCCAAATTTCGGAAGATTGATGTATTTGCGTCGGTTCCTGGACTGACCTCCCAAACAATTTGTTTGGTGGTAGTGGTCTGGTCTCTCATCCACTAGTTCCTGTTGTCGACAGGGCATCCTCCTCAGATAGGTCAGTGGTGGAACCTTTGCCAGATTCAAGCCAGAAAGGCTGGAATTGAGAAACTCATTGGCCAATCATGGCCTGCTCGACGACCGAGTGTTCTACGTCTCCAACTTTCTCACATTAGACTCATTGTAACCAAATTCAGAGGTTCTTGGGCGTGATCTTCGCTTCTGTTTTGAAAATAGTATCGTGGTTCGCCATGCATCACCGGAGCAATGTTGGAACAAATTAGCGCATCGGCTTAACACTCGGAGCCTCTTCAACTTCGAAGTACGTGTTCAGCCGAGGACATCAAGATTTGTCAAGTCTCAGCGTGGCATATGGATTCGGCCCACAACTTGGTCCTTGGGCCTGTATAGAGTCGGAACAAGCCACGATTTGGGGTAGTAAGATGAATCAAATGCAGGACGATGGTTGCTTGGGATTCAGGATCCGGCTAACTGAAAGTATAGAAGAAAGCATTCCAATCACGTCGATACACTTGATTTCGATCAAGAAGTTTTGGATAAAAAGACCGCCCAGCGCAGTGGACCATCTTGAATCAGAAAATGCCACAACAATCGACAAAACAACAGCAGCGGCTGCTGCAAAGGTCTCTGCGAAACTCAATTCTGCCTGCGAGCAAATGTAGGATTAGCACATGCAATTATTACAATGAGTAATCGTCGCTTGATTTCAGGCAAAAGATGGTTTGTTCATATCTAAATTATCGAAATGTAAAAAATCATCCACTGGTTTACTGTTCATGTCAAAGATACGGGCCCCACAACCTTTCCACTCAATGGAAGAAGCTCCAGGCCTGGCAAAACCTCTAACCACTCCTAACTATCATTTTGAAACTCCCAGCCGTTGATGCGTCGTTGGTATAAATTGTGATGCCACACAGTCCCCTCCATCTCCAACCTCTTCCTCAAAACATGAAACGACAAAACGGACTGCATTAGATGAGAAGTCCACCGACGACACCAGCGGCAGCCATGCCCAAGCTAAGCAAACCCCACCTGACGTCGCCGCGTGCCTCGATACCCGCACTAGGTTGCGAAGACGACGAGGCAGAGGGGGTGCTCGAGGCGGAGCTGGGGCTACCAGTGGCAGCGGAGCCGAGGGTGCCGCCGCCAGTCTTGCTGGGAGCGACGTTGGACTTCGCAACGGCAGCGGCCTGGGCATATTTCTCAATGGTACGTTGACCATTGGCACTATTTCGATATGTACTGTCAGCAAGATTCCGGACCTCATACCTCTGAATAGAGGACGGGATAGGAAAAAAAAGAGGGCAGACTTACGGAGCATTGATGACACCAACCATGCCACCCTGGCAATGCTGTCCCGTCGCGCAGTAAAACCACTTTGGATTCGTATCCTTGACCTCGAGCGTGAACACCTCGGCCCCGACACCAGACGAAACCGGCACGGGACCGCTGAAGAAGCCCGTCGTGGACCCGTTGGCCAGCGGCTGGCAGGGCGAGTCAAAGGCGGACTGGGCGACGGAGTGGGCGCGCGGGTAGAAGTGGAACTCGACGACTTCGCCGACGGCGGCGGTGATGCTGTTGGGCTCAAAGGTGAGGCCGCCGTCGCCGACCTTGACGACGTGGACGCCGGCGATGCTGCTTGAAGACGAGGAGGAGGCGGTGGCGGCGGTGTCTGTGGAGGAACTTTCTGCGCCGTAGCCGTATTGGGCGAGAACGCCTGCGGCGGGGAGGAGGGTTGCGAGGATGCTTGATGTGTGCATTTTGGGTTGTGTTGTTGTGTTGTTGTGTTGTTGATGGGGTTGACTTGGTGGTGTCGAGTTGAGTGTTTGCTATCGTCTATTATGCGAGAAGACTTGTTTGGTTTGATGAAGAAGTAGGCCTGAACCTCACGCAAGGGAAGACGTCTTCTTATACACGTCCATCATTTTGCAGTCTTCAACTAGAGATACCTGAGAAACAAGATGGAAACAAGATGGAACATGGCTTTCAAACTAGTTGCCCCAGCCCTCTTTGGAACATCTCCGGCCCCCCTCCTTGACCCCCAGGCAACCCATCCACGTTTGATCCCGTCGACCTCAAGCCTTAGCCCCGAAACCATGTGGCGGCGGCCTCCTTCACCGAATCCGTCTCGGAAGCAAATTGATCCTTGGATACAATAACCCCAACCTGACTTACCTTCCATGGCCAAGGCCCAAAAGAAACTTAAACTCGGCTAGGTGGTGATCTCTCCTGAGGTAGTGGAAGGTAAACACATGTAAGCTCCGCCTCGCGGAAAGCATAATTTCCATGGCCATCCCAAAACCCGCGCCCCTAGCCGGCCGGGTGTATCTGACATCCGAGGTGGCAGCAGTCAGTGTCAAGGTAAGGGTCAGGGGCCGGAGAAAAAAACCACGATTAAGCGTGCTGGCCAAGCATTTTCCTGACGCATGCTGATCCTGGGGGGAGGTACGCGGGCGGTAGCCAGGCCAGGGGGGGAGGAGCTCGTCTGAAAGCAGCCGAGTCTATTTCGAGCCCAAGCTTTTTTCACTTCTTTGGGCGTGGCAGATGTATTCAAGCAACACCAACGGCTTGGTCCTGTTTGAGCTGGCTCAAGGCCGGATAAGATCCCAATCAGCACAATACAACTGGGCCCTCGACGAGACATGGACAACGACGCCTCCGAGTTTAGCATCTCAAGTCCAACGAGACCCCCTGCCATTTGGCAGATTGGATGACAGCAAGTCTCAGCGCCTGCTTTGCTGTAGCCTGTATGGTAAAATATGTCTGTTCACCGGGATCCAACACAGCCGCTGTGCCTGTCCCGTCCTTCCCGCCGCCCATGTTCGGATCGTGTTTCGAGAAAGCCGTGGCCCCGTGTAAGCGCCAGGGGACGACAAGTCTACTGTCCCCGTGCATTACAGCCACAATTGTATCTTTCCTGGCCCCCGCCCATAAGCAACCTCTGGAGCCGTGTTCCGTCTAAGAAAGCTGGTCAACCAGGTAAGCAGGCCCCCTCGAATAGAACCAGCCGGATCTCCAACCAAGTCAGAACAGAAACAGTGGCCAAACCTCGTTCATTCGAAACAGAAACAGGGGGATTCGTGGATGGAGAGGTGGTCCAAGGATGACTGGTTGGAACGGCAAGCTTATTCCACCCCCCCTCTCTAATTCAAGTCAACTACCTAGTCAGTTCAGTGCCAGTTCACACTACTAGCGGCCTCCCCAAAACAACGTTTGGCGTTTCTCGCTTCGAGTGCCGGGCGTTCCATGGCCAGAAGTTGGGGGTGGCAGCACCCCCCTGTCGGCGTGAATACCTGGGGCAATGATTGGACCGGGGCATCGTCTACTAGCGCAACAAAAGTTTAAAACGTCTTGAGCTTGAGATGCCGCTCGGGTTCAGCCACCACCCCCCTCCTCATCCAGGGGTTCAGTCAGCAGTGAGGATTGACAAAGACAACTGGACGACTTGACGACTTTGAACAAGCAAAGTACGGCAACTTCAAGGCCCTCAAGAGGAGCAGGATTGACGCATGAATCAATATCTTTTCCTTCCCTTACCGCTACTTCATCCTCAACCCTATAGACTGCTCAGCTCCGCCTCCAAGAAAATCAAGCCTCAGCCCCTGTGAGGAGTTCAGCCAGCTTCCCCCATGCCGTTAGATGTTCCCAGCCGGAAAGGTCAAAACAAGTCTTCCGTCCCAAGAACTAACAAATAAGGTTTGTAGGTCCTCTGAAGCCCCAATCTCCGCATTTTCTGCACCATAGCCACCCTCGCCTAGCACCCGAGCCGGCAACCGGGACAACTCATGTCCCCAGCACTTGCGCCGTCGTTTACCAATTGAACATGAGTGGCCCTTTGCTCACTTCGTATCACGAGTCGGCTGAACCATCGCCCCGGAGCCGGTCACGGAATATCAATCGCTCACCAGAGGGTCAGAGTCACGCGCAATCTAACCTGTCCTGGTGCGGTTTTCCACTGCAGTTGTGGAATTGGTAATGGGATTGGTCTAATTCAACGCGATGCCACGCCCTATTACAAACCATGACTGATGTCCGACGCCAATAATTCCCCTGACTCGTTTCCCGACAACCATGGTAACTAAAATCGAAATAAACAGTCCGTGACAAGCGTGTGACGTGACAGCCTGAACATGTACAAACTCAATTCCACAAAACGTATAGCGTATGGTCCCACCACTGCAGAATCATCAGATGAAGGGTCTTCACTCTTCATCACTCGAGCTAGAAGAGGCTGCTGCCGCTGGAGCGCCATCGCCGGCCTTCTTCTCCTTCTTGCTCTTCTTGCCCTTCTTCTTATTCTTCTTCTTGCTTGAGCTCTCCGCCGGCTCACCGAGATCAATCAAGTTGGTCGCAGCCTGAGCCTGACCGTTCCCAGCGGTTCCAGCCGAAACAGCCTTGGAGATCTCGACCAGCATCTTCTTGAGCTCTTCAACCTCGCTTCGTAGCTGCTGCACCTCGTAAATCGTAGGATCTTGCTCCAGGTTGGTTTTCGCGCTGGCGCAGACTTTGTTCCACCCGTCAGACTCGAAATCGACCTGGTCCATCATCTGCTCCCACTCCTCAATCGTGTCGTCGTCTTCCTCGCCTCTCGCTCGGTTGCTCCTGATGTCGGCCGCGGAGCGAGTTTCAAAGACGGCGGCGACGACAAGAACCGGAGAGTAGAGAATTCCCATGATGACGTCGCTCATCTTCTCAAACTTGGATTTCTCCATCCACCAGAAGAGAGAAATGACAATCATCTCGACGAGGTTGAAAGGTGGAATGTAGACATTCTCATCGGGAGCACGGACGAACTGCATCGTCTTTTGGGCAAATAGCGCGAGGTACTCGTCGTTGGCATTGTCGTAAATGTCCTCGTATGCAGAGTTGTACAACGCAATGAGGATGTTGAGCAAGACGACCTGCAACCTGGATTAGCAACGGACAGACAACTCAACCCGGTACCACAACTTACCATGACGATGAACGTGAAGCAATAGTACAGAATGATACCAAAAGGCGGCGAGAACCTGTCGAATCCGTCAAAGTCCGGGCTCTGCATGACGGCATTAGCCATGGCGGACATGATGAATGTTATGTCATCTGCCACCAAGTCGTCTGCCAAGTCGAGACCGATGAAAGCCTGGAGGAAACCAATAATCAACACAGCAAGCAGGGCGAAGAAGATGATTGACTCCTTCATCATGACTTTTAGTACGACTAGCATCGCTCCAAAGAAGCGGAAACTGTCAAGATACAGCAGGAGGCGAGACCAGATCATGGGCGCGCTGAAGGCTAAGAAGTTATAGCTCAGCTCGCTGTACATTTTCCGCGCAGGTTCGCCCTCGCCGTGGGTGAGGCCGATGATGCGCAGAATCAGGGACAGGGTGATGAAGGAGTATAGAACACCATTGAAAGCATTCCAGAAGCCCAAGATGTGGTAGCCGGCCTTCCAGAACTTGGTGACCTCTTCGCAGATGAAGCCCAGAGTGAAGATGTACAGCAGGATCTCAGCCGCATCAAGCACACCCTTGGCATTGACCGAGTTGATGACGGCAGTGTAGAGACCAATGTAGATCAAGGAGATGAGCACCTGCGTGGCATTCTGGTACATGGGAGCACGGATGCGGTCGGGATCCATGTGGACGAGGAAGGACGGATTCGTTTTGTCCTTGTAGTCGACGAATACGGCGGGGTCGTTTTCGTCCTGAACTAGCCAACCCTTCCACAGATAGGAAATACATTTCTGGTATCCCGATGAGCCAATGACCCTGACAGCATGGAGATCGACAGCCTTCTCGATAGCGTTCGCAGGTGGAGTGGATTCGCCGTCGACGACAACGGAGTATCGGCGGAGGAGGACCGAGTGCATGAGGTATTGGAGATCGTCTTCGGTTTCGATGCTGTATGCAGTGGTCAGTCTCGATCTCGTCTGCTCTTGGGAATTCGGATGCATACATCTGCTTAGCAATGACCTCGCAGGCGACGGCGCGCACTCGGTGCAGGTCGGCGTCCCAAAGCTCGGCAAGGGCCTGGTGCTTGAACCATCTCTTGCAAACAATCAAGCAGAAGACGACACACGACCCATAGTGCGAGCCGCCAGCTTCTTTGGCGGCCTTGATGACCTTTGTCGTGATGATCTTGCTATGCGCCTTTGTGATCTCCACTTCGTCCAATTCGCAGGGGACGGCCAGCTCGATCAGGTGTCGGAGCCTGAGGGCAATCTTTGTGACTTCGGGGGCGGGAATCGCGGACTCGAGATGCTCGCTTCGATACTGCGGAAGGACTAGATCAGGGCAACAGGCCCAATTGTAAGCTGTTGAAGCTGATTGCTGGGGTTCCATCGCAAAACACAGGATATCGGGGTTGGAATTTCCGCCAGTATCGCCCGGAAGGAGATGATTAGAAGGAGTACGTACGGCGTCTTCGGTCGTCGCGGATCCAGTCCGAGTGGAAGTCGTGGTGATGGCGTGGGTGCCTATCCCACCCCAGCATGCGGGACACCCAGTTGAAATTGGCCATGGCGACCGTGATTTCCTCGTGCTCTAGTGCAGCGTGGGTGCAATTGTCTGTTCCAGTCGCTCAATGGCGGGAATGGGCGGGCGGATCGTGGGAGCAGGAGGGGAGCAACACCGAAGCGAAGTGAGGAAAGGTTCGCAGGACGACAAGTTCCCTGAAGCTGCCGACTGATCAAAGGACAAACAGATCAAGAAGCAGGAAAGCGAAAAGGCATGAAAGAAGCCTCAAACTCGGCTTGTGATGAGGTGCAGCAGCGGCCGTCGCATTCTCCTCTCCTCTCCTCTCTCGACGGCCGGGTTCCCTGTTTTTGTTTTGTTGGCGCCAGAGAGAGGTCCGACTGTAGGGCCTACAGGAGCTTGTCCTCTTCCTGCCGCAGGTGACGTCGACCGACAGCGGGGCATTCCCTGTGCACGACCGGGGTGCTGAGTGGACCCTTAACAGTTCGCCGTCTGGAAAGACGGTTGATGAGATAATCAGAGACATCAGAGCTTGCGTCTGCGCTAGTCTTTTTAAGATCGACCCCACATCGTTGGCCTGGGTGCGCGGGAAACTTGGCTGCGCTGCCACGCTTGACCAGCTGAATCCTGCCGCCGTCACTCACACACCACCAGTCTCGGACATTTTTTTTTTTTTTTTATTAATTCCTTTTTCATTCGAGTCTTGAAATTTCATCCTGAATATCTCTAGTTTCAATTGCCTTTGGCTTAATTACAAGTTCAAGCATTCACCAACCTGCCTTTTCATCCTCGAATGAGATGAGTGCTTCATCTTCATCATCTTTGGGCCACCCACTCGTTGAATAGCCCGACATGGGATGAGTTCATCAGTGACTGACTTCATCAATATCATGCGTTTTTGGTCAATTGGCTGTTTCACATACAGCATCCAAACAAGACCACCTCAACGCTGATGATGTCTTACTCTCACCCGCTCAACTTCTTCATCCAAGCCTCCACACCATTCACCTAGCCACCCCAAGGGCCACAGAGGGCGTTCTTATGTTCGATTGGCTTACTCCCCTATTCTTCCATCACCGTCTTTGCGTCTATCCTCAGTACGTCTCTTGTCCCCCCACACTCGTCGATGATGGGAATGGCGAGGAGGTAGGTTAAAGGGGATCCGACTTGAATAGCGAAGCGAGAGATGCATGCACTTGGCATCACCCATAGGCGACCCATCTCATTGTCCAGCCTCAATGCCTCATTCATAGCGGAAGCATGCCAATCTCCCTCATCTAGCCGCAACAAGCAAGGAAATCCCGCCGAATCACAGACTCAATCACAACCTCCCGCCGTCTCCTCAAGCCGTTGCGCCCGTCGTCTCCTTCCATAAATCAATCACCATGTTCGCAATGTTCTGAATAGCTTCCGGCGCGTTCGGCAGGTGATGGCCCCCCGGATACCTCACAACCTTGCGCGTGCTCTGCTCCGAACACTGCTCAATCAACATCTCGCTCGCCGGCTTCCACGGGTCAAACAACCCCACGACATGCACCGTCGGCAACCGAATCAGCACGTCGTCCGGCACAAAGGGCGGATACGTGCCGCACAAGAAGACGCCGAAAAGTTGGTACGGCACAAACGGCTGCCGCTGCTGCTCCAGCAGCAGGCTCGACGCCGCGCGGGCGCCCTGCGAGAACCCCAGCACGCCCACGTACGGCCCCGTCTGCTGGACGTACACCTTGAGCATCGCCATGGCCGTGTCCTTTTGCCGTTGGAACTCCTCCGCCGGCAGGGAGGGATCGTCGCTGACCCATCGCCGGTACGGCCCGCATCCCTCGAACACGGGGAGCACGCCCGGCCCGGCCTCCGTCTCGATCGGCCCGTCGAGGAAGACGAACTCGAAGCGCGGCTCGAGCACGCGCGACAGCCGGATGAGCTGCATCTGGAAGATGCCCGCCGAGGAGCCGCCCCCGTGCAGGCACAGAATCTTTGGCCGTTCCCGCGGCGCCTCGTTGACTGCGTAGGGCTGGTACATGGTCTTGGCTCTGCCGTGTTGCTCGTCGCAGAAAGAGAGAACCGAGAAGTGAGGATATGGAGGGGACGGCGGGTGGCGGGTAGGTGGACTTGGCCACGAGACAGAGAGGAGAGGTAGCGAGCGACAGATACGGCCCTTCGCCGAGGTTATCGGGTGACGTGAAAGATGTTTCGTCCAGAGACCACAGCGTAGCGCGACTGAATGGCAGTGAGCGTGACGGGGATGCTGGTGAGATGCAGAAAGTGGATCATATGCTCCCAGGCCCTCGGCCGTTTCGGGCTTCTGCCCATCTCGAACCTCCGACGCCCGGTCCTGGTCTCATCACAGCTAGCCTTAGGTAAGCGGAACTCACATCTGCTGTCCGACCAACCATTTTGTCTCTGGGAACTCTATCAGGCAGCATCGGACTTGGAAACGTTCTAGTCTGATTCACTGGCGTCACTGGCGTGGAACTCTCAGAGGTGCATTGTTCGGAGGACAGGACAGCTCGACGGTCTCCCGGTTCGGATCCGGCTCATCCGCTTGTCGCTACGTAGTGTGTAATGGCAGTAGCCTAAGGTACGTCAGATTTGAGGTTCGTTGTTAATTGTCCGATTTGTTTGCTAGGAACCCCCGTTCTCCTTTGCCCTCCCTGTGGCAGATCTAGCTACTTGCCCTGAATGAAAGACGCCTTCTCAAGAGCCTGTGCCTGGATTTCCCAACCCTTCCGTCCCATTCGCACAAGCTGATCACCAAACTTTTCAAGAACCTCCTCGGTATCAGGGGCATTCTTGTGCAAGGCCTCGTGAAATTCCTTCTCAGATCCGAACGTGGCAGCTTTCCAGATGCCCTTCCACCGCAAGAGGGCCTGGGTCGCCAAAGGACTCTGGCTCTGAACCCTCGTAGCGACCATGTAGAACGAGGAACGCTTGTTGTGACCGGTCGTCGGCTTGAAGATCCTGATCTTGGAAAACTGGGAGAAGCTGTACAGCTCACGCACCGTGCCCCAAGCCTCCACCTTGTGGAAGAGAACAACCATGGTGCCGCCCGGATTGAGTCTCTCGAGACCCAGCGCCAGCTGGCTGGTGGTGACCCGGTGAGACTCGCTCTTCATGCGGTACGGCGCGCGCTCTTGCTTATTCACCTTTGTTCCACCGCAGATGACCAGATCGAATTGTTGGCCAGGTGTGAATTGGCAATCGAGAAACTTGTCAAAGTCCGGGTGGTCGGCAGGAATGTCTTGGACGCCCATGTCCGCGGCGAGCATGGTCACGTCGACATCTCTGCGGTCAATGTCGAGATTGTCCGGGATCATGACCTTGTGGCCGCCGTCGGAATCGGGAAGGCTGAAGCCCATCGCGTGAGCGCCTGGGTTGAGATGCATAGCCGTCGCGAGGAAGCCGCCGGGCGCCATACCCATGTCAAGGATCTGTGTCTTGCCCCATCTAGGAGTTTTGACTCTGAGGGCGCCCGTGTCTCTCTGCATCTCTTTGCCGATTCTCTTCATCATGTCAAAGAATATCTTGGTAATTCGCTCGTCGGGGTTCTCGGCAGTGCGACGCTGCTCCTTGAAAAACTCATCACCCTCGGGATTCTCCCATCCCTGGGAACGAACGGTCAGCTCTCCTTGAGTGAATTGATGGATTCGTCTACGAACCTTCTTGCGTAAGTCTCTTAGCTTGACAAACTCTGGGGCGTTCTTCTCGAGGAAGTCCAGAATGAGATTGTTTCGATTCTCGTGCTCCTGGTCGGCATCACTGGACTCTTGAGGCTCGACTGTTGAAACTGCCATCTCCGTCGGCGGTGCAGTCTTACTATGACTGCTGAGACAGCCAGGGGTCGGACTCTCGTTCCCCTCGGGCACCATCATCATGCAGGCGTTTCTTGGATGTTGCAGGGAGTCGCCGGGCGGATATAATGGTGGTGGCACCGCAACAAAAGTCAAGGGAATTCAAAGGGATTAAATCAGTGCTGATGAAGGCGTGCATGGAGCGTCCAAGGTGCCATCACGTTTTTTCGAGCGTATTCCAAATATCTGAAATGTTCCTTGGAATAAGCTGAAGCCTAAACGGGTTCATCGCCGCCTGATAAGTTGAGTCTACCTGCTGGGTGCTGTTGGGGTCGACGGCCTCCCGCATCTTTCGTACCTGCAACCAATAAGCGGCGATTCTCATATGAAAGAAACCTTCGCATTGAGACATCGTGCCAGTCAAAGGCTAAAGACATGCAAGGCGATAGTAAACATGCTCCTCTAACATAAATTTCATGTATTCATGACCCATCAAGGCAACTCAAAATAGTCTCTACTAGATATTGGTGTTCAATGAACTCGATGCTCAATGACCAGCTCTGCCGCTCAATGTTTGGACCCAAAGAAATTCCTACTAGAATTCCAAACGCCCTTCGCACCTCTAGCAATCTCGTAGCGTCCATCATACAGAGGATATACAACGACGGCAAAGAAAGCAAAGAATTGCCAAATGATCGCTACTGTTGTCCAGCTCTTGAAGAACGTCTTCTCGAAGATGTAATTACGGTACAGCGGCATTGGCCACAGAATGAAGGTGACAAGAACGATGCTAACAAACATGATCCAGGCAATGCGGTACCATCTGTAAAGTAGCTTAATGGTATCCTCGTCGAATGGATGGCGAACATCATCCAGGTTGACCTCACCAGTCAACGCTGCATCTTTGGAAGAAATCGCTGACGGCGACTTTTCGTATCCGGCGGTGGCATTATTTTGTTCTGGATCCAGTCTTTTCTCTGGATTGAATAGGGACGAGGCCGGCGGTTCTCCTTCCGAAGAAATGTTGCCATCGTTACTCGCCTCCTCCTTCTCGGAGATCTGCCTCAGCTGTTTTTCTTCTGCGATTTCAGCGATGAGGAATCTCCTCCAATCAAACTTTTCGGGTTTGTATTGAGAAATAAGAACCGAATAGAGAGCAGGCGAGAAGAAGGATCCGATGGCTCCGTACAGGGCCGGCAAGCTACCTTCGGTTGTCTTCAGGCTGATCTCGCCGTAAATGGCATGAGCCGTTCCAAGCCAGATGCCTAGTCCCGTGAAGAAACCAAGAATCGGAGAAGCAATTGCGGCTAGGCGGGTTTGGCCTGACCAGCACAGAGTCAGACCCAACGGAATAATCCCCGGGCACGAAAGGATGGGGCGGAAGTAGCCAATCCAGGTCATGTCGGCACCTCCGTAGTTTAAGGCGAGCGAGACGGCAGTGATGAAGACGGCGTGGAAAACAACAGTCAGATGACTGACGTGGACCAACTTCTTGTCTGACGCCTTGGGGTTTAGGTATGTTTTGTAAACGTCAAAGGATAAGATACTGCTGACAGCGATCATGGATGAAGACACCGTACTCGTCAACGCCATGAAGACCAGGACGAGGAAAGCGTCGATGCCCTTATCGCCGATCAGAGCCTTGAGGGTATACGGCATGACCAGTCCGGCATTCACTTGTGCCAGTGTGAACTCGTGCGGGTAGCCCGGCCAGATGGCGGTGTTGTGCAGTGCTCTTGCGGTGAGACCGATGACAGTACCGAGGCCCCAAGGGATGCCAAAGATGGCCACGGCGGCGAGATTGTATCCTGGAACGGTCGCATTGACTTCCGTTGCGAATGACTTTTGCCAGAAGGCAGTGTCCTGTTCTTTCAATCAGTATCAACTTTGATGAGGAGTGGAAGCAGTAGCGCTGCTTAGGAAAACACACCATGACGACAAGAGCCAAGTTGCCAAACTTAAGAATCAACCCCCAAATAATCGCGTCTCGCGACTTCATCGTGAGCAAAGAGCCCTTGTAGTTTCCGTCAATCAGGTTCTCCGAAGCTGTCGCCACCAACTTATCGTAAAGGCCGCCAAGCCCACCAACAGCATCGTGCGTGAGGACTGTTAGTGTGAAGTAGATGATGAGAATAAGTGCAATGAGGGTGTGCAGATAGTCGGTAATGAACGTCGCCTTCAGCCCACCAACAGCGGTATAAAGAACCACTAGATTACGGTCTGTTAGCAGGTTCCTTCATTACATGTCTGGGAGAGAGAACTTACCTCCAAGCGGGATGAGAATCGTAGCAGCGACGAAATGCATTCCTGAGATGCCGTAGATGAGTTGCGATCCCGTGAGAATCATACCGGCACAACCAAAAACATTGTTGGTGATATTTAGTACAATAAAAACAATATGACCGATCCACCCGTAGCGTAATCGAATGATTTCAAGCGAAGTATGGGCAAATGGAACCCGGATCTTCGCCAAGACGCCGAGAGCTGCCATCAAGGCAATCTGGAAGCAGAGGCCAGTCGCCCACCACTGCGCCGAGTGTTAGTGACACCTTTGCTCTTCTCCTCATAATTGATTTCAGACTATACTCACAAAAGGCAGCGCAAGCCCGAATTTGTAGCAGTATGCCGCCGAGAAGACGGTCTCATTGATCCACATCCAAGACGAGAAGACGGCCGAGGCTGTCAAACCAGTCCCAACCGACCGATTGGCCACCATGAACATTTCCGACGTGCCTGAGTCTTCGGAAAGGTATGCTTTTTGAATCTTAACGGCTGCCAGAATGACGCCGCAGAAACCGATCCCCAAGCCGATGAGCATGCCATAGCTCGTTGACTGAGGGATCAGGTATTCCCCTGATACGCCCAAATGAGCCGACATTTTGTCAAAGTCTTGTTCTCTTTTTCTTCACTTAGATTGCGTGAGGACAGGCCAAGGCCAATTGGTGAGATGACGTGATGAAGATCAGTGTGTCGAGAGGCATGCAAATGGAATGTTGGAAGGACGAGGCACAACCAACTAATTGTAATACCGATCGCGTCTGCAAAGCTTGAGTTGCAACCGAGATCGGTATCACAGGGCCCCAGTTCTTGGTCACATCTTCGATGCCCCGCATTGCGTTATATGAACTCAACCCATGGCGGCAACTTTGATTATTCGCAAGCCGGGGGGAGATGATAACAGGTTCCGATAGTCAAGGTGTAGTAGTGTGGAAAAAACCTTTAGACTTTTGTGGGAATAAGCGGTGCTACTGGAGACGTTCCTCGGAGGATTGATAGCTCGGCAGATCGCAATCGGTTGCGTGCGATGATGCAATATGCAAATGAGCCACCCACAACTCATCGTGACAAACTCATTGGACCACAGCAGCTATCAGCATGTGCGCCATCGGCATTCCTTCGAACTGAGATAAGAGCATAAACTTACATCTTGCAGGCCTTGCAGACAAGTTTACAAGCAGCGTACTGCAAAACCCAAACGCCTCCGAGGTCGTGAACGCTCGAGACCACGTGCAAAGATTGCAAGACACCAAGCCTTTACAACCTGAATCTGAAAATAGCCTCACCATGGCCGACAACTCGAATCCCACCCCGGGCCAGGAAAACCGTAGCGTCAAAAAGCAACTCATTCTCAATGCCTTTGTAATGAATACCCCCGGCCATCTGGCCCCTGGCCTCTGGAAACACCCACGCAACAAGACAGACCAGTACAAGAAACTGTCTTTCTGGACCGAGCTCGCTCAGCTTCTGGACAATGCCGGCTTTCACGCCATGTTCATCGCCGACACTCTCGGCCCGTACGACGTGTACAAGGGACCAGCAAACGTGGTCCCAGCCTTGGCTTCCGGCGCGCAGTTCCCCGTGAACGATCCACTGTACCTAGTCCCGGCCATGGCGCAGGCCACAAAGAACCTCATCTTTGGCGTGACGGCGAGCTTGACCTACGAAAAGCCCTACGCGCTGGCGAGACGCCTTTCGACGGTGGACCACTTGAGCGAAGGACGACTGGCCTGGAACATTGTCACCTCGTACTTGGACAGCGCGGCCCGAAACCACGGCTTGCACGAGCAGATCCCACACGATGAGCGTTACGCGATTGCTCACGAGTATCTCGAAGTTCTCTACAAGCTCTGGGAAGGCAGCTTCCGGGATGATGCGGTGCTGGCGGATCGCGAGGCTGGCACGTACATTGCCAGCGACGCAGTCAGGCAGATTCTCCACAAGGGAAAGTACTTTGATGTGCCTGGTCCGCATTTCGTGGAGCCATCGCCTCAGCGAACACCGTTCCTTTTCCAAGCGGGCGTATCCGAAACTGGAAACGGCTTTGGTGGTAAGCACGGTGAGGCCATCTTCATCAGCGGGCAGACCAAGGAGGGCGTTCGAAAGACGGTAGACAACCTCCGCGGTATCGCTGCCCGGGAGGGCAGAGATCCCAATCACATCAAGATCATCCTCGGCATCAACGTCATCGTGGGATCGACGGACGAGGCGGCCCAGGCGCAGAGGCAAGAGTATCTGAAATATGCTGATACCGAGGGTGCGCTGGCCTTGTTTGGCGGATGGACGGGTATCGATCTATCAGGCTATCCCGACGACGAGGATTTCTCCGTGGCCGATTCTCCTCGCATCCAGTCCATCATTCGACGTTGGTCAGATACCGTCCCCGGCACGGACAACCTCCCTTGGACGAAGCGACGAATTGTCGAGTATCTCAGCATCGGTGGTCTAGGCGCTAAGATCGTCGGCAGTCCTACCACCGTTGCCGACGAATTGGAGCGCTGGGTGGAAGCTACCGACGTTGACGGATTCAATCTGGCACATGTCACCAATCCTGGTACTTTTGAGGATATAATCGAGTATTTGCTTCCGGAATTGCGCAGACGTGGGATATTCAGGTCCGGGGTTGAAAAGGAGGGAGCCACGGCGAGAGAAGTGTTCATTGGTTCGAAAAGACTACCTGAAGACCACCCCGGAAGCAAATACAAATGGCGTGCGGGTGAGGCACGCCCGCCTTTCCTGCAACAAGAGGAAGCAAAGTAAGAGGAGTGGAACAGACGAAAGATGGCAGACAAGTGGTTTCATCTAGCAAAGTCTCGTGATATAGCTAATGATATAGCTCATGATAATAAGCGAATGGTAGAAGTTTCAACATCCAACGCGCATGTTCCCTTTTACTCTACGTTCAATGCTAGCATCATAGATAGGGAGATGGGCAAAAGATCCCTGGCTTTGGGTGATTACTAGCCCTCCTGTTCGTCAAGCGCCCTAATGGAATTGGCCTTGCTGAACATCATAAGAAACTCCAATAAACAAAAGGAGTACACGTTTTAAAAAATTTTTAACGGAAATTGATAATATATTTGGGCTTATTTAAGACCAGGGAAGCAGCTAAACGAAAGGAGCGTGTAAGATGAACATAAGAGCCCTTTATAGCGTAGCCAGGGCGTAATATATTGTCTACTTCTCTCTCTTTCTGTGTGTGTGTTTGACGAGCAACTATGATGCACATTGAAGATGGCCGTCGGGGTATTCGAATTTCGAATCGCAATCAAAGCAAGTTGCATCATTCGCACCAGCTCCCTTACAGTTGTTGTAAAACTCATCCCCATCAATCTGTCCAGCACTTGCCTTGAGCTGTTGCGGCGAGTCAGTTGTGCCGCTTCTATGCATCATAACACAACGAATTAAATATTCACTTACGAAGCGTCCTTGAAATCTTGCCCCTTCACCAGGTGGCTCAGCACTCCAGAACTGCCCTGAATCTTGACCTAAAAGTCGTTAAGCGCTTGATTCAGACTGGCGACAACCGTAAAACGTACCGTAAACGTAGTCCAATCCACAGTCACCGGCCAACAGATCAGTTGCGCCGTAATCAACCGGTGAGTCAGTCGTGTATTGGCATGCGCAGTAGTCATGCTTCTTGGCCAAAGACAAACCCCTAGTGAGCGTCAGCGACATGAAGTCAAGTAGTAACAACTATCCGTCGAAACATACAAGAGTGTAAAAGCAGGAAAAACAGCCAAATGCATCGCGGAACCTGTGTGTAAAAAGTTGTTGGGTCGAGTCAAGGCGGCAAAAGAATGTAGGTAGAGATCGTGATTGTCTTGAAATGGACGGCCGACTCATCCATTTCACCCACAGCAGACAGCGAGGTGGGGGTTACATGCGCTTTAAGAACGAAAATCTCGCAAGCTCCAATCGCAAACATTCACTGCCTTGAGCGAAGGTTTGATTACCTTGGAGCTGAGAGTTCTGGTGTGGAGCGAAGGTTTTATCACATCTTCTTGATCACAAATATAAAAGAGTTAGTTCTGTTAGACCTAGCGTTCGGCAAATACTATATTTCCTATGAAATACTACATATGAATACAGCCTATAATACATACCTACTTGGAGCTGAGAGTTCTGATATATAGCAAAGGTTTAACTATATTTTCGTGAACTAAGAAGCCTAGATTTTGAACCGGGGGCATTGGCGACTCCCATTGGAAAGGCGGCAAAGTGAAAATACTAGGCTGCTTCACTCTCTCGTATTCGTGAAGACTTCCCAATTCAGGGTAATAACTAAAATGAGGCTCACTACACGGGCTGCGGAGCTATCGCAACCAAAAACATGTGACTGAACTCGGGAACATTTCTTCCGGGAAAAGGCTTTGTTTTTGAAAGGAAAAAGGATAATATATGTGGAGGTGCCGTTCAAAAGCAGCCTTAGTGCTGGTATCCGCTTCACAGGATAATCGGGTTCGAACCGTAGTTCCGAGGTGGTGACGAAGGATCAATTGACTGTACATTGAACCTCTGCGTGAGGTGGAAAAGAGAGGTTAGCCCGTAGATAGCCCATGCGCTTGCCCTGACCAGAGGTCGAATTGGACTTCCAACCCGACACTTAGACACTGCTGCACAGCACCTCCGTACGCCGCCGGCCAGTAACTTTGAGGTCATATATTTTACTTTCGAATTGGAGATGGCGAAGTCCTTGAGCAATGCGGTGATGCCGGTCTCGGCGATGTCTGTTCAACTATGCAGGTATATAGTTGGCCAATCTTTCCTGCAAATACACCAATACAGCCCATGATTCTGGTCAGCTTATTATCTCAGCCCAACTCATAATGCCCATTCAAACTCACCTGTAACACTCTTCAAGTCGAATTTCCGAAATGATTTGGTTCATTATCTTCTTCATCACTCTGGCTTCCTGCTCACCATTTCTGCAACCCCTGGTACAGGAACGCGGCTCAGCGTTGTCATGCCTCGGCTACCGCGGCGCCCCAGCTGGACTACCTGGCTTCATCATCGACCTTCGTCAGCAAATCGAAGCCCATGTCTATAACGGCGATGATATACCTCCTATTGAACAGATCCCCTTGTCCAGCTGGGCTGGTTCGGACCAGGATCACCACTTTGCGTACCGCGCCTGGAGAACCACCCCTGCTGAAGGTACCGCCTTATTCGAAGTCACTCTCGAGGTCCAAGTCACCGGCTCTGCCAATGTCTTCGTCGAGTTTGGTGCGCAGTCTGCCCGTGTCGATGATGACCCAGGCCTGTCTCATGTTACCAATGGGTTGGCTAATGGCTCTGGCTCTAATCGTATCCCGAGGCGGACTGCCTACTCCTTGCAAATTGGTATCATCCATCAAAACATTACTACAGCTTGGCCGGAAATTGGAGTCAGTATTTGATAAACACTGTGGTTCCCTACGCATCTTCAAGCTAACCACCTTCTAGGGAATTAAGTATTCCACCTCAAACCAGTAAAATTCATAGACGTCCGCCTTCCACATGCACCAGAGGCATTTGTTTACATTTAACTCAACTTTGAAATTGAAGTTTCAGTGTATCTTAAAGGATCGATGTGTCGCAACTGGGAAGTCAATGAACATGACACGTACATGCTGGATAGGGTAAAGAGACAAGGATACAAGATAGACTCCATTAGAAGGGATTCAGGTTCCGATAAAGTTCTGAAAATTAAAACACAAGCAAGTCGGCTTCTCTCGAGATCAAGGTCCTATTATAAGAGTGAATATTGTTTTCTAAAAGAAATTCAATCACTATCAGACGATAATATATAAGAGTGGTAAGACTCAAGGCGATTGGTTGCAAGGACTGAGACGGCGAGCGATGGACTGAGATTGCATGACTGTCTTTCCGAGATTGACCCGTACCCTTCAATCACATAACCATCCTTAAGGTCCATCAAAACCTGCCTCATACTAAGGATGATCTGGTTCCTGACACATGAGAAACGATTGCTAAAGAATATCAGCATGGAAACAAACATCCACAGGACTCTTTGAAAAGACTTTGTGCTTGATGATTATCTAATGAATCTACCTAAAGCACTCGTCGGTTTCGTGTTGCTATGCATCATGAAAGCCCATCATAAAATACATCTGAAAGACATGTTTTTACATCTGGGACGGGACCTCCACGATCTACGTCAAGTCTTGTCAATATCCCTCGATCCAGCGACACGCCAAGCGTGTCTCATAGACATCCTCTCCAAGTCAACGAACGTCTCTTTGCCTCTATCTCTTGACACCACTTCCAGCGGGAAGCGCTTTGCTGCAATCAGTCAAGTTGTTGATGTTGAACACACCGAGGAGACTCAGACGAAGATACTCCTTAGCGTATGCCTGTGTTTTGGTTAGCTTTTTATGTAGCCTGACGAGATAAGATATAAACTCACTCCACCCCAAAGCGGTGCGTTGCCAGCGAAGGCCTGGAAGGATGGGCCCGAACGGGGGTCCTTTGACAGCACAGTGTCGCTGGGGAACGTCACAACCTCGGCCGGAGCACCAGCCAAAGTCTGTCCGTAAAAGTCAACATCCCAGACATTCGGAGTCGTGTCCTGGGGGGCGTTGGCCTTGGCCGTGTCGAAGAAGCGTTGACGGCTGGCGGTGTGCGCACCAACAAGGGCAGCGAGACCCGGAGCTGTGATGGTCTTGTTGCCGAACAGCTCAATCAGCTTGTCCGCCGGGTCTCTCGGGTCCGGGAGCAAGCCATCTGGCGCAGCGACCGATGAGTCCTTGCGGCCGACGAACGTCTTGATTCTCGGTCCGCCGGGGCACGCCACGGTCGCTGTGGTAGCGGTAAACTGGATCAAGTCTGCCATGCCGGCACCGTGGCTCTTGTACTTGGCGAACCACACCTTCATCTGCGCGACGATGTCCTCCAGGCCCTTGTTCAGAGGCCGCCCAATCTCCTCGGGAGCGAGGACGATGGAGCCATCAGCGCCACCGAGGTCGCCGGTGTGCAAGCTCCATCCGGCAGCATCGTGGAATCCGAGGCGGATGGCGGCACGGGCAGTGTCGGTGCAGCCGTTGCTGTCCTGGAGTGTGGGCATCAGGTCGGCGGCGACATGCTGCCACACGCAGCACTTGTCCGCGTTGCAGTCGGAACTGCCGAGGGCGGGGAGGCTGCCGCTTGCGGCGTCGGAGGTGGTTGGCGATCCGGAACCCGTGAGGATGCCCTTGACATCTTTGCCGACATCGGACAAGGAGCCATCAGAGAGCTTGAGGAGATCGCCGATGGCCTGGTTGTCGGCGGCACCATCACGGCCGGCGAGCTGCGCCATCATGTCGGCATGGCTCATTCCGCTACCCCGTCCCATGCCGGGGTAGGCAGTAGCAATGCCTGCGAGCGCCGTCAGAACGACTGTTGCTTTTCTAGTTCCGACCATCTTGTTGGAAAGGTGGGGTGACGGGGAGGAGAAAGCGAGAGTGTTGTGAACGAAAGTAATGGCTTTAATAGAGCGAGTGACTGATTGCTGAATGCTGTAGTGATGAGTGAGCGAATTGATGGGATCACAGGTGTCTAATTATACGTTCACTCGCAGCCAGATGGCGGTGGCAAAGATGCACTCTGTATGCACCGAAGGAACTCATACTCCCTCGTGGCCACCAGCTCGGCCGCGAAGCGTGAGCCAGGAGCCATTAGCTTGCTTCAGACATCCAGAGCACGGTTGTAATGTGTCGGTCCGTAAGCATGTCGGGCTCAAGGAACCAAGTGGTACGGCGGAAAGCGTCGACTTGGTGCGAAAGAGCAATCTCGAGGGAGAATGTTGACGGCTTGGTCCATGTGTCAGGTAGCTCTTGGGTGAAGTCCTTGGCCGTCCGTCCGAAATGTCAACTTGCGTGGCGTTGTAAGCGTCCCGTCTCCAAGTGTTAGTCTGATGCCAATCGCCAAGTCAGGGCACCTGGGGGCCCGGGAGCGTAAGCAAACAACGCCTCAAACTTTCTCCCTCGTGGGATGACCTTCCAGCCGTTCTTTCCGAAATTTTTATCTTGTCGTATGAGCTGAAGAGGCCGGTTTCCAGGCGCAAAGGTAAATCCACAATGTTCGGACGCCGTGGGAAGATGTTAGCCTCAAGTCAGCGATCATCCCAACCCCAGCCAGCCTCAACGACTGCTTCCTGCATGGATACTTGTCGGAACGAAATGCCGTAAGGAAAGGTCTTAGGTCAGAGAGGATGAGAGTTGTGTTCCGCCACGTCAGTCTCTCTGAATCCTCCAAGAAGATTGCAAGACTGGCCACGAAACAAGACACTGCATGTGTTTAACGGTAAAAATGTTTCCCCAAGAATCTTGGCTTCAGCTTCAATCATTCTTCCAAACCTTAATTTTTGTCTTTTGCCCCAAAGAAGGTGCCAAGAAAGACTACGGAATGAAAGCTGCGGGAACTAGTTGTAGATTGCGCGCCATCGGTGTGTCGAATCTGGCGGCTCACGCTGGCCAAGTCGTGGCTAAACAATCGCCTCCCACATCCCGCCAATGAGAACAGACCGAAAATAATCAAGACGTGTCGGCTGTACGGCAGACTATTCCCTCAGCGGCTCACGGTCGTCAGTCGGCGTCACTAAGGTGAGTGCCGGCCGTGCTCCAGTTTCTCGGACATCCGAGCTTACATGTCCGTGTCGCCGGCGCCTAACCAACCAGACCGCACCACCTCCAAAAGAATCAGGAACGCCCCAATGTGGAGGCCGCACATGATTCCCCTTCCCGAAAAGAAAGGAAGAGAAAAGAACAGGCGGAAACTAATGCACATGTCGGCCTTCGCCACGATCCCGGCGTTTTGCAAATTGGCCCAGTACGCCGGCCTACCGAGATCGATGTTGCACCAAGCTAGTCCCGCATCTCCCGATGGCGTTCTTTGACAGAAGCTCGAGAACCTCGGATTGTTCCTCAGACGACCGATGACGCGTCTCCGGACCGGAGGAGAGCAGGGTACCCGTGAGACTTATTGGGTTGGTAGTATCTATCATCAGCTTGGGGAACCTATCGAAACCAAATCCTGGTTTCCCGGAGCCATCGATATCTTACATAAGGACTGAAACGCCTAAGACTTCTTTCCCAAGCTCTTGGGCCGGCTTCGGGAATCACTAGTCCCCGTTATTAGCTTCTTGTTGTTTCCAACCAACAGACACGGCTTTCCAAGGGCCCGCTGAATTGCGCTCCTGACCCCTCTCTGGGGATGTGGCGGGGGTTTGTGCCGATAAATGTCTATGGACAACCGTTTCATCCGTCCAGTCAAGTCCTTTACTGCCAAATGTCACTGAGACGGTCAAGCACCATTGTCGGGAAGTCAAGCAGGCCGGGATTACGGGTATTCCGGCTTCAACGCCATTCTTCGGGTGTTCCTAGCGCGGTGGCCATGGCGAAGATGTCCTGTCGAAACAAGGGAACGGAAAAGAAATAAAGAAAAATCAAAAGTTAGAGTATCTCAAGAATTGGAGGTTCGAGAAGAAAGTCTGGGGAACACAGAAAAGAGAGGCTACCCTTACATCTTAGCTTGGTGTATGTCACCACTACGCGTGATAGCACACAAGTCGCAGGTGCACACAGAGCTGCGTTGCCAAATTTTCGCTCTCCTCACTCAATTCGCCCCCATTTCATGCAAATGCATTGTTATTTCAAGTATCACTTAGGCAATGCCGTCTAGCAGCCATTTTACATTGATGTTCTATCCAGTCTGTTGTTAAAACTTTGGAAGCCTCCACTCGGAAGTTGTGGAGGATGCTGCGTTTGTAACCCCAAAGACTTGTTAACTAAAAGTGCCGAAATAGAAAAGGGCTCTGAGCATTCCATTGGGGCGCCAAGAATAAAACTGCAGTCAGCTTACATGCAGGCGATCTGCACACAGCTATGTAACTCCAAGTGACACCAAGCGATGCTACTTTGTGACTTGATGTTACCTCAGCTTTGCAGCGAAAGTGGTCGGCGGGAGAGTCCAATCCATATTGAGCTCTACCTCCGTTATGTTTGTGGCGGCAAGGGCCGTCTTCTGCATGTTTATTTGCGACATTAGCTTTCGAGGTAACCTGGAAATCTCTGCATAGATAACGGCTCAGGCGGTGAAAGCGCCTGCCAGGATACCCGAGGAGTAATATAATATATTCTTAGCTCCTCTATCGTGTAAGCTTTCATCATCTGTCTGCACCGTGTAATAATTATGGCGTCTATTGTAGATACTGACACAATCGGAGCAGACGCGGTCGGGCGCAGGATAGCAGGCGCCAATGAGAAGACACTGATCACGTATTCTGAGCAGTATGGCGGGCAACAGCAACCATCCAGTCTTGAGGTCTTCAACCCTAGTTCTAAAGAGTCCCTTATTTGATATCTGACAGTTGTATAGCGCTATATCAACCATTCTTCGGTTGTCAACTTTGGTGTGATTATACTAGCATCGTGGGAATCTTTCGCTGTTACTTTCCAATTTGCACTCGCAAATGGCGGCCCAGCATCTATGTTCTACGGCTCGATCCTGGCTGGCTTCGGAGCCTGTTCAGTCGGATTCTCACTAGCTGAGTTAGCCTCAATGTGAGAATATTCGTCCTCTTCTACAGATTCGCGTTGCTAATAAGACTGGATTGATCAGCGATCCGACTGTCGGTGCACAGTACCGCTGGTCTGCGAACCTCGCTCCTGGCGCGAACAGGTTCTGGGGTTTACTCCAAGGTACTACTGAATCCTATCTTGATACTCATGTTGCATCTCTACTTCATACTAATCAGTCACTAAGGATGGATCACGACTGCTGCGTGGTGCTTCGCATGTGGAGGACCACCGTCCATCTTGGCAAATATTATCACTTCATTGGCCATCTTCAACAATGACGACTATGAGCCGCAACGATGGCATACTAGTCTCATCATGATAGGTACCCTTATCCTTCCATTCCTTTTCAACCTTTGGTTTCGCAAATTCCTCAACGCTTTCGAGATCATTGGTGGAGTCTTACACATCATCTTGTTCGTCGCCTTCATTGTAGTTCTTCCCGCTCTTGGACAACGCAGCAGCTCCGACTACGTTTTCAAGACATTAACCTCTGATGTCTCGGGATGGAGTAGTCCCGGGGTCTCATGAGGCTTGGGACTGCTAACAATCACCTTTTCCGTGACGGGTTTTGACAGTGTCATACATATGAGTAAGAGACCTGGGAAACCAACGACTTGAGCAGATGCTAAGCTAAAGTATAGGCGACGAGGTCAAGAAGGCTAGAACACGAGTTCCACGAAGCGTCATCCTTGCTTGTGTGGTCAACTCACTCATGCTCTTTGTCTTTGTCACGATTTTGCTCTTCTACGTCGGCCCGCTGGATGACATTGTTACTGCTCCGCTCCCTCTCATCCATGTGACCTACAGCGCAACTGGCTCGAAAGGTGCTACCAACACCCTTGTAGCGCTAGTTGCCGTCATTATCTTCTTTGCCTCCTTCAACATGCTGGCTTCAGTATCTCGTCTAGCATGGATGTTTGCGAGCGACAAAGGGTTGCCTTTCTCCCGCTTCTTCTCGCTTGTAAGTCATGCTACCTCACAACTGTGCTCATACTACAGAGGGTCCTAATCTAACTTCTCATCCAAGCTCGACCCTACTTTCAAGCTACCGATAAATGCACTGCTTCTCATTGTGGGCATCGTGACCTGTCTCTCTCTCATCTACATCGCGTCGGCTACAGCATTCAATGCCCTCATCTCTCTCCAAGCCCTTGCTCTTCATGTCTCATATTTCTTCCCGATCCTTTTCCTCTTGCTCCGAAAGCTCCGTGGTCCACCACCACCGTATGGACCATTCAAGCTAGGGGCTATAGGGATTCCGATGAATATGTTCGCACTCGGCTACATCATCTACGTCGTTCTTTGGATGCCATTCCCTCAGATATTACCAGTCACAAAAGACAATATGAATTACGCAGGTCCGATATTTGGAGCAGTCTTGATAGGCGCGCTGATCGATTGGTTTGTGAGCGGGCGGAAGAGGTTTCAAATGCCTCTGAGGAGATATAAATAGTCTTTTTTACACATGTCTTTTTTCTCTTTTGAAAAAGAGCGTTATGAGGGAGTTAATGTTCAACATTCAGGCTCTGGTTTAATGTGCCCGAGCTCCTCTACGAATATGTTTGAGCGGGCTATCTCAAGGGATATTTGAAAATACGAACAGGTTTCCATACAATCTTTATGGTGACTGCCCATATGAACCAATATTGAACCGACTCCCCAGGTACTGTTCAGGCACGCAACGTGTTCAACGCAGCAACGCCGAAAGCAACCCAAGCACCGAGATCAACAGTCACCATGCGCCACCAATTAGCCTTCAACCACTTATCCAAAATTCCATTGACATCGTCATCCCCTTTCGCCTCAGCCAAAGCCTTCACGTGAGGTGCAACAGCCGGAACATAGAGCAAGTGCCCCGCCGACATAGCCGTGCCCGCAGCGTACCACCAAAGAGTGCTCCGTATTCGTAGCGCCGCTGGCTGGTTATACAAATTCGCAATACCGGTGCTGGTCGAAACGGCGATGAAGCCCAGCACGATGAAGACGCCGCGAGAGAAGAAGGTGTTGAAGTATGGTTTCAGCATCGGCGCGCTCTTCTTGCGCAGCGCTGGGGTATCGTTGAACAGGCTGAGGAAGAAGTGTTGATCCCAAGCAAACAGGAGAGTGCACGTTGATGAAACCAAGGGCGCGACGCGGAGTACGACCGAGGGGTCGAAAAATTGCCCGGAAGCCATCTCTTTGTCTGATGCCATGGGTTGGATCGCAGGATACGACAGCTTAGACTAGAAACAGAAAGATTGCCAGATTTGCTAGGGGGCGTTGATCGCTCAACACGGCATTCCGTGAATTTCAAAAATACTTCTGGTTTGTTTTTGGACCGTTGAAATAACTTCGTGCTGACTTCTCGTTCCCTTTTGGAATTCCCAGCGACGGAGTCTCGGCGACTTTTCCCGCCGAAGGATTTCGTAGCGCCATCTTCAGCTCTGTAAGACGTGGGAAATCGCCTCATCATCATATGGCATGTAAGCGCCGAGACTCTTTGTTAATTACCAAGATCACATTATTGGGCTGACTATCTCATCATTTTGAAGTTCCACATCCGTCTCCGGACACAGAGTTTCTGTGAGTATATGTTTCTTCTTCGTATTTACCTACTTAGTACGTAATGGGCGAGGCCCTGCAACCTGTTGAAACACCCCGCTATTCGGTCACGGCCGGATGGAGGAGCCGATGCCGGTCCGAACATTTATGACTTTGATGACGCGAGAAACCAAGCATCCAGTTGAAGTGCACATAGTCTATTTGGTCTATGGCCAATAGAAGAACCGTACGTTTGCTTGCAGATGTTGTACCTTCCAGCCACAACCAAGGATAATGAACCCGTCTTCGCCTCACTCTTCCAGCATCGAGGCTATGCAACTTTACCATCCCATTCGTTTGTATCAAATGCTGCCCCACAGCCGTCAAAGCATGCATATGCATACAAGACACCCAATTTTGGGAAAAGAAGCCGAAGAAAAGGCGAAATTAGGCAGGTAAGGCGATTGCCCGCTTATAAAACAGCAAACACTTTGCGTCAAGATGCACTCCTCGTCAAGCGACTACACAACCCCCCCACCACCCAGCTGGTTGAAATGATGAGGCTGGCTTGCAACCGGTTCGCTTCGGATGTAGCGACTGTCGGTCTACTCTTGTCCTGTCCGCTGACTGAGATGACATGTGGGAGGGAGGAGGACGCGCAAGATAAGGCCATCTTGCTGGCAAGGCAGACTACTTAGGTACCAGCCAAGTGACTCAATTGAGCACAATACATTTGGGGAACATGGTATGTCCATCCAATCACCCATAAATCAGGCTCATGGAAGACGTGACAAGGGGGGGTGAGCGTACGCACCACCCTTCCCAGAGTCCCAAGACCACCCAAGGCGTTCTTCGTTGGCCGCAGATTACCGCTGCAGTCCTTGCTGAGCAATCTCGAACTTTGATATAGCGGGCCGTCAACTGCCAGGGAATTGATTCAACCATGCAGTCGCCCCAAGCTACTTGAGTCAGTGTGCTGCCTGGTATTGGCCTTTATATCATCTTGCAGTGGTCCAATGAGGCGCCCATCAAGCTGCCAGCGGCTCTTGGCCAATGCGGGAGGCGTCATGTATTTGCTTTGTTGGCAAGAGAAACAAAATACCTTAGGTATCGTAGTATCCAACAGAAAAGTTCGAATTAGCTGCATAATGCAGTACTTCCCTCCGACAGGTTGACTGACGCAATAGAAGGCTGTCGTACCATCGAGCGCTTCCAACATGGAAAACGGAGTAGATAAAGAGAAGAGTCACTGACTTAATCTCTGACACAACAAAGAAGCCAATTTACCAACGGCCTGCCACGTGCTATTGAACAAACGCCCTGAACATTGGTGGTCATAGGGCTGAAAACTCATGGTAACAAAGCAAGAGCAATTCGTAACGTTTCATCGATAGGTCTTCTCACACCTAAATACCCAAGGTGAAGTGCCTGGCAAAATTTTGCTCCCACCTCTGGAATATCGAACAGCGAAGTTCACCTTACCCACAGCCAGCCGCAGGCGAGCTCATTCCACAGATCATTCACTGAAAAGTACACAAAGACCAGTGCCGGCTCATACTGGATATAAATACTTGCCTCATAATCGGCAAGGCTACTCTCCTCCTTCCACTACCTCACACCCTACCGATTCCCGCCGAATCACCCATCAACAACTCGATTCACCTCTCACCTGGCTTCAGGAGCATGGCATCTCCAGACCAAGGTATTGCTGACCGACAGTCGGAGAGCACTCTGGCTGATCCTGCCACCGCCAACATGGATTCACGCAAAGACTCTGCCACTATTGTCGTCGCCCCGGCCTCAGCTCCGCAGGCCAAGGCATCCAAGAGTACGAAGGTGGCCAAGAAAGACAAGAAGAAGGCAAAGAAGTCAAAGTCGAAGAAGCAATTCAGAAAGGCAAAGAAGCACAAGAAGGCTACAACCCAAGACACTGACGACTTATTCGAAGACACAACTGATGACAGCGACTCCGAGACCGACGAGACTTCCTCTGAATCGAAATCCAGCTCTTCTGAGTCGTCCGATGATGAACAGGAGAAGATCAAGTCGAAGAAGAAATCCAGGATTACCAAAGGCAAGAATAGTCGATCTACGAAGAAGCACAAGTCACTCAGAAAGCGCACCCCATCTTCGTCTTCATCCTCTTCCGACACCGATTCATCCGAAGACTCGGACGATACCGCTGGCGGCAAAGGCACCGGAATGACCAGGGTCTCGATGACGCCTCACCAACTGGCCCTTTTCAGACAGATGCAGCGCGGGCCCCCTACGTACCCAAAGAGCGGCGGCCTCGATGGCGCGGGACTTGGCTACGGCTCCCTGCACGGCAACAAGGCTCCAACGCGTGGGAAATCTCACCCGCCACTTCCAAAGGGAAGGCCATCCCCCAAGCTCGACTTCAAGCGAGTCAATCAGGTCTGGGACAACACCATTCACAACTACCGACTCCAGGAGACGACAGCAACCACCTCAGACTCGCAGTACGACGGCTACGTGCTCCAGGTCAGGCGTACTTTTGACTGGGAGGGTAAGTATCTCAGCACCTATCTCGACATCAAGAGCAAGATCTTGCGCGAGTGCCTTCAGGAGGTGATTGGCAACATCAAGGGAATCAGCTTGGTCGACGAGACGCCAAAGCTCAACCCCAACATGGTATTCCTGTACGTTCTCAGTGACCTGTTTCGACGACTTCCCGTGTAACTAACTCCACACCTCAGGTATTTGGAAGACTTGCGCAAATACCGCAAGGCTTTGAGTAAGATTTCAACGTCAGATATTGAAAAGAAGCGGCGCAAAACGTTCAAGAAGGACATCGAGAACAAGCGCCAGCATCTCAAAGTCCTTCTCAAGTACCTCGACAAGGACTACGCTCAGGTGAAGAAGAGGTACTTCCCACATTCAGTTTTTTTCCACTGAGAAAACAGCGCTAATCGATCGTCAGTCTCTATCCGATGTTGGAGAATGGGCTCATCACTTTCGACCTTTTGTGGGCTCTGTTCAAGCCCAACACGCTCATCTACACCACCACCTACGGATCGCCCGATGAGCCGCGAGTGTTCAAGGTGGAGCAGGCGGAGAAGATGAACAGCATAACAAAGGGGGACTTTTATCTGCTGGATGGCAAGGTCAGCACAATACTTGCACACTTACTCCTTCCTTTTGCAGTGTGACATAACTGACCTTTTTATCCTTTCAGTACCTCGAGTACGATGGAAAGCAATTCGGCTACGGCACTCTGTGCGAAGAAATCCCCGAGTTCCGAGGCGCTAGGAAGATTAGCAGCCTCAACACCTTCCCCCTCGACTTCCACAAGGACAAGGAAGCTATCAGAACCACCCTGATCGAACGCGGCAAGAAGTTTGTAAAGCTCGGTGGCGTGAACTACCGCAGTCATCAGGGCTTGGCGTACTACAAAAAGAAGAAGAGCATCATCAAGGTCAACATCAACGGACGCATCATGGTCGATCCCTCGGTTCACCGCAGGATCAACCCAAACTACCAGGTCTCGGTCGTTCGCCCCAAGGACCATGACATCTTGTCCGACTCGGAGGATTCCGACTCGGAGGAGTCCTGCGGCCAAGGTGATTCAGACTCGGAAAACGCATGCGATAGCGACGACGATGCGGGTTGCGAGACAATGGTCACAAAGGTCGGGCGCGATGGCAAGGGAAAGGTTCTCATGTTTCAAATTCCAAAAGATATGGTCGAGGAGGCTGCTTCGCTGGACCAGCAGCTTGAGCGGATTGACAAAGGCGTGGCCAAAGCCGTGGCCAAAGAGGCCTCTAACGACTCGCTGGGTAGTAACAAGGCGAAGGGGGCTCCGGAACTCTCTGACGAGGATTATCTGATTGCATCTTCCGTCGTGCTGGGATTCTCCTTTTCTGAGAAGCTTTGGCTCGAGTTCACTGTCTCTGGAGTCGGCGACATCCAGTGGAATGACGGCGCGTACGAGTCTCTGGTCCTGGAGCCCAAGCAAAAGGACATTGTCAAGGTGAATAGCCTCTTTGTGTCTGCTGTAATTGGTGAATGAGAACAGCAGGTGGCTAATTCCAATGGCAGGCCCTCGTTGAGTCGCACAAGTACCACGCTACCGAGAGCATCGACGACGTCATTCAAGGCAAAGGCAAGGGCCTCGTCGGTAAGCCTAGAAGTCTCATATGCCCCTTCATTGAGGATTTACTGACTACTATCTAGCCGTTCTTCATGGCCCCCCTGGAACTGGCAAGACACTCACAGCCGAAGGCATCAGCGAGCTACTCAAATGCCCCCTGTATATGGTGTCGGCTGGAGAGCTGGGCACCGACTCTCGATACCTCGAGACAGAGTTGCAGAAGATTCTGGACATCTGCCACGCCTGGGGCGCCATCCTCCTCCTCGACGAGGCGGACGTCTTCCTCGAGAAGAGAAATCTCCACGAGATCTCCCGGAATGCATTAGTTAGTATCTTCTTGCGCCAACTTGAGTACTTCCAGGGAATACTGTTCTTGACAACCAACCGGGTCGAGGTAAATTGACTTTGAATCTCCCCAGTGACTTGCATCTTTACTGACCTCTCTGTCTAGACCTTTGACGACGCGTTCCAGTCGCGAATCCACATCGCCCTTCGATACGATAGCCTGGCCCAGAAGGCCAAGGAGTCCATCTTCAAGATCTTTGTGGAGCGAGTTCGCGTCCTCGAAAAGGTAGACCTGAAGCCCTTTACGAAAGACGACTACAAAAGTCTCGCCAAGCACGACCTCAACGGCCGCCAGATCAAGAACACTGTCCGGACCGCCCAAGCCTTGGCCGTAAACAAGGGCGAGTCTCTCGGCATGGAGCATATCCTCCAAGTCTTGGACGTTCAGAACAGCTTCGATCTGCATCTCAAGGGCGGAGAGTCGTACAAGGATGCCATGCGAAGCTACTACTGAGGCGGGCCGTAGGAGACATGACGCAAATGGGAGAGCCCTTGAGTAGTAGAGTCGGTACCTAGGAAACGGCGGGCGTTGCCTGCTTAGCTTCTTCTCTTGTTTTAGTGCGCGCCCGTGCTTAGCTCTACCGTCGCGAGTAAGCCATTGACTAGATATTGTCGCACCATGAATGGTCACCACCCCTTTCGCAACGGGGTTGCTCCTTGTAGCCAGCTAAAACAATAATTTGATGTCCAGAACGCTTCATCTGATATGCGCATTGTCTGGTCCGGTAAAATTATTCATTAGCTGGTTCTCACTCTCTCATCTTGACCGCTGGCGATTTTTGAAGCAACCTTGATCTGCAGATGGCTGTTTTGGACAACTTTCTGAGATGTCTTTTCTGGAACATGTCACATTGCAAGGGCCATCATCTATCACAAAGGGCGATGCGGAAGAAAGATAATGTGGGAGGATGAAATGTTTGTATCAATTTCAAGAGGTAGAGAATGATTCTCTAAGGATGATGGGATGACTAGACTAGAGCCACCAGCCCAACTTCCTGCAGCCTTTCCCAGTTCAGCAAATCTTGGAAGCTGCCCACCAGGGCTCTCAGATCACACAAGGTGAATTGCACAACCCTGGATCAAATCTGTGCATTGATGTTGTTCACATCTTATGCCTTGAACTCAACCTCGCGCTTGGCAGCCGGAGTAGCAGCCGGGGTGGCGGCACCGTTGGCGGCGATCTGGATGGGCACGACACCTCCAAAGGGGCCAGCGCCGTTGCTGTTGGCAATCTTGACGAGGCAGACGTTTTCCTGGCCACCCATGGAACCTGTGCAGGCGGTTCCAGCGGGCACAGCAAAAGCCATGGGCTTGAGGGAGCGTGTTAGTAAGTGTTGGTCAGGTGTGTGAAGGGGAACGGATGTGAAAAAACTTACAAAGTCCATGTTCACGTTGGACGCGCGCTTCTCAATGACGCTCATGGCTCTCTCCCACAGAGACCGCCTGCCGCCAGGAACCTGGCCATTGGGTCTGATGTTGCCGCCCTTGCCGGGCACTTGCTGGAGGACTTGGAGCTCGGTACCCTGGGCAAACTGACCGGTACCGGTGGTGTCGAGGACGGCGCGGAGAGGGCCGGCACCGTCGGTGGTGACGACGTGGAAGACGCCAGTGATGTTTCCGCCGGTGGAGGAGACCTGAGGGAGGGTGTCGCCGGACAGAGCCATGGCCTGGGTGATGTCGGCGGCCTGGACCTTGCCACCTCCCGTGGTCTTGCCCATGCCGTCGGTCATGATGTTCTTGCTCTTGAAGACCGTGGTGTCGAGTTCAGTCTGAGATGGCCCGAGTTAGCCTTCCATGTCTCTCTGTGTTTGGCTGCAGTTATTTTGGAACGTACCTTGCGGTTGGGGCCAGGGCCAGGGACGACGCCACCCTGAATAGCCAGAGCAGTGCCGTTGCCGCCGAGGTCACCAACAACTGAGGCAACCTTGCCGTGAGCAGCAACGAAGGGAGCCGCGGCGAGGGCGAAGAGAATCGTCTTGGAAACCATTTTGAAAAAAGTTGTGGGGGGGTTGATTGAGCGTTGAAATAACTTGATTAGAGCGATGATTCGGATCCGAGCGGGATTAGTTTCGAAAACAAGGTTCTCAATAGAAGTGAAGAAGATTGAAATAAGTTTAAATCCGCGCGAATCAATCGGCGATGAGAGTAGAATGGAAGATGAACGAAGAGATGAAGCTGCTGAATAGAGAGGCGGAAAACCCCAAGGTAGAGGCGGAGGACCACTCGACTTTATACTAACTCTGTAGCCATGAGTCTGTGATGATCGAGACGGACGAAACAGCAGGCCCCAGAGGCTAACGGTTACCCTCCGCGGCTGTTGTTCGTAAGGGTCCGGGTTCGCGATGCGCCATGGCTTGGGACTGCGTTCGCTAGCCAGACGTCGTCCCAAACGCGACCCTATCCCAAAGCAGCAACAAATCCAGGAACGAGACGAGTCGCCCCATCACATCTGAGGCATGTGAAACGTCGCGACAGCCTTCACCTCCCTTCGCGACGTTCAATGTGTTGTGGGGCGGAGAGGGGCGCGGCCTGGATAGCGACCAGGTGTCGGCCAGAGTCCGCAGGTCCAGCGAATATTGGACGAGATTGATATTGGCGCCCGACGCAAGACGAGGTTCATTGGATGACTTGACACTGACAGGGCATAAGACATTTGTTCCCTATGCGACCTAACAGGAAGAAGAAGGTCTGAGTGTCTGGGAGCGCAAGTGTCTCTCACCTGGAAGTGTAGCTCGGACTCTGCACCGTGGAACCAACGCCCAAAGGCACACAGCTTCGGCGGCTTGCACCGGGTAATTTCACCATCATGATTCGTTTGATGAAGTTTTGTTGCGCGCAAGACGTGAGAACTCGAACCAACTTGCGCGCATCCCACAGAGTTTTTGTCCCGATGTGCAAACAAACGTATGCGCCTCTAAACTCAGTCGGCCAAGCAGATCTACCTCCAGGATCCTCCATCTTCATCCCCCCCCCCCCTAGTCGACGGCAACGCCACGCGCCCCAACGAACCAAGGGCGTCACCGACTGAGGTGGATGGATGGATGCACCATGGGCTAGCATAACCGACTCGGATCGCAGGCAATCGTGGCCGCGCCCACCTACGCGGCCAGCTGCCAGCGCAACCATCTCCCCTGAAAAGAAGGGGAAAAGAAGACTGAAAAGCTTGATGAAACCCGTCTTGAGCCGTTGGAGCCTCGTCGGCAACATGGGTCACCGCTGCAACGACACTGCCGTGATAGGCCCGAACGCGTGATGTTTCACTTTGCGAAGCCCCCAGCTCCCTGCGGTTCCTGAGCTCCCCAGCTCTCCCCCGTCTTCTTTTCTTTACGCCGCCACTTGCGGCTGACACATGGATTCGAGATGGAACGAAACTGAAGGCGATGATGAATACGAAGTTGCAACGCATTGCGCGAGGGTGGGATTGGACGGCGCTCGCGTCTGGTGTTGTCTGTCACCTGCCATCTGTCGTGCCCAGAACTTTGCACAGGCTTGTCCTTGAGATGGCATGCTCCCGGACATTGAGAACAGCAAGATTTTGCGGCAGGCTTTGTACGTGATGGTACGTGATGGGGGGGGGAACTGTCCCGATCGAGGGCTCGAGATGGCACTGGCGATCAAGTCTCGCGGCGGTGCAGCGCATCATCTACCCTCACGAAGAAACGCTCCAACGTGGAAGAGCGCATTCAGGTGTGAGGTACGGATAGGCAAGCCAAGTCTCCAGTCTGCTTGTCGAGAATACCCGGCCCAACTTGCCAGGCACGGAAAGCTTATTGTGCCCATCCATCTGAGAATGCCATAAGAAAAAAGGCTTGTGTGGTTTTGTCTACCGCAGTTTACACGCCGACACGCATCCCTCGACTTCCATGCGGATGATCCCCCGAATTCACCCGCCGATCACCCCCCCAGGGCAGAAAATCAAAACACCATGATTCTGTTCGATTCTGTTCGTCCTCCCCCCAATCGGTAAAAGTTACCTGCTTGAATGGCTTTTGTATCCACTCAACTGCGGATGGATCGGCAACTTGACACACGTGGAGACAGTCTGGTGCAAAACACGACCAAGCGCCCTCACCTCGCGCTCCCTTGTGGAGCAGCGAGGTCGGGAAATCCGCCGAGGTATATTCATCGTCATATCGGCCGGGTAGAAAGAGCCCCAAATCATTGCGGCTGTGCTGTTTTGGCCCATGCTATAATAGCCCATGTAAAAGGGGTTGTTGGCCGTTGGCCGTTGGCCACACACTCAATGAAGACTGCACGGAGGCTTCGAGGATGAAGAGAAGACCAACCTCCTCCCAGTCTCTCATCCCCCGCAACAGGAAAGTCAGGGGTTTGCATCATCGTCCAGCGAGTGCAAAGATAACAGCCAGCCAGCGTGCGGGTTTACTTCGGACGATTTTGGTGCACGGGTGAGACCAAACGAGGTGGATTGTCTGAACTTTCTCCATCGGTGATGTCGCTCTGTCCGAGCAAAAGCAGCCCGACTTTTCATCTGTCTCCTGAATTGCCTTCATTGTCTTCAGCGCCAACCCGACGACCAGTCCTCATTGTCTGTCATCCCCTCTAGGCAAGTCCACACGCTCCTTCATTTGCTGCTGGACCAAACTATAACATCCCCAAGCCGCGACGTCAGGTCTGAATGATGAATGAGTCCACACCCAAGGAAAGAGAAGATCATTCACAATGGCTGGTTGGTCTCGGTACCCGAAGAAAGGGGACATCCCATGATAAGTCGGTGGGGGGGAAACACCTGAAGAAAGAAGAAAAAGAAAGAAAATTCTGAGAGGGCCATGGGTCAACAAACCTAGAGGCGGTGACCCAACGCCGTCGATGCCGCCCTGCATCATCACCGTCGAAGGGCTATTGCTTCAACTTGACCGCCTCAAAAGCTGCAAAACCTTTTGTGATATGATCTCGTGAAAGAGGGTAACACCCAGGTTGGGATTTGGCTGCGCTCTCAAATATCGATCTTCAACACCCCTGCCATGACATCCGCGAATCCGTTGATCTCTGGCGTGGTCTGAGCCTCCGTGCCTCCGAAAGCTCACTGAAACATTGTTTCCGGACCCAGAAAGACGCGCCGACGATCACCTCACCAACTGAGTTTTGGTTTACCATGCGGCGCTGAGACAATTACCCATTCGGCGACTCAGCCTTTGACTTTGGGTTGCTAAATACACTATTGACCTGGGCAAACCGGGCATTTTGTAATTTTTTTTTTCCGTATTTTAACCTTTGCGCTTGCAGAACAACGCTCTAACGGCACCTAGCCGCCAAGCTTAATTTCATAGTGTCTCTCCCCACCTGTGGCTAATGAACGTTTTGACGTCGACGCGGAACTTCCGGAGAGTAGCGATCGCCGGACGCCAAGTGTCGTTTACGGAGACATTTCTCACAGAATTCCCCGAAGTAGAGGAGCCGTCCTGTCAGGTCAGCTCTGATCGCCAAATTTAGTATTTGACAAACGGGGACCGTATGCCGCCATGACGAACTCTCGTCAAGGGGGCTGAAAGTAAATGGAGGCAGCTAGGTATAGGCTAAAGGGAGAAAGTAGGAGACAACCCATGATCTTTCACTCAGAAGGGTAATTTTGAGATGCAATAGGAAATTTTGCGGGGGGCTGCGATCGGCATCTTCGGGGAATTGTTGAGGGTCGTGATGCTTCTTTGCGTATGTCATGATAGACAGTCTTCGTGCATCGACCTCAAGTCATTCAGGTACTTAAGCCGCTCTCGACTCTGCGAGAATAGGAATTTCTTCATCCAGCTTCAGCATTCTCACTCAGTCGCTCTTTTCAGACTTTTCAGCTCTTTCAGCTCTTTCTCTCTCTCTCTCCCTCTCTCGTCATTCCTTAGTCCAACTTATACCACACTCTTTAACTAATTCAAGACCACCCCCCCAACCGCAACAATGAAGTTCCTCAACATCGGCCTCATCGCCATCTCCTCCCTCTTCGCCACCTCCCTCGCGGCTCCCGCTGTCCACGGCCTACCCACTGAGGTCACCGATGTGACCGACGCCGCCAAGGTCCCCGTTGTCCACATCCCCATCGCCCCTAACACCGACGTCCTCGACAAGCGCACCGAGGTCATCTACACCAAGGTCCAGTACACTATTGTCGAAGTCAAGAAGCACTGCTCCACCATCAACTCCACCGTCGACGGCGTCGCCGGCGGCCAGGTCGCCCAGAAAAAGGCCGACATCATCAAGCTCGTCAAGAGCGAGGTCACCATCATCATCAGCCTGATCCACACCCTCGTCGGCGACCTTGTCGAGCTCCTCGGCGAGACCGTCGAGATCGTCGGCGAGGAGAAGGAGCAAATCATCTCCGTGGTCCTTGAGCTCGTCTTTGAGATTATCTACTGCCTGAAGCACGTCATCAAGGTCCTTGGCATCAGTAAGTTTCCAACCCTCTTTTCCTCCTGGTGTTTCTCCCGCTAACGTTTGTCAACTAAGGCATCTTTGAGCTCCTTGGCTCCATCGTTTTCGTCCTCCTTACCGTCGTCTTCCACCTCCTCTGCACCCTCAACGGCCTGGTTGAGGGTCTTTTGGAGCTTGTCTGCTCTGTCCTCGGCGGTGTCATTGGCCTTCTCCTCGAGGTCCTCTCCGGCCTCCTGCCCATCGTCCTGGGCCTTGTCGGAGGCATTCTCAAGGCTATCGATCTCGGCGGTCTTCTCTGCAGCGTCGGCAACATCCTCTAAGCATGTTTGTATAGTAGCAGCGGGATTTAGGTCCCATCACTCTGCAACGATTCTGGTACATGGTAGCCGGCGAATATGGACGTGACGCAACTGACGTAAAGTTAGCGAACATTAGTCTTCGAGTACATACTACAGTGGCATGTGCCTCGCTGGTCGTCTCGACTAGCAACATTAGTTGCAAAAGCTAATATTTACGCAAAATCGTCGCATTGAAAGTGGCAAGCAAATACCCACATTGCAAAGTTCCAGTCCCTAGCAATATATGTTACTAATTACAGTCCCTGTTGAGTATGAAAGATTAGTACTTAATCTTCTTGCATCAAAGCCATCGAGGGTCTCGTGTCTGGATTTAGAATGTCCAAGTAAATATAGGTATCTGTGAACTACTACCTCACTTAAAACACCAAAGATACTAGTGTTTAAGTATTTACTTAGCCATGCGTGATGCTAGCATAGCAGCCTTGATCCTCATCTGAACTGTAGTTTCTAATTACCTGAAGCAGTCCGACTAAACACAAAGGGTCTCAGGGAAGAATTTTCGGTAATTCCATCAGCAAACTGTCAGTTTCTCGAGGTTTTCCCATCATATTAGTGGAGTTATCACCTCGCAAAGCTCGCAGTAGTGATCTCTACAATCATTGAATTGCCGACTTTCGAATGAGACACGTTTGTCAGGCATGTTAATTCAGGAGGCTACATCAATGATCGTGGTTGAAAGTGCACCATCATTTTCGATAAAAGATGAAGACTACAGTTCCGGTGGGGGCCAAACTATCTCCAGCTATGGGAAAGATTGAGAGTTGGTTATTCAATGGAGCGGCAAGTCTGCGCATGCGTATCATGTTCCCAAGAATATCCATGATTTAAAGCCTAGCTACGTAGTGGCTTGAGCTAGCGCCCAAGCAGCAGGTACATTACGGGCTACTAGAGGACCGGATCATTCGTCGAGGTCCCGGCTCATATGTGTCGTTTGCCAAACCGGATCATCCAGATCAACGGTCAAAACTACGAAGCCCTGACGTTCCCAAAACTTGATCGCCCCCGGCAGAAAGGGATGAGTGTGGAGGTACAGTTGTTTGATGCCCGCTTCCCTCGCCGTCTTCTCCAGCGCTGAAACCAATCTCGAGGCCAACCCTCCGCGTCGCCAAGCCGGAAGAACATAGAGCCTCACAACTTCAACGACATTATCGGGTCGCACAGTGAGCTCGGGGAACCGGTGGTCGTAGGGCTGATACCCAATCGTTGCAATGATTTCGTCGTTAGATCGAGCGATTAAGAAAGCGCCTTCTGGATGATTGAAAAAGGTCTCTTTGAACGTGGCAAGATCTTGCTCGGCCTTCTTTGCGCGCCATTGCTCGTCTAGGTGCGGGAACATGTCTGCGCGGGACTTTTGAGTGAGTTCCAAGATTTTTGGAATCTCATCGACCGTCGCCGGCGAAATGCGGATATCCATGCTGTTGGGTCTAGTGTATCGAGTCTCTCGGCTTATCGCGGCCGATCAGAGTGGTGTTCGGCCGGGTGGTTCGAGACAACGCGTGGTTGGTGTAGAGTATGGTAACAAACGTATTCGTAAGCGTGAGGAAAGAGAGCAGGGGTGTTAGCTTCAAGTAGATAGATCCCTTGATATTTGAACGTAGTGGTAAGTAGAAGAGAGGTTGGGAGATTGATTAGATTTGATGTAGCGAGATCGGCGTCTTCGTTATCTTGCCGAGCCCCACTAACAACTCGCTTGGGCTCATATTGTAGAAAGAAAGCTGACTAATAATGGCCTCACGGGAAATGCTAAAGCGCAGCCAACGTTGTTTGACCAGGTCTTCCTTGCAAAACGCTGGTGTTCTCTTCATGAGTAATTTTGCGAGGTTGATCTGGTGTCCCCCAGAGAAGCCGTTTCACAGGGGAGACAGCCCTAATACTGAGTAAAATGTGCACCTGGATGATTCTATTTTCTGAGTACTTGACTTACCGACCCGTAAGTACTTACATGTATGCATGCATTTTTGACGTTGGAGACGAAAGGGAGCGCAAATGATAACTCACCTACAAAGGCTTTCACAGACTCTATATAGCAAAATCGAAGTTGTGGGGTCACTGTTAATTCCAAGCTACAAGCGTCGAGCCAGGGCGTGACGTTACTGTTCAACTTCCATCCATTCAGTCAGGATACCTCCGTGTGACTCTCGTAGTAGAGTCGTTGGGGTCGGCATCAACTTTAAAACCTTCTCCTAGCACTTTCTCGTCAATTCCCCAAAGCTACTCATACTTTATGAGCTGTTCTTCCCTCCTCTCCAAAAATTCGTTCACGTGAGTATCAATGTCTTCATTTTCCACCTTCTCATGCGCATATACACAGATGCTGCAAGCTAGGTGCAAACGCGTCAATCAGCCTCAGTAGAAGTTGCTCATGTAGCTTCGGTGTACCCGGCGGAGGCACCTCCCAATCTCTCCTCTCTTTGGAACCCATCAAAGCCCGAATGCCGATGCTGAGATGTGTGAGAGCGGCCAAGCCGTGGAGAGAACGAATAGTGAAACCGTGTTCCCTATCATTGGGGAGGTCGACGGCATGCAAGGGGCCTGGACTGCTCGCCTCATCTCCCAAGTACCATTCGTCGTCCTCAATGTTCTCTTCTTCTTCATCTGGCAAATCTTTGCAGCATTCGCAGGTAGGTGGGCCTTCGAGAGCGTCCTCTCTTTCGGGTTTCCGGTTAAACCCCGCTTGAAAGCATATGCCGTGGTCTAGGTCTTGGTCCAACACTCTGAGTGTCTCCTTTTGTGTTAGGAGCACTTCGAAAGCGTCTTCAAGCTAGTCATGTAGGTACCGCCGTCTATAGTCGATAGCCCTCTGACTGCTACTAGCCCGAGCCGTCAAGAATCCAGTTCCGAAATTTGGAGAGCTGGTGAAAAATTGAATATGCGCGAGGTGATCTATCCTATCAGTTCGAAAAGGAGCACGGCGTAGATTTATTGTACTACCAGAGGGCCGGCGAACAAAATACCTGAAAAGTGACGAGAGCTGAGGACTGACGCGGCGTGAAATCATCACCTCGAGAATGAGTGAGAGAACCCGATCTAGGACGTAAGTCTGAATGTAACCGACCCTTTATAAAATGGCCAATTTGGGCTAGTCTCCCAAGCAATTGAGGATTCGGATGAACATAGGTTCGGAGTCGGGACGAAGGCGACATAGTAGTTGCGAGTTGAGACTTCAGCGGTCCTCGGATATGCGGAGTTTCTTTTTCCTTAGACGCAATGATTAACAGTATATCTAGAACTTCATTGTAGCAGACTGATAACGCGAAGCAGGTGCAACATGATGTCAACATGATGTGGTTCCAGTGTCCGAGGGGTTTTCATGCTTTGAAATAACCCCTCCAGAGTTTTTCAAACACTCTGTTTGGATCATAGGCCTTAGAAGTCTTTTTCAATCTCTCATGGCTTTCAGCTCCATACCCACCGTAGACGTCTTGATGCTGTCCCGCGTAGTTCATGTAGATATACTTTGCCGCAACGCCCCTATCCTCTGCAAGCTCATCAATTTGCTCAATCAGGTCTGCAACTCTGCTCTCTACAAGACCATCTAGTTCAGATGTTCCCCAGTGTGTGGTTACCTGGATGTGAATGAGTGGACCGGCCTCTGGAGTCAGTCCCAGCGCATTGCCGCCGTTCTTCTGCATCGCCTCCAAAATGTTTGTCGATATCGGTTGATACACAAACAGAGGCGATAAGGCTTCATTCAACTTTTCGGCAGCAGCCATTAGCTCCTGGGCATGAGCCTGCCACAACGGGATGATGTCTTGAAGGAACTGGACCGAGCCCTCTTTGAGATAGACGGACGTTCCGGACCACGACTTGCGCAATCCGTAGGGTTCTGAAAGGTTGATCGTGTGAGTAGTAACATTGGCAACCATTGTGGTGTTGGAAATAGCCCCCGGGACGGACATCATGTTGGCGAAGACGGGTGGCGCGTCTCCCGCCGCCAACGGCGGCTTGGCATGGTACATGTAGCTTGCAATGATGTCGCCATATCCTGGAAAGTTCGCCATCACGAAGAACGTGTGCGCATCATGATCTGATGGCAGACCATTCAGAACCAGATCCACGAAAGCCGGCACGAGCTCAGAGCTCGCAGGCAACGGATAGATGGGGTTGTAGAGCCATATATCTCCCTGCTCGAAAGCGACGAGATCGAATCGGGTGACGACGCCAAAATTGGAGCCTCCGCCCCCGCGCAGCGCCCAGAACAAGTCCATATTCTCAGACGCCGAGGCATTGACGATCTCGCCAGAGGCCAGAACCACTTCAAAGTTGCGGACATTATCGCATGCCCAACCATACTCTCCCGAGAAGTAAGAGATGCCGCCTCCGAGAATGAGTCCGCTGACGCCAACATCGCTCACCCGGCCCCCGACAACAGCGAGACCCAGCGGGTCGAGCACTTGCGATACATTGTACCATCGGTTGCCGGATCCAATAGACACAGTTCGACGGTCATCTGACACGGTGATGTGATTGAGACGGGCGAGGTCGATGGTGACACCATCCTCGATATTGGATCCACCTGCGAATGCCGTATGACCGCCGCTCTTGACCGTGAACTGTGCCGAGAGAGAATCGAGGGTTTTTATGATTATGAAAACCTCTTCTGTGCTTTTCGGCGTCACAAAGCAGGCTGGGCGGGTTTCAGCCTGCGGTGCGGACCAGTAGTTATTCGAAATGGCGTATTGGGTCGAGTTGGGATAGGACACTCCGCCTGGTAACTGATCCGCGAGACTCATGCACTGCAGAGATCAGCTTATTTATCCGCGACTGGGGGATGTCTGAAAGAGAGACATACTGCATCATCCGACCTCGGCATGCGAATTCCGGCCGTAACCCATAGTTGCATTGCAGCCATGGAGGCCAGCCCGACAAATGAAGTTCTCATCTTGTTCCGAATACACTCTGATATCACGCTGAACCGAGCCTGGTAGTCTGTTACTGTCAATATCGTCGCCATGAGACAGGCTTCCATCTTTATAGCGCCTGGAGAAAACCGATATCATGGAGGTATGCGAGAAGCTGGTGGTTTTCCAATGCTCCACAGTCGACTGCGTAACATATCACGGAGAAAGAACGTCAACGACTCCATAAACCTGGCGACGATTGGTGTAGACATCGAAAACATTGAAACTGCCTTCCAAGCATGGTCTGCCCCGCGACCAACTTGGCGTCTAACAAAACGAACGGTTCAAGGCTGGCGCTGCTGCTTTCGGTCGGGTGACATTCGCGTGGCGCGGGTTGAGACGTTCCGGCATGCACCTCTGCCGGGGTCTGCTTTCGACTCCCAGGGGTCCGGGATGAAGCGAATACTGTGAAATCGTATCATCACTGGCTGAGATTATTTTCCATGTGCTATTTTCGGGTAGATTACATCCGGGCACGAATGAATGCACAATATGGGTAACAGTTGATTACATTGGTGCAGAATGTGTGCTGTGCCGTTTGATTCACCTTGTCAGCCCCCATCAAACCGGGAGTACTTCCAATGAGAGCACATGTCCCGGGAGTCTTCCAACACCAAGATTATTGCTGCGATGGACAGGCTCCCCAGCGCTCTCTTTTCCAACGCCGTAAACGCATGTTGGATATGTGATTCTCACCGACTTTTTTATCGTATCATGTCGGTTGGTTGCTAATTCGCGCTTGAATAAGGATGAATGAGGTGTTTGGGGCTTCCAACTTGCGTCAATAATATCTCGTTCCAACCAAGGTCTTTGCGGGAACCGAAAGTCAACGAACACCGGGTCGCCTTTGCCGCATTTTCAGAGAGCTCTCGTGTGGCACGGGAACGTACATGGAGTGTGACACGAATTGTGCGTTAGAAATCACCCGGCATCGACATGCAAGGTGGAATCTCATTCATTAACATATTACCATGTGATGACAGGCTCTGCGGAGGGCATGTGCGGAATTTGACCGCCTGTTGCCGGAATTGTAGAGTTATGTTGGAATAACAGGCAGCACCAGGTACGGGACTCAATTCGCAACATGCTCTATGTGCTTCCCCTGATGCAGGGTGAAAAGCAAAGTTGCTCAAAAGTCGTCGAGTCTCCGTACCTGGCGTCTCATGATGATAAGATCAACCTGCTTTCAGAAGAGTTTCGGCCCTGTTCATGATGATTTACGCCTTGTGATCAGAGGTATAGAGCTGCTACAGTCAATGAGTATGGAATTTTTGATAGATTCGTCAACTTGGTTTTATCCTTCAAAGACCTCATAACTTCGGCTGTGAGAATGGTACATGCCAGAGCCGTATATAGCCGGGTTCCAGGACAGAAGTCTTGAGGAACTGGGAGTGAAACGTCAATTGGCCCAAACTTCAACCTTTTGGAATGAATCTTTTCAGATTTGATGCTCTTTCTTGCATTATAATTGATTCAAAATCATGTCGTTCGATATATCTTCTAATTTGACCACATCAGATAATCATTGCGTCGCATTTGCAGATTCATATAATCATGCAAATCAAGGTCCAGTATCGATTCTCCATGCTGGATCAGGTGAGGGTACTCGACAGCTTCGATGTCGCCACAGCTATATTGTCCCATCAATCTCAATCTAGGTAAGACAATGTCTAGTTCATCGCTCTTTTCATTGGCCTTTATTGTTTCTTTAATTGTCGCTTAGACATACCGGCAATTTAAGTATTGAAACAACTCCACGGCCTGTCAGGTCGTTTAGATCAGACGACTGCGGGTCCCCGCTGTCTCGCGGCCTGGCATGAACGAGACGCCGCCTACTGCTTTATCTCAAACTTAAGCATAGAAGATCTTATTAGAGACGCTGATCATAGCACAGATGTTATAGGGATAGCGAGCTCCGAAGCAAAATCATTTTACGGGCACGCAGTTGTCCAACTGTATTTGCGAGCGAGTTGCAACTTTAGCACCTTGCGTCATGGGCAGTCTGCGACCCCCTCGCTTAGAGAGTCTAAAGTTGCCAGCGCCAACAAAATTTGCATTCCTTCTAGTCGTTTCGTGTAGACTTGGAACAAAAGTTTAATTCGGCAAGCGTGTCACAAACATTATCGGTAGCGTACATGTAATGATCAATAATCGAATTGTATGTACCGGTACAAGTAGTGCATTCTGGCTCCTACTATGCCCTCCAGCTGGCTCGTAGAGCCAAGGTATGTTCGTCCTCTAAAGTGAATAGTATGATACAAAGAAGTGGTCGACACGAATGGTCTATGTACAACAACGCAATTGCTCAACTCCACGAATGCTATTCGCAGGTGATTTATACGCGAACGAAACGCGACTTGGTGGACCAACCCCAGGACTCAACGTCGCGCTTGCCCATGGCGGCAACGCTCTTGGCGTAGTCACTGGTGCCGTGGGAAGGGTCGGCGTCGGTGGCCTTGCAGGTAGTGCCAGCTTTGTAGTCGCCGAGTTTACCGTTCACAGCGGAAAACTTCATCTTCTCTTTGGTGGTGGCGAGCATATTGGTGGCGGCCTCCGGGGTCCATCCATTGATGAAGTCGCCGTGAGAGCACCAGGCGGAACCGCAGGCGAGCTTGAAGGGCGCGGTGCCGCTCCAGCCATTCGGGAGGACCTTGCGGAGGTCGTAGCGGATGGAGAAGCGGAGCTGGGGCATGGACTTCATGCCGGAGGGGCAGCTGCCTCCGCGCTTGTTCTTGTAGGCGGTCTCGAGGGTCTCGGTGTTGACGCACTGGGGGAAGTAGAGGAGCTGCTGGAGGTGGGTGCCGCAGGTGGAAGCAGGGAAGCCGTTTGCGTCGGTGCTGCCGCCGTCGTTCTCGCAGGCCCAGGAGGACTGGGCGTCGGCGGGCATTTCGGCCTCGGTGGTGGCGGTGGCCTTGCCGGCGACCATCTGGAGGTTCTGGGGGATGGCGACCTCGGCCTCGGTCTCGCCGAGGTTGTAGTAGGCGCTGAAGCGGAAGAGAGGCATGGGCTTGTAGGTCTTGCCTCCGTCGGTGGTGTACAGTGGCGTGGGGATCCAGTAGACAGACAAGTCGTTGGGGTTCTCGGCATTGGTGCAGCCCTTCTGGAGCTCGGCGCTGGTCTTCGTGTTGGCGGTGACGGCGTCGGAGCCGAAGAAGGAGTGCAAGTGAGACTTATCGTACTGGCCGGGGAAGACGATGGGATCAATGTTCTTGGTCATGAAGGGGTTGGCGACGTTGACCTGGGTGTAGGCCTGGGCGAAGCCGGCGATGAGGCCGATAGCGAAAAGAAGGGAAGACATCCTGTGTCTGTGGAACGAACGAACAAGTTAAAAAGTGAGTAAAAGGTAGGGAAATAAGGAAGGAATGCGACAAGGAACGACACGTTGGAGAGCAAGAGAATGATTGAAACACAGCCCATCATGCGATGAAAGCTCTTCAACTTCTTATAAGTTCCTTACTCTCTACTCTCAAGACGGGACACGGCCCAGTGCTGTGCCTCGTCGTCCATAATGGGATACCCGAGGTCATCCAGCCCCTTCTAAATTTCCGACCAAGTTTCACGCCACGGCCTTTGACAGCACCATGCAGCCGAAAAGGGAACAACCTTCGTGGGGCATACCGTTTTGTACAAAGTGATTTAACTTGGCAGAGCCGCACGATGCCTGCGATGGATTAGTTGCCATAAGTTGATTGGCCATGGGCCACAACCAAGATCGCTAGCGTCTATGCTGTTCCACCCTATTCCACTGTTGTCCGCTTTTTCGTCCGATGCAACGATGGGATCAATCCGGGAGATCATCCCACTCGCGGACACTCAGCAAGAATAGCCGGGCTTTTTCCTTATTTTCCAACAAAATTTACGACTTCTTCTCAGTCGGTCGCATGCATCCAACCCCCAAGCTTATAGTCTATGTAGAGCAGAGTGCGGCTTGCCACGGTGGAGTTTTCCCAATGCCGTGCACTCTATTTTCCACCACCATTCGCTCTACTTGGGAAGCCCCAAACCGTATCAATAAACTACACCCCTGTCTTCTATTCGCAGGGATGGCTTAAGAGAGGCTCAGATTTACAAGACGGTCCACCCACCGGAGATCTCAAGTCATGCAGTCTCGCTGTGACTACGAAAAGTACGAATTCAGATAGAAAGCCTGCTATTCCCCAGTCTTCCTTTAGATCAGCATGACAGGGGCTAGCTAGATCCCCAAATCTTTAATTTTGAAGCGACTGCTTTCTGTATCAGGAATACCCATCATTTCTGGCACGCGTTCGTTTGATCTTGAGAACGCACGGCCGATGTTCAGGAGCTCGGAACTCTCAGATAAGACGAAGACACAAAATAGCAGAGCAGACGTGAGTTCGATGATACTGTAGTCTGACACTGACGAAGCCGTCTCTTCGTATTCAGACATCTCGCTTGTAAACCCAGCTAACTGAAATCGACGACCGGCGGAGAATGAATCGCATGGTCCTTCAGTGGCTCCTTCATCGCCGCTGCATTAGGCAAGCGGAATCTGGCTCTCGGTAAGTCGGTCGGTATGTGAGTGCATAGAAGCATCCGGAAACCTCTCTAAGCGACGTCGGCCAAGGTTTTTGAAAATTCAGTTCAACAGCTGGGTAGAAGAAATCCGTTCCCGTCATCGTTCCCTTCATCGGTAATTGTTCATTCATTTCCGGATGACAGGGTCCTACGCCGAACCATCGATCGTCAACCTGGTCAGCTCGGTAAACGAGACACTGCAAGGGAAACCTTTCATCTACTTCATTCCCCCGAAACCTGCAGAAGGAAACCGTTTGAACGCAATTGCTGGGGAGTGCTAGGCTGTCAACTTGCGGGGTCAATGCGACCTCGAGACATGGACCATCCATTCATCCACCTAACCCCCCTTTTCACCAGTGTGCCAGTCTCGGACTCTCGGCGGCTATCCGCTTGGTCTAGGCTACAAAAGAATCCAGAGGCGTTGTTTCTCGTTTCAAAACTTTAATATGCCTGAAACGGGTGGCTTTTTGGCGTCTCTTGAAAAGTAATGAGTGTTGAAAAAGGTTTATTAGTGTTATTAGTTGTGTATCGCTTGAACCAAACCAGAGATTTGGAGGTATGTATGAGCCCCTATTACACATTTGGCGCCATGAGGTCCTTGTCCAACCACTGTTGGGTCGTCCACTTCATCGATCAGATGTAGTCATCTTCTTTGTGTTTATACGATGAAGTATCTGCTCTCAACCGGTCTAATGAAGCTATCGGTCCAGCTTATTAGATGAAGCATATTCCAATGTGCACTCCAATATCTTCGCCAATATGAAAGAACCCGTACTTAGGCCTTGCAGCGGACATATTCTTAGTCTATGGCAAAGTTCAAGAGGTGAAAAGAGGGGAAAGAATGGCGCGTCATATCTTATTAACCAGGCAAGGAACCACCCTTGGGCTGAACAAATGCTCAACGGCATGTGCCACTCAATGTCAAACAAACCTCCTTCCTGAAAACAACATGAAGATTTGGAGGCGCATGTACTCTCTTGGATAAGCCTGCTGAAGCAGCGCTCGAGATGAACAAGCCTGTTCAGGAGGGCGTGCATCAACAGGTATATACGACACGAAGGAGCCATTAAGTGTATCTGAAATATCAAGTTCGTCATTGTGTGGAGAAAGATATGTTCACGAATCACTAGACCACGCAGAGACTGAGGCAGGCGAGCCTTGCCACTCGCCTCCCATAGTCAAGTCCGAGTCAGGGGTCTTAGAGTCTGCGTAAGAATAAGCGGTATCAGTATTTACCCTGGTACAGTAATCTCGTTGACCTCTATAGCTTGCTATTGTTTTTATTCTCTATCTTTCGTAATATTAATCCGTCGACTGGCAGCGAGGTGCTTGAATCCTTGGAAGCTCACGGGCAATTAATGTTCGCTCTTGAAAGGGAGAAACTATCAGGAAGACTTTCAGCCCGGCCAGGCTGGCATTATCGTGATGTCCCTCGGCCAGCCCTGGACGCAAAACGACAGGAGACAAATCGTGGGACCGTTTGGTTTCATTCCTTGGTAAGATACTGGTAGCACGATCTATGGACGCGTCGCCATCGATGTATGCCCACCAACTTCAGATCTCGCGTTGAAGTTGTGCTTAGCTTTGAGATTGTCTGTTTCCTATCTACCTCAGTGGACGCCTCCTCAGCCACCTTACTACCTTTGCAGGGTCAAGCACGCCATGAAATCACCCCTGAGATCGTGCCAAAGACGGTGTTTTGGTAATCAATGACGAGACCAGTCTCGTGAGCTCCTAGCTCAAATGGCAGCAGGGCCTGCGCTGGCCTACACTGGCGCTTTAAGGGGCATGCTATACAATGTCGGAAATGCAAAACCCCAATACGTTCAAGGCCATGTATTGTTCGATCCGAGGCCACCTTGGATGTCTGTACAACGCTCACGCCAAGTGATTCTTGTGAAATACCACGGGGTCGGCATGAAAGTGACTCCCACAAGAGCGCTTCACATTCCACGTCAGCAATTACCAGAAAATTTCAGATATTACGGCGATGATGTTTCTTTCAAGTCCAAAAATCTCATGGTGACACTGTTCTAACGGGGCTTAAGGTGGCGTAATACGGATGAGACAATGTCTTGTAAGGGCGAACGGCATAGCTGCGGAGAGTCTGCTCCGTTCTACTCCGCGATTGGGGAGAATTGTCCTGTCCCACGACCCGAGGGCCGTGTGTACGTACAAGCGCATGAGTAAGATCGTGATGTGGGATATCATCTCATCAAAATGGAAGCCTAAGTGTTGACAATATGGCTTTGGAGTTGCTCATAGAGTCGGTTTAGTTCTCGCGCCACGGTCAAAAGAAGGGCATTATTGACGCTTCGTAGTAAGAAGTAAAGTTGGTTCTAGTCTGTTTCTAACCCACATCGCTCTCGCTCCTGAGTCCTTCGTGCAATAACAACAAGAGTCGCCTGTGCTCTCTTACATGCTCACATGATGAGCCCCTATGCTAGCCTTCATCGGCAAACTTCAAGGCCAAGCCAACAATTTCCACGCTTTGTCTTTCCTTGTAGCCCTGTGCACAGCGAGATGTAGGACTGTCTAGACCATGTTGATGGTGAACCTACTTCTCCAGGCAGAGTCCAGGACAGTGGGGTAGAGGCGAAGCATCACTTCCTGCTAGGCCCACACGAGGCATGGAGAGAATATTGCTGCATTCATCGACGCACGTGGTTTCTTTCTTCCGGGGGATAGTAGCATCGAGAAACCTTGACAGAGGAATCTCCGAGTTATCTTGTTTCAAGTTGTATGTTTTTTTGACGACAATACTTCGAAAAGGGCCTAAGATTTGTTCAGAATCTACACGTAAAGGCAGATACAATGCCGTCAAGATTTTGCCTAAAATTGGAGATAAAAAGAGGGCAAGTTTGCATCTCCTGATGACTCTCTTTTCTCTCCCATCATCCCGATAATCACGACACCCTTTCATTGTCTTTGGACCGCATCCACTAGTGTTCCTCCGCTCTCTACGGGCATCAGATCAGGCTCTTCGTCCGTTGCTACCACCAGCGCCGCTTCCTCCTCCACCTCCACGTTCGTATCCACCTCGAGCTTCACCAGCGATGGCAGCACCTTCGTCACAACCATCAGCTCTACTTCCGAGGGCATCACTAGCATCCCAACCACGTCCACCGTTGATACTCAGACTTTTTATCCAGCTCCAGCGCCTCTGCATCCTCCAGCTGGTCTGCCTCCTCCAGGCCCTTCTGTTGCGCACCTTGCTGGCCATCCCCCCACGAACCCTTATATATCGTTTTTGACTCCCGTCAAATCTGCTCAGGCCCCTGCCGGTCAGCTCCCTGTCAACACTCCTGCCGGCCTGCTTTCTGCCAACCCCACGGCACTCGGGGTACCGACAGGCGGTGCCACGCCTCCCGCTGTTACTGTTGCCGGTCCCACCAGACCTGTCCTCTTGTACAGTTTCATCGGTATGGCTCTGATTGCAGCTGCTGGAGTTGTCTTTATGTTGTAAAACAAGAACTCGGTGACCGAAAAATGTCTTCTTCTCACGCACTCGCTCCTCTTACCGATGATCTTGCTTATTCACGTCTATCAACGGGCTCTACATATGGGTTTCGTTCTTTACAACATCGGGTTCGTGGTTGACTTCAGGTCCAGCTAGGAAGGTGGTCGTTTTCAAAGGGCTGTAGTTTGTACCTTTGGTCCCTTCGACTACTCTAAGGGGGTTTCCTGGGAATATAAATCAATCCGAGATATTGTGACTGCAGATATGATGGAATTCAACATATTTTGCAAAGAATGTGTTTTTACAACCCTCAAATGTGTTCTTACAAGTCTCAACAGTTCTTCTTGCTCGAATGGGAAGACAAAAATTTATCTTGAACCTGCAGTGGTTACATCTAGTCAAAGCTCAGAACTTCGCTCGCATGGGCTCTTCTTCATTCCATCTTATAGAAAGTCCTGCTCGGATGTATTTAGATAAGACGATGATGCAAACAAAAGCATGAACAAGCAAATTAGTAATCAAAGCAGCTGGATCTTACTGTATCAGCTATACGACGTATGTAGCCCCCGTTGGCTGACTTCATGCAGCTCGGATTTGACCGCCAATCACCGTTGGTGATTCATCGCATTGCTGCCTAACGTGAGGCTTCCATCAGGCCATGCCAAATTGAAGAAGATCAAGGAGTCACTTAATAGCTTCTTGAAGGAGCCTTTCTTCATTATCTTTAGCATTGATGACCATACAACAAGAGTAAAATCGACGAGTTTCTCTCCGGCGTCAACATTTGATTAATGACTGAAGCTTTCTCAGCCACCGCAAAAATCTTTTAAGACGGAATTAAGGGTTCTCGCGCGAGAATTCAGGCTCACTGCTGCAATTGATCATTTCAATCATTTGAAATGTCAGCCAACGAGTCAAAACGTCGCACCGAACACAGATCGCTGGATATTAGGCCGTTCCAGTATGAGCCTTTGGATGAGGGAATCGACTGCACAAGATTCTTGAAAATTCATCCTGCAAGAAATGACAACGGCCCTATAAGCTGCGACCTGGTGCAGATTGCATTCGGCGCAAGGCCAAGCTACGAAGCTCTGTCATACAGATGGGGCGATGAGACTTACACGAATTCAATCTTACTCAACGGCAGCCACTTCCTCGTGGGAAGGAACCTCTATGACGCCCTTCAATACCTTCGCAATCAAGGTGGTTTTGGTCTTCTGTGGGTTGACGCCATCTGCATCGACCAGAAGAGGGTCCAGGAGCGCAATAAACAAGTTGCCATCATGAGGCACATATACTTCCGAGCACAAACCGTCGTCATTTGGCTCGGAAAGTTGTACTCGGAATACCAGCAAGGCATCGACGCTCTTGAATTGCGTCACGCTCCAGGCGACGTCTCGGTGAATGAAGCTTTGGGCTGTTCAACCGACTCTAACCAACCCGATGATGCACATACAGCAGGTTTGAAGGTTGAGAGCAAGATGGTCCTTCGATTGGCAAAGGATGAGTACTGGAAGAGGCTCTGGATCGTTCAAGAGATTGGGCTCGCCAGACATAGGCGCGTCTGCTTCGGCAATATGGCCATGAATTGGAACAGTTTCATCAAAATGATGACGCTTCACAGCACCGATGGTGAAGGGCCTCTTCTACTAAATCAGCAAATCGAGAGCAAATATGAAGGCGCTCATACAATGAGAAGCCTTCTTTACGAACATCGATTCTCTCAATGTAAGGACCCTAAAGATAAGATTTTTGGGTTGATTGGCCTGGCAGTGGATGGCCACGGCTTTCCGAAACCAGACTACGACAAGTCACCGGTTCAAATTTGGACAGATACCATGGAGTTCATGAACGAACATGACCTATTTGATCAGGACAAAGAAGTTGACATTATCTTTTACGGGACATTGGTCAAATTTCTTCTCATGGGGACACGAAGCACGCTGGGCCAACAAGTCCTGGGGCCATGTGTTGTGGAAGCAGAGACGCAGCTGATCCATGCATCCGGACCTTTCGCCGAAACCAAAGATTCGAGAGTTTTCACATTGACGGGATATGTGGTTGGCTGCATTCAATCTATCGGCCCTTCGACGAAAGACATCGCCGATAATCTCGGCAAAGTTGACGAATGGTCTTTCAAAGTCCAGGTCAACTATCGAAACGATCTTGGCGCTGCCTACGAGCAAAGCAACAATCTTTTGAGGGCCCTATTGACTAAAGAAGATGCGGAGGTCTCTCGACTTTGCTTCAATCAGACTAGTCTTGTTGAATGGACAGCTTTGGCAAACTCTGGCACCCCTTTGGGAGAATATTCGGCATGGTTTGCTAACCACAAGCATGAACTGAAGCCTCCTGAGAATCCTAGTCTTTCCGACTCTTCTTCGACTACTAAAGCAACAGCGGACACAAACCAACTTCTATACCAGCTGTACACTGGATATTGCAAGAAAGCGCGGACTAAATGGAAGATGGGAGTCGCTTCAGGCCAAGCAGAGCTAGGCGATTTGGTATGTTGGGTTCGAGGTACCAAAACTGCCTTGGTTGTGAGGCCGACTGAGAGATTCACAAACGGTTCCAATTCATACGCGAAACTGCAAGTCATCGGTACGGCAGTGATCGCCGAAGACATTGCAAACTTGGACATTCGTCATTCACCACGACTAGACTTCCTGGGTGATGAAAGCCGGCCTGGGTACCGGTATGGAGTTACGGGGAGATTGTCTGAAATAATAACGTTGAAGTTTGATGCTCGAACTGTCTACGTCATTCTACCTCAGCCATCATTATTAAGTAGGATAGCTTATTGATCTTTAATCATTTACCATTGATTTCAGAAAGCGCATCAGTCACTTGACAGTATCTAGGCAGGTGGTGGAAAAAACGATCAGGTCGGGACGAGCGCCATGCCCTGGAGGTTCCGGGCAAGTAACAATCAGGCGCAGCTGTCTGTTGAGTATAAGAGCGAATCTATCATTGCCAAAAACTGATGTTAGAAATATCAAGCGGCGTCATGCATGGACGCACAAAAGTTTCAAAGGATCTGTATACCCTGCTGTCTGGGTTCAGGTAGACAGGGATAGAGACTTGGGATTCGACTGTTGGGCCTCGGAGACGAGTATAAGTCGGTCATCGACGTAGGACTGGTAGTCGAGATGTAAGAAGTGGCAACTTACCATAGCTCATTTGATCGCGATTCTAATCAGCATATTTCCAATACTTTAGGCGGAATGTAGGAGCGCCTTCCCCCCCGTACCGAATTGTCTATGGACAATGAGAAGTACTCGGATCTTGACGAGCGTGAGCCCCGATATGTTAGCGGAAGCGATAATCACAATACTGCCACCGAAATCTCAAGAATATCTTCTTGTGAGGCCGGCCAGAGAATATTGCGAGATCTATACGAGAATCGCGGGTAAGAATGTGGTCATGTTGTTCGCGGTAGCACCTGGCTCAATTGTTCCATCCCCAAATTGGCAACTTGGGATAGACCGGAAGATCCCCATGATCCTTACCACTGGCCGACATAGCACAAGATCATGGCACTTCTAGATCCTGTCCATATTCTCCGCAGCAAACACAGTAATTGCGTATTTCTTGGTTTCAGAGACTTACACGCCAGTCTTACTTCAGCGCAAGCTAAAAAGTCAGTCCTCGAGCACCCGTAATTCTGCTGATATGACTGGGGAAAGGACACACTTTCTACTGCAAATCTTCTAAAGGACTTGTGCTATCAACACACCTTATCAGACCATTGAGCATTCTCATCCGTCGTCCGGTTGTTCTCATTATCTCATGGGTTTGGGCCACCAGCTTCGGTCTCTACGATCTTGTCCTCTCGTCTTTTGTCAGCCTTTGGATGGAATGATACGGCCAATCTGAAACCCAGAGTACGCTCAAATACATCACTTTAGCGATTGGTATCACTGTTTCTTGGCAGGCTGGGGACCGGTCATGCAATACGTCTTCCGACGACTTAGGGGCAGGGCAAACGGCAAGTCTAGCCCGGAGTTTCGAGTACCCTAAGGTACCTTGTCATTGGTGCGATTCTTCTCCCAGTCGGCCTGCTCTATTACGGATGGGGCGGCAGAAAAGGGCATGCGCTGGGTATTTATGGACGTTGGCGCAGCCGTCTTTACTTGCGGGACGTTCGTCACGGGAACTGCCATCAACGCCTACCTGATCGATGAGTTCAAACGCGCGGCATCAGCAAGCGCAGCGGCACATATGCTGTCCGATATGTTTGGGCTCGCCTTTCCCATCTTTGCTCCGCAACTTATCAACAAACTAGGATATGAACACTGGTGTTTGTATTCATAGGAGTAGTCGTGCCATACCCTGTTCTGCTTTGGTTTTGTGGTGCGAAGTTGCGCGCTCTGGGACGGGGAGCCCAGGATTGAGCTCAGGCAAGTGCTGGAAATATTAGCAGAACTATCAAGAAGAATCAGAGTGTTTAATACTCGAAACCCAAAGTTCAATGTTATAAAAGCCCCCAGGCTCCGCTTTTGAGAAATCTCTCAAGATCACTCAAAGCACGTATGTTCTAGATCCTCCACTTTTGTTGCCAAGTTTTGATCGAGCCTTCATTCTCTTGTGAAGTTTCTCATGTGCTACTATGGACTTCAGTCTGTGACATGAGATGGATCAAAGTCTTTTTCTGCAACCTGAAGACGTAAGAAACAAGGTAATGGTGACCATACACATTAGGCAACCCCACCTACGGCTGCAGAGAATAGGAGGTGGAGGAATTATACTCGATGCTCTGGCCCTCGCAGACAGGCATTCTCACGTGTTTCGCGCTACTTTGACGTGCTTTGCCCCAGACATCAGCTCTCCCAGCCCCCAGATTTCAGCCTCGGTTAGCCTGTTACCCCGACTTGCTAATGCTGATGTGACTGATCTTAATTCTTATCTCGATTCCTGAGTCAGGTGGTTCTGAGAATACCACCAATATCGGAAATATGTATCAATTCGACCTTGCCCGTGAGGCTTGAACTCAAAATAAATGAAATCGCCCGGGGAGGTCCCTTGCAACGAACCTAGGGCGGATTGAATCAGTGACGGTGGTGGAAGTTTTGAGCCCGTTGGCACTTGAACAGTTAGACATGGCCAACATGAAAATAGGCAAGTTGGTTCATGTCAAAAACTCAGAAAAATTCAATGGTGTTTGCTGTCAGTCGTGTTTGATTCTCTCTCGACCTTGATGTTGTCTTTGGTCCCTGAGATAGAATTCAGAAGATCCCTGACTCGTGTATTTTATCCGAATTCGTCCACGTACTCCAGACAAGCTTCGATCTACGACGCTTGGGTCCAGTATAACAGCGGTCCTTGCTTATCAGACTGCCATCCCGACACTCAATCAGATCCCCGACCCATCTTGCCGGTCGAAGAAGCTCTGATAACAAAAGCTTGACAACGGCCCCGTCCGAACACCCCACCTGCCTACGGCTGCCCAAATACGGACGGAAGCAATATTAGGATGAGAAAGAGAACGGTCACTTCTGCCCTCCATTATCCCTTCACAGAGCTACTATCACGTAAACAAACACAATGCTCGTTCAGCAAAAGGCAAAACCCTTGGTCCTCTATGCTGTGCCCCCGCGCGAGGGGCACATGCGACCAGCCCTTCAAATCACAAAGCACCTCGTCGGTAGTGGCTTTGACGTCACGGTCTTGGGAACAAAGAGGTGGAAAACCACAATCGAAGCGGTCGGGGCCCACTTCAGTCCCATCATCGGACTATGGAACACCCTCGACGACCCATCCCGCTGGCCTGATATTGCCCACGCCTCGGATCCAGCTGCGAGACTCGCCGCGTCTCTCGACGGGGGCTTCGTCTCTCTTTTGCCCAGCGGTCTGGAATCAGTACGGTACGCGCTGGCCGCGATGCGCCGGCGGCAATCGGGGTGCCAGATTATCATTCTGTCGGACACGTGCTTCTCTGGAACGCTGGCCTTGAAGTTGGGCGCCGACTTGCCCGAACTCTTTGAAGAGAATGAGTTGATCCAAACCATTGGTATCGGCGTCGTTCCAGCATTCTGGGCCAGCCATGAGCGACCACCTTGGGGATTTGGACTCGAGTACGACAATAGTGAAAAAGGACGGACAAGAAACATGTCAGTGACCAAAGAAACGTGGGACAGCGCCGCCGAGGATCGCGCAAGGTGGGTTTTGGGGATGATGGGATGTTTCAAGCCCGTCGAGTCCCTCTACAATGGGCTCTCAACAACCATGGACCATCCATTCTGGGACGCATCCACAGTCTGCCACGACACAGTACTGCAAATGTGTCTCCCGAGTCTCGAGTTCCCATCATCGGACTGGCCGGAGAAGATCAAGTTCGCGGGAACACTCCCGATCAAACCCATCCCGTCGAATCTCACCTACCCGAGGTGGTTCGAACAGATAGTCGCCAACAGCTCTTCTCTCGACGCATCAAACCCAAGCCGCAAGAAGATTGTCTTTGTAGCGCAGGGGACAGAAGTGCTGGATCATCGGGAGCTCATCATCCCGACGATGCAGGCCTTGGCGACACATCCCGACGTTCTCGTCGTCGCATGCCTATGTGTAGCCGGAGCAACCCTCGACACGGGCGACTTTGAAAACGGAGAGCTGCCCAGTAATGCTCGCGTGGTAGATTACTTCCCGTACGACGCCGTCCTGGCACACGCGGACGTGTTTGTGTCGAACAGCGGGTACGGAGGGTTCCAGCACGCGGTTTCCAACGGGGTGCCGATGGTGCAGGCCGGGAACACCTTTGACAAGCCAGATATCGGCCGACGGATTGAGTGGTCTGGCCTGGGGGTGTTCTTGTCCGAGTCACCTCCGTCAGTGAGCGCCGTCGGGCAGGCTGTGGCAGAGATTCTGGGCGATGAAAAGTACAAGAGACGTGCTGGGGAGCTGCGAGATGAAGCTGGCGGGTTTGATCCGTTGCGAATGGTTGAGGAAGAGATTCTATCACTGTCCCAGTCAGGGGCGTCTTGGACAAGTTGAAAGGATCGTGTCAGGTATGAGTTATTGAATAAAAAGAAACCTCATCTCAATTCCCATTGACGAGATCTCGCCTCTGATGAAAAGATCCCAACACTACATGTAAGGAAGGTAGTGGACTAGCAAAAAAAGTCATAGAAACAACCAAGACCATATCTGTTCATTTACATCTACTCTTCCTCGTCCATCTCTTCGTCCTCACTTTTACATTCGTCCTCGACATCAGCCTAGACCAGAAATATTAGCTGTCTACATCCCAAGATTTCAAAGGCAACAGCAGGTTCACACCTCTCGTCCTCCGTCCGTGTTCTGGAGCTCCGTCATCCCGTACACGGCCTCCGGAAGCTCAAAGTCCTTGGGCGCGGTAATGATGCCAAACTCGACCAAGCCGTCAAAGTTGCTACCCCACCAGCTGCGGCCGTAGAAGCCGACAATACGCTCGTCCGCTTGTGCCTCTGTGTAACGTATCGAATTAGCAAACCCGTGCCCCAAAGGCAGTGGAAGACGCGCGTTCAGCCCCATAACTCACCAAGGGTCGAAGTCTCGGGAACATCGCCATAGCCCGTCAAAGCACCGCCAGACGTGCCATCACTCAGGTGAATCCTCATGCCGCGGAGGGTATCATCCTCCCTCGACACCTCAACCTTTACAATCTCTGCGCCCCTTGGAATCTTTACCTCCTCAGACGCATGGCCGCCAAAGGTATGGGCACCACCACCCCATTTGCTGATCCTCGGGCCGCAATTGACACGCGTGCCCGAGGGGAACTGCACATACGCGCCGTCAAGGATACATCCGGTCCGGACGTCGACGGATGTCGAACGCACAATGGTCCCATCGGCCTTGCGCTGAGTGAGCAGCGTCGCCCACGACCAGAATTCGCGGTCTTCGCCGTCATCCGCCTCCTCGAGGTCCTTGGTCACGACGGAGCGTTTGCGCAATAGGACGTCCGACCCGGGAACGCGGACGTACGTGGTCGCCGAGAAGAGACGCCACAGGTCCCGCACCGTCTTTGTCTTGCCATTCATGCCTAGGACGTAGAGCTTCAGGCTCTCCTCGCGTGGGAAGCGGGCCTCGAGTTCTTTTCGGGTGAATGAGACTTTCCAGGCCGGGTAGGCCATGGACGGGAGAAGCTCAGACTGGCCGTTGAACTCCATCCGGGCGAGGTTGGCAGCGCAGGCAATCTCAACGGCCACGTCATCCGTCTCGACGTCTATGAGAGAGACAGTCGGAGCACTCGAGCGTTGCGCCGTCGACAGTCTCGCATCGCCGGGCAGCCAGAAGTGGTCAAGAGACCGGAAGGACAAGGCATCCCGCAAATCCCACTTGGCATCATTCTCCGTCTCGCCATCAACGACGACAAACCCTTCCTTGTTGATCTTTTGGGGGTACGCCGTCTTGACCAAAAAGTTGCGAGGCCAGTGTCCAGAGTACCCGCGCGCCATGATACCCGTTGTATGGGGTGCCCCAAAAGCATGTCCGACCTCGTGTAAGAACGCGCCCTGCCCGATAGAACAAGCCTCCCAAAACGTGCCGCACTCGCCATTGTCGTTGCCGACAGTGTTCCCAGGAGTACGGGTATCGAGAAGACAGTCCGAGACCTCCTCCACGAAGCGCGGCCAGGAGTACGCCAGGTGACTACCCATCATCCCGAGGGAGACCCCAGTCGGGTTATGGCACCCCAACGCGGCGTGGCCGAGGATAAGCTTCTTGCTCACAGAAAAGTGCGAGTCGAGAATCATCCCGGCGACAACCGGATGCGCCGAAGCCTCAAACGGCGAGCCATGAGCCGAAAGCGCGTCCAGAAAGTAATCAAACAGCTTGTCCCTCGACCGCGCCGCCTCATTCTGCTGCGCAACCTCGGCGTCGCGGATCTCAGCCGTCGTCTTCTCGGACCGGATGACATGGACCTTTGCCGTCGAACGCATGGCCCCGCTGTCAAAAAGAGCGGACTCGTGCAGCCCGTTGAGGAACGCGCGGCTGGTGGTGTCGGCAGTCCATTCCTCCTCCAGCCTGAAGGAGCGGCGGCCGAGACCCTTGGTCCGCATGTCCTCGGCGGTGAGGGCCTGCCACATGTACGCGGACATGCGGAGCTTGGCGATGGCGGCGTCGAGGGAGGCGTGGGCTGAGGAGGAGGCGCCGTGCTTCAAGGCCGGACAGTCGATAAGGAGGGGGGAGTCCTTTGCGACCATGATGGCGAGGTGGAGGGGGGGCGACTGCAGGAGAGGGATGTATGTCAGATTGAACTGGTGGACGGTGGCCTGGTTGCCGGAATTCCGAGTGATGGTCAGTTTGTTGAGGCCCGGAGACAGAAGCGCAATGATCTTTATCCGGTTGTCTGCGATGGGCCAATTCTGGACTGGGAAAGTGGTGCTGATGCCATCGTTGGCCTCGACGGTTGCGAAGTCGTCACCGAGGTTGGCGCTGGGGGTGTAAGTTCCCTTGAGGATGACGCAGCGCTATTTGGGGATTTCGGGTTAGAAAAGCGTACTTGTCAACATGCGTTCACTACATACCTGGTGTACTGTCTCACCGTCGGTGAAGTTATGAATCGTGAGGGACATGGTGGTGTTTTCTTGGGGTAGTACGGGGGGCATCTGGGTAGAGGGAAGATGATCTGAAGGAATCTTTCTGTCGTAGAGAATGTACATATCCTGGTGTCCAGGGAAGTTGTTTGTCAAGATGATGGGGCAATGATGGTTGCACTAAGGAATGATGGGCAAAATGTTTGTTTTCCATGGCCGTTCCCTCTGACCTTTATACCCGAAAACACCATACACACTTTATAATGCCATGGTTAAAGTCAAAGAATGGACCTAATTCACAGAGCGTCGGAACGAGTGCCAGGCAGAACAGGCCACTAACAAACACTGCCGAGCACCGTGCCGCTCGACCCAGGCAGTCTGCCTAAATTTCCCCGGCCCCTCATCTCCACTCTTCCGGGGCTACCCCTGACCGGTCCGGTTCCCATGGCTCGGACTCCAGGCAGCACAGCGGTCGAGACCGCGCATTCTCGACGCCAACAATTGTCGTGCTTGAGACGGACGCCAACCAGTTCAAGTACGTTATTCACGGTATCAAATGAAAGGCAAGCAGCAGGCATGTAACAAGCAGTGCATTGATGATTGACTCATACTCAAAGTCTCGAGACTTTCCTGCCGCCCTGAACGCTCATCCAAACTTTGATTAGTGTGTTTAGGCGATGAGATGGGAGTATGCCGTGAAAAGGTTCACCCCCGCGAGGTAACGAGCGTCTTCACACAAAGCCTTCAGATCAAATGCCTCGATAGGAAGCCTCAGTCCGAGGTCCTCGAGGCCATTGAGTTTGGCGATGACGTCGTATGGACCTGGATGAAAAGCATGCTGGTGATTACACTCATGAACCCGTACAGATCATACAAATTATGAGCAGATATATGCTGTAGAACAGGTGGGTGTTTTGACCAAATGTCATCCATTTTATTAGAGTAACGAGCCTATGCGAAGGACCAGGATAAGCTTCCCAATTCAACGATAGATGGAGTCACTGGGGTAGAATCCACATTTGCCAAAGCAAACCCGAACTGGGTACATGTAGACAAGTTGAGTCGAGACCTTGTGCAGACCATCGCCATCACGGCCTCGATACCCTCATTCCTTTCCCCGAAGCACCTCAGTCATCCACTCAAAGATGGCCGTCAGGTACCCTCCCATCATCTCCAAAACCCTACAACTTCAACCCCTCCATCATCCCCTCCAACAAAACCCACTCCTCCGTCCCCTCCCAAGCCTCCCGTCCGCGACTCATCACGCTCCGCACCGCATTCCTCGCCTTGCCCCTCCACCGTCCACCCACACCCTCCACCTCGCCCCCAAAGTTCTCCAACACACTCACAAGCTCATCCGTCCTCGCCACAACAACCTTCCAGGCCCCCCGATCAGCAAGCCAGTTCCGGCTCTGGTCGTCCCCGGCACCCCCGCTCCCCGCCGCCGAAGCCATCAACCCGCCGCCCGCCCCGGCCCCCATCGCCGCCCGCCAAGCCTTCTCCGCAGCGTCCACGGCGCCGGCGTAATCCCGCCTCCACACCCGCGCCCGCACAATCAACTCCCACAGCTCCGACCTCGTCGTGATCAGCGGCGCAACACTCTCTTCGAGCAGCGCAATCACCGCCTTTTCGACGGTGCCGCGCGGCGGGGTATACACGCCCGTCTTGCTCTCGTCGTGTTCCTTTTCTTTCGTGAGCACGCTCTCCTGCAGCAGCGCGCGTAGGACGTCGTCGTCGAGCGCGTCCTCGGTGTTGCGGATGCGGATGATGGCGCGGAGCGCCTGCACCATCTCCGTCACGGCGGGCGGGCGCACGCGTGAGGCAAGGGTGAGGACGTTGTCCCAGATGCGCCAGTTGTCCTGCGCGATCGAGGCGCCGCGCTTGTACGCCGCCAGGGACTGCGATAGCAGCGTGGCCGGGTCCTTGGCTTTGCTCTCTCGTTTCTTTGGCTCTTCGTCGTCGTCGTCGACGTCGTCTTCTTCTTCATCTACCTTTCCTTCAATCCCATTCTTCTTCTCCTCAATGATTTGCTTCTTCACCTCCTCCACGGCCTCGAGGTACATGCTCCAGAGCGAACTGCCCAGGTTACTCCACGTCCTCGCGTCCTCGCCGCCGACGACATCCCCGGCGGCGCCAATGGCTCGGCCATACGCCTCCGCGGCGTCTGGGAACTGCCCTAGCCGAAGACTAATGTCGCCCAGCCTGCTCCACATCTCGGGGCTCAACCGGTTGCACTTCGTCGCGAGCTTGTACGCGTCCTGCGCCTTCACCCACTCCTTTTGCGAAAGGTACCACTCGCCCAACGATTTTTGTGCGCGCGCGAACCGCCGGTTGGAAATCTCCCACGCGCGCTCCCAGTGCGCCGGCTCGTTCTCCAAGTCGCCCAGGATACAGAACAACCGCGGCGCATTGGGCGGCGGCGGACTGCGTTCGGGACCCGTAAAGTCGGCCGGGTTGAGGTACGTGACGTCGCGCGCCTCGAGATCCTCCGCGTCCGGGTCCGCGTTCTCGACGAGGGCTTGTCCCGTGCGATGGAACAGGCGCCAGCGCACGAGCGCCTTGGCCTTGTCCTCGCCGCCGTTGCCACGGCCCGAGTCGTCGTCTGTCGAGGCGCTGCTGGCGAGGCAGAGCGCGACTTCGGCCCAAAGACGCAGGCGCTTGAAGATTTCGAGGGCGGAGACGAGGGAGCCGACACCGGCCCAGGCGTAGGCGAGCTCGGACTCGAGGTGCCATTTCGGAGGGGAGGAGAGCGCGTGGATGTACTGCAGCCGGACGTGCGCGGGCGCGGTATCCGTCTCCTTGGCGGCAGGGAAGAAGGATGTAGGCTTCTCTGCGTCGACGGGGGCCGCTGCGGTGTTATCCGTCTCCCCCGGGGCGGAGACGGCGATGGCGGGGACATCGGGCTCGTTGGCGACGTCTTCGGCTTTGGGGCGTGGCGCTTCCGAGGTGTCGACGACGACTTGGTCGACGACGGCTTGCATCTGCAGAACACCTCTCTCGACGGTCCTGCTGCGGTGGACCTCGATACGCGAGCGGACGAGGAGGGCTTGTGAGTAAATTTGCCAGTTTGTTACCTTGTCAGAGACAACGCGCACGGCGTACGGAAGGACCTCTTCCGATGTCAAAGTATCGACCGGAGAAAATGTATCCTTGAGAGTCGCCTCGGTGAGAAGGATAATCTGGTCGAGGGGCGACAACTGAGGCTGCGCCTCGGGTGACAAGTCTGCCAATGCCGCAGGGAGCCCTGAGGACGTCGCAGCGAGCTCGCCATGCTTGCCGCTCGCCTCCTTTGAGAACTGAATCTCCTCAAGTAGAGTATCATCATTCAGCGCGACGGCCTCGGGCTTCGCCTCTTCCTCGCCGCCTGTTGTCTCCGCACCCTTCGCCGTCGCATCGCTCTTTGCAAGAACAACAAGCTGACTTGTGCTCTTCTCCTGGAACTTTGTCCTCTTTCCCAGCGCACCAGAGAGCGCGTACGCAAAGTTATTCAACTTGGTCGCCTCCTCAAGCGCCTCGCGCGCCCGATCATCGCGGCCGAGCATGATGTGCGTATTGGCCACCTCGAGCAAGAACTGCACCTGGTCCTCGCGCGACCACACCTCCTGGCCCGTCGACCACACGTCCTCGTCGAGAATCTGCTTCCTGACGGCCTCCATGCCGAGATTGATCTGCTCCGCCAATGTCGGGACGTCGATCCACTGCGACGCCTTTGCGAAATTGGCGCCGGGGCCGAGAGACGGCTGACTGAGGAGTTTAAAATGCCACACGTTGACGCGCAGACGGGTCCACGGCAGATTCAGGAGGGAGGATGAGGAGGGGCCCGATGCGGCGGAGGACAGCTGGACGACGGCCTCGCTGGCCGAAGCAGCCTCGTGAAAGACATAACGGGCGAGCGCAAAGAGCTCAATGTGCGGGATATAAGGGTAGGGTGAGACACCGTCGACCTCGAGTGCCTTGAGGCTGCTTCTGCGTAGCGCCTTGAGGCTGTCTGATGATGATGATGATGCGCTCGCGTCGTGGGCAGTGAAGATCTCAGTGAAGAGTGCTTCTACCTTGTTGGCGTGCTCCAGCACGGGTCCTGTGACGTTGGACTGCAAGAACGCGTTGAGGGCAGCGAGACCGACGGCGATTTCGTCCTCGGATAGTGAATCTTTCGATGCCGCCGTGGGGCTGGCAACTTCCTCAGCGGTCTGCGCTTGGAGGTTGCCGGTGAATCTAGTGATGAGATCCTTGGCAACCGTAGACGTCAGTACCTCAATGTAGGCGCCATCTGTGAAGCTAGACAACAAAGAGGCCGTGGCCTGGCTTCCATTTGTTTGCGTGTCTGCCATCGCTGGCCGAGGTGTATGTAAATAGAAATCAATAGTCGCGCCTCGCTTGTGGTATCGAGGGATTCCGGATCGCGATAAGTGATGTTTTCTGCCCCGCGCGTCGCGGGGTATTTGCGCCTGAGATTTCTTGGATGACGTCTTTTTTTTTATCGTGTAAACAGTAATCCGCTCAGCAAATGCCGAAACTCCAGTCTCCAGTATTTCAAAGTTCGTCTAGAATATCAACGGCGATAACATTGGTCTTGTTCGTGGAATAAGTGACTCAGACGGTGATTTTGGCGTTCGGATGCCCTGTGAAATCGAAATTTCCATGGTGGGGGCGGGGCAAATTTTCACCCACCGCGTTACATAAGCGGCTCACCTCACGTCCCAGCGCAAATCCATTTACTCACACCCCTCACCTCGCCTTACAATTATCTCACTGTGTACGGATAACACATCTCGCTGCACCACCACGCTTAGGTCAAAGGATAAAGGTTGTGTCACATTTCTCACATGCATTCCGATTCAGACAACACTGCTTTCTGACATGCTACCTATCGCTACCATCGCTACAATCCAGCCCTTACATGACGCTGTGAACCAATAACAGTAATCCAGAGCTATAACTTCGCCGTCGGAACGTCGTCAAGCATCGTCCAGCTAGCAATTACAATGTTACGTCGCCTCAACCTCAATACATCCTTCCGCCACGTGAACTCCATAACATCTTCTAGTTGCTCTTCTTGCCCGCCTTCTTGCGGGTGGGCACAACCTTGAAGCCCGCGCCCTGAATACCGGCGTCTCCAGCTGCCGCGGGAGGCTGCTCCTTGTGGCCGCCCTTCTTGGCAACCTCGTTCCATCCGCTGGAAGAGCTGCCCAGCTTGCTGTCGACAGAGCCCTGCTTCTCGATAATGCCCTTATCAGCGAGTCTCTTGCGGCGGACAAACTCCTCAGCAAAGTGCGCGCCATGCATGGTCTTGGAGTTCGCGTACACTGCGTCAGCAATGATACCGTCCTCGAGGGGCAGTTCAACAAGAATGCCAGCAAAAGTGTCCACTAAACGTCATGTTAGCCTTCCACTCCTCATTCCAAGATGAACCTAGTAATCTTACCATCGACGCCGTTAAGGCCACGGGACAACTCGTGGTGGAGCCACTTGTTGAACTCATCCATGGCAGCATTGCCCTTAGTGGGAGCAGGCGCAACCACAGTAGCGACAGGCTTGACTGCGGGCTTTGCAACGACCGGGACCGGCTTCACGCCAGCAGCGCTGACAGATCTCGTTTGAGAGGCAGGCCCGGTGGGCACCTTCACCTTCCCGCCGGCTCCAACGGTGGCCCAGCCGGGGCCCGGAGGCGGGGCGGGCGTGCCGGACTGTGCAAGACCAGGAGCCGCGTTGGGCTTGGTGGCAAGGTCGGCATAGCGCTTGCCAGCAGCAGCAGTCGCAAGTCCGGTCTGGATGGCAACCTCCTTGGCCTTGAGCTTTCTCACCTCCTCTTCACGCTGGATGTCGGCGAGCGTCTTCTGCTTGCTCGGGGTGCTGGTGCCTGGGGTAGGCTTGACAACAGCAGGCTTGGTCCAGGGGCTGGCAGCGGCGACTGGGGATCCATTGCCCCACGTGCTGGTAGTCGGCAGGCCAGTAGCGGCGACAATGGCCTTCTCACGCTCTCTCAGAGCCGCAGCCTCTTGCTCCAAGGCCAGGCGGCGACGCTCCGCAGCAAGCTCCTCGGCCTTGGCCGCCTTTCGCGCTTCGGCTTCCTGAATCTCCTTCAGGCTGGGTCCCTTGCGGCTCGCAGCCTCCTTGGCCCATGGTGCCAATGGCGGGGGCTCCGTTGCGGAACCCGTGTCAGGAGTCCCAGTCTGAGAACGATTGTACTGCTCGGGCAGGTTGGAACGGACACGCTGCGCGGTGGGAGCCGGCAGAGGCGTTCCAGCCGCAGGCAACGGGGGTGGGAACGGCATGGGAAGGCCAGCAGCCGCGTTCTTGGCAGCTTCGGCGGCAGCCTGAGCCTGCTGGACCCGTTGAGTCAGAGACAGCTGATGCTCCTCCTCCATGATCTCCTTTATGCCAGGTGCGGGCGATTTGTGCTGTTCGTTGCCAATAGCTTGAGCGATGGCTGGCGCCGAAAGCTCTTGGGCGACATCTTCTTGAATGCTTTGATTTGCCGCAGCCTCTTGAGATTGCTCAGAGTCGCGTTCGGCGCGGATGTCCTCAAACTCCTTCAAGCGCTCACGAAATCCTTCTTCATCTTTGTCCAACTGCTCCGTGCCAGGAAGGTTGTTCCTGTGGTTGCCGTCCTTCGCGGGAGCGCCGACGGGTTGTTGAGGAAAGAGACCTGCGAGGCTGGGCGGGACTTGAACATTCGCGAGCATCTGGCGCTCGGAGGCATTCAGTGTGGCAAGCTCCTCCTCACGAAAATGGTCGAGTCCGGAACCGACGGGGGGTTGGGTAGTTCCCTGCTGGGCAGCCGAGTCAAAAAACCCGGATGTCGGTCCAACACCCCCTCCAATGGGCGGCTGCTGAGTATGGGCACCAATCGGTGAGGAAATGCTGCCGAAGCTAGGTTGGCTCTGCAAGCTGTGAGCGCTGTGCTGGTGGTGCAAAGAACCTGGGACACCACCTGGACCTTGACCTTGCAGTCGGGTGATGGCTTGCTGCCTCATCATGAAGTCTCGTTGTTGTGCCATGGCCTGCTGTTCCTCCTGCTTCCTACGCTCCAGGTTGTTTTGCTCCTCCGCAGTCAAAGTCCGACCAAAGCTGGGGAAGACACCACTGAGAGGGGGAATAACGCCGGTGTTGCCGCTTGGAGAGAACGGCCCAGCTTGAGACGGGGGCCCATGGGCGATGCCGATCTGGGGAACGAGGAAGGGTTCGCGAGAGTTTCCAATTCTACGGATGAGCTGTCCGAGAGGCTCAAACTCAGGGTCTTCAACCTTCTTAACGCGTAGATCGGGAGTGAAGAAATTCGCCTTGTACCAATCATTCATTTCCAACCCGCTGAAAGGGCCCTGAATCTGTCCTTGGGGATCCAGGTAGACCCAGCGCATGCGGTCTGGCATGACCATCTGACGCACAGGAGTCGAACCAAATTCGGCCCCAGCGGATGCTCCGGGAGTGAACGCTTGGGGATGGCCAACGCCCGCGGCGCCTGGATGGTCGGAACCGCCAAAACCGCTGTGAGATCGGGTAGGGTCTGAGGGGAACATTTCCTCAAATACTCCACCGCGACCACTGCGAAGAGGGCTTCCGGTGTCCCGTGGCGCGGCACTGAAGTTATTGCGACCAATTGCGCCCAGAGGGTTACTCTGCCGAAGGTCGGGCAATGAGTCACTCAGGTTCTCCTGCTCGTGTCCTTGCATTTGCGCCTGCATGGCGGCTGGGAAGAGAGAGCCCAGCTTGCTACGACCAATGGTGCCCGGGCCACCGAGACCTCCGGCGCTGGCTGGGCCAAAGACACCACCTCCAATGCTCGATAGTCCAGGTGACTGAAGCTCAGTGCCCATAGGACTAAAGAGAGAATTGCCAAACACTCCCCCAAACCCGGCGCGCTCGCGGTCTGGAGTGCCCGTGGACAGAGGGACGGGCCAACCTGAGGTGTAACCTCGAGGTCCAGCACTACTGGTTTGGCTGCGATCACTGCCGTCGAAGGCGTGAGTCGGGAAACCGCGCGACATGGCGTTAAAGCCAGAGTTTTGTTCAGTGCCAACAGCCACACCGCCGTGGTGCATCTCGCCTGATCCTTCCTCCTGCGATTCGTTTCGATCGGCTGGTGGGCTGCGGTACGGGTTTGTCTCCGATGGGCTAGCCGGGCCGGGTTCGTTCTCCGCAGGGCGTCCCAAGTTCAGGCCAGACATGCCAAAATCTCCAGTCGACCCTTTGACCGGGGTCTCAAACATTCCGATGTTGCTGGGATTGGGAATCGGTGGGGGACTGGTGTCTTGAGCGCCTCCAAGCGCTGCGCTGCCTGACAAGTTGTCGTCTCCGCCGAAGGGGTCGGTATCGGTTCGAGGCCGAGATCGCCAAGATCGGGTCGCTTCCGGAGTCGAGGCCTCGCTGGGCTTAAGGGCAGCGCTTTCCGTACCTTCCTTGTTCATAAGGTTTGCAAAACGACTTCCACCACGATTGCCAGTGCCAATTGATGAAGATGGAGTCGGCAAAGCGAATTGGCCGAAGCTGCCCATGCCACCGCCGCTACCGCTACCAGCGCCACCGGCTGAAGGAGGCTGAGAGGCTCCCCAGAGTGAGCTAATGTTGGCACCCATAGAAGGATTACCTGCTGTGTTACTACGCGTCAGGTTTCCAAAGGGCGGCTTGGTCTGTGGCTGCACAGCACCTTCGTCCTCAACCGGCTCCTGCTCCTTGACGTCGTTATTCTTGCGACCGAACAGGAAAGACTGCTGTTCATCGCGAGCGAATCGTGTGGCGCTAGGGGAAGCGAGCGGGCCGCTGCCGAAAGGATTGGAGTCCGTCGTCTCTCGGCGCCGGGTTCCAGGTCGTGAGGCAGATGAGGGCGATGCCAATCCGTATCCGGCGGCACTACCGTGCGACAGAGATGCCTTACGCCCGTTCGGTCCTGGCCCCTGGGTGCCCTCCTTGTTCTGGATAGGAGGCTTCAGAGTAGAGTTGACATCGGATGCGAATGCCTGTCTTGTATTAGTCTCGTTTACCTGGTGACCTACTCCAAGTGGCCGACGCACCTCCTTCTCCTCTTCAGACAAGCCATTGACAGCTATGGGGTTACTATCGCCCCGGGTGTTCCAACAGGCAGCAGGATCTTGCGAATTGTGATTATTGTTGGTCTTTCCCCAGCCTCGCGCAGCACTTCCATTTGTGTGCCCCGGAGTCCATCCCGATTCAAACACATTGGAAGCGTCTATTTCTGCCGCGCCATTCTTGTACACACCGACAATCGAGTCCTTCTGGTACTGTGAAGGGGCTGCATAGTCGTACGTCGCAGCGCCAGGGGTTTGAGGAACTGCGCCGGAATCGAGCGGTGTCGAGGCAAAGGCGTTTTCGGACGAGGCTGCGGGTTGGGATGGTTGGCCGGGAGTCGTCGAGGATCGTCGGAAGGTCAGGGTGCCATTAACTCTGCCGTCACGTCGAGTCCTGCTTGATACGTTAGTCGGGGCTTTCATTCACATCCTAACCGCGCTGTGCATGATTTCTGGCGATATTGCGACGACGTGGCAAGACACCATCGAGGCAGCGGGCCAGGAAGTCACCATCACAAAATCACACAGACAGCAACGTCACTCGTTTCTTCCAGGACGCGAACAGGAAGAGTGCAAAAAATAGCAGGGTAGCGATGAGGGTTGAGCGAAACACAGAAAGTCACTAACCATTCCCCGCTACCAGCTCCACGTCCGTCCTGTCGACCGCCTCTCGCGTCGCGGTTGGCGTTTTGGCCGGCGGCAGCCGAGGCGAAGCTTGATGGTAGATTCGAAGGCATGGTTGATTATGCGCAAAGAAGGTATCTGGCGTTGAGCAAGGGTTGGGGCGTGCAAACAGCGCGCAGGTGTGGTGGTATTTTTTGGGGGCGGTTCGGTATTTGGTGATCGATCTCTCGTGGACAAGGCACGAAAGGGATTCTGTAATTGAGTTGTGGGTTTGTCGGCGCGCGACGGGCTGTGGATGATGATACACGTGAAGTGATGCGGGATGCAGATAGCTGATGTCAGGCTTGCTAAACGATGGGTTGATCGAGATACCGAGGAGTCGGTTCGCGAGCGTATGCGGTTCGTCGTGCGAGGGTGGGTGAGGAGGGTGAGCTGTCTCGTCGAAAAAATCAAAGGTTTGAAAGGAAAATTGCCAGCTCGGAAGGATCCACGATGGTGTGGACCAGGGAGGAACTGTGGAGACCGAACAGCCGCTAAGCCCCCAAAAGGTTCTGCCCGTGGTTTATCCGGTCCCGGCCACACGTTTTCATGTCTGGAAGTACCGGGGCAAGTGAGGTAGGAGCGGATGACGTTGAGATTTGGCCTCCAGTGTATCCGTAAAGTAAGGAAGGTATTACTTGCAACGCGCCTACTGCCTATGGCTCAGGTCTGATCTACTAAGGTCACGCTACTGCTGGTATGTTGCCTTTCCGTTTACCCTTGGTGCCTTCCAGGCTGTGATATCTCAGGGCGGCAACCTTTCCTTGCCCTTTCCCCCAATCATCAGGCCAAAGCTGTGCTGCAACCTACGACGACAATGACGATGGTTACATCACGTGCGTCACACGTGACCCCACCCTGGCGCGTCCACACTGACGTTGGACAAGCGGATACGCAGCGCAAGACTTCGGACAATTAAGGCAGGGCAGCCAGATCGACCTGGAAGGTCAAGTAGGTAGGTACCTTGGGCCATCGGGCTTTGCTGCAGGGCTTGGGCTGGGATTCGCACTTGGATCGGATGCTAAAATCTGGCTAAACTTTTCAGGGGTCATCCCCTAGAGCTCACTGACCTGCGAACCTGGCCTCTCTGCCTACCTTACCTTAGCCCCTTATCCTTTCTTAATGTAGGTAGCTCGGGCTGTTTTTATCAACAATACCTATCTTGACAGATGCCATCGACTCGAATAGCAGCATTCCTAATCGACACGTCTGCAGACTGAGAGCAGAGGTCTGCAAAAGAAAGCACAATCGCATTAAGCGAGGGAGAATAGGCTCACCAAAAAAAAGGAATGCCCTTCACAGTCCAGCCCTTCCGGGTATCCGCATCTCATCTACCCTCTCACCCGTTCGCTCATGCTCATGCACTCACTCCATGTCGCCCGCCTCCTCATCTCATCTCATGTCTCGCACCCAGCCAGTCTCGCCTCACCACGACTCGCATCCCTAACCATCCCCATATGCCTTATTGGACAAGAGTTGTGGAACAATCTCAAGGGAGAGTTTAAACATTCTAGTTTGTTTCATGCGGCCAAACGGCATCTTAATGGCAGCCGTTTCTGCGCAGTGGTGAAGGAGGAGACGATCACACGCAAAGGAAACAAGACGACGTTGGTGTTGGTTCCCCCCTCTCGTCTGCAGGGTCCTCACTTTCCTGGTGCGACGCGATCGTCATGCTTCCATGTTGAGACGACCTCATGGTGTTCTCACCAAATGTAGACATTACTCGGTCACCATGGCGCGAGTTTGTGAACAGACCTTCCACTGATAGCCTAGTTGACAGTAGATTATGTGAGAGATGCTTCCACCCCAGCGATGCTGCAACTTGCGGAATGAGTCATTATTGGGAGATCCCAACCCTCCTACGACAGAGCAGCGCTATCCTACCCTTTCCACGTGCTGCTGCTCCCACGCATACCATGTCATCTAAACTCCACTCGTATGAGAATTCGACGCTGGTACTGACGATTCCCATCACGTTGTATCGGCCGAGTCGGCTCCGACACGCTAGTATTAGGGTGCCTGCCTAGTCATCTCAAACCTCGAAGCTCAGACAGCACCTATAATTTAAACTTCAGTCTCATCACGGGTTTTCCGCGGCGTTTCGTCCGCACGACATTGACTATTGAACAACCTCTCTCTCATCGACTTCAACGACGGAGGAAGAGAAAGGACAGAACCATTGGGTCCCTACTGACGAGATGTCTCAGTCCGGATTGCTGCCCCAAAACTTCGCCGAACGTGGCGCTCCCAGACGCATGTTTACCGCCTTCTTCCAAAGTCGGCAATTGAGATTCTTCGCGCTCTTTGGCGTTGGTCTCTATCTCATTCGGGCATTCTTATTGGACTCATCTAAGCGCGGCAAGCAAGATTTCGCATCCACGAACCCCTGGCGGGATCTCCCGACTGACTCGGCCGTCCACTCATCCATCCGGGAGGTGCTCCTCATCAGCGATACGCTCCGCGACGGCATGCTCCCGACCTCACTCACAGATGATGACTACGACACGTACTCTTCAATGCTACGTAATCTGGAAACTCGGCAAGATGTGACTTGGCTAGTCATCCAAGAGACTGGTGTTGACAAGACCATCATGGCCATTGCCAATCGCGGCGGACATCACAGCCCCATCCCAGAGGAGCCTCACGACTTACATGAGCGTGCCAAGAAGCTCCACCACCACTGGTTCACGCTCGCCTCAGCCAACAACAAGCCGGACCGATGGGACGCTCAGTTTGACACGACCTATCTACCACCCCTCGTTGCCAGACAAGGTCTTGGATCGGGTCAAAAGTCAGATTCTTCCCAGCTGGACCTGACACCCGCGCAGAAGGCAGAGGCAGACGCCAAGTACAAGGCCTACCGCAAGCGCAGAGACCGCGCCGTATCGTACCTCAAGAAGAACCCGCCCAAGCCGATGGCCTGGGTACCAGTGCAGACGACCCCGGAAAAGAGCCGCAGTCTGTGGGAGTCGCTTTTCAGTGATGGCATCGTGAAACCTGGACGCAAAGTTGCGGGTGGGAAGCTAGCGGGGAACCCGGGATTCAAGCCGGTCTACCGAGATCTCATCACCGAGCGTGTTCCATACGACTGGGTCGACCCGGATGAGCCAGTGAAGGAGTACGCCGAGACGGACCATTTGAAGGAGATGGAGGCATTCAGGGAAGAGTCTCGGATCAGGAAGGACAGGACGGACAAGCAGGCGGCATTCCAGGACGAGCTCAGAGCCGAGGAGAGACGGAAGCGTGGAGAAAAGGAGGAGCTCTGATGCCTTTACTCCTGAAGAGTAAAAACAATCGCAGAGCACGAGGGAGGCCGTAGTGAAGCCTGGGCAGAGAACAAGACACAAATGGCCATCGCTTTCTATCAGGCTAGTCGCTAGTACTTAATATATATAGTAGACAATTCGACGCGATATTTTCCCGCTCCAACGCCTAGCAGCCGGCATCAGCACCGGCCTGGTTACACAAGCCGCATCTCCCAACACGCCGCGGTCTCACTAATCAGCCAGCCACGGCGTCCTCCCAAAACCTAGATTAAGACCGGCATTGAAAAGGTGTGTCCGAATCTAGTAGCCCGAAAGGACGGCACCAATGGAAGCCAGCGCCGGTACGGCCTGAATGAAGAAGATGCGCGGGTTCGACGACGCGCCGCCATACGAGCCGGCGGCAACAATGCAGCCGAGGAAGAAAAGCTGGATCTGGCGTCCGAACTCGGGGACGGGGTGGGCGATGCCCCAGACGAGGCCGGCGGACAGAAAGCCGTTGTACAGGCCCTGGTTGGCGGCCAGAGTCTTTGTCTTTTCAGCAAAGTCGGCGGAGAGCTTGAAGGCCTTGCGGCCGCGGGGGGAGGTCCAGAGGAACATCTCGAGGACGAGGATGTAGCCGTGGAGGCCGGCCATGAGGCCTGCTGCAGTTGCGCCGATGAAGCCCATGGTGGAATGATGTGATCTCGTTGTTTGAGGGCGCGGGTGAGATCGACTGTGGTGAGGTGTTGCTGGAGCGTGAATGTGTATGTATGTGGGGGCGGAGGCTGAGACGGGACGAGGACGAGCTGAGGTGGGGAAAGCGTTTATCGTCGATGAGGGCTGGTGATGATCGTCACTTGTCTCAGACAAACTGGCTACAATTGAGTTTTTTTTATCCAAAATCCTCGAATGGGCTGGGCCAAGAAGTATGCTCGAGAATTCACCCGGCGGAACGGAAAAACAAGGAGATTGTGAGGAATTCCAACCGCGCCTCGGCACCACCGAATACGAATTGGCTAGGTCGCGAGTCAGCCGCCTTACCGTACACCGGTTACACCGACACTCACCGAAATCCTTCCAGCCATCGAGTAGGCCAAAGAATCTACGTCACTTGGTAAGCTTGCGGATATAAATCATTCCAATGATATAGTAAAGTCCGCAGACTACCTACTCAGCCTGTGCTCTTGTACCATCAGACTCAATTCTTATCGTTACTCATTTCTTACCAGTGGCCTGTGATCCACAAGACTTTGTGCCCTGTTCCGCGAAGAAAGTCTGGGAGCACTTGAGGCTCTAGTCAATTCTCCAGACAGAAACCACCTCTGTGCTATTCCGGCAGTTGCTGGACAAGTACTTGCACCGAGGTAAGTAACTTAGGTAAGCTTGGTGATACTTCACGTTCACTGCATCATTCGGGGCGTTGGGTCAATAATAGCAGGAAGAGGATATCCGTTCTGGAGAATTGTCCAATCAGAATAGCCATTGACTATGTGGGGCGCACGTGACCTTTGACCGAAGGAACGGCGGGAAGGAGCTCCTTCCTGCAGGGGCTTGCAGGGGTCCGTCTTACAGGGATAGCGACTTCCGTCTCGAGAGATGTTGCTGCCCCGCCCAAGACGCGATACCTCATTTCTTAATTGCTTCCCGTCGCGTCTCACAAACTAACTAACTACCGCCGTCGCAGCCACCACAGTCCGCCGAAATCTTCTCGGCGACTTTCAACTCGCGCATAGAATTTCATGAGCCAGATTTTCGGCCAATCGGCAGCTACAATCCGGCTGTAATTTTGGGAGCGTCGCCCTACGATTGCTCGCCTCACATGTCGACCAAATCGGCTTAGTCACATCTCACTCCATACGTCAACCCATCTCACGATGCCTCCAATCAAGGCAGAGAGCATCAAGGCCGAGCGGTTGGATCGCAAACTGCACGAGCTACCCTTGACTCCCGGTACGGCTCTGCAGCAGTCGGCAAGAGATTCATGCCCTTCAGCATCCACTGCGGTCCCAGCTTCGGCAACTGCTCAACCCGACACCCCTTTCCGTCAAATCAAGTCTGAACCATCTTCTGCTCCAGTCGTCAAGCAAGAGCAATCCGGGGCAATTGCTAATCCAAACACTCCGGCCCACAATGATTCAGCTTCTACCGAAGATCCTGAGCAGCCTGTGCCCTATCAAGAGGAGCCCAATTACCTCGAGCAGTGGACCAAAGAAACCTCCCCCGAGATCCTTGAACAAGGCGTCAAAATTGGCTTGGATGTCCTCGAAAGTCTCAAGACGCCTCTCAGCCTCACTGGTTCCCTCCCGGGCACCCAGGTTTCGTCATGGGTCAAGGCAATTGAAGACCTCAAGACCCGCTCTCGGCCGTCCAAAACCATTGTCGGTGTGGTGGGCAACACAGGCGCTGGCAAATCCTCCGTCATCAACGCCCTACTAGACGAGGAGCGACTTCTGCCGACCAACTGCCTGCGCGCTTGTACCGCTTCCCCTACTGAAATCTCGTACAATGATTCCGAGGAACCGGAGGAGCTCTATAGATCGGAAATAGAGTTTATTTCCCTGGAAGACTGGAAAAAGGAGCTCAAGACGCTATTTACAGATCTCCTAGACGACAGTGGCAACATCTCACGTGAGTGCGCCAACGAGGACAGCGAGGCAGGTATTGCCTATGCCAAAATCAAGTCTGTTTACCCCAACAAGACGAAGGAAATGATCGCCCAGAGCAACCCTGAGCAGTTGGTCAATGAGCCTGCTGTTGCCCGTGTCCTTGGCAGCGTCAAGAAGTTGAAAGCAACCACAGCCAAGGACTTGTATGCCAGCATGCAGCGTTATGTGGATAGTAAAGAAAAGAACCCGCACAAAAAGGACGTTCCCATGGAGTTTTGGCCCCTGATCAGGGTCGTCCGGATCTTTACGAAGGCGAATGCTCTGTCCACAGGTGCCGTCATTGTTGACTTGCCTGGGGTCCAGGATTCCAACGCTGCGCGTGCCGCTGTAGCACAGAACTACATGAAGGCATGTACAGGTCTTTGGATTGTTGCTCCCATCAACCGAGCAGTCGACGATAAGACAGCCAAATCGCTATTGGGCGACTCGTTCAAGCGCCAACTCAAGTACGATGGCATTTACTCGGCCGTTACGTTTATCTGCTCCAAAACGGATGACATTTCAGTCACTGAGGCTGCTGAAAGCCTCGATATTGAATCAGACATTTCTGCTTCTTGGGCTAAGATCGAGAAGCTGCGTCATGAGCTTCGGGACCTGAAGATAGGGCTCAACGACGCCAAGAATGAGAAGTCGGACCTCCTCGACAGCCTTGAGCAGATTGACACGCTTTTCGATAAGTGGGACGACCTCGCTAGCAAATACGCCGACGGGAAGACTGTGTACGCTCCCTCGGAGGGCAAGAAACGCAAGCGTGGAGCAACTACATTCAAGAGCCGAAAACGCAAGTCGTCTTACACCAGTAGTAGTGAGTCGAATGATTCGGACTATAACTCGGACAGTGATAAGGAAAACAACCCCGACAACCAGAACAAGCAGCCTTTGACAGAGTTGAAGATCCAGGAGAAGCTGTCTGATCTCAAGAACCAGAAGAAGGAAATCCGCCAGAGGCGCAAGGAGGTGGATGCGACGCTCTCCAATATCCGGCAGGAAATGAAGAACATCCAATCAGAGGAAGAGCGGCTGCTTGGGGCGGCCAAGGCCGTGTGTATTCAAGGCCGAAATAATTACTCAAAGGGCGCTATTCAGCGTGATTTTGCCATGGGTATCAAGGAGTAAGTCAATTCAATATTTGAACCTAACCAGCTTTCTCGGACACATGCTCACTTGCGCAGGCTGGATCAAGAGGCTGCCATCGAGGAAGATGAGGAGACCTTTAATCCCGACGAGGATATCCGCGACTATGACGAGGTCGCCCGTAACCTACCCGTCTTCTGCGTAAGCAGCCGTGCTTACCAGAAGATGCGGGGAAGACTACAACGGGATGATTTCAACAACGATGGCTTCCGTGATGTCAAGGAAACCGAGGTCCCTCAGCTCCAGCAGCACGCCAAGAAGCTCACTGAAAGCGGCCGTGCTGCCAGTGCTCGCCGCTTCCTCACCGAACTCAGCCAACTGCTCAACTCAATGAAAATGTGGGCTGCCAATGATGGATCGCGGGCTCACTTGAGTCGTCGAGAGTTGGAGAGTGAGGGGACTCGTGTGCGAATGCAGCTTGCTACACTGGACAATGTGGGTTGCGCTTTACCCCGTCAGATTTCAGGCACTGATACCCAACAGGACTTCGCTAAGGCGGTTGACAACTGCGTCGCATCCGTGAAAGATGCGCTCTCGGAGAGCATCTACGACTACTTCGACTTGTCGATTCCTCTGGCAGCCAACGCGGCTGGTCCTACAGCATCTGCCTGGGGTGCTCATCGCAGTGAGGGTGGAATGTTTTGGGCCACGTACAAGGCAACTTGCCGCCGGTCCGGAGTCTATACAGGCGCGTCCGGCCCTCGCGACTTTAATGCGGAGCTGCTCGAGCCGATCTCTCGACAGCTTGCGACTGGATGGGAGCGAGCTTTCCAACGTCGACTACCACAGGCTCTTGAGGGCTTCGCTATGAACGCTCGCCTCCTGCTTGAGACCTTTCATGGCAGCGTCATTGCGCGATCCCAAGAGCTAGGTGCCGATTACAATGGCATCAACATGCTGAGCACGCAGTTGCGAGCTCACACCGCCCGCCTCAGGGAGATTCCTGGGACACTCCACATAGTCATTCAAGAGCTGCAGCGTGAGGCTAGCCGAGGCTTCCATCCTGTCGTTCAACATGAGATGCAGCCGGCTTACGATATCTGTGTTGCGGAGTCAGGTAAGGCAGACTCTTTTTGCTGAATTCGGAAATCTGCTAAGCTAACTATCGATAGGCACTGGCTCCTACGCTCGCATGAAGACTCATATGGTCAATCACGTCGAGACCGCCCGCGAGGCCATCTTCCGCCACTCCACTGATAGCGTCAAGGAGCGGCTGGAGGCCTTGTGCATACGACTACAGGACGAATTGACCATGCAAGTCCAAGAAATCTACAGCCTGCTCGCCCGCGATTATTTACATGTGCTCATTGGCGTCGACAATGATCCCAAGCCCTCTGGCCTTTCTCGCGCTGAGCGTCTGCTTCGGGTAGAGATGTATCATAAGCTGGAGCACTCGGCCAAACGCTTCGCTAGACCTGGTCCGGACGGTAACGAAGACATCTCAAAGCCGCCCGATGAGGGCAAAGGCCACGACCTATTTGCGAACGAGGCTTCAGTTGACATGGATGATCTCTTGGCGGCCCAGCTTGGCGGTGGAACCGCTGAGAGTGCTGGTGGCCAGGTAGGAGTTAAGACCGAGCCGTCCACCTAAACTTGCCTTTGCGTACTGATTTCTGCAATTTTGGGGACGGAATACCAGTGGCGAATTCGGAATTCTTCCATGCTTTTATGCAACATGTCTTCTCGGTTGCAGCGTGGGATGGGATATGGAGACAGGAGTTTATGAGACACAGATAGATATCCCATAATGATTACTTGCTTTGATGATACCGTTAATCCTATCTCCCTCTTGTTGAGTGATTCATCCACCCAAAATTGCTACTCGATGGGCACGACGTCGATTGATAGAGCCTGTCAATGAAGAGAGACTGGTGATTAGATTACCATTTAAAGCAGTGCTGAGGGTCACTTGACTCTATCAGCCGTTCTTGGCATGCTACTAGGACTCTGCGATCCTAACGCATATCTAGAGGGGCTGGATATCTACTTAATAGTAGCAGGAGTAGGTAGTGATCGGGACGGGGAAACTGAATTGCCGCATGTTCTAGTAGCATTTGTCCAAGTTATCGGTTCTGTGAAGGAAGATGTCTCGGCGTCAAGTATATAGTCTACTTTTGATCAGTGCCTAGTAAGCCTTCCAAACTTGTACTTTTGAAATCAACCCATAATCTTCATCCATATCAGGAGTACCAGTAGTACAGTTAGCACTTTGCTCCGTTCCGGCGGGCTGCGACGTTAAACAACAAATCCGAGAAGACATTGGGTCCGGGAGGGGTTGTTGCGAGGCTTATTGGGATTGTGGTGGTCAGTCATTCTCTGCAAGCATGTGCTTGCTTACTTTTATGTCATATGAAGTAAGTATGGCCAAGATTGGGATGATGTGGCAACCGTGCCGGTTCTGGATTCCAGCTGGGGCGATTGCGTGTGTAGAAACTGACAAATACAAGGCCGGTGCCCTACTGTGTTCGTATTGCTGCGTGAGACCAACTTTGTTGGAGCCTGGGCAAGAGATTGGAACCTCCGCTGATCAATTGAAGGCTGTGGGTTAAATTAGCCCGGGCTAATTACTTTGTCCATGAGGATAATACTGAAGAAGGAGAATTACGAGACAACACGTGGGGGTAAGACTTTGAAATCTTGTGTAGCCTCGCAGCAGGCTGTAACAGTACAACTTTGACCACGGCTATTTCAAGCACCATGGCTGAGCCAGAAATCTATGAAATCGTGCTGGACACCTGAAAAGAATCAATGCTTCTTTTGCTCTATAAATAATCCAAGTGTCAACTGACCTACAGCGTTGATACTTATCCTCTGGGTATGTCCCGTTCCAGTCGCCTCTCGTCATTCAGACAGTCCTATTCTTGGTCCACTCCTTACTCGTCCGAACAGACCATATTTTCAAAGTCGTAGGTCAAATCTGACAGCCCAGGCTGGTCTATACCCACCTCTGTTCCATCTGTGTCAATGTAAATGTCATCGTCTACGAAAAAGTCGCATGAGTCTTCAGCCATCTCGATGTCCCCGGACGACTCGGACTCGCCTTCAAACATGCAAGCATGGTCCGCGCAAAGCTCGTCATCGATCTCGGACATTAGACTATCTTCAAAGATGGGCGCACGACCTGCTTCCTGTAGGTCAGGGGAGTGGTCAATGGAGTTGCAAGGACATGAAGCATCGTTGCAGAAAGGCTCTTCATCTGACACGTCCTCGACGACGGGGTGGTCTGAAATGACAGCCTGTACGGTGTCTGGGAAAGGCCGTGAACCTATTGGAGGGCCGGACCGTATACCGGGGCCGTGAGTCGAAAACATTTGCGAGGTGGCTAGGAGAAATAGTCTTCTTATGACTCCTTCCGGGATATGGGCCCAGTCTTCTTCCGTGAGCGAGACGTCTTCACTGACCTCAGGGCCTTGGTAAAAAGGGTTGCTTCCGTCCATTTTCGTTTGGTTCTGTAGGGTAGGGGGGGTAGATTAGACTTGTAGTTTATGTTTCGCGCAATGGCTTTTCGTGATTTTCAAGAGGGATTACTGGTTCTGTTGGGAGTTGAAATGTCAGTAGATGGATCTGATGGCCTCTGCAGAGTGTGGATTAGAGTGCAAGGTAAGCGTAATTAAATATGATCGGTGCCTTGGCATAAATAGATTTGAGCCATAGTTTCGTTGTCATGTCATGTTTCTGTGGGAAAAGCTTCAGCACAAGAGCGCACCAGTAACAATATTGTTGTTCCGAGGAGATCAAAGAACGACCGAGGACGTTGACAATCAGTGGCTTTGTCTTACAACTCGCTGAAAGCCCACAGCTTCACAACAAGGGACCTTTTCCAGTGCTATGTGGCATTGCTAGTAATCATAATGTTTTCCCTGTATCTTTGATCAAGGCCCGAGGTTCCTTGGTCCAGGCAACCTGTCGATATTGTTTCGATGTCGTTAGAGATTTTGAGCAGCTACGGATGAGATTCATGTAGAGAGTCAGTCACCTTCCTAATGTGGCGTTGGTGCGGCTGTGAAACTATTGGCCCCAGATATCACTTGCGGCGCAGCTAGCCGAGCAGTGGGGAGTATTCTCAGAGCGATATGAGCAGAGGCTCACGTCATCTTTTCGGCGTTACGATTGTCAATGACCCGACTCTGTGTCGTCGTTTGTATCTTTGGTTTCTCAGTCACACTATCCTTCTGACTACAATTGGTGCACTGATCACAATGAAGGCGTTTCAACTGCCAGTTGTTGCCCTGTGGGTGGCCCAAGCAGTGGGACAAGACACAACACAAAGACCTCTGCATGAAGAAGATCGGGCTCTCCCAGGTATTCCTCGCGTGGTTTCAACAGATCTTGAACAATACATTGAGCGAATTCGAGAGGAGTGGCATGCTCCGGGCCTAGCCGTTGCAATTGTCGATGGGAACAACACTTGGGCAAAGGTATTGAAAGCCACCTTCTCTGCAGCTTCACGTGGCGATGAGAGCCAGAAACGCCAGCAAAGTAATTGAAAACGAGGGACTAAAGTCTCGCAGGGCTACGGCTTCGCCGTCCTCAACTCTACACCCGTCACTCCGCACACGCTCTTCTACACCGGCAGCACCACCAAGTCCTTCACCGCCGCCGGTCTTTCTCTCCTCATTGACAACGCCACCGCAACCTCTTCCGTGTACTCCGGGCTCAACTGGAAGACGCCAGTGTCCAGCATCCTCCGCGATGACTTCGTCCTCAGCGACGAGTGGGCTACGGCCCACATCACTGTCGAGGACGCGCTGAGCCATCGCACAGGCTACCCTCGCCACGATCTGGCTCCGGCAACCACGGCCCAAGAGACAGCCCGCTTGCTGAGACATCTGCCCATGACTGCTGAACCACGCACGACGTTCCAGTACAATAACAAAATGTTCGGGGTCATGGGCTATCTGATCGAGGTCTTGACGGGGTCATGGCTCGGTGATTTCTTCCGGGAGTACCTGTGGGAACCCATGGGCATGAACGAGACATTCTTTTCTCTCGGAGACGCAAAGCGCAGCGGGTTAGTTCTCGCGAACGAATACTACTACAACCCAGTTGACGGAAGCTATTTGGAGATGCCGCACGAACCCTTTTCTGCCGAAGAAGGTGCGGGTTCCGTCGTGTCAAACGTCCTCGATTACGCGAAATACTTGCGCGTCATGATGGCCGAGTCGGCACCAATCTCCAAGGCGGGACATCGAGAAGTCAAGACGCCGCGCACGCTGGTCGCTGCCTCGATGGCTCCGTTCACTGGGCCTGTAAGCTACGCTTTAGGTTGGAATACCGCCATCTTGGGAGGCGAGCAGGTGTACTTCCACAGCGGCGGGGTCAACATGTTCATCTCCATGATGATGATGATTCCTTCACGGCAAATCGGCGTGGTGGTTTTCACCAACACAGACGTCAAGGCCCCGCAGGTGATTGCGAATCATATCCTCTCGGAGCATTTGGGCATCCCCGAGAATAAGAGACCAGACATGAACAGACAGTGAGTCATCTTCATAAGTACCCGACACGAATTACAGAGTTCTAATAAATGGAAAAGGTACATGGCGGAAAAGAAAGCGCAGCAGAAATATCTCACGACTTGCGCAGACACACTGTATCCTTCTCTCCCGACCCCACCTTTATTGCCAACGGTACCCATTCCAGATCACGTCGGCGAATTTTACGACGCTGGATATGGGACTCTGAAGGTGGATCTAGACTGTTCAGATTCCGTTGAACAATGTCAGCTTCGTCTTCTGGGTATGGGAGGAGAGGAGTTTGCGTACCTTGAGCCTACCATCTACCTTGAACCAATGTCCGGCAACTATTGGCTTGGGAGAGCCTATATTGGAGGAAAGAAGGCCCCAGCAGGGGGCATTCCGATAGTTTGCGTCCCCGTCGAGTTCAAGATTGATGTTCATAGCACAGTCACGCAGATTGGTGTTGGACTTAGACTGGAGGGTGGCGATGAGCCGCTGGTCTGGTTCGACCGTGTCATTATTCCATTGGAAAAGTGATGAGTGGATACTCTTGGAAAGAATTTCGTCAACAAGAGCACTGCGGCTCGATTGCCGGGACCTATAAGCTACATGTATGAAATGCGTCCGGACAACGTCTCGTGTGCCATCACTCAAGTTCGAATGATTGGGGAGGTTTATGCTGGAAACCCAGTCAATCCGACCAAAAGTTTCAACCTGTCAACTTTCAGAGGATTTCAGTCAAGTTTGAAGAGCCGGTCGCATATCTACAGCAGAGTCTATTCCAAATTCAGGGCTCTATCGTGACGGCTTTTCCGGAGCGCCGAGCCGGTGTGGGGCCGATGGCGCAGTCCTAGGCACGGATCCCCACGACACCAGCAAGCTCTCAGTGGGCGCGGTAAAACAGAGGGCGATTTCCCTCCTGCAAACTCAATGACTGAGAACAAAGTTGAGAGCTTCGAGTCACCAGACCCTGCCCAGGATGCCCTCTTCCAAACATGGCTCGCATGAGGAAGATAGAACCTCTTCGATTAGTGAACAAGAACGAAAGTACGTGGTGTTGGTTGAGGCTAGCGACCCTTGAACCCCAATCGAAAATCGCTAACGAAGAGGTCACATCTAGACGTTTGCGCAACCGTCTCTCGCAGCAGGCTTTCCGTCGGAGGCAAGCGGAGCGCATGAGAGAGCTGAGTAGCCGAGTCAACACTGACCAGAAATCCGACAATGAGCGTATTGAAGAGCTCCAGCGCGAGAACAGGCAGCTGCGGGCGCAGCTGGTCGATGTTCAGGCAAGGTTGTCGCGACTGCTCGCCAACATCCAGGGGTTGAATGACTCTGTATCGAAGACTTTGAATGACACAGGGTCTCATGATAACAAGAGCCTTAACCAACCGGAAGACCCGTCTTTCGAGCTCTCGAATTTCGATTGCAAGCAGAACTATGGAGGTGCCGCTTTCCCAGGGCCATCTGTGCAGCTCGAACCTTTCGATACATCATTGCTGGACTTCGATCCGCCGCTTGTTCATCAACCTGCATCAGGTACACCATCCAAGATTTCGAAACTTCATTCCGTGGTATTAACTGACGGCGTTGCAGGTGAGACTGAAGATGCGTTTTTGTCATCGGAACTCATCAACGTCACTGGGACAAGCCCCCTCTATGCACAGATTCCGAATATCTGGACATTTGAGTACCAAACCGGAATAGAGCCGTACTTGACTGCCATGGCTGCAACTCAAGAGTCTAGCATGGCGCTGAGAAAAGACATGCCCATATCGAATTCGCCATTTTCGGACCACATCAAGCTACTCCAGCATCTTCTAAAAAGCAAGCTGGCAGCAAATGGATTCAATCCGGACGGCGGTCAACCGTCAATGCAAAGGTGAGAAGAAGCTGAAGACCTACCTTCAAGGCACAAGGGAGACAGAGTTAACATTTATCAGCATATACCAACCAGTTCTCATGGTGTTGTCCATGTTCAATAGCATGACGCGACCCGACGTCATGGCATGGTACGCCAAAACGCGCTTTTTCCACATTATCGAGCTCACAGCCTGGCAACTCTACCCCTCGCCCGCGACATTCCAAAAGTTACACCAGCGATATCGGCCAACAGACACGCAACTGAAGCATCCGCACCCGCGCGTGATAGACTGGATACCCTTCCCATCGATCCGAGACCGACTGATAGAGCTCCACGCCGCCAACCCGCTTATCGACCAAATCTTTTGCGACGCGGTCACGGGATACGTGGTGGAAGCGGTCATGTCCGACCTGATAAGCGACGCGCCCCAGATTATGGTTTACGTCCGGGTAACGGACCTTATCGCGGCCATGTCTTCCGGTGCGGGCAGCAGCGCCGAGGATGCCCCCGCCATGCTTCCCGCCCCGGATATCACCACGCTCTTCTCCTCGCCATCCCATGCTCGCGCCGCCTTTGCGCAGTTGAACATGGATAAAGGGGCATCGTACTACAAGATTGACCCGGCCTTTTACGCGAAGTACCCAGAGCTGTACGACCAGTCAAACGACCTCACGGCCAACGGCGTACCGCTTAAACCAAGATCGCAAAAGGTCCTCACGTACCCCAAGCCCCTCGATGCCTCCACAGTCGAGACCTACCGGAGTTTCATAGACTTTTCCATGGATGCCACCAGCACAATCTCCTCGACGACGGCCCCGTGATGCGTGTCTTGGGCCCAATCTCCCCCGCGCCTTGTACTGCACGGTCAAACAATATACTTCATGCTTTCCCGAACACGGGGACGGCTCCCCCAAGCTCGAACCATCCGCACCTATCCGCGGCCACGCCGCATGTAGCCGTCAGCTTTTGCGGGCATGTTCCAAGGAGAGACCTCCGCAGTTTCGGGAAGTCTGATAACGCCTTTTTTTTTTTTTTTTTTTTTTTTTTGTGTTTAGCCCCCCCCCCCCCCCCCCCCCCCCCCCCCCTCGCGCTGTCCCGCTCCCTTCGTTCATTCCTCACCTCCCCCGCCTTTGTGCCCCTTCTCTCTTCCTTTTTTTTTTTTTTTTTTTTTTTTTTTGGGTTGAGCACCGACCCACCGCGATCGCACTGATTATCGTCGCACTGACTAACGTTCCACTTACTAACGCTCGGATTTTGTCATCGTCTGAAAGCTCCAGTGGGCTTTTCGGTGGGGATGGGGGATTCTATATAGAATTCCCGGGAAACTGGAACGTGGAATCTCTCTGGATTCAGTGACTCACTCTGTTCTGGCTATCGATTTCCATCTCATCGCCTTCCTATACGTGAAAAATGCCGTCGCAATTTCCCACTCCCACGGCGACTCCTCGCTATAGCTTCCTGGACGATTACAGCGAAGGAGCTCACCCGGCACTGCTCAAGGCCATCCTCGCCGGTAACACATCTCAGGAAGCCGGCTACGGCGGCGACTCATACTGCGACCTCGCCAGGCAACGGATACGCCGGCACCTGGGGCGCAACGATGTCGGAATCTTCTTCGTCCCCAGCGGCACATCAGCCAACGCAATCTCCATCGCGGCCTGTCTGAGACCCCACGAAGCTGCCATTGCCGCGAGCTCGGGACACATTGTGACGAGGGAGACGGGCGCCGTGGAGGCCAGCGGCCACAAGATTATCAACGTCGCGCCGGTCAATGGCAAGTTGACGCCCCAGAGCATCCAGCGGGCCGTCGATGAGAATTGGCATTTCCCGCACATGGCGAAGCCGAGGTTGGTCTACATCTCTAACGCGACGGAGATTGGGACGATTTACAAGAGAGACGAGCTGGCTGCGATCAAGCAGGTTTGTGAGCAAAACCAGCTCATACTTTTCCTCGATGGCGCGCGCATCGGGACAGCGTTGGCGTCAACGTCGAACGATATGACGCTCCGCGACATTCTGGAGTTGACAGACATTTTCTGGATCGGGGGCACAAAGAACGGGGCATTGCTGGGAGAAGCCGTGGTCGTCAAAGACGCGCGTCTGGCGACCGAGTTTGAATTTTATGTCAAGCAGCACGGCTCCCTGCTAGCAAAGAGTCGGATCATGGGCACGCAGTTTGCTGAGCTGTTTCGGGAAGATCTCTACTTTGATCTCGCTCGTTTGGCCAACTTTTGTGCCGAGACGCTGTCCAGCGGTATCGCTGCGGCCGGGTTTTCGGTTCACGCCGTAACCGAGACGAATCAGGTCTTTGCGGTGCTTCCCATGAGCTTGATCCAGGTTCTACAGGAGCACTTCATCTTCTATGTATGGGAGAAGCGAGGCGATGATGAGGCTGTGGTGAGACTGCTCACGACTTGGGCAACAGAAGCGACAGAGGTTGAAAAGTTTGTTGGTCTCGTCCAGGGCTGGTCCGCTGGAACGACTGAAAGTCGAAATTAATATCTCCAAAAATTAAATAATAATCTCTTTTCTTAGCCCGTACAGAGATGATACATTACTGGAGTGTTGCCAGAGCCTTCTCAACATTGGGAATCTCAGAGGCAGTCGTGGCTGGACCGCCCCAAGTGACCTGGCCCTTGCCATCAACAGCCCAGGCTCCAGAAGTCTGCCACCTGCTCCCGCTCTCGGTCGGCCTGTTGGCGATGCCCTCTTCCCGAGAAAGCTTGAAGACGTCGGATAGCGCGCTGGGGCTTAGCACGTGCGCGAAACTCGACGCGCCGAGTCCCCATTTGGCATACACGTTGCGTTCTTCGTTGGTGATGACTTGAACCGGGTTCTTATCGCCGGGACCGCCGACTTCGGACAGCCATTTTGTCGTGTGTGATTCGGACGAGTGAGAGACGGCGATAAAGGCGATCTCGGGATGCTTGGACGCTGCGTCGCGGAGGGTGATGAAGGTTTTTTCGGCGACTGGTGGATGATTTTGTAAGAATCTTTGGGGCTGTCTGAGAAAGAAGAGAGGGAGAGATAGAGAGATTGGAAACTAATTGTTCATTCTTGACTTACATGGACACCCGCAGTGCCGCAGGAATGCGATTACAGCGGGTTTACCGCCATCCCTGGGAAATGTGAGTTGGTCGGTGCTCGGGGCTGGGTCTCCAGCTTTTGGTGGGTTGGACAGGGTCAGCGATGTGGGAGACATCCATGACGCGAATTCCTGCATGAAAGACATGGTGCCGTGTGAGTTCTATCTAGTTGGGAGCTTCGATTCAGAGGAGAGTCTCTTGTTTATGTGTAGGGACCGAGATTAATAGACTGCTTCATCGTCGAGTTTGGAATTGGTAAGGAACAGCGGCATTACTCCATCACGTCATGGTTTGTCATCACTTGACACCATTCAGACTAGTCGGCCGGGTGCTTGCACCGGTTGAAGTGGAGTCAAATGCTTTCGGCCGAGCGAGTCCGTGGTCATTATCGTAGCTGCATCTTGTTCTTAAGGGCACGCTTCCATTCACCAAGGTTACTTCGGAGAGCCCAAATCTTGGAGCACGCATACAGATGTTGAATCAACTTAGAAATAATCATAAAAAGAAGATGCGATATGACTGAGTCTGCCTTCTCCTACGGAGCAACAATTAATCTCCATTCCCAACTGCTCTCATGTTTGAAGCGATAAGGGGGAAAAAAAAAACACCGCAAAAACAAAATACGATCTACCGCCTCTTTCTTGGGGCACCATCATCAATCTTAAATACAGGCTTTCGTTTTTTTGTAACCAGCAGCTCTTTCCGTGACATGCCGGGCTGAGCTGCTGCTTGGCGAGGGTCAAACTCTCCCTCCTCATATACTTCTTCCTTAATCACGGTGCCAGTTTCGTGCTTTGAGCTGTTGTCTTTGTAAGGCACTGCTGTACCCCGTGATTTTCCCAAGGCTTTCAACTCTGGGCATGCTCTTGCTCTGTTCCTCACTACCTTTTCGTCGTTGTGGCGCCTAAGCTCAGAGTTCAATCTGCTCAATTGTTCCGGCGTTGGACTCCTCGCCCTGGTCGCCGCCGCCGATTCGTTGAGTTCAGCAGGCCAGGCATCGCCGCTTCGAGGTGACCTCCGTTCCGATTCCTGAGCAAGGCTGGGCTGAACGACTTGGCCTAGATCACACACCAGGTTTTGAAGGTAGCTTCGCGAGGGAGTCGGTTCGAAAACATCTTTCTTCTCGAAATCTTCTTCCTTTGAGCGCTTTTTCGCTTTCTGTAGTGTGCTCATATGTGGAGCAACTTGGTCCTCCAGCGGAGATTCCCAAGATTTCTTGGTACGGTTGGCCCAGATGGGCATCTTATAGCGAACTAGGAAAGGGGTCAACGACGACTTTTGAAGTCGGATCTGAAAAGCATACTTACGAGGAGCCTTTTTCTTTGGGTTCCAGTTGATTGTGCGTCTTCCCTGCTCCCGCCTTCTTTTCTGTACTAAAATGGCACAGACAAGACCTTGGCAGTGAGTTTGCAAGTAAGTTTTCATCTCTTCATCTGTCACGACACCCCCGAGGAAGGTTTCGAACTTGGCATAGTTGGGGTTGCTGGAGCCGTAGAGCATTATAGCTGTGTTTCTTTGGATTAGCGAGTGATTCAGACCTTGATGATGGAGCAGGAAACGGAAAAGACTGACCGGTCAGATCGTACACCATGCCATCTGAAGCCACGAATGCGTCGTATCGAACGTCGTGGATCTCATCAGCGTGCCCATCAAATTTGCTCAGCTCTATCGGTTCAATTTCCGGAAGCCCATGGTCTATTGATGCTACGATGTAGCCTCTTAGACGAGAAAAACGCAGGAGCGGTCCGTCGTTGCCTTCTTCGGCTTTCAGGGCTTGGGTAGCATCGGCTCCTAGGTAAGGAGAGAGATCATCCACGAGTTTGGACAATTTCGCATACTCACTTGACTCTTTGAGCGCTGCGACATCATGTGATTAACAGACAGGCCTTCTGCAATTTCTGGCTGGTCAAAATAGCGCTCAATCTCACCTTTCACTGAGTAGACTTCTCTGCCGAATCTGATCTCATGGGGAAGCACAAGTCCGTTTTCGGCAACACTTTCCGACTCATCATCCTGACATTCCTGTCGCCGTTCAATCAGATTACCAATTTACAGTTCCTTCAATCCAGCAAGGATTCTGCTACGGTTCTCTTGATGGTACTGATTGAAGAGATCGGTAATATCTCGTCCTCCATTCTCGACCAGTGCATGAAGCCCTCCCGGGTGTGTCTCGGCGTAGTCTTTCGAACGGTCAGCCGTAACCTCTCGCTTTTGCTTGCCTTGACGTCCCTTGAACTCACCTGAGATGTTGTACACCTTGTTATCAATCGAGATGTACATTCCCGTCTCTCTGAACTCGTGCTTGCGGAGTGACTGAGCTGTGAATGTTCTGACGGAGTGCTTGTCGGCAATCGCTCCTGGAGTTTTGGCCACAATCCCAACCCTCCAAGGTGCTAGAGACCTTTTGACCTCGGCGAGAGTATATCCGTCTTCCAACAATCTGAGAGACGGATTTCCAGCTGGGCTGCTCGCCAAGAGTCCCCTTAGTCGCGGTTCTGATACACTCTTCAAGTCTATCCGCTGTCAGCACGGCCAAAAGTCGTGTATCGACGTCTGTGGCACTCTTACAAGTAACGTCAAAGACGCTGTTGTGTAGGCGGATCCATAACGGTCTACCGTCTTTTCCATCGCACTCGGCAATGTCGTCATCCCGTATCACGCGTACCACCCTCCCTATGGCCAGAGAGGGTAAATCAGCATTGGAAAGCCATTCCGCGGCGTCACATGTAAGCTGTCTCCCATAGAAAGTTGACCTGGTAAATGAAAGCAGTTCGTTTTGCTCAATCTCCAGTGACCGACAGACGGCAGAACATCTGTAAACATCCAGATAGTACCCATTTTCGACCAGTACTAGCGCCTCTTCAAGCTCTTGGGCGTGATCGTACAGCTCGGCAACTGTGTAGTAGGGTACTTGATGTCGCCGATAACTCTGACCTGGCCGTAAGGGGCTACCGACTATCCCACTTTGTGCAAAGGCAGGCAAGTCTCTCGAGGGATATTTTGCCGGGTCTTCTCCATGGAAAACCTCGGCAGCCCTGTCTCCGAGGTCTTTATCCGGGGATTTCCACGTCGATACGCCCGCCTGCCAGAATTCCCATAGAGAGTATGTCCTGCCATCGGATGTGTGCCCGGGGTATTGAGGCATCTGAAAGCGGAAGTCGAGCCACGAGTTAAAGTCATTCCCATGATCGGCATTCAGCTGGGCTCTGAGGCTGTTGCATTCTGTTTCGAAGGCGTCCCGTAGTCCGGCTGGCTCGATGCAGAGTGCAAGGTACGTGTCAAACGCGGTGACTGCTAAATCAATGCAGTTATGGCGGATACTGCGCGTTGCAGATGGGTCGCCGGGATTGATGTGTCGCTCTGGTAAGTGGATTGGCGGATACGTCCACCTTCGTGACTCTGCTCTCTCAATTTGCTTTTGGACTTCGTCTCTTTGCGACTCGTTGAGAGAGAGACTTTGGGGTATGGTCCAAGGGTTCAACAGCGATCGTTTTGGCTGTTTAATCGGCGTGATCGTCGCTAATCGCCCAGGCAGTGAGGCCACCAAGAGAAATCCTATGGCTCGCCAGAACCACTGCGTCCTATTTCCATCAACAATGTGAGCTCCATATTGTGTTGGCGAGGCTTCATATACAAGTAAATCGTTCTGGTCGCGAGTCACACGTAGCGGATGAATCCAGTTGCAGGCAAACCACTCTGCATTGTCTTCGTATCGATCGTTCCTTCGAGCTGGTGGAACATCTGCTAGACGTGCCAGATCTTCTCGAGGATTGTGAAGCCCGTAGGGAGTCATCTGCCACATCGCGTAGGTGTCTTGGAGCCACGGACGCATTCTATGATATTTCAGTCGTCTACTCAGTAAACTCCTCGCCAGCATCTTGAGCGAATCAGCATGAAATGTCTGGGGGATAAACTCCTCAATAAATCGAGCCGATGTTTCTCGTGGATGGAACCAAGGTTCGAAAAAGCCTTGATTCCCATGTTGTGTGGCGCTGACAAGCATCTTGGGTCCCATCAGGCTCTGATAACCATACTTGGAAACGATTTGGGTCCAGAAAGCTTCGGACGAAAATGAATCATGCCAAAGCGATGGCATAGGCCAGCGCGTGTCGATGGTTGGGCTATTCAGGACAATGCCATAGGTCTCTTTGAGTTCGAATATGTGGGGGAACTTCCGGATGGAGAGAATCAACGGTGCATAGGTCATGGTGTGGAAGTCGTTGGTAGAGCTCCTGGGGACAAGTCCACACAGAGTACCCCCAAATGCATGTTGTTCGAACGACCATCCGAGCTCGAAATGATGTTCCCCTGGTCCGAACTAACGAGAACTCGCTTCAGTCGGGAAACTCGGCGAATGGAAGGTTTAGATGACTTACTATTTCGAAATTGTGAATCGGGTGTCCCAGACTTTGTCGCAATGCTCCGTTGCCTAGATGAACGAAACCGATCATGTGCTGTAATGAGTGACAAACCGACGTTAGTCGATTCTGCTGGAAGTTTCCTCAGGGAACATATGAGATCCAATATGCGCCTGACTGAAGAGGTATTACCATAAGCTCGTGAATTAGCTGTTGAAAAAGAAGTATTAGCAGTTTATTGGCTTGGTGAGGTTGCAAACTTACAGTGCTTGCAAGATTCATCAACGCCGCGCTCTTTGAAGATTGGGTAGTGTCCGCATCCAATAGCGTCTTCATGCCAACAATGTTGATGAAGATCGTGATCGGTCCTGACAAACCATTAGGAGGTACTGTCAACCCTTCAACGGTTCCCTCCGGTTCATAATACGACGAAGTTGATTTGTCGTTGAAAGCCCAACAAATCCTCTTGAAAAAGGTTGGGTTTGACAATATTTCGACCAATTCTTTAGCTGGTTTCCGACTAATAGGAGATGGTTTCATTCGCCAGATCCTGTCAAAGTTACCAGAACAAGAGGGGACTATCGTGTCATAGCTCTCAATGTTTTCCGGTATCAGCAAAGATTGTAGCCTGCGAAGAAGTGTGAAATATTAGCTCTGAATCTATGCCTTGTCTCTCTCTCTCCCTGCGACGACGGATATGTTTGGAACGCAGCATTACCAGTCCCCTTCCAGGGAATTTCGCATAATATTGTCGGCGATCTGTATCGCCTTGCGAAGGACTCCCCATATCAGAGGATCGTGGGCACTCCAGAGCTGCGATCTGGACCAATCGTTGGACCAATTCGGGGGCACAGTGAAGTCAATCATCCAACGGTCTCTTGACCAAATAGGCAGCCAAGATGATTCGATGACTTCTAATTCCTTGCCAATCAGAGTCTGTCCCTCTCCTGGTGTGGTATACGTTTCAGTCTTTGCCAGCAGCGCGGCTTCCCATGTCCTCAACCCCGACAATTTTGCGAGTTGTTGTCGTTCTGAAAGATAGAGATCGTCCAGCTCAGAAGGGAGGGGCTCCAGAATCTCTTCGGGATACGGTTCGTCCATCTGGAGCGTTTGCGGGTCAATGGAGGGAAGTACGGGATCCATCCATGACAGGCCGTTCCGTCGCGGCGGGTGAGTCTTGCCAACGCCATACTGCTTTTCCCAGCGAGCTGGTGAAGACCCAGACATTGTGGAGAAATCTTAAGTCCAATACGACGAGTTTTGCTGCAAATCAGTCTGCTTTCAAGTAGAGGGGAAGATGCATAGATCAATTATCAAACGGGCACTGAGAGAATGACTGAAGAGGTCGAAGGTTGTCAATCCTCAGTCGAACATCGTTTGGGTAACCAAGCAATCAAGAGGGCGACTCGGTGAAGCCAAAGAGTTAGAAGTTAGCACAGAGCATTGCAACACGAGCCTCGTATCGTTTGAAAATTTGGATCAAGATCAAAAGACCACCGAGGAACTCGAGCGGTCTCTTAATTAACCGAAAGCAAATGTTGAACGGGGCAAATACAGGCGCTAGTCATTGTGGCCAAAACAATCGGATATGAACCCAAAGATTCTTGGAACTTAAAGTAACGGGCACAAAAGTCTCATTCATAGGGACACTTGAGCAAGGGGCTCATGTGAGCATCAGTCTGCTTTGTGTCGCGCCAAGCTACCACGTTGCCAAGGCTCTGAACATGTACCGGATTTAGTGACACGGCACCGCATCCTTCTGCTACATTTCAAGAACAATGGCGATCCAAAATTAAGATATCTTGGGTTTTCTCGGAGGTATCTTGCAAGGGATTATCGGGATGATTGTCGGAATCGATTTGCAGAGAGCCTCTTGTTCAAAATGACATATTGTTGAGTGAGAACATCCGGTCGAATCTTCAATACTATGTGAAAAATACGATTTGATATATCACTTGAACATGCATACGGAAGGGGGCACTTTTTTCAAATGAAGTCTTGATGTCATGCATTGATCATTAACATGAGGATGGAGCCTCGTCTTTTGACGTTGTAGAATTTAACACTTCTCAGTGATGTCGATTTAACAATCGTTTAACTGTCATAAGATCAAACATTGGGGGAAACTGAACAAGCTACGGATATACTGTCGGAAATCAAAACGGCCTGCGAAAACTCAAGTAACCATTCAACAAGTTGCCGCCAAGCTCATACCTAATTCACGCTTATTCCCGCATTGATCCAATCTCACATCGCGCCCGTCACCTGCGTCCACGCCCACGCCATCGTCCCCGTTTCACCACCTTCCACTCCCAGTCATCAGTTGGCTGCTCCGTCGTGCTTGTAGCTTCAGGCGCGGTCGAAGAGCCACCAGCGGAATCATAAGGTGCTGCACGACTAAGCTTCGGCACCGGAGGCTGCATAGCCACCTTGCGTTTCTTGCCGGCCATTCCCTGGATTGGCTGCACAACTTGGTTTGGAGGCATAGCCTCTTTGCCCTTTTGAGCAGCTTGGGCCCAGGTTAAAGAAGGATTGACCATCGACGATCCAACTTCTTTCAAATTAGGCACCTTGCTCGGGGTTGGCCTGAAAGACTTTTTCCAATCAAAGTCATCGATTAGGCCATGTTGTGCTATGATCCGATACTTGAATTCTGTTTTCAGCCTCTGCTTCACTTGTTGATTTTCAATTGAGTCTGAAAGCGTTTTCCCGGCATGAGCTTTCAAAATCTCAACGAATTCGTCCGGTTCTTCATATTTGAGGTATGCTGGTAGGGTTTAGTTACTCATACGGACAGTCCTTCTCGGCGGAAAACTCACACGTCAAATTGTATATGCACGCGCCATCAGAAACGTAGGATTCGTTGAAGCCCCAAGGGTTGACCTTGCCGTCCATGTGCTTCAATACTTTATCGTCCATAAAAGGCAAATATTGTCTTGAGATAAGGGTCTTGGCGACGACAGCACTCTTGAATTTGAATAATCTCTGAAGTACTTTAGGCGGGTACTCAGTGTCCATCAATGGTGTCACTTCCTTACCCCAGTAAATGTCAAGTTCTTTAGATGAAAGAAAAGACTGGACGTGGCTCGGCAACTTTGAAAGGTCCCCTGCGCGATTACGTCAACCAGAATTCTACTCTCAATTTTCCAATCAGCCGTTCTAGAGGCTTACCTTCTTTGCTGAAGATCTGGCCCCGGATTGCAATTTGCTGCGCGGACAGCTGAGAAGATGGGCTATGCTCACGGACGAGTTGACCAATACGCAATCTGTTGAGAAAGTGGTGGGTCGTCGTGCCACGAAAGCTCGTCGGTTTCTCATGGTACCGTAAGAAAGCATCTGTTCCATCTTTTCCAGCGACTTCTTGGAGAATTCTCATACCACCGGGGTGGTGTTTTATGAAGTCTATACCAAAGTTATGAGACAAGCTATGTTTAATCGGGGTCTTAGAGTGCATTCTGAACTTACCTGTAAGATCAAACACATTGTTCTGGATGACGGTGTAGATTCCTGTCTCGGGATACGCGTGCCACTTAACTTCACTCAACGTGAATGGACGAAATCGCTTGATGTCGCCTCGAAGAGTTTGTTCCCACCTGATTCCAATCTGGTAGGAGCGGAGGCAGTCAACAACGATGTCAGGATGATATCCTGAATTGACTGCTTCCATGAGAGGATTGCCTTCAGTCGTCGACTCGATGATAAACTGTAGATCCTTCATTTCCAACGGCAGTTGACAATCTAGAGTGTCAGATGAGCCTTTGAGCAATTCTTGAAACTTGGAAACTAAGCACGGACTGACCAGTTAGATCAAAAACGTCGGGACCAAAGACGACACACGCCAGACTATTGCTTTCGTTGTTGAGTCTGATATCCTCTGCGTTTATGAGGGGCAATACCTGCCCGATAGGCCCATCTTTCATGTATCTTTTGCAGGTCTCCTCTCCGATATCTCCTGCACGAAGCATTCTGTTTTGGATGTGACTAGAGGAATCTGGTCTCATCGTGAGCTTGTCCCGAGTTGCATCATCCCAGGCGTGGTCTGGCAGCGCCCCACTGAAGTCGTAGACCAAATACCTGTCATCATCATCGGGTTTGTGGACAAACCACTTGACTCTGCTACCGATGCGCTGGTGGTCACCAATTTCACCTACATGGTAGTATCGAAGCCGTGATGAGACTTCTAATGGTTGGTCTCGCGCTGGAAGAGGTGATAGCGCGATTACCGGCTTTGCTATGGCCCACGATGGAAGATCGGCGTCGTCATCGTCACTCAAGAGAGGCTCTTCGTCTTGCGATCCCACAATAGGGCAGTGGATCGTTTCGTGACTGTAAGGGAATTCCTGCCACTCGAATCCCAACCAACCAGAATCAAATGGGGATTGATCCATTCTCCTTCTCATATCTCGCCATTCCAGGTCGAAAGCCACAGCCATCTCGTTTGACAAGTTTCCGAGTACTTTCCAACGAAGAAACGCGAGTCTGGCATTGCTCATGCACATCTCTTTGTCATGACTCGGCGTGTACGATGAGTACAGAAACTTGGTCGCGCGGCCTTTTCTGCGTTCATATTGAAGCGCGAGATCAATGACCTCCTGGCCCCCAGCGAAATTGGGTCTGAGGCCCTTGACAAGTCTGTCAGGGTATAGCCCCCTTGGAGTTTGATTCGTGTAAGTCGTAGGTTTTTTCCTGACGGGTAGCGCTGCTAGGGCAAGATATGACAATGCCTGGAAGAAGAGTCTCGATGTATTCGTGTTGCGAGGGCTGGTTGCGGCGAGATCAGTACACTGATCATGGGGTAACAAGGTCGTCTTGATCAGGTTGCGAATTGAAACCTCATGTGTGTCGTAACGGCTTTCGATCTTAGTACCAATCAGGGACAAATTGTCTCGCTGCTGAGTCTCGGCATAGACTGTTGTATGCCATTTGCCGTACTCTTCCTTGAACCATGGCCTCAGCTCTCGGAGCTTCATTCGCCTGGCTTTCAAACGGCGCGCAACCATTGCCATGCTGGCATCGAGATGTTTGTAAGACGAGTAAGGGGGGTCGAGAACCTTGGCCCGTGTGACTCGTGTAATATCATCACGGTTCCTCTCCCATAGATAGTCGGCAACGCAGACACCAGTGAATCTCAATGTCTGGTATCCGTATTTTGCCACGTGCGTCTCCCAGAAGTCGGACGTCGTTATTGCGCACGGAAGGATGGCAGGTACGCCAAGCTGACTTTCTCGAAATGGTTCCTCGAGAGACCAATCGTCATAGGACCAGTATTGACCGGTGCTCCTGTAGCAAAAGTCCGGGCTAGGGGCACGTAGGCCGAAAAAAGCAATGCGATTGCTGTAGGACCACATGTAATCCTTTACGCAGGTTCCAAAAAAGGACATCTCCCATGAATAGCCTGCTTCCGCCCACTTCTCTTCGTCGTAAAACTGTTCTCATGGTTGTGTAAGCAAGAATTCATGCGCGAGGGCGCTTCCGTTTGAACTTACAAGCTCACCTGACACACATGGATCTGTAAGAAACTTTGGTATCGAGCGATTCAAGTGACCAGAGAGGCTGTGCTGCAGGTTTCGTGTTCAGTAAAACAGTCTCATTGGAAAGTGTCCATGGCATACCATTAATTCGTGCAGCATCTGGTCGAGTGAAGAGGGTCAATACTAGGCTCCGTAGAAAGTCGAGTAGAAACCAGAACTCACAACCTTGGCCGTCATAAACATAGCCTGGCGTCCTTCGGGATCTTGGAATGTCTTGCTCTGGAACGACAGCTGCAATTTCTCGAGGCCAAGCGTCATCCACCAAAGGGTCTTTCCGCTCTTGCTTGTGAAACTACACGTCTTTCCAGCAGCATGGGAGGACTCATCTCGTAGATGGAAACCCCAGAAGAAATGTTCAGCGATGCTGTCGAGAAAGCCCCGAGCTTCGGCCAGACTGAGGCGGGATTCGGGGCTGACCGGCAAAACGCGAATGATTGTGCCAGTTCGGGGAGGTTGACCCCGGCTCCCGCCTTTGACATTCCATCGAATCTCGCGGGAATCGGTATTGAGAAAACTCGCCAACCTGTCGGCGAGGTGTCAGTGGGTTTGTCTCTCTCGAACCTGGGGGTTCAGGTCTTGAATCCTCTTCATTTGAGAGCGAAGAAACACACCATTCATGACTGACAGCTTCTGTCAGGATTCTATTCGCAATTTCGATGGTCCTACTCAGCTTTTCCCAGATTGCGTCGTCGTCAATGTTGATGGATAAGCCGCTGTCTTCCGCATGCTTATAGCTAGCCCATCTTTCCCTCTGGAAGATCTTGAACCATTTCGTCTCATCCACATCGACGAACTCGCTGGTTGCCCAAGGTGCCAATGACAGCTGGCGGGCTACTGTCAGAGCCTCCATCATCTTTGACACTCCATCACTCGTATCTGAGCGAGCGGATAGATCATTGTCTCCGTCTTTGTCCATCTCCTCTCCTCCAGAATTGCTTGAAGTACTGCTATCGGCGCCGGTCAAGCCGAAGGGCAGGCATCTTGGTTGATATGCATCAGTCTCTTGAAGTGTTAACGCCTCTGACAGACGTAGCCCTGCTAGCCATAGCAACTGACTTTGCTCGTAGCGAAAAAGGCTGTCAAGTGTACTGATATCAGGTTTCGGTACTGGAGTCTTGTCGTCCTCGAAGTTTGTTTGAGAAGTGTTCCATTTGGGAAGCTGTATCCCCCACCAGGAGGCCATGATGGTCTCAAATTCACCAAACTGTAGGGATTGCGAGCGTGACTAGCGATTTCACACAACTCCAGAGTTTGCTGAACAAAATGAACGTAGGTAATGCGCGTTCGAATGAATCTCGGTACTTGTTATGGTTTGGGCAAAGGAAATTGAGGAATGAAGTACGGGTAAAAGCGTTTGCGGCGCTCAAGACTCTTCCACTTGTCCGGTCCCATAAGATTGACTCTCGAAATCCCCTCAAGTGGGCATTAACATTTCAGGTCTCCGGCAATCAAACAGTAGCGGAAACCATACGTTGTTAGGGCGTTTTGGGCAACGAACTCAAGGCTACCTTGGGAAATCGCTCGAGGGTACTGATTGAAATGCAATTCATCAAAGACCCCTTGGAAAATGTTTGTGCAAGCCTCTGTTTAGCGAGCATTTAGCTGAATCGCCAAGCAAGGGAGACCTTCTTGGACAAGGGAAAACCAATATTTATAAGTTTGGGGGAAGCATGAAGATCTTGTGTAACATTCCTCGCATATAGTTTAAGGGTTTGGGATAAATAGGAAGAAGAATTTTGACATGGACCTTGCGGGAGTCAAGACGCTGGGTTCGTCAATTGTTTGCAAGGCACAAAAGTGTCTAGTTCACAATGATTCTTTGTTCCCTTTATTACTCTCTCCCTCTCTGAGCCATATCGCCGTTACTCCATACGTTTCTGTTCTTGGTGAGTCGTCAGAGTGGCACCCCGGTGGATTATTCCAAGCAGAAGCGGTTATTGCAAAACAATGCGCACCTGACAATTGTCTCCGTGACACTCATTTCATGGAGATCCCAGCTAAATCCATCAACCTGAGTCTACCTACCAGAATGGCGATCCGCTTGGTTACACATCGGCATCCATGACAATCCCTCGGTTGTGTGTTGATTCCAGTTTGACACCGTTTGCATTAACGTATATGGAGGCTTACATGTGAGGTGGATTTAGTGAGGCTAAGAGACCCGCCGTCTTGGTGTTGGGAAGGATGGAGCAGGGCGAAAACTAGATCTCGTATTCGACATCCAGTTCAACCATTGTTGATTCATCAGACTCTTGAAATTAGCTCTGGAGATAAGAGGTTCACTATTGAAGCATGAGAAGGGGATGAGATTGAGTGACCATTTCAGATGAGCCATCTAGCCATACGTGTTAATGATGCGCTGTTATTGGTAGTTTGAAGCTCATCCTAAATATGAATCGGTTGAAGGTGATGATTGGGCATTGGTTTTTGGACGGCAAATCAATGAAATATGAGTTAAGAGTGGGTATGGGTCAATCATTAAGTAGGTAGCTGACGACACTGCTGTTTCCATTCTCCGCCGTGATTACCACCACCGTTGCAGCTTCCTCTCATATGATCTTTACTTACCGATGCCACATATGGTGACCTTCATTCAAGCCGACCGAAATGTGTCGAGTGCGGCCTCTTAGGCCAGCTGCTGGCCTCAGCCTCTGATTAGAAGCAATACGGTTTCTGGACAGGCCGACAAGACTCACCAGCTAGTTGTAGGATGTCAATTTCGCCGAAAAAACGGTTTGCTCGAACGCAGTGACGACACGGAGCTTCTTGTGGCAGGTTGGCAGAAGTATTCCAGCTGGTGATCTAAGTGTTTGCACTTAAAGACTGGGTACTGTTGCAGGAGTCCAGATCTCATTGTCCCTTCCTTTCGGATCCTTCTTTATCAACATCGCACACCCGGAAGACATTCAATATACCTCCCTTCCTCGAGATGCGCGTCGCCCACCTCATCAGGTTTGCAGCAGCGCTGTCTCTCGCCCTGACAGTTGCTGCAGGCATCGTGACCAGAGGCGAAGCAAAGACCGAAGTCCACATCTTTAGAATCCAAAACTCTACTCAGCTTTTGGAATCTCCCCGAGGCGGAGCTATGGTAACCTGCCACTCTTTCTCCATCAATGAACGCTACTCCACCTTGTTGTTCGCAACCTGCCGTAGCAAGAGGGGTATCTGGGACACAATCCATCTTGATTTGAACCTTTGCCTGGCGAATTCTTGCGGTAGACTTGAGAGTCGCGTGAGGTGAGTCAATAACCAACTTGTTCTTTGCAAAGTCGCATACGACTTCGTGTTGTCGAGAAGCTAACGGCATCAAATTTTTGCAGAGGACGATATGGAGATTCCTGCCATGCGAGGGCTTGTTGGATCGACGGGTTCACCTTGAAATGCAACTGCAAAAATTGCGGCGGTAGATGGATCTCGACTTCCATCGATTTGAGTAGGTGAAGTTGAAACCCGTTGTGGTGGTGGTGCTGACTCGGTTTTCCTCAGATGACGTTGTTGGAAACGACAATGGTTATCTCATATGTCATGGCCTGAAAGGACTGGGTTGAGATAGTGGGCTTGCCGATATCAGCATTTCATGGCGTGGTGGGACGACAGCTGTGGCCCGGAACTCGGATCTCGGCCTCCTGGTCCGGAGAGGTGGGGCCGGTTCTGAACTGCATAGTCTGGCCGACACACGAGGGCTTGCTATCTAACATATAGTTTGATACTCCATTGCAAATAAAACGACAATTTGGTCTCTAATATAGTCCTTGTGAACATTGACATCGATGTGATGCTGTGGGTGAAACCAGAATAGATACGGACAACCGGACAAGACCTTCAGAGTCGGAGACAAGATCACGGGATTTCAAAGTTTACAGAAGTCTACGCACGCATCCGAGCTTGCTATATATGTGCTTACCAGAAAGTTTCCACGCATTAGCTTGTCTGCTGGTCTCAACGGAGACTGACATGCGGGTGAAGATTGGGGCAATCAGTGACAGGGGTAGATCAAATGGTGAAAATATCCTCCTTCCAACGAATTTGCGATACGGCATGAGGATAAACGTCCTTATTCAAAATAGGACAGTTAGCGCGGGAGGCATGGCACCTACAGCTCTCATATATACGGATGTGGCCAAGGATCGAGGCCTCATGGATGTCTGCTGCCTGGCCTAGAAGAATATCTTCAGAAACGGCCTACGAGCCCAGTGTGTCAACAGGTTTGCCGTTTGACACGGAACGGCGGATGTGCGCAACGCTCTCCGAACTTGGCCGGTGATCACATATCCTAATCATGAACAGCACACGCTGCTATCCTGCATCTTCTCCGCTCTTTGTGTAGTATCGGTTGAACGAAAGGTCTCGGTGGTAGACTAAGCTCCCGAGCCATAGCATTTGGTCTACAATCATTGGGCAGAACTGCGTCACGATACTCGTTGCTTATCAGACTTTGGAAGCAGATGCAAGCTCTGTACTATGCTGCAGAGAAACGAAGGCAGTTGCACGCTTGCCTGCTACGTCGTCGGGCGATTCGCCAAGCCTATTACATCGACTGCAATTGTCGGGATTCGAAGAGGGAAAGGTCGGCTTCAGGTTTCGAGAACTGCGGACGGAAAGTATCAGCACGGGTGCTCACGCCTGTCAGGGACTTGCTTTGCTGGAATACTGACTCTTACAGTGCCATTCGGCATTGCAGTTAGGGTCACGTCGTGCTCGTGATGGTAAAGCTCAACAATCAGTCTGAACCGATAGAGACGTGAAGGAGTTGACCCGTCACTACAAGAATTGGCTCTCCTCGTTGATCTCGACGCGAGATACCTGAGATAGCTCACCAGTGCTTGTGGGATGGAGGCCTACACAAACTGACCACGGGGAAGGCCGGGCCGGGAACTAGCCATTGCAGAAGAATTGATCAAAGTCAGAATGGTCAAGAGAGCTCAGAAGCAGCGCGTACGCGGTCCTGCGCCGCGAAATCAAATGTCAAGCTTTCTCGGTCATGCCGCGCGGATGGAGTAGGACAGTTCGCTGCATCAACGTCACTGCAGGTCCTGGATTGGTCTTTTCTGAGCGACCCAATCGGGGGTTGGCATGTCTCACAAAGTACCCGAATAAAAGCCGAGACCAATAGTGGGGCAGGCAAAAATCAGCAACATCCAATCCCAAATGTCACCTTGAGCCTGAGGCACAAGCCATTTGGGATGATACCTTAGAGAAAGGGCAAAAAAAAGTTTAGAGGACAGGAGCGGGCACATGGCAGGGGAGGAATTCGAGCATGTGAAAGGTGATCTTCGACATTGCAAATCATCCACAGCCAGCGTGCGAGAGCATGTTGAATTGGGTATAGGTCAGTCTGACGATGTGATCCAGCATCTGCCGTCATCAACCAGACTGTCAGACAGGCGGTCAGGAAAGCGGGAGGGCGTGCGGCCCCTGCAGCCATTTTGGTCTCGTTGCTGGGCTAAGAAATGACGGGCTTAATTAGTGAAGGATCGAAGCATCGTAGAGAAAATTCTACGGGGCCCCACGATTTTGTGGAGTGAAGAGAGAGGGACAGAGAGACAACAGCAAGCAAAAGCGCGTAATCGCAATCAGCGGCTTATCACCCCGCCATCGTGGGATGAGCTGGTGGCCTGAACGTATCGATAAGGCGGGCGATAACAGGTATCCAGCTCAATGTCAACGACATTCTTCAAAGAAATTGAAGGCGCTGGACGGTCTCGGGAAGGCTGTGGATGACTTTTTTTTGGCATTCCCTCGAGATGGAGGATCAACCCTTGCTGCCATCTATACCCTCTGTGCAGCTGTTCAATAGAAAAGCGGTGACGAGATGTTTCGAGTCGGCGCATGGTATCTTGATATCCGCAATTCCAGGCATCTAGAATCCACGAACACGGGGCATCTGAGATGGACGCCCAAGACGCTGGGGCAGATCATCGATCCGTCTAGCCTCGGAGGTCTGACCTACCTGCATGCCTCCCAGTTTGGACAGTCAGTCAGTATCAGCACCATCAAAGGTACCTCAGCCTTTCGAGGACTTCTTCCTGCCAATCCACTCGCTCTGTCCCTAAGACTAGGCATGAGGCGTTGGGGGGCGGACAAAGGCCCAGTTGGACTCGGACCTGGTGGCCGGCGTCTCAATGAATCAAGGTCGAATCGGGCAGACCGTGGCTTAAAGGGACGATCCCGGGTGACCCGGAA